GTAGCTCATGCATCACTGTGAATCACTGCCTAGAGGCTTGTGTTGGAGATGCCGCAAGACACTAATGGCTGACAGGTGTGACTAGCCGTTCTTCCAGTGGTCGTCTCTGGATGCACCGAGTACCTAAGGCGATAGATCAGCGCTGCAGGCCTTGACTGTCACGGGCCTTGTGCATAGCTGATCAAATGCCCAACACACTCTGCCCGAGGGTGCCCAAACCCCACGGTGCTGTAGTCGGGCTGCTAAGGTGCGAGAGGTGGGGCACAGAGGCGCCTATCAGAGCCAAGGATCTATGTGTCACCTGCCTCTGGGTGGAGCAACTACGCCATAGTAGGGGGTGTTTGTTGCCATACAGAAGTGGGTACGATGAGATACGAAGGCACAGTCCTGCCGCAGAATCCGACGGGTGCTCGGAAACGGGTAACCCGGTAACCTCGTAGAATAGCAACGTCGAAGCTATAGAGTAAGCAGATGTAATAGGAGATGCGTTTACTACCTAAGTCACGCCTTGCCCCGGCACACGAACCACCAGCAGAGGAAGCCGACGAGGCCCCCCACAACAACGATGACAGCGACAGAGATCCCCGCTATGGCGCCTGTGCTGAGGCCGCTCTTGTTCGTGCTCCCGCCGTTGTTGTCACCAGTACTATCACCCATCTCGAGGCACATGAACGCACTGGTGGATGACACCGTGCACTGTCTGCACCCAGCGAGCCCCTCAGAGCACTTCTTGCACGGTCCACTATCGCTACTCTCCTTATAATATCCACGAGCACATACTTTGCATGTGGCAGCCGCGGTTTCGCAGGTGTAGCAGCTTTCATGACATTTCGTGCAAGCTTTGACGTTACTGAATGCTATGTATCCATCCATACATTCTGTACATTCATTTGCAGTATTACACGTCTTACAGCCTTCAGGGCATATTACAAGGTTGTTTTCATTATTTAAGTTAAACCCTGGCATAGGTCTATCACAAGTCCCACCAGTTGTCGCCACTGTTGCACATACACTGTGCGCAGGGTACTTCTCATCTTCGTAGCACCCTCCGTTCATCCGAAGGAGCCCATTAGCACACGAATTGCAGACACCGGTTCCTTGAGAGGTGCATGTCGCAGCCCGCCCACTTGGTTTCGGTGCACAGACACCGTTCTGGGGATACTCATTGTCCTGGCTACATGCAGAGCAGTACCTTGTGCCTTTAACAATTAGATCACATGCTTTACAGTTCCCAGTGGCTTTATCTGTATTGACAACACATTCAGGAGCGCATTTACCCTTCTGCCCATTTGCATAGTCAAGGATGGTTCCAGGTTTGCACTCAGTACAATCATTAGCAGTGTTTCCCTTACAATTCTTGCAACTACCGTCACACTTCTGGCATATCCCAGCATCGTCAGCATAGAATCCATCTTCGCAGAAACCGCATTTGCCGTTCGGATCACACACAACGCAATTCTTGACCTCGCACTTCTTACAGATCCCTTTGCCGCCCTCTGTGCTGCTGTAGTAGCCTAGAATATATTCGCAATATTTTATGCACATCCCTGTCGGAGTGAGATAGTTCTTGTCCTTGCACTCCTCACATGTCTTCTTGTCTGCAGAACATTTCTGGCAGTTCTCGACGGGGCAGTCAGAGGGCGGAGGTTCTGGGGCATCGACACATGTAGATCCCTCGTCATTGGGTGTCTTTCCGCCGTTACACGTAGTGCACTTGATAGCAGACTCTCCAGCTAATCCGCGAGCTTCCTTGAGAGTACATGTCTTACAGTCAATTATGCCACCGGCGTCGGTGTCTCCACACGGGACGCATTTTTTGATACCCTTAGCTGTGACAGGGAAGTGGTCTGTCTTACACTGCGTCTTTTCAACGCAACTAGAAGGCGTTACAGCTAATAAATAGTATTCGCCCTCACACGTAGTGCATGTGGCAGAGCCGGGGCCTTCAGGAGGAGTACACACTTTGCAGTTCGGAACACCTCTGAAACCATCAATCGTATCTGCCTCATTGCAGGCAATGCAAGATTGGTGGGTGTTATCGCTAGCACCCATATTTTTGAAGAACCCGTTAGCGTCATTGCATGTTTCACAGAGTCCTGCACTACTACTCGCACTTTTGCAAACGGTTTGTCCAGGAGGTGCTGCTTGTACATAGCATCCACCTTTGTGGAGGAAGTATCCAGCCTTAGTACACTTTCCACATGTGGTTGAATGCTCATCGAGAGCTCCATCAACTTTTTCACATCCGGCAGTTGTGATAAGCCCATCACTTTTATCCTTACATTCCCCATTAATGGGCACCTCTCCAGGTTTAGCACAGTCAGTGCAAACTCTATCTCCACCTATGCTAATGCATTTACCCTGTTTACACTGTCCTGTTTGCGGGTCACTGCTAGCCTCTGTGCATGTTTTTGCTGCCCGTGCTACTTGCAGAATCAAAATTCCAAAGAGGATTTTCTCGAACATTGCCAGCAGTCCGTAGAGCATCCAGTAGAGAGAGCCTGCACACCTAATATCAGTGTGCTGTGTCGCTAGACATCGCTTATGGGGGCGGTCCAGAGGTCTTACATGAGCTGCCCCAACTTTCTGATCAGTTTGGAGACGATGGCTGGTTCTAGACAGCAAACAGGGACTCCTCTTTATTAGCATATCTAAAACCTGGCACCTTCCCCGGCCGCTCACCCTGGGATTTAGCTCACTTGCCCACTTGCGTCGTCCACCAATGGCGCCTCTCCTTGGTCTTCCTTCGTGGTGGGTGAAGCTCGGGTCGCTGTCTTTTTTAGATGCTCCCGTCTGTCAGGGGCTGCCATCGGGCTCTCCGCTGGCCGCCCCTCGGTGTCCGTCTGGCTGTGGCCCGGGCAGCGCTCTACAGTCGCGGTCACTTGGGTCTCAGCGGGCCAGCTGGTGGGGAGGCTGGGGCATGGGGCGGTGAGGCTGGAGGGTGGCGGTGTCGTCTGTGCCCCTGACCTCTCGGTGGACTGGGGTGATTGCAGTTGTGGTGACTGGGGGCTGTCCATCTGTGACTCATCCCTCTGTGTGCTCGTGGTCTGTGAGTGCCTCCACCCAGACAACCCTCAGGAGCCGTGTGCACCGGGACAGAGAGGATGACCAAGGGGAGTCAAGCAGCCCTGCCATGAGGGTGCACAGCAGCCAGCCTGAGCTGTAGAGTCTGCTCGAACGATGGTAGTGGCAGACGACTCCCTCTGACAGCAACCCTGGTGACTGCACTGGTCTGCTCTCGAGGCTGAGTGACAGTGTGCACAGATGGACATGAGTCCAGGAGGACCATCCACACACGAACAGACTGTGCCCCCATACGAGAGCCCCAGGCAACTACCCAAGCACCCGAGAGGCAGTGACAGCCACGGGCACCAGAGATCCTCAACCAGACACATTGCTATGCTCATCCACAGGGGCATCAGAAGGCCAGGTGGAGTCACTCTCACAATCAGAGGTCTGATAGGAGCCAGAGGACTCACGCAGCACAGCAGAGCAGGCCCAAGGGAGGCACACTCCAGGCAGGCGAGCAGTGGCAGAGCCTTGATAGCTGCCAGCCTCTCCATGACACCCAGGCAGGCACCAGACTCCGAAGACTCGCTGGCCTCCACCTATGACCCGAGGGGACAGCGACCAGAGGAGTGAGGAGACCTTCGGACGCCACAAGAGGCCCGGCTGTCCAGCAGGCTACGAGGCAGACAGGTGACCTCTGAGCACCACGCAGGCACAGGAGCCGACCATCAGAGTGATGCCCGATCACAAGAGACGACCACGAGCACCCTCCACCGCACTCTGAGGGGCTGTCAATCATTCACTGCCTCTCATAGCAGACCTCCTTGGGGGCAGTGCAGTGGGTCCCAGCTCATGCAGGAGGGTGCACACCCCTCAGTATAGGGTGCCCCGACTCTCCCTGAGGCGAGTCATCAGAGCCACGAGAGGGGTCAAGGTCCTAGTGGATCACACCGGGAACTCCCCGAGGACACAGCAGGTGTGAGGTATGGGTGACCCTCAGCGTGCTCCTCTCTGCATGGTAGAGCATCTTGAGACCAAGGAGGCTCACCTCTGCCTATGAACAACACACAGCGCTCTACAACGAGGACCCACCAGGGGCAGCACAGCTGACCACGGGGACAGTGCAGTCACTGGTGCCCCACCGTGTCAGTCTTCTGGGTCATCACACTAGAGGCCTGAGAGAACCCATCCCATCCACAGGGTCATCCATGCCCCTGCTGGCCCGAGGTGAACTACCGTCGAGGCACCAGACAGGGCATGCCAGGGGGCTCAGCAGACCCGCACAGAGCATCAGGAGGGCCTGGGATGGCCTGCTTTGACCCTCACGTACTAGTCAAACAGAGAAGCAGTACTGCCCGAGACATGCAGGGGCTGAGAGGAGGCGCTCAGTCAGGGGGACACGACACGATCGTCGGTGCCTTTGTCTCGGGAGTACAACGACGGTTGGAGATCAGACACAACCACCTTGGCAAACAGAGAGGGGATCACCTACCACCCCAATGGCCCACCGGACCAGGGGCACAGACGACACCGCCACCCTCCAGCCTCACCGCCCCATGCCCCAGCCTCCCCACCAGCTGGCCCGCTGAGACCCAAGTGACCGCGACTGTAGAGCGCTGCCCGGGCCACAGCCAGACGGACACCGAGGGGCGGCCAGTGGAGAGCCCGATGGCAGCCCCTGACAGACGGGAGCATCTAAAAAAGACAGCGACCGGAGCTTCACCCACCACGAAGGAAGACCAAGGAGAGGCGCCATTGGTGGACGACGCAAGTGGGCAAGTGAGCTAAATCCCAGGGTGAGCGGCCGGGGAAGGTGCCAGGTTTTAGATATGCTAATAAAGAGGAGTCCCTGTTTGCTGTCTAGAACCAGCCATCGTCTCCAAACTGATCAGAAAGTTGGGGCAGCTCATGTAAGACCTCTGGACCGCCCCCATAAGCGATGTCTAGCGACACAGCACACTGATATTAGGTGTGCAGGCTCTCTCTACTGGATGCTCTACGGACTGCTGGCAATGTTCGAGAAAATCCTCTTTGGAATTTTGATTCTGCAAGTAGCACGGGCAGCAAAAACATGCACAGAGGCTAGCAGTGACCCGCAAACAGGACAGTGTAAACAGGGTAAATGCATTAGCATAGGTGGAGATAGAGTTTGCACTGACTGTGCTAAACCTGGAGAGGTGCCCATTAATGGGGAATGTAAGGATAAAAGTGATGGGCTTATCACAACTGCCGGATGTGAAAAAGTTGATGGAGCTCTCGATGAGCATTCAACCACATGTGGAAAGTGTACTAAGGCTGGATACTTCCTCCACAAAGGTGGATGCTATGTACAAGCAGCACCTCCTGGACAAACCGTTTGCAAAAGTGCGAGTAGTAGTGCAGGACTCTGTGAAACATGCAATGACGCTAACGGGTTCTTCAAAAATATGGGTGCTAGCGATAACACCCACCAATCTTGCATTGCCTGCAATGAGGCAGATACGATTGATGGTTTCAGAGGTGTTCCGAACTGCAAAGTGTGTACTCCTCCTGAAGGCCCCGGCTCTGCCACATGCACTACGTGTGAGGGCGAATACTATTTATTAGCTGTAACGCCTTCTAGTTGCGTTGAAAAGACGCAGTGTAAGACAGACCACTTCCCTGTCACAGCTAAGGGTATCAAAAAATGCGTCCCGTGTGGAGACACCGACGCCGGTGGCATAATTGACTGTAAGACATGTACTCTCAAGGAAGCTCGCGGATTAGCTGGAGAGTCTGCTATCAAGTGCACTACGTGTAACGGCGGAAAGACACCCAATGACGAGGGATCTACATGTGTCGATGCCCCAGAACCTCCGCCCTCTGACTGCCCCGTCGAGAACTGCCAGAAATGTTCTGCAGACAAGAAGACATGTGAGGAGTGCAAGGACAAGAACTATCTCACTCCGACAGGGATGTGCATAAAATATTGCGAATATATTCTAGGCTACTACAGCAGCACAGAGGGCGGCAAAGGGATCTGTAAGAAGTGCGAGGTCAAGAATTGCGTTGTGTGTGATCCGAACGGCAAATGCGGTTTCTGCGAAGATGGATTCTATGCTGACGATGCTGGGATATGCCAGAAGTGTGACGGTAGTTGCAAGAATTGTAAGGGAAACACTGCTAATGATTGTACTGAGTGCAAACCTGGAACCATCCTTGACTATGCAAATGGGCAGAAGGGTAAATGCGCTCCTGAATGTGTTGTCAATACAGATAAAGCCACTGGGAACTGTAAAGCATGTGATCTAATTGTTAAAGGCACAAGGTACTGCTCTGCATGTAGCCAGGACAATGAGTATCCCCAGAACGGTGTCTGTGCACCGAAACCAAGTGGGCGGGCTGCGACATGCACCTCTCAAGGAACCGGTGTCTGCAATTCGTGTGCTAATGGGCTCCTTCGGATGAACGGAGGGTGCTACGAAGATGAGAAGTACCCTGCGCACAGTGTATGTGCAACAGTGGCGACAACTGGTGGGACTTGTGATAGACCTATGCCAGGGTTTAACTTAAATAATGAAAACAACCTTGTAATATGCCCTGAAGGCTGTAAGACGTGTAATACTGCAAATGAATGTACAGAATGTATGGATGGATACATAGCATTCAGTAACGTCAAAGCTTGCACGAAATGTCATGAAAGCTGCTACACCTGCGAAACCGCGGCTGCCACATGCAAAGTATGTGCTCGTGGATATTATAAGGAGAGTAGCGATAGTGGACCGTGCAAGAAGTGCTCTGAGGGGCTCGCTGGGTGCAGACAGTGCACGGTGTCATCCACCAGTGCGTTCATGTGCCTCGAGATGGGTGATAGTACTGGTGACAACAACGGCGGGAGCACGAACAAGAGCGGCCTCAGCACAGGCGCCATAGCGGGGATCTCTGTCGCTGTCATCGTTGTTGTGGGGGGCCTCGTCGGCTTCCTCTGCTGGTGGTTCGTGTGCCGGGGCAAGGCGTGACTTAGGTAGTAAACGCATCTCCTATTACATCTGCTTACTCTATAGCTTCGACGTTGCTATTCTACGAGGTTACCGGGTTACCCGTTTCCGAGCACCCGTCGGATTCTGCGGCAGGACTGTGCCTTCGTATCTCATCGTACCCACTTCTGTATGGCAACAAACACCCCCTACTATGGCGTAGTTGCTCCACCCAGAGGCAGGTGACACATAGATCCTTGGCTCTGATAGGCGCCTCTGTGCCCCACCTCTCGCACCTTAGCAGCCCGACTACAGCACCGTGGGGTTTGGGCACCCTCGGGCAGAGTGTGTTGGGCATTTGATCAGCTATGCACAAGGCCCGTGACAGTCAAGGCCTGCAGCGCTGATCTATCGCCTTAGGTACTCGGTGCATCCAGAGACGACCACTGGAAGAACGGCTAGTCACACCTGTCAGCCATTAGTGTCTTGCGGCATCTCCAACACAAGCCTCTAGGCAGTGATTCACAGTGATGCATGAGCTACAGGGGAGCTTGCCGCCAAACATGATCTGTGTGCATAGATTAGCGACCATTACTCGGTAAAGCGGGCGCTTCTCAGTCCGGGCACATCTGGTCCACGTGATCTTCTTTGTGTGAAGGCAAGCTCCTCCACAGTCCTGTAGTTGCACCCTAGAAGTGCCTGACTCCAGTTCCTGTGTCAGTACGACCGGCTCAATTGTGGAATGAATACCGCAAGACGTTTATAGTTAATGACAGTGTGCTGTGGATCTTCTGGCGGTTTTGCTGAGCCCTGTGCCGCTATCCGCAAACATCTACCCCAGGGATATAGAAATCAGAGTCTGCAGAGGGATCCCTGGGGCTGTGAGCAGGGTGGTCTTCAGGGACCTGACCGACGGCATCCACGGACATGGGCGCTCTCAACTGTGGTCGGGTCGAAGGCAGTGCTTGCTGGCTCGTGCAGGGGCGATGCGGCTCTCCGGTAGGCCTCGGTGTCCGGCCGCATGACCTCCGTTAAACTCCTGGACGGGCTGAGATTTTGGCCACGGCATCTGCAGGCAAGCCAGCACCGTGGTCCCCTCCACCAGGAGTCATCCTGTCTCACCTCCGGTGCCATCCTTCGCCGGGTCTTCGGTGGGACACCCATACACGTTAGCCACTGCACAATATACAGTATGAATCTCTAACAATCTCTAACACATCGCACAGCCCTGCCGGCCGCCAGTTCGGCCATCCTACGGCGGAAACTCCTTAACTCGTTCCGAATTAAGAAGAGAAGCGCCGTCAGGCCCCGCCAGTACTGCGATCGGAGACGTCGTGGGAACACGGGGTGCCGAACTTTCTGCCGTTGACTGTGGCTGTCAGTCCTTGTCAGCCCCCGCACATGAGGACTCCGGGCCGCATCCCACTACGCACTCTCGTGGAGCGACAGCGCAGACACTAAAGGGTGGCTTGGGGTCGTTCACTGGGCGTCGGCCACCTCATCGAGACCCCCGCAAATTGCTCCCGAGGAGTCTCCACCGACATGCGCTATAGGTGGGCGCTTAGCGTGCTCTGCGAGGGCAGGCCGGAAGCAGGTGGACACGCCGAGTGCCGAATGGAAGGTGGCGCAGGGGCTGTGACTGCATGCACCAGCTCGCCCATCAACAGAGTACGCGGACAGGCCTGACCGGTATAGAGGACCTCACAGAACCTCACAGACAAAGAGCCTGAGGGCCTATAGCGGACTTCTACAGGCCAGTTCAACAACAGAGACGTCGGATGGCAGGCGCTAACAAGGATTGCTCGGCTCGACCCGCTAACGTAGATCCTCCAGATTGCATGCGCAAGACTGTTGCACCTACAACGGAGACCGACCTGGGTCGAGACTCACATAAAGACAGCAGCTTCGTGGATCATGAAAGCAACAAGCAAATGGCGTTTGTCCGTGCCTCCTGTCCATCTAGTGTCTGGGCCAGACGCGGACCCTGGCAGTCAAGCAGAGAATGCACAGCAGCCGGCCCCAGACTGGGCGACCCAGAACTGCTTGTAAAATGGTCAACATGTCGCTGGGCCAGTTGTGGAGTGTGAAGCTAAGAATGAGGCTCCTCCATGTTGCTGGTCAGCCCGACCTCCAGGGAGCAGCTCCAAAAGAGACTACACGACGAACGAGGACCAGCAAGAGGCCAGAAGGAGCAGTCGCTCGACAAATGAGGAAGAGCTAGAGATGCAACAACATGCAGGCGGCAGAGAAGAAGCAGGCACACCTAGCTCCGGTCACTTTTCCACTTATTGGACGCTGAGGGATGCACTCAGTAAGGACAGCCTGTACCAGCAACGCCTCAGCTCCAGCCTGAGCACTCCCTCCCAGGCTTCTTGTACACTGCTGGAGAGAGCGTCCACTTGGGCCTGCTAGGAGCAGACCCGCTCGATGAGGCCCTGGGACCTTCTCGTACTCTTCGCTGCCATCGGTGTATCCAGGTAGCGTACCGGTACTTCGTGGCACTAGCGGGGAATGCTCTTCCTATCTACGCCTAGTTCCTGGAATCCCGTGCCGGTGAAGGACGCTTTGAGCACAAGCTCACACGGAGCTTAGGGCGTCTGTGTTTCCGCCCAGCAGGTAGCACAGCACCAGGCGAGCAGTCGTCATGTCGCGCTGGATGCCAGCTTCTTTAATCAAGGAGCCATTCGACGCGAAGCTCTTCCGGATACACAGCTTCTTGGATGGGTTGGCTCAGCAGGCCTGCTTATTGGGGTTTGCTGGGCACGGCTAGTGGTCAGCCGGCTCCTGGGTAAGGGAGTTCATCCATTTCTCGGCGGTGGGCAGTGCATCCCTTCCGGCGCACCTGCTCGTGCCAGAAGGTGTGCACAGGATGATCAGAGATGCAACTGTGCTATGGTGGCCGCATCCAGGGTGCAGATATAGAGGCAATAGTATACCTGTCAAGACAGCAAACGACTGCCCTGTAGCTCCTCGGCGTGTTGGCGCATGTAGGCAGAGGGCTAACCAAGATGGATCTGGTGGCCGACCAACTGCACGTTAGTGTTAGCTCACAGCCCAGAGGGCGTTCGGCCGCCCGTTGTTAGACAGGAATATCTAGTGGATCGTCGACCCAGAACTGCGATGGTCGAGTCGTCTGAGCACACAGGAAACCCTGCCTCCACCTGCTGTGTATGGCCCCTGCAACGATGCACAGGCCACGGATTGCGCGACATCCAGGCCGTCACAGCTTGCGTCTGGTGGGCCCTGCGTTATGAAGTGGCCGAGCATGCTACACGCTCTAGGAATGACTGTCTCGCCACTGACCAGGACTTCAACTATTAGCCGTTTCTACCGACCACTCGTCGATGCCCCTCGACGACCACCAGGCAAGCCGGGCTCTCCAGTCTTCAGCCCTTACTGGGGTATGTATCAGCGCACCCAGGCACGCCCCCGTAGCCCGCAGGGGGGAAGCATGGCACGCATGCGAAGGAAGTGGGCGGCCCGAGAAGATCCTGGCCCGTCTGGAGCGAGAGGGTGCCGGGCCCAGGAAGAACCCCATGCTCCTCCAGGGCGGCGCGGACGTCCTGGGTGCGGAGCGCGTTGTTGTACGTCATCCGCAGCTCCTGGCGCGGATACTTCGCCCCGAAGCGCTCGTGGACCCTGCGGTAGAAGTCCGGGCCCAGGATGCTCCGGTCCCTGACCCCGGCGATGATCATCGCCTTGATGGCCCTGCGGTCCTCGCCGGTCATCTTCACGTTGAGGATGCTCCGCGAGTGCGTCTCGCGGTACCAGTGGTAGATCCTGCTCCGGTCCTCGGACAGGGCGCGGGCGATCTTCTTCCAGTCGATGGCCGTCCGGAGCACGTGCCGGTGGAGGAGCAGCGGCCGCCGCGCGAGGCTCTCGGCCGTCTCCCCCAGCCGCCGGGCAGCGACGACCTGCTTCGCGAGCTCGAGCAGAACGGAGGCGCGCGTCTCCGCCGTCATTGCCCCAGAGCCCATCCAATAGAAGCGGCGATAAAACTAAAAACAGACCAACGAATAATGTGAAATTAAATATGTACAGGCCTTGCGCAAAAGTTTTAGCGGGTGTTTGTTGCCTGCCTGCCCCGGTCCGTCGGGCGAGCAGGGCGCCCTCATCCGGGCCATCGCCGCAGTACGAGTTGGCTTAGGTCGCCACACAGAACAGACTGCTTTGCACACGGCGGCGCCGGGGTTGATGTATTGATCGGAGTTTTTTGGTATTGCCGGGGATCCCCGCCCTCGGCCGCCAGGGAGAGCCGCGCCCTGCGCAGCCCCGGTTTGTCTGCAGACACCCAGAGCTCTGCGGAGGCAGGCAGGCTGGGGCCGTCCCCCTCGTTCGGGACATCGCCGACGACGAGCTGCTGCCTGCGGCCCGCGGGGTCTTCCGCTCTGAGAGGGGTCGCCGAGTGTCGGGAGCCGCAGCGCTCTGCAAGGCCTGCACACGACCAGAGGCTGCCCAGTTTTTTGAGCAGCTGGCTCTGGCGCGGATTCTGCGGACGCCTGCTGCCGGCCCAGTCTACAGGGGCGTCCGCGTGTCTACTGTGGCCTGGCGTGCGTGCCTGCGCGTCCTCCTGCGGTGGCTCCCCCCGTGGCGCAGGAAGCCCTGCCAGTCCTCTCCCATCGAGTTCTCCCGACGTGCTCTCTGTCGCTTCCAGTCGAGTTTCCAGCCGATAAAGAAGCGACATGACCAAATCAGTCGCCAGATTACAGTGTGATCTGCGGCCGCGAATCTTGCTGGCATCTTACGTGACAGTGGCTCTGGGTGTGCCCGTTCAACAGCAGCTGCCTTGAACATAGGTACTTAACGTGACCCGTATGCTAATATCTGCTCGCTCAATCTGTACAGAAGGATCTAACGGTATGCCGGCTAGAGCAGTAGGACTCGTCAGGCGAGCACACCGGAATTGCGTGGAGTACGCATCTCTAAAGGCTTGCATGCCTGGATCTGTGCTCGTCTTCTCACTGAGACCCCAGTACAGCGAAGGCGTTTAATATAAACAGAAAGCCGTGGTGTCACTAGGGTCTATTCGGGCCACTCAGCTATATCGATCATTCCTACCGGTAAAGCCGGACTGCTTACTACTGAGCAGAAGGAAGCGGCTCCTATGACGGCCAAGCGTGGAATCGGTACGCTGTCAAGCCTCTCGATTCAGATGCAGAGTCTGCAATGTCCACGTGAGTAGCACGCCAAGTGGTTGCCGCTTGCTTGTTATAGACTATAGATCGGCACGTAGGCTCGCGGGCCGGCTGCATCTTACTCGGAAGTACAAGACGCTGCTCCTGTCTGGATCACAGATGCGAATCGCCGGTCCCGATGCGCACGAGTGTTACAGAGTAACAAGGAGAGCACCCGTCTATGGCACACAGTCACAATTCGAGTGGCGTCCAGCCCTCCTGGAGAAAAGGCATGCCACGATCAACGGCATACTGCTTTGAACACCAGTAAGCACACCCGCTGTGTCTGCGAAGCCGAGGGCGGCCGTATCGCCGGCTGCTACTTGTCACTCGGACGCACATGTGTGACGAGACGTGCGGGCGCCCTTCACAAAGGCCTCTTGATGCGCAACACACGGCCCAGCCGCCTCTTCTCTGAGAGACAGATGAACTTTGCTTGCAGTGGGCTGCGTTAGCGTAGACTTCTGAACACGTCCCTCTGTTGAGGATTCAGCGGCTACGCACTGGGGGCAGACACGCGTGTTCTGTGGCCAACACGGGACTTGGCTGAGCAAAGGAGGTAACGAGTCGGCGCTTCTGGCCCGATGCTCTGCGTGCCTGCGCCAGAGACCAGGCTGCCAATGTGCCGGTTAAGGAGAAGATGCGATGATCCACCATCGAGGACTGCAGTACCCGCGGAGACGGGCAGGAGCGACTTTTTATGACCACGAGCCTGAGCCCTTTAAGGTCTGTGCCCGGCTCTTCGCATTACACAGCCCCTCCTCGTGTGTACCCTCAGAGAGCGCGAACATCCTCTTCGACAAGCACTTCTGTGGACACCACAGCAGGAATGCATAGTTCTGCGTTGATCATGCCTTAGCCCTATTGGGGTTGGTGACAAAACTACGACTTCCCTGTCACGAGGCATTACGCTCTGTACAGAAGAATGCCAGCAAGTCATGCAATGCCTGTGGATCCGTCCTTCGACCTTCTCCTGACAGACATGTGTCTTTTGGCATGCAGCCCTGCATTGCACGACGGTTCGCCCTCCAAGTGATGGTCTAGAGGACTCAACGCAGTGGCTCCCAAGATATGTGTCCTGAACAGAAGACTATACGATCATATACCTCTAACCACATGAGGCCACAGCCCACTCTGCTTCTCTATGATGCGCTTAGAACTGTCTCTACGGCTCTCTGTGCTCCATACTATGCGTCTGCTTGTCTTCCACACGCCTATCCCGGAGTCTGAATTAGGCAAGGCGCACTATATTTGGGGTCACTGCCAACTGCGTTGGCTATTCAGCAAGATATGACTAAAGGCAGCGTCCAGCACGACCGAACATGCTTGAAAGTTACACAGGAGAATGAGTACAGTGCGGGAATGTCCCTCGGTCTACTGGTAAAATGCCGTCGGCTGCTGATACAGGCTCTTGTCTTTGTGCGGTGACATGCAATCACGTGGTACGCATAGCATCGCTATCTGCATGACGCGAGGCCAGCCAAGTTCTGCCCATCCTACCTCTTATCCTTGCGCGAAGATTCTGAAAACATAGGATGTCTGGACATGGTGTAGGGCTCTATCGGTAGACCTTCTTTTCTGCACTTCAAGACATGCAGAGGCGGGCGCAGTGTTCCCTAGACAGAGGCCTCGGGTATGCACGCTGTTGAGCGACGACTGGAGTTCCTCTGGGGTATCTTACAAAGAGCGGCGCGCTGGCAGGGGCGTCGGTTCGGTGTTCTGAACAGTGATTAGGGAGCTCCGGCAAGTGAGCGCCTCTCGACTGGCTTGTGTGCCTGCAGCTACACGTGCATGGGCAGCGAGCGGTGCACAAGCCCACGATGCTGCGGTTCTACGAATGCCTACTCCTGGTGAGTGCCGTCTGGGGACAAGGGGTGTGTACCGGTACAAACTATCCGGTGTCTCTCTGCACACCAGCCTCATAACAATGCTCTACTGGGACTGACTCCGGAGCCAAGTAGGAGAAGAGGCCCTTCTGGGTCTTAATGGCCACGGGCCCCACTACACACCTGGCGGTGCCACCCAGAGACCGGATAGCTTTAGAATATTATATAGAAGTTAGCAGACATGTGACTTCGTCTGGTTAGTACGCGCTCTGTGCCGATGCGACTAACGTACACTCATCGAAGCATTACCTCGTTTACTCAGAAGTCTTACCGGATACCCAAGGGCTCTCGCTTCCTTCTAGCAGGAGATGAAGCGGCTGCAGAACAGACAGCAGGGCACCTAGGCCGTGTTGACAAACATGAAGCACAAAATAGCGAGAAGTCCCGTCATGGTAGCATTAGAAACTGCATTAGAGAGGGCGACAAGTATAAGCACGATTATACTGGAAAGCACGGCACGCATAACAAGACGTGGATCTTGGCACACAAGAGCGTGGACTTCAAGACCGAACTAGTGAGGAGCTTCTGCAGAGTCCCGGGCCCCAACAGGTCCTCGAGTGACACAGTGGCTGCGATCACTGCCGACCCTTTTGACCAGCTGTGGGTCGGTCTCTCCGTCTGATGGTTCGTGATATGATTTAGAGGGTCCAACTGGAAGATTCCGGACCCTCGAGGTTCAAACGACCCAGGAGGCAAACGACCTCCATAAATCGCGCCAGCCTAGTGTCCACCCCAACCCCACCACTATCTATGCAGGTACTAGCAGTTAGCAACGTATAGCAGCTACATGAAGCTGGCGCTCAGATAGTAAACTGAAACCCAAGGATCTCCCCCCGGGAGAGGTGGCCCGCGTGCCAGGGGTTGCCTCGCACCTTGGCACAGTTGATACGAGCCCACCAGAGAAGTAAAATGGACGTAGTTCCGCCGAGACTCACGTACTACGACGCCCGGGGCACCGCGTTGAAGTGCCGGCTCCTGCTCGCAGACCTGGAGATACGGTACGAGTGGGCGCCCTTGGCGAGCGCCGAGCAGGTGGCCGCGGCGAAGGTGGGTGCACCATCGTGCACGCTCCCCGTGTGGGAAGACAGCGCGGCGCGGGTGGCCGGGGGCATGGTCATCCTGGAGTACCTGGGGGCGAGCCTGGGGCGGTACAGCACGTCATTGCAGGTGCAGGCTGCTGCGCGGGCCCTGGTGCTCTTCTGTGAGGATCTCCTTGCCGCCGCCTGGAAGGAGCCCAAAGCCGTGGCAGAGGCCCTTGCCGCTGGGGCAGAGATGACGCGCTCGGAGTGCATCGCGGCCTACCGACAGAACAGGATCCTTCCGGGGCTGACCGTCCTGACCCGGGACGTGCTGAACCTTCGGAGCCTGGCGTTCGAGCCGCTCGACTCGGACTACGCGGTCCTGGAGGTCCTGTATTATGCGGACGCAGAGTGTCCGGAGCTCGTGGACCAGTTTCCGCCGCTGCGCGAGCTATTTGATGGCTACCGCGCGCGCCCGGGGATCACGAAGCTCCTCGCCTCGCTGGTCTAGAGGCCGCGTGGCCGGCACGGGGTAGGGCCATTTTCAAAAAGCTCCAACGCGTTCCGCTCCAACCAGCAGCCGTGGCTACACCGCGCCGGGCTTTCGATGCTCCACGCAGAGCGAGCACTATGTATGTTTACTCGAGACGTCAGGAGACCCTGCTTCGTGGCCACTCATTCCTGGACTTCTGCGCAAGGCTGCTGAGCAGATGTAATAGGAGATGCGTTTACTACCTAAGTCACGCCTTGCCCCGGCACACGAACCACCAGCAGAGGAAGCCGACGAGGCCCCCCACAACAACGATGACAGCGACAGAGATCCCCGCTATGGCGCCTGTGCTGAGGCCGCTCTTGTTCGTGCTCCCGCCGTTGTTGTCGGCACCTTTCATGAGATAACAGAGGACAGAGCCACTACCAGACGATGGAGGGGCGCAGTTCAAGCAATTACTAATACCTTTGATAGTAGAATCATCTTTATCACAGGCAATGCACTTAGGTCCAGATTGATAGTATCCAGCAAGACAAGATGTGCAAGTCGTGGCAGTAGGGTAGCATGTAGCACAACCAGTACTACACTTTTCGCAACTATTAGGGGTACTACCTGATACATAGCCGCTGATGCATTCAGAACAATCGTCACCAGTAGCACACTTAGCACAACCTTCAAAGCAAGCTTTGAGTGTATTGCTACTTAGACTAAAGCCGGTCGCGGGTGTCTCACATGTACCATCAGCCGCTGTCTTACTGCAAACTGTTTTCCCGGGATACTTGGTTATTTCATAACATCCCCCATTCATAAGGAAGAACCCTGTCTCGCACTTACTACATACACCATTATTAACATTTCCATCTTGGCATGAGGATGCACGCGCCTTGATGCCAGCACAAGCTCCGTTTTGAGGGTATTCTTTATCCACATTACACACTGAGCAATACTTTGTCCCATCAATAGCTAAATCACATGTCTTGCAAGACCCAGGATCTGCACTTGATTTGGGTATGCAACCAAGACTACATGTGCCTGTATTTCCGTTGCCTGCATAAATAAGAGCACTTCCAGACTTACAGCTAGTGCACTTATCAGATTCCACTCCACCCTCGCACGTCTTGCAACTATCATTACATGGCTTACATTCCTCATTCAGGAGGTAAAAGCCATCGTTGCATATTCCACACTTACCGTTCTCAGTACACTCTTTGCAATTAACCATAGCGCACTCCCTGCAGCTCCCAGTTGTTTGCTCGGTAGCTAAATAATAGTTTCCGAGCTTCTTGCAATCAGATATGCAGAGTTTTGTTGGAGTGAGATAGTTGTTTGATTGGCACTTATCACACGTCTTTTTGTCATCCGAACATATCTGACATCCTTCGATCGAGCATTCTTCTGGAGAGGGCCCTGGGGCATCGACGCACGCAGATCCATCTTCATTAGGCTTCTTCCCACTTCTGCAGGCAGAGCATTTAATAAGAACTGTTTCTAGCGGACTGCTGAGTAGATTGCATGCAGTGCAGTCGGTTATGCCTTTATTAGTTGCATCGCCACACGAAACGCACTGTTTCTTACCGTCTACACTATCATTAGGAAAGTAGGCCCCATTACATTGTTCCTTTTGTACGCACGACGTGCCTTCGCTTGTGGTTTTCAGGTAGTTGTTACCGGTGCATTTTGTACAGGTGGGTTTAATAGTTGGTTCATCAGGCGCAGTGCACTCAGCGCAACCCTCTATACCAGCATTTGAATCCCCGCACGCAATGCATTTATTCCCGTCCTGTACACTTGGCTTACCAAACATGTTGGCGCCGCACCCTGCTTTCTCGACACATGCGCTTTCCTTGAGATACTTAGTCTGATCGCAAAGAGTGCACACTGCCATTTTATCTGCTCTAGCTCCAATTGCAGCAGCGGGCGGGTCACACTTCAGGCAGTTGGATGTACCCTTGTACGTGGTGTCACTGTCCACGACTCCGGCCGTTTCATTACAAGCAATGCAGGACTGTTTTGTTTCTGCAGGGGCGGGATGCTTGAAGAAGCCGTTAGCAGCCTTGCACGTGGTACACACTCCGTCCGTTCCGCCAGCTGCATCTATCGCGTCTTCACATATGATGTTTCCCGGTGATTCGGCAAATTTATAGCATCCTCCTTTATATAAGAAGTAATTCTTTACGCACTGGGTGCATATCTTATTAGCGCAAGTATTGCCGCTTAGCTCGCTTGTACATACTCCATTGATGGGTCCTTCGCCCGCCTGGTCACACTCGCTGCAATAGCTGTCTGTGCCTATGATAGCGTCACAGGTTTTACACTTAGTTGGACCAGTTTCTCCCGGTGTGCATGCCCCAGCTACTGTTTGTATTATCCAGGCCAATTGCAATATGCAGTTTGTGAAGAGAATTTTTTCGAACATTAGCTAATAGCAGTAAGGAGTGTCCGAAAGATAGTCTCATCCTGCGCTTGCTCCTCTGCTCAGGCCCACGGTCTCCTGTCTTCGGCACTGAACCCTGCGCTATGTGCTGGGCGAGCTTCAGAAGCGAAGAGTGACACCCACAGCTGACGCAAAGCCTTGTGCAGTACATACTATGAGCAAAGGAGAACGTGCACAATGAGACTATCTGGCGTCGAGGATGAATCCGCTATGTTAGCCTAAGTCTATGTGCAGACCATTGAGTCGTAGCAAGATACAAAAGCGCCAACTAGTGATACATAAATGTGCTTTGGTAATTTAATTTACAGACTCGGAAACATATCCATGACTTTTGTGTTTCGGTACAAAGGAAAATCCCGCTGGTACAGGCCCAAAGAGCATCTCGGAGATGGTGACCCAATCAGAGGCTGATTGAGAAGCCATTAGCGTCTCTAGCTCATCACGGCCGCGGAACATCGGGGGCCGTTGGTTGAGTTTCTGTGGCTCATCGAGTATACCGACGGGAATATACCTGCACATAAAACTCCAGTTCTCTAAGAATTGAGCTCTGGCCTTCTCAACTCCAGGGGCGTCAGATCCGTAATACTCTAAACAGAAGGATGCAAAAAGCTTCAGCATTTCGAGTCGCGATTGTGACGACATGTCTATTCGACGGCCTTCTTTGATCTCTTGAAAAATCCACGGTTTCACAAGTGCTCCTCGTGCAATAAGATAATAGTCAACTGTTGAATGGTCGTCACGGTGCAAATCTGTATAATCGAATATGTCTCCATTTCCTCCCAGCAAAGGAGGGGTACGTATAATGGGCCTGTTGGTGGTACTACTACTGATATCGTGCTTAAGTTGTGGTTCTAGATCAGGCGCTGTACTTTCTTCACAATTATCCAAAGCATGCCGCATAGATACCAGGTAGTCCCAGTTTGCTAATTTAGAGTAGCGCTGCTTTGCCGTACGCAGATGGACACTTAAACCATATAAACCAGATAGCCTTAAGGCCTGTGCCACAGAGTCTCCTGTCCAGTCGCCGCGCAGATCCCCTGCCCGAATCTTAAGAAATACAGGGACACCATAGTGCTCCCCTCCTCTTACCATGCAATCAACAGAACTGACTAGCTTCTTTAGATTGGCAGCAAGTGCAGCACCACAGCACTTCTTTGTCGCGATATCCTGTGGGCAAGCAGCGTTGAGGTCAATGAAGTCGCACGAACAGCACTGTGAAATGAAGTTGACTATCTCCATAAGTTCCTGCCCTCGCCCTGCTAGCTGAATCCCGAAGCATTTTTCATCTGGATGGCGCTTTATTTTTCTAAGCTCCTGTGCATCTCCATGAAGAATGTCTCTGGCGAATACCATCTCGCAGAGAGTAATTTCGCAGCCGTAGTGGATGCAAAGTCTTCTAAACGGAATGGTGCCAACGGTGCACATAGGAGCTAGCATGAGCGGCTTTTGCTCTGATGACGACTTTGAGCGGGTGAACGCACTTGTAAATGAAGTCGATGGCATGACAGAAGAACGCTTTTCTCCCAACTTTCTATATTCACCTCGTCGAAGGTCTGCCAATGTTGCCCCTGGGAACGCGTTTAAAAGTGGGACAACCTCTTCCTTTGTGGGTACAGACTTTTTAGCAAATAGATCGTCTAGCGACTCCTGAAAGTGAGAAGATGCGTACATGCAATTAACGGAGAAGGGGCACTTTCCATACGTTTTCAAAAAGTGGCACGAAATGGATGTCTGAGGAGGAGTATAGTAGACAGAGAATTCATCCAAGTCATGGTATGCATTACATTTTGGGTTTTTACACTGCTTATTGAGGATGATGCTATTACAAAGCTGTCTCAAGCTGTTACTAGAGGTGCCGAAATTGACGTTCCTCCCTCCTTCCTTGGTCAACGAATGCGCACCGATATTGCTTGTTCCATGAGAAACCAGAAACTCCGGTTTAATTTTCGCTACTCCATCCTCCATTTTTAATTAAATCTTAACAGAATATGGCTGATTGGCTCTTAGGAGTAAGTCAACCGCTAGAGACGTGACTAACTTATACCTCTATCCTACATCATTTGCAGATCACAGTATAATGCCTTAATTATTTACTCTAACTGCTTTGTACTGACGTCCTCCTAATTAGGTGCTACGCCACATGTGCACCCTGCCGCAGTAGTGCTTTGCTGGACAGTCAAAGCTCCTTGGCCCAGGTCCCCTGTAAGTGTTAGCGTACTTGGTGGGACTCCAGTAGCAGTTGATTTGATACTGAAAGAACCAGATCCTGAAGTTACCCCGCTACTATCCATTTTGACGTCTCCTACATTGAGTGAGGTTACAGTAATATTGCTTCTGCTGTCCATTTTCCCTAGATCAAGTAGGTTAACAATTAGGTTCTTGCTAATCATCGTGGTGATGGTCGTTTTGCCAGTGAATTGGAAATATCCCGTTATAAGATCAAGATCTTTAATAGAAGAGGTGGCTGAAAAGGTAAACTGTCCATTGGGGATAGTAAGGGCTGCAGGCCCAGAGATAATCTTGTGATAGCCCGTTGGAGAGCTTATGGTTAAGGCGCTGAGCTGTGAAATGATATTTGCAGTAACAGTTTTGGACACCTCAACGGGAAGTGTAGAAGCCTCAGTAGTTACGTCATTTGTGACGGTCAGGTTGGTTGTTGTCAGTATGTCACTAACCGTGGCCAAATCTGTCCATAGATCGTGGATCCAGAGGCGAGTAGACGTTGCAGTAGCATCTGGACTAAGACTACGATTAAATAAAAGATTCTGTACCTTTAGTGAGCTAAAGTTAGCCTCATTTGCATGAAGCTCTTGGATTGTGATACCCTTATTATCTTTTGCTTGGAACGCACCATTCCCTATCAGGTTATCTGTAATGGTCCACGAGGAAAGGCCTCGTGTTGTAACAAGAGTGTAGTTTTGCGTAGCACTGCTTGAGCTTGTATCGTTGGTGACCAACTGATCTCTAGGTATGTCTGGAGAGTTCCAGTCAGAAAATCCCAGAAATGCACGCCGCGTAACAAGAAGATTAGTAACTACCAGATTATCAAACTTTAGGTAAAACCGAATCACTAAAGCAAATAGGATTATGATGACCAATAAAAGACCAGCAAGTAAGAGGTAGATAATCCAGTGATCGCGGCAATCCTGGCAGTATCGCTGTGTGGACACATATGTTACTTCTGGTTGCTGAAACGGTGGGACGCTAACGGAGGGAGATGCCACAACAGCTTTTTCGACAGCTGTGTGCTTCTCTGAGCTTTCTTCTTCATATCTAGAAAAAGAATACCGATCCTGCAGGTTGATAACTGGTATTTCAAAGATAGATGGCAAGTCTGGAGCTAGCATCTTTGGAACTGGCTCTGTATTGGAGGAAACCGTATGCTCTGCTTGTATGGGTTGTGATTCTTCTGTGAATATAGCATAAAGGTGATCTCGTACTGTACTTGTAAGGACACTTATATCAAAGTAAATGGCATACACAGGCAAGCCCAACAAGGCCGCTTCTGAAGACGATGCTGGAGAATCTATATACCGTTTAACTTTTCTGTACTTAAGATAAGTTAGTTCTGCAGCTCTGCTCCCAGGCATGCTCCTAAGAGGAGAATCATGAGGAGCATACAGGAGAAAGTAGCGATCCTTGACGATGTTTGCCGTCTGCCCTGTAATAATGTGAGGGTTTATAAAGGTACATAGATAATACCCATTACTAACTGTTATAACGGCCCCCAATAGAACGCTAGGAGAAGACGGAGGCCTCATAGGGATCGAGTGAGCGTAACCACGTGGTAGGCAGACACACTGCATCAACCCCTGCAAAGCTGACTCAGGACTGTTAGCTCCACAGACACTGCAATTGGTAGCCCGTTGTAGCCGGGATTCAATGCTTTCTCCTTCAGCCAAAAAGAGAAGGGGCTCTATATTAGTGGTGTTGCCACATGTAGAGCACGTTGTGGGACGTGCAAAAAGGAAATTATAGATCGTTGGGGGTAAGCTTTTGAGAAGAGCAGAGATTGAATCTCGTTCATTTTCGGCTGAGAAAAAGTTATCAACAAGGCTGCTAATTCCAATGTCAGTTATTTCCTGCTGTAGCGCACGAGTTAACAGGGGAACCCACTGTTTGAAGGACGTGCTTTCTCGTTCTGCTTGGGAAACTGGAAGGGATTCTATTTCAATTTGTTGCAATGCGAGTGCTTGATGAATTATACGAAAAAACGACGCTACAAGTCCACTACTATCACCATAAAGACTGTAGGAAAGCACAGTAGCCGCTCGCCGGCCCTGATTCCCCTGGAGAGTCGGTTGCTCTCCAACGTCAAAGAGGCCAGTAGGCTTCATTATTTTTTCGTAATCTTGCGACCCTGAGCCATGCATAAACATCTTCCAGACTCTATCTATCTAATTTACTAGCGTTGCTAGTTCTGCCATAATGTCTTCGGGACTAACAACTAATTCAGCGTTCAAGTCATCGTCAACGCCCTCAATGGGCGCGGGTGTCTCATGTAGTGCAACCTTCAAGAGACGAGCATGCCGCTCCTCGGGGCTTTCCTGTGTACGCGATAGCTCAGTCAATGTCTTGAGAACTATAGCCTTTTCTATTTGAGCAAAATATGGCACAGGGGCCTCTGCTTCGTTCGCTATCCCGCAAGCCTCCGCTAAGTTACTGTTCTGGACCTCTTCTTCAGCAGCATCCTCGACCACTTCAAACCGAATGTGGTGCTGCTTAGGAGACTGTTCTTCTAAGGGGATGGCTAGGGTATCGGTTATCTGTAATGGCTGGGTTTGGTATTGCAGTGCAGTACTATTGGTATGAAGCCCTTCCTTGCTCGAGACTGGAGGAGGATCACAGGGGTCCAACTCTAATTGTGAGTCATCTCCTATGGCCATATCGCATGATGTGGATATGGGAAGATCTCCTTTGAGGAAAATGTCTTTTCCAAGCGTAAAGTTTTCTCCTTCACGCATAAGAAACTTAGAGACGGACTGCGGATTTGCAGACGAAGAAGTCTTCCGTAATATACGCCCAGAGGGCTTACTTTCTGAGGCCTGCATAGCGCTCTGCTTAACTACTGCTTCGGAAATTAGGTGCCTAGTTTCTTCTGGACCACTGATACTGCTTTTTCTGCTGTTTGCCTGGGAACTACTTGCGCTACTCTTTCTAGAGCGAGTGCCTCCAACTCCTGTGGCAGGCCCCTGGGGCTTGGTAGGCAAGTTCTTCGATGATTGTACTACCTGGTGTCTCGATACAGATATAGTCCCAGAGGATGGCCTGGATGATATTGCTGGAAGTGGAGATTTGATGGCGTTGGGCTTCACCAAGGTTGAAGAAGTACTTGAAGAGGTCAATTTCGTGGAGGCCATTGGGCCATGAGAAGCATGAGGTGGCATTGGGACACGTACCTGAGGCTGTCGAGGCGCAGAGCCGGGTTGTGCAGGCTTTCCACTAGTAGTCCTGGCTTTGGTCTGTCCTGATTTCTGGGGTGCTGGGCCAGATGTTATCGCAGTACCGAGGCCGGCAAAAGTGACGGACTGGATGGACGCAGCAGAAGACGCTCCAGACGTAAATTGAAGAGCAACCTTCTCCATTTGTTCCACCTCTTCCTTTAGCTTTCTGGTACGTTCTTGCTCTAACTTCAGGCTGTTCTTTGGAGGCATTTTTTAAAAGCGAGGCAGCAAAACTATCAGGCCTTATCCGCTTCTCTATACGTGCTTTTACTGACGCATCGCAGTACTGTTTTACAAAACACTCGGAAAAATTAATGGACCTTATTAATCTTCTAGGCTATCTCTTTAAAACAGATCCGAAGTTGAAGAATGTGCAGCTCCCAGAAGATCCGCTCAGTCTAAATATCCCTGAGCTCATGAATATGTTGAAAGATCCTTCGGTTACGACGATCAACACACTCCCGTTGGTGCAGGAGCCTTTAGACATGTGCCTTAGTGTCCCCGACGATGTGACCAGTACTAAGATTCAGGCGATTGCTTCTCAGACTAGCACGCCTAAAGTGCTAGGACAAGCACTAGGAGAGCCTAATCTACAAGCTGTAAGTCCAACACGTCTACAAAGATTGAATCCGCTGAGTAGTACCCTCAAGCCGGTTACTGATATTCTTGCCAGTGATTCGACATCCGTGTATGCCCTACAAGAAGTCAGTGACGCCTCTACTGTGCCAATAACATGTGCTCTTCCAGACAAGCCAGCTCCCATGTCTAGCGCCAACATTGGTACTGTTAAGAATCAACGGTTATATCCTAATGAGTTCATAAAGCGTGTGATCCCCATTAGCGGAACGTTTTACCTTAGTTACTGTGTATTTGATTATTGGGCCCTATTCTCTGGGCTTTACACGTCTCCCACGCGTCTCAAAAGAGTGACGACAAATGAGAAGCCTCGTGCTGCTCCGTATGTTGAGCTCTTTGATGAGGACTCCTTTAAGGAAATTCTTACTGCCATGAGGGCCAACTTGAATCTACCGGCGGCAGATCTTATTGCAATTGCAGATTGGATAGGCCTGATCTATGATCATATACACTTGAAGCGTGCAGGGACAGCAACGATGACAGGTGATGACATAGTCACGCTTCCATGCTTTGGAAACGGGTTGCTTTTTCTTTTGATCACTCTGTCTCAACTTTTTCGACGGCTAAAGGAAGCACACTTGGCTGCTTGGGTTGAGGCTCTTTGTAGCTCACAGCTTGACGAAGAACTTCCACCAACTATATTGGAAGATAAATCTGCGGTTATTTCCACCGCCCTTCTGGCCAATCTAGCCTCCAGACACATAATGCTACTTGCTTCTTCTCTTTTGGAGCAACTCAACAAGCGATTTTCTTCGTTTTTTGAGCTGAGCCATGCCAGATGGGAAAAACTGAGTACTGAGGTTGAGAAGCTATACATAATATGTAAAAGTTTCAGCGTAACAACCAGCTTTCTTAGTACATCTCTTAATGTATCATCTCTGGAAGCAGAACCAGGACTTCACTTGGATGCTCTCAGTGGAATTAGCGACATGACAGATTACAAGGCAGTTAATCCAGGAGACACTCAGCCACAGAAGGACTTCTCTCAAACATCGCTTTCAGAGCGGTTTTGTCTAGCTATGGATGCCATGTTTAAGATACTCCACTATATGTCTGATTTGGCTGGTGATAAGTCTCATCTATTGATGATCGATCGTCTAGCACTATTTTCTCCTGCAACCTGCCTGGATTTTATAGAAGAGCTCATAAGGCTTTTAGTGCAAAATATGGATACTCAGAGCTTTTATGAGGAATGTGACCCACAGACACTCTACACGTGTTGGTCAGTGGTTGACCTCCTCTACAAAACATACATTCAAAGTATGCTACTTAAGTGCAAACAGACCTACGGCTTTATAAGCTCTGGGGACGACTATACTGGTTTGGTCTTCGGCCCGATTCCTAACACCGACAGTCCCCTGTGCATTGGCTCAGCCAAGCAATCGACTCAGGACATAACAGCGTCTACCACAAAGCGAAAGAGAAGCCTTCGCAAGGACCATGTGCTGACAACTTATGACTCTTACAGTTTTTTCCTTGTTATACTAAAGCTGTGCAACTTTAGGCTAGTACAAAATCAGGTATCGTACAATTCAGTACTAACTTTTCTCAGAGATTATGTTAAAATAGCGGATAGAAGTGAGGTCGATGAAGTTTGTTCCATTATAGAGCCCTATCTATCCGACTATACGGGCAACTTTCACAGTAATGGCTACGGGCTACGATATACCCTAACCGTCATGCACATTATCTTTTCAAAATACTACGAGTCCAGCGACTTCTCGTCTCTTCAATTGGGTCCACAGTGTTCTAAGGCCATCCTCTCCACACCAGAAGCAATGTACATTTATCAGGTGCGCTTGCAAAAATACCTCTGTACTGCTGTTACCAGACAATTAAATAGGCTTTATTCGCAGTCAGAAGCTGAGGCAATTGATGAGTTAATGGCCTGCACAAGCATACAAAACTATTTGACAGAGTCATTTGCTGACGAAATAGATGTGATAGAGTTGGATCTCAACGATTTGACTGAGTATACCTTTCAACAAGTCAGTGAAGAGCATGATGAAGCACGTGCCCAAAAGCAGGCTGATAAGGAAGCACTGAAGTCGGCAATTCAACTGAATTGCAAGCCCAATCCTTTTATTATTCTATCGAAGCTATTCCTCATCTTGGCTGATCAGATAACAGTGGACACCTCGATTCATCTCCCCATTTTTGCTGATGCATTCTTTGATAATTCAATAATGTCTCTGGAACACGGATTTGGCCTTAGCAGCTTATTGTATAATATTTACATATCTACTAGTTTCTGCTCGGTCTCCCGCTTTGTTGGAATGCCATCTCCGCAGCCTGCAAAATCCCCCCTGGGATCTCCACTACTAAAGCAGATACCGGGGCTCCTTTCTGAGTCGTATTGCGAGCTAGCCACTGAAACAGTTGTCATGGAGGAAAACGGCGGCAAACTTCGCGTCTCGCCCCTTTCAATCTATGCTGGCTTGATAATAAAGTTTATTAATGATAAAGTAAGTGCTGCATTGGTGACCTTCTCCCAAATGAGCCACGGTCATCACTTATCTAATGTCGACGCCACGAGTCCATCGCACGAAGCACATAATATTCTAAGCTCTCCTGAGCTAGTTGCAAGCTTGTCAAAGATAAGGTTTCAAGAGGTTAAAGATATGCTCAAGCACATCGACGCAGCCATGATAACTCTAGGGTTAGCATTTTATAGGTTTTATCTTGAGAACAATACATACCACACTTGGCTGGAGGGGCACCTACGCGCTGCATCCATCACCCATGCTAAACCCTCTGTTATCAAGCGATCTCTTAGCATTACCTTTCCCCCTGATATTTCCATTATTCTGGCCACACCATTGCTTTCACTCTATATAACAAGAGAGGCAGATCACATCTCGGCTTCTGTTAAGAGAATATACGACCAGGAGACTAATCTGAATGTGATGCCTTTCAACTGGCTAATCACAAACAAGACATTACAGGAAGCACAGGAAATAACGGACACCTCCAGGCGATGCAACGCTTTGCATTACAATGCTAGCTCGGCCCCCATAGATGGCATTGAACCGGTCCTACTTTTCTTAGAGTCTATTTTCAGCAACTTTCATCTGTCGGCTGCCTGCCTACGATGCCTATGTTCGCAAATCTTGGATTTAATCAGGGTTATTCTTCAGCCAATATATTATAACAATAGTATAGTTGAACGTCACAAACTGCCCACACTTATGCAGCTGTTTTCCATCGACCAAGCTCTTCAAGGTAAGAATATGATGAAGCAAAACACCACTAAGAAATCAGCTTCGTTGTCTACAGAGAGTAGTCCTGGAAGCATTTTATCGGAAAAGTCATTCACTTCTTCCTGCCTAAGTGCTCAAATCATTAGCCAGAAGGGATACAAAAGCAGTTTGGACGTTGCCTCGAGTATCGCATATCAAAAGCTCAGCCACGGATCGATTAAGCACATATTTTCGTGGGATGTCGATAATACCGGTCAAAGCATCAACCTGTCAAAGACTGAGCTATCAGTTGGAAAGCTCACAATCAGGAAGAGAATGAACTCTATAACGCTAAAGGCACGGTCATACGCAAATCACCTGAGTCCAGATGAATCCGTCATATCCTCTATTCTTCCGATGGGAAGCGGTGTCCCGTCCGGTGCACTGCTCTTTTCATCGTGCAATCTCACAGACCTGCCAAGGAGTTTTTCAGACATAATACAATTGTCTCGCGTCTTTGTCTATCGAATCAATTCTCTAGAAGTGCTGCTTGCACGCATAGCCTCTGTCTATGAGTATCTAAGCTCTAATTCAGTATCATATGATATTGGAGACACCATGGAAGCGCTGAGCAGCGATGGCTCACTAGACCTAGAGTCGTACTGGATTATAAATACCAAGAAGGCGCAGGCCACTGCCACTAAGCCAGCTAAGGATGAAGATACAATGCTCCTAGAATACTTTACCAACATTGTCAAAGAGATCCGGTCCACAATACTGATGAATATAAAATTGCTGTGTGAGTACATCATAAACACGGGCCTGTGTCCTCTTCTCCAGCGAGCATACTGCCCCGTTGTGATACAAACGCAGTTGCGTACAGCCTGGTCTGGCCTGGAAATCGCCCTCAAGGACATCTATAGAAATGTCATACCATCTTACATTAGGTGCATTGCAGAACACATCGCAGTTGCTGCATTAAATGCACACTCGTTCATTTTACTGGATAGCGGACCAAGGGCGCGCACAATAACCCCTTCTGATTCAAAGATACTCAACGATGACCTCCTTTTCCTTAAAGAGGTGATAGTGGGAAGTGCCCTCTGCGGAGAGGAATATATAACGGAATACAAGAGGCTATTTAAGGCTGCACATGCTCACGGAGTCATTGCATCCAGACTTCCTGGTCTATACCTGTCGGTTGACGATGCAGGGGCAGACTACATAGACTGCATCCTGAAGCCTTCATTTGTCTCAGCAAAAGCCGTGCAGGCGGAGGATCTTGTGTGTCTCCACACGCTCGAGTCAGAGAAGCTAATGTCTATGGGGAATATTGAAGATAATTACATGCTCCTTGAGCAACTGGACACTCCTAAAAATCTTATGACCGATGTGATTACCCACAGCGAGTATGTTGTAAGAGTTTTGAACTTCAGACGTTACTCAGAGCCACTGACTCGCGAGTGGCTTCATAAGCTTAAGAAGACTATCAGAAAGTAACAGCTGTAACTTATGCATGTGCATCATAGCTCTTTCATGCGTGCCTCATACGATTATATACTCAGGAATTGCTTTTCTGTCTATTGGGCATGTTAAGTTCTGTTCTATCCACTTCAGCAAACATTTCTTATGAAATCCGTGATCGCATGGTGTTATCCAGAGTTCATAGTCCTTTGTTTCGCTGGAGTTGGTGGCAGTCTCAGCAACCAATGCAGGATCTTCCTCACGTCGTTGTGTAGATGTAAATATTAATGCAGCGGCATATTCTGCTCGAAACGTGAGTGTGCCTTCTTTGAATATCAAAACGGTGTTAATATTGGTTAGAAGCTGCAGGGATATGTGTTCTAGGCAGATGGAGCATAAGAACAACTTGCTTATGACTTGTAGCTCGTTAATATAGAAGCAGTTTGTATCTTGCTCTAGATTGATTGAGGCTGGATCTACATCCATAGTTGCAAACCAAGGGCAAAGCTTGGCACCAAACAGCTGCGAAAAGACCACCGACGGGTCGTAAAATGCACTGTGGGGGTGATAGGGATTCATGCACCACTTTGAAGGCTCAGTGACAATGCTAGACGCGCAGCTTATGATATCATTAGAGGCGCTGAGATTAACAGGGCTTGGCGACTGGTCAGCGTCGTGCGTAGATATCTTTGAGCTTTCTTCGAACGAAAACAGAAATGGGCGCTCCAGTGCATGTACATAGGCTAGGATGTCTTTCTTACACTCCGCCGAGTTCCGTAGGTCCAAGACTGTACTTGGGCTGCTCTCTTTAAGCATTGGCATTGTTATAATGCGTGTGTGATATTTGTATATGGTTGTTGTGGACCCATAGCTGTCCATGAGTCCTTTCTTGCAGCACAACTTTCTTAGACCAAGGTCATAGCCAAATACGTTCTGAAGGCAGAGAAGAACACAGAATATTGTAACATAGAAAACTATAATCCACATAAACATCTCCTGTGACTCCAAATCCATGAAGTTAATCGGGAATCCAAGGATATATGCAGCGGTATACGCTTTTGGAAGAGTATTGAAGATGATATATGTGCTAAGAAGAGGTCCAGTAGCAAACCTTTTCACGAGTCTAAACACAAACTGGATGATCCAGTGTGAGAAGAGCAAAAGAACGGGGAAGATATTAGTCCAAAAGGGCATAAACATCCCCCAAATGATTGGTAACGCGCTCAGTATAATCAGAAAGATAAGAAAGATAATTAAAAGAAAATTGTTTTGGTAGCCGCGGCGGCGCTCATACCATGAGACGAATTTGTAGGCACAAATGGGAACGTTTGTGATAGTGGACTCTAGAAAGGCGATGGATCCCGTCATTAAAAAGAAGTACTGAAGTGAAGGAAACAGCGCCGACAGGGCTATGAGCGCAATTGAATGGGTGAAGGAGGATATAGTTAAGGTGTAGATGGCCAAGGACGAAACACGCGTCAGCTGTGCATTAGAGGTGAGAACAAACTGTTGATAAGACCCGGCCAGTAGTGACATGCATAGAAGAATGAGAAGCCCTGTAAAGAAAGCAAGGCCAATTTTGATCTCCTTTGCCCCATTGTACACGCTTCCATCCAAAGTTACGTTGACAGCGCACTCCTTGCTAAAGAGATGTAGATCAAAGTGAGGAACAAAAACTGTTTCTGGGCCATTGGCTGGCCGTAATATGTATGTTTTGCGAGCCGTTGACGGGTACTGTTGCAGATAGTATGCAGAAATCTCAGCTGGATTGCTAGTATTATACATTATCCCTTTATCATGTACAATAGTCGTGTAATAATCTCGCCGAGACAGTGATGCCTCCGTGTCTGGAGTGTAAAAGTATGTATCGACGTATGGCCTGGTTGTGTAATCCAGACTGAACCAGATATCGAAAGTGCACCTACTTTTCGAAATGCGCGACTTCTTTCCAGTCGTAGCATCCTCTGCACCTGCGTCGAAAGTAGAGATGTTGTCCACGGGTGGAAAGGGCAGTGCATCGTCTAGAACCACTCTTTTTAACTGCTCTAGATCCGTATCATTCAGCGAAAACTGAGGTGATTTGAAGGCCTGGGACAGGATCCCCTTTGCTACGCAGCGCTGTCTTTCTGGGAAATAGTATCCAATCGCGGTAAGCAGTGAAGTCGAGTCACTATCATAGCTCCCATCCACGATCTGTAAAGTTAATTTGACTCTTCTGGTATTGTTCCACGGGCCAGTAAAGTTTGTGCTATCGCTGGCAAAGGTTTCTGAAGTGGCTGTCTTCGAGGAGACAAAAGACTTGTTCAAGTACTCGTTATAAATGGCCTTTTGGTAGTCACTAATCGTAAATGTCGTGTCCGATATAGATAAGTACGCCTTCCCTAGAAACACCCCCCTTCGTCCGTCGTTTCTCTTCAGCCGTAAAATCCCGGTGCAATTGGTGCAGGTTGCATCCGCCGGCACAGACCAGTTACCATTGTACAAGTTAGAAATAGACCAATTGACGTGATTCGGATAATTCAACAAAGGAACGTCGGCTGGGGCTGTTACGTTTTCAAGCCACCAAGGAATTGGACCATCCTCAACGTCAGCATAAGTGACGAACCGGGCAACCAGAACGTGTACCAATAATATCATTGCGATGTGGAGTTGCATGGCTCCCGCCAGCGGTCAGCTCTGAGAATGTAGGCAAAAAGGTTTTTTCACAATCATTTTCAAGATAAAGAATGTACGAGAATTGAAGCATTTTGCACTACGCTACTAGTTATACTCCTGCTTGACGTCCACTTCAAGACTTTCTGTGCAGAAAATGGCATTTTGAGACTGTTCTTTTGAGCTCTTTGCTGTGGTTTGTATGGACCTGATGACTTCTTCGAGGCACCTCTTATATCGAAGCTCCAGCTGTATATCCTTTCGCTTCCCTAGTCCCTTGGTTTCCTTTTTAAAGTAGTGAGTGAGGAGGGAGTTAGGATCGGGATTGATGTACAGCCGAGAAAGTGTGCTGTAAATAATATCGGGCACCAAGCAAAATATTATCATTACTAGGCACTGTAAATAATAGCTGAGAGAAGCAGAAGCAACTGTGAGCGTATTGAAGAAGTACTGAGTGAAGAAGAAAGTGTAGTTGATTCCTACGAGGGTGAAGTAATAGAGGGCTATGCTTAAGATAATGCTCCATGCGAATGCAGTAGAGTAGTAATTAGAGGCTATCATCAAGCGTGCGAGGCTGACAAATGTAATAACGGTTATTATTATGAAGCTGAATACAGTTGTGTCTGCTACCCGGCCACTTGTTCCCAAGATTGCAGAATTTCCAAACATAAATGCTGTGCAGAAATAAATTATCACAGCCATATATATTCCAGAAACGTAAAATGTGACAAACTCAAACCAGTATCGCCACGGTTGACAATTAGTTCTATATATGGTGGGGAAGTTTTCCAGGTAGCGCGGCTTGACGTGTTGCTCTGACAGTGCATAGATGAAAATCGGAATAAAGTTAAGAATTACGTTATACATCAATGACAAAAAATCATTGATAATTAGGACGCTGGAGAACAGGCTTTCACCGCTGTAGAAGCCGCATATTATCGCCAACATTGTATTCTTATACAGATTATAGAATATTGTCATCCTCATTCGTTGCTCAATGAGAACGCCGTGGACCAAAATAAGTCTCACCAGAGTGGAGAAGGACGGCACCGACACATCTGCATTGTTAGCAACGTACAGCCCCTCGCGCCCACGCACGCCCACGCTAACATCTGCTGCATCAATCATCTGCAGGTCATTTTGGCCATCTCCTATCGCCAATGATGCCCCTACTGACGGAGACTTTCCACGGCACCATAGCTTAATTCGCGTCTTTTGCAGAGAGATATACACACTGTGGTATTGAATGACAACCTTCTTAGACTCTGGGCTCATGCTGCAGAATAAGCATGCGTTTGCTTGAGATATCAAGTACATTAGGTCAAGAGACACCTTGGGCTCGTGGCTGCATTCTACGCCTGTATCCTTGAAATATTGCCTAGCAAACTTTTTGGGTAGCTTTCCTTTGCGTAGAAAGGCGTTTATCTGTGCGCGGCGCTCCAGGTTGGGGAACACCTCGTTAATGACTTCACCGGAAACTACCAGACAGTAGCGTTGATCCTCTTCATCTTGCAATTCTGCCTTTCGAACAGCTATCTCATCCATTCTTGTGATTATAACTTTATTTGTATCTACATCAATAATGCCTGTGCGTGCAGCTGTTTCTATTGTGGTTTCTATTGAGTCTCCTGTAACAATATTAATCTTAATACCCGCAAATCTGAGCTTTTTTACAGATTCTAACACATTAGGCGCGAGCTCATCCTCAATTACACTGATTCCTAAGAAGTTAGACCCCTGTTCAACGCTTTGCTGGGGTTCGGTCTTTACGTTTGGAAGCGTGGGGAAGGGCTTGAATGCAAACACAAAGCAACGCTTATCAGCGAGGTTCTTTGTGATGATATTTTCAATGCTTAACGACTGTGGCTGCTCCGTGCTCTGTTCACCTTCGGCCATTGGGATCCTATTCATAAGCTGGCCCATCACAACATGAGAGCCTTTTGTGATCAGGAAGGGACGCATGCCATTGACTACGTACATGGAGCACGAAGTAGTCTCATGTGATGCCTTTTGACAGCAGATAACGGACATGCGTTTTAGGGAGGGGGTGAACTCGTAGACCTTCAGCAATTCAAAGTCCAGGAGAACGTACTTGTCTATGCTATAATCATCTGAAATGACACTTTCGAATGTGTTGCTAAGGCGAACAGTTTGTATTCTTGCACTTGAGACGTTCCCTGTTTCTATAAAACTGCGAGAAAGCGCCAGGCGAACTGTGCTCTCTGTCTTCTCAACTATTGAGAGAATTCCATTTGTGCTTAAATATCGTATGTAGCAGGTTTCTTCGACGGATTCGCCGAAGTATTCCAATCTGCCATTCGATTTGACTGGAATTAATGAATTACATAATCCCAATGCTACCAATTGTAGGACGCGATTTTGTATAGTATCAACTGTGTGCTGTGGCGTTTGTGATGCGTAGTTCCCATAGAATACGTTTAAGTCAGCATCATTAGCCCTATTCTCCCCCAGTGCATAGATAGATTTAAGGATAGACTCCGTACTTAATCTGCGGCATTCATCCACTCCAAGGAATGAATGGTACGTGAACTGGTTGCGCGTCAGAGTCCCAGTCTTATCTGTAAAGATATGGGTTATACGAGAAAGGTCTGCTAGAACCTTGTCGTTGTTCACGGTGCAGCTTCCATACAGGTGTATTAGATTGAGATCAGAACGAACGAAGAGCCGATTGAGGATGTTGAGCAGCTCTATAGTAACGAAGATGCAGATTGGTAGTGCGTAGGAGAAGAGAATGATGTAGCTAACGAAGCTTATGAAGAATGCACCCGCTTTAGAAGCAAACTGGTCTGCAATTTCTAAGTAGGGGTAACGCTCTATATACCCTTGATACCGTTCCGTCACAACGGAACTAAATGAGATGACGAAGACAAGTACAAGAGAGCACTGCACAATAATGATAAGCTGCAGGCGCTTAGCTCCATTAGATATGCGGCTTTCTCGCTTATGGGCAGTGTAAGTGGACATACAATTCTCCCCTGTGGCAAGCGCTAGGGCGTAATAGTCTGTAGTGGCGGCCGTTCCCTTGAAGCCCACGTTTCCTTGATTAAGGAGGATTGAATGAACGATAGGCTCTGGCTGTATTGGCCTTTTCCCCATGCTGGCGCGTTTTACCACCGAGTTCATTTGAATATGGTGTGTGCTCATGGCTGCATTTCTGTATCTCCTCTCTCTAGCACGCTGGATAGCCTGTACGTCTTCAATGCAAACGCTTACTGGGGCAGCATGAAGATCTGGAGCCGTTGAAACGTAACCCTGGGTGTTTTCTTCTACTGCTGGACCTGTGTAGCACCCAAAGACTTTGCCTTGATAGAAGCTAAACTCTACATCTCCAATGAATTGCGACGAGATTATATCTGTACTAGTGTATATAGGGTTCTTCTGAACAAGGTTCTGCTCCCCAGTTAGACTGCTTTGAGAGAAGTAGACCACGTTCTTATCTGATGCCAGAACAAGGACATCACACGGAGCTGTCTGGCCTGCAGTTATCTTGAAAATGTCTCCTGGGTTGATATTTTGGGCCTCAACCGTGCTACAAACCTTTCCGCCTGAAATGTGCTCACCGTACTCAGCCTTATTAATCACTTTGTCGTTCTTTATTCGAATCCCCAGCTCAATTAGGTCCTTAAGCAAGCTGGTCGCAAGAATGAAAACAACCGGGATGACAGCCGTGGCCTTCGAAACTATTGTGATACCAGGCATATAGTTGAGGATCATAATCCCTACAAAGATAACATTTGATGGTCGTGAGAATTGCGCTTTGAGGAACAGAGGAACAAAATTCAACGGGGTGTATGGTGACGATCTAAACTTATTGCTTGAGCGCTGTGATAGTGGATAGTAGTTGATTCTGACTTTGTGCACAGTGCCCTGCTTTCTCTTTTTACCTCTTTCTCGCGACGCCTTCACGTTACCTCCTTGTTCACAAGCTGCCAAGTCCTCGTAAATTGGGACCACTTGCCGAGCCACAGTAGCATTCGCATCACAGGTATAGCAGGTTGCTGGATGGTCAGCAATCATTGGCTTTTATTTCCATGTGTTAGAAGGCTGCCCCAGTAAATTGCTAACTATTTACAGTACATTCACAATCTTCGAATAGATTAAAAAGTACACATAATTAGCCTGCATGCTCTGCCTCGCAAACTGGCACAGGGGCTGTTATCTCTGCAGGACAGCGTGAAAGAATGTTTTGAATGCTTTGTTGCCGGAGGTTCTGGAGGTACAAGTAGGCTTCGTCGAACACCTCTTCTGGAAGCTCCATGAATAGCAACCTGAACTTAAAATCTACGGGGCGGATAGGCTGAAAATAAAAGTGATGTATTAGGGTGCTGGGGATGCCCCGTGCCACGCGCTCCGGCCACTGCTCTGGTGGATAGTGAGCAATCTGCTGAACCCACTCTGCAAGATGGGATGGAGACGATGCCCGGATATTCGGGTACTGCCGGTTAATGAGATTGGTTATTGCACACGTAGAGGCTACGGGAAGAGACTCGTCGTTAACACCCCCAGAGCTCAATTGAACGTCTGGAACGTGAACTCTAGCAGATAGACCGGACAGCTGCAAATACGAATTGATGTGTGGTGCACTGTGCTGTGTCAAAATGTTCTGCGAACCACTGATGTGGGAGGAGACAGCATGGGAGAGGTAAGAAGAAGGCATTCCGATCTCCTGGTGCACTAGATCATCTTGGCCAATGGTCACATCCAGGCTTAGACCCTTATAGAACTGAACACTCTGACCCCGACCAACCTTTCGAAAGTAAGTGGACAGGTTTGTCCGCAGATGCCCCAGGTTTGTCATGCACTTTCTCCGCCCAATGCGGATAATGGCAATTTGCTCCTCACGGATATTAAGGCAATTGCAAGCTAGCCGTCGAAGGCAGGCTTTAAATGTCTCCAGGTCCTTGATGCTCACGTGCCCAGGATCAAAGGATGGGGTGAGCCTGAGGGTGAAGACTCCAGTGCACGTCTCCTTTATCCGCGCCGGACGGGATATGTGCCGCTCCACAATGTTGATATCACATTTAACTCTCACTGCTCTTGTCTCGCTTGAGATAAGACACAACCCATCTCCATCGTCGTCTGTGTCCGGAAGAATGTTATTAAGACCTATTCCGAGCTCACCGGCGCCAATGGTCTGCTGCGAATCGCGCGGGGTTGTGCTGGCGTCAACAACAGCCATGGTTCTCCACAAGTTTTGTTTTTTTCTTTTTTTAATGTTAAATGCTCACAAAAGGGGAGAACACCTGAGGTTCCTGGGGGTAAGTGGCACCTGCGGGAGCCCACCCGATCTAAGAAACTTAGAAGACACCTACGCCTTTAATACAGCACATCAAAATCCTCACTGCGAAGCTGTTATGAATCGATCTTTCAATAATGTGGCTATCGTGTTCCAGTTATAGCGCAACAGATTGATCGCTTCTAAATGAGAATCCAATATCTTAATTAGCATGAATTGACAGCATGCTATGATCAGCGATTGTCCATGTGACCTGCACATACTCATTGGTCTGCACGTACCTTATCACAATGCATTGCAGAATGGGCATTTCTGTTCTTCTCATCTAATGCAGCACTATAATCCTTTCAATTAGATGCTCTAACAACTCAAACTGTCGTCTCTTAAGTAGTGGGTAAAATGAGAGTGACGTCACGTTCTCTAAGATGTTGTTACTTCGAGGGTATAACACCTTGCTGCGGAGAATAGAAATAGCCATGGATGATTGGTTATATCTACGTCAGCACAGCTAGAATGACTACAATAACTACAAGTACACGACAGATGTATGTCCATCTTTTACAGCATGGTCTGAATGGAACGGTTCATTGCTAGTAAGTGCCCCCTTGGGGTTGTGAGGGCTCAGACCTCAAGTGGATTCTCCGTAGATAGAATTTCATATCCTGTGAGCCTGCTCCCAATCAAAAACAGCCAGACAGCATCATGAATTGATAGAGAAGGTGCCCAAAGACCGTTCTATGCAAGCATTAAGCTATGTCTTGGTACCGAATAACTTTGCGAAGACAGACATTTTTTGGTTATTGCTTCCGTCATTCATGGTCCCCATTCTGTTAACCCTGATCTTTGTTATGATTGCAGAGGCAGACACATCTTTAAAGGAGCTTAGAAATTGCTACTTTCTCGATACTAAAGCAGGCGTGGATTGCAATAGGAACTTCCTGTGCTTCACGATTATTCCGACAGAAGCACACGAATGCGACGTTCTTCCAAGTACAGTACTTCTGACCCTGAACATGTCTGCTTATACAGAACCGTTGTATGGAATAATTACCGACTTCAGCTACGCTAACACCACTTCTTTATGTGTCGAATGTCCAGCAGGCACTGCAAACAACGCCATGGTGTGCAAGACTGGTCTGAGAGATTCCAAGTACATATCACTCTCCATATCTTCAGAGACACACAAGACTGCCATTCCTATCATGAACCTGCATTCTCTGAATCTGAATTTGTCTCAGTGCTACACACCTAACGCCACTGTTTACATAGAATCATTGCAGACGCCTCCAAAGATCTGTGCCATGTTGGAGCCTACAGGGTCCTGCAGTATCGTAGACGACTCCGGTATAGGACAGTATGTCTCATCCTTTCTGTACGTGTATGCTGCAGGAAACACATTTACATACCAGCTGGATACTACGTTTTCTGCTAGCCAAACACTAATTTGTAATGCACAGCAGACCACTGATGTGACTGGACTAATGAAAAGCATATTGGAGGACGAGTGGTCGTATGGGTCATTCAAGCTTAACTTCAACCTAGAAGGGCGTCTCTATAGTTCAGAAACGAGACTGTTCAAAGTGATAACGAACCTACACGCAGGATGTCTGGGCTTGACAGACATTGAGATTTATCCCGGGTACATATCACTGTTTGTGCGCGAGTCATCAGCGGATGCCAAGAACTGCAAGATAGATGCCGATAAGTATTTCGTTATAGAGCCAACTATCTATCTTTACGGCATACAGACCGAAACCATAAGAGTCAGAAACTTCATCGTGGTCGGTTACTACGACTTTAGCCAACAGTACCACTTTCTAATTCCGTGTCAAGACACTTCCTTGTGCGTCGAAGTATACGATAGTCTTGTCAAGACCAGCAATAGCAAAGAACTATACACAGCTAGTTACAGTGTTAGATTTATAGCATCAAATGGAAGCCCAGCAGCAATAGTTGACGGATACGTAGGGTCCATATCAGCCCCTTGCTGGGTGAACTCTTACATTCTCATCTATAAAGACTACTTCTCTGTCTCTTTAGAGCCATCGAGGGCTCTTAGCTGTCCGATAACGCAAAGAACTCTGAACTACACCATTACCGCAACTATCAACCGCATCCAGAAAGGAAATCCAATGTGGAAAGATCAGCAAGTGATACTGACGCTTCAGCTGAAAACTGAGTTCGATATTAACAAGACTCTGATAACGTTCCACTGCAATGATGAAGCGCTTTCCTCATCGCAGGCAGCCATAGATAACTGCTATAGCACGATAGCACAGCTCTACAGTAAGAGAGAAAGTAGAAACGTAAAGCTCCACTTTGTCGGTAAGGACCTATTCTTCAACGAACTTGTTAATCTGAACCACGTCATGTATAAGTTTCGGAATCTTAACTATGCCAACGCTAATATAGCAAGCATTTCAGTTGCTACGATAGTGTCCATAGGGTACCTTGTCTTTATCATTATGCTTTACGTGTCTGTAGCCAAGAATATGCATGTCTTATTGCACGCAATAGAGCAGCGCCTCTAAGCAACGTGTCTGCGCGCCTGAGTCAAGCCTCTCAGTTATCTCTTAGTTATTGAGTACAGGCGGTACTATGATTTTACCCAAATCCGCGGTGCTCAAAAAATTACTTCCTGCCGATGAAGCCAGCAGATAAGAGCGAGTGGTTCCGCTCCGTGTCTTCTCATAACTATGAAGCAGTCAGGGCAAGCGTAGACCGATTTCGTCGTTGCGTTGACAATAATGATGAGACGGGCCTGATGCTTGCGACGCGCACTAATGACCTTGAAATGGTGAAAGTTCTAGCTAAGTACGAGGCAGGAAGCTTCAACAAGAACTTCCAGACGGCACTAATGATTGCCGCAGCAAGAGACTACACCGAGATTTGTAAGGTTTTGGCGCCTTTGGAGAAGCACGTAACGCTTCCCGATGGACGTACGGCTCTCATGCTCTGCGCAGCGGCCGGAAGTTATGATACTGTCAGAGCTATTTGCAAGGATTTCGGTGTAGAACGCGATTCCTCGGATTGGACTGCTCTCGATCATGCCTGTGCAGAAGGACATCATGACTGTGCAAAGGTGATTGCCAGATCACCAGCCTATAACATTGAGGACATCGATCGGGCGATTGTGATTGCAGAGTCCTTCGGGAACAATGCCATTGCGGATGCGCTGCGAGATATCAGGAATGATCTAGAGGCCAAGATCCGGTCTTGCAAGCGCTGCCAGGAGACCTCTATAGAGCTAAGGATTCTTGAGAAGGAGAACAGGCGCCTCCACGAAAAGGTCCAGGAGCTCGAGGACAAGGCTCTAGAGTTGGCCAGCCAGGTTGAGACTGCTAGAAGTAAGACGGGGCAACGTGGCGATAATGTGCCTAATTCTCTCGAGCTTATGTATGAGGTTGCGAAACGTGATCTTGAAGACAAATGTCGAGAATATGAAAATTTAAAAGAAGACTTCGTTACGCTACAAAATGAATACCAGGATGTGCGGAACCAGCTACGAATCATGTCAGAGAGCGTGGAGGAGCTGACTAATCCCAATTCAAAGCTTGCGAAACGCATGGGGATCCGCGATGAACGTGAGGAGGAACTCCTGCGCCTCAAAGCAGAAAATGAGAGACTTGACGAAGAGGTCGAGAAGCTTCGCAAATACATAGACGAGGACGTTGTTTCCACAACGCTTTTCAATTCCGTTGAGCAGAATCTCAAGAATGTCATAAACATAAAAGACCAAGAAATATCAAAGCTCGAGGAGAAAATTCAGCAGAATTTCGTGGACGTTGAGGCACTGGAGCGCAAGGTTCTCGAGGCGCAACATATTAAAGAGCAGCTTTTGAAGTTACAAAATGAACACGCCGAGGCGCGCAACGAGACATTTGTTCAAAACGAGGCAATACTAGAGCTTAAGGACGAGCTTGCTCGCTACAAGTCTTCTGATGGGCGCACGGCTAAGCAGCTTGAGGATGAAGTTGCGGAGCTTCGTGCCCTCCTAGCAAATAAATCAGAGGAGTTCGAGCACCTCAAGTCGGATATGTACGAGGTCATAGCGCACACAACCATGGCGGCAGGCAATGAAGACGCACTCAAAATGCAGCTCTCAGAGAAGGAAAAGCTTATACAGGAGCTGGAAGTGAAGCTCAACACTAGGCGCGCAGAGTGCGAGCGGCTCCAGCAGAAAAACCTCGATCTCAATGACGACCTGACCTATCTTGCCGAGGAGATGTCCAAGGCTCAGGGCCCAGATGCTCCTGGTCTCGAGAGCATTGTGGCGTCATCTAGGATAGGCGCAAATAGGACCGGAAGCATCGGCGGGACGCGATCATTTGTGGGTGGGCACCCTGGCGTCAATACGACTCTAGGTGGGAACACAATGGGCTTCACGCGCGAGCTGGATGAGTCCCTGCGTGCGTCCTTTGATGCTAATGCATCGGCAGCCGAGGTAGACATTACATCGGAGACCCTCCTGATGAAGGCTGCTGCGGCGGGTGATGTTCAATCAGTCAGAAAGTTAATATACCAGGCAGGCTCTGCTAACAATCTGGGCAAAACCGCAATGATGTACGCAGCTGAGGGTGGCCATGTGGAGTGCGTTCGAGCACTGATGCTCAAAGAAGCGCGCATGCAGGACGATGAAGGCCGAACCGCTCTCTTCTATGCAAGCTGGCACGGGCACACAGAGGTAGCTCGTCTTCTTGTTGATCGAGAGGCACGTCTGGTGAAGAAGAACGGCTACTCAAGCTTGATGGTGGCTGCAGTTCATGGTCACGTAGATATTTGCAAGATCCTGCTTGCCAAGGAGCGAGGCCTTTACACAAATAAGGCGTTCCGTCACGGAGCCGGTCATACTGCTCTCATGTGTGCTGCGGATTGGGGCGATGTCGAGTGTGTTAAGCTGCTTCTCTCTGCAGAGGCGCACATGCGCGACCGGGCGGGTCGCATGGCCTTCAATTTTGCCAAGACGGAGGAAGTTAGAAATATCATCAGCGACTTCATCAACCGCAGCCATATTGAAGTTGCTGACTGTCCACGAACCACAACCGACGGGTTGCACCGCAAGATTCTTGAACGCAATGAGTACGATAGACCCGATGACTACAAGGAACAAATCGAGCGAATTGTCCAGGGCTCAGGGGCTACTAGCTAATGTAGATAAAAACAGAATTCACATTACATTGTCTTTTTGATTGCAACCTGCCACTTATTATAGAGCTCTGCTGCCTGGGACGCTGATCTCTTAGGAGAAAATAGACTGAAGGAGGAGCCTATACTGGCCTCTGCGTCAGATAAATCTTTGTAAATCTGCAATGTAAGGCCAGCCATGATCACACAACCAAGAGACGTGAGTTCTTGATCTCTAGATACCAGGATTGCACACTGTGTCACATCCGAGAGGATTTGTGAGAAATGCTCCGACTTAGTCAAGCCACCATCAATGCGAATCTGCCTCCCAGAGTTAGTCGGAAGTGTGAGGTCGCCAGACTGATCCAGCGCCTCTATGGCCATGGCCTCTGAAAGACTGTTTTGACTATTTATGCGAGCCATGGCCACACCTATATTCAAAGCGTTCGGCACGTTATTGAGCTCCTGGAAAAGAGGGAGAATGTCCCGGATCTGCAACGCAACAGCCTCCATCGCTGCTTTAACAATGTGGGAGGGCGTTGTTGAGTACGATAAATTAAATATGCCCGCTCGAGCATGGGGACACCAGAACGGACAGAGAAGCCCTGTAAACGCGGGGACAAAAACGACAGAGGAGGTCTCGTCTAGCAGGGGTTTGACCAATGAATCAATGTCTGTAACAGATGTTATCATACCCATTGTTCTCAGCCACTCAAATATGGACCCAGCACTTGCAATGCTGGCCTCGCGGGCGTAGACGGGCCGTGCTGTAGGAGATTCCTGGTAACAAATCGTGATAAGGAGATTATCGTTGGGCTCTGGTTTGGTAGTCCCTGCGTTTATAAGCAGGAAAGCGCCCGTTCCAAAAGTAATCTTGGATGAACCGGTTGTGAAGCATCTGTGCCCCACCATACTCGCCTGCTGGTCTCCTATCATACCACCTATCTGGAGCCCTTCAAGCCAGCCAGCGGTTTCCGACAGGGTGCCAAATATCCTCCCTGCAGATGGCCAGACCACCGGAAGAACTTCAGTGGAAACAGAGAAAATGTGAAGCAGCATCGGATCCCATGCCATGGTTTCGATGTTAAAGAACTGAGTCCGCGACGCTGCAGTCACATCTGTGAGATAGGATTTCTCCTTGCTCAGATTCCAGAGGAGCCACGTATCCATGGTTCCTATTTTAGCAGTGCAGTTCTTGATGGCCTTCTTGACTGTTGGAACGTTTCGATAGAGCCATAGAACCTTCCCGGCTGTGAAGTAGGTTGACAGGGGAAGCCCTGTTCTGATGCGAATGATCGGCCCGTACGTCTTTTCCAACTCAGTAAGAAGCTCGTGGTTCCGTGCATCAGACCAAACAATTGCGTTGTAGAGAGGCTCCCCAGTAGATCCGTCCCAGATAACCATCGTTTCACGCTGTGTCGTAATCCCGCATGCTTTGATGGAATCCCGCTGAATTCCAAGCTCCTGGGCCTTGCCTGAGACATCATTCAAACACGCGTAGACATCGCCGACAATTCGCTTGGGGTCCTGCTCCACCCAGCCTTCGTTTGGAGTTATCGAATAGTTTGGACGAGTAGAGGATGCAACGTTTTTCCCCGCCCTGTCAAACAAAATCACCCGGGTCGATGTTGTTCCCTGATCGATGGCGAGTAGATAGCTATTCGTTGCCATATTTTTGTGGACGAAGTTGTGGTGGAGATAGGCGTCCCAATAATTTTGAAGTGCGCTTCAAAGGGCTCCGCGGGGAGGATGCCCAAGATATAAGTGGAAATTCATTAGACGAAAGAACTTTTTATGATTGTGAGAGTTTAAAAGCTAATCGAACCGCGACGCTTGCCAATCACTGGAGCGACACCCACTACAGTTTTCGAATCAAAAGGCCGCGGCCTAAGGATCTACCGCAGGGGGTGCGAGGAAGAATAGATAGAATTTAAAATGTAAATCTCTATGGCAGCAAAAATGGCAGCAAAAATTTAAAATGGCATACTGCTACTCACAGCTTTACTGACCAGACACATACTAACACACAGTTGGAACGTCCCCTACAACTTCAACAATGGCGACCTGACCATATGCAAGGATGTCTTGTTCAACTACCTAGAAAATAACACCAAAATCCCCTGGGACGACCTCAAATACATGTTTTGCGACATCTTCTACGGGGGACACGTCGGCGATGATCTGGATCGCCGGCTCATGCGCTCGTTTATGGACTCCTTGATGTCGGATGCTCTCTTTGAAGACGGGAAGTTCTTCGCCCCAGACTTCCCTGTGCCGTCCCCAATGAGCTACGACGGCTACAAGGCATACATTGCTGAGGCGCTTCCTGAGGAATCGCCGAAGATGTATGGTCTCCACCCCAACGCGGAGATCATGTTCCTTACTACTCAGTCAAACACCCTTTTCATGATGCTTATGCAGTTGCAGCCGCGCACCTCGGCCACAAGCACTAGTGGCGAACTCTCTCGCGAGGACCGCTGCAAGGCACAGTTGGAAGACATCCTGGATATGCTCCCCGAGAACTTTGACATGCTGGAGATTACCGATCGAGTGGAGGAGCGGACACCCTACGTCAGTGTCTGTCTACAGGAGTGTGGGCGCATGAATGAGCTGCTCTCCACAATAAAGTCGTCTCTCAAGGAACTTGCTTTGGGCCTCAAGGGCGACTTGACCATCTCCGAGCAAATGGAGGCCCTCATGCAGTCCATGTACCTGGATGTCGTGCCTGCTAAATGGGAAGCCGTTGCATATCCGAGTATGAAGTCTCTTGGCCCGTGGTTGAAGGACATGATACAACGCTGCGACCAGCTGGTTTCGTGGTCATCTGATCTCAATCTTCCAAAGGCTGTCTGGCTTCCAGCGCTTTTCAACCCGCAATCTTTCCTGCGCGCCGTCCTCCAGTCAACTGCCAGGATGAACCAGTGGCCTCTCGACAAGATGGCTCTCATCACCGATGTGACGAAAAAGGAGCTCTCGGAAATCACCGCTCCGCCAAGAGAGGGTGCGTATATCTACGGCCTCTACATGGAGGGCGCTCGCTGGGACAAGAAGGGCGGTTGTATCAGGGACTCCATCCTTAAGGACCTCTTCCCAGAGCTTCCGCCAATCTACTTAAAGGCAGTGACCGCAGACAAGGCGGACCTCAAGGACGTCTACGACTGCCCTGTATACAAGACAAAGAGGCGCGGCCCCACCTACATATGGACGTTCCAGATCAAGACGAGGGAGCCGCCCGCAAAATGGATCCTTGCTGGTGTATCTTTACTCATGGCGGCCGACATCTAACACCTTAGCTCACACCCGCAACAACCTCGATGTAAATGCGCTTTTGAGGCTTACTTACTTGTCGCTGTCGTCGTATGTGTCACTTGTGTGGCTGACTGACTCCTGGTAGTTGGTGGTCTGTTTCCGTAGCTCTCGCTCTCTTTGTTCGTTTTCTAGCTGGTTCATAACTTCCTCCTGCACAGCAAGCACCGCTTCACTCGTCTCACACGAGGCATAGCGATCGAGAAGCTCCTCGTTCAAATCGAGAAACGCTTTTGCATAGGGGAACCTCTGGATCGTGTCTAGAGCTTGGTCCCGATAGCCACATATCCACAGGCCTGCGGCAAAGGCCTCTGCGCAGTTCAGTTTAAAGGGCTTGCCATAGTTAACCTGGTTGCTTGCTAGGAGAAACGGAAGTAGTCGATGGTTTCTGCACTTCAGTTTTGTAATGGGCACCTGATCAGCTAATATCTCATTCCATGAACAATCAACGGTGGCAAGTCCATGCTGCTGTACCGTGTTTCGATCAAGTCTGGATATCACGTAGACCCCTTCGGAGCTCAAGAGTATCCCTTTGAAGAAGGCCGTTTTGGGGATGGAGCGGCAGAGATGAAGCTTTTCTAGTCGCTTGGCGGAACAGCGCTTAGAGTCACACTGATGGTAATCATAGGCAAACAAGGAGACCCGCCTGCTGGTGCATTCTCTGGAATCTTCTGGAGAGTCAGAACTGAGATCCTCAACCGAGGCCTTGCGCGGCATGCTTTTAAATCGCACAGAAAAAACTACCTTTGAGCCACCATGCGTGAGATACAGGCAATGACAGAAGCGGAATGGTTTAGGGCGATTATGGACCGCAATTATCTCCGTGTAAAGGCTTCTGTGAATGACTTCAAGGGCTCCCGAGACCTTGATGGCGACACAGGTCTGATTAAGGCAGTTCGGGGCAATGACATCGAGATGATCCGTATTCTCGCTCCTCATGAGAACAGAAGTGTTAACAGGGATGGGCGCACGGCACTTATCATTGCTGCCATGCATGAGTATCCCGAAGCCTGTTCCATTTTGGCGCCGTATGAGAAAATGGTGACACTTCCCGATAAGCGCACAGCTCTCATGCAGGCTGCGGCTACAGGGAGCGTATCGTGTGTGCGCGCTCTCACTGACCACTTTTTCCAGGAGATTGATGCACAGGGCTGGACTGCACTAGACTATGCTGTGACGCGCGGACACTACGATTGCGTGAGAATACTTTGTGAAACACAGAAGCCTACCTTAGAAAACATAGACCGTTGCATCGCAATGGCAGAGACGAGCAAGAAGGATAAGATCCTTACCTTTCTTACTAATTATAAAGAGCATACCTATGCAGCTAGAAATGATATACCAAGTAGAGATAATAGGGATAGGTCTATGACGATTGGGCCTGAAGACACTGGAATGCGTGCTTCTCCCAGTACTGCAGTCTCCGATAGATATGACTCTAACCTTTTGCCACTACAGACGATGCACAGCCGGTATACCGAATATTCCCAGTCTCAGAGCACTGCCACAGCGTCTCCTGGACAGAAAGCCTTTGACCCGCAACCCAATATCCATTATGACACGTTGGGTCCTCGACAGGCTGCAACTGAAATGGCCTCTTACAATAAGACTGGGAGTAAGCCGACCCCAACCGAGTCTCTTGATCTCCATGGGATCCTTCCTAGACGAAGTCCGTTGGGCACACTGGAATATACTTCACAATCTCGTAACTGCATTGACCTAAAGGACTTGTCCCCACACTTAGTTAATTATGGGAACAATAAGTCACTGATCAGCTCTGTTCCACCTCTAGATCCATTGCATAGTTACTCTTCATCTGCGCACACCTCTCCGCCACACAGGCTGCTAAGTTCACGATCTCTCTATTCGGGGGCAGGAGAGTCTGCTGCCGATACCGTAGCAGAGCTGCGAGAGTTGCGCAGCTCCATTGAACGTAGCAACCAGCACCAGAAGGCGCTGGAGAGTCAGCTCAATATCCTCCAGGCCACTATCGACTCCACGATCCAGCGGTCTCTTTCCGCTAGCAACTACGGACACAGCTCACACAAACAGACTGCCAACCAGCCATTGGATGGGGCCTTCTTTAACGGACCAATAACGCCTTCCACACACTCCAACTATGGAGCACCAATCACTGTCTCTCAATCCTTAGTGGCCCACGACTATCAAAAGAGTTCTTGCCAGGGGACAGAATACACACCTGATGTCGCAACAGATTATTCTAGCTCACCGTCTGCTCCCGTCCGCCCGCTAAACTCCTATACTAGGACGTCAGGCATTGATGACCTTGCTCTAACACCTAATACTTACGTGCACGCGGCTCAGTCCCAGACCACGCAAGAGCAGCCCTATAGCACCATTTCTGGGGGTCCTTATGCCCCCAACACTTTCACAGAAAGTCAGCAGAACGAGGGAGACGTTCTCGATCAAGATGGTACTACCGTTCTAATGCTTGCAGCACAAGCAAACGACAGCGTCTTGCTCCGTGAAAATCTGCACCTGGCAAAGAGGGTCAATAAGGTCGGCAAGACAGCCCTTATGTTTGCGGCCGAGCGAAACAATCTCGAGGCAGTTAACCTCCTTGTTACTCGAGAGGCTAAGATTCGCGCATTTGCCGACAACGACTACACTGCACTCATGTATGCAGCCCAGCGCGGCTACGCAGACTGCGTGAGAACCTTGGCGCAGTACGAATCTCGGCTGCACAGTAAGATGGGCTACACGGCCCTCATGCTTGCTGCCCAGAATAATCACGTCGAGTGCACTATGATTTTGAAGCCATATGAGGCAGGGATGCAAACGCCATCAGGCCTGACTGCCCTGATATGTGCCGCCTCCAACAGCAACGAAGAATGTGTTAAACTTCTCGTTGACAGGGAAGCAACACTGAGCACTACCGATCTGAGCCAGCAAGGAGCTGGCTTTACAGCTCTCATGGCTGCAGCGCGAACCGGGTCTTACGGCTGCACTAAGATCCTCCTACCATACGAAGCGCATCTCACCCAGGAGACTGGAAAGTCTGCACAGGATTGGGCCAATGAGTCCTGGTACTCCAATAGTAGGACCAGAGACCTCATCTACGAATATGGAGTATCCAGCAAGACAACACGAGTGTAAATAACGTGCTGCTCCGTACGGTATACGGAAGTTTACATACATGTGCATGGCCGCAGGGTACATCAGGCGGCATAACGCACCAAGGTTAAAGTGTGAGAACTACTTTGAAGAAGACGTCGTCCAAACTCGTGCGCGACAAGCACCAGTCTGTGATGACGCCGGGTTTCATCTGAATAAGCTGATCGATGGCCATGAAAATCTGAGAAATAGGGATGCTATCGGGAAGCTTATAAGTAAGTCTGCCGCTGAAAACGCGAATAAGCTGCAAGCTACTAGAGATGTAGCTGTTGACCAGTAAATGGCCACAGACTTCCCGCGATGTGTTAAGGGTCAACTCTCCGATAGCCATTGTCTCTGGCAGAGAGTTTCCTTCAGAGTCCAGGCCATGAAGGAGATGTTCTGTCTGATCTATCTTAGAGTTCTTTGAAAAATCGAAATCGTTCTTAACGGTAAACACGAGCTCATAGCCATTTCCAAACTTCTGCTGAAGATAAGAACATGTGCCGATGCACTTGAGCTGCCCAGCAACCATTATAGAAATGCGGTTGCAGAGCGCCTCCGCCTCATCCATGGCATGTGTGGTGAGCAGAATGGCACGGTTTGAGCGAACACGAAGAATGACGTTCCAGAGCTGCCGCTTAGATTCTGGGTCCAACCCTGTGCTTGGTTCGTCCAAATAAAGGACAGACGGCGACCCCGTAAGTGCTATCGCAACAGATAGCCGACGGCGCATGCCACCAGATAAAGACTTAGACGGCGTATTCGCCTTCTCGGCCAATCCAACGGCTTTGAGAAGATCGCTTACATGCTGTTTCTCCTGAGACCTGTGTATCCTTTTTAGACGACAAAAGTAGTTAAGATGCTGTCTACACGTGAGGGTAGGGTACTGAATATCAAACTGTGGGCATATACCCGTGATGTTCTGGATGGATGCCTTCATATCGGGATCTGTGAGATCTAGACCATTTATGTACGCCTCGCCGGTCGTCGCGCGGTGGAGCATCGTGAGGATGTTGATCGTCGTCGTCTTGGCGGCGCCGTTCGGGCCCAGGAGCCCGAGGCACTCGCCCTCTGCGACCGTGAAGGAGACGCCCCGGACCGCGTGCTTCTCGGGCGAGAGCCGCGTCGCGGGGTACGTCTTCGTCAGGTCTATCGCGCGGATCAAAGGAACACGTTCTTTGTTGTATTGAGAAAAGCCCTCACAAGCGGCTATGTGCTCCTGAATGACGTCCGAGTCGACGGGTCTCTTTAAGCCACCAATATGCTTACCAGTGTCAATGTCGAAGTACCTTTCGTCTCCATCTGCGGAGCAATCGTGGGGTAAGTCTAGAGTGGAAGCGTCCGTGCAATTCTGGTCCATGTAATTCTGCTTGGTTAACTTGGACAGCTCACAAGGAGACTGGGCCCCTTTCCAAGACATAGACGATGACTGAAGAAGACCTGGCTCGTTAGACACCTTTCGGCACATTAGGTCTGGATGAAAGATGGCCCAGATAACTGATTTCAGAATGACGCGCGTAGTCAAGTGCTTTGTATACTTCCTACGGATCTTATCGGCTTTATACACGATTGGAAATAGGAAAAATAGCCAGTGGTTAGGTATCCCCTTGCGTTTTGGCATCACAAGATCAATATACATACCTACAACCAGCATCACCAGAGTGGATATGACGGTGAATATCAGCGACCAGAGCACCGATTCACCAACAAAATCCGGTGATAGGTCCCCCCTCCTGCTGAACCGAAGATGATGCGCGGCGAGGTAGAGGGTATCCGTCTGAAGCATGGCGAGGGCTTGGAGCTGCGTCAGTATACTTACAGGACCAAAGACGGGGATGAGCGCATACCACTTGTTAATACTGCGGTCAATTATCGTCAAATCAGAGTACTTTATCCCATAAAGTAAGCCAATAACAGACACGACAATTGCAAGTGTCACACAGACTAGGGAAGAGTTTCTTCCCGTCTCAAAGAAGGCAGCCACAAAGGCAGAAAAAACGGGAATCATGAGAATAGTGAGGAGAATGGTTGGGACCCACGCTACGGGAGTATTGAGCTTTAGACCATTTAGGCCCCCGAACAATGACGAGAAGACGCAGATGAGAGCAACTATAGACGTGATCACTAACTGATAAACAAAGTCGCCAAGCCACCGGTATATGTACCGAAGTCCCATCATGTAGTGCAGATGGTTTATCCCCTCGCCCTTCTCTTGCGACAGCCGGTACGAGAAAAGGGGCGTGAGAATGAAGAAGCAAAACGGAAGAATGAAGCACATGTACATTGGGGTGTACATATCAGGCCCTATGTCATTTGCATTTACGTTGCGCCAGAACTGCTTATAGTTCCCATCTATAACGGGAGCGTAAAGAGGTGCATATATGTTTTCTGCGGGTAAGGAGGGGGTGGGGATAGAGTATATCTGATTGATGAGGGCACGAATATTGATGCTGAACATGTTGTACTGCAGATTCAGAAGCCGCAGATAGTCATTTTGACTGACAAAAAACGTCTGCTTTTTATAGTATCCATACACACTATAGCCTGAACTTATAGTGACCACGGTATCCGCAGCGTTTGTTCCTGTGACCTGCATTGGACGGTCTGGCTGCTTGCTAATATCCACAGCAAGTAGAGGTATATCGTGCATGAGAAAACCCTTTTTAACCTGCTCATTCACCATGTTATTTGCTCGGTAAGCTTCGGCAGTCCGCGTCGCATGAGTGAAGAGGCGCCGAATCGTCTCTGGCAAATGATCAATCCGCTTGTCATCATAATCTGTGCTAACCACGCTGCCAGGTTGTACGGTTATAGGCAGCGGTGAGGAGTGAATCGCTTCAACAAACACCTGGTCTGCTGCTTGGGTTGCAGAGACGTCAATATCTGCGGCGCCGCCAGGATACAGGTCTGTGCGATCGTAGTCATAGTTACTGAGGTACCTCTTCATATCCGTGAAGTAGGGATACGTGATAATCCGGTAGAGCCCGTCAACCCATACAGAGTCAGAAACTGTCCTCAGACCAGCCTTATACTCATAGCCAACAGGATACTTCATCCCCATAAACCCCAGATACCCTGTGTTCTCCACCGTCGAGTCATAAGAAAGAGATCCCAGGTCCACCCCTTCTCTCTTCAAAAACAGGAAGTTATAGTTTGCATCTTTGTGAGCCGAGGCCGATGGTATAAGATCATGGTTTTCAGTTACTATCTGAGCATTAGGGTCCACAGCTGTCTTGTCCTGAGCCAGGTAGAAGTAGTGTACCTTAATGATAACACCCATGAGGATGGCAACAATGCCCACCACTATCACCAATCCGTACCATGACCGCTGGAGAAGGTCGATGTTCTTGCAAAAAACGCCAACAAATTGTCTTCTGGGCCTCGCGCGCCGAAGGACAAAACCCCTATCAAGGGAATTGGCAACCATTTATTTTTAATCCCTTGTCTGATCGAACTTGCCAAGCGGCTAAGCAGTTTACGGATAACTGTACAGAGCTTTGGGGGCTTCCGAATCTACAGAAATCATGGCCTATCAAAATCTTACAACGTCTGATACCACACCTTTGTACTATAATTCTGTAGTAGCAATGTTAGACCGAGATACTGATTTACTTAACGCGATACAGCAGCGAGATATACTGAATGTTATCAGATTGTGTCCTAGATATTGGGGTACCAGAAACGAGGCGGGGTTAACGGCTCTGCACCTGGCCGTGAGAAGTTCGTTTTTCCTCGGTGTAAGGGTGCTCAGAACGTATGAAGCACGTCTCCGTCTTCCAAATGGACGAACTGCCCTTATGGAAGCCACTATACAACGAAGCATCCGGACCATTTTACTGTTGAGACGCTTTGAGAAACGCTGCCAAGACAGAAGCGGCAAGACCGCGCTCATGTTTGCAGCTGGAATGGGGTGTTATAGGGCTGTGCACATACTTGCTCCTCTTGAGAGTGGCTTGCGCGACACACATGGTTTAACAGCGCTTATGCATGCCACCCTGGCCAATTCTGTATCGTGCGTGAGAGCACTGCTGCGCCACGAGGCCAAACAAGTGGATCTTCAGGGTCGATCAGCACTGATCTACGCGGTAATGTACGGCTGCTCGGCTGTTATCCCTCTTCTGCTTAAGCTGGAAGCAGGGCTACAAGATAACAAGGGGAACACGGCCTTCATCTATGCGTGCAGGTCAAATTCTGTGTGGATGCTGTCTCAACTCTATCCTTACGAGCGAGCAATTGTGAATAAAAGGCGTCAAACAGGCCTTATGAACGCAGCTATGACACACTCCATTGATGCGGTTTCGTTCCTTATAGCCAAAGAAAGGTCGTCTCTTCCCTCATCTTCGCACTCTGATTCAGTGAAGCCGCTGAAGCAGTCTCACTCGAGGAAAGGCAATATCTGCCGCACGTGCCTTGATCATCTTGTGCTCTGTTTTAATCATAGTTCCGTCTGCTCAATGGCAGTAAGCTCTGCTTTGGAGTTCTGTATGAGGCTGGCACTAGTTCTATCGTGTCGGTTTCAAGATCTCAAGGAAGAGGTGGTGCGATATTTCCCTGTGGTCTACCTTACTATCGCTTCCCTACTGCATGTGTATTTGCTACCCATTTATGTCTATATATGTCGGTTTCTTGTTCTATTGCGAAGAGATATTAAGTTTCTATTCACTACTAGGGTAGAAATCAAATTAGAGTCTAACGAATTGTATCTACCTATAACAGCATCTACCAAAAGTAGCTTCTATACTCGTGGAAAGCGACACTTAAAATATTCTGCCGGAGCCAGACGGGACCTCGCCCAGCTGGGGTCTCAAGACGCATACGGATTCACTGCCATGATATACGCATGCAAAGTCAAGAACCTTCACATAGTAAAGGCCCTAGCGCCCTATGAGGCGGGAATTCAAACGATGAATGGAGAATATGCTCTCTCCGTTCTTTTACGAAATGCAGATGAAATTCCTTCGGTGCTCATAGATGCAGAATCGCACCTCTGTGATAATGATCTGAAACGACCATGTGAAATAGCATTTGAAGCTGGTCACGTAGCATTGGGGAAGATGCTTGTAGAGCAGATTGTTGACCCATGCATGACCAATATCGCCCACTGTTCTCGGGTCCGGGCAGCGCTCCTTGAGATCGAGAGAGCCTTTGAAATGATGATCAGCACACCTTCATATTTGGACTGGGCTGAGGATGTGCTTGAATTGAAGGAAAGCATCTACAATGCCATTTTCGACTCCATTAGCCCTATTGACCAGGATATTGACCTATGCCTTGACGTTTTGGGATTTTTTGCTGGTGAGAACACCTGCGTTGTTTGTTACGATAGACCAGCTAGCATGATATCTCTTCCATGCAGACACTTTATTTTATGTCCGGAGTGTAGCACAAAGCTGACCAAGTGCCCTGTGTGCATGGTTTTGACAGAAAGCTACATATCTATTTGACTCTTTCAGTATCATCTAATATTAACGACGCTTCCTGGACGATGGATTCGCTCCTTTTCTCTTTTTCTTGCTTCGTGAGATAGCTCGCACTTTCTCCAGGTGCTTCTTGCTTTCTCGTTCTTTAACAACTTGCGCGCGAGTTGGCATGGACCGCTCTATGGACGTGTCCACCTTCGAGGCAGGAGCTTTACGAACCAGTCTTCCACTATTGATGGCTCTTTCTATCGCCATCCTGCGGCGACGTCCAAGACCTTGACCAGTCAATAGCTCTCTCGCCTCCATGTCTGTGACTGTGTCTTGCTGTCCACCAGGCATTACAGAAAGGCTGGTCTTCTGCTTCCATTTCTTGTAAAGGGTTTGCTTTGTGTCTGGAGTCACCTCTATCCACTTGCCTGTAGATTCATTGAACCTCTTCTGGGTTATCTTCTTCTTTCCAACGGATCCGGCGTTGCTAATTGTCTTGGGCTCTTCTGCCTTGATTTCCACGTTTTCGTACCGTTTGCGCAGCGGATTCCATCGTCTCTCAAACGTCTTTCTTCTAAGAATAGAGGCTAGCCCCTCCCTATCATCTGGAATAAAGTCAGCAATGACGTTCTCTATAGAGTCTTTGCTTCCCACCAGGACACCCTTGACAGCTGTCTGAGCATCTATGAATGAGCCTTTAGATTCAGGCTTCGGGGGCTGTATGTCTGAGATGTAAAGATTGTCTCCATGGGAAGAACTGCCCGCCTGTGTAGCATTAATTTTCCGCTTCTCGAGAGCATCCTTCCCTAAGATAGTATAGCGCTCCAGGTCGTCCTTGGTCATGTAGTATTTCACTAAAGGTTCCTTTAGCCCTACGAAACCAGTATCTGATGCTCCAGAGTTATCCAGCGCATTATCTTTGCCGAGCTTCTGTAGCTCGGTTGCTACAAGCTGTCTTTCTCGTGCCTTTTTCTCCACAATCCGCCGCATGTTGAGCATGGCAACTGATGAAGCGTCACCGTTGCTTTCCATGACCCGAAGCTCAAGTTGGTGCGTGGGCAGTTTAAACGAGTATAACACCTTTGAGAGATGCTCCAACGCAGCCTCTTGTTTCTCTTTTCCCGCAGATCCCACCGTTTCAATGTCTAGCTTACGAACGAGGGGATGCTCATAAATCATATTGCCAGTGATGATCTCCTTTGCCCTCTCCGTGCTCAATGGGCTTGCACTTTTGCGCATGGAGTTAACCTGTTTCATGGCGTTGTTTGCTGTTTTTTGCTGCGTACGGACATCCTGGCCATACTCTCCGAGCGTCCGGAGAACGTCTGCATATATAACGTCCAACAAGTGACCAGGTATAGAAGCCACTAGGCCCTGGAATGGAGAATGCGTGGCGTGCTTTCCGACTAGGCATGCAAATGTTGAGCAATCCACGCCAAGGGTATTACAATTATTCAGAAATGTAGCTACGGCGTCATCACTTGAGCGCATACTATGAAACTTAATGCCTATATGGAGCATCACATCCAGACAGTAAGGAAGTTCGTCTCCTTCGATGATTGAGACACAAAGCCCATATGAGCCTGCACGCGCAGACCTACCAACCCTATGCACATAATTCTTCCCGGAGGATGGAAAGTTATAATTAATCACACAGTTCAAGTTAGGAATATCAATTCCTCTAGCAGCAACGTCAGTAGAAATAAGTATGCTGTAGCGACCCTTATCAAATTCGGATAGAGCAAGCGTGCGCTGCTTCTGATCCAGTGACCCATAGATACAGGTTGCGCGAAGATTATTGGCCTGTAGAATGGATGTGAGATACTCACAGTGGTGCTTGGTGGCGACAAAGACGAGCAATCGCCAGGTTTTAGGCACAAGTTCTCGACATATGTATAAGAGAGCAGCCTCACGGTAGTTTATCGGACAATATATAAATTGATTTGTCAGTTCGTTGGGAAGAACCATGTCGTTCTCTGCTGCTATAATTGTTGGATTTTGGAGGCGTGCTTTAGAAAAAACTGCTAGATTGTTTGGCATGGTTGCTGAGACCATTATAATTTGGTAGCCTAAGAAGTCACGGGCAGATCTAGTTTCGGTGATGTGTCCGCCAGTACGCTCTGCAGGAAGCAGATCAAGGATCTCGTTCACCTGCTGTTGAAAGTTCATTTCGAACATCCTATCGGACTCGTCAAAGCACACATACTCTATGGATTTGAGCTGCGATTTGAAAGTGGACACTTGATCGTGGATGTGCAGGATACGGCCTGGGGTACACACAATAATATCTGGATTTGCGGTCAAAGCGGTAAATTGTTTTTCCAGTGCTTCGCCACCAACGAGCAGACAAACGCGGAGTTCAGGGTCAGTGAAGCGAGAAAGCTTTCTTATAACCCCTCCGATCTGCACACACAGCTCACGAGTTGGAGCAATGACTAATCCGCGTATCCCCGTAGTAGCCCTGTGGCAACCGAGAAGATTGACAAGAGGAATCGAGTATGCAGCTGTTTTCCCCGAGCCCGTTTTGCTCACCACGCACGCATCGCCTCCGTCAATAATGACAGGAATGGCGGCCTTCTGGATTGATGTCAAGGTAGAATATCCGAGTGAGTGGATCGCCTTAAGAACAGGAGGACTGAGCTTTCCCAACTTCTCAAACTGTGAGAGGGGGCGCCTGCTGCTCCGCGCCTTGCTAGTTTCGTCCGTGCCAAACACCCCGCGGGCGCGGTCATCGAGCTCCTGATCGTGGTAGTCATTCATGGCGATCAGTGTTCCCCCAAATTAAATGCTGTGCTGCTATTTGCATCGCCATTACAAGTGGAAATAGCATGATTGCATGTGTTTTAGATTAATATTGCACAATTCTAATAGGGAAGTGAGTCTTCATACTGATTGATCCAGCAATACTCTCAGCCACTTTTTTGTATCATTGGTACATATGTGGTGGCTCGTTACTAAGTCAAATTAATTTCTTGAACTGAGATCAGTGATTACACTCTTACAGCTAAGGAAGTATTAGTTAGTGTGGCGCGCGGCCAGTTTTCCACCTTCTATTAAGCTTGAGAGAAAACCCGCTCTGCTCTTGTTAAGATTTAAGTGGAAATTGTTTGATTTGACGGACACAGAGCTCATGCGCTATCAAAACGTCTTTCTGTTTGACATCCCACAAGAGATGGTCCAGGTTTCTAATGGTGTGGACATAGACGTATCTAAGCCTGTCTGGAAGGGAGGACGCGTCTCTTTCATTACTAAGTCGCCAATGCATGTCACCGAGCAGACAACTGTTCTGGCCAGTACCGTGTCTTCGTCGATACCAGTAATGCACACCAAGACAGAATATCTCTACTACTTTTGCATTTCGGAAAACTATGTGGGATTTTTGTTTTACAAATCCTTGAGAGATGCGATGATCCGTGATGGAATCTTGGAGTCTATCTATGACCCGAGGCTGTCCTTTATCACCAGAAAGAATGAGCGAATTTTGTCAGTGTACATAAACCATTTCTTAGAAACTCCCAGTGATGTTGCCAATAGAGGGGAGCAGAACTGCATGATCTACGATGCTATGATAGATGTAACGGACTTACAAGTTGTTTGCGCCGATAAGCTGAGCTGTAGAGAAAAGTATGCAGAAGTTAGCGCCAGATATCGATCTGACTTCTCCTTCATTCGCAGTGGTATATACTCTACCAAGGAGTGCTTTGGCTTTATCTTAGAACGAAATGGCTGCATCCCAATCAGATTGTTCGTTTTCCAATCTGAATTAGAATATTCAAAGAGTTCATATCACGGCTCTACAGTAAAAGATGAAGATGGACAGAAAATAGAGTTTCAGGATGTGAAGCATGGAAGCGTTGTTGTGGAGAACAAATCGGTAACCTTGAAGTCGCTCTCAGAGGTTTCGTTCTGTGTTGATAATGGGCACTATTCGGCATGGATTTGCTTTGCTGGCCAAAATACAATTGACTATGAATCAAGAGCGATGGGCGACGACTTTTACTGCATGTTTCTGGTGAAGCAGTCTACGACTTTGTAGTACCTTCTGTGATGCATAGACAGGCATCAAGAAAAGTAAATACGTATACAACGATAGCAGCAGCGGACATGGCACATCCCATCTCCTTGGCCTGATGGCGATAATCAGATAGGTGACGTAACAAATGGGCGGCATCCGTGCCCATAATGATCGCCAGGATGAAGAATATCGAACAGGCCCCAATGATCATGGTGAGCGCCTTCATTAGCAGGTTGTTTGTTGATGCTAAGGGCGACCCTATCACTATGGTTATTACCCATGCGCTGCTAATGCACACCATAGCCAGCCCTGTGTATCTAGCAATTATGTATGCATTAGTACCAGCAGAATTGCTCACAATTACTCCACTACTATTTGCCGAATCGTATTTATAATAGATGAGCGAGGACGTGATAAATGATACAACATCAAACACTGCCACTGTTGTGACTCCCGTAATCGCCCTGTGCAGATATCTTGCACTCCTAATACTTCGGCAGCAACAACAATAGAAAATAGACATGAGTATAGCTAGTATCGCCAGCACAGCTGCAAAGCATACAATGGCTAACAAAAAGAAGACAGAGTGCCTCTCCTCTTTCTCTAAAGTTTTAATGCAACCAATGAACTTGACGCCTTTGCGCATGCACGCCTCAAGGCCTACTCTTAAAGAGGTTGGATCACGCTTGACAAAGCCAAAAAGCGTGCCATATAAGATTATTGACAATCCGGTTGCTATGAAACTTACTGCATTGTTATGTGTGTATAGCCCCATTTTAATTTCTATGATTCTTTTCCCTGCGCAGGGAACAGGTTAGTAAGCGTGGATGGAGGCTGAATATATAAAAATGAATCTTGGTGGGTATTTGGACCTGCTGGACAAACTAGAGCGGTCCCGCACAACCATGGAGGACTGCTCTGCTGTTGCTGACGCCCTACTAGCAAATGTTGCGCTCATGTGCCGTGCAGATAGCATTTTTCAATTCACTGTTCCAGTGCTCCAAAAACTAGTTAAGGTCCTTTGCGCACACCCCATCTTTCTTACTAGTGAAAAAATGGCTCATTTCCTAGCCTTCGTGCTGAAAGAAGCATTACCTGTAGTGGATTATACCACCCTGTTTCTACTTCTAAAACTAGTGGTGAACTCTCTGCTTAATTCAGCCATATCTATCCAGAATGAGGCTTCCAGTGGAATGCTTCCTACTTTAGATTTTTCTCCGGCGCTACTTCGGCTTTTTATCAGTGTCTTACTCATGATTAGATTGCAACACGGGCCACTGCACATGGATACTTTTGACGAATACACATATCCATCTTTGCATTCTTTGTACTGCGCCGTATCCAGTCTTTCATATACCTGCTTGGCCACTCTTGAGAAGCTTCTATCTACGACAAAGCAAACTCTGGCTGCGTCGGAGAAACAGCTAATCTGCCATTTAATTGAGTTGACAGTATCACTCGCGCTCTTGTTTAATTTCAGACAGACAGCAAACCTTTACGCATCCACCAAACTAAGCACGCTGCTGGAAGGGAGAAACTACACGTATACTACCATAGTGTATCAATACGTCTTACGGTATTTCCTAAGCAATAGCACCGAACACATTCCTCCAATGTTTCTGAGTAACATCCTCAAGAAGCTAGTTACATTTACGCTGGACCCCCCTCCTACAGGTGCCGAGAATGGTACCTGCGAACCCGCCATCAAGCACATCTTCGCGCAAACCTTCGCATCTAGTAGGGCAATCTTCCAAGATATCCTAGTGTCATTTTATCTCTTTACCGTTGTGTTCTCACCTTTGCAGATGTCCAGCAAGACACCTTTAGCATTTGCCAAGCTTACGCAAGATGGCGTCCAGCGAGTCTCGATACTCGTTCGGTTTGCTCTGAACGACTGCTCTCCACTAAACAGGCCGTACTGCGTATTGCTTTTCCTTTCTCTAATGGGGAGTGGGGACGTCTCATCGGCATTCTCAGCTATGCCCTTTAAACAGATGCACACTGCCTTCATAGATGAGTTCATCAGAGCTCGGGGATACGAGCTCCTCTTCAGCGAGATAGCCGACTGTAAAGGATACTCCGCCTACTCGGCCATGTTCCTCGCACACCTGTACCGCGTGACACTGTCGCCTATATCTTCCTTCAGAGTTACATTTGCTATTCCCAAAGAGAAGATCGGCGGGAAGCTTATGTCTTTTCAGGTTGTCAAGGCTAATCTTAAAGGGTGCTTCACAGCAATGGAGTCAATCGTTAATAGGCTGACCAATCAATCTCCATCATCCTTCGAAAGAGAACATAATGCTTTGCTGCAATATTACTTTGTTCTTTTATCGACTCTTGGCCGATTTATAGCCTATACCGCGACAAGTGTTTGTGTTAATATATTTTCTTCAGAGGAGATTGACTCCTTGATAAGACAAACTATTACTTTGACAACAACAATGCAACGTATTTACTGGGAACACCTTGATAGATCTTTGGAGCTTCTCACACATATTTCAGACTTGCTGATTTTCAATACGGTCTGTTTTGCTACACACGCTGGCTCTGCCTTGAGTACGCCTCTTCCAGCCACGCGCAAAGTTGATCAATCTCTGCTGTCCGCCATTTCAGAGCTTAGTTCTAGCGCAAAACTTATCCAGGGTGCTCGCTATGACAGCAAGGAAACCCACTGCTCTCATGAACAAAGCAATGGTTGCCACAAGCCTGCACCACTGCACCCCGGTCTTGTACATATACGATTAATAGGGAGTTGCATCACCGCCCTTGTTCTATCGTCAACATCATATCTTGATAGATTGCCTGTTGTAAACCAGGGTCTCCTCCAGTCTGCTGCCACACTTGCTATCCGAATGTTCAATTCGAGATTTCCTGTCTGTCTATCCAATCTTTCTGTCGAGGGGCTCCGTGAATTGACAGTACGGCAGGCCCTTCCCCCCAGACCTGTACCTTTGGAGGAATCTGACCACAGCAGTCGGCACAGTCACAGTCAGCTGTCGTCTCAACAGACTGACGAGGAACTCAAATCTGAGCTGCAAGGCGAGAAGCTTGTAAGACAGCAGCTCCAGCTCCAACTGAAAAAGGTTGAGGAGACGCTTAGCAGTGTTCAACAGGAGAGCGATACACGTGGTACAGAGATAGTCTCATTGAGAACAATTCAAGAGCAGACACGTCTCAAGGTCGAGAACTTGGAGCAGTGCCTTCGGGCGCGTGAAAACGAGCTGTCTCTGAAGAACACAGAAGTACAGCTCTTAAAGACCAAGCTTAACGAAGCTCAGTTGCAATTAGATTCCGTCCGTGCAGCTCTAGCACAATTAGAAACAGAGTGCAACGCCGCCCATGCGGCAGCCGCCCAGTACAGCGACGAGGCGACACAGCTCCGAAGCGGGATGCAGTCCATATCGCTGATCGTCTCCGACTACGCAGGATACCTCCGGCCGCGACCCAGGCACCCGCCGCTCTGAAGCACAAAGTAACACAACAAGTTCACAGTCTCAGTCAACTTCGTCAACGTCCTCCTCATCATGGCACTCCTCAAGGGCAGGAAGGTCGCTAGCAGGGGCAGCGGCGGTGTCGTCTCCCAGGCTGACACGGACCATGGCGTGAATGCGCTTGGCAAAGGTTGCGGTGTCCTCAATGTCGAACCCGCTCTGGATAAGGGCCGTCTCGAAAAGAAGGGTTGTGATGTCCTTGACATAGAGGTTCTCTGCGTCGTCGTCGAGCTTAGAGGCGAGATTCTGGATGATGCTGCTGTCGGGGTTAAGCTCCAGGGTCTTCTTTCCGGCCATCACGCTGCCCAGAGTGTCGTCTCTCAGCGCCTGGTGCTTCATGATCTTGCTCATCGTGGCAGTCCAGCCCCACTCTGCGGTGACGAGGATGCACGGGGTGTCTACAAGGCGATCACACCCGACGCGGACTCCCTCGACCTTATCGCCAAGGACCTCCTTCATGTACTTGCAGAGCTTTGCGAAGCGCTCCTTCTTCTCCTCCTGCTCCTTCTTCTCGTCTTCCGTGAGCTCAAGGTCGATGCCGTCCTTGGTTATGCACTTCAACTGCTTACCCTCAAACTCCTTGAGCGAGGAGGTCATATACTCGTCGATGGCCTCGTCCATAAGCAGAACCTCTATGCCCTTCTTGTTAAACCTCTCGAGGAACGGAGACTCCTTCAGGTTCTCGAGAGAGTCGCCTGTGATGTAGTAGATCGACTTCTGGTTTTCGGGCATGCGGGTGACGTAATCGTCGAGGGACGTGCGCTTGTCCTTGGACTTTGTACTGTAGTAGCGCAGAAGCTTGGCGAGCTTGCCACGGTTCTCGCTGTCCTCGTGGATACCGAGCTTGATGGACTTTCCAAACTGCTTGAGGAACGTCTCATACTTGTCCTTGTCATCCTCGAGGTCCTTGAAGAGCTTGAGAGCCTTGTTGATGAGGTTCTTGCGGATTGTGTTGACGATGCGATTCTTCTGGAGCATCTCACGGGAGATGTTCAGCGGAAGATCGTCGCAGTCGACCACGCCCTTGAGGAACGTGAGCCAGTCGGGAACAATATCTGTACATTCGTCTGTGATAAACCTGCGTGTTAGTTATAGGGAAGTCGTGTATACTGTATGTGTGCGAGAACTCCGCCTCGACCGGACACCGCGCGCCACACCCGCACCCCTCAGCATGCGGACATCGTCACGATGCGGTACAAGGCACCAGTAATTTTATTTCCCCCGAATTGATTCACCCTTGATCACTGATTGATTAAAATAAGCATAATTTTACGTGAAAGTAAAATTTTACAGCTCTTTTATTATTTATTCATTTTCGGTCAATCGCTTGGCACTGGTTCGTTGGCGGTGATGGCGTCAATACCACGGGGGGAGCCAAGGGAGCGGGGCCTGCCGTGTGATTCCTTGCAGAGGCTGGCGGTTACTAGCGCAATAGAGCAGACCCTTCTCAAAAGGGATCCTACAGACGATCTTCTCCAGCAGAAGGGTGAAGCCCAGCTACGGGACTGTCCTCTTTTTGTTTCGTGGAATAGCCTTTTTGCTTTATGGTCTGTCTTAATTCCGTGCGCCGTTGCGTTTCTCTTTGAGGGCGCTATGGGGTTTTTGGAATACACGGGTGTCATGGCATTTGGGCAGTTGGATGGCGCATATGCCTTTGCCACGTATGTGCCCCTGCTTAAGGTGCTCTTCCAATCTGTTGAGCTTGCTCTGATGGCTGCAGCGGCAAACCTTTTAGTCTATAGCTTCCTCCGGAAGTTTACTGGTCCCGCACAGATGGTTTTCCACTATTCCATTTACTTCGCGATTGGGTGGGCTCTACTACTCGGCCCCCTACTTGGGCTGTTTTCGAAACGCATAAGCAGCAACTTAGATAAAGACCTCTCTTCCTTTCGTCCCGATCATTCCATTTATTTATTTCTAATTAGCATTGCAGATCCACTAACAAGTCTATTTTCAATCTTTGTTTCGCAGTTCTTAATTCTTGAGAATAGAATTATTTTGAATGCCTCTAGGCACATTTTCTTAATGTCTTTTGCAGAAGTCTTCCAGATCATGTCGTACTTCTACATCCAGGCCTTCAACAATAATCAGCAATATCTCTACGACACCCACGTTATCCAGGACCCGAAGGATATCAAGTACATTTCTCCGCTTACTGGGACAGCCGTGGGGTCCCTTCTTTCTCAGTTTATCATTTCTGTCTGGATTATCTTCTTGTTTACCGATGTTACCATCTTCGGGATCTCACATGAAGGCGTTCTACGATTTAACTGTTGCACGAGGCATCGCACAGCCTCGTCCAGAGCTTTGGAAGACAGGCCGCAGCCAAAACCGGCACAGATTCTCAGGAAAATGTTCTTATTTTTCCCGCAAAACTACCTCACTTATTCATATATTCCACTCAGCATATTGCTCATCAATTGTGTAATGAACGCCACCTACGACAAGGAGAACCACCAGAAGATTCTCTACAACAGGCTGGCGAATTTAATTTACATGCGATCATACTCTATATTTAGTGCCGTTCCCGTTGCGATTGCCCTCTCGTTTCGCGTAGTGAGTATGCACACCCTTCGGAGTGGCCTTTATCTTAAAACCAAGCGTCTGTTCATAATATCCTTGCTCCATACCATTATTATTCCTCCTCTTCTTTGTATTTTTGGGATGCTCTTCGCCAGACCCATGATCACAATGTTGACACCAAAAATGGGAATGCTGTGGGGAGAGACCGCGTCCAAGGAGATGGTGCTCATGTTTCCTACGCTGCAAAAGGCTTTTACGGCTGCTGCGCTCTCGCCTATTATTACTGGGCCATACCATCTCATCCTCATAATATGTGAGCTGGAAGAAAAGTGGCTTCCTTCACTGCTCCTCTCTCTAGGGCGAACTGTCGTCTGCATAGTTTCCATTCTGTGCTATGGCTTCATCCTTGGAGACAGCGTGGATTTTCTTCCATCAGTTTTCTTTGGCGACATCTTTGCTAGTATAGTGGGTGTTCTGTACGCTGTCTACTACTGGAGTAAGTACACACACCTTGCGTCCATTGAGCAGGCACGTGCACAGCTAGAGTCCCTTGACGAGCAACTTAATAGGCACATTAAAGAAGAACACTCATGCAGCGAAAGCGGTGAAAGCAAAAGTGATAGCAGCAAGGGGGTATCAGCTCGCGGCAACAATAGATATGGTCGCGCGAATGTCGACTATGGCAGCGCTTTTGATACTAGCAGCAACATGACAGGCGAAACCAAGGAGATTGATGATTAGGATTGGCCATCCACGTTGGGCACGATTACAAGGTCAACAAGCGTTGCCTCCTCCGTGCCTTTTGCAGCCTTCTATCGCCCTTACGTGTACCAGCGCTGGCACAGTATAGGCTTTCCGATGTGAGCCTTTTGATATCTCTGTCCTTTATGAAATCAGGTCTTTTTCCTTGTACGATTGCACGAAGCTCTGCTTTAACCAGCTTCTCGCGTATGTCTTCCTCTGCTTTACGCCTCTCCATCTCACCTACCTGCCTCTTGAGCTTGAGGAGTTTCATACGGAGTGCCTCTCTTTTCTCTTCCGGCGTATCCTCAGAAAGTGCACGGTACTGCGCATCGCATTCCTTCAATTCTTCGCGCCTAAGCTCACCAATGAAGGCGTAATTTCTCTGCACTTCAAGTTGGTTGATCTTTCCGATAAACCGAGGATCTCCGTGTTGTAAATTTCTTTGTGGCCGCTTGGGTGGCTGCTCATAAGTCGGAATAACCTTGTCAGCGGCCTTTTCCCTGGGCATGTCTGCAAGCTCTTCTTTTGTAGAGAGTCCTCTTGGTGGCAAAACGCTGGCCATAATTCCGTCATAGTCCACCCTTCCTGCCTGCGGGGGCGCATTTGGAGCATACTTAAGTAGCTCTGCAAATGAGCTCTGGGATACGTTGTGGCGCAGTGTATCTAATTCGCCGATATCTCCCTTCTCTCCGCCTTGTCTTAAGAGGAGCGGATCACCGGGTGAGTAGTACTTGGGAGATGTGAGCATGCCGGATAAATCAAAACAAAGCAATTTTTAAGAATGTATCAGCATTCCACAGATCCGGAATGGTACGTCAAGCTGGGGTCGCCAACCAAAGGGATAGCACCCATGGTGGACGGATCTGAGCTTCCATATCGTTTACTAACACGGAGGTACGGCGTAGAGCTTGCATGGACCCCCATGCATAGTACAAACACTCTTGTCACGTCGTCCAAAGCGATGACCCAACTCGTCGATGAGCTCAAGCACGGAGAAAGCATCGATAGACCGCTTGTTCTGCAACTATCAGGAAATAATCCGTCTAACTTTGAGTTAGCGTACAATACCCTAGTCCAAATGGGTGCAGGGTGTTGCTTTGATGTAGTGGAGCTCAACATGGGGTGTCCCCAGGCCGTGGCGCTGCGTGGAAAATATGGTGCCTACCTCATGGGGCACTTGGATCTTGCGGAAGAGATCCTGCGCACGTTGGTGGCCGTTACCGCACGCTCTGGACTAGGACACAAGGTTGCCGTTAAGACTAGGCTTGATATATCCGACAAAGATACGGTTAAGATGTGTCTTCGTCTCTGCAGCACAGGAATAGCGATGTTTACCCTTCATGGACGCACAAGGCTGCAACGCACCGGATCGGCCGTTGGGCTGCCTGATTGGCAGGCGCTTGCGTCTATTCTCAACAATCTACGTGCTTCCTACCCCCACCTCATCTTCTTTGCAAACGGCGGGGTCTGGAATCTGGAGACACACGAGCATCTCCGGTCCCTCACTGGCTGTCACGGAACCATGTCAGCGAGCATGCTAACTGAAAATGCCGGTGTTTACAATTGCAGAGACGGACTAAATAAAGAGTCTCCGACTATCACCAATCTGACTTGTGCCATTGGTGAGCACTGGACCGATCAGCAAAAGGTACAGAAGCGACTTGCTATGGATCAATCTTTACGGAAATGCGTATATGTCGCAAGCAAAGCAGTCCAGGAATACCCATTAGACGCTCCCATGTATGCAGACCTCATAAAGACATGGATCGTTTCACCAGAGGAGACAGAGGAGTCGGTTATTAGAATACAGCTGGCGGAGAGATCACTAGAACAGCGGCGAAACAGAATCATGCTGGCACTAGAATATCTTTTAATTGCACGAGACATGCCAGCTTTCGTCACGGTTAGTCAGCTTACATCACATGTGATGAGGTTAATAGGGCGTGATCTTGCCGCAGCCAACGTTGATTTGAGGCAGAAAATTACGATAGAGAGTAGAGAAAAGATCTGGGACGCATCGGCCAGTGGGCAAGAAGGGCGAGAAGAGGCTCATCCCATAACCAAAATGTGTAACACTCTATTAGAAGCTGTCTGCGAGCTGTATTACAGGATGGATAATAATGTATGTTGCATCAGTTCTATTGACTCCTTCCGGACTACTGGTGCGTAGTCTCCGTTTTATCTACGTCCTTATGGGACAATGTATTTGTAAGACTGGCCGGGGATCCGTTATTTGTCTCGAAAAGCACCGGATCCTTGTGGACATACCCGTGAACTCTAATCATGGAAGAGCAATTGTTATGATTCATTGTTCCTCTCCACGCAACACCGTCTTTGTCAATAAAGTGGCCTTCTCCATGCATTTCACAGCCTAGAAACCCACCAATCCACCTAGATCCACAGGGGAATATATAAACACCTCCTGTTACATAAGACCCATTACTATCAATTTCACCGACGTATTCCGAGCCATCTACGTAAGAAATCTTCCCCTTTTGAAAGGCGTCCTTCACCCAAAGGCCGTCAAATACCTGGGCGCGGCACGAGCCAGGGGGCGGCTCTAGCGGATCGAAGCCTGGACACTCATCGGGGTCCACCGGCGAAAGGTTCTCGATCAGCTTTCCGAGTCCGTGTCTGTAAATTTGCCCGTCAATAGTGTCGTACTCCCCCTCATAGACAGTCCCGGACACGTATATAAACTTCTGCGTGCCCTTTGCCGGGAGCTCTGGCAGGTCATCCGCCGTCTTCTTCTCTTGAGATGCGTCTATTTGCTTGGGCTTGGGTGGCATTCGGTTTTTTGAAAAAAAGCAAGATCCAATGGTCTTGGGAGAGGACTCGCCACTGGCCAAATCCAGACGCAACAGACAGTGGTTGGGAGTCTTTCTTAAAAACTGGACGCTCTTCTGCGCCTCCTTCGGGGGATTTCTCAGCGTCTTGGTTCTGACTTTCGTACTGATGCTGTGCATAATACTGCTGCATAGGTACTATCTGAATAGCGTCTCCACAGCTTCTCTTAAATATGATGTGACGGGAGGTCCTTCAGGAGACTCTTCGAACGACTCCAATATTGTTGTCGGTAATTGGATATCGAACCCCTATCCCAGCCTTGCTCCTACAAACATATTTAATATCCACTACCTTTCGCACTTCGACTTGGGGTCTCTTTTGTATAGTAATACCCTTGGGCAGTCCAAGGGCTATTTGAGTGCTTTGGAAAAACCGTTCAATGATATTTCCCTAGGCTTGGCGCTCCGCACAGAATATGGGACCACGTCTGTTATACGTACCAATCCTGCTCATGAGCTTGTTAGCGATAGTACCCAGAATTACTTAGCTCTAAAAGCTAAAGTTCCATATTACACAAACTTTACTTCATACTACGACAATTACTTATATATGAACTTCACTGGCCCGGGTGTTGAATACAGCAAGGCTCCTGATAACATCACAGCTGCGGGCGTTTCAAACGAGGACAAGCTCTTCTACCACGCCAAGAGGACCTCTGAGCTGTACAGAGATGCGGTCTCTAATACGAGTAACCCTATTTATTACAACGACGGGATCGTTGGTATAAAGGTCAACGAGATTCCATCTTTTGGTATTCGCTTTGGTCAGGCAGTAAGCCCCTCACCCATTCGCATTGCTCGAGAATCCGACGGAGATGTGCTTAGCATTGATTACTCATATGATACCTTCTTCTACAGCAAGATGCAGGCCTACTACATTGATCAGACGGATCACGATCGTCTGCTTGAAATTCAAGTTTTGCACTTTCACCTCTGCCTTAGAAATATGGTCAATCAGATTTATGGAGTGTCTACGTCGGCAACCGGGAGTGTTGAGGTCGACGGCCCTCTTATCATAGGAAAGAACGCCCCGTTCTGGCGACGTTCGACAGGTGATTTTCTTGGCCCCGATGGGATGACCCCGCTGCTCCTGGGCCTGGTTATCCCTTTGCTAATGTTCATTGTGAGCCCGTTGATGATATTTGCTCTTGTTGAGGAGAAGTCCAGCGGAATGGTTCATTTACACAGCATGATGGGCCAGAGATACACGAATAGGTGGTTAGCCGACTTTACCTATAATTTTATTCTAAGCTTCTGCGTAGCTGTGCTTCTTGTGATTATGTGCTATGCGGGAGATCTGAATGGGATACGTATGAACACCTTTGCGGCTTGGCTGCCGATGTTTTTGCTTTTTTCTGCTAACGTCGCTATCTTCAGTGCATTCATTGCTGCCTTCTTTGAAAGTGGGCGCATTGCCGCTCTTCTGGCCGTCGTTATAGCATTCGGATACGCTGTCGGAGGCTTTCTTGGTACTGCCAACTTCGCCTCAACAACGATAATTGACAGGAGCATTAGCCCTTGGTTTGCTCTCATTCCCTTCTTTGGGCCAATCAGTGTACATTCACAGCTGCAGAGCTTGGCGATTCTTCAAACTGATTCTCTTTACTTACACATTACAGATCTTCGCTTTTACGTTTATGACTCGCTGCTGTCGCGGGCATATGTGGGTCAGTCTGTTTCCATTTCACTAATTTTGAGCGTTATTTCCACGGTCCTTATGGCACTGCTTTCTATGTACATTGATCTGGTAATGCCAAAGAAAACGGGAATACCAAACCACTGGCTCTTTTTCCTTCTTCCGGTGGTCAATAAGGTGGACAAGCTACGTGGCAGAAGGACGAAGCACATCACAACAGGGTCCATCTGTAAAGCGGTCACATGGGCACTTGTGCATCCAGACCGTATGTGCTGTTCTCAGCGCAGAAACACCCACATTAGCCTCATGGACTCAACAGACTTTAAGCCATACATTCCTGAGTCAGAGCGCAGTAAGGAAGAGCACGTTCCGGGTCATTTATTGAGCACTGCAGTGGATCCTTTGTCTCCTAATGGTGGTAGATTCGAATCCAGTACACAGGTTACTTCAAATGCGATGTCAATAGACCATTTGAAGACAATCAAGAGCACAACACACATAGACTGTATTTCGGAATCCGACGTGTCTGCAGAAAGCAAGCGGGCTAAGTGTGCAACAAAAGGCTTTAATGAGAGACCTGTTTTGATCCGCGCGATAGACCTGACGAAGACGTACCCCGCGACGCGGCTCTCGCCCGAGAAGCACGCGGTCCGGGGCGTCTCCTTCACGGTCGCAGAGGGCGAGTGCCTCGGGCTCCTGGGCCCGAACGGCGCCGCCAAGACGACGACGATCAACATCCTCACGATGCTCCACCGCGCGACGACCGGCGAGGCGTATGTTTTGGACAAAAGCTTAGTTGACCCCTATAATAAGGCTTACATTCAATCTGTTACAGGCATCTGTCCACAGTTTGACATCCTTTACCCTACTCTCACGTGCAGGCAGCATTTAAAGTATTCCTGTCGTCTAAAGAACATTGCCAAGGAAGACGAGAAAACTCATATTGATGAACTTCTAGAGTCTGTGGGGCTGGTGGAAAAGGCCAACAGCAAGGTCAAATCGTTATCCGGTGGCCAGAAGCGTCGGCTATCTGTCGCAATAGCACTTACGGGGTCGCCGTCTGTCCTTTACTTAGATGAGCCCAGCACAGGCCTGGATCCTGTGTCAAAGAGGCTCCTCTGGAACATCATTCTGAGGATACGTTCACATCGCGCCATTCTGCTCACCACACACGCTATGGATGAGGCACAGGCCTTATGTAACCGGATAGCTATCATGGACCGTGGGCTGTTAAAGTGCATTGGAAAGTGCACTTACCTCCAGGAAAGGTATGGAGGAGCACTGCAAATTATGGTGGAGGTCACCCATGATTCAAAGCCGGGGTCTGGTGTAACGGTTAACGGGGTGTCACTTAATTACGAATTAGAAGAGATGGGCCACAAACTTATGGAGGAAACCTTCGGGAGCAGTGTGCTGCTGCGTAACAATGTTGCAGGAACGCTCACTTATGATGTTTCCGATAAGCTGACTGCTCCACATGCATTCATTGAAATGGCGAAGCTTGCTCGCACGCAAAAGAAGGTTATTTGTGATTGGTCTCTGCTGCAGGCCTCACTAGATAGAGTGTTTTTCAACGTTATTCTTTCCTCCTAATCTCTGATAAATGGCTACTCCTAGTTGTGAATGTCTATTCCTTTAGCGCACTCAGATTTTCTTCACAGCTTGGCTGTAAAATGGTTGCACACATGCTTCCCGTAGGCGTCACTCTAATTCGAGAAGATCCCCTCAAGTGGTCGTATTAGCAAGGCACTGTTTCTGGGCTCACAGTTGCTCATCTGACTGGCTCAGAGCCAAAGCCTACCAACCACTAGCTGCAGCTTCCTCCATAAGCGATGAGATTGATCAATCTTGTAATCACAACCTGGATATCTAGAACCAGCTCCTTCCAAACTTTAACGAGTCTGTGCTTAGAAAACCCAAGTGAAAGAGTTAGCCCACCAAGAGCATCAATAATACTTCATCTTTGTTCTGCTAGACATAGAAAAGGCTGGTCCGCCGAGTGTAGAGGGCAGCTTATAAAACCCAGGTGTCGACTGCTGAACCCTATTGCCATGCCCTTGTGCCAAGAGTTTGAATGATGGCACGCTGTGCGACAGAGCGATTTCGTAGTCCCCTGGCCCGGGGCTAGCATGCGTTCTGCGTGTTCTATACTTTGTGCCTATACTAATCGCAGGTCCATGAGCGCCCAACCTGTAGTACTTGTCGTCATTGTATGCACCGGGACCAGGAGTTACAGTGACGCGTCCGATGAGAGTCCGGCCAGAAAGGCTGTAAGCAGGACCCCGTTCTTTTACAGAGCTGAACTTAGTATGCTCATATGTCCCAGGACCCGGGTTGGTATTCTTTAGGAGATTGACGTTCTTGCCAGAGAGGGAATAAGCGGGAGCCGCTGGTTTGATCTGGGACACATCCTGTTCATAGGTACCTGGACCCGGATTGATGTTTGTGCTCTCTGGTCCATGCCGGCTTCGCAACGAAAACGCAGGCAGCGCCGGCTTAACGGCCCGTACATCCTGCTCATATGCTCCTGGACCTGGGTAGTTGTCGGGCGTATGCGTGGATGTTCTACCCTTGAGAGTAGACGCAGGTCCGGAAAGGTGGGTCGCAATGCTATATGCGCCTGGTCCGGGGATTGTGTCTATGGCAGCATTCTCTGGACGTCCTGACAGAGAGTAAGACGGCGCAGATGCCTTAGTTGGCCTGATGTCTTGGTTGTACGCCCCGGGACCAGGGTTTGTGTTAATGATATCAGCGCCAACACGGCTCCTCAAACTCGACGCTGGGGCACGTTCCTTAATAGGGTCGACATTTTGCTCATATGCCCCTGGTCCTGGGTTTTCGTTGCCGCCGCGAATAGTCGTCCGGCTCCGGAGTGAAAATGAGGGAGACTGGGGTTTGATTGGTCGCACATTCTGAGAATAAGCTGCAGGACCGGGGCTGATATTCGCATATTCAACCCCTTCTCGCCCCGAGAAGGAAAATGCCGGGCCTCGTGGCCCCTCGTGATCGCGATAGGCCCCTGGTCCTGGCCCAATGTTCTCACCTTTCTGCGGGTGCCTACCTTTCAAGGACCACGCAGGAGCCTCTCCCAGATGAGACTTTATCGTGTAACCGGCGGGCCCAGGCCCTATTGTGCTGTAGTCCATGTAGTCCGCCATTTATCTCCTTCGAATCCTTGCTTTGCCAGTTCCGTGCAATTTTAGCTTTTATGGCAACATGTCCAACAACTAACGTGGTAAAAACGACATGAAGGAAACTTAACATAAAACCTTCTCAAACTTCAGATCCTAAATTTAAATGAATAGAGCGGCCATAGGCGCAGGCAAGCCCTCGGGAAGCATATCAACGGGGAAGCCTCGCAGGAAAACCCGGGCAGAGGTGTCTGAGGAGATGAAACATGAGATTCGCGAGGCCTTCGACCTTTTTGATGCTGACCGTAGTGGCCGCATAGACTTCCACGAGCTGAAAGTTGCAATGCGAGCCCTTGGTTTTGATGTAAAGAAGGAAGAGATACAGCGCATAATGAATGAATATGACCGCGACCAGCTTGGCGAGATAACTTTTCAAGATTTTGAAGAAGTGATGATAGAGAAGATAAGTAACCGTGACCCCACAGAGGAGATTCTCAAGGCATTTCGTCTTTTCGACGACGACGCCACGGGGCGCATTTCCCTCAAGAATCTGAGACGCGTGGCCAAAGAGCTGTCAGAGAATATATCGGACGAGGAGCTCTTGGCCATGATTCAGGAGTTTGACCGTGACGGAGACGGGGAGATTGACGAAGAAGACTTTATCGCTATTTTAAGGTCCACAAGTGCTTTCTCTTGAGCGTTTCTTCTGTAAACATTCGCTTGTTTCAATAGGAACCAAAAAATTGGCATTCATGACGCGGGCCTCTGTGAGCAGTTCAGAGTACGTGTCTCTGTTTCGGCCGGAGATGGAGCACTATGTCATGAGGTGTAATCATACAGCCGTGTTTCTTGAGCCAATGATATACGTTTTTGGCGGGAGCGATGGCATTACCGCGTTCAATACCCTTGGCGCCTTCAATCTTGATACAAGGGTCTGGGCAGAGGTTCCAGTTGAAAAGGTTTCTCCTTCGTGCCCTTGTGCCCGCACCAAGCACGCTGCCTGCCTCGTTCGTTGGAACCACAAAGATTACCTTTACATATACGGAGGAATCGACGGAACGAGGTACCTCAGCGACTTTTGGAGGTGCGACTTGGCGACGGGGGTCTTTGAGGAAATTCATGGAGTCAGCCAGCGCTCTCCTCCCCCCGCCCTCAGTTCCCACTGCTTGGCACGCCTCGGTGCATCCGAGTTGGTGCTTTTCGGCGGCGTGTCCAACAAGCAGCTTTCTACACAGACGTGGTACTATAACCTAGATACTAATACATGGTCTATAAATCCCTATAGGGACTGTGACCAGCCGGAGCCATGCATGGGAGCAACACTGACGACGATGGTCAATAATCACTGCCTACTCTTTGGAGGAATAAGTGCAAATGGTTTTCTGAGCCATTGCTGGAAGCTTTACCCCAATCACAAATGGGAGCTTCTTCCCGTGCAGAAGAATGGGCCAATGTCTCGGGCATTCCACTGCGCAGTTCCAGTAGGAGAAGGTCGTCTTCTTATTCACGGTGGCGAGTATGGAAAGCAGCATGATCAGAAGCTTGCTGATACCTGGATTCTTTACGAGACAAACAGGATTTGGAAACGTATCCCAGAGTCAGATCTTACTCCTCAACCACGTAGTAACCATGCCATTGTTCTGTGGCAGAGTCGTTCTGGGAATTATCGTCTATTTATACTTGGTGGAAGAGGGCGTGAAGGTATAGCTGCGGAGTTTTGGTGCTTAAATCTCAGCAAAGCAGGACTAGGGAGGGAGGACTACTTGCAGATCCTCACAGAAACGCAACTGCATGATGGAATGCACAACTATGTAACAGCCTCTGGGTCCTATGACGTTGCTGCTGACCTCACTCCGAATAAATCCGTACGTAGCGGTAGCAAACCAGAGTCACAACGGACGTCTGTCTCCTTTAACGTCCCGGATCAACCACTGGACGGAGACGATTTGCTTAGCGGTCGGGGATGGACTCCAACGCGGAGTGCGCCGCGGCGCGCTAATTCTAGACCATATGCCCAGATGGAGGAGGAAGTCAAGAGGCGCGCAGATGGGCCCGATTTCCCGCTTTTTTCCCAGCAACTCTCTGAAGCTATGCACAAAGTCACCATGCTTACAGATGCACATAATGCGCTTAGTGAAAACATGGCCACTAGGCTGAGCACTCTTGATCGCGCTATGCTCGAGCTTCGCAATGGAGGCCAAGGCCAAGCGCCCATGACTATAAGCTCTTCTTCTGGCGGTCCCTATTCGTATTCGTCAGCAGATGTGGCTGCGCTACGCGCTCAAATGGAGAACGAGCTTTCTGTTTTACGAGCCGAGCTCAACGATGGGCTTTCACGCGCAGCTAATATTGCATCATCGACTGCTGCTTCCCAACGGCAACAGACTTTTCACCCTGAGATAATAAAATCGGAAATCATGGGTGAGTGCCGCAAGCTCCTCCAAGGAGAGCTCACAAAGACTCAGTCTGAGATTCTGACAAGTGCTCGCCTTCAGTGCAACGGGGTACAGGATGCACTCAAGTTGGACATCGACACTGCATTTGAAACAATAAAGGGCATCAACTCCACAGTACAGCGTTTGGAGACGTCCTCTGCTAAATATGTCCTCAAAACGGACGTCCAATCCCACGAGCTTCGCATCCTCAATCTGGAATCGACATCAGCGCATAATAGCAAAACTATAACTGAGACGCGACAGGCAGTTTCAAATATAAACGAGTTATTGGACCAGCTTAGTACTCAAGTCCATCAGTTCTGCGAAGGCGAGAATGGGCGCCAGTGCTCTATGCAAGAGGCTGTTAAGTACATAGTTAGTTATGACCTCAACGAGGTCCAAGCCAAGTGTCAACGGATGGACTCGCTTCTATCTGCCTTGGACACACGAACGAAAGAGCTGTCTGAACTTACTGACAGACACGTTGCAAGACAAGATCTCATCGAGAAAAAGCTCCTTGCAGAGGGGACTGACGACGTCCTGAAGCGCGACGACACATCGCTGCTTTTTATTCAAAACACCTCAGCTCCAGTCATAGCAAAGGCGGTCGGCGACTTAAGGTTAGAACTTACCACGCTGATCTCCTCCCTTCGGGACGATCTCTCCAAAGTGCATGCCACTGTATCCGAATCTATAGCTAAGGAAAAGCAAACATGCCTTGATAGAAACTCTAGGGATGAAATAATAGCAGAATGTATGGTTGCCACAAAAGATCTTATTGAAGCAACATCGGGAGCACTGATAGAGGCTAATACCGAGGGGATCCGTAGGATGATTACTGACGCTAACATAGATATCGAAGGGCTTCGAAGGGCCAACGACAGTGCAGAGCAAGTGATAGAGGAGCAGAATCGCAAGATTATCAAATTAGAGGCGGATGTTGCCTCAATAGCTGCGTCCTCATGCAGCTCTGCTACAGAGATACCACCGCGAGACTTTGGCAAGTCTCTAAGCAACGCTAGTGACCTTGAGGTCCTCTTTGACAAGTGCTATGGATATATAGACATTATAAAGGACGATCTAAAGAGTGACTCTACAGCAACTAAGGAAAGAGTTGAGCACATATTCGATGAGTATAGCGAGCGGCTGACTTCTTGTGAGTCAAGGCTTGCGGACCTCCTTTCAAATGTAGAAGCAACAAAGTGTGTTGCTGGGATTATCACCACTGGAGAAGACGGTGTCCTTTCTGCCACTTCTTCGTTTTGCTCCACCCCGGGCGGCGGTGATTCAAGGGCATTGGAGGACACAGTGAAGAAACTAAAAAGTATTGTGTCCCGTTTAACAAAGGAAGCTACTGCGTCATCAATCTCCATAAAGAATCTCATTGATAGCCAGCAAAAGCTGGGAGACGAGATGCTGCGGCTTCGCCAGGATGCCGTGGGCGGCTCAACGAAAACTCTGTTCGGAGAACTGAGCACTCGGATGGAGGCGATGCGCGAAGAGCTAGAAAAGAAGACGAGTATCATTTCATCCTTGGAGGTACGCGTTGCGCTTTTAGAGCAGACAAGGGGCTACACCTATGATGAAATAGTGGCAATCTTCCACGATCTTCAGCAATCGTCTTCTGCCAACAAGGTTGCATCTAGTTCAATGATAAATATAAATTCACAAGGTCCGCAGCAGGACGCCGCGTCGGGTGGGAGGCCAATAAATGTATCGCAAAGCCTTCTAACGACAGAGCACCTTCAGCCTAAGAGTGATCAGCGACACATGGCAAATGCTGCCAGACGATCTAGCGTGCAGTGTACCAATGCGGCCGTTATTGCGTCATCTCTTCATGATCTTGTGGAGGCTATCCCGCCTCAGTCAAGCTTTAATGCAAGTGCTTGGAAAGAACTACTATGTGTACAGCGCTCAATCTTTGACCAGGCAACTCTTTCAAATATGTACTTTGACAAGGTAAGCGTGGATCCCATGTTTGGTTTTGTGGTTGGATCCGACGGGGCATTTCTGCGCATATGGAAAGTTAAGCCATTGAGCCGCGACGACTTCAATAAGGCGAGCACCATTAAAGGAGCCTTTGATATTATTGCGGCAGAGGACGTAATAGAATGCCCAGGTGTGACTTGCTCGACGATTGGTGGCAACTTGCTCTGCGCAGGAAATGATAAGGGCTATCTTGCGGCCTGGCCCAGTGTTGGGGACCCCTATCAGCTAATTGCTTATCCTAATGGATCAGTGTCCTGCATCTCTGTGCTGGCAGACAAAGAGAGGCGATGCGTGGTGAGTGGCGGGGACTCTGGAGTCATTATGGAGTGGAGTCCAATGGATGGCAACTCCGCAATGCTCGGAACACACACAGCAAAGGCTACGTGTGCTGACACTTGCTCTTCATATGCTCTGACCGGAAGCCGCGACTGCTCTGCGATTTGCTGGGATTTGATTGAGGGACGGGAGCGCGCAAGGTGCCTTGGACACCCAGACGTCCTCCTCAGCTGCTATATTTGCAAGGAGCACTCGGAACTGTGCGTTACAGGGAGTGCAGACGGAACCGTCCGTCTGTGGGACATGCGACTCGACAATCTTGACCAGGGAAAGGCAAAGTCACGATGCTTGTTCGTCACTAACAGCCCTGCAAGCGTTACAAAAGGCGTTGTAAGCGTGTTTATGAACAGAGACATGATGATCTCCACTTGTGAGGACGGCTCTATCAAGCTGTGGGACATCAGAGCAACAACGCCAGAGTGCGTGCAGACACTCACAATTGATTCTGGGCGCATCCTATGTAGTGCGGTCTTGAATAATTCCATGGTCATCAGCGCTGATGCTGGCAGTCTGCTTGCGCTGGAGTTCATGCAGTAAACAGTCCTAATGGAGAACCATGTACAGCAAGACCAAGATAATAAGCAGAGTGGTGCAGATAGAGCGTCTGGGGTGCGTCATGATGTACCGCCGAGCCTTCTTTATTCCTGCGGTCATCGCTTCCATTCCACTCTGGATATGTGCAAGCTCGCTGCTGGCATCACCGAGTAGCTCTGTTTGCGCCTCTACCGTCTCGTGTATCACGCCTGTGAGCCGCCGAATCTGCCGCGTTTTCTGCAGCAGGTCCGCCACGTCGACCTCTTGGGAAACCTCTCTCTGGGAAGAAGAGCGAAGGCGCTTTCTCGGCCCGTTTACTTCCATTTATTTTTGGAGGCCCTCTGCAAAGTCCTCGACCATCTTTCGCCCGTTCGGAGAGATGTGGCGGCCCCTCTCGCCGGCTATGAGGAGCTTCTGGCCGAGGAACTGAGAGACTATAGACCTGATGACCTTGCAGCTGGCTCTCTTTGTGTGGTGCGGGGTGGTTTTGCCCTTCTGGAGGCTACTGTACTTTCGGGCCAGCCCAGCCACGCCGATGGAATGGCTCCCAGAGATGTAGAAGTGCCTGATGACGGAGGCCGCCTTGATGTAAAACCAATCGGCGTCCCTGGGGGCGTACTGGCGCGAGACGCCCGTCTTAACGTAGTCTGTGAACGCGGGGCACTTTATTATACCGCGGTTCTTGAGGTGAGCCGCGAAGCTGTTGATGAAAACGTCTGCGGGAACCCTTGTGACGGACGACATCCCGAGGAGTTGATTAATGCTCCAATATTTCAATTTAATATGGATTCGCTGCCGCACCTAAAATCCAAAAAAATAAATGCAAATTGAATTAGCTTTGCATGCTACTTAACAGCAGCGGCCGAAGGACATGGTGACATATCCGGCAGAGCGCAGGACCTTCTGCAAGCGCGAGGGAAAGCACACCGTTCACAAGGCATCGCTCTACAAGAAGGGCAAGGACTCTCTCTTAGCCCAAGGTAAGAGACGTTACGACCGCAAGCAAAGAGGTTTTGGTGGTCAGACCAAGCCCATCTTCCGCAGGAAGGCCAAGACAACAAAGAAGCAAGTCATCAGGCTCACGTGCTCATCCTGCAAGTGCCAGACGTTCCAGGTTCTGAAGCGCTGTCACCGCCTCGAGATTAGCCGCTTGGGTGCCACAAAGAAGTCTAAGGGCAGTGTCGTTTTCTGATCTCCCAGACACCAGAGTAAATTGGCGAGCCTATATTGGGCCGTCTGTGCCAATATATTCGAAAGATCAAATCAATTGCAAAAAAATAATTGATAAGGGCCCATGGTCAAGGAGACAGAGTTTTACGACTTGCTCGGCGTGTCCCCCTCGGCGGACCCACAGACCATCAAGAAGGCGTACTACAAGCTTGCGCAAAAGTACCACCCGGACAAGCCTACGGGCGATGAGGAGCTCTTCAAGAAAATCGGACGGGCCTACGAGGTGCTTTCCGACCCAACCAAGCGTGAAAACTACGACAACTATGGCGAGAAGGGCATAGAAGGCCAGCCAATGTCCGGCAGCCCGTTCGACATCTTCAGCATGTTCACGGGTGGAGGCCGTTCTTCCAACCGTGGCCCCAAGCAATGCCAGCCGATTGGACAGGAAGTCTCCTGTACCCTCGAAGAGCTCTACACCGGAAAGCGCACGTCTGTCTCCGTAAAGCGCCAGCGTCAGTGCTCGCAGTGTAACGGCGTAGGTGGCAAGACGGCAGACGCCATCAAGAAATGCCCCGATTGCAAGGGTAACGGAGTCGTTGTTATCACGCAGCAGATGGGGCCCATGATTACGCAGCGCCAAACGACCTGTAAGTCATGCAGCGGGACAGGAGAACGCATCACCGATCCGTCACTCATCTGCCCGAAGTGCAAGGGCAAGCGCGTAATGGTAGATATGGCAAAGATTGACGTCCACATCGAGCCGGGAGCGTTTGATGGCTTCCAGATCCCTCATTACGGCGAAGGCGACTGGGCTCCTGACTGCACCGCAGGCGATCTAGTCATCATTGTCAAACAGGTCCCACATAAGATTTACACGCGAAAGGAGGCAGATCTGTTCATGACAAAAGACATATCTCTGGAAGAGTCTCTTTGCGGTTTCTCCTATACCTTTACTCATCTAAACAAGGAAAAGGTGACAATCTACGTGCCACCCAATGAACCAGTGCGACAAGGCAAAGTTCTGGCCTGTGAAGGCCTTGGCATGCCGGTGCAAGGTCTCAGTCACGAAACCGGTACTCTCTTCATCACGTTCAATGTTGTGGAGCCTAAGTTATTAACTGAAGAGCAGCGCATGAAGATCATGGACATCCTGGCGACGCCTGCGACGAGACAGTCCATTGAGCTCGCTAAGACCCTGAAACATGACGGTGTGACGACCTTCCATCTCAAGTACAAGGATCCGAACATCAGAACTAAGGCGCAAGCAACTAGCTCCCGAAACGCATATGACACAGGCCGTGGCGATGACGATGAGGTGCAGGGCAGCGGTGGTGCGCAGTGCCAGGCGATGTGATGCTTATCGCTACCAAGTAAACACACGGACGCCTATGCTCTTATGGCCTGGAATGGTTTGAGCGGGACGAAAATCTCTTGGTGCTCACCACATTCATTCGTGGCAAGCAAGAGTAGACCGTTCGTGGTGGCGGAGGTGCCTTTCCAGCCAGGCATAGATTAGTGGTGACTTCCAGCTCTTTCTGCACAGCTGCTTCCACCTCGACACTGAATGCATGTCGTTCTTGAGCTATGAAGCTCTTCTCAGCCATTTGAGCATACATTCGAAACTTAGAGTAATTGCAAAGCGGACCCATCAGTTTGATGATGTGCAAGTCTGCAGGGCTGAATGGTACCACGATCCCTACCTCCAGAACTACAGTAAGTGTCACCTTTCCTTTCGGGCCATTCTTCCTCACGATGAGGCCAAGAATGTCCTTATAAGGCCCATCAGCGACCACAATGCATGCCTGCCCAATCGTATCACTAGGGTTTTCAATCGGCATAGGGGTGTCAGAGCTCTTTGTCCCATTAACTTGGCAAAGCTCCATAACAGGAAGAAGAACAGCTAACTCGGCCAGGCGGAATGTCTCAATAGACCGAACAAAACCAACGGTCGCGAAAATGATGCCTCCCCGACTCATAGTATTTAGAACGATTCCCACGCCTATGTTACGATTTGCTGGCTTACAAACATAGGCCCCACAATCTACTTGCTCTGTATGCAGCTTTCCTGGGATATGACTACAAATCTTTTGGAAGGTCCTGAGGTCTGACTTAGCATCGGCAATATTTTCTAAGAGCCTACCACACATTAGACACGGAGTTTGCGAGACATAGTATATTGCTGCACAGGTCTTGCACGCTAGGTGATTGCATGGAAGCCGCACAGGTCGTATGGCTATGCGTGTACAGGCAGTGCAGATAAACTCAGAAATAGCGAAGCTAGACAAAAGCTTAATGTAGTTTGACAGTCTGCTGCATTCTAGAATGCCAAATAGGCGTAGCTCTCGCTCAATCTCCTCCTGGCGCTTGGTAAGGTCATTGAATTGTTCGTTGAAATACTCATTTTGGGACAGAGCCATTGCTTCTTGCAGAGTTGTTGTGGGGATAGGCAGGTCGGACCGCTGGCCTTCTTCTTCTGGTATAGGAGGCTCTCCATTGCCTATTCGCGCAGTGTACTCTACTTTGTATTTCGCATGCAAACGTGCGCGACGTACTTCCTTATTGTGGGCATTGATCTCGTCAACTAAGACACGCATTTGATGCAGAAAACTATCGGTGTTATAGACCATGGTAAAGATGGACAGTGATGTGATAGATCGATCGTCTGCGGTTGTGCTCTTGTGTCTTCCGAGCCTAGTAACAAATTGTCTGGGTACAGCCATATCTGTCAGACATAGCAGCGGAAGTTGGGCTGGTGCAGAGCTTTCCGTTTGAAGATTAAATGTGACAGTCAGTGGCGTTTGGACACGAAGTGCTAATCGCACAGAGTCTAAAGGAATATGCCGGATTCGACTGACATCGACTGTGAGCACTGTTCCAGACTTGAGCATTACCTTTGCCGTCTTCTCGCTCGGCTCTGTCAGCAAAAGCCCGAACGATGAATCTGTTCCAGAGTCCTGAAGAACGTGGACAGGGAAGTATTTGCTCAGATAGGGGTTCCCTGCTTTTGTGCCTGATATCGCCAGTAAAATCTTTGTGTCCATTGGAATAACCCCGAGGGGTTTCAAGTCCTTCAGAGGAAGATTGTATTGCGCACTAGTCTGGGGGTTAGCACGTAGTCTGCTAAAGCTTAGACCTAGAAATGTGATGGGTGCCCCGCAACCAAAGCAGGGCCAGCCGTGATGGTAGCAATCAAAGGAACAAATCATACACGATAGGCACCCGCATTGGAGTTGGATTGGTAGTTGCGCAACCATCTTACAATTAACACAACAAATAGCAGGCATCAAAAGCCATTCGGAAAGGTCTGTGCAAATACGTAGTAGGGAGCTGGTCGGAGGACCCTCTATCTTCTCCAAAGTGGTTGAAAAAAGAGTGGTCTTATCCGATCCAAAAGACTCTTCTAGGAGCATGTACATAGACGTTCCTTCTGACAGATTGTTGAGCATATGTTTGAAAGTGTGCAGAAACCGGGGTTCTATATAATTAATAGGACCACTTTCCAAAGCGGTTTGCTCCTTCTTGTCATAGTCTGAACTGCCTAGGGGTGGTTCTATAGACAAAGCACTGATAAGATTGGGGGCAGCGGAGTCAGGTATGCAGAGAGACCTGGTGTTAAGCCGCGTTCCTAGAGGGAGCGTTTGTGGATCCACAAGTAAAAGGTCATGCAGCCGACCAAGCCAGATTGAGGACCCGCATTGAACCGTAGCTATCTTGCATGGCATACCAGAGCACTTATTATTCTGCTGCACCTGCTTTGTTGTTATGCTTGACACCTGGGTAGAACGAACATGGATTCCATCGGCACTCTCGAAGCTAAAGCCGTCCTGGATGGCAGTAATAATTCCACATGAGTATGTCGCTATTTTCCCGCTTGGTACGAGCACACGGGCAACATCCCCCACACCCAGATGTACTTGAAGTCCCAGCTGTGAAGCCAGTTGTTCTGAAATTGTCTCATCGACGTGTGGCAAATGAGAAACATGAGCATCGCAGATGGGACACTTGCCCTCCCATAGTAGGAGAGAGTAGTACATGCACTCTGCACAAAATGTGTGTGCACAGTTCAGTACTACTGGCTTGTAGAGGGGGTAGCGACAGATTCTACAGATATTCTTACTTGGAATGTTAAGTGTTGCGCGCTTATAGATAGATTGGTTATCTTTCCGTGTCTCTGGAATAAGTAAGTCAAATGTTTCCAGACAAGCCTCAGCATCTCGGTCCACTGGATATCTATTTTGTCCAGTTGCATTAACCGTCACCTTCTCATCATCAGCGGTACAGCTACTCTCTACTGCTGGAAGGCTATCAATATATTGCATAGGATGCTTTCCTGGCTGAAGTCTATTATGAACAGAGATACTACCCTCAAGAGAATCATGAACTATGGACGATGGGGCTGAATAAGAAGCATCCGCTGGACGAGCCGGTGCAGGGACAATCGTGGAATAGTCTTGTGGACAATCGTTTAGCGATATTAGATTGTCGTCATAGTCCGCAATATCTGGTATGCCGTTTTCAGGGTAGTTCTCTGCATCGGGCATGTAAAAGGGAATGTTACTATTCAACCGAGAAAAAGGTCTCGAGAAGGACATCCCCCCTGGAGTCTCCAAGCGGGAAACAAAGGATGCATCCATCTTGAATGCGGCGGCCGAAGAGTCCTCATCACAGTTTGGAAAATGGAACTCTTTATCGAGCGACTGTGCTTTCCCGTGGCTCACAAGCTCAGGAGTAACGAGCCGTTCCAGGATGAGGTCCTCTATGACCTTACTATCATAAGGCGAGCGAGGTCTAGCTTTGTCGTTAAGCTGTGGGCGCTGAGAGCCGGATAGTTGAGGGCTGAGAGTAAGACAATCGGTCAGCGACTCCACTGGTGTCAAAAGGCGTTCCTCCATTTGGTCCTGGTTGCTAGTTACCGGCGTGTTATTTCGCGTTACAGTATGAGAAAGAGGAGATGGAGTAAGCAACACCGGACTCGGGGTTCTCAGACGCTCCAGGTAATCTTTAGGATTTCGATGATCTGGGTGCGTTGGAGGAAGGTCTGCTAGATGCAGCTTAGGCGGAGGAGGATTCATCTTTGAGCTCTTATACTTTTCGATGCTTTGCTTGTACTTCCGCTTTACAAAGCTGGAGGAGAGCGGCTTCGGAGAGGTACGGTCTCGAGGGGATTCGCCATCGAACTGAATATCTGGACTAAGTGGGGTAGTGCATAAATCATGTGACTCAGGAGTAACTTCGTGCTTATTAGTTATTTGAGGAGAGTCTTCAGAACATGCGGTTGGTGTTCCCAGCCTGGGAATGTTTGGGTCCCTTTCACTTCCAGCTAAAGAGGGACCTAGAGGCACAGTCGGTGACGTGCTAGGAGAAGCCAAGGGGCTAGGTAGTCTAGCTAAGTGAGTATCTGCAGCAGGGGAACCTATCTTTGGCAAATGGGCTGGGGGTCCCTTCAGCTTGCAATCCTTTTTTTCGTGCCCAGATTCTGCAGCATTAACCCTAGCAGGCATAGAAATGCTGCGACCGGCATCCCTCTCCTGAGGAGGAAGTTTTGGCTGCTTAGGAGGCATGGATTGCTGTTTTTGAAAATAATAAGTGGCAAATTCATTGGCCATAAACCCAGTTTACCAATGAGCAAGTCTAGAGTGCATCTTACAGCTTACAGATAGATACAATTATGTAGAATTCTTCTTTCTGTAGCTTTATAACTCCACACTCCGGTCCAACGATACTCGATGAAATAAGAATTAGAACCATTAGATTCTAACAAGGAACAAGGTAAGAGACGCTGGTTGTGCTCACAGCTTAGATTTGTCATCCATACATTGGTAGACAGAAAGAAACAACTCAGTTATTAGCGGCCCTGGAATGCACGAGGCATCTATTCCCCACATTTGTTTGCAGTAATCGGCCGGGTTCTTGCCATCGTACCTTTTCTCACTTGAGAGTATTTTTCCACAGATGTCTATAGCCGCATTGCACGCCTGAAGCATGCTGGCATTTACGTATCTAAATTCATCCAAAAGGCTGCGCATTCGCTGCATCATTCGATCCACAAGTTGCAAATCTCGTGTCCTGCGTAGCTGAGTGAGGACACCATAGCGTAGCAACCAGGAATCAAGATAGCTCACAAACCCAATTGCAATCTCTTGACGCTCCAGCTCCCCATCAAAATCCTGAATCACGTACAAGATGTTTGCAGGAAAGGGCAGAGTCCCAGCAAGCTTGAACGAGCTGGTAGAGTAGTACCTTTTGAGGGTCTCGGAATCAAGTATGACGGCAAGTATTGAATTTATGCTGTGCAGGAATATGCAGAGGCTTGCGCAACGCGTACATGATTTCGATACTGTTTTGACTTGGCGCTCAAGCATGCGGAGCTTTACGGATTCTTCAGCGTCCATTACATCTATGTAGCGTGTCGAGACCTGTTTAATGGACTTCGCTGTATTCACAAGTGCATGAATATACTCGATATACTTGCGCCCGACCAGTGGACCAAATTTCCTAGCATCTTTATGGAGTCGCTCGCCCTCTTCTTTAAGCGTGCCTGGCAAACTGAAGGATGACGAAGAGTCTGTATAAAGCCCCCCTGAAAATGCCGAATACATGCGTTCAAAAGTGCTACAAAAGGTATCTAAAGTGTGTAAGTATATCTTCAAATTGAGAACGATATAGTTGAAAAACGTTTCTCTTAGAGTTGAGGAAGTTGACATCATGTTAAGGAGGCGGAAATATGATTCGATTGTGTTAATTTGTTCAATCCACGAAGAAAAGAGAGGCATCCCACTGCTGCGCTGCAGGTCGGATGCATAGCTAGGTATAAGGGAGTTGTTAACGGATGGAGTAGTTGTCCTCTTAAGATCTAAACCAACATAGCTTTCGCTCTGCAACGGAGTTGTATCATAGGATGTCACCTTGAGGAATACATTATCTGACAGTTTATCCACTGTACTCAACTTGCTCAGGCCGTCAATGTAGGCGCTTCCCATGAGCATCATAATTAAGTCCGAAAAACCTATCCACTTCACTGAATGAAATCTGTAAATGTCTCTGTTTTTCGTGAAGCTCTTGAGAACTACCAGAATAGCCTCTGCCTGAAGTAAAGTGTGCTGCACGAGGAAGGAGTGCTCGCAGTCCTGGCTTATAATAGTGTTGGACTCGTAGTAGAGCGGAACAGAAGTAGTCCCATGGGTATCCTGCGTTGTTTTGATGGAAAATAGTCTCATCACATGTTGTTTGTAAAATGCCTTTGCTGGTTCTGCTAACAAGGAATAGTGCATTTTGGCTATGAAGACACTTGGTGCCCCATTTATATTAGTGCTAACAGGTTTATAAAGGGCCGAAGTGGCATCGGTGGTGTGCACGACTACAGGGTCAACTGACGTCAATAGACACATGGCGTGTGCTGGCGGAAGCTCTCCAGCTAAAACCCAAGCAGAGACCAGTATGCTCCCTGCCGTCTGAATCCGAATAAGGCTTGGGTCGCATAACTCGGAAAACAGGGTCATCATATCTTTTATTCCGTCAAACATGAGATCACAAGCGCGTACTGTCGACAACTCTACGCTGTCGTCAGCAAAAAGCGGCCTAAGGATAGTCTCATTGACGCGATAGTGATCAAAGATGGGGCTGATAGATGACGAGTAGGTGCACTGGAAATTGCTAGACACGCGTTCGCGCAAGCAGATGTTCGCTTGCGCAGCTAAGGTGCAGAGGTTTTCAAAAGTGGATTCATCGAAGACAGATGACTCTATAGACAAGCATGTGATGATACCAAATGCCTCTATGAAGCCTGTGATGACGAACAGATAACTCGTTAGTAGGTGGGTAGAAACCGTACTATGCAAGGCAGTGTAGCATGTGGTAACCGCTAGATCGCTAATGAAAGGTTGAGATGACAGGGTAGTACCGTGATTGAGCTCACCAGTTGCAAGGTAGATGCATTTATAGAACTTCACCAAGGAGCCGAAGAAGAAGAATAACGAGCTCTGTGAGCTGCATGGAATGTGGTCAATAGTGAGTTGGGATGTGGTAAAGCTATGGAGGAAGGTTCGGATTGTAAGACTTTGATGAAGAAAGGTGCGGGCCAGTTCGCTAAAGCAATGGTCCGCATGAGTCAAAATGACATCCATATCTGTCTTGGCCACCTCCAGCCCACTTTGCGCCAGATTGCTTGCTATTACATTTAGCTCAACGAACATCCAGGAGATTTGCTTGCGCTTTCCGTCCCTATCAAGGGCAAATGAATCTGTATAAAGTCTTGCACGAATGTAGTGAAAATAGTATAAAAGCGTTCGTAGAAATGACGATCCATACAAGAAAGACAACTTGTGCAAAATTGGTAGATCTCCCTCCTGTAATCCCGAAGAGTCCGACACGGTGGTATCTTTGCAGAGGCTGAAGACAACCTCAAAAGCCTCCACAAATGGTATGATAGCCTTCAAAACTAGATCCAGCTGGGCCAGCACAAGAAGGTGGATTGAAAGGGGGTTCAAGTCATCGTGAGTCACGTGATGCTCCTTCTGAATAAGCCAATCATCCGGATAAAGGTTGTGTTGCGTGTTGTACAAGGAGTAAGAGACGGCAAGGTGTATTCGGCAAAAGGAGAGAAACACGCGCATGTAGCTTCTCAAGGTTCGGATGGTGCTTCCTGTGGACGGATCCCTGTCTTGCTGCAAGCTCATATTTCCAGTCTCAAAGATCTTGGTAATAGACATGTGAAGAATGCATGGCTGTAAATCAAGGAGCACCAGATATACCAGGGCAAGTTGCTCTGAGGTGTACTTCTGAGAGCAGTAGCTTGGACGGTGGGGCCTCTTGTTCGCGGAGTCCTCAAATGCTTGGGTAGAGGCGCTCATCACTGTAATTTCCTCTTGGAGCTCAGCAAGGACCTGGGGTTCTGAAGAGTCCAGAAGTCCAAATATGGACAGCAACGCCTGCGCAGCATAGAGAAGGATCTCAGCCACTTGCTCAAAGGCTTGAAGAGCACACAGCTCACTCAGACTACTCTGGCTTACATGTCCATCAAACCCGCTTTCTGCAGCGGATTTTGAAAGCTTCTCCAGGAGCTTTTCCATGGCCTCTCGCTCACGACCCCAGCGATCCTCTGCGGCCTGGAGTTGTTGGCTCACAACACTCATCCGGATGAAAAAGAATGAAATTAATAGAAAGGTAGATGGACATTGGAAACGCGCCGCGCAACGCTCTCACGCAGCTTGAGTACTACTTCTCTAACTATAACATCACCCGTGATAAGTGGATGCTCGACAAGCTTCGAGAATCGACAGATCAGTCTATTGAGCTTTCCGTGGTGAACGACTTTCCAAAGCTGAAGGCCTACGGCCTGACACCTGAGCAACTCCGTGACGCTGCCATTGACTCACCAGTCATTGAGGTGTCAAGCGATCTTAGGGTTAAACGTCGCGCTCCCATTCCCGCCAACTACCAGCCGGAGCCCCTCACCCTCTATATAAAGGGTTGGCCGCTGGGGTTCACGGTTGATACCATCAGGATTTTCTTTCGCGATGTCCTTAAAGTTCGTATAGAACACGTGGGGTTGCGCTACCTCTCAGGCAAGGAGCGGAAATTTAAGGGATCTGCATTTATTGTGTTTTCGACTCTGGAGGACTGCGAGGAATGCTGGAAGCGCTTTGGCTCTCAGGAGATAGAAACAGAAGAGGCAGTTGCTCGTGCGAAGTCCTTATCTGAGTTGGAACCTGCCGCATTAACAGAGGAGCTGAGCAAGAATCTTATTGTGCTTAAGCTGGATAGTTGGAAAGCCGGCAGCAAAAAGGGGAAGCAGTCGGCCGCGTCTAAGAAGCAGATGACAATCACTAAAGGGATGATACTCAAACTTACGGGTATAGGGCGACTAGGGTTTGATGAGCAGTCGAATGCAGTCAAGTCTGACTTTGTACCCGTGTCTGACGCACCCAAGGACCAGGCTCCATCGCGGGATGTTCTCAAGAGCGTCTTCTCCCAGTTCGGGGTCATTAAGTTCATTGATTTTCAGCCTGGTGCAGAAGTGGGGTATGTCCGCTACCACACAGACCACCCTGCAGCAGCAGAGGCTGCGGTGAAAGAGTACTCTAACAAGGAACTTGTTCTCTGTGGAGGGACGTGCAAAGTGGAGTTACTAGCAGGGGACGAGGAGTTGCAGTACTACGAAAAGATTAGAAAGGCATCCGACAGCCTCACAGCGAAGCGCAGGGTTAAGCAGTGACGCTAAGCTGTTCACATAGTTGTTCAACCTGAGAATAAACGAAAATAATTAACTTTGAGGGCATCAATCGCCGGTTGAAGGGTACATCTGCAATTATTCAGCACCGAAGGTATCATATGCTGCTTCGAAATAGACCTTGTAGAAATGGTGCACATGGTCTATCATCATTGACGAGATTATGCCAGGCGTGCAGTTGTAGCCCCGTATTGAGAGAAAAATGGCTATATCAAAGTGACCCATTAAATACGCCAAATCCGTAGGTATCCGACCCTTAGCGTCCCGCTCGTGGCCCAGGGATGTCATTAGAGGCTGGACGCAGGATAATCTATTGAGTGCTACTGCATAGTGCAGCGGTGTTAACCGTTCCTTGATACTTAGGTACGCTTCATAATGAACAAGAATCTCCACTGCCGCAATGCTGTCGTAGTTTATTGCGATGAATAGAGCAGTGTAGTCATCCTGATTCCGTAAGCCATGCTCAATTGGGGCCAAAGTTCGCACCACTTCAGAGTAGTTGTACCGGGCCGCAACCATGAGGGCTGTGTCACCGTTCCACGACCGGGCGCCAGCATATGTATCAATGTTATCCCTCACGGTGTCCAGGTCTCCAGATGCCACCGTACAAAACCAGTCTCTAACAGAAGTCAGAGTCATGATCTCACGTTTTTTGGAGGAGCGCCTTAGTGTATCGTCTCATGTGGATAGTGTAATGCGTAAAAGCCAACGTATTCTGCATTTTAAAGAGGTATGTAACATAATAGCTTGTCGGCGGACGGTTTTCCGTCCTTTCTTTGCTTCACAATGGAAAACTGCGATCCAAAAACACAATCCATATTAGTGGCTTCTTATGCTGTGCTATTGATGGCTGCAATGACTGTGTGCATCTCATAGACATCTTCTTTGGACGCTGTCTTAAGAAACGCCGGAATTTCTTTACAAATCTTTTCAAAATCTACGAAGGATTGTGTCAGTATACCTCTTTGAGAGTCCCGAGCGGTACTTTCGGGCGCTGGATAGTTGGATGTATTGAGGAGAGGGGTTGCGGAGACGCTGTGCAGCATGATGGAGTTCTCCTCGCGGTTCTCAATAACCTGTAGTTTTTTGACATAGTCGTCCACATCAGGCCAAGAGACAGCCGGTACCAGCGCAGACGCCCCGATAAACCCGCAGAAGCCCCTCCAAGCGCGACGTCCAAGTGCTCGCATTTATTTTGGCTAAAGTCTATCTCTGAACGCTTGTTTACAAAGACATATAGATAAGTGCAACACTAAGGAGCTAACGTACATACGCTAAAAACCGCCAGGGGCTCGCTAGTCACTGTCTGTAAGGTCAAGGTTCCCCGTCGCCGGCTTGAGGACGCGGTTTATGGTAAAGCTTTCATCGTGGAAGGAAGCTCGAGATGAGCTACGCATCTTTCCGTCAGATATCATAAAGCTACCGTCTTCGCTCTCTATAGTGTGCGACCTATTGGCCTTGGACCGGGAAGACCCTCCATGCTTGGGGCCCCTAGTTTTGATCTTGTCTGAAGCGACGGCGAGGGCCCCCGAGTCGCCGATGTTTAGGTAGAACTCGTCTGTGTTTTCTGAGTCGTCATACCGCTTCTGCGTTCTGACGATGTCTATGAGCATTTCGTTCTTCGGGTGCTCTCTGTACGCGGCGTCGATCTTCTGCGCGGCGTCAGCGTTCGTCTGCGTCCTCTTCTTTTTACAAAGTATGCAGAACACAACGAAGACGACGACAAGGACGATAATCACGACCACAGAGATGATCACGATAGTGAGGAGGTTCTTATCCTTGGTGTCGGTCTCCTCAGGTGGAGTCAGATCCCCCGTGATCTTAAGGGTGAGAGTTTTTTCTTCGTTTTTAACAAGTTCTCCTGCCTTCAGCTTAGCGTTTTGCGTAGTGTTATAAGTGGCTTTAACGGCGGGTTGACCATCAATTGACCGACACTGATAAAAATCACAAAGCAAATTGGGATCATTGGTAGACGAATAAAAGTGGCTACAGTTAAAAGTTAGCGGACTACTAGTGGGAGAGGTTGAAATTTTCTGTTTGAAAGTAAGTGTCTTCCCGCAAGGGAAAGAAACGTAAATCCATGAATTAGTAGTGCATGCAGAGCTACCACCAACTTGTATATTAAATTCCTTATTACTAGTAACATTAGCATTACCACCAGATAGGCAGTCTGCCGAACAAGATACGGCGACGATTGCGAGTAGCACTGGCGAAAACATTTTTTTAAACTGCCGACTTATACCAGCACACAATTATTAGAACTGCATGTGCACGTCAGGTGTGTAGACAATGGAATGGCACCCTTCTGAGGCGCGTGTGGGTATGTTGTACCAAGGCCGGCACATCTCTTTGCCGTTGTTTACTTCCGTTTTCCCGTACAGTTAACATCTTGTCGTGGGGAGGTGACATCTTCGTAGGGCCGCAAAAGATCGACGCACTCAGTGTGTCCTCGTTCGAGAGCGAACTTCAGGGCCGTGCGGCCATCCTGCTTCCTTAGCCCTGCTTCAGTGGCACAGAGTACACGAACGCACTCTGTATGGCCGGCCTCTGCAGCGCACATCAGTGCACTCTTCCCATCCGGCCGTACGAGCTTTCCTTCAGCACGAAGAAGAACCTGCGCACAGTTTGACTTGCCAGCCCGCGCAGCCTTCATCAGTGCTGTTTCTCCCAGGGTATCGCGCTGCTTTCCTTCGACGTCCATTAGAATCTTACAGACCCCGTCACTGCCATGAGCTGCTGCGACCATGAGCGCGGTCCATTCCATGTTGCCCCTGAGTCCAAACTCAGCGTTTCTTAGTGCTCTTGCCACGGTGACATTTCCCTGTTGTGCTGCCTCCATCAAAGCCGACCACCCATTCTTCATCACAAGCTTCTGTTCTTTGTGCACTAGTTGCATGGCTATGTCTGTCTGCCCATAACGTATAGCCAGAATCAGTGCTGTGGTGCCTGCCACATCCTGAACGCCATACGACTTGTTTACCAGGAGCTGTGCAACGTCTTTACGCCCGTCCTTTATCAAAAGCATCAGCGATGTTCTTCCAATTGAGTTCACCACACGGCCCTCAACTTCTCCGAGAAGCAAGAGCATTTGCTTATTTGGCTCCTTCTTCGCACATGCATAGTGCAAAGCGGTACGTCCACTCTTGTCCATCAGTCCAGACTCTAAGGGGGCGAGGATCTTTACCGCCTCTATTCTGTCCATTATAACAGCGTGCATTAATGCTGACCGGCCAGAGCTATCTGTCTTACGGGCCAGCGTTTTCGAAAGGTTTCGGATGTCTGTGATATTATTCTGTCTGACAGCAAGAATAAGGTCATCTATTGATGGATTATTCTGCGGAGGGACTTTGCGAGGACGCACATCCTCAACAGGCGGGGGGCTCATTGGTCTACTCTGAGGAAGGCGGCGCTGTTCTTGTTGTGAATTGCTGGTGCTCCACTTGAGATGCGCGAACGGCGAGGGCGAAGCTGAAACCGCCTGCTTCACGGGGGTCTGGGGCGCATTGGGCACGGGGACCTCCTGGGGTATAGGCTTCCCCTTCTCGGCCATCATCTGCTTGAACTTATCGAGCTCCACGCGCACTCTATCGATGTGACAGATTTCTGCAGCAGATATGCGAACAGTGGGATCCACTTGAAGCATTGCTTTGAGCACTGTCTCTAGCTGCTCGCTATATCCGTGATGTTGAATGATTAGGGACTCAGAACTGAATTCCTTGTGTTTGTTCGCCAAGTCAGATATGTTCTTGGCACGAAAGAGCAATGTCTTCGTACACAGCTCGTAGATGGTGCATCCGAGTGACCAAATATCAACCTTTTCATCGTAGGATTTCATGCTAGCAATCTCGGGGGCAAGATATGCGACGGTCCCCACGATTGTTCCCGTTGCCTTACGCTCTTCGAGAGCCCTGCAGATACCGAAATCCGAGAAAACAACTCTGCCATCATCGCTGATCAGGATGTTTTCAGGCTTTATGTCTCGATGAATTACAACCCCAAACTCGATCCCCTGGGCACGTGTCTTGCTGTGGCAGTACGACAGGGCATAGGCAAGTTGTGAAAGAATCGCCCATATGCTTTGCTCTGAAACAGATGCCTTAGTGACCCTCTTTTTGTTAATGTAGCTGTGTAGGTCACCCTTGGTGAAAATGTCCATTATGATACCGAACTCCTTATTTTCGTGATCATCGTATGCTTCATGATAGTTTATAATCCCGGGGTGATGAACAGATGTAAGAAGCTCTATTTCTGACGTCTGCATGTCGTACAGTTTGGTGCTCATTCCATGATACGCAACAAGCTTCAAAGCATAGAACTCTCCTGTTCTCCGATGTTGGACCTTATATACCTTTCCAAATGATCCTCTCCCCAGTTCCTCGAGCCTCTTGTACAACTTGTCCGGAGATCCGTCAATCATATGCACTCACGAATATTTCCTAATGTATGTTGATAAATGTAAAATGCAACAATCCAAGGGTCAGGGACACTCCCAGTCAGACCGTTTACAACTTAATATCTTCCTCGGTCTCCGCCGTAGCCGCCACGTCCACCACCGTAACCTCGATCGCCGCCATAACCTCGATCTCCACGACCACCGCCGCCGCCGCGGCCACCACCACCTCTGCGCGCGCTCTTGGCGTTGCGCTTATCACTGAGCATTTCGTCTATGGTCCTGTTGAACCAATCCGGTATGGGCTGTTTCGTGTCCATCATCTTTCTGCGTATATCTTTCAGGGCGCCCACATTGTCTCGATCAGGGCAGACAAACGTCACTGCCAGACCAGGCCTGCCAGCGCGCCCTGTTCGACCGATCCGGTGTGTGTAGTCATCGACATTTCCAGGCAGGTCATAGTTCAGAACGAGCCTGACGTTAGGGATGTCCAGTCCTCGCTGTGCAACGTCAGTACCAATGAGGATGTTGGTGCGGCCAGCCTTGAAGTACTTGAGATTGTTTTCCCGCTCTTTTTGGGTCATATCGCCATGTATGACGGCAACTCTATATCGCATATCATCAAAGTACCTAAAGATGCGATCCGCCTCTGACTTGAAATTTGTGAAGACAATCGTTTGATATTGAATAATCCCGTCTTTATTGAGAGTGTCATGGCGTGCAGCATGGCTATCAGGATAGGTAGCGTTCATCGCCTCGTTAAACTCCTCAGAGATCCCAGCCGTGCTAGAAACTGTAGAGAGGGATGGATCCTGCTCCTTGTCGGTGCCGTATACCTCTATGAGCATGTTGTTCAAGTCGGCATTCTGCCCCGTTATATACTCTGTCAGAAGCCGCAGTTTGTCATTGCTGCGCTCAACCAACACAACGCGCTGCGCCAGATTCGGATTGGAAGACCCTATCTGTCCTACTGTGATGGAGACAAGTCTGTCTTGGCGAAGAAACTCCATTGCAAGGTTCTTGATCTCCTTGGGAAAGGTGGCAGAGAAGAGGAGGGTCTGCCGCTCTATCTGGTGCGTGATGTCAGGATTGCTGGGATCTTGAACAGAGTGGTGGATGGGAGGGAGCTCGTGCAAGATGTCACGAATCTGAGGCTCGAACCCCATGTCAAGCATCCGATCGCACTCGTCAAAGACAACAAAGCGGACATACGTTGTCTCAACGACCCCCTGCTTAATAAAGTCGAGAAGCCTCCCTGGAGTGGCCACGAGTATGTCACAGCCCATTTGGAGCGCATCCCGCTGGGGGCCAGAGGGATCTCCGCCATAGGCAACTCTCGTGAGTATCGATGTTCCATAGCTAAGCATCCAGCTCGCCTTGGCAGTCTGCTGGACAAGTTCACGCGTGGGAGACATGATGATGCAGAACGGATACGCCCTGCTGCCCTTGGCGTTAAAGCGGAAGTCTCTGTCCTCGTGGTGTCCTGGAGACATGGTGTAGAGCTTCAGCTTCTCCGTGGCTATGCGATGGAGAATGGGGATTATGAACGCACAGGTCTTTCCAGAACCAGTCTGGGAACAAGCCAAGAGGTCATACCCGACCATCCCCGTGGGGAGGGCGTGCTTCTGGATTGGTGTTGGCTGGAAATACTTTGCACGAACTGTGTTCTGATAAACCTCTGGGTCCAGGTCAAACGGCTCTCGTGAGAGGTCCTCGAATGTGGCAATGGGTGCGACCTCCTTTATTGCCCGAGCGAAATCGACTGAAACCTTAACGTCCTGGTAAATGGAGTAATCGCGCTCCCCCGTCTGCAAAGCCTCCGTTCCAACCTTTTGTCCAAAAAGCTCCTCTTCAGTAAGTGCAGGGTACAGATTTTCATGGCGGCGATGGAGATCCCCGGGATTCCCCGCACGGTCGTCGTAGCTGCCACGCCCACCGTATCCTCCGCGTCCTCCGCCATAGCCCCTGCGATCATCGCGCCTGCGGCCTCCTCCATAGCCTCCGCGTCCCCCGCGGTCATCACGGCGCCCATAACCCGGGCCGTCGTCGTAGTCTCTCTTGAAGCCGGTGCGCTCGGGGTAGCTCGACATTGTATTTATTTCTCTCCCCTCCAAATCTTATGACCAAGTAGTAGATATGCTATTAGCAATTTTTACTTGCAATTTCTTAGGATGCCAATTTCGGCAGTTTATTTGCAGCAGACCACGTTGCGTTGTTGAGTATGTGGGCCTTAAATAGCACCGATGCAAGCCGCCGGAATCGTAGCACGCTGCTCTTCTCCATTATGGATCCAATGGAGGGGCTCCTCCCTGGTGCCGAGCGAAGCGACGACGATGGTTTCTGCATAGACGACCTGGACGACTATCAGCTATTTGACAACATTGCCGCTTATTCTGGGGATTTTTCAGACAATAGTTCAGCGGCTCGAGGCGATCTAGAAGAACGCTCCCAGCAGCAAAAGGGCACAAAGAGGGGTCCTTCTCGGCGTGGAAGGGCTAATGAGAAAAAGGATAAGCCTTGCCCTGCTAAGGAAACTCCGTGCAGGAAGCCAAAATCGCGTGCAGAGCCGTCCTACAAGGTCGTCTACTCGGAGAAAGGGTCCCGCAACGCAACCAAGTTAAACACCCCTACAAAGGCCACACGTCCACGCAAGGAGTCACTTGCTCCTTCGGACTTCTATCACGAAGGCTACAGCTTTGAATTGGACCCAGAACTTTTCTGTGCGGTCTCCAGCCGCATTGAGGAAAGCACCTCGGCCTCGTGCCAGAAGTGGCACGAGAGGACAAAGAAACCGGTTTTTTCTCCACGTAGAAAGAGTAGTGTAGCTTCGGAAGATGATGAGCGAGCGTCTATTACCAAGAGCGGCCATCTCCGTGGGTATAGTGGGCAGCGACACCATCGCTCCTGCCTCCACGACTTTCTCACGCCAACTGCTTGTCAGCATTCGTCTGTGCGGAGCCCACAGCGTATGTCCACCATTCGCGAGTCCCCCGAAGAGTCTGTGGCGTCTCGTTACGGCACAATCCAAAAGCTTCCACCGAGCAAATTCACAAATAGCCCTGCACCGGGTTTGGGAGCAGAGCCCTCAGGGTTTACTCCTCCAGCGACCCTAATTGAGAAGGCCAAGCATCTTATCCTTTACACAATTCATGTTCTTGGTGCAGCACTCTGGTCCGACGACAACACATCCATCGACAGAGTCTATACTCTCACCTCTGGAAAGGTGATTATTGCAGCACCACCCCTCTTACAAGTTTTGCTTAAGGAAGAGCCTTATCTTGCCACTGGAGTCTTGTTCTTTGTTGTATGGGTTCTTGTTGCTGCGCTGTTTAAAGTGCTTTCTGCGTTTCACACTCTCTACAAATTGCTTATCAAGCCGCCTCTCATAATCCTCCTCTTTCTGGCCTCACGGCTTAGGCATCTGATTTATAGCCTCTGTGCAGCGAGTCTTGTGTATCTTATTTTGAGCCTCGTGGATTATACAGAGATGCTGCGGCACAATGAGCTAGTGGATGAGGAAGACCCATTTATGTTTATCACCAATGGGAGTGTTGAGAATATCGACTTTGCACATTTGAAAACAATCACTCCCGAGGAGATGCTGGCAATGGTGAGGCATCTACGTATCATGCTTCTGTTTCCCACCGAGATAATCCGTCGATTCTATGACGGGTTCGATCAAATATACATTCCAAAAAGGCCGGATGTCCTTATTGACATTGTCTTTTGGTCTGTTGGAGTTGGGAGCTGGATCGTTAGCACCTGTGTGTCATATTTCTATCATCTCTTTTTCCACGTCGTCTTCATTTTCATGGCATCTTTCCCTGTGGTTAGGACGAAGCGTGCAAAGTTTAAGTATGTTCAAACTTACTATGCAACCATCGTCTCTCTCATCATCGTATCTCTGGGCACCATACTTTCTATTATTAAGATACCAGGGCTTACCAAAGCTACGAATTGGATCAGTTCTCTCTCGTTTCTAGTCTTCTTCGTGGGCGGTGCAGCGCGGATCACAAGCTACCTCTTAAAGCGTAGGCTCTGAAGTAACTGCGTACTATACTCTTTCGGGTAAGTTTACGCGAGCAATGGTAGATCGCTTTCAAAAGGCAATCGGATAAATGTTTACAAAGGATAGTCTATCCATTTATTTATGATCCCCTGGCCCTTTGGTGTGCGCTCACTGACACGTGTGGGATCGGCGAATAGCGAGTGTCGCATATCGAGTCCGTCTTCTTTATCGTAATACTTCCTGATCCTCCGGTACACAACGTAGTTCAGATTCTGATAGACGGAGATTGCGGTGGAATTTGTGGCCTTTACGAAGAGATCGCAGAAGGTGCAGTTAAATGCTCTTCCAATGTCGTTTTCGAGGCGGTCAATGAGAGAGCGGGAGACGCCCTGGCGCCTATATTCTGGTGCGACAGTCACTGCACTAATGTGAACGTGGTACTCATTCTTTTCGGCATATCCTTCGTCCTTAGCAATCATGTAGCCCTTGATCCCACCGGTTGCTGAGGAATAGACATAGCATTGCTCTGCAAATCTGGAAAGGTAAGTATTGTAGAATCGTGGGTTGAAAGTGACGGTAAAGGGGTCGTTCTGGATGTGTGTAACAGAAAACAGATCGTCAGCATTCATTCTTCTATGAAAAGACACCATGAAGATTTATTTAAGACTTGAAATTCTGTCAAAGGATATCAGAGACCCCACTTTTACTACAAAGTAATGGCAATTTACAGCACCTTAGTTGAGTGAGGAAGGTTTAGATGGATGTGGTGGCCTGTGCCTTTTTGAAGGGGCTGTTTACAACGCTACCCAAAAGCCATATGATTTCGACTTGAATCAAGAGCTTGTTGCCACGTTCTTATAGGTAAAAACAGTCAGTTGTACAGTAAGAGGGCATATTTCCTATCTATGTACAGAGGAATTAAAACAGGCCTGCTTAGCAAGCAACCTAGAACGATATAAGGCTATAGCTACTCTGTAGTGCCAGTGCGAACACACCCTATTTGCAAGAAGCTTCACTAGAGTAACAGTCCAAGCCGACCCCCTAGCGGACGCGGGGCCACCTGGCCGAATGGGCCCAGACCCTCCTGGAGCGGGGGCCCGTCCAGGCCTTTGCAGCTGAAGGCAGAAGCGGGCCCGGCAACGTACCCTGCACACAGCCGCGGTCCAGCTGTCTTCCGGGGGAGCAGGCGTGCATTTCGTTGGACCAGAAGGAGCGGAAGACGCGGAGTTGGAACAAACAGGCCGCAGGCCAAGCTCTGATAGGCACCTTTTGTAGTCAGGGATGCTGTTGGTTTCTAGTGGGGTCTGCCACGAAACAGGCAGAATCCGGCTAGACGCTGTACAAACGACGCACAAACGTCAGAGAAGGACAGCCTATGGAAGGGCGTAGATAAACCGATACCTGCATATCCGGAAAAGACTTGTCAACACACACTGAGTCTGCACCAGATACGCCCGTACAGCATAAGAAGCAGGTAGCTGCCATGGTCTGTCCATACTGATCAAGATATCTCCTAAAGTGGGATGAACAGCGAGCTCTAGCCATGATGGCCTGCTCATCTACCCGGACGGCCCCAGTCCAGTCTCTTCTTTGGCGATGTAACCATGAATTCTACAACTATTGTGTCAGGGAAGACATCTAATGAGACATGGCAAGGCAACACAGCTTGTGCTAATCTGCATGCAATGCATGTCCTGTGCTTCTAGGTCGCTAGATGAGATAAGCTCAAGCATGCATGCTCTAGCTATGTACAGACTATGTCAATAACTTTATCGAGCAAACGATGCCAGTCAGCAGCAAATAGATACAGGCGCAGGCTATGATGTCTGGTAGATGCTGCTAATTTATGCAGAAAGGCGGAGCAAGTCACTGGCTAACAAAGTATCGTAGCACATGTCATGCTGAAAACCCGAATGTCGCTAGTCCAGGGCAGAGACGAGTCACTACAGGAGCAAGATTAATGAGCAAACATTTACGGTGATACCATTCCTCTAGTAGAATCTGCGATACACCTAACGCTAAACGAGCTAGCCAGAAATCTGATATATTTACCTTTCTGTGCTCTTCACACCTAGCGTATAACACTTACAGTATATCAGAAGTGGGTCCTATCGAAATCAAGACATTATGCTACTCGCGTACAAAGTAAGCAACTGGAGAACTAATTGCATAGAGTATTTACTCTTTTCGATAAAGATTCAAATATGTTGGGATAACTAAGCAGCCTGGTCTATAGTAGCTTTCGCATGTGCACGTAGCGTATAGCGTTTGGGAAACAAAGACCCGCACTTCACACGAGGCAAGCTAGAACCCGCGGGCTTAAGGCTCGAAGATGAATAGTTGACAATGCCCATAGTCAGGCACAGAAGCTGCTATTTTGCATGTCTGCAACTGACTTCATAGGCGGAGAATGAGATATGACAGCCTAGGTAAGCGTGCCAATAATAAGTACCCCGGCATACTTTCGATTGCAATAGTCGAAGAACCCATCCAGAATTCCCTGCAACCACCAGATTAGCGTACTGGGTCGATATTATTTCAGGTAGTACTCACTTGTAAGCTATTCTAGGAAGTGACATAGCATAATAGTCTAAGGTATCCTGGACCGTGCCACGCCTTCTGAAAAACGATACTTGTGCAATTGAGAGACGAAGTATGCCAGAGGCTTTGTAACAACCCCAGAGGCGATCATCTTAAGCTAGTGCCATAGTACACTAGCATAGTGGCTCACTTGCTTTCATAGATCTTACGGCCTATAGCAAGGATGTGCAAAGAATCAATAATATTAGAATGGCAGTGCATAAGGCATGTTATATCTTTACAAAAACGTGCACCAATTAGAGAATTGAACCAGTATTACCTACCCATCATAGAATTGGAAACCGATTTAAGGAAATGCAGAATTACAGAACCATGCAATATCTTTCTCCAGCCGATGGCATAGAGTGAAAAACAGCTCTATAGGCCAAGTACAAAATAGTTTGGCTTTATTGGGGGTTTAAAGACCCAGCGGGTCACACCAAAAAGCATAGCCCTTTAGGCCCTACTTTTCAAGCTGTCTTGGTAGTTGCATCTCTGGAAAGGCCAATTTTCTATCCACTGGTCCAGTACACGGGCGTAGACTAGCTGGCATACCTCATAAGAAAGGACTATAAAGAAAGTATCAACAGGTCTTACGATCGAAGCGTAGCATTATCTATCTTAAATGAATGTGCACAGTGATTAGCTAACCCTTTGCTGCAGTTTTAAGCCAGTCGATAGCCTGAATTCCGCTAGTGTTATGTATTATTCTTTGCGGTATGCACCAGGTGCGTTAATGTCATATAAAAGGGCACTGCATAGATTTTCTAGCACACCCTAAAAATGGTAGCTTGCTGGTTTACCATAAGAAGTGCAGCCTTATTGGATTTTCTATCTGAACTGTTCATACACGTTACTGAGATCGAAATCAGCACCTTTGTATTAGAAGGGAACTTAGGTCAATAGTTCTCTGGTATCTCTGATTTAGCTACATGGTGTTGTTTCCATAGGATAAAGTATCTATTTCTGGTAGGAAGAGTGTGACAACCTTCCTTCTATGCCCTTTATTACCTGTTGCTTTTTGCTTAGTAATAACAGCTCCGTGGCTAGATACCCTGTAGAGTAAGCTGTGCGTACTTCATCTAGGACTTTAAGAACTAAGCACAGAGTAGTCAGACTGAGATAATATTGCAACTTATGCTATTGCCTACTCATCAGGCATGCATTGTGCACTCTCAGAACTATACAAAGAGCAGTCCAACGCACATATAAGGTTAACGTAAAAGTGCACCAGGCATGACTAATACCTTTTGAGTTGTAGTTACTCGATTATATAGTATAACACATTATAACCAAGCACGATGTAGTAAAATCTACCATATAGAAGGGACCAGGGGCTTTTTTTCGATCTCGTCCCTCCTCTAACATCAACAACTCTAAAGATGGGCCCAAAGATAGAGTACGTTGTTAAGCTTGCTGACAACGTGGTGATATGGATGAATACCTAGATTGTCGAACCGATCCAAGTGACTTAAGGAATAACCTAGACCACAGCTGTATCCACACATCCAGAGGGAATTACACCAAACTGGAATAGACATAAGGCAAGCATGTTACTGCTGTGATTGCGAAGGTCATAAGAGTTGCATCCCTAAGTAATTAGAGAGAGGATCAGTTTTATCTTTTGATTCTTTAGGCTTCAAAGAGACATGGTGGAGTAGCACTATGCTATCTGCTGTTCTACCGTACATATAAGATGTACACTATATTTGTTACTAGCGATCTTGTTGGAATGCATAACCTTTTTATTGCCTTACATGGGCCTCAGTCTCCATTTCCAGGTATTCCCAGGGGTATCTCGTGAGCACATTAGCAGCGATGGATAATCCTTAGCCAGTTTTCGATGTCTGTAATTCTATTATTGCTAGAAGAAAAAGAGCTATCAGATCCATACATCCACGTTGCTTTACATATTAGATCCCTCGAGCTTTTCATCAGGCTTGTCTTATGGCTCTATCTATGCTGTTTCATCTTTGAGTCTGGGAAGATCTATCTCAAAATTATCATTCTAACGGTTGCCTATCTTAAGAGGTTTATGTTTACCATATATGTAATATATATTTAGTAGCTCTTAAGATTACTGAATATCATGTTGCTAACTCTATCATTGGCAGCGATATATGCCCATCAACTAACTCATGTAACAGTAACCAGCTTCCACCATCGCGGTTGATCTTGCAGGACTATCTCGAGAGATCACCACATCTAGTGCAAGCTTTATATGCTTCTGTGCACTCCAATGCTATCGTAGTATCTGGGATTTACTGCTAAAAACTTCTAGGTCTAACATTGTGATGGCAATCCTGCAGTGCCATATCATAAGTCAGACAACAAGGCACAGGGGCCATGGATAAAAAGAACAAGGGTATTAACGTGCCGAGATTTATAGCAGTCCAACTCTTGTATGTTTTTGTAATCCTTTGTTAGGATCGAGTGCTTGAATAGTCTCGCAAAATAAGAAAGTGGATCGAGGCCTATTTTCATCCGTGTTCCTGTGAAGGTCTATTCCGAAGATCTTGGAGGCTTGAACGCTTCTACCACATAAAAATCTATTGTACTTATAGGTGCCTTACTAGATCACCCCAGCGACCGATACCCTCGCAATGTCCATGACTCCGGGACATACGTCTTGTAGTGATGCTAGTGCTAAGACGTCAAAATGTAAAGTTTGTCTATACTAAGCTCTAGAAATTATGCTACCTGGAGATGCTTCCTCAGAAGCATGTTTTTCAATTCAACGTACAATTACCTTGCTTCATAGGAATACCTTACTTCATATTGGCCTTTCCCCATGGAATCAGCTCTACTAGGAAACTCTGAGCCAATACTGAATTCTGGTTATCACCCCTGCCATCCCAGCCAAATGGGTAGAAGCCTTGCCCTGATAATCCTCTATTGAGTCTACTACCGAAGTCGATGTAATCATTCATTAGAGCTTTTGAATTGGAGATTAGCTGTAATTCAGCTAACTTCCAAGGACTTGTCTTTTCTATAGAGTCAGGGATGTCTATCTCTTGTTCTGGTCTGTGAAATGCATTATTGCAGTGATTATATCTTTTTTGAGACACGCCAGGCTATAACACTTATGTATCACAGATTCTGTTGCCGGCTGATGGTGCACAATTCACGTTTTAGTGACATGTAATTATACCATGACAGGTCTGTGTGGAGCCTACGTACTTTCACATAGCTCGCCTCATTGTGTTTACAGAACACAGGCAAGTGTACTCCCAGTGACAAACATCTCTTCCTGCACTAATCTCATCATAAAGCGACTTGTACTAAGCTCAAGGATCATGTAAACACCTTTATGGTGTACTTGCTGCACATAATCTTAACAAGCACGTAACTAGAGTTCTTGGCCGGTAGATCTTGCATCTGCGAATATGGATTGTTTAGATTTGTACCTTTTTTGGCTCAGTACTCATTACAATACTTTACCTACTGCCAGTAATTCTATTAAATAGAACTGAGTCATGTTCAATTTATAGACAGAAAGCAAAAGCTATGCGTCAGGCGATGCGAATTGTCTGAAGCCTGATCCGCTACCGTAAGGTGATCACAGGCACTAGACGCAGTCTTGGCTTATATTTCTTTTTTGACACATCTCTCCTACGGTGAGCAGAGCGTTCTAGCCCATCTTAATCAGGAAGAACGACACTAGAGTACAGCCGAGAATACCAACTAATCGGATTAAGAGGATGCCAGTCTATGCAGAAAATGCTGAGGAGGAAAAGCCCCCAGTAGGCAAGGGGATTAGTGGATAGTTGATACAAGTAAGGTTGCAAGGCCACCCGTGTCGACTGAGAAGCAAAACATGACGGGAACTCGGCGTCGCGTAGTGGCACTCTTAGCTTTCCGTTTCTATTTTCGAAAGAGGCACGAAATGTTTGCTTGGAGGTTTTTGACTATATTCCACGGGGAAACTGTAAAAATCTACACCTAGCGCTAATGTGCATACTATTGTGTGAGTTTTATTCCCTCCCATGATAAGCGAAGCTCAAATACAAGAGCAGTACTGATGAAGCTATATACAAACGACTAGTTAAGGATCCCATAAAATATTATAACTTGCTTTTAATTTTATGTTAACAACTCTACTCCTTTAGGTCAAAGACAGACCTATGCAGTAGGCCATTCTCGACATAGCATACCTTTGTTTTCACTTTCGTTGCTTTACCTGACTTATATAAGATCAATAGTTTTATGTTTTCTTCATTGTTACTAGATTGGTTCAGAGATTAGGTTAAAGGAAAATGGCAATTAAACATGAGTTCTAGACTTTAATGTTATCAGTAATCCCTTTGATATGCACGATAGTGCTAGCAAAGAACATGGCAAAGGCAACGGACTGCAACCCACCGATAGACGGCTGTAGCACGTGCACCGGCACGGGTGACGGACAGACCTGCACGGGCTGTACGGCGGGCGACCAGAAGGTCCAGCCGAACGGAAAGGGCTGCATAGCGGGATGTCCCCCCAACTCGGACGACGTAGGAGGGATCTGCACTTGCAAGAGCACGCACAAGCCGTCAGACAATGGGCAGACGTGTGTCCCGAAAACGGACTGCAACCCACCGATAGACGGCTGTAGCACGTGCACCGGCACGGGTGACGGACAGACCTGCACGGGCTGTACGGCGGGCGACCAGAAGGTCCAGCCGAACGGAAAGGGCTGCATAGCGGGATGTCCCCCCAACTCGGACGACGTAGGAGGGATCTGCACTTGCAAGAGCACGCACAAGCCGTCAGACAATGGGCAGACGTGTGTCCCGAAAACGGACTGCAACCCACCGATAGACGGCTGTAGCACGTGCACCGGCACGGGTGACGGACAGACCTGCACGGGCTGTACGGCGGGCGACCAGAAGGTCCAGCCGAACGGAAAGGGCTGCATAGCGGGATGTCCCCCCAACTCGGACGACGTAGGAGGGATCTGCACTTGCAAGAGCACGCACAAGCCGTCAGACAATGGGCAGACGTGTGTCCCGAAAACGGACTGCAACCCACCGATAGACGGCTGTAGCACGTGCACCGGCACGGGTGACGGACAGACCTGCACGGGCTGTACGGCGGGCGACCAGAAGGTCCAGCCGAACGGAAAGGGCTGCATAGCGGGATGTCCCCCCAACTCGGACGACGTAGGAGGGATCTGCACTTGCAAGAGCACGCACAAGCCGTCAGACAATGGGCAGACGTGTGTCCCGAAAACGGACTGCAACCCACCGATAGACGGCTGTAGCACGTGCACCGGCACGGGTGACGGACAGACCTGCACGGGCTGTACGGCGGGCGACCAGAAGGTCCAGCCGAACGGAAAGGGCTGCATAGCGGGATGTCCCCCCAACTCGGACGACGTAGGAGGGATCTGCACTTGCAAGAGCACGCACAAGCCGTCAGACAATGGGCAGACGTGTGTCCCGAAAACGGACTGCAACCCACCGATAGACGGCTGTAGCACGTGCACCGGCACGGGTGACGGACAGACCTGCACGGGCTGTACGGCGGGCGACCAGAAGGTCCAGCCGAACGGAAAGGGCTGCATAGCGGGATGTCCCCCCAACTCGGACGACGTAGGAGGGATCTGCACTTGCAAGAGCACGCACAAGCCGTCAGACAATGGGCAGACGTGTGTCCCGAAAACGGACTGCAACCCACCGATAGACGGCTGTAGCACGTGCACCGGCACGGGTGACGGACAGACCTGCACGGGCTGTACGGCGGGCGACCAGAAGGTCCAGCCGAACGGAAAGGGCTGCATAGCGGGATGTCCCCCCAACTCGGACGACGTAGGAGGGATCTGCACTTGCAAGAGCACGCACAAGCCGTCAGACAATGGGCAGACGTGTGTCCCGAAAACGGACTGCAACCCACCGATAGACGGCTGTAGCACGTGCACCGGCACGGGTGACGGACAGACCTGCACGGGCTGTACGGCGGGCGACCAGAAGGTCCAGCCGAACGGAAAGGGCTGCATAGCGGGATGTCCCCCCAACTCGGACGACGTAGGAGGGATCTGCACTTGCAAGAGCACGCACAAGCCGTCAGACAATGGGCAGACGTGTGTCCCGAAAACGGACTGCAACCCACCGATAGACGGCTGTAGCACGTGCACCGGCACGGGTGACGGACAGACCTGCACGGGCTGTACGGCGGGCGACCAGAAGGTCCAGCCGAACGGAAAGGGCTGCATAGCGGGATGTCCCCCCAACTCGGACGACGTAGGAGGGATCTGCACTTGCAAGAGCACGCACAAGCCGTCAGACAATGGGCAGACGTGTGTCCCGAAAACGGACTGCAACCCACCGATAGACGGCTGTAGCACGTGCACCGGCACGGGTGACGGACAGACCTGCACGGGCTGTACGGCGGGCGACCAGAAGGTCCAGCCGAACGGAAAGGGCTGCATAGCGGGATGTCCCCCCAACTCGGACGACGTAGGAGGGATCTGCACTTGCAAGAGCACGCACAAGCCGTCAGACAATGGGCAGACGTGTGTCCCGAAAACGGACTGCAACCCACCGATAGACGGCTGTAGCACGTGCACCGGCACGGGTGACGGACAGACCTGCACGGGCTGTACGGCGGGCGACCAGAAGGTCCAGCCGAACGGAAAGGGCTGCATAGCGGGATGTCCCCCCAACTCGGACGACGTAGGAGGGATCTGCACTTGCAAGAGCACGCACAAGCCGTCAGACAATGGGCAGACGTGTGTCCCGAAAACGGACTGCAACCCACCGATAGACGGCTGTAGCACGTGCACCGGCACGGGTGACGGACAGACCTGCACGGGCTGTACGGCGGGCGACCAGAAGGTCCAGCCGAACGGAAAGGGCTGCATAGCGGGATGTCCCCCCAACTCGGACGACGTAGGAGGGATCTGCACTTGCAAGAGCACGCACAAGCCGTCAGACAATGGGCAGACGTGTGTCCCGAAAACGGACTGCAACCCACCGATAGACGGCTGTAGCACGTGCACCGGCACGGGTGACGGACAGACCTGCACGGGCTGTACGGCGGGCGACCAGAAGGTCCAGCCGAACGGAAAGGGCTGCATAGCGGGATGTCCCCCCAACTCGGACGACGTAGGAGGGATCTGCACTTGCAAGAGCACGCACAAGCCGTCAGACAATGGGCAGACGTGTGTCCCGAAAACGGACTGCAACCCACCGATAGACGGCTGTAGCACGTGCACCGGCACGGGTGACGGACAGACCTGCACGGGCTGTACGGCGGGCGACCAGAAGGTCCAGCCGAACGGAAAGGGCTGCATAGCGGGATGTCCCCCCAACTCGGACGACGTAGGAGGGATCTGCACTTGCAAGAGCACGCACAAGCCGTCAGACAATGGGCAGACGTGTGTCCCGAAAACGGACTGCAACCCACCGATAGACGGCTGTAGCACGTGCACCGGCACGGGTGACGGACAGACCTGCACGGGCTGTACGGCGGGCGACCAGAAGGTCCAGCCGAACGGAAAGGGCTGCATAGCGGGATGTCCCCCCAACTCGGACGACGTAGGAGGGATCTGCACTTGCAAGAGCACGCACAAGCCGTCAGACAATGGGCAGACGTGTGTCCCGAAAACGGACTGCAACCCACCGATAGACGGCTGTAGCACGTGCACCGGCACGGGTGACGGACAGACCTGCACGGGCTGTACGGCGGGCGACCAGAAGGTCCAGCCGAACGGAAAGGGCTGCATAGCGGGATGTCCCCCCAACTCGGACGACGTAGGAGGGATCTGCACTTGCAAGAGCACGCACAAGCCGTCAGACAATGGGCAGACGTGTGTCCCGAAAACGGACTGCAACCCACCGATAGACGGCTGTAGCACGTGCACCGGCACGGGTGACGGACAGACCTGCACGGGCTGTACGGCGGGCGACCAGAAGGTCCAGCCGAACGGAAAGGGCTGCATAGCGGGATGTCCCCCCAACTCGGACGACGTAGGAGGGATCTGCACTTGCAAGAGCACGCACAAGCCGTCAGACAATGGGCAGACGTGTGTCCCGAAAACGGACTGCAACCCACCGATAGACGGCTGTAGCACGTGCACCGGCACGGGTGACGGACAGACCTGCACGGGCTGTACGGCGGGCGACCAGAAGGTCCAGCCGAACGGAAAGGGCTGCATAGCGGGATGTCCCCCCAACTCGGACGACGTAGGAGGGATCTGCACTTGCAAGAGCACGCACAAGCCGTCAGACAATGGGCAGACGTGTGTCCCGAAAACGGACTGCAACCCACCGATAGACGGCTGTAGCACGTGCACCGGCACGGGTGACGGACAGACCTGCACGGGCTGTACGGCGGGCGACCAGAAGGTCCAGCCGAACGGAAAGGGCTGCATAGCGGGATGTCCCCCCAACTCGGACGACGTAGGAGGGATCTGCACTTGCAAGAGCACGCACAAGCCGTCAGACAATGGGCAGACGTGTGTCCCGAAAACGGACTGCAACCCACCGATAGACGGCTGTAGCACGTGCACCGGCACGGGTGACGGACAGACCTGCACGGGCTGTACGGCGGGCGACCAGAAGGTCCAGCCGAACGGAAAGGGCTGCATAGCGGGATGTCCCCCCAACTCGGACGACGTAGGAGGGATCTGCACTTGCAAGAGCACGCACAAGCCGTCAGACAATGGGCAGACGTGTGTCCCGAAAACGGACTGCAACCCACCGATAGACGGCTGTAGCACGTGCACCGGCACGGGTGACGGACAGACCTGCACGGGCTGTACGGCGGGCGACCAGAAGGTCCAGCCGAACGGAAAGGGCTGCATAGCGGGATGTCCCCCCAACTCGGACGACGTAGGAGGGATCTGCACTTGCAAGAGCACGCACAAGCCGTCAGACAATGGGCAGACGTGTGTCCCGAAAACGGACTGCAACCCACCGATAGACGGCTGTAGCACGTGCACCGGCACGGGTGACGGACAGACCTGCACGGGCTGTACGGCGGGCGACCAGAAGGTCCAGCCGAACGGAAAGGGCTGCATAGCGGGATGTCCCCCCAACTCGGACGACGTAGGAGGGATCTGCACTTGCAAGAGCACGCACAAGCCGTCAGACAATGGGCAGACGTGTGTCCCGAAAACGGACTGCAACCCACCGATAGACGGCTGTAGCACGTGCACCGGCACGGGTGACGGACAGACCTGCACGGGCTGTACGGCGGGCGACCAGAAGGTCCAGCCGAACGGAAAGGGCTGCATAGCGGGATGTCCCCCCAACTCGGACGACGTAGGAGGGATCTGCACTTGCAAGAGCACGCACAAGCCGTCAGACAATGGGCAGACGTGTGTCCCGAAAACGGACTGCAACCCACCGATAGACGGCTGTAGCACGTGCACCGGCACGGGTGACGGACAGACCTGCACGGGCTGTACGGCGGGCGACCAGAAGGTCCAGCCGAACGGAAAGGGCTGCATAGCGGGATGTCCCCCCAACTCGGACGACGTAGGAGGGATCTGCACTTGCAAGAGCACGCACAAGCCGTCAGACAATGGGCAGACGTGTGTCCCGAAAACGGACTGCAACCCACCGATAGACGGCTGTAGCACGTGCACCGGCACGGGTGACGGACAGACCTGCACGGGCTGTACGGCGGGCGACCAGAAGGTCCAGCCGAACGGAAAGGGCTGCATAGCGGGATGTCCCCCCAACTCGGACGACGTAGGAGGGATCTGCACTTGCAAGAGCACGCACAAGCCGTCAGACAATGGGCAGACGTGTGTCCCGAAAACGGACTGCAACCCACCGATAGACGGCTGTAGCACGTGCACCGGCACGGGTGACGGACAGACCTGCACGGGCTGTACGGCGGGCGACCAGAAGGTCCAGCCGAACGGAAAGGGCTGCATAGCGGGATGTCCCCCCAACTCGGACGACGTAGGAGGGATCTGCACTTGCAAGAGCACGCACAAGCCGTCAGACAATGGGCAGACGTGTGTCCCGAAAACGGACTGCAACCCACCGATAGACGGCTGTAGCACGTGCACCGGCACGGGTGACGGACAGACCTGCACGGGCTGTACGGCGGGCGACCAGAAGGTCCAGCCGAACGGAAAGGGCTGCATAGCGGGATGTCCCCCCAACTCGGACGACGTAGGAGGGATCTGCACTTGCAAGAGCACGCACAAGCCGTCAGACAATGGGCAGACGTGTGTCCCGAAAACGGACTGCAACCCACCGATAGACGGCTGTAGCACGTGCACCGGCACGGGTGACGGACAGACCTGCACGGGCTGTACGGCGGGCGACCAGAAGGTCCAGCCGAACGGAAAGGGCTGCATAGCGGGATGTCCCCCCAACTCGGACGACGTAGGAGGGATCTGCACTTGCAAGAGCACGCACAAGCCGTCAGACAATGGGCAGACGTGTGTCCCGAAAACGGACTGCAACCCACCGATAGACGGCTGTAGCACGTGCACCGGCACGGGTGACGGACAGACCTGCACGGGCTGTACGGCGGGCGACCAGAAGGTCCAGCCGAACGGAAAGGGCTGCATAGCGGGATGTCCCCCCAACTCGGACGACGTAGGAGGGATCTGCACTTGCAAGAGCACGCACAAGCCGTCAGACAATGGGCAGACGTGTGTCCCGAAAACGGACTGCAACCCACCGATAGACGGCTGTAGCACGTGCACCGGCACGGGTGACGGACAGACCTGCACGGGCTGTACGGCGGGCGACCAGAAGGTCCAGCCGAACGGAAAGGGCTGCATAGCGGGATGTCCCCCCAACTCGGACGACGTAGGAGGGATCTGCACTTGCAAGAGCACGCACAAGCCGTCAGACAATGGGCAGACGTGTGTCCCGAAAACGGACTGCAACCCACCGATAGACGGCTGTAGCACGTGCACCGGCACGGGTGACGGACAGACCTGCACGGGCTGTACGGCGGGCGACCAGAAGGTCCAGCCGAACGGAAAGGGCTGCATAGCGGGATGTCCCCCCAACTCGGACGACGTAGGAGGGATCTGCACTTGCAAGAGCACGCACAAGCCGTCAGACAATGGGCAGACGTGTGTCCCTTCTAATACCAACAAGAGTAGCGGCCTTTCTACCGGCGCCATCGCGGGCATCGCCGTGGCCGCTGTCATCGTCGTCGGGGGGCTCGTCGGCTTCCTCTGCTGGTGGTTCCTCTGCCGGGGCAAGGCGTAGATGCGTACTTAGGTAGTAAACGCGTCACTGTATATGGTTTATTACACTCTGCTGCTGGGCTAACCTGAGGACGTTGTCCAGAGATCGTGCGGGCGATCCTGCTCAAGCTCTGACCAGTCCAGGAACGAGGGCTGGTTGCGAATAACATAACAAGAGAGTCCTCTCCAGTGATGCATCTAGAGCCTGGGCATTCCTCGACCGCTCTACGGGGGTGTGCTCAGTCTGGGTGTGCACGTCGGCCCTTTCGGGGTTCAGGCCTTCTCGCAGACTCTCTGCTCTACCGGCGGTGACTCTCCTTGGTCTTCCTTCGTGGTGGGTGGAGCTCTGGCCGCCGTCTTTTTTAGATGCTCCCGTCTGTCAGGGGCTGCCATCGGGGCTCTCCACTGGCCGCCCCTCGGTGTCCGTCCGGCTGTGGTTCTGGGTCAGCGCTCTACAGTCGCGGTTACCTGGGTCTCAGCGGGCCAGCTGGTGGGGAGGCGGGGGGCGGTGTTGTATGTGCCCCTGGATCTGGCGGACCAGTGGAGTAGTGACTGTGGTGACTGGAGGCTATCCCTTTGTGACTCACCCCTCTGTGTGCTCGTGGTCTGTGAGTGCCTCCACCCAGACAACCCTCAGGAGCCGTGCACACCGGGACAGAGAGGATGACCAAGGGGAGTCAAGCAGCCCTGCCATGAGGGTGCACAGCAACCAGCCTGGGCTGTAGAGTCTGCTCGAGCGATGTAGTGGCAGACGACTCCCTCTGACAGTAACCCTGGTGACTGCACTGGCCTGCTCTCGAGGCTGAGTGACAGTGTATACAGATGGACATGAGTGCAGGAGGACCATCCACACACGGACAGACTGTGTGGACCCAGAGAGGACTGGAGTCTGCTCGGGACACGCTGACTATGTGCCCCCATACGAGAGTACCAGGCAACCACCCGAGCACCCGAGAGGCAGCAACAGACACGGGCACCAGAGATCCCCAGCCAGACAGCTGCCATGCTCATCCACAGGGGCATCAGAGGGCCAGGTGGGGTCACCCTCACAATCAGGGCCTGATAGGAAGCCAGAGGACTCAAACACTACAGCAGACCCAAGGGAGGCACGCTCCAGGCAGGTGAGCAGTGGCAGAGCCCTGACAGCTGCCAGCCTCTCCATGACACCCAGGCAGGCACGACTCACCGAAGACTCTGCTGGCCTCGACTGCCTCTATCAATGACCCGAGGGGGCAGCAGCCAGAGGAGTGAGGAGGCCTTCGGATGACACAAGAGGCCCGGCTGTCCAGCAGACGATGGAGCACAGGTGGCCTCTGAGCACCATAAGGCACAGAGCCGACCATCAGAGTGATGCCCGATCACAGAGACGACCACCAGCACCCTCCACCGCACTCTGAGGCTGTCAATCATCCCACTGCCTCTCATAGCAGACCTCCTTGGGGGCAGTGCAGTGGGTCCCAGCTCATGCAGGAGGGTGCACGCCTCCCTCAGTATAGGATGCCCCGACTCTCCCCGAGGGGTCATCAGAGCCATGAGAGGTGTCAAGGTCCTGGTGGATCACACCGGGAGCTCCCGAGGGCACAGCAGGTGATGTTGGGTGACCCTCAGCGTGCTTCTCTCTGCTGGTAGAGCATCTTGAGACCAAGGAGGATCACCCCTGCCTACGGATGATACACATCGCTCCATGACAAGGACCCACCAGGAGCAGCACAGCTGGCCACGGGGACAGTGCAGTTACCAGTGCCCCACCATGCCAGTCTTCGATGAACATCACACTAGAGGCCTGAGAGAACCCCATCCCATCCACAGGCTCATCCATGCCCCTGCTGGCCCAAGGTGAACTACCCCCGTCGAGGCACTGGACAGGGCATACCAGGGGCTCAGCAGACCCGCACAGAGCATCAGCGAGCAACAGGAGGGGCTGCGATGGCCTGCCTCAACCCTCACGCACCAGCCAGACAGAGAGGCAGTACTGCCTGAGATAAGGGGCCAAGGGAGGCGCTCAGTCAGGGGGACACGACACGATCGTCGGTGCCTCTGTCTCAGAGAGTGCAACGAAGGCTGGGGATCAGACACAGCCACCTTAGCAAACAGAACGGGGATCACCCACCACCGCAATGACCCACCGGTTCCAGAGGCACATACAAGCACCCCCCACCTCACCCCCCACCAGTCCCCTCCAGCCTCACCGCCCCATACCCCGCCTCCCCACCAGCTGGCCCGCTGAGACCCAGGTAACCGCGACTGTAGAGCGCTGACCCAGAACCACAGCCGGACGGACACCGAGGGGCGGCCAGTGGAGAGCCCCGATGGCAGCCCCTGACAGACGGGAGCATCTAAAAAAGACGGCGGCCAGAGCTCCACCCACCACGAAGGAAGACCAAGGAGAGTCACCGCCGGTAGAGCAGAGAGTCTGCGAGAAGGCCTGAACCCCGAAAGGGCCGACGTGCACACCCAGACTGAGCACACCCCCGTAGAGCGGTCGAGGAATGCCCAGGCTCTAGATGCATCACTGGAGAGGACTCTCTTGTTATGTTATTCGCAACCAGCCCTCGTTCCTGGACTGGTCAGAGCTTGAGCAGGATCGCCCGCACGATCTCTGGACAACGTCCTCAGGTTAGCCCAGCAGCAGAGTGTAATAAACCATATACAGTGACGCGTTTACTACCTAAGTACGCATCTACGCCTTGCCCCGGCAGAGGAACCACCAGCAGAGGAAGCCGACGAGCCCCCCGACGACGATGACAGCGGCCACGGCGATGCCCGCGATGGCGCCGGTAGAAAGGCCGCTACTCTTGTTGGTATTAGAAGGGACACACGTCTGCCCATTGTCTGACGGCTTGTGCGTGCTCTTGCAAGTGCAGATCCCTCCTACGTCGTCCGAGTTGGGGGGACATCCCGCTATGCAGCCCTTTCCGTTCGGCTGGACCTTCTGGTCGCCCGCCGTACAGCCCGTGCAGGTCTGTCCGTCACCCGTGCCGGTGCACGTGCTACAGCCGTCTATCGGTGGGTTGCAGTCCGTTTTCGGGACACACGTCTGCCCATTGTCTGACGGCTTGTGCGTGCTCTTGCAAGTGCAGATCCCTCCTACGTCGTCCGAGTTGGGGGGACATCCCGCTATGCAGCCCTTTCCGTTCGGCTGGACCTTCTGGTCGCCCGCCGTACAGCCCGTGCAGGTCTGTCCGTCACCCGTGCCGGTGCACGTGCTACAGCCGTCTATCGGTGGGTTGCAGTCCGTTGCCTTTGCCATGTTCTTTGCTAGCACTATCGTGCATATCAAAGGGATTACTGATAACATTAAAGTCTAGAACTCATGTTTAATTGCCATTTTCCTTTAACCTAATCTCTGAACCAATCTAGTAACAATGAAGAAAACATAAAACTATTGATCTTATATAAGTCAGGTAAAGCAACGAAAGTGAAAACAAAGGTATGCTATGTCGAGAATGGCCTACTGCATAGGTCTGTCTTTGACCTAAAGGAGTAGAGTTGTTAACATAAAATTAAAAGCAAGTTATAATATTTTATGGGATCCTTAACTAGTCGTTTGTATATAGCTTCATCAGTACTGCTCTTGTATTTGAGCTTCGCTTATCATGGGAGGGAATAAAACTCACACAATAGTATGCACATTAGCGCTAGGTGTAGATTTTTACAGTTTCCCCGTGGAATATAGTCAAAAACCTCCAAGCAAACATTTCGTGCCTCTTTCGAAAATAGAAACGGAAAGCTAAGAGTGCCACTACGCGACGCCGAGTTCCCGTCATGTTTTGCTTCTCAGTCGACACGGGTGGCCTTGCAACCTTACTTGTATCAACTATCCACTAATCCCCTTGCCTACTGGGGGCTTTTCCTCCTCAGCATTTTCTGCATAGACTGGCATCCTCTTAATCCGATTAGTTGGTATTCTCGGCTGTACTCTAGTGTCGTTCTTCCTGATTAAGATGGGCTAGAACGCTCTGCTCACCGTAGGAGAGATGTGTCAAAAAAGAAATATAAGCCAAGACTGCGTCTAGTGCCTGTGATCACCTTACGGTAGCGGATCAGGCTTCAGACAATTCGCATCGCCTGACGCATAGCTTTTGCTTTCTGTCTATAAATTGAACATGACTCAGTTCTATTTAATAGAATTACTGGCAGTAGGTAAAGTATTGTAATGAGTACTGAGCCAAAAAAGGTACAAATCTAAACAATCCATATTCGCAGATGCAAGATCTACCGGCCAAGAACTCTAGTTACGTGCTTGTTAAGATTATGTGCAGCAAGTACACCATAAAGGTGTTTACATGATCCTTGAGCTTAGTACAAGTCGCTTTATGATGAGATTAGTGCAGGAAGAGATGTTTGTCACTGGGAGTACACTTGCCTGTGTTCTGTAAACACAATGAGGCGAGCTATGTGAAAGTACGTAGGCTCCACACAGACCTGTCATGGTATAATTACATGTCACTAAAACGTGAATTGTGCACCATCAGCCGGCAACAGAATCTGTGATACATAAGTGTTATAGCCTGGCGTGTCTCAAAAAAGATATAATCACTGCAATAATGCATTTCACAGACCAGAACAAGAGATAGACATCCCTGACTCTATAGAAAAGACAAGTCCTTGGAAGTTAGCTGAATTACAGCTAATCTCCAATTCAAAAGCTCTAATGAATGATTACATCGACTTCGGTAGTAGACTCAATAGAGGATTATCAGGGCAAGGCTTCTACCCATTTGGCTGGGATGGCAGGGGTGATAACCAGAATTCAGTATTGGCTCAGAGTTTCCTAGTAGAGCTGATTCCATGGGGAAAGGCCAATATGAAGTAAGGTATTCCTATGAAGCAAGGTAATTGTACGTTGAATTGAAAAACATGCTTCTGAGGAAGCATCTCCAGGTAGCATAATTTCTAGAGCTTAGTATAGACAAACTTTACATTTTGACGTCTTAGCACTAGCATCACTACAAGACGTATGTCCCGGAGTCATGGACATTGCGAGGGTATCGGTCGCTGGGGTGATCTAGTAAGGCACCTATAAGTACAATAGATTTTTATGTGGTAGAAGCGTTCAAGCCTCCAAGATCTTCGGAATAGACCTTCACAGGAACACGGATGAAAATAGGCCTCGATCCACTTTCTTATTTTGCGAGACTATTCAAGCACTCGATCCTAACAAAGGATTACAAAAACATACAAGAGTTGGACTGCTATAAATCTCGGCACGTTAATACCCTTGTTCTTTTTATCCATGGCCCCTGTGCCTTGTTGTCTGACTTATGATATGGCACTGCAGGATTGCCATCACAATGTTAGACCTAGAAGTTTTTAGCAGTAAATCCCAGATACTACGATAGCATTGGAGTGCACAGAAGCATATAAAGCTTGCACTAGATGTGGTGATCTCTCGAGATAGTCCTGCAAGATCAACCGCGATGGTGGAAGCTGGTTACTGTTACATGAGTTAGTTGATGGGCATATATCGCTGCCAATGATAGAGTTAGCAACATGATATTCAGTAATCTTAAGAGCTACTAAATATATATTACATATATGGTAAACATAAACCTCTTAAGATAGGCAACCGTTAGAATGATAATTTTGAGATAGATCTTCCCAGACTCAAAGATGAAACAGCATAGATAGAGCCATAAGACAAGCCTGATGAAAAGCTCGAGGGATCTAATATGTAAAGCAACGTGGATGTATGGATCTGATAGCTCTTTTTCTTCTAGCAATAATAGAATTACAGACATCGAAAACTGGCTAAGGATTATCCATCGCTGCTAATGTGCTCACGAGATACCCCTGGGAATACCTGGAAATGGAGACTGAGGCCCATGTAAGGCAATAAAAAGGTTATGCATTCCAACAAGATCGCTAGTAACAAATATAGTGTACATCTTATATGTACGGTAGAACAGCAGATAGCATAGTGCTACTCCACCATGTCTCTTTGAAGCCTAAAGAATCAAAAGATAAAACTGATCCTCTCTCTAATTACTTAGGGATGCAACTCTTATGACCTTCGCAATCACAGCAGTAACATGCTTGCCTTATGTCTATTCCAGTTTGGTGTAATTCCCTCTGGATGTGTGGATATAGCTGTGGTCTAGGTTATTCCTTAAGTCACTTGGATCGGTTCGACAATCTAGGTATTCATCCATATCACCACGTTGTCAGCAAGCTTAACAACGTACTCTATCTTTGGGCCCATCTTTAGAGTTGTTGATGTTAGAGGAGGGACGAGATCGAAAAAAAGCCCCTGGTCCCTTCTATATGGTAGATTTTACTACATCGTGCTTGGTTATAATGTGTTATACTATATAATCGAGTAACTACAACTCAAAAGGTATTAGTCATGCCTGGTGCACTTTTACGTTAACCTTATATGTGCGTTGGACTGCTCTTTGTATAGTTCTGAGAGTGCACAATGCATGCCTGATGAGTAGGCAATAGCATAAGTTGCAATATTATCTCAGTCTGACTACTCTGTGCTTAGTTCTTAAAGTCCTAGATGAAGTACGCACAGCTTACTCTACAGGGTATCTAGCCACGGAGCTGTTATTACTAAGCAAAAAGCAACAGGTAATAAAGGGCATAGAAGGAAGGTTGTCACACTCTTCCTACCAGAAATAGATACTTTATCCTATGGAAACAACACCATGTAGCTAAATCAGAGATACCAGAGAACTATTGACCTAAGTTCCCTTCTAATACAAAGGTGCTGATTTCGATCTCAGTAACGTGTATGAACAGTTCAGATAGAAAATCCAATAAGGCTGCACTTCTTATGGTAAACCAGCAAGCTACCATTTTTAGGGTGTGCTAGAAAATCTATGCAGTGCCCTTTTATATGACATTAACGCACCTGGTGCATACCGCAAAGAATAATACATAACACTAGCGGAATTCAGGCTATCGACTGGCTTAAAACTGCAGCAAAGGGTTAGCTAATCACTGTGCACATTCATTTAAGATAGATAATGCTACGCTTCGATCGTAAGACCTGTTGATACTTTCTTTATAGTCCTTTCTTATGAGGTATGCCAGCTAGTCTACGCCCGTGTACTGGACCAGTGGATAGAAAATTGGCCTTTCCAGAGATGCAACTACCAAGACAGCTTGAAAAGTAGGGCCTAAAGGGCTATGCTTTTTGGTGTGACCCGCTGGGTCTTTAAACCCCCAATAAAGCCAAACTATTTTGTACTTGGCCTATAGAGCTGTTTTTCACTCTATGCCATCGGCTGGAGAAAGATATTGCATGGTTCTGTAATTCTGCATTTCCTTAAATCGGTTTCCAATTCTATGATGGGTAGGTAATACTGGTTCAATTCTCTAATTGGTGCACGTTTTTGTAAAGATATAACATGCCTTATGCACTGCCATTCTAATATTATTGATTCTTTGCACATCCTTGCTATAGGCCGTAAGATCTATGAAAGCAAGTGAGCCACTATGCTAGTGTACTATGGCACTAGCTTAAGATGATCGCCTCTGGGGTTGTTACAAAGCCTCTGGCATACTTCGTCTCTCAATTGCACAAGTATCGTTTTTCAGAAGGCGTGGCACGGTCCAGGATACCTTAGACTATTATGCTATGTCACTTCCTAGAATAGCTTACAAGTGAGTACTACCTGAAATAATATCGACCCAGTACGCTAATCTGGTGGTTGCAGGGAATTCTGGATGGGTTCTTCGACTATTGCAATCGAAAGTATGCCGGGGTACTTATTATTGGCACGCTTACCTAGGCTGTCATATCTCATTCTCCGCCTATGAAGTCAGTTGCAGACATGCAAAATAGCAGCTTCTGTGCCTGACTATGGGCATTGTCAACTATTCATCTTCGAGCCTTAAGCCCGCGGGTTCTAGCTTGCCTCGTGTGAAGTGCGGGTCTTTGTTTCCCAAACGCTATACGCTACGTGCACATGCGAAAGCTACTATAGACCAGGCTGCTTAGTTATCCCAACATATTTGAATCTTTATCGAAAAGAGTAAATACTCTATGCAATTAGTTCTCCAGTTGCTTACTTTGTACGCGAGTAGCATAATGTCTTGATTTCGATAGGACCCACTTCTGATATACTGTAAGTGTTATACGCTAGGTGTGAAGAGCACAGAAAGGTAAATATATCAGATTTCTGGCTAGCTCGTTTAGCGTTAGGTGTATCGCAGATTCTACTAGAGGAATGGTATCACCGTAAATGTTTGCTCATTAATCTTGCTCCTGTAGTGACTCGTCTCTGCCCTGGACTAGCGACATTCGGGTTTTCAGCATGACATGTGCTACGATACTTTGTTAGCCAGTGACTTGCTCCGCCTTTCTGCATAAATTAGCAGCATCTACCAGACATCATAGCCTGCGCCTGTATCTATTTGCTGCTGACTGGCATCGTTTGCTCGATAAAGTTATTGACATAGTCTGTACATAGCTAGAGCATGCATGCTTGAGCTTATCTCATCTAGCGACCTAGAAGCACAGGACATGCATTGCATGCAGATTAGCACAAGCTGTGTTGCCTTGCCATGTCTCATTAGATGTCTTCCCTGACACAATAGTTGTAGAATTCATGGTTACATCGCCAAAGAAGAGACTGGACTGGGGCCGTCCGGGTAGATGAGCAGGCCATCATGGCTAGAGCTCGCTGTTCATCCCACTTTAGGAGATATCTTGATCAGTATGGACAGACCATGGCAGCTACCTGCTTCTTATGCTGTACGGGCGTATCTGGTGCAGACTCAGTGTGTGTTGACAAGTCTTTTCCGGATATGCAGGTATCGGTTTATCTACGCCCTTCCATAGGCTGTCCTTCTCTGACGTTTGTGCGTCGTTTGTACAGCGTCTAGCCGGATTCTGCCTGTTTCGTGGCAGACCCCACTAGAAACCAACAGCATCCCTGACTACAAAAGGTGCCTATCAGAGCTTGGCCTGCGGCCTGTTTGTTCCAACTCCGCGTCTTCCGCTCCTTCTGGTCCAACGAAATGCACGCCTGCTCCCCCGGAAGACAGCTGGACCGCGGCTGTGTGCAGGGTACGTTGCCGGGCCCGCTTCTGCCTTCAGCTGCAAAGGCCTGGACGGGCCCCCGCTCCAGGAGGGTCTGGGCCCATTCGGCCAGGTGGCCCCGCGTCCGCTAGGGGGTCGGCTTGGACTCTCCTTCATGAGGGCTGTTGCTAGCTCGAGGAGTGTCCTTGTTATCTAAACAGATCTCTTTATCGTAATAATGGTTCTTGGTCTATCAATACACTGACCAGTCTTTGTGCTACCTGGGCTTTATGTGACTTCATTGCCCACAGACCTTATATTTATCTCTTGAACTTCCGTGTTATCTCTTCTTTATCTGGCTTAACTCAATATTCTTTGCAACCGACTTACACATCAAAATAGCACCGGTAATGTTCTACCGTAGAAATCGATAAAGCCGATTATTGGACGAATAAATTGTACGAGAGAGAAACGTGATGTTAATAAATTGCTTCTGACGCTACGAGCTGCCTTTCAGTTAGCGTTGGAAGCCTACGTCTTCATTGCCTATTACAGCCATTTATGAGTCTTCCCGTCACAGCACTGTGTTTAGCTGGCTCAACGGGGCAACTGTATGCAATATCTGGAAGCACAATCTACCGAGGAGCTACTCCTGTCGCCGCCTTGAATCATGATGGTATCAAATCAGCGGTTTCATGCGCTTCATTTTGGTCACCATATCTTGTTGTCTGTGCCGGACGAGTGATCTCTATTTACAAATGCACAGATGACAATTTGTCCTTTGATCATCTAGTATCATGTCCATCTGTAGCTTTATCCGTTCTTCCAAGCAACAAACTATGGCTTATTTCCTTCATAACAGGCGATTGGGGCTGTTTGGATGTGTCCACTGGGACCCTGTCTTATCACAAGGGAAGCACCGGTATCTTCTTTTCCTCTCGGTTTCTTGGATTTCTATTTCCCAGGAAGGCTCTTCTCGCTCTGGGCTCTGCAGCGCCTCTGGTCGAGCTTTGTCTCATTGATGTGGAGCAAATGACGTATGAGTGCATAGCAACAATTTGTACACCCTCATTTCCTGTCCTCTGCCTTACATCTCATCATGTGTTAAATTCTAGCCATTCTTTTGATTGCCTTTATCTTCTTTTAGCTCTGAGCTGCAAGCACGCACACATTTTCTCTCTGGCTTTTTCCTGGGATAATAGGACGAACATAACCGTACATACAAATGATTGGCCCATACTAGACAACGTGTCTCGGCTCTACTCAGGACATTTAGATAGGACTAGTATCTACCTGGGTGATGAAACTGGCAACATTCACAGGTATGCATACTCATATAAATATGGCTCTGACTTGCTGTCTACTTTAGACTACCGTGCACGTTTACATGGCGGGATCGTGAAAGACATGGTTGTCTTCGAGAGGAGGCTTTTCACATGTGGAGAAGACGGCGCAGTGCTGTCGCATAGCTTAGAAGACCTTGCCCACAAACTAGTTGAGCTACCACTAGAACATGCGTACACTGGAAATGCAGGAATACACCATAAGAGGGATCCTGTGTGCCTTCACAGTACTATGGTTTATTTTGCCGACACGTATTGCATAGTTATATATTTGTGTGACGCGATTCTTGTTTCCAATTTTTCATCTGTTCTGTTGATCTCCTTACCAGGCCAAAAACCAAATTGTTTCGATGAATTTGTCACAAAGAAGGGAGACCTTATTATAATAGTAGGCTACACTATTTCTTTAATATATTATGTACAAGTATCACTATCTCCATTTGAAGTGTCTAAGGTCAACGTACTAAACTTTGCCAGCCACCTTCGACTATGCGCTCAGACGATCGACTCAAACATACCAAACAATCTGGGAGTCTCTTCATGCCACTTATTGCATCAGAACACTAGCACTACAGATCTATTTGTATTTATTTACGGAATTGGCGCTGCTATTGTTTCATGCCAGCAAAACTTGTTGACAGTACTGTCTGTGTTAATACATCAGCGTATTCCATCACTCAATTACATATATCTCACTAGCATAGAGACAGGTGTCACCTCTGTTCAAAGCACAAATCAAATGGATCTGAAAGCACTCGGGCCGCTAACTTCATCCATTCTCAGGTTTTCTGATGGATCATCCCTTGTCTTTATTTACACTAGAGATGGGCAGCTCCAGATTTTCAAGTACACACCAAAGAACTTGCAGCTTCTGTTCCCTATTTTAAGTCTCTGTACTGACAATGCTGGCAGGACAAAACTATATGCTCGAGCACTTCCTTCCTCACCTCAGGTCACTCACAGCCTTGATGGGCATCATGTTTCAGTTCTCTTTGTTTTACATTCAGGAAAGGTACAGTTGGTTCATCTTCTTGTGCACAACAATAAAGTCATCTTCTGTCAGCAGAACTCAACCAGATCAATTATGCCTTGCAACAGTGTTCTTCTGCACTGGGACAAGTCCATCTCTATAGCTTCGCGCGATGCAAAAGGATGGCTCATCACCTCTCTGTGCCCGAACCGTTTTACGTACGCTCAGGGCACTATCTCTACTGGCAATTTACTCAGTGATAACGGAGAAGTTAGTGTTGCTCTAGGGATATGCTACAATGAGGTAAGTAGGCAGTGTGTTCTATTCGATTGGTCGTCTTCGAAGTTGTTGATTCAACCTGTTGGATCTCCTATGCTGACGGCTCGCATTATCCTACCAGGATGGGCATCTGGAAGCGAAATCAATGCATTTGCGCCCATCCAAAACATGCTAGTGTGCGGTTCAGAGACAGGAGAGGTAACCCTCCATGACATTAACCTGAATCTCGTTCGGGTTATCCATTATTGCAATGCCTCTGTTCGCTCTATTGCGGTACTCAAGATCTCGGCTGCAGAAGACCTAATAATAATCGGGTCATCAAATTCTCAATTAGTTTGCCTTATCTGGGATGTTAAAGTTGCCACCGTTATAGGTCATGGAAGATTTCCTGCTAGATATGTCCAACCAAAAATGGATGAGTTAGACATCAGATATACGTTTGTCCTTCCTTTCTATGACGTGTCTCTTACTTCGCAGTCCGTCCTATTTCTTGTCGGGGTCAGTATAGGAGAGCTGTGGCTAATGTGCTTTTTGCATAAGACACGATGTATTTATCTTATTGAGAGATGTTCAACCCACAGCGTTCCGATGCAGTTGCAATGGATGCATATTGGGGGAGAAGACTATATAGCTGGTGCTATGACCCAAGGACTGATCATTGCTGCCATAGACAAGGAGAAGCTATCTACCGTTCTAACAAAGACGTCGGACTTTGGTCAAATGGATATAGGATATATGGAACATGTACTATCACAAAAGCCGCTTGGGTTTGCGTGTGGAGTTAATGGTATTATAACTATCAAGTGGCAGATGAGAAGCTCCTTGCGGGGAAGCATCATCAGTGTTTTAACATTTAAACACTTTATACTCGCAGTATCAGACATGGGATATTTAACCATATACGCTTTCGAAAGATGCCAAACTGGTATACGGTCTGTGGGAGAAAGCATCTTGCAAAGAGGACGTGTTAATGGGATAATATATGCAACAAGTTTGCCATCACTTGAAGAAGAATTAGCGTTTGCTTATGTGGGCTGGGACAGAATACCACACTATTGTAAGTTAAGTAGTATATCTACCGGTGCTACCATCTTCCAGACCAAGCCATTATCTTCTATGCCCCTTTATAATATCCATTCTGTCTTGTGCCTGCACACCACTCCAGAGACGAGCAGTCTTATCTTTTGTGGAAGTGGCTTGTTTGCTATTTCATTGTCTAAGGAAAAGCTATTGATTGGCGAAACCTTTGATAAGCTCGCCAAGATCGCTGAAGCCCAACCTGACAGCCAGAGTCTCTGGCATCGTCCCATCCATTAGTCCAATATGTTTTTCTAACGGTGCAAGGATACGCACGCCCTCTTTATAGTTAGCCCTAATAGCGATGATCAGCGCTGTGTCACCACTATTATTCTGTATCCCTGTTTCCTTCCGGACAAGGGTTCGAATGATATTGTCATAACGTCGCCGGGTAGCATACATCAGCGCAGTCTCACCTACATTGTTGACGATTCCCCCTTCGTACGGAGCCAGTAGCTCTGCACAACAACGGAAATTGGAGTGTATTGCAAAAATAAGCGCACTATTCCCGTCGTTATCGACCAGGCGTGCTTCCTTGTCAATTAGGTAATTGATTGCCAAAGAATTGTTGAACAACGCTGCATACATCAGAGCTGTCATTCCATCTGCAGACTGAACCCCGGCCTCCTCTTTGATCAGTGTCATAAGTTGAGCATACTTTTTATCTCGAGCCGCCTGCATGAGCCGGGTTTCTCCCTGGGCGTTGAGAAATATAAGATGCAGACCCTGTGATTTAGTTGTTAAAAGTGTGTTATTGTACAATACTGTGGAGTCCTGATCCTTTCTATTAGATATTTCCCTTGTATTCGCATGCATCTGACTCATCGAAGGACTTAACAAGTAGTTCGCGCTTTCCTGTATTCTGGTTGCTCTGTACTTCGTATAAAGCATGTGCTTATTAGTGAGAAGCTCTTCGATGGAGGGCCGCCGTCTTGGATCCATATGCAACATACAACGAATCAGGTGTGTAATGTCCTCAGAATATCCGGGAAGTTCAGGTGGAATTACGCCCAATCTTTCGTAGAGTCTTTGAAGTAATCCATCTATATCCGTTGCAGGATAATCTCCAGCAAAGGGATGCAACGTAAGAAGTTCATAAAACACAGCCCCAACAGACCAAATATCGCTTGCAGATGTCATATGCATCGGGTCTACAATCACTTCTGGAGCCATCAAATACGTACTTGGATTATTTATGTCAAACCAAGTAACAGGGAAGAGTTCCCAAAGAGCACACGAGCTCAGCACTGCGACCTCATCATCCAATAGCAAGATGTTATCTGGAGTAATGGCGCCATGGACAATTGTCTCTGCCCAGGGGATGGTGTTGCGGGCATACATATGTAGATATGCCAGCCCGGACAGGACATGATATAAGATTTCCCAGACAACACTTTCTTTGACGTATCGCTTGATGGTTCTGGCACTTTCTATCAAGGTGCGGACAGTCTTGAGCTCTGCACAGCACTCTGCTACATAAATGCATGCGCCACGCTTTTCTACCGCAAGATATGAGGATACATTACAGTGTTTTAAATTTAGCAAAGTTCTCATCGTCTTGAGCCATGAGGGTCGCGCATTGGTAACTAAATTGACCACTTTGGCTTCATGCACAAACACCTTCCCTATCGCCCCTTTTGCTATATATTTAATGTAGCGAGGATGCTGGATTATTGGGGCTGCTACAAGGAGCCGTAGTAGCTCATCGTTTATGTGGATGCGGGGACTCCTGGGGCTGCTATGTACTTGGCTCACAGTAGTACATGGGATAGTACAAGAGAGTGATCTCTTCTGCTCATGAGTTAAGGTGTCAGTTTGATGATTCGAGATCCCACGTGGCTCTGTCTGAAGCATGAGAGAATCCGCCATTAATTAAAAATGGACACGATTCTTCCTCGCGTTGCCTCTACCATAGCAGCTGCGTACAATAAACAACGAATGTTCCCTGGCACGCACTTCGATAGCCAGCGGGCCAGGAACCGCAACAAGTCTTTAATCACCTTACCTGCTTACACGCGGGAATCAATAGGAACAATCACGCGAACAGAGCCAGACGAAGTTTATTTTTCTACAGATAGCACTACTCAGCTCAGGGATGCACCCAGAAATATTCCTGAGCAAGTTTGCGCGGCGACCCAGAGACTCCCTCCAGCCACCGCATCTCTGAAGACATCAGGAGAAGACATGGTGGGCACGAATGTTTACCAAAGCTGCTCCATGAATGAGATATACGAACCTCCGAGGGTACAGACACGCAGCCACTCACTGAATGCAGGGGGAACGAGTGTTACTGAGCATCCACGGAGGCGCATTGGAGATACAAGAAGTACTCTTTTTGATAGTACTGGCCTCGATATCTGGGTGAAGAACAACGCCCACACGCGGCAGATAGGGCATTGGGAGCAGCAGAATGATCTATGCTGTTCTAATAAGCATCTTCCCCATGCCTGTTTCCCAAGAGAATATGCGAGATTGATGGGATACATGAAGATCTCTCCTGAAGCTCTGCTTAGCCACGAATGGGCAAAAGTGAAAGCACTGGAACAGGTTAACGCGGAACACCGCGATGTTCTGACCAGGATGGAGCAGGCACGAAGCAAGGGTATACATGGGTTTGCTGACACTCGAATACCAAGACAGTTGGAGGCACTCAGGGACATGCAAACGGACGCAAGCATCCCGTTGCGTGACGCATACTACTACTATGGTTTTCACCCTCTCCCCGTAGAAAGTATAGAAGAGCAATACAGACTACGTGCAGCCACAGCATCCGATGCTGCTAGAAGCTCTGGGGTGTTTCTTTGGGTGAATCAGAAGCTAAGATTATGAGATTCAACTAGTCTACATCACAAAAGACTCCTATGCATATACCTCGCATAAAAGATCTATGCATAGAGCTATCTCCATGTAGTCAGCCTCTGAGACACAAAGATCCCAGTCAACATCACTGAGGAACAGTAGCTGAGCACCAAAGATCTTGCTAGGCTCCACTGTAACCCAGCAGCTCTGGGCCCACTGCGAGAGGCTTAGCTGTGCATCGTAGAGGTATGAGTTAGCGAGCGTTATAGCTACGAAGTATTGGTAGTAAATATTCTTTTCAGTAATGTGTGCATTGCTTTGCAGAGCGCGCAGCAAGAGGATGATTGCAAGAATCAACTCATTCTCGTGACAGGTTGCCGCTGCTGCAACCTGGCCAATGCGACGCACGAAGAGCTTCTTGTTGATGGGAATCCGAAGCAGATCAGAGAGAATATAATGGACTGCCACAAGAGTGTTTTTGTCCACTGCCATTCGTCTCAGGAAGAGGTGACAGAACCGCGACTCTGTATTTTTTGAACTAAAGTCTTTAAGTCTCTGTGCTCTAGATCTTCTATGAACAATGAAGTACTTGAGCCATTGCATCGCTGCTATTCAAGCCCAACCTGTTCGTCTGCACCGATTCTCTGCTACTGAGTGTTCTCACAATTACGCGCGATTACACACACTTGGTAACCGGATGTGTCCACTACGTTGCTAAGCCGTCGAAGCACTCAAGCCAACAATTTCCGATTAGTCTAAATCTAAACCCAAAAACACGGATGCCATTCTCTCCAGATTTGTCAGCACGCAATTTTGCACTTGCTCAGCCGTTGTCCTCTTTTGCAGAAGCTGAGCTGGAAGCCATTAATGCTGAAGTAGAGGGTATGCTTGTGGTTGTTGAAAAGGGACTTTGCAACACCTTGCTCTCTCTCGATCATGATTCAATAAATGTCACGTTAGTAGACTATACTCCACGTTGCAAAGAAGCAACAAACATCTTGAACACGCCTCATCAACATCAGCAAGGTCCGCCACATTCACTTTCTCCTGCAGAGGACGTCGGACCCTTGTTGCCATTACAACCTTTGCTTCTAGAATCAAGCATTAGTTCTTTACAGGCAATCCAGACCCCATCTCATTCAGAATCACAGCTGTCTGAAGATCAACCGAGAGAAGACAAGCATAGAAGAGGGAGCCATTCTAAGGAGCCACTTTCCTCCAGTACAGATCTAAATAGTGTTTCTTTGCAACTCAACACTACACCACCGGACGATGAGGACGTCTTATCAGAGAATTCGGGAATACCAACACTTATAATGGACACCAAGTCTACTCATGTCAATGATTCAGTTAGTAACAGAGCAGGTAAGGGAGTCTACTTTACAAACATAGACAAAAATGAGTGCATCCCGGTTAAGGTTTTAACAAAAGATCCCATTTCTTTGCAGCAAGTAGTCAAGGTGTATGGACTAGAACGCCGTTATTTCTGCCGTGTTTGTCATGACCCGTTTGTTAAGCCTATGACCACAAAGTGCGGACATACCTTTTGCGCTGCATGTATCTACGCTTGCACGCTGTATTGGCGACAGCACACGTGTCCAATTTGCATGGAGCATTTGCCATCGGTGCCCAAGATAGATGATGTTATAGATGCAGTGGTTACCACTCGCCTGGAGTATGACCTGTCTCTCGCCTTAAAGCAAGGCGACTTGGTCCAGGTGCTCACAACGAGTTCCCATGTGTATGCATTTGAAGTTGGGTTTCTCCTTAGAGTCCAGGACGGATACATTAACGAGTCTCGACAGCAGGTGATTCTCCCATCAGACGCTCAGAGTACGACTCTGAATCCCGGACCAAAATTTACTCCATCAGCAATAGCAACTGTAGATGTGGGAGGCAGGTTGTGGTTTGGCCGCCTCACAGATCTCCTCCCATTCAATGCAGACTTGTATCCATTAGGCACTCGACCCACGCGAGGGTCTATTGTTATAGACTCTCGCAAACTCAATCTAAAATTATTTGATAAGCAGGCTACTAAGAACAAGATAGAGTGTTTTTCTTTAGAGCGTACTTTAGAAAAAGCCAGGTTTATACGAAGATCTGAAGTCACCTCTACATCCGCTGCAGCATCATCAGAAGACCAAGCACCTTTTGCGAAGAACGAGCTGTGCATGTTTGCAAATGAAATATACAACTATGAACTATGCATGACTACCAACCACCTGGCAAGGGATCCGCTTGCGTATGCAGATAATTTTTTAACCAAGATCTCCAGAGGTTCTCAGGAGAGATATGCAGAGCATTTCGAAGAACTGCAGCAACTTCAGGTTGTTGTCACTGATTTAGCAGAGGAGGCTAGGAAAAATCTGGATTTCGATGAGAATGATTATATATGCTCATTGTCACATGCAAAGTTCTTTTCACCGTCCGAATTTCCTGACTATTTCGAGCGCCCGGAAAGCTCTTCAAACTATCGTCTTTTAATGGCTGAAAATGCTGCTACACGCTCTGTGGAGCTTCAGGGTCCTAACGGTCAAGAAAGGGTCACAAACATCTGCCCGTACTTATCAATCGTCACCAATTTGGCCTTTTGGAACAAGCTTCGCGACTTTTGCTGCGTAGGATGCAAACAACTCCTCAGACTCCCGGTGAAGCTCAAGTGTGGTCACTTCTATTGCTACAATTGTGCCCTGGATAGTTTGAAGATGTCTTGGCCCTGCTTAGGATGTGGTGTGCGTCTTTCCCTCTGTGATTTGGATCTCGACACTTCTTTTTCCTCTGCTTCACATTGTCCCACGGATGAGGCCACAGATAACACGCTATACCCATTCGTAAGGACATCTAGATTTGTACCTATAAATAGCCCCTTATTAGATGCGATAAATTCACTGTTTCCCCTACACAAGGCTCTCCTAGATAAGTGGCAACCTGTGCGCATAAACTTGGCTGTCAATACTATAGGAATGATCTATGACGATCCTTCTTACAATACTGTTAGAGTCCTGACAGATCCAGACACTATAGTTACAGTATCTGTGGGAGATCTTACTCCGCTTGATCTTCGAGAATTTAGACCAGCACTACGAGGTAATTCAGGTGTGCTTTTGGCGAGTACGCTGTTCCAGAGCCATATAGGTGTATACACTAGTCCAAACATTTCAACTGGCAAAGACCTTACTGATAATTTGGAGCCACCTTGTGACTTCTTCGATGAATGCCCCAACAATTTCTTTACTCATGCATTGGTCAAAATATTTAACAAGTCTCGAGCCATGGTTCTTATGCGGAATGGACCATTCTTCGCTCCTCTCCAAAACATGACAAATCCATTTCTTATCACGAGCATCCGTCTTGTACCGGATTTTTCCCGAATCATTACATTATTTAGCTATCTTTTAAGGTATATTAAGGAGATTAAGATGAAAACAGAAAAAGAGTTGGTAACTAGGCAATATCGTGAGCGTTACATGGAGGAGAACCACATTGGTTTTGTGAAGGATGATCTTCATGTTCAGCGACGACAAGCAGCAGAAGGTATCTGCGCTAATGCATGGAAGGACTCCAAACCAAATGCTCCACACATCGAGAAGGTTATAGAGCATGAAGATAACAAGAAAGTAAGAGCATCATCAATAGTGCCGAGATCACACACGAAAAAGCCGCTGCAGGCTTTTGAAAGACAACGCTACCAAGCCCAAATAAATAACGGTGCAAAGCTAGCCGTCCCAATCAAGCCTTTGACCCATCCATTTAGTGTGCATCTGATTGAGCATAAGGATACTCTGCTTGCAAACACTGCAGCTAAGAATAAACTGGCAGAGCTACGAAAGGAGGAGCAGCGAGTTATCAAACTGATGCGAAGCAATCCGCAGATGGAAGCCACTATTTCAACATTTGCCTCAGTGCTTAAGGTGCTTTTCAGAACAGGGGCTCGGGATTTCCTCTGCAGTGCATGCAGTCAGGTTGTGCGACATCCTTGTCGCTTACGATGCGGGCACTTAGTCTGCAGATCATGCGCAGTAACTTATTATGTGGGCCGCATGGGGTGCCTTGTATGTGACACTAACGTTCTGTCGGTTCACGATCTATTTCTCGATATCTCGTCCTTCCAGCAAACAGCTGCGTATGTGCCTCGCTACTTACATGGTGAACAAATCGACAAGGGGATGTTTGTGATTCGCCCAGAGGTTCGCAAAAATGGAATGGGAATAGTGCTGAGTACTCTGCATCATATCGGTACTGATTATGCAGCGGTACGATTTGTAGAAGGTACAATCACGGTTCGCGTTTCAGAGCTGCAAACTGTTCTACCAAAGCAACAAATGTCAATCGCCTCGCTGCCAGGCTCTTCTCTTTCTTGTTTGTTCGCCTCACAAATAGCGCTCAGAGACCAGCTTATAGGCTCTGCCTGTGTTTATTGGCCCCCGGAAGACCTTGATTTAATAGCAGATCCTTTTTCTCCTCTTCGTAGAGGTCTATTTGGGCTTATTTGTGATTATGATTCAAAGACTGTTACGGTTACCTTCGAAACAGGAGTAGAGACCAGAGTGCCTCCGAGCCATCTTCTCTCGTTACAATTGGTTGGACCAATGCCGAAGTTTGAAATACAACGAAGATGGTGCTTAGCAGAGCTCAGGGCCAAAGAAGAGAAGGAGAGATATGAGCAAAATCGCGCCATAGAGATGCAGATCATTGTTTCTCTGGAGCGGGACGACGTGCGCGACCTCGAACTGGCGAAGTCTGCGCGGCAGCTGGGACCTGGAGCAAGGATTCCATCGTGCCGCCCGGCAGACCTTGGGGACTACCATCCTCCGGCCATCTTCTTCAGCGGGGCGGTCTGCCGGGAGCAGCTTGCGCGGGTCCGGTGCAGGGCGGGAAAGTAAAGAGCTCCGATGCCGGGAATCGAACCCGGATCTACTGGGTGAAAACCAGTCATGCTAGCCGTTATACCACACCGGACCGCCAAGGCACCACGAAAGAGAATGCACGAGAGAGAGTGTGTTGATAGTTTGTAGGGGAAAAAATGGGCCTCACTATCTTCGACCACCCGCTCATCCAACACAAGGTCGGGCTCCTCCGCAGCGTCACAACCGGCCCGAAGGAGTTCCGGGAGCTCCTCAGGGAGATCGGCCTCCTCATGATGTACGAGGCCACCCGCAGCCTCGAGCTGGAGGACTACGAGATCGCCACGCCCCTCTGCACAACCGTCGGCAAGCGCCTCCGCGGGAAGAAGGCAGCGGTCGTTCCCATTCTGAGAGCAGGCCTCGGCATGGTCGATGGGCTTCTGGAGATCCTGCCCGCCGCGAAGGTTGGACACATGGGGCTTTACAGGGACCACGATACCCTGCAGCCGGTGACATACTTCTGCAAGATGCCCGTTGACATGGCCGAGAGGTCCATCTACATAGTCGATCCTATGCTTGCCACAGCAGGATCGGTCATCGCAACTATCGATACCCTTGTTAAGAAGTACAACTGTCCTCTTTCGTCCATTAAGGTCATGGTCATCATTGCAGCCCCAGAGGGCATCGACAATCTTCGCAAGGCGTATCCAGACATAGAGGTGTTTTGTGCACAGAAGGATAGCCACCTCAACGAGAAGGGCTACATTGTGCCGGGGCTCGGGGATGCCGGTGACCGTATCTTTGGTACCTTATAGTCGGTCTTTGGTTTATGTAAATAGTGGATATCGGTTTGTGATTTCTGGGGGTCGATATCTGTTTTTTACGTCTCTACAGTGTCGGTTGATCTGGGCGTCAAGGCTATCGAGCGTGGTCAAAATTCGAATTTTAAGCCATGGCTTCAAACGCGCTGAACTTCGAGCTGACCTTTCGTGACGCCGGAACCCTCAAGAAGATCTTTGAGACTCTAGTTCCCCTTGTGAAGGACACACCCGTCTCAATTACAGACCATGGCCTTTCCATCGAGACCATTGACAATGGCCGCATTGCCTTGATATCTCTACACCTCCCTACCCAGTTCTTTAAGAACTTCCGCTGTGAAAGGGCGTGCTCGCTGGGTGTTCGTACAGCAAGCTTCTTGAAGGTGATTAAGTTTTGCTCCAACGATGACCTAGTGACTCTCTCTCAACGCAGTAACAGCTCCGATCAGCTCGATATCCTTGTGGAGTCACGAAAGTATAGTCAGACGATGAACTTTTCTTTGCGCCTCTTTCGCTCTGATGCAGACCAGATAGATGTCATCCGTCCTGAGTTTGACTCTACCGTATCCATAGACAGTGGACGCTTTGCAGGAATGGTCAGAGACCTGATGGGTATCGGAAAGACGTGTAGGATATTCACAAAGAGCGCAGATACTACCGTCAGCTTTGAGGTCATGGGCGAGGACACCAAGTGTGTAATTACGCTGGGTATGTCTGGGTACGTTCGTACCAAAGAAGAGGACGCAGCCGATGATCCTGATGATGGCGACGGAGAAGGCTATGGAGAGGTGGAGATTCGGGTGAAAAATGAGGTCAATAAGAAGTATCCGCTCACGTATATTTCTAATTTCGCTAAAGCTGCCCCCCTCAGTGATAAGGTCCTTCTTGAACTCAGTGATAACTCGCCCATGCGTCTCTGTTTCCGCATCAGAAATGAAGGAGGCGGAAGCCTTGCGTTCCTTCTTGCCTACAAAGTGGATGATGAGGATGAGGAAGACGGTGACGAAGAAGGTTTGGATGGAGACGATATCTAGTGCAACATGCTTTGGTAAATTCTTCCCGGTTGATTGGACAGCTGTACACTACAAGTTCACTTGTCATGTTGGTAGTTTCGCATATATAGACCGAGGTGCTTGTTACATTCATCCAACGTTCCTGTAAAATCAGCCGTACTGCAAACAGGGTCCCCGCGTGGCCACGAGTGTGCAAACATAAGTAGAGGGGCTGTCTCACCCGGTTGGACGGCGCGTCCTCGCACAGAAAGACAGAGGGGGGACGCAGAGAAAGGATCACCTGGGAGTCTGCTCGACAGATACGGACTCGGGCTTTCACCAAAGCAGCCTAAGTAGACACCATTGATAACAAAAGTGCTGTCTACCCCAACCAACGATGCATTAATGGCCTCATCTACAGCACTTTCAGAGGCACTTAAGCCGATCATCCTGAGCGTTGCATTTTCCTCATCAATTGCCACATAGCGTCGCGGAGACGGAGCTGGTCTTATTCTGGACATGTCTGCAATAGATTCCGCCATGAGCACTTCATCTGCCTTACTCTGAGAATAGTAGGCCTTCGGAACAATATCCAAGATGATCTTACTAAAGCCCACATTAAGGTTGTGACCGTAGTATAGTCGCAGTGCATCGAAGAACGTTGCGGGGGACTGCAAAGTCGCAAGATTCAGAGCTGTTGTAAATCCCTTGGTGGCTATGCTGGTATAGTAATTGATAATTGTTCTGAACTTCTTAGACTGCTGAAGAATGCTTGGTAGGAATGCACGAATGCGAAGATTAAAAATAGCAACATCTCGCTCAATTGCCAAATAGATATACATTAACGGACTATTAGCCTGAACTTCCTTTTCTAGTCGCCTGCGGTATACCTCAGTGCTAATGACCTGGGTACACTGGTCCTCTACCACAGCGCTGACTAGTCGATGTCCGTGGGGAGTGCTTTCCAGATAGCCGCCTGTATTTGTAAACGGAGCATGCCGCGAAGAAGTACTGGATTGGAGAAACAGGCAGAGTTCTCGGTATGCAAGTATATCATAGAGGGACGCATCGAGAGACCATAATTCTGGAAGGTTGATTGACGTGACCGAGTGCTCTATATCGCGAAGTATGTTTGCATTAGAGCTTTGAGAAATATTAAAGAGGCTCTGAAGATTGATCATGTATCGCCCATGGACAGGATGAGTTCGGTATTTATCCGAATCAAAGAGTTCCGGTGTAATGATGCTGCGTAGTAATGCGTCGAAGCACGCCTCATCATACTGGTCTTGTATTTCCGATTTCATGTAGAGGTCTCCAAAGATGTAATATATACCCTCGAAAGAAAGAACAGAGCAGCACTCGATCTCTGTGGGAACATAGTGCTTGACTCCTTGCTCTTGAAAGTGTTTGTTTGCATTTAGAGCGCGCAAAAGTGGGATGCCGAGAACGATTCCTGGACCCTTTGTGACCACCTTTGGACGACTGAGCGACTGGATTGCAAGTAGGAACACATTCCTTACCTCGTGAAATGAATCATAGAACCTTAGTACATTGATTCTAGACGAGGCAGTCAGGCGTTCGTTAAGAACAAAGAATGCAAAGAGGAGCCAGTAGCTGAGCTTGTTCAGAATAGATCCGTAGACCATCTCATCAGCTTCAAACTTGGTGTAAATGTCTTTGAAGTGGTCCTCATAAACTGCTAGAAGGTTCTGCTTGATATTGTGAGGCATACTCCAATATATCTTAACGCTATTCAACAACAGATCATTGGATAACTTGGCCTTGCTATCTGATAGGGTGAAGAATAACTTAAAATCTCTATGCATGCCGCCGCTGGCATGGATGGCTGGTAGCTCCATTAGGATAAGGCAGCGCAACTCATGATCATCATGAAACTGAATATCTGGAAGCAGGACCCAAGTCCTAGTAGTGCATAACTCGATCAACTTCTGCTTTTCAAGAAGCATTGTTATATGTATATTCCTAGCTCGCGCCAAATGCTCTATGTCCAAAATCATCTGAGGGTCTGTCTGAAGGAGTAAATACGGCTTCCAGTCTCGTTCACCGTTGAGTCTAAGATCTATAATGTGGTCTTTTATCCTGTTTGTCTTTGCAAATGGCAAAACGTTGATAATATACGACTTCGCGACGGCAATGAATTTGCTCTTGTCTAGGTGATAAGTTATAACCAGCCAGATTGCAAGTGGCATCGTCTTTGCAGTTACGCTGTAGGATGGAAAACACCGGATGACGTCTGGATTGTATGCTTCTAGATCAGTGTTGCCGATAGCGCGTATCGTATCCAGCGCCTTGTCCCACGCATCTGGGTGATCATGAATATGTTTGCAGATACCACTCAGATATGGGCCAAAAGCAGAGCCATCCTCTAATCGTGATATGGCTTGAAGGGCACTATCGGTAATTTTAAGCGATTTGTTCGGCGGAAGATTTTCACCCGCATCCAATGCCAGATCCAAGAGACTTCCGCTTTTGATAATTATCTTCAAAACATCATTGGATGAAATATCGTGCCGCAAACCAGAAAGTTTTCCCTCAAGTTCTTTTACAAGCGCCATATTGAGCTCGAAAAGAAGTTTCTCATTCGTGTGAAGACTGGGTGCAATGAGCAGGTAAATTGCCTCGTAAATCAACACTTCTGCAGCCTCTGGCGGTACTAACTGGGTGCTGTGTTGCTCCATATACTGATTTGCAGTTGACTCAATCAAACCAAATACCTTCTCAAAGTTATATTGATAAAACAGAGCGCGGTCAGTCAAACGATCTGTTATATTGCGAAGATGGCTAGCGCAACTGGCCAGAATGCTGTATTCCTGGCGTTGGACCTCTTTTTCTTGAACCCTGCGCATCAGTTTCGCAAGATTGCTACTTTGAATCTGATATTGCTCTAGACTACTCAGCATTTTATCGAAGTACTGCACATCGTCGAGTATTAGCTCGCCAATCGCTGGATCTTTCATTGACGTATGAACATGCTTGATCATTTGGTACAAGCGAGGGGCGACGACTTGATCACGAGAAGTGTAAAGAGATAGGTACTCCCCACAGAGCTTCACCATAGACGAATCTATCTCTGGGTTGCAGATAGAAGATAGGCGTAGCAATATATAGTTTCGTTGATCGTAGGATGTAATGTCGACCGTGTATATATAATCTCTGATGGCTTTGTTTTTACTGAACAAAGTCTGGAAACTATCGTTGGCTTTCTGAGTATTGTAGAAAACAATTTTTGTATGAGTATCTGTCATGTGAGAAAGTAACTCTGCAATCCCTGATATTCGTGCCTGATCGAACGAAGGAGCCAGTTGGACTATAACGACAGAGCCTTTGACAAGATGAGCCCTTAGGTTAACGAAGAAGTCTCGGGAACTCGAGTTAAGAAACACTGTTTCCGGTATGGACTCTTGATCGCCAATTTTTCCATCAATGGCTGCAGAAGCCAAGCCGGCTAGGAGATGCTTTGCCCTAAGAGAATTGGTTGAAAATGCACTCAGCCATGGAAGCAGAAATTCGTGGGGATCGTGAATTAGTGGATAGCATTGAAAATCATTGACAACAAAGTCGATCGTCTGAGCACTAATTATCATATTATCATCTGCTCTGAGCCCCCGGCATACTAGCTGCATTTCCTCTTCCTCTGTAATAAGCAGTCTCTTGAGTCCGAGGACTTGGGACGCAACTACCTCTGGATCTGACATATCGTATGTGTGTCCCTTTTCGATGTCGATTTCACTTCCTGTATAGGCTATTCCATTAGCACTTAAAATTTGCTTGCACTTAAGTAAAAAGTCTAGCTTTGCGAGTAGTGACATTGAACCAGTGTAATTAATTAGCGAACAGATTAGTAAGCTGTCTCCGATAGTGGTGCGCATATAGTCTTTATCCTCTGTCACCGTCTCCCAGTGCTTCTTCAAGTCTGCAAAAGCACCAAGGAAAAGATTGATTCTGCGAGTGCGCTCACTAATTATCTCGCCCGTCTTGCCTAATGTTTCTATTTCTAGTTTGCATCGTGTGATAGAGTCACGTAATTGTACAACTGTCTTATCAGCAAGCTCCTGCTGTGACTTTAGTACCTGCTGTGACGATACAGCATCCGCTCCGTTCTGTCGAAGTTGATCTAGTTGTGACTGCAGAGGAGCAGCCTCCTTCTGGGCTGCGACAAGTTTGCATACAGAGCTGCACCACGCCATAAGATTTCCCATTGTTGCACTTGTTTTCGATGCGGCATCTGCTGTGAATGACGATGATGTGATAGAAGAAAGAATCTCATCAACTATGTCCGACTTGAGCGCAGCTGTGTCTAAATTAATCGCACGATCAATAAAATCGTTCGCTGCCACTATCTTTCTGCACGGAATCCAATAGGAATAGAGTGTAGCGCCTTCTGGAATAGTATTTTCCATCAGCAGATAGATGACCTTGAAGATAAGTTGTGTGACTTCATTCGGCCTCGTCAAGGTCTTAAATGCTCCTAGCTCTTTTGCCGATAGCTTCAGCAAGTATTGATGAGAAAGCTCCACTGACCCCATATAGGGTTTCAGAATACTATCAACTTTTAAAGAACAGTCGTGGATCTGCTTGTTAGCATAGGCCACCTTCTCAGCAGCTTGCGCTACCATTTGGGAGGCCTCTGCTTGGCGCAGGATAGCCTCCTTCAACTGGGCTCCAATTTCTTCTATCTTTTGCTCCAGCGCTTTAGATTGCTCTTTCGTACCGACTTCTTTCTTGCTTGTTACATCCAGCATCACGCCCATGATATTATATAGTTCAAGGGACATAGAGCACAAGTTACGCTTCTCAGCTAGCTTCTCCTTGTAGCTGTTGTGGTGGGAGAAATAGGCCAGCGTCAAGTTAACAAAGAGCTTAGTGAAGTTGCAGCCGCGATTTTTGCCCTTAGAGGCGAGCATTGCCACGTATCCTATATGGTGGAGCTTTGAAATCACGTGATCCAAGAGGAACTTCTCTGGCTTCAGATCTGGAATGAGTTTCGTTACAATAACTGCCATAGTTGAGTTATCAAGATAGTCAAACATTAGCACCCCAAGATTCTTAAAGAACACTGGGTATGCAGTTGCAAGCATATGGTAATAGTCCTCCTTCAGTATCAGAGAAAACCGAACGCGTTCTGCAAGTATCCGACGATACATAATTAAAAGGTCATTGGCTCCCGTATGAGCTGCTTCAATTAGTGTTCCGTAAAGGTCCATGTGCATCTCCTTGATGTAGTCAGCAAGAGAGGTAATCTTTTCATCTGTGTCAACTATTCTATGGACGAGCCCTGTCGAAAAATACATTTCTAGGTCTTCTAGAATCTCGGGCGAATCCAGATCTTCCTGGTTTAGTTGGATTACAAGTCGTTCCATGAAGACTGATCTTGTGAGTGCATTGATAATAAAGTTCGTCCACGTGGATACCAAGGGATCGAATTCGATGATAACCATCCTGAGGTTGTCTGCCGCTTGACGGAGGCACGTGGACCGGCCAGTTCCATCCATTCCAATAATTGCACAACTCCGTGTTCCAATAATCCTAGAAATGCGTTGCACACTAAGCAGAGTCTGTGTAGACGTAACGAAACAACTATTGCGCTTGGCGTGGTGAATTAAGATTTCGCCTTTACCATTTGCAGGAGCCTCAACTTCATGGTCGTCGTTATCAGCATCTTCTATGGCTTTGCTCATATCATTCATAGTCACTTCTGTGTACCTTAATAGGGAGACAAGAGCAGGTAAGTCACCACTGTCCTCATGTGCATGTTGCTCGTCCAGTAGACTGGCACGTGACGCAAAGTCCTCAATACTTTCATCCTGATAGCCTTGCCTTATGGCACTAGCATTGAATGTATAAGTAAACATGGGCAGCGCAGAAACATGGCGCTTTTCTAGCTGAAGTCTATTATTGGTATTAAAGTCTGAAGCATCTGGATTCAATGGCACAAAGTGAGAGTTATTCTCGTCAGTTTGCTCTAAGTCATCATGCTCATTTTCGGAACCAGCTTCATCAGATGTAGAAATCTCCTGAATAGCAGGAAGGCCTATAGGATTATGGCCCTTTAAGCTCACAGGATCGTTCAGCATAAAAGAACCTGTAGTGCTCAAAGTTCGCGACTTGGCTTTAAGTTTGTTCATTAGGATGTCGAAGATTTCTGCATGCTGATCATCAAGAGGAACAATAAGGCGAGAGGCTACCTCACTATCAAAGTGCTTTTGTACAAGGGTGTAAATAATGCTGGTAAATGTCCGATAGAATACTCTGCTACGACTATCTGTGAATTCGCGGAACGTTTCGTGAATCCATAGCTTGACTATTGTCATTTGGTCAATATCCTTGGGGAGTTGCTTGATGAACTTGGCAATCTGGTCAGATATATTAAGAAGAACTTCCAGTGTAACAAGAGGCGCCGGATCACAGCTTCCCCTGGACGATACTAACGGAGCGAATGTCGCAGTAGTAGTGAGGCAAGTGGTACCGGTTGTAGTAGAATAGCCGCCTATTAAATAAGCATTGACTTCGTGGAGAAGATCATACGAGCAGAGCACAAGCTTTTCTGTGAGCCGCGGATCCGGTAGTTTCATCTTGAAGGAAATGATCTGCCGCATCTCATCTGCCGTGACATCGTAGAACGGTAAGAAGAAGGAGGTCTTGAGGTAACGCTCATCAATTCTAAAATCATTAGAAAACTTAGTGACGAACAGGAAGACCACATCTTTTAGAATGGTATAGGTCCTATTATCGTAGATGGATTGATTTTGTTGATATTCACGAGCAACCTCCAACCAGGCAGCGGGCATCACCTCTGCGTCTTCAAATATCAGGTAGGTGCAGGCGCCAGGATACGGGGCATAGAAGGATGAGGTGTACATGTTTAGCTTAGACTTAACAAGCTTCTTTATGTTTACGGTTGCAACGTCAGGGTCATTTTGCTCCGAGAGAGAAGAAATGTGGAGAATATGGAAGTCATTTCTAAAGTGAAAAGGATTCATCATAAACAGATTACGTACAAAGGACGATTTTCCGGAACACGTGTTACCGAGAATTGTTAGTGTATATCCGCACGTGAGAAGCATAGTTGCCAAAATATAGTATCTAAGCGCACCAGACGATGGCTTAACTTCATATGTATTATACTTCAGAGAGTAAACCTTGGATAGGTACTCTGGTGCGCCAAGAGAAAGGACATCATATGAGCTCACAAAGCAGAATTGTTTGGGGTCAAAAAGCATTTCAAAGAAGAGTTGATGCAAAGGTATTCGAAAGATGTACTCTTCAAGTACATCAGTACTTGTGGGCATATTGATAGTGCTCGGTAGTTGTAGCGAGTTGCATACTATGCTGGTTAGTTTCGGCTTGAAGCTGTCAGACTTGGAGAGAGAGCGAAGAGTCGAAATAATGTCATCCGAGAAGATCTCCTTTATATGTCGCTGGATAAAAATAACCTCGCTCTCCGTTAATGACCGCGAGTGGTCGGAGACAAGCTTAAATACCAGCCGCACAAACCAGTCAAACCATTGCCTGGCCTCTACCGTCACAAGGACGAGCCCAAAAGAGTTATAAATAGAATAGACCGTACATATATCGACAAGTTCTGTCAGTCTCTCAGGTTGCGTTGTGAGTCGCGCCCAGGTAACGAGAGATGATATCAAAACCTTATAATACATATCAAGGATACACGGAAGGCTCGTGAATGTGAACAAGCAGTTTCCACTATGCTGGTGCGTAAGATTAATGTTATAGAATCGATAAACCTTTCCTGGCACTGCATTGTACATGATTGCCTGGCCAATAAGATTAACTAGAGGCACCAGCTGACGAAGCCGAGTAAGTATAATTTCGGATGCACAGGGCTTAAGAGAGGAATCGAACTCTTCGCTGCCATCCAGCGATTCCTCTGTATAAAGGGTAATTCCACGGGGACGCGGTATCTCCCCAAGTGATTCTTGCAAGGCAGCATGCAAACGCATCTCAAGAGGGTTCAAGGTTGACTCGCCTGTCACTATGGGCGAGTAAGCGAGCTTTCGTAAGTAACCTTCGGTGTAGTCATGTCTTCCCAGTTGGTACAATCCGCATTTAGCACTAAATATTTCTGGAACCAGCATAAGATTGGTCACTTCAAAAATGAACTTCATGTTCGACGGTAAACGTAAAATTTCGCCGTTTGGTAGGAACATCGTGCCATTCAATATACTTCCCAGGTGATCCATCTTTCCCACACCGTCACAAATAATCCATGACACTTCGTTTGAACCGTGCAGCTCCGCACGAGAAACAAGGCGAGCAATAATCCCATCAATCCAGTCACTAAAAGAATAGTATCCAAAAAACTCATGATAAGATATGCTTGAAAAGTTAATAAATCGCAAGTTAACAACATAGTCGCAAAGCTTTGCGTATACTTGTGAACAGATTGTGATAAAGCTCGTCTTGCCGGAAAGATGGTTTCCAACCACAACTGTTCCGTAATTGTGGTCTATAACTTCTATGAAGGACTTAATGTCTGTTATAAACTCTGTCTGAGCTGCCTGATAGACAGAACTGTTGGTATAAAGGATAGACTGTGCATAAATATCCAGATCACTGCAAGGACAAACTAAGCCTGTCTCTCTATAAACGGATTGACAAAATGCCGGGTCCATGTATATCTCTCTCACGGCATCCAGCAGCGTCTCAGTAATGGGTGGGAGGGCTATCGCCCCAAACTCTGCATCAAGCATGTTATAAAAAGGCACACGATGAGCTGGTGCTAAAAGAGGACTGACTACTGTTCTGATTGCTAAGTTGACTAACTTGGATGCACTGATGATAGGTTCTCGCTGTTCCAGAGTAGGTTCTGCACGTCCTGTGTTGGCCCTTTCATTGGTGACATTACTATTATCAGAATGAGATGCAGCAGGTTGCTCAGCGAATGCCTTCTTGATGGGTCTTCCTGTATATTGAGAGAGAAGAAGCATCTCGCTGATAATGTCTTTGATATGTCTAAGGCCGAAAAATGGGGCAAAAAGACGCTTAATAGCTCCCATGATGTGCATGAGTTGTGATGTTACGGATTCAATTTCTGTAAGGCCTGCGATATCCATGTATGTTCGGATTATGTGATAGATTGCAGACTCTGTGAGATGACACTTAAAGGGTTTAACAACCCTATTGAAACTATGTGGAAGCGGTGTGTTGGTTGTCAGGAAGAAGATCGCAGAAGGATGCAAGAACACTTCACCGACTGGATTCTCCGCCGGCAATGCTATCTTCATGTGGTTACTGCTGTCATGGAGTAAGGAAGCACAGTTTGCCAGTGTTTGAATTGATGTATACGAATTAAGAATGCCATATACCTGACCCAAATTTCGCGAGAGCGTAATTAGCAACGAACTTGTGAATTTCTCTACATCCTCAAAGCATATCAAAAGGCCGAAAGCGCATGCTGTGAGCATCATATGGTGAAGTGTAGTCTCAGAAAAATGGACAGTATACGTCGGATTGATAATATATGGCTTGTAGCCGAGGCAATAGGCGATGTGCTTGACAGCCTCAGTCTTCCCAGTCTCTCCCTTGATATAACCCCCAACAGATCGCGAAGCAAATGCCGAAAAGATAAACGTAGCTGCTTGGTCAACTGGTTCTGTCACTATCGATCTAGTGGTGGGCGGAATATAGTCGAATCGGTAAAGCATGGAGTTTCCAAGGCACGAAATCTGGACATCAAAGTCTGATGGATTCATATCTCTGTGAATGACCTTGGTAGAGAGAAGCAGATCCTGATCTGGAGACGTACTGCCGAGTGAGTTGATAGAGCTATCACCTAGTGCGCTCAGCGTCTTGGTCAAAAGACTAATTGCATCATCAGCGAGGGGAACAATACGATACTTATAGATTCTGTAATAGATAAATCTCTTATCCCTAGCCAAAGGATGCTTGCATATAGTTGAGACGATATTACTGAAGTACATCAATTCAACAAGAATGTTGTTATAGAGGAGCTTGTTAGAACAGGCGAGAAATTGCTGCTTGAAAAAGACGATTCTATGGTTGATGTCATCGAGGAGGCTTAGTATCATATGATGTGTGTCTAGCTCCGAAACTGTTTGTGCAAAGATCGCGTCCATTTGATGCGTGAACTCGACCCTAAGAAACAGCCCAACGGTACAGGAAGGGTACTTGAGAAAGGCCACACTGGGCTCCATCTTATCAACAAAAACATCGACATACAGGTCATAAAAGAGCTTGCGCATAGTTTTGCGGAACACATCATCAAAGGTGGTCAGCCACACATCTACTTCTTTTGTGACATCTACAGGGTCCGCTAGTCGGATGGTCTCACCACTTTTTGAGAAAACAGTAGTTAGTAAAAGCTGTTCGTTGTGTTTCTCTATTGAATAGTCAGAAAGGCTGTATAGATGAAGAAGCGGAGTAAGGACAGCGTCTGCGCTTCCAGGTAAAGCAGAGAGTATTTTGACAATTTCATTAGTATTCATAAAAGTGAACCTAAAAAATCCTTGGCGCTTAGTGTCCACAAGAGAGTACATACGCGCATTCAAGTGATCCAGAAACGCCTTGTAGTAAAAAAGAAGAGGCGTCAGGAGCTGATTGGGCGGCACCTCTGAAAACTTTATTGTGCCATCCCTTAACCCCAATTCGATTTGCTTATCTACTTGGTTGAGATTCCCGGCGATCGTTATATTGCCTTGCACGTTGCAATTATTGATAAACCCTAAAAACACTGTTTGCATGCAGATTGTAAGATTGATAAACTCAGTGGCTCTGTGGCCAAAGAACTCCGTGTACTTGCCAACGTAGATGGGATACAGTCGAAGCCAGCTATCCTGAATGTCCTGTATCAATAGAAGGATTTCCTTGACGATAAGCTGCTTCTCAGTAAACTGTTGGATCACGCGTTGCATTGGGGTGACGTGTTGTGATTGCAAAAGCTTGTTGGTCAAGAGAAAATGATCTTGATATAATTGTAAGATAAATCCCAGATTTGATATCACATAAGGGCGCTTTTCGAGGTCTAACTGGGAATGTACACGGTCATTAGAGCCACTGGTGGATAAGTTCAGGCAAAGCTCGCGGCCATGTTCATCCAGAACCTTGGCCTTTGCAATCGAAAGTGGATGCACGGCCGGCACATTGTGTACATCTGCTCTGTGTGTGGAATAAAGTGCTGAGTAGCTTTTGTAGCGATCTCCTGACAAAACTTTAAATTCAAAAGAAACTGTCTTCCAGATTGCTTCAATCTTTCCAAACGAAAGCTCAATATCGTGCTCTTTTTGCGCGTGTTCTATGACTTCTAGAATAAGTTTTGCTCTGTGTGAAAAGCCCTTATCTTGAATGCTAGGTTCTGAGAGATCCAGAAAGACTTTGCGCTCTACTAATTTGGAAACAGTATGCTCTGCTAGATTTAGAAAGATTCCTTTCGTTCGCAGTTGGTCTAGGTGGCGACGTTTTAGTGCCGGTGATAAAAGGGCGACGATGACAGGGGAGTAGTGTTTAAACCACGCTAAGTGGGACTGCACCTTTAGAAGTATTTTCTCACCATTTGCTAAGCTTGCAAGCATGGTCTTAGACTTTTCCTTGCGGGCTGCAGTTTGAATGAGACTTAAAACATCTGCAACCTGGACATATTTGTTAAAAACTGTTTCTTTGAACTCGTTTAGTCTTCCAGAATACTTGGCTGCGAGGTCAGAGAGAAGGCAGTCAAACCAAACTGGAAGAATTGTGCAATGCTCATACGTTATTGTCCAGAATCTGTGGATCATATCTATGCGGGGCTGGAGCAAATCAATAACTGGAAATGTGCCTGGAGCCAGTTCTAGGCTAATTTCGTCATTAATAAAGTTCAATGATTCTTGTTGTAGATTTGCTAGCTCAGCTTGCAGGGCCTCTCCGTCCTTAAAGAATTTGTAGCTAACGTCTTGGCTCGCCTCATTAAAATTGAAGTGAGCGGGGATTCGTTTGCTGAATGCCTCGACTCGCTCAAGGAGATCACTCTGTCTTTTGGTAAGATCCTCACGATGCGCCTCCAAGTTCATAAGAAGATCGTACTTGCTCTGGGATATGATTCCCTCAGTAGATGGAATAAGAGACTGTGTAATTAGCTTATTCAGACCAAAGGGCGACCTACTAGAATAAAGATGAGACGCCAGTTTGTATGGATGATAGATCGCATCTGTGTGCATGCGTAGCCCAATAAACCTATTAAATATCCATGAAAACTGTGTTGTCCTAGCCATGGAGATAACGTCTGACTCATACCTTGATTCATCTGGCACCCCAGCTGCGGGATCAGACAGTCGCTTAATGACCGCTGCCCAGTTTTCTGGGTCTTCTAAATGAATTCTGAGATCAAACTGTGGCTTAATATGGGCAAGCTCCTTTAGAGGTAGCACAGTAAGAATGTTATTCAAGTACGATACTGCCTCGTTGTTCAAATCATGTATCAAGTGCTGAAGCGGCTTTATGTAGAACTTAACAAACCTTCTAAGCATATACCACTCTACTGGTACAGATGGGGTATACGAACATTGAATCTGTATTGCTTGAAGAATCTTATTGCTATACTCTATTAGTGTCCATGCACGAGCAGTTACAATCGATCCTAATGCACATAGGATTGCACTAATACGGTGCTCCATTGCCTGCTTAGCTGGCGTCGTTGTGATACAAATAAATCCGTAACGTATAGTATCTGGGAAAAGATGCTCTTGGACCAGTATCTGCATGCTGCGGTAATAAATAATAGCTTTAACAACCTCGGTAGAAATAAGCTCCTGCACTTCCGTTCTTTTCATGGTTGCCTCAGATTTTTTTCCAACAAGACTCAGAAACGCATTGATGCTCATTCTATCATCAAAGGTGCTTTTCACTGTTGCCCAATACTCTGATGTATAATAGTATGCTTTGATTTTATGCAAGAAATTATCTGTGACATCTATCTGACCTTTACGCACCTTTCGCGAAAGCTCTTGGATCTGAAGAGGACTTGTTATTTCTCGGATAATATCAAGGTCAACTTCCTCAAATTGATGATCCTTCTTATCCACAACATTAGATGAAGAAGATGTGACGCCCACAGGTCGCAACGGAACATAGTCAAAGTCTTCAATGCTGGTTTCGCTTGTGGAGTGATACAGGTTATAGTAGGGAAGGTCCATGGCATTGGAGATGATGTCTGCCCACATTTTCAATTTAGCATCCAACGTTCGATTGAAGATAGCGGAGCAAATTATGTTGCAAATCTCTAGAACAACTTCGGCCAGTTGGTAGCAATATTCTGTATAGTCGAGACATGTGTGGCGCTTCTCTTTGACATATCTAAACCCATATGCATACTCTGGCGGTTTTAGGCGCTTCCTTTCTGGATCTACAGAAATGCTATCATAGAATGACACAAACTGCGAAGCAAAAGTATCGTAACAGTCGAATAGTCCAGAAAGCTTGGTCATAAATTCTGATTTTGATGGCTCCAAAGTAAAGTGTGGTAGCGTGCTATCAGTAACCGATACAAAGCAATCATTAGCAGTGATAATGGTCTCTTCTAACAGTTCAGCCATTGTGCTCTGAAGATTGTCGCTGGGACAGGTTGTTTGGGTCACTGATGTTACAGAAAGATCAGTACGACTGTGGTCTGGCTCTGGATTCTTTTCGAAAACTTGGAAGGCAGTATCGTTGCGGAGGTATCTATTAGTGCCATATCCTGTTGTTGTGTACTTATCCTTATAGCATTCTAAGACAGTGTACTTCTCTGGGAGCTCGGTAGGAGATGCTTGCTGCTGATCTTCTATCTCGCTTTCTTTTAAAAATGAGCTGATAGCCACTTGCTCAAAGAGGAGGTCCAACTGATAGAGGTTTTGCTGATACCATTTGGAAACAGCTTTAGATGTCTCCTCATAAGCACATGCATAAAGCCCTATAGACTCGGAGTAGTCAGAAGATACAGGGTTGACAGCTAACTGAACAACAACTTCAACCAAGGGGACCGAATCCATGGGATAAGTGACAGGAACTTCGAGCAAATACTTCGGGAGCGTACCGGCGCTGTGCAAACCCAGGTGAATCATATTGAGAATAAGCTCTTTGATCTTCTCCTTAGAGTTGTAAAGGAACGTTGGGGTAGATGACTTGAGTAGTGCATCTTTGGGCCAATTCTCATAGTTAAAAACGCCATATTCCAACAAACTCATTCCTCTGTTAGCCAGCTTTTCTATTTCAAACAAAATAGCCTTAACTAGCCGCGTCAGCGTGTTATTTCGTGGGTCTAGAAAGGCTCTATTTCCCTTCCTAATAATAATATCCTTGCCCACAACTTCAAGGTCACTGAGCTGTATGGGTGGCATTGATGCTTGTAGCTTGCTAGTCGCAATAGAGGAATCCATATAAGTATTAGGTAAGGTATCTGCTGGGGGAACGTTGGCATGCTGCAAAGTGTTACCACACCCCCCTTGCTGCTTCTGCTGCGTTAAGCTTATGTTTATAAACCCATCTGGATTCATGAAGCTCAAGTCAGGTGTTCTTCGCTTATCTTTTAATGCTTCAAGAAACAAATCATATGTGTGATCGATTGTTTCTGTTAAGGCCTGTGTAAAAATTTCATCACAGATTCTGGAGGCATGACGACGCTCTACTTCCTGGAGAGCCATTAATGGAAAAAGATACTGTGCTAGTCGGGGCAGAAAAATTGCGTCGATGGTTTCATAGATAGTAGTGACAAAAGAATTCAAGGAGTCAAAGAGACATTGGCTCTTCCAGCCCCTAAAGAAACTGAAGCTCTCGCCTCGGTAAATATGGGTATCTATATCAGTGGCGCTATGTATGAGAGAAATTGACAGGACATTCTCTCCCCGCTGACGAAAAATAGCCTGCTGATGCTCAGCAATGTTTCTAATACAACTGACATAATCGCCACTAGTTATACTTTCAGGCAGTAAAATACGCTGTCTTCCCACATAGTACTCGTAACGCCCATCGGAATACAGGATTCCATCTCCAAAGCGGCGAAAATTGACATGTTCTTGAGAATGTGTAGCTTGAAGATCTTCGTGAAATGTCTTCTGTTCCTCAAGAAAGTTTTGGTAGAGATCCGCAATCTCATGGTCTTGTTTACGTAAGCAGTGCTTGTCGGATACGGAAATGTCTAGAATCTTTGAGTAAAAAGAGCTCTTCTGCGTCGAATCAAGGGCACCAGATGCGAGGACATGCCGTACAAAGTCGCAAGCTGAGCTTCCTAAGACAATTGGATGAAACAGCACGAGATTGCTCCCAAAAAAATCTGTACAATCTAGTCTGAAACGAAACATGGCACCTTGTAGAGAGGTAGAGTAAAAGTAGTGATGTTTTTCTAGATGAAGACGTGCCTTCATAAATGCTTCCTTATGGCAAGCAATAGACTCTAATGTTGCTTGGGTATCCGAGGTGCTATTAAATGCGAGCTCCTGATGGGCTGACTGGTTCTCACTATAATGAACCTGTCGCTCAGTGATTGGGAAAGTTCCAACAAGCACAGTTCGCATATTAATGACGCCTCCGCGAGAAGTACTATGTTGAAGAACTGGATACACATGCTTATGATTGTAACATTTCAAAAAGTACTCGCAGTCTGTTAGTTGCCTATCAATACCATACTTTAGAAGAAACCTGTCGAGGTCTGCATTTTGAAGACGGCAGCGTCCAAGTGAATTAAGGATATGCACACGCTTGTAGTCCACCTCTGCATCTGTGAGAAGAGAGTCTAAAAGCGGGTAAAAGACATTATTCTTTAGGATTTGCTGAATGGTTACGTTCTTGGCAAAATACTTAATGAGAAGATCTTCAAAAAACTCTGGGCCAGGGGATATCCCACGAATTATTTGTACCTCGCAACCCGTACGTGCAATAAGAGCAGGGCTCAATCTTAGTGCCTTAATAATTGGTAAGAGAGGAATGTTCGTAATCGATCTGCCAAGCTCGCCCCTGCTGAACGAGTCGATGTATTGGATAGACTTAATAAGAGCAGTAATAAACGTGTGCAAAATATAAGAGCGCTCGACGGTCGCCTTGAGCCTATGAGCCTCAAAAAGTCGCTTAAAAAAGATAGAATCTCTGTCTAAAGGATGGTCAGTAGTAGAAAACTTTAGCATAAGGCGAGCGCACAAATAGCTTGACCCTCTTAATGTCTCTCCTGAAGGCGGATTTGAACCATCACCAAAAATACTTTCTGGTGCCACAAGAAACTTCCGTTCAGACTCATTAAAACCAATAACACAGACATTTTCAATAGCATAAGTGGTTTCTAAGTGCTTTAGAAATAAAGAGTAGTCCTCATAGACGGCGTAATTGGATAAATCGATGTGTGAACTATCAGAGCTGATGTCGCGCTTATACATAGTAGCATGTAAGATTTCTCCACTGAGAACCCTATTAGACAACTGCAGAAGGTCATCGTATTTATCATAGAACTCAAGGCTATATCCGAAAACACTGGGTCGTGGAAGTATAGAGGAAATAGAAGTCATAGCTCCATCTATGTGGGTTTCGATAAATGGCTCTCTGCGAGCGTGGGGAAGCTTCAACCTTGTCAGCTCCTGAATAAACTCCGGACTGGCGCCAGCTTCCTGGAGCATCATTGTAATTAAAGCAATATTAGCGTGGAGAACACTGTTGTGCTTAGCAATGTGGAGCTGTTTCCCTGGCTGTAATGAAGTAGGAATATCGACGTTCATAGAATCAGTATTGTAGGCGGCCTGTGAAGACACACCTATGGGCGCTTGGTCAGAAACGCACGCTATGTCAGGGAGAATTGCCGGGGGGTGACGGGCTTGATGCATTTGCATGAATGGAGTTTTTCTTAAAGTTGCTTCATTTACTCTGTTTACCAAGGTTAGTTTGCAGCTGCTGTCCGAGTAAATCTCCCTGCAACGCCACCGCCCTGGGCAGGGCTCCCGCTCGCCGTCCGGGGTCCAGCCCCAGCGTCCGAAGATCAGGCGCCCTCGATCCGGGCGGGAGAACTCCTATGCCCCAGCTCCCCCGGAAGCCGCTGCTCCTCACGTTACCTCTAGGGTTCCTCCCTTCCTCTGGCCCATCGGAGTCAACTATCGTCTGGCACTGGTGGGCACCTGCTATTCAGGGTCTTGCGTCTGTTGCGGCGATCTGGTCTCCACGTGGCCCGGGCCCTGGTGCTCCATGACGAAGATGGGATACGCTATGACCCCGGGTGTCTACCCCGTTCCTCGGGGTGCCTCTTCGTCTCCCCATGACGTGGACCATCGACCCTGCTGTCGGGGGTGCGCTCCCCGTGCGCCTCTATCCTGGAGTCATAGTACGCGTTCGTGGATGCCGATGGAGTACTCCCATGCGGTGGTATCAGGGGAGAGGCCCATCCCTCTGCTCATGATCGCAGTGCGCTCTTGTGGATGGTCCGTCAGCCAGTACGAGATCATGTCGACGCTCATTCTGTGCAGTGTGTCTGGCTCAGTGACGTGTGGGCTGGTCCATCTGCACAACACACTTGGGGGTGATGCTTCGGTCTGTCGAGGCGTCGGTCCAGGGCCACCTCTCTGAAGGGTGTCGTCTGAGGCACCAGGAACGCCCGTCCGCCCGCACACTCGTTTGCGATATAGTGCAGCCTCCCCAGGACGAGCCCCTCGTACAGGAGCACAGAGGCGCACACATAGGATGCGACGACCACGTGGCGGAGGGCTTGGTCCGAGGAGTCCCTCTGCCTGAGGACAGGGAGCAGGTACTGCAGTAAGGCCTCCGCCTATACCTTGCATCTGGACTATAGTAGTCGCTCTCGATCCCGTTCCCAGACAAGCGTGCAAAACACGCCGACAGTTCTAAGCACTAACCGGCCCGTCTCTTACGTTTCAATTTACATTCGTATGCAGATCCGCGCCGTCGACTTACCAATACCGACACCTTGCGGGCAGCGGGCTAGAGCTGGATGCTGGAGTTGGCACCAGACAGCTGACTCAGCAGGGGCACGTCAGCGTGGAGTGATGCGTTAGAAGTTGCTTGCCGCTTGAGCTTGGACCTGGAAGACTTGGAGCCTTTCTGCGGGGCGCGCTCCCTCAGTGGGCCGCCTCTCCTGGGCCGTATCACGAACCACCAGACAAGGAAGCCGGCCACCGCAGCAAGGACGAGGAGGACGACGACCACGATCGCAGCCGTCGTGCCACCCGAGGATTTGTTAGATGGAGCAGGGACTCCGCAGACGAAGTCGCTTGTGAGAGAGAAGCCTTCATCGCATATGCAAGTGGGCTTTACGCCGTTCTCAGACACGCACCTGCCGTTGCCCCCGCAGATCGTCACGGTGCCGTCGGTGCCGCGCTGGACGCACTGGCTGCTGATGCAGAGCTGGTCAAGAACACTTTCATACCCATACTTGCACTCGCATGTACTATCTGTGGAAAGTGGACAGTTGCCATTCCCCCCGCAGAGTGTCCCGCCGGAAACGCAGGCCGATGGGTAGCAGAGGGTCCCGTGGAGGGTCCAGCCCTGGCTGCAGCTGCAGGTAGCAGAGAATCCCTCGCCGGAGCACGTGCCGCCGCCGTTGCAGACTTTCCCGTCCTTGAGACACCTTGTGGGGATGCAGTCCCTTCCAACCAGGGTGTAATAGTTAGCACACAGACACATGTAATTGCCATTGTTATTCTCGCAGGCGCCGAAGCCGCTGCAGAGCTTCTGGTCCGACGAAATACAATTGCTGTGCACGCAGCCATTCTGGCCAGGAAGATTTTGGAAACCAGAATTACAATCGCACTTCTTAGTATTTTCATTACACGTTCCACCACCGTCGCATACCTCTGCAGAGATGCTTGCATGCGCCCCGAAGCACTCCTTGACAAAGCACTGGCCGGTCTTCTTGTCTGTGCGATACTGATCACTGCACTGGCACATTCCCTGGCCAGCCACAAGGCTCGCGATGCATACTCCGCGCCCCTTACACACTGTTTTAGAGCCGTTCTCATCCGAGATGCACTGGCTATAAACACAGATGTTTGTCCCGACTAGGGTTGTCCCGGGGTTGCAAACACACGCCCCAGTGTCCTCGCCGTTATCATTGCACGTACCCATGCCGTAGCACGTTTTTTCTGTCTGATCGTATGGATCCGTCCAAACGCATCTGGATTTTCGGCACTTCTTGCTAGCACTGTCAACGACGAAGCTCGAGTTGACGCAGACGCAAGCAAAACTGTTTCCGCTAAGTTGGCAAGCTCCTACGCTAGTATTTTCCTCCGTGCCACAATTGTCTGCCGGACAGCCATTGAGGTAGCATTGCGCATTTGTGTGTTCCTTGTAGCCATTTGCACACGTCTCACATTTGGTACCATCATACCCAGGCCTACACTCGCACTTTCCTGGGTCTGTCTTGAACTGACAGGTCCCTCTTCCGTTGCATATAGTACTGGAATTTGTCTCTGATACAACACAGACAGCCGGTACGCACAAATAACGGCGATCGTCTGCAACCGTTTGATAATTTTCGTCACAATTGCACGAGTACCCCACAATATGATCCCCTATACACTTCCCATGCCCAGAACATTCAACGTATCCCTCCGGACCTCCAGAAAGAGAGTCGCTAAGACAGGTTTTCTTCATACACTTTCCATTTGTTATTTAAATAATGTCATATCGATTTATGCACTTACAGTATGACTTGGATGATTGAGTAGCATTAAGAACGCATGTTCCAAACTGCTTTCCACCGCACATCGTCCTCACCTGCTGATTAGTCAAGGTTGTGATTTCAAATATGCAAGCTTTTGGCAGACAGAACCCATCAAGTTCTTCATACCCGTCAGGCCTCGGGTCCTTGCACTTACAAGCGTAGTCTCGACGATCGCCGTGCGACGCTATCTTTGTGCACACACCAATCGTGTCACCGCCACATATCGATTTGGTCACTCGTCCATCAGCATCCTTAGTATTAATGAAGCAATTGAGACCAACACAGGTATTTCCAACCAACTCAGTTCCCAGATCGCATATACACCCCCCAGGTCCACATCTACCCGAGCCTCCACAGATCACTGGCACCTCTCCATCCATACGAGAGATGCACTTTTCTAGCATGCATGTTTTCTTCATCTCGCCGCTTGCGTCTCTAAGCATATATTCGGTTGCACCATCGATGCATCTGCACTCCTTATTTTTTAACAAAGGCACCTCGTCACCGCTACATGCCCCTAAGCCATTGCATTCGGTAGCGGCGCTGCTTGTGGACGCTTTATACATGCATTTGCTTGGGACACACTTGGCCTTGTTCCCGTGCTCGTTTCGCTCCTCGCTCAGCTCGTAGCCTTCAGAGCAGATGCAGCTGTAGCGACTATCATCTCCTCTCACACACGAAGCCAATGCGTCTCCTCCGCAATAGACGGTGTCCGGCATGCACCCTCTGTGGACACAAATGCCATACGCAACCTTGTATCCGACGCCACACCTACAGGCATATGTGTTCGTATTTGCGTCTAGCGTACAGCTGCCCACGGACCCGTCGTAGACCTTGCACTCGACGTGCCTGATTTCTCCATTATGTATCACTATCCCAACACATTCAGGACGCGTGCAGTAACCCCCGAAGGCCTCCAGGCCACTTTCGCACTCGCAGCCGTACCGACCAGTCAGCTGGTTGTACGTGCAGATTCCTTTCCCGGAGCAGACATGAGAATCAACTTTCAGACTAGCCGAAGATGTCACGCCAACTGGCAAGCAGTTATAGCTGTAGCACATGTCGTCGATCTTGAGGAAGCCCGGGTTGCAGACGCAGGACCCGCTGCCGCTCAGGAAGCCCGCCCCGGGGCCGCCGCAAAGCCCCCTTGCTCGATGAGTCGTGGGGCTGGCGCTCTTGCTCCTCAGGATGCACGTCCTGTTGTACGTGAGGTAGTCGCCCTGGGGGCAATCGCACTGCCAGGCCGCGTCCCGGCCGACGGTGCAGTGGAGCGTAAGGCTAGATGGCGCTGCGCAGTACTCGGGCGCCCCTGGGCCGGCGAGCTTTTTATCAAGCTTGCACGCCTCGGTGACGCACGCCTTCAGGCCCTCGTTCCAAGTGGCACTGGGGCCGCAGTCGCACCTGTACGTGTCACCCTCTTTGATGCAGTCGCCGGTCCCGCCGCAGTAGTCGTACCACATCCTGCTGGCGCCAGTTCCGTGGTAGCAGTTGTCGTGCATACATGTCTTTCTATAGCCCTCTTCTGCCCCGAAGTGGACAAGCTTAAAGCCCTCTGGGCAACCATTGCACGTCTCAACAGACACAGATCCCTCGTTCTGTGTATTGCACGTTACCACGCCTTCCTGCAAGTTGTCTGTCAGTCCCTGCAGGAATCCGCAGTAAAACCTCCTGGTCCTGTCTACCTTGCTGACATGCACGCACCCGGGCCTCGCAAGGAAGGTGCCATTGTAGGCGGAGACGGTCCCGGAGTCGGGGTCCTTGGGGGTGCACGTGGCAAACGGGTCGCTCGGGTCGCCGAACTTCGTGTATTGGCCGTGGTCGTCGCAGACCCTGGGAGTGGTGGCTCGCGATCCGGGCTGGGGTGCCACAATGCACTTGGTTGGGACGCACTCGCCCTCGATCTCCTGGGCGACAGAGGCCTTGCAGGTCTCGCACTTGGACCCCTCGTAGATCGACGAGCACCTGCAGGTCATCGTGGGAGGATCCGAGGTGTCGATGCTAACGTGGCCGTGGCCGCTGCAGATTCGGTCGCCGTCCATCAAGGCTGTTAGGATGCAGCGCCCCGGGGCGATATAAGTATAGTCCTGACCACAAGTGCATTGTATATTTCGTAGATCGTCCGTCTTGCACGTACCGTGTCCCGAGCAGACCTTCCCCAGCTCCTCGTCCATGCATGCGGGGGACGTGCACTCTCCGCTGACGGCAATGAGCATGTCCGGGCAGCGGCAGTGGTACTCGCCATCGGACTTGACGCATGTTCCTCCGTTCTTGCATGATTCCTGGTTGTTTGAGGTGAGGCACCCCACTGGAACGCACTTGTCGCCTACCTGAGCGGATTTCCCAGGAGTGCAAGTATCACAGAGGTCGCCCGTGGCAAGCCCTCGGCAATCGCACTTATAGCCAGCCCCGTTGCGCACACAGGCGCCCACTCCACCACAGATCTCAGTAGCAGCGCTGTCTGTGCACGCGGGATATGTGCAAAACTGACCGACCGGGACTGCATTAGAATCGCAAACGCACTTGAAGGTACCGGTATTGCCCTCATCTGTGCAGTTCCCGAAGCCCCCGCAGACGACCGGGGACCCGTCGATTGTGGCCACGCACTCTGTCCTGACGCACTTGTGCCCAACGCGTGTGTAGCCAGCATTGCACTTGCAGCGGTAGTGATATGATTCGCGGTCGAGGCCCACGTCGAGGATGCACGTTCCCTGGCCTGAGCACACGATGCCATCCGAGTCCTGGCAGGCCCGCGCATTGCACGTAGGGAGGGCATCAGACGAAGAGCTTCCCGCAGCGATCGCGTTGGCGTCGTCGCACGACTGGCAGAGGCTCCCGCGGTAGATCGGGTAGCAGTCGCACGCGTAGTCGTCAGCATCCATCCCTGCCAGCCCGGGGTCCTTCAGGAGGCAGCGGCCGCGGCCGTTGCAGGGGGCCTTCGTTGCCTCCTGGTTTGAGAAGTCGTCGGTGTTGAAGCAGCCCCTCGGCAGGCACTCGCCCTCGTAGGACACGAAGCCATCGGGACAGGGGTCGCACGAGTACGCCCCCGCGTAGTAGGTGCACTTGCTCGACCCTGTGCATTCGGTTTCGTTAACGAGGCAGGCGTAGTTGACGGCCCTGTCTGTGGATGCCTTGCCAGTATTAGTAGTTACCCTGCAGAACCCTGCACGGGGAGCATCGCACGCAGCCCCCGCCCAGCCCCGCCTGCACTGGCAGAAGTATGCTCCGTCCCCGTAGGCGCAGTCTCCGTTAACACATGCAGGTCCTGTCCCGCATGCACTGGCGAAGAATACAGTAGCATACAGGAGAATCAGCATACAGTGATTTTAAAGAGTGGTTGATTGTGCTACCAGTATGTTATAAATGTAAAGAGAATTCTGCTAGTTAACCAGTTACAACTGGAAGTAGAGCGTACCTAGGTTATTCCCAAGATTGTGTACAGCAAATTCACATCAATACGTCACAACTTTGGATCTATTTGCACATATCTTGAAGTACCCTTCTCCGACGAAGCATTGCACTAGTTTACACGGAGGTAGGGCCCTGTGGAGTTGAACCTCTGGCAATAAAATCTAGAAGCGAAGTTGTAAATGCACAGGGCAGGTGATTCACATTGTAAAGCCAACCAGTAGCTAGAGTTCCCGATATGTAAACCGCTCGCTCTGCATGTTTGCATCAAGTAAGGAACTTCCAGCTATTTAGCAGCATTGCCAAAGGCAGTCAGGCTACGGGGGTGGAGATGACGCGCTCGGAGTGCATTGCAGCCTACCGACAAACCAGGATTCTAACTAGACGTGTTGAGCCTTCGGAGCCTGGCGTTCGAACCGCTCGACTCGAACTACGCGGTCCTGGAGGTCCTGTATTATGCGGACGCAGAGTGTCCGGAGCTCGTGGACCAGTTTCCGCCGCTGCGCGAGCTGTCTGATGGCTACCGCGCGCGCCCAGGAATCAAGAAGCTCCTCGCCTCGCTGGTCTAGAGGCCGCGTGGCCGGCACGGGGTAGGGCCATTTTCAAAAAGCCCCAACGCATTTCTGCTTCTTACATTAGTTATCATATAGCTTTCGGAGCATGCTCTTCTTTACAGCGGTGTTTCTTCTCATGCACGCCACAGCCAATCAAGATGCTGTCTTTTTTCAAACACAAGTTCTAAGAGATATGAGCGATAAGATATTCAATAAGACATTGGTGGAGAGTATTGTTGGGACCTCCCAAGCCAAGGTCCTTTCGGATGTTCTTCCTGTGCTTGTTGAGACGTCTCATGCGCACGTTCTAACTCAATATATTCTAAATTTAAATTGCTCTGAAGCCAATCTTCTCAGAGCTCAACTAAAAGTTTCACACCTTATAGAGAGCTGCAACTATGCACAAATATCTGCTAGGCAAAAGAGAATCTATCTTCAACGGTCAGAAGACTTTGTTGAAATGACTCCGAAGAACCTCTGTCATATGGAGAGCACCAGTGTTCCATCTGAGCTACAAAAGAAGTATACCGATGTTTGTCAGAACGTGGCTCTGGTCTCTTCTGATACTAATACCAATGTGGAGACGTCTAAGCACATCAGCGCTTACTACAACCTTTATGCCGAATTGAGGGAGCTTTATCAATCGGTCAATACGGCTGATTTTGTTGCTTTCCATTCTCTTGTAGATGACATGTCTATCATCTATCCATGTCCTGATAATTCATTCGTTTCGGATAATTATCAGTATAGAAAAGATCTTTATCAGCAACATGTCCTTCAACTCTCATCTGTACGGCAACACTTTGAAACAGATACTATACTCATGATCTTAGACGGGTCCGAGCTTCTTTCTGTGGAGATGCTTAACGAAATTAAGCTTTTGGCCTCCATTTATGCCAGCTCCATAAGCTTAAATGTCAATCTACGTATAGCCTTTGTAGCTTATGAGATACAAGTCATCAATGATGGAGGTTCCGAGCCTCTTGTTACCACTCTAAACTCTCTACTAAAGAAGATCCAAGACTTTGACCCAATAACCTCACACCTAGGATACTATGTATCCCTCCATTCTCTCATTACACTTATTACTGACTTTGTGGGGACAGACATAAAGAACAAAACAACATCAGTTGTCTATATTGGCTACGGAATCGTTGAAGATGCTACCCCGGCCATTAGCTCGATCAATAATCTGTCATACTACTCTGTAATGATTTCTGATGTACTAGCAGAAAATGCATATGGTAAGCAAGTTGCAAGAAACCTTAAGAAGCATCTTACAGACTTTACCAACTTTATGCGAGGGCACATCCAGTGCATGGATCTTACAACCCTGCTCTTCTCTGCAGAGTTGTTTCAAGAAGTTACTGATTTAGATGATATGATAACGATACACCGGATTTTATCCGAACGATGTAGCTCTACATTCTATCAATGCATCAAGGAGTCTAACTATACACTATCGTGGAGAGCAGACAGAGATGTTTCCAAGCGTTGCCGTAAGATTGTAGAAAACTGTAAGTCCCAGTTACCGCCAGAGGAGAAGTCTAAGTTTATAAACTGCGTGACACCATCTCTTATCGCACCAGACTACGACTTACCATTTGGATCAAACACACAAGGGAACATTCTGCTTAATCGGTATCGGCACAAACTCCTTATTGGATCAGAGTTTCTACGGCCAGAACACTATAGCATAAAGCTTGCCCTCGTCAAGTCAGGTTGGATGACTAATGAAACTGTGCTAGCAATGTCCACACCAGTCTACGCGGAATTTCCATTCTACGGCAAGCGCCTTATGGGGTTCTTGGTTATTGGCCTTAGGAGTCTTGAGACCTCTTCAAATACTAACATGGTCACTCTTTTGAACATAGACAACTATAAAATAGTGTGGCCAGGCTTCTCCATAGAGCACGATGACAGGCTTTCATACTTTAGCAACATGAACCAGAAAATCTCTGAATACATCACAGAGTACGGCTTCTACCGCAGCGATATGATTAGGCTAAAAGAGCTAATAGATTTACAAACAGAAACGTATCGGTTCAATTACAACGGGACATTTCAACTGATTAAAGGTTTAAGTACCTCTTCCATGAAGCTACCAAATATTTTTAGCGACAGCGAATCAAGTAGCATGATAGTATTTGAAAACTACGATCTTAAGTATGTCTGTCTCCGCGGCCGCCTCTGCGCTGAGCCAGATACACGCGTGGGGTTGTACGATATTCTAATATATAACGGAAAATTTAGGGCGGAAGAGTACCCTAGGGCACTGTTTAGAGTTAAAGTAATAATTCTTGAAGAGTATGCCATGTCAACGCACGGTTTGTTGGCCCCATTTGATTCTAAGACAATGAAGCACCCTTTCTATAAAGATCCTGACGCATACCCTCTTCCTCTGGATGGAGAACCTCTCTTTTCTTGGATCGGCACGCTTATTAGTGGTACACCATCCTCAACGCCCTACATAATCGATCCATGTGAAAGCTTTAAGAGCACACTTTGTCCTGTCCTCGGGCTGAGAGCATATGTCACCAATGAATACTTGGACGCCATCACACTCCCAACAATAACGGCAGACAAGGCTACAAGCATTCGATGTGCCTGCCCCCTTTTAGACTTTTATTCATATGCAGATAAGATTTACCCAGCTGCTGTACCAGACAAGGTTTCTCGACCAGAGAAGATCTTCATGTATGCTATGATCTATCCCTCCACGCGGCACAAACAGATCTGCAAGAGCTGGTACATGGATATAACAGTACAGCGATACCTAATTCAATTTCTAGAGGGTAACACAGAGTCTAGTTCTCAAGGTGTGCCGTGTTGTGGTTCCAAAATAACCCTTGACAGTCTCCCGCTCATGCAGGTATGTGCTATGGAATTCTCAATGGTGTATTGGGAGTTTGCTAGGAACTCATATCGTATAATGGCCTCTATTCTAGAAAAGATTTTGGCAACGTGGACCATGGATCTGCCAGCTATAAAAGATAATAAGTTAGAAATTCTTCTCTCCAACGCGTACTATCTTCCACCTCCGCAAATCATTGTCCTTTTAAATCCCTCACTGGGAATATACTTGTCTACTCACTACGTGGATCTCTTGTATACAGACCTTATGACTAGCTTACAGACCAAGTACGGGATTTTAACTAGCAAGCTTTGCCGTAACGTATCTGCAATACCTTTAACTTCCAGCTATTCAACGGAACAAATCAATAAGTATTTCTCTTATCTGGCACGTGTCTCCAACATACACATTGACGTTCCATTCTACCGCGTCAGGTCGATATTTAAGGTTGTTCTATTGGAAAGGGTCGACATGGTTGAAGAACGGGTGAATGGGATAATCACGAATGCCCACAACAACATTGATGGTATCACTGCAGATGTGGAAGCATTGGTTATCAACCACTATGGAGTTTCCATAGCATCATCGAGCTTAGGCTACCCGACGCTCAAGCGACTTGATGAAAACACTAAGCTACGTATTATTGGCTCACTTCTTTATCATAACGATGTCCTGTCCATTTACGACAATAAGAACTTTGAATATCTCGTACTTTCTCTAGCTGAATTGAAGTATAAGCGGCAACTCAATAGAGTACAACAATGCTCCATCGATACACGATGGACCGATGACATATCTAAAGTATACAGTGAAATAAGGGAGAAGGATCTAAGGAACATAGCAACTAATTCATTCTTCGTTGAAAGCAAAGGGTACAATGAAGAAATCTTCCTATATCTTTCACTACCATCCATATTTATAGACGACGTTCAGGTCAAGCAGCTCGACATGCCCGGAACCCTCCTTGGAAGCTGTTCCATGGGGAAGATGGAATCTCTGTTTACACTAGTATGCCTGGATCTCAAAACAACCATATCTACTCAGCTGTTGTGGGAGCGAATAGCCCTCAATAAAGAAAAATATCTAGATGTTGAGAAGATGCCAACAACGGATTGGTACCACATCTCTCTGGAAACATACCGGATAAAAAGTTACTTTGATTGGTTTTTTAAGCCACGGAAATCTATGTGGGAAGAGTACAATTACTTTGAAAGCCCTTTTTGGCTACCGGAGACGGGATACAATGACCCAATCAAGAGCTATTGTATAGACCTGATATACGGGCTCGATGTGTATGGATACAGCCCTCAATTTTTGAAAACAAAACTCTTGTTCTTCTCGAAAAAGGCCGCCGAGGATGTAGTCATTATTTGTACAATGGCAGTGGTCGGAGCGTGCCTTTTAATTTATCTTATTTCTCACATCTACTTATGTATCCTTCTAACGAGGTACTAGATCACAATCTACGGCGAATACTGCCACAGCACTGGTTGTCAAACTGATCGAAGATGAGCTCGTATATTCGTGAGAAATAATCTTTTCCGAGCCTTGTTTTAAGCTCCTTTAGAAGTACATAAAACCTGGTATCAACGTTGATACGGTTTGCATATAGCTCAAGTCTGCGTAGAGCACTGAGAACGACTGGAGGGTCGAGTCTAAAGTACGCTTCTATGGCAGACACAAGTCCCTGACCCATTGCAATGAAACCCGGGACACCAATGCGGCTGGTCTTCTTTGCCTTAACTTGCCTATAGTAATGTGTTTCGAAGCAATATATGTTAGGAAGCTTTGTGATGCTATGAAGCCCTACTCGCATGGTGTGCTTGTAACTGTTGCCACACTTGTCCTGCTTGTACATAGAGCATGGACTAAAGTCTGAGCGCATGATGTCAAAGCCCTTAATTGATGATTGCACAATGACAGGGAAAAGGAGAGATCTCAGCTCTGCCATGCTGCAATCTAAGATATTATCGAATTCTGGTGATGCGTCACCAATCTGTGAATTGCCAAACAGAAAGCAGTTTGGAATGGACGCATGCGCATGCAAATCTAGGCAAAAGATTACGCACTGTTTAGTCGTATATTCAACAGGGGGGTTAGGCTGTATAACTATGGTGTGTATGGTGTTACCCCGCTTTTCTCTGGGACTATGAATAGGAGCCTCCATTAAAACAGGGGAGATAGTACTCATAGAGAGCGGGGATCTGATAGTGGCGGACAGGCGAAGGGACCCTACAGGAGTGATCACTGATTCTGTGTGATAACTATTAGACAAATCCTTAGGTAAATTAACCATCTCACGAGCATCTGAAGGTGTTGATTGGGATGCAGAGCCTGTCAATCCAGTGAGGCTATTGCAGCTCATTGGGTAAAGGCACGTCTGCCGAGTATTTAAGTCAGAAGACTCTATTGCAGCATTTATGTCAGAAGGAGGTCTGGGCTCCGCAAAGCTTCTGAAGGTAGGCGTATGGCAGATGCGGCGGAAGACCTTAATGAGTCGTTCAGATGAAGGTTGAAATATCCCGGTATTCGTGCCCTGGGTCTTAATTTTAGAAAGAATCTTTCCTGTAACCAATGAAGAGTTTTCAATATAACATCTATTAAGATCATTTCCTGCTGCATCAGTCCTGTAATGTCCACACCTTATTCCCTCTGCATTTATGGCTGGAACAATCCAAATTTCAAACCAATTAAGAAGCTTGCTTATGTCTTTGAGAATCCCTTCTAAGACGTAGCTTCCTGGAGTTTCGCCTGGATGGCAGCGCGCACTAAAGTACAATATTGGCAATCCGGGGTGACGTGCAATGCGGTACAGTATAGTCTCATCGTTCAACTGCTCTTCTGTAACAGGGTATAAAGCTCTAAGCTCTCGCATGCGAAGAAAGATCTCGTTTAAAGGATAGGGAAAGGTGAATGCAATCTGTACACACGTTGTACCGCGAGGGACCCTAATACTAAATCCTAAGAATGCACCCATGCTATTTGTGAAGCTTTCTGCTTCTGTATATCTAAATGGGAGTTGATTGTGTGTTGGAAGTACGATAGAGTAGTCGGGGACCCCAGACGCCTCAGCCTTCTTTAAGGCCTGTATGGCTGAATTGTACGCTCTCGATATAGTTCTATAAACTGGTCTATAGCCGGTCTTAACCTGTCTTCTAGGGGAGGGAGCATTTATCCACTGGAATATCAAAACATCCACATCAAGGCCGGAGGGATTATGCACAAGAAAGTTAAACCAGCTTCTATGCTCAGCTGGTGAGTTATCAGCACCAGGAGGCATGGGATCTGGTCTGGAGCAAAAGGTAATGGTTAGTGTTCGCGAGTTCATGGGACTCATACATGCCTCCGAAATGTCGTAGTTTCCGATATTACCAGAGTCAAATAGCGACAAGATCTCATTGTATGCTGATATATTCTGCATTGTAGTTTGGACTATCGAAAGTCACGCAATAAAAAATCATCTTTATGCCGGGAGTACAGAACTGCTGTGACATAGTGGTTATTCCGTTAGGAATGTCCCCTCGCATTGGAAACTCTTGCTATTTAGTTATTGTTGGTTCTAAAGTTTCATTTCTCCTGGACTGCGGATTAAGAACCTCTGCTCCAGATGGAGAGAGGGTCCCCTCTTTTAAGTTGAAATGTTTACAGGACATGGGGTATTCACTAGAGCGTGATCTAGATTTCATCATTATCTCTCATGCGCACTTTGATCACAGTGGGGCTCTTCCGTTCCTCTTTTCCCTTTTCCCCAATTTCAATCGACCTGTTTACACCACTGAGGCCACAAAGTTTTTATTGCCGCAAATGTATGCTGACTATGACCGCGTATTTGATAATACTAATCAGAGCATGAGTAAGTTAGAGAAGCAGGCTCGCACAATAGAAGTTCGTTCTAGGATTATTTCTTTACTTAAAACATACAAAAACAACACCAATTTTGTAGCTGATTGTCAACCGTCTCGTACCGGAGAGCCTGTTCCGGAGACGATTATCAACTTCTCTAATGCTGGCCATATTATCGGCGCGGTCATTACAACGATCACTGTTGCTGGATGCGCCAAAATTGTTTATACCGGAGATTACAACACAACAGCCCGCACCACCCTTCCGGGTGCGACGCTCCCTAACTGCGCCATTGGCGCAGACATTTTGATTACAGAAACGACTTATTGCAACATTTCTCGACGGCCTAGTCTCTACAGAGATTCTCTTCAGCTCGCGGACGTAGCTGAAACACTGCGCCAGAACGGTCGCGTGCTTCTTCCAACGTCGGCCATGGGCCTCTGTCAAGATATTATTGTCAAAGTATGGTCATTCTGGGAGAGGTTCCGTCTAAATAAGAATAAGCTTTTTCTAGCGACAGGGATGATCAAACAAATGACGGATGCTCAGCGGATTTTAGGAAATTATTCGTTGGATACAACGCCATTCACGTCACTTCCAATCTATCATCGCATGCGTGAATTTGACAGACGATATATAATCCCTGCGGGAAGTGCCAGCGAGGAGGCAGTCAGTAAGGTCATGGGTGGCCCATCTGCCGACGGTTTGGCCTCCACAAGTGACTCGTGGTGTGTTATTTCTGCACCCAACCAAACTAAGACTGGTGTGACACTAGATTGCTTCATGCAGATTGTCCAGGATCCTAAGGCTCTGGTGGCATACCCTGGTCACATGCCCTTAATGGGATACAACTGGCGAATCATCAGACATGCAGCAAAGCATATTCTTTTTGACAACATGAAGGTGGCAGTTCCTATTAACTGCAGAGCAACCCATCTTGCATTTAATGCCCACGTTGATTTTAATGGAATCATCAAAACCATCGACTTTTTAAATCCTCGTGCTGTTTTTCTCATTCACAATACTGCTGTTGATAACGTTGTTAGATTCTCCGAGCTTTTGCAAGAGTATTATCGAAAGTCCAAGATAATCTGCACTGGAAATGACGGGTCACCAATTTTTGCAATCCCGCTCCGCGGGTATCACAACACCAGTCGTGCATATCTTCATCAGGGGATGCAGAATAAGAACTCTGTGGCACGCCTTATTACCAACAACATAAAACTGGAGGAACTAGATGCGACTGCCGGTTTGTATAGGTTGCGGGTTAAGGGATCAATCCGGGATGCAATCCGAAGTCTACGGTCACATGGGCTAGCTTTGATACCGATAGTGGGACACGCTAACGATAAGGTTTACAAGATTGGTGAAAGCATGTATCTAAAGGAGCTAAAAGATGCTGGAGAAGTCCTAATTCAATGGGTAGGTGAGCACGATGCTTATACCCATATAACTAAGCAAGATAACGGCCTCTGCTTCAAGTGACTCACCAGTATGGACACCATCCAATATATAGTTGGCACAGGTTCTCCGCATTTGTTGCACTGTGTATGAGGCTTTGTATCTGCTCAGAGACGCTCAAAGAACGATCTATGTACTTTATATCGTACCCTGTTAGTTTGTCGTAGATACGCTGAACAATCTTCACTGCTTTCGGGTTCCTCTCGTTCCCTTCGAGATAGCTTTCTTGCACCGGCCTCCTTGTTCCATAAAACTCTGTGTTTCCATCTATATTTTCCTTTCCACCCATTGTATTTTCTCCACTAAGAACCTTCATGGACATCAGCGGATCATAGATGAACGTTTCCAGCACACTTACCAAGCTGTCCTTGTTCGACCTCAATATGCTCATCGTCGCCTCTCCTGTCATCCGGAAGCTTCCCTCCGTTCCACAGCTTTCAAACGCCTTCATCATAATTGAAGTTAAACGGAATGGAACCTTCTCTGGTAGCTGCTCCCTGTGCATGGCAACTTCGAAGCAATCGCCATAGTCGATGTGCAGCACCATTCCGGTCGTCCGCTCTATCATTAGGTTAGCGGGGTGACGGTCACCAAGGCCAAGGATATATCCAACAATGGAGGACACAGCAATGGATCGTGTATAATTCATTCTCTTCAGGAGCCAATCCTCTGCCGAAGAAGCCTTATTCCACAACGACCTGCAGAGATCAATTGCGTCAGATGTTGTTAGCATGTACTTGAATGCGTCGACTTTGTAGTGCAGTGCCATGTTCATGAACGCAGGAGCTCGGTACTTGATCTGCTGCATTTCCGTCTCCAAGTGGATCCTCTTGAGCTGGCGAAACTCCTTTATTAAAGAAATTATTGTGTCGCATCCAGGTACCCAATACAGAAGCCCTGAATTCTGCGACAGGGGTGTTATTGGATACTTCATGACCATCAGACCGCGGCGAGAACAGTATGAGTCATTCATTAACAAATTGTTAATTAAGGTAAAGAGCTGCATAACCCGCTCATCCTGCCGCAGATCTTCGTGTCCTTTCAGCAGAAACGCATAATACTCTCCGTCAGATGCAACCAGACCAACCTTTCTAGGTCTCTGCTTTGATCGAATAACAAAAACCTTCTGATAAAACTTGACTATTGTGGTAATAGCCCTTGCAGGATGGTAGCTTCCAGGAACACAGAGATTGGTATTGGAGATATTGTACAGAAGAGGAGAGGTTTGCAGCAGATCAATCGTATTTAGAAACGGAAGTTCAGAGTGAATTCTGTCGTATATTTCTTTGTAATGCTTCATTACGATGTTGAGACAGACAAGGTCGTTTGTCACAGGAAATTGACGACAGCTATCCCACGCAGCTTGAAGCTGGCTGCTAAACATCTGTATGAAGACAGACTCAGACTGTGTCTCTGGGGTCCTGCTGGCTAGAAGCTGTAGCTGACATGCATAGTTGAAGAACTTGACCAGATCTCTTGGCTCCTCACAGAATGCCGTAGATGCTTGAGTGATGAGATCGTATGCTATTTCAGGCCACAGTATAGCCACCCGCTGAAGCTCCTTATTTATGTTAAGGCTCTCTAAGATCATTGCCTCATTAGTACGGCGGATCTGGTCAACAATGCTTAGGGACTCCACGCGACGGTTTAAGATCGTACTCTTACTAGCCACAACTAACGGATAGATAAGGGCTTGAGGATGCTCTGTTCCTATGAGAACAAGTAATTGATGAACAAGAAGTCGTATTTTATGCTGTGGTGAGTGAAGGCGTGCAATGAGCTGTGGTATTACGTCTAGCCAGATATTAATTGGCACCGCAGCAAGTCCATTAATTATTTCTGTCTCTACCTCGTCATAGCTGCCATACCGGAACCAGAGCGTCATGAGACGAAGCGTCGTTGGAAGCGCTTCGATGGAGCGCCCAGTCTCTATGCACTTAAAGTGAGCGATAATAGATTCTACAAGGTACTCCAGTTTGGCCTTTTCTAAAAGAACTTGCCGATTCTGCACGAAGCCAAGGTGCTCTGGGCAAACTAGTGGCCTGTCGCTATCTTGAACAGACTGACTGAGTGCTTCTGATGTACTCCCAACTGCATCACTAGTGGCGTCAACAGAGCTGCGACGCGTTACTATCTGTAGCCCGCCATCTACACCGGGACGATCATTCAACTTGTCAATATAAGCCGCAAAGCTGTTAACAATAGCATACGTTGTGTGGCTGATGCATTTCCAAATGTGATTGCTTGTTTCATCGCGATCTGCAGCAACTTGAAACCACTCCAGCGCGATAAGGCCTATACGGGACATGCCTACAGTATTGTACTGATTGCATTCCTCCAGAGATACATTTGATAGTTCATCGTACGCCAGCAATATGTTGTCAACCAACTTGGCGACTGCCTTATCTAGTGTACTTGCAGATGATAGCTCTAGACGTTCAGCTGAATGCTCGGTCGCCTCATACGTAGTGCTACAAACGCTAGCATCGGCATCACAGTTGTTCACGATAGAGTTCCATATAGCAGAGCAGCTGGTTACTGTGTCCTGCACAGGAATATTGACATAGCCTTCTGAGGGAGATATTGTCCCTATCATACTACATGACTTGTGATCAAGAGGCGTTAGCAGGTCGGAATACCAGGCCCCAAGACGAATAAGCATACGACAAACAAGTTTTGGCTCTGTTTTTTGGATAGAGACATCATTACATAGACGGATTAGATGCGTGAAGGCAACGAGCTTCTCTAACACATTCTCATTTGAGCTTACCCAAAGGTGCTTACAATAGGCGTATAGCACATGAGGGTAGACATGATTGAGAGGCGGTATGAGGGCGTTGAAGAGATCACGCTGTGCATTGCGCTTAGCATCATCGCATTGCTGGCCAACTATTGACAGAGGAGTTTCCTTCTCGATGCTTTGACCTTGGTGAGTAGAAGCGTTAGCAATCATCTGAAGCGTCGGCTTAGCAACAGAGTGAGAAGCAATACTGAGAACGTCCGAAGTTGGTAGAGCCACATGCTGCTGAGCAGTGAAAGCGTCTTTCACAACGCCATCCTTAAGTAGGTACTTGGCAAGAGATGAGCCAACCGCGCTGAGATCTTGTACTACTCCCATCTCGGCCCCAAGTGCAGAGCCAATAGGCGTTACGCTTCCTCCCGTAGAAACATCACCAGACCCGTGCTTGAGGTAGCGCCGAGGAGTGCCGAACGAAGTAAGACCAAGAAGAGTGTAGAGTCCTCGGCTTTTAGAGACTTTAATGTGATGCACGGATGACGAGTTAATGAACGTTTCGAGAGTTTTTCTGGCTAGCTGCACACGCCCACTCTGAAGGCACAAAACTGAAAAGCGAATCCACACTTCTTGATCTTCGATTGGAAAGATAATGAGCCGCCTGACCCGAAGGAGAGCTTCCCAAGACTCGCAGTCCCAGCGAATCATAGAGATCTTTCGAGACCACATTAACCGTAAGCGTTCCTTTTCTGTGTCAGCAAATCCCGGGGGCGGATTGAATGAAATCAAAGTCGTTTCAAAAATGTTTTCATAAGGATTGCCTCCTTCCTTTATTAACGTCGACGGCGCATCCAACTTCAGTCCGTTGAGAGCTAGTTTATACGAGATTATGTTCTGGAGTTCAGTAATGGTCTGTAAGAGGATACACAGGTTATACGCACGGGTGTACGATTCCGCACTCAATCCAATCAGATCGGGATCAATACGTAGACGGAGCTTGCACAGCAACTTATGGGCCTCCAACATCTTGTTCGCCTTTATATACGATGTGGCACGTATAATTGTTCCATCGATATTGTCTTCTGGAAGGACTCGCAGCCAGATTTCCACGTCCTCTTGGTCTTGCTCCAAAAGACTCCATGCAGCATATGTTGCAATATCTGCTTGAAATCCTTTGATGAGTGTATGTTTTACTGTTGTGAGCCCTGCTTCTTCTTTAGATTCAGAGGACAGGTAATTTAGCAACTGATCGGCTTCTTCCTGGACGGCCGAGTAATCAGCAAGCGCAAACAAGCAACGAATTTTATCCTTCGTGAGGTTAACGAGCATCGGAAGTAGAGTTCGTGCCTCAGATGTATTAGACTTGAGGCTTAGCTTTAGCTGATCTATCTGACGATTGTACCCAGAAAGAGCCTTGTCCCAAAGACACACATTTTCAAACCACTTAGGACTGGGGCCGTAGAGATCTTGCATGTGTCCCTGTGCCTTGTAGCGAAGAGTCTTGAGCACTGATTGAAAGAGGTTTTCCTCATACATCAGAAAGGTGGGGTATTGATAGGTAAGCTTGCTTTTTAGCATCCTTCGCGCCAGCGCGCTTAAATAAATACCTATTTCATTATAGTCTACCTGAAGAACGCTGCCCTCTGGCCCAGACATCACGGGCCGTCCCTCAACAAATATGCCACCTATCGAGCCATAAGACACAAGTTGCTGGGGAATGGACTGGTTAAGATTGGAAATTTTCTTCGCTTCTGTTAAAGCCTTTGTGACAATTTTCGAAACAACCTTGTTGATAATACGCTCCAAGGTTGACTCTGCTGAACAATTAACAGCTGCCCCAGGCTCAAGGCCTCCTTCCCTTTGCATCATTGTGAAAACGTCATCCAACCCCGTATATAGGCAACGTAGCAATATGTCATAGATTAGGTTTGTAGAGATGAAGTTAAGCCGCTTGCACTCAACCCTCAGAGTCCCTATGGCCGTCTCCTCATACCCTAAACTATAATTAATTGCAATAAGACGACCAACTGCCTCTATCGGGTGTTGTGCATACTCTGTTTCCTTGTAGCGCAGAGAGCGCGTATACGCATGGCATCGCTCGGCTACCTCTCCCAAGAAATTGTGGCTGAACGTGGTGCTGAACTCACGGGACCTGTTCTCCCAGAACTCTGCCAAATCCAGCAAAATTTGTAGAACATCTAGCGGACAGTTCTGTGATAGAAATACAGACCGGATAGACTCAACGATATAATTCCTGTGCTCATTATTGCTGGGGTATGTCTCAGAAAGGCATGCAAGGAAGGAGTAATTAAATAAATCACGTGCTACACGAGGATAGGAAGTGGCCAGCTTATGGCATGCCCGCAGACATTTAAGAGGAGAACATTGGAGAAGGGTCAGGCTAAGATTTGAAAGCCAATGACGCCACTCTTCGTTCTTCTTGCATGTGTCTGCGCGCCATATCTGCTGAGGAATGGTGACGTGCTTATTAAGCATGTCGTTTTCCTGAATAGAAAGGCTATGCACGCCTATCGCGCCTGCCGGGAGCGGGCGCATATCGTCCCCAAACCATGTAGATGATGTGTGAAGATAATTAATCACACTGCCTATATCATCGAAGTTGATATCTTTAACGACCAGAATCATAGCATCTTTATCGTCGCCAGGTACCTTGTTTGAGATGCTCTCCATATAAAGAAGTGTATCTTGTGTAACTGGAGTCTCATACATGGCCAACAAGGAAGCCAAGGAAGTATACTCAGAGAATTTTTTAGCTTGCTTTTTCTTCCACTCACAAATCAGGCGATAAAAAGTAACTGGATCAACTTCTTCGCGTCGTAGTAGTAAGGAAAAGATGGAGTCCAAAAGACCAGAAGTAAAGCCAACCTTCAGAAGACACTCGGTAATGACAGGAATATAAAGAGTCACAGAAACGCCAAACTGAGCGCAAATAAAGTGCAGGACCTCAAATGCTTTATAAGAAACTATGTTCATAGGATTCAGACCCTTCTCGGGGTTTGCATTCTTATTATGCTCTACAGACGTACAAGGATCTGCTTCCATGATGACTTCGAGGATAGGATGGATTATGCTTGCTCCAAAGCGGGAAAGGTTAGTGCAAATAGTAAGCCGAGAGAGAGTATCCAGAAGAGCGAATCGGAGCTCTTTACCCAGCTTCTGCTTACGAATCCCAGAGCAAAGAAGGTCCACAATTAAATGTATGTGGTTTGAGAATAGGCTTGAGAGGGCCACAACAGACCGGCAAGCCCTTATAAGAAGCTTCTTTGCAGAGTCACTTATCTCCTGGGATGACTTTAGCACAGTGAAAAGACCTACAAACTTTAGGAAAAATTGCGAGCCATAGTTTCCTAAAGACAAATCCAATACAATACTCACCTCTTCGAGGAGCGCAAGAATAAGCTCTATGAGCTGCTGGTTCGCCCACAGCACTTCTATTATGTCAAAAATATCAGAAACATAAGAGTGTGCGTGGTGCCCGATGCTTGATATTATAAGAATGAGCTCGCGAAGCATTGTTTCCTGCATGAATACCTTACAATTTTGTATGTTTTCAAGAATTAAAGATATTATCTTAGGCACCATTGGGAGGCTTATCGCTGTGCATTCTGTCTGGATAATTGTTCGAAAGACCACAACGGCGTCATAGTGGTACATGTCTAAGGTGCTCTCAGACAGGATAGAGTAAAGTGTAGACATAATCACATTTAGAGTCAACTCAAAATCAGAGACATTAGCAGAAACCTCGGATCCGCTATCCAGTTTCATAATATAGACGTTCTCCACGACGTGGCCCGTTATTGGACTGACAACCGCCTTTCCATGCGATTTGATAGACGCTTCTTGTGCTGCGCCTCCTTCACCCTTGTGGCATACCCAGATGTTAGACTCGTCCATGATATAGTCTAAGGAAAAGACGTCGGTGGACTGGCACTTACAGGTCAGATTGGTGGGAGGAACAAGCGCAGATAGATCCGGCTTCCCATTCTGATAGAATATGGGATCGATAGCGCCGATGGTCGTTATAAGCTTGGCTGCTTCAAGACGTATTTCCTGAGATGTATCATTTTTAAGGATACCAAACACTATGGTAAAGAGATCATGGTAAATAAACCATGGGAAGACGACGAATGATGTTGCTTCAACAATCCGAACAAAGCATCGGGTGGTGGTCAGTCTCAGAGTCTTTGACGTCTCTTCTTTAATGCAAGTAATCAGAAGAGGAATGACCTCTGCTAGACAATGTACCATACTAGTGGAGCCGATAGTGAAAAGCTCAGCAAGAGTTGTAAGAGATGTAATCAGCAAGTACTCGTCGTCACAGTCTTTTGAAATGAGCCCCATGACAGCTGAATATACCATGGGCACGTAAGGGAGAACAATGGACCCGCAAAACTTAAATATCTTGACGATCAGCTCATTGGATGTAGCCCTCTTATTATTTTCTGTGGTCAGACGGAGTTCTGTCAATAGAACGAGAATAAGATGCCTGATTTCGGGAGTCACAAGCGCAGGATTCAACGAACAGAGACGGCCTATCAACTTCACGGCAAGGATGCGTATCTCAATATTATCATCATACAAAGCAATAAAAAGGGTCCTGAGACTGCTCTCGTGCACAAGATATATATCATACCTATTTGTAGTGGTTAACGCCTGAATTATAGACATGCGGACCTCCGGATCGATGTCTGTGGTTCCTATTATAATGATTTGCCGCAGCGTGTCAGATATAAGCATGTGTCGGTATGGACCCGAATTAAAAAAGCCATCAGTGCCTAGATCGCTCGACTTAAGGATGTCTTGGGACAAAATGCAGTCCTGGTTAATACAGAAGCTTGTGGAGCTCATGTCATCAAGGTGAGAACTAGAGTGTGTTCTGATATGTCTAGTCTTGGGGCTAATAGTGGTAGCGAATGATTGGTTGGAAACAACAGCAGGTGGGATAATTGTGGCTCCACCGGATGGCGTCGGAGCCTCTCCAAGAGTGGACCCAGCCCAAGAGTGACAATCCTCCGCTTTTATAGTCATACTTTTGTACTGCGAGTGCTTTCCACGCCGTATCTTTTCAAAGTGGTCCTCAGACATTAGCTTTAGAATAGTTTGAGCTGCTTTGATGCGAAGTGTGCTACTGTCATTCCGGAGATAGCGCGTCAGGTAATCAGCTGCAAAGATTGTCAGATCAAATAAACTAAAGTCAAAATCGTATAGCGCTTGGAATGCTAAAAGGATGGCTTCACTTGTGGAGTGGCGACGGGGACGAAGCTTGCTGGTTCCTAATGCTGTTGCAATGCGATCTGAAAGCTTATATAACGCCGTTATACCGGCTGATGTAGTAACAGTTTGATAGACAGAAAGAGAGTTTTTAAAGTCACATTGCTCCGATTCCTCTTTGAGACCAGTAATAGATAAGTCGTGAGCCAGCTCAATCGCATCTTCATTGGTGCGCGTATCTTCCACGTGAGTGGTGGCTTGGGTAGTTGAGGGTCGTGTCCCGGGGATAATGGAAGTCTGGGAGTCAAGGACGCCTGAGTCATGTCCATCAGCAACTGCTTGAGATTGATTCTCCGTAAGCACAAGATAGTAATCTTCTGACCCATCAATTACTCCATAAGCATTGGAAAGAAACAAGTTGATTCCACCCAGCTCATTGGCGACCAAGTAAAGAAGTAGGCCTTGGATATCCAGTAGCCGGTTATGTAAATTTGCAGAAAGGTCTTGAAGAGCAGAGGTGAGAGATTCACAGAGTCCCACAGAGAAGATGCATTCCAAAATCGAAGTGACATGTTTCTGGACGAGGTTCGGCGCCCCTTTTGTAATGTATTGGATACACTTGAGAGGCTCCGGTGGTAGTATACTCCCTGCCTTTGTGAAATTCTGTGACTTAAAAGATGAGGTGATGAGATTGATTAAGTCATTGAAAATTGGTTTAACGTGCTTTTCCCCTATGACTATGACGAACTCTCCTAGAGGAATAAACAGCTCCTGTTGTGTGGGTATCATTTTCTTGTAAAATGTCAGTATCATCTGTAGCCGTTCAGTTGTGCAAAATCTCTCTGGGTCTAATTTAGCAAAAAGCGAGATAATGGATGCAACAAGCATACGCCCCTCGGATGTCTTAGAACGGAAGATATTGGCGACGAGAGAAAAAAAACTGCTGTAGTTTTCCTGGAAATAGTCTGCTATCGACTTGTCTTTGACTGACAAATTAAGCATGTTCAGGAGCAGATGCAGGGCAATGAGCTGCTCAGAAATGTTCTTGCCATCTAGCGCAGCTCTAATCATTGTTATGAGACGTACCAGAACGTCATGCTTTGTAGCTTTCTTTTGATAGGATATGAATTTATTAATAGCCTTGAAGCCCACTTCCTTGATATTGCTGTTTCGCGTTTCCGTAATCACATGCCAGATTGGTTCAAGAAACTCTTCGCTGGAGATATCTATGGCAAAACTGGTCTCCACCTCAGTTAGGTCATTGAATAGCAGCATGCCAGTGTAGACCTTTGTTGAGTCTCCGCTCTTAATTTTATCAATGCTTATTACAAACAACTTTGGAACAAAGTCTATTCCGTGGCCTTCAGCGTTGATCAATCGACCAATGAAAACGCAATTAGTAAGAATAATAACTTCAGAAGGGTCGTTGACAAGTTCAAGGGCGATTTCTTCAAAGTACGTCAAAGGAATCATGCTAATGGTAGGACGGGATTGGATGAGCTCCCTCATGACCCAGAGACTTGCGAGTCTGTCTTCGTAGCTTGAGGAAGTGGCAAGATTCCTTATAAAACTCATAAGATCAGATATAAAAAGAGTACGAGGATCGGCAAGCATTTGTCTACTGTCCTTTTCGACTTGCATGCGAATCGCCATTGCTGCGCGTGTGTAGATGTTTGGATCGATAGATTTCAGGTCAGCTAGATAGGGATAGAAGCGGCTAGAAGTAATTGCGTCTGTGCTCATTTTTAAATCCAAATCAGGGACTTGTGGGCCGCGCTCCAAAACCCTGGCTTCTGTTGTGTTTACCAGTGTTTTTAGTCCTTTGCAGTCCTTTGTAACTCATCCTATCCACTTATTTCAAGATTTATGGCGTCTTCTCAGCCTTTGCTTCTATCTCCGTCACTGTGGTTTTTGGCTATAGAGCGCTCAGATAGAAATACCGTTAGGCAAAATGTGAATCGCTTTGCTCGCTTTAGGCGATTTTGTGCGAATGGAGATGGTGAGACAGGATTGATCGAAGCCACACGTCTCAATGATACGCTCCTTGTTAGCATCCTATTACCTCACGAAATGACACTCCAGACGCTTTCGGGAGAGACTGCGCTTATGGTGGCTTCCAAACTAAACTATGCTTCTGTAGCAGAACTGCTTGTTAAATACGAGGCAGGGATTCAGGATAAAGCAGGACACACTGCACTAATGCATGCGCTTATCCACCATAACTTCGCTCTTGTTCCTATTCTATTACAACGAGAACTGGGACATGTCGATTCACAAGGCAGAACTGAATTATACTATGCTGCAGTAAGCGGTAACGTCGATGTATTTGTTCTGATAATGTCTGCAGCTCTCAAGAAACCTAGGGGCATTGAAAGCCTATCTGCGTTATGGCATCAATTATCAGCAGAGTCTGAAAGCGCAGCGCCGGTTATCTATGAGCTTATTCAGGAACGTTTAGATTCTAGGTGTAAGTGCGCAGAAGAAAATACTAAACTGATAAACCTCTTGCAGTCAGGGCAAACAGCATTTCCACGAGGTTTGCTGCGAGCATGCGCTAAACAGAAAAATGCGAAAGGACAAACCGCTCTCATGGTAGCAGCTAGTTTGAACCTGCTCAGTGCAGTGGAGATCTTGTTAGAATATGAACTTCTTGCTCAGGACAACAAAGGCCAAACAGCGCTCATGTATGCTGCTAAATTAGGGTCAGTCAAGTGTGTGAGCTTATTGCTTGGGGAAGCGGGAAAGCAAGATTCGCATGGAAATACAGCGCTTGTGCTTGCTCTGAAATCTCACCAGTGGGATGTCGCTAGACTACTAGCAGAGTGCTCCTTAGAACACAAACATCAGAACGAGGCTGGATGGACGGCTTTGATGTTAGCTGCGAAGCTTGGTCGGTCAGATATTGCAGAACTTTTGCTGAGTGAGACTAGAATGCTATCATATGACCAGCAAACCGCATTTAACATGGCGCTTGCCTTTAAAAGCGAGCCTGTCGCTGTTCTCCTGGCTCCATATGAATATGACATCCCATGCTTCACCGGGGAGCCACCATATGTTGCCTGTTTAAAAGCAGGGTTTCTCGTGGCTGCTGAAAGAACCAAAGAGGCTCTTGCATCTGCCGGTCAGCCCGTTTATGCAACCTCTCTCATGGAAGCTGCAGATACCAATGACATTGCTCTTCTTACAGAGAGCGTAAAGGAGGTCGGGGCCAGGGATGCTTTCGGAATGACAGCAATGATGTACGCAGCACTGCGGGGCCACAATGAGTGTATACGTTTCCTTGTCGCACATGAAAGCGGACTAGTGGATAATAACTTGTGGACTGCTTTGATGCATGCGTCCCGTGTTGGCAATATTGAAGGAGTTCAGATCTTGCTAGAACGTGAGGCTGGCCGGCGCAACAATCAAGGCTGGACAGCACTGATGAATGCTGCTAAGTTTGGGCACTTGGAAATAGTCCGCCTACTGAGAGATGTAGAGGCCTGTCTTCAGTCAGATAAAGGAGCCACAGCTCTCCACATAGCGGCTCAGTATGGATATACAGACATAGCGAGCCTGCTGATTGACAAAGAACAGAAAATTCAGGACTCTCAGGGCTGGTCCGCTCTCATAAACGCAACACACAAATCACGCACAGATTGTATTTCTTTGCTTGCTCCTTATGAGGCTCGACTCCAGACCATTCACGGTAAAACGGCCATGATGATAGGAGCAAACCAAATCAAAGCAAACATGATCAAGATACTACTCCCTTACGAGGGTCGGTGTCAGGATTCTTTCGGAATGACAGCAATGATGTATGCAGCACAGGCCGGCTACATCAACAATGTGATGGTGCTGGCTGATGTGGAGGCAGGGCTAACTAATAACAAGGGTGAACGTGCAATAGACTTGGCACGCAAAGGTGATTATAAGAAAATTGCCCTGTTTCTTTCCAATTTTGAGAAGTGACAATAAGTGACAATTTTTCATATTAGTAGTAGCACAAGTAGCCGGGATCTAAACTTATTGGTTGGCTCCATTTCCGCATGCTTTATATATTATTTTGTAGGTACGCTTTCCATTTGTCATTGATAGACCTAAGTACAACTGTCTCATGCTGTTGATAATAAATCCATTCAGCAATGTAGCACTGGGGGACTCACAAGCTGACAGCTTTTGCGTTAACCATTCAGACCTTGATCAATTAGAGATAGTAAATCTGAGAGCCAGAGAGAAGAATTGGTTATAGTCCTAGTAGATAGCCCCAGTAGAGGCCCCCATTGATGTCGGTACTGAAGCTAATATTAAAAATGAACGAAAAGAAGAAGATTTACTATCACTTCGCTTCGGACCCAAGCCGAGAATACACTCTCAACCTTCCATGTGAAGGTCGTGTCTCCTGCAAATTTGCACGCCAACATATTATCATTCAGCATACGGTCCGTCCCGATTCCAAGTGCTTTTTTGAGCTCTACCGCAATGTGAGCACAGACGCAGGCAACCCCAAATATAAGCTTATTGATAGTAACGAGGATATTCTTACTGAGACGCGCCTACTTGTTAAACGACGCCCAATAACAATCGAAGATATCAAGCAAGACGATTACCTCTCATTTGACTCGTTGGCTCCCACCCTTCATGATATTATTCATTCTGATATGGTTGCAGATAGGCTCTCAGCTCGCGATAGTGATAGTCTAATAGACGCCAACAGACAAGGTATCACAGAGCTTACTAAAGATCTACTTACCACCCTTTTAAGTGAGATTGACAACAATCTAACCATGACAATAGGAAAAAATACAAGAACAGACATAATAGGGCAATTCAATGTGGATAACGCCCCACCCACGACTCGCGAGGGCCAGCAGTTCCTCATCGGGCAAGCCAACCGCATACATCAGACGTTTTCAAAGAACCAAGCTGCTGAAGAAGAGCAAGATGAAGACGAAGACGATAAGGAGAAGACAACAAGCAATATAGCAGAGCTTTGGGATAAAGTGATGGGCTACCCCAAGTCTTTCCTCTGCCCCACAAAGCTTCGCGAAAGTGCGCAGACGCCAGTATCGAGCTCTGCTGCGTCTGGAAACACTAGTCACAGCGGCCATGGAAATTGCAATGCACATAACTCAACTTTCTCTGGTGCCCATGCCAATTCTCCAGGAGCTCACGCTACTTCAGGACCTGTTACTGGTGCCCATATCCAGGGGCATAGCCATCGCCAGGAACCTCGACAAGGTGACAGTAGGCCTTCCGGACAGTACTTTTTGCATAGTAAAAGAACAAGAGAGGTTAGTAAGGAGCCTATAAAGGTCGTACTAACGGGGGTCCGCGGGCAAAAATAAGGCATCAGCCACTACACAAAAAACTAAAAATGAAAATTCGCTCTATTGTCGATATAATATGCGGCTGCCTAACGAACTACAGCCCTGCAAGAGAGGATATCTATCAGTACGTTGAAGGAGTACTCCAAAACTACACCGTGTACATTCCTCAAACTGATGATGAAACAGGCAGTGTGAGGATCGACTGCTCTGCTGTGGGCGTCTCTACCTCTGCTCCACTGAAGAATATGACTGACCAAATGACTATACAGCAGCGACAATTCATTAGTGATGTGTGTTGCGGGGTTGCTAGCAACAGGCCTGTTCTTAAAAGCTGTACTGACCTACTTTACGCGCAAAATCCCCAGCTCCTTCCATCTGCTAAGAACCTCTATTATGTATTGTTTTACTATACCATTTTTGAGCTTTTGCGCCAACCGTTTTCCAAGCTACGAGCCATCCTGGTGTCTCAGCAAGCCTCTGTTATTCTGCCATTTTTGCGACTGGTTTGGGGCGACGCCTCACCTTCCAAAATAACTAAGGGATCGGTAGATATCGCGGAAAAGGGCTCTGGTGACGAAAGTAGCTCGGAAAACGATAGGTACAAAGCTACCGAGGATTCATTAATGCAACAGGCAATACAGCCCGTAGTTCAAGACGCGCGGCTATCTATTCATCTAAGACGTATCTTAGAGTCACACTTTGATGAGACATATGTTCGTGGACCTTTGACACATGCGATTGTTCATAATTGTTACCAGGAAGCGACAGATCTAATAGCCATGCTATCCCAAAAGTCAGAAGCTAAAAGCGCCTGGCAAAAAGGGCGAACACCACCTCCGATAGCACCAGCACTTGGCACAAAGTTTAGTGCTCCTGTGACCAGTGTTTCTTTATCAAAGAAAATTACAGATATTACTCCAGAAGAGGTGCAGGCTGAATACTGCTATACGGCAAAGAAAGCCCCACTTGCTATGCTTAATAAGCCAATGAACGAGGTGCTAAAGAAAGCAGAGGAGGAGCGCAAACAATTCCTCCCTCAACTGACTAAACCAGATAAGCGCACAGCTGAATGGTACAGCGAGGATAAGCGTCGGCACGCCGAGGCCAAAAAGAAACTGGACGATAAGAAGCAGGAGGAGGCCGCCCGGGAGGCTGCTGCATCTATTGAACGAAAGCAAGCCATGGCACGCAAGAGATATGTCCAGGTTCCACCGCCAAGAGAGACAAAAGCGACTATTTTGCGAGCTAACGCAATTATAGAAAAGGCGTTGGATGTGGAGGCCCAAGAGCTTAATATGTATATGGCTGGCTTGCGGGATAGTTCGGAGTTTGATATGTGGCGAGCAGCCATGCTTGAGCTCGACAAACAGAAGCGCCTTGCCGAAATAGAGCTTCATAAGCGTGATGCGAAGCTAGCTTTCGAAGATGCAAAACATGCGCGGGAAGTGGCGCTAAAGTTGAAAACAGCTAAGGTAAGTGAGGAAAATAAAGAGCATTTTCAGCAGCTCCTTGAGTACTTTGAAAGAGATGATAAACGACTCCAAGAGGCTCAGCGGCATGCTAAGGAACAGCACGACATGTTACAATTAAAGGTGGATGAAGCTAAAAAAGATTTAGCGAGAGAGAAGCAGAGGCTCGCGGACGAGCGAAGACAAGAGCATCTTCAAAACGTGGAGTATATGGCAGACTTAAAGCTTGCTGAGAGCATCGAAAGGATAGAGCTAGTGAAGCAAATTAAGGCTATGCTGGAAATAGTTGGAGCAGAGCGCGAAAAGAAATTACTTGAAAAGTATGACTCCTCTACTACGGCAGGTCACGGCTTATTAGATGAAATGTCTCTTACAGAGCTACGGCAGCGGCTCCTTCTCATGAAAGAGGTTAATCTTCAGATTCTAGAGGATCGTCGTAAAGCTATTTTGGAAGCGAAAGAGAATGAACAGGCTGAGCTGCAACGAAAATGTGAGCAGGTAGCACGGGTAAGAGAAGCTATTCGCGCCGATAGAGAGCAAATGAAGCTAACCGCAGATGTACGTGTTGATTTCTCCATCTATCAAAAGTATATAGATGCCGTTCAGGAGTCTACCAAGGAAATAATTGATAGCTATGAGAAAGAGTTAGGTAAGCGTATTAAGACACGTGAGGAGCAAAGTCGCGAGCAGATAGAGCAAGGGGAGGTTGCACGAGCTGCCGCAAATGCTTTACGGCAAAAACTAAACGCGCGGGCCAAAGAGAAAAGTACTGTCAAGATATTTACTGAGAATATCTTAACCAATACCTACACAAAAACAACGGATATGTTCTACACAAAGGCAGCATATCCAGGGCCAGAGAAAGCGCAAATAGCAAGCGAGGTCAAGCAAAAACGATTGGAAAACATACAGTTAACTAAACATAGACAAGCGGAGGAACGATCTGAATGTAAGAGGAAGCAACAAGCTGACCTGGAGCAGCAAAAGAGAATCACCGCAGATGAAGCTGCGAAGACTGCAAAGCGGAAAGCGGATCTGCACAGAACACAAAAAGAATGGGAGCTTATGAGGGATCGAAATGACGCTCTCAGAGATCCATACAGGGCATCTGTTAAGGGGGCAGGACACACAGGCCGGGATGCAGGAATGTATGAGGGAATATTTATATAAGCAAATAATTTACTCTGTTTACCAAGGTTAGTTTGCAGCTGCTGTCCGAGTAAATCTCCCTGCAACGCCACCGCCCTGGGCAGGGCTCCCGCTCGCCGTCCGGGGTCCAGCCCCAGCGTCCGAAGATCAGGCGCCCTCGATCCGGGCGGGAGAACTCCTATGCCCCAGCTCCCCCGGAAGCCGCTGCTCCTCACGTTACCTCTAGGGTTCCTCCCTTCCTCTGGCCCATCGGAGTCAACTATCGTCTGGCACTGGTGGGCACCTGCTATTCAGGGTCTTGCGTCTGTTGCGGCGATCTGGTCTCCACGTGGCCCGGGCCCTGGTGCTCTGTGACGAGGATCACACGCCACGACCTCGAGTGTCTACCCCGTTCCTCGGGGTGCCTCTTCGTCTCCCCATGACGTGGACCATCGACCCTGCTGTCGGGGGTGCGCTCCCCGTGCGCCTCTATCCTGGAGTCATAGTACGCGTTCGTGGATGCCGATGGAGTACTCCCATGCGGTGGTATCAGGGGAGAGGCCCATCCCTCTGCTCATGATCGCAGTGCGCTCTTGTGGATGGTCCGTCAGCCAGTACGAGATCATGTCGACGCTCATTCTGTGCAGTGTGTCTGGCTCAGTGACGTGTGGGCTGGTCCATCTGCACAACACACTTGGGGGTGATGCTTCGGTCTGTCGAGGCGTCGGTCCAGGATCATTAACTGCTGGGACCCTCCGCCATCAGAGCGGTAGACCAAGAAGTGGCACCAATGGTGGACGACGCAGATGGGCAAGTAAGTTGAATCCTAGACAGACCGACGTGCACACTCGAACTGAGCACACCTCTGCGGAACAACTGAGGGACGCAAAAGACTCCTGGTATACAAGTGAAGGGAGATCCCTATTATATCATCCACAGCCAACCCTCGTCTCTGAACTGGCCAGGAAGGAGCGATGATTACCCGCACGACCTCTGGGCGATCCTCAGATAGCCCCAGTAGCACAGCGTAATAAGCCACACACAATGACGCGTTTACTACCTAAGTCACGCCTTCCCCCTACACAGGAACCACCAGCAGAGGAAGCCCACAAGGCCCCCCACAACGACGATGACAGCCACGGAGATCCCCGCGATGGCGCCGGTAGAAAGGCCGCTCTTGTTCGTGCTACCGGTATCCTTTATGAGATAGCAGAGGACGGAGCCAGTATTGCTAGATGGAGGAGCGCAGCTCATGCAGCCAGCAACTCCCTTGACACTTCCACTGTTGCTGTCACACGAAGTGCATGGCCCAGCATTTAATCCAACCATGTAGTACCCAGTTGCACACGTTGTACAAGTATTTGCAGAATTAGCATCACGACATGTCTTGCATGTCGAGTGACACGAAGGGCATGCTCCATTATTAGGCTGAAGACTATTGGCGCACGTCTGACATCCACCATTGCTATCAGCTAGTGTGCATATCTGCTCACCGGGCTGTCTGTCAGTCTTATAGCAACCGCCGTCTTGGAGGAAGTACCCACTGGCACACGTAGTGCACCCTCCCTGATTGTCCTTTTTCGAGCATACGGGCGCGCGGGCATTGTCTGCTGTACAGACTCCGTTGACGGGGACCTCCGTGGATGTGCTGCACTTCGAGCAATACTTTGTCCCTCCGATGGTGGCTCCGCAGGTCTCGCATCCGCTAGCTCCACTCTGGGGCTTGCACTCATCTACGCAGGATCCACCTTGACTAGGATCATCATTGGTGTACTGGAGCCTCTTCCCGGGAGGACACAGCGTGCACTTCGCTGGTCCCGTTGTGGTGCACGCAGCACAGCTAGAATCACAAGGCTCGCACACTTTGTCTCCGTTGTAGTAGCTTCCTATTGCTCCGCAGCTCTGCGTGCACTGCTTTGTCGGGGTGAGGTAATTGTTATCATTACATTCAGTGCAGATTTCGTTGTCTGTTTTGGGGTTATCACAGATCTTGCAGTTGGGAGTATTACACTGTGTGTTAGAGGCCTTCTCGCACGCGGTCTTTCCGGCGTTGAGCGTGTATCCCTGGTCGCACTCGCAGACGTTCGGGCTGGCCGCAGAGTTCGGCGGGCAATTGGCCCCGCAGCTCTTCCCGTCGAGGAGCACCTTCTGGCCACCGCTACAGGTGAGGCACGTCTGGCTGGGGCCCGCCTCTGTGCAGGTCTCGCAGCCCGCGTCCTTCAGGTTTTGGGCGCATTCCGTGTTAGAGGCCGCCACGCAGCCGTCCTTCCCGCTGTTCAGGCTGAATCCCTGGTCGCACTCGCAGACGTTCGGGCTGGCCGCAGAGTTCGGCGGGCAATTGGCCCCGCAGCTCTTCCCGTCGAGGAGCACCTTCTGGCCACCGCTACAGGTGAGGCACGTCTGGCTGGGGCCCGCCTCTGTGCAGGTCTCGCAGCCCGCGTCCTTCAGGTTTTGGGCGCATTCCGTGTTAGAGGCCGCCACGCAGCCGTCCTTCCCGCTGTTCAGGCTGAATCCCTGGTCGCACTCGCAGACGTTCGGGCTGGCCGCAGAGTTCGGCGGGCAATTGGCCCCGCAGCTCTTCCCGTCGAGGAGCACCTTCTGGCCACCGCTACAGGTGAGGCACGTCTGGCTGGGGCCCGCCTCTGTGCAGGTCTCGCAGCCCGCGTCCTTCAGGTTTTGGGCGCATTCCGTGTTAGAGGCCGCCACGCAGCCGTCCTTCCCGCTGTTCAGGCTGAATCCCTGGTCGCACTCGCAGACGTTCGGGCTGGCCGCAGAGTTCGGCGGGCAATTGGCCCCGCAGCTCTTCCCGTCGAGGAGCACCTTCTGGCCACCGCTACAGGTGAGGCACGTCTGGCTGGGGCCCGCCTCTGTGCAGGTCTCGCAGCCCGCGTCCTTCAGGTTTTGGGCGCATTCCGTGTTAGAGGCCGCCACGCAGCCGTCCTTCCCGCTGTTCAGGCTGAATCCCTGGTCGCACTCGCAGACGTTCGGGCTGGCCGCAGAGTTCGGCGGGCAATTGGCCCCGCAGCTCTTCCCGTCGAGGAGCACCTTCTGGCCACCGCTACAGGTGAGGCACGTCTGGCTGGGGCCCGCCTCTGTGCAGGTCTCGCAGCCCGCGTCCTTCAGGTTTTGGGCGCATTCCGTGTTAGAGGCCGCCACGCAGCCGTCCTTCCCGCTGTTCAGGCTGAATCCCTGGTCGCACTCGCAGACGTTCGGGCTGGCCGCAGAGTTCGGCGGGCAATTGGCCCCGCAGCTCTTCCCGTCGAGGAGCACCTTCTGGCCACCGCTACAGGTGAGGCACGTCTGGCTGGGGCCCGCCTCTGTGCAGGTCTCGCAGCCCGCGTCCTTCAGGTTTTGGGCGCATTCCGTGTTAGAGGCCGCCACGCAGCCGTCCTTCCCGCTGTTCAGGCTGAATCCCTGGTCGCACTCGCAGACGTTCGGGCTGGCCGCAGAGTTCGGCGGGCAATTGGCCCCGCAGCTCTTCCCGTCGAGGAGCACCTTCTGGCCACCGCTACAGGTGAGGCACGTCTGGCTGGGGCCCGCCTCTGTGCAGGTCTCGCAGCCCGCGTCCTTCAGGTTTTGGGCGCATTCCGTGTTAGAGGCCGCCACGCAGCCGTCCTTCCCGCTGTTCAGGCTGAATCCCTGGTCGCACTCGCAGACGTTCGGGCTGGCCGCAGAGTTCGGCGGGCAATTGGCCCCGCAGCTCTTCCCGTCGAGGAGCACCTTCTGGCCACCGCTACAGGTGAGGCACGTCTGGCTGGGGCCCGCCTCTGTGCAGGTCTCGCAGCCCGCGTCCTTCAGGTTTTGGGCGCATTCCGTGTTAGAGGCCGCCACGCAGCCGTCCTTCCCGCTGTTCAGGCTGAATCCCTGGTCGCACTCGCAGACGTTCGGGCTGGCCGCAGAGTTCGGCGGGCAATTGGCCCCGCAGCTCTTCCCGTCGAGGAGCACCTTCTGGCCACCGCTACAGGTGAGGCACGTCTGGCTGGGGCCCGCCTCTGTGCAGGTCTCGCAGCCCGCGTCCTTCAGGTTTTGGGCGCATTCCGTGTTAGAGGCCGCCACGCAGCCGTCCTTCCCGCTGTTCAGGCTGAATCCCTGGTCGCACTCGCAGACGTTCGGGCTGGCCGCAGAGTTCGGCGGGCAATTGGCCCCGCAGCTCTTCCCGTCGAGGAGCACCTTCTGGCCACCGCTACAGGTGAGGCACGTCTGGCTGGGGCCCGCCTCTGTGCAGGTCTCGCAGCCCGCGTCCTTCAGGTTTTGGGCGCATTCCGTGTTAGAGGCCGCCACGCAGCCGTCCTTCCCGCTGTTCAGGCTGAATCCCTGGTCGCACTCGCAGACGTTCGGGCTGGCCGCAGAGTTCGGCGGGCAATTGGCCCCGCAGCTCTTCCCGTCGAGGAGCACCTTCTGGCCACCGCTACAGGTGAGGCACGTCTGGCTGGGGCCCGCCTCTGTGCAGGTCTCGCAGCCCGCGTCCTTCAGGTTTTGGGCGCATTCCGTGTTAGAGGCCGCCACGCAGCCGTCCTTCCCGCTGTTCAGGCTGAATCCCTGGTCGCACTCGCAGACGTTCGGGCTGGCCACAGAGTTCGGCGGGCAATTGGCCCCGCAGCTCTTCCCGTCGAGGAGCACCTTCTGGCCACCGCTACAGGTGAGGCACGTCTGGCTGGGGCCCGCCTCTGTGCAGGTCTCGCAGCCCGCGTCCTTCAGGTTTTGGGCGCATTCTGCCCGTGTTACCACACAAACTAGGAGAAATCCTATCAACATTAGCCGGAGCACACGTGCCACTGCTCTTCCGTCAGGCTGGTGTGTTGCCGCGAGCAGTGAGAGACAGCCGCTCTTGCTCTTCTCGATCAGTTGGACTGGAGAAGGACAAGATAGGAGCACACCCACCGGAGGCCAGCTGATAGTGTAGTTTTCCCTGACTTCAGTAGGAACAGGACCAGTGAGGGCCGGACTCAGATCGCACCTCTCTTGTGGAGTGATTGTTCGGGGTGCACTCCTGTACATTGCTGTCACTGTATCGCTGGCCCCGCCTGCAGGTGCGCTCAGAGGCCCCACGGGCAAGCCGCGCCCACTTCCCAGCCACCGCAGAGGGTGTCCTGAGAGACGCTAGTAACAGTGCAGCTAGCGGCTTTGCAGGGCCGATGGGCGCTGGTGGCGTTCCCGTGTTCAGCCCCAAAAAGTTGCATAGACGCCTAGGTAACATGCTCAGCAAGGATGCCCACGGTGCCGTCTACTCTCTCAGGGGATGCCCCTACCTCGCCGTGAGAGAGATCCGGCTTGATGGTCTGGATCAGCACAGTGTAGATGCCATTCGGCGTAGGCTGACCGCTCTTCTAGGCACCCTTCACCCAGACGTTCTCAAATACCACCAGGTGCTTACAGATGGCAACACGATCCTTGTTGTCACAGACCGCTGCTGTGGAGACCTCCGGCAGTTCATCACCGACTACAAAGACATTCACGAACCTATTCCCAGCGAGCTGATGCTCTCCCTTCTGGGGCAGCTGGCTGGCGCCCTTGCCCACCTCCACGGGCTCAGCAGAGGTGCCCACAACGGCCTGCCCTCTAGCGTTGTCCTCGAGCCCGACAACGTCATGTTCGCTGGGGACGGGCGGCGTGTTGTTCTTGCAGACTTCGGGTTCTGCGAGGGCATATCGAGCGGAGCTGCGAAGGCTGGCGACCCCGCGTACATGGCCCCCGAGACACTCCTCAGCGGTGACACGACCGCCGCATCCGACGTCTGGAGCCTTGGGGCCGTCGCATACGAGCTCGCCACCCTGAGGAAGCCGGACTTCCTGGGGGGCAGAGAACCAGAGGATGTCTTCGTCGATGGATGGAGGTCGAACCTGAGCGGTGTCGCAGACGACCTCGCAAGGAACGTCCTTGAGAGGATGCTCGTCCTCGATCCCGCCGAGAGGCCGACTGCCAGGGGGCTCGTCCGTCTACTTCGGAGGCCTGGCATCTCTGCTGATGAACAAGAGGCCCAAGACACAAGGCTAAAGGAGGTGCGTGCAGCCTTTGTAGAAGCCTTGAATAGGGCCAACAACAAAACAGTAACTCTCGAAAAGGATCCCACTAATAGCGCCGCAAAAGTGGACTCCATTAGGAGACACTATGCTGTTGCTGCCAAGCTATTTGAAGAGATGCAGGAGATTAAAACAGAGACGGATAAGACAGACGAAATGGAGGAGTCAGAAGAACCAGAGAAGCACCTAATAGAGGAGGACGACTCCACCGACCTCATGAGGGCTGTCGACAGAAACGACGTGGAGGCTGTGAAGGCCCTCATACCACTCCAGGGGGGCATGAAGATGAAGGGATGCGCACTTGTAGGTGACTGGAAGATATACGAGGGAACTGCCCTGATGAGAGCGGCGGTATACGGACACGCAGGGATCGTGGAGCTGCTCGCGGAGAAAGAGAAGGGACTGAAAGATAGCAACGGGTGGACGGCCCTCATGTGGGCTGTGAAGAACGATCACACAGACTGTGTCAGGCTCCTCATGAGAGAGAAGGACTTGAAGGGTTATAATGGGGGGACTGCCCTTGACATGGCTAAGTTATGGAGACGCCATGAGATAGTCGCCCTCCTCTCAGAGTAAACGCTCTAAGGCCGGTAGAGTGAAGCACCAGTGCTCAACAGCACCGACCACCGAGAGACGGAAAAGTGCCGCCGCTCCCCTATAGAGCAGTCTAAGTAGCGCACCACCAGAACTAACCATATAGAGCGAACGTGTCTCCACGGCTTGCCTGCTTCTGAGGACGCTTGGTGGCTCGTGGGAGCTACTCAGACAACCTTATTTTTGCTTTGATGCGTTGAACAAGATGAGGGTGTAATAGTAGTTGACAACAAATGAAGGCAGGTCTCTTGTTCGTTCACCACCCGGCATCTGAGACAAGAACTCGAGCTCGGGGGTCGCCCACCTCTGGAGAAGAGCCTTGTGCTTCCTCCCTAGGGGGCCGTTGTTGCCCCGCGGTGCGTTCCTCTAGTCAACCTGGGCCAGCTGCTCCCCACACCCGGTGGGCACCCGCTACTCCAGGGCCACGCAGCTCACCTTCCGCCTCATCGAAGCTGGTCTGCCACCTGCCGGCCGAGCAATCCGTACCCCGTGCAAGTCCTCCCCGCGGCAGGCGGACCCCGCCCGTTCGCCGCCCCAAGCCCAGAGTCCGGGATTCGGGTCAGAACGTCGGCCGAGTCCGGGGGAGAAGAGCCAGGCCGTGCACGCCAGCTCTGGCATCAACCGGAACGCCCTCCAGACCAGCCAAGGGGCTAAGGTGCGACTCCTGCCGCCCAGTAGCACGACCGAGGCCGCGGGGTTGAGCGGACGACAGCACCAGAGCGCCCAGCTCGTCCAGGGCACTGCGAAGCGCCGCCCCTCGCCGGGGATGCGCTCCGACGCCAGGAGAACGAGGGCCGCGGGTGCAGTGGGCGCCTGATGAGACGGCGGAAAGGCCGCGCCTCTCGTGCGAGCGTGTGAAGCACTCATGAGCGCGCTTCCGGTGCTCCAGGTCCGACCCGGGCCTCAGGAGCCCACTGAAACGGAGCATCCTACGCTGAGCGGCACCGGGTGAACGTTGAACTAGTAGGAGCGGAAGAGCACGTGCCTGTCCTGCATGAAGACTCTCCACAGCGAGGCCGTCCAGACGCATGCAGAACAGACACCGGATGCAGGGTGCTACTGAGTGGAGCAGCGGGGAACCGGAGGAGTGGCATTCACCGGTCCGCTGCCCGGCCTGCATCCTCAGCCTCGCCTCGAAGGGGAGCTGCCCCCTAACAGCGCCATCGACGACCAGCACCTTGCTATCCAGAGGGCCGGATCAGGACGGCCTGGACCTGCGCTGGCGAGTCCATCCAGGTGCAGGCCTTCAGCGAGATCCTCGGCGCGATCCATAGGATGGGATGCGTGCTCTGTACGGTTCCGCCTGGCCCTTCTCCAAGAATGGGACAGGACAACCACGATCAGCGGACGATCATGATTTGCTCCACAAGACAGTTCCAAGGAGCTGCGTCGAGGCCTTCCTCCGGCTGCGCCACGCTGCACTCCTGGACTCGGTCCCTCGGGACCCTGAGCATGCTTCTGTGCTGCGGGGGACAGAACCTGCTCATCGGGAGCTGAGGAGATACCCCACTCAGTGCCCATGCCGACAACAGTGACGCGGCGAGGATAGTCACAGAGGCGACAGGCCTAGGAAGTGCTATGGTTCGACGGTCACCATTGGGTGTAGGAGCACAGAGGAGCAGGAGGCCTCCTTCCTGGCCGGTCTCGAAGGACCCCTCAAGGCAACGGAGGGCCTGAAGCCAGTGATGGCACCAATCACTCGCCACGCTTGTCGAGACGGACCCACACGTGACCCATGTGAATCCCTCGACAGGCAAGTCGGGATCCTTGGAGTGTCTGGCTGACAGAAGTGGATTGATCCTGCCCACACCGAGGAGTAGTGGTCTGGAACACCTGCCGGGCCTCCTCCCCAACACAACGCATATGAGTACTCCGCCGGCATCCACGAATGCGTACCACAACCCCAAGATAGAGGAGTACGGGGATCGCATCCTCCGATCATGCTCGGGACTGATGGTGCAATCCACGAGGAGACGAAGAGGCACCCCGAGGAACGGGGTAGACACTCGAGGTCGTGGCGTGTGATCCTCGTCACAGAGCACCAGGGCCCCGGGCCACGTGGAGGCCAGATCGCCGCAACAGACGCAAGACCCTGAATAGCAGGTGCCCACCAGTGCCAGACGATAGTTGACTCCGATGGGCCAGAGGAAGGGAGGAACCCTAGAGGTAACGTGAGGAGCAGCGGCTTCCGGGGGAGCTGGGGCATAGGAGTTCTCCCGCCCGGATCGAGGGCGCCTGATCTTCGGACGCTGGGGCTGGACCCCGGACGGCGAGCGGGAGCCCTGCCCAGGGCGGTGGCGTTGCAGGGAGATTTACTCGGACAGCAGAGCAGGTAAATGGTGAAATATTGAAAAGTAAAGTGCTCGAATTTACTCTTAAATACTTTACTGCGATACAGACGTGGTAATCAGCACGTAGGGTGACATACAGCTGAACGAGAGTAGAATCAAGGCTGAAGGACAACCAAGCAACAGCTGTAGAAAACGTATTTTTTGAATAATTGTACAAACAGCTCTAAGTGTTTCCTGTGAATCGCTGAGAAGGTCATATGCTTTCTGATGAGTATGCAGAGGGAGAAGTGCAGAACTTAGAGGTCATGTGTAGCTATACCATAGACGATCTCTCAGCAGCTCAACGATTGTCTCAACTTTTTCAATCTAACTCGAGCTTGACTACTGCTTCCAACCTATGGAAGCGGTCAGCTAAGAAACTGAGCCCACAGACCTTTATTACAGAGACCACTCACCCCGATGTTTCCATCCCTATTACCAGTCAATCTGCTCCCTGCGACTCCGAATTCTCGACGTCTGTCTGTGACTCCTGCGATCCCTATGCCCTCAAGGTATATACCGATGGCTCCCATTTTAAGTACGTCAGCTTTCCATCAGAGTATATTTGTCGAATATGCTTGGAGCCAATGCGTAAGCCAGTACGCTTTTCTCATTGTATGCACGTCTTTTGCGCTGATTGTGTTCACTATCTATTTGCCCTCTGGGAAAGAACGTGTCCTATCTGCAATGAACGCTCCATTATTTATGACTATCAGACGATGTTTCCAGGTCCACGCTACATTCAGTACAATCCGTTTATTCTATACATCGACGAACAACTGGATACACAGTTGCACGCCCTTATGGGGATTGCGCCAGATGTGCCGGTTCCTGGGGATATTGTGCGAATATTAGCCCCGCGCGAGCTTTGCCAATTTAAAATGATCCAGTCATATTGTGGCGTGGTTCAGGACATCACCGATGGAGTTATCAGTGACGATTTAGTCCGTATTTTAGACCGCGAGACTGTGGAGGGTATGAGCATCAACGAGCGCTATAAGATAAATGCTCTGCATCCTTGTAAAGTTGTCCGCGTCAACTGCTACGGAATACTCTGGATTGGAAGACTCTGTGAGCTAGAACCATTCCGCCCCAATACCTTTGTTCTAGGTACAAGGGTTATCTACGGCTCACCTGCTATCGAAACAGTCAAGCTTCCTGATAATATTACTCATACCCTAGCTAGCATCTATCCTATCCGGGATTTCTCTGTACAGGAGAGAGAGTTGTTTATAGAAAAAAGTCGGTCTTCAACTCAGAACCACTCCTCGTTAACTGGTATTGTCAAAGAGGCACTTGATTATTTAGCCGAAAAGACCGATCCCAGCACCGTCTCAGACACCGCATCCAGGGAGTTTGCGCTTTTCTGCCACCGTCAGAAGAAGTGGAATATTGAGGTCCCCTATCACCCGCATTGGCCTAAGTTTGTTCCGCTTTCCTTGACTGTAAAGACACACATATATAATAATGTAGATGTCCTGTATCGCTATAAGCTAAAGCTTAAGGAGGTCAAGCAACGAAAACCGTCATCTGAAGCATTAACTCATATTGTTAATTTGACTACCCAGCAAGAGGTGCCTGATGTTAGCACTGCTCACTTCTCATTTGATGTGGCATCACTTGTCATGAATCCCGTTACTAGTCTGCCAATTGAAGTATATTTGGTTAAGCACGATCTTATTTCTTTTGACAACGATCCTTTATTGGGATTTACCTCAAGCAATCAGACTGGCTTATCCAATAGTGCAGCGTGCATGCAACAGTTGCCTAACCATACTTCACAGCCCCGTTCCTCTACTATTCCCAAGACAACAGGGTCGCAAATGGTTACCTATTCCACTAACGTGGCTGAAAAGTCATATACCGCACAACTTGCTTCCTCGTTCCGGTTTCCTGAACCTAACGAAGATCCTGCCCCTTTCTTCAGCGAGGCTTTTAGGCAGAAGCTTAGTTGCTGTGATGAGGTGTCTACTGACCTTAAAGGCTCACCTATATATAATGTTCGTGCATCACATTCTGAAAATATTGGCACCTTCTCTCTTCAGGTTGACTCTCACATGCAGCATGCTCAAATGGTCGAGGAACTTGGGCAGTCCGGCAAGGTAGCCACTACTTGTGATATATCATCCAAAATTGCCATGCCGTCCCGAAGAGCAAAAGCCCAACGCTGGCCAGAGGCACTTGCAACTCAAAATAAACTGATAGAGGCGGCCGCACGACGAGGAAATTCTAGCCTTGGACTCTCTTCCACGGGGGAGAAGGGTTCTCAGGCAGCGCCAGCTGAATTCAGTACAAATTTATATGACCAGGCCTACTCATTTCCGTATACTGAGAACAGACCAACTCTTCTCTCATCCAACCTAACCTACTGTTATCCGTCTCATCTCCGCAAATTCCTCAGGATTATAACGGATTTTACAATGTGGTACTCCTACAGAGACTTTTGCTGCTCTGGCTGCCGCGGTCTCCTACGCTTTCCAGTTAGGACTCTCTGCGGCCACTATTACTGTTACAATTGCTACATGGATTGTCGTGAAAATAATTGGGTTTGCTTTGACTGTGGCAAGATTATGGAGCATATTGTTCCGTTTGATGAGCCGTCAAACCAATGCAACGGAGAATTCAAAGGAATACCTGGTCAGTCCACTTATATTAACAGAAAACAAATGCCGCCAATAGATTGGGAAAAGGTTTATGTAATGCGAAAACAGATTTCATGGTTCAATTGCCTCATAGATTATGGGTTTCCGTGCGTTGTGCGAGGGTATTCGCAAACAAAGATCGGTATTCTCCTAGATGATCCATCCAAGGTGTTTTGCCACATTTTGTTGGGGAATAAGCATATAGAGGTACACAATGTTGCTACCATTTCCGCTATCAACGTCTTTGATCTCCGGCCAGCACTTAGATATGGCGAGGGGCTCTCCTTGACTCAATCTCATCGCAGTCCGTTCTTCAACTTTGGAATCTGCAACATAACTTCGTCGTATCTCTATACAGATAGTACCATATTTTGTGCAACAAGATACTCTTCTGAGCTCTTTATGATGGGCCTGAACATGAGTGTCATGGCACATAAAACCTTACGCTTGGTGAAGGATCTAGAGCCACAGTTTACTATTGCCCGTAGAGAGGGTCTCAGGAAGCAGAAGGACGAAGAGCAAAAGGACTTCGTATACGTATGGAACTGGTGTCAATACGAGCGGAACATAGCAAAGCAGCAGTACGATATGCTTGTGTATGGGCACGTGCACGGAAATCCTAGCTCTCATCAAAAGCCTAGCTTCCTTGAGAGTGAAAGCCCGCCGTCTTCTCCGCCACTTCCTCTCGGTGCCAGTAACTTCATTAGGCGACGACGATGTAAGGATTTGACAGAGCAGTCCTCACCTCTCTCTTTCCAGGCATCTAATGATGCACTCCCTCTGCAGGTCACTGGCTGCCACTCAGGTGGTCCCTCTGAGTACCCCAAAGCTGCAGAACCTCGCCACAGAACTTATAATCCACAAACATCCGTGCTAACTTTTCAGTATCATCACAGATTGCGGCCTAAACAAGCACCAACAGCCACGGCATACTGTTCAACGCACCCGCTTATTAATCCAAACTATAGAAACAAACTTGTCATGCAAGATGAGAAGATCCTGAAATATAGAAAAGATTTCATTAAATGGTATTTTGATCAACCAGAAATGCATCCCAACAACTCTCCTATTTCCTTTGCATTCGGCGAAAGCGCGATAAGGCCAACAGGCAACTCTACCAAGATGTACAGTCTCCAAGTAGAAAGAAAAATGCAAAAATATGACTCTACCCCTCATATTGACACCCAGGCTGAACGACTCATCAAGGAAGAGGAGAGGAATCAATATGTGGTGCGATCACTCTGTGATACTTGCCGCCGATTCCCAACACTAAGCTTTCTTTGTTCATCGTGCCATTGTGTACTACGGAGACCAGTTCGTCTTGTCTGCGATCACATTGTCTGCAGGACGTGCGCATGCATACATTTGGCCTCGGAAATCCCATGTCTAGCATGTGGGGTTGCAGTTACGGATATAAGCAAAGTGCGATATGAGGTAGATTTAGAAAACCAGATAATACATGCAGTTAACCACATGTTTTATAGTCCAAAGTACGATGTGGGAGTTATTGTTAAGTCCACAGATTCCTCAAACACGGGAATGGTTGTAGGCCTGGCTTACTTACAGGGAATGCACTATGCTTACGTCGCCTTTTTCGGTGCCATCAAGCTTTGCAGGTGCGCGAATCTCGTTATTTTAGAACCAGACTGGAAGACCCTGGATCTTGAGCAGGTCCTTGGTGACCACCCCCAGAGGCTTATTGCTAAAAACATGAGGCAATCTTCGTTTCATCATCCTCTGGAGTCATTCTTTAAAAGTCAGCCAACAATCCTTCAAGCATTGAATGAGACATCAAAAGCGCCCAATACTATCGAACAGCACACTTCGTCACATATAACAAAAGCACAAGAGGACAATGGTACTCTTGGTTCTTCAGTTATTGAAGCACACGGTATCTCAAAACCTACCACAGAAACTCTTAAAGATATGCTACTAAGCGAGCCCGCAGATTCAAAAACACTTGCACTTCTTGGCACAATATATTCTGTTAGCACAACGACCAGTGGCATGACCTCTTCGGGAAGGTCAAAGAGTGCATCGACACCCCTTTCTCGCAATACGCATCAACCAATATCTGGTATGTCATCTTCCACAACTGATGGCACCATGTTTCTTTCTTTGCCAGTGCCATCAGATATGCATCATCAAGACGAAGATCCGATCGATGCCCCCAGAAAGAGATTCCAGAACAATGATCCTAGTTATAATGAGATGCCCCTTTCAGTTCTGGGTTCCCCGGCAGCATCATCAGCTGAAGTCTTGCTTTTCGATCGAACCATGACCCTATCTCAATCGGGCAGATCCAACCATCAACTTGCACCGTTGTCTCATCCGAGTACTGTTTTTGATTGTCAGCAACACGATCGAGATACTCCCCACGCTGAAAAGCTTGTCATGTCCCCTAGAGGCAGTTTGCAAAATGACTATGTCTCACTACTCCACCTTGATGATCAACCCACTGTGCTGGCGAAGAGAAATCCTACTGAACCTAATAATGTCTCACTCAAGCAACCAATTTTACCAGACTGCTGTGCAGCACAACCCGTCGAGACTTCATCATTATGTCGCACCAAATCTGCACCCGCGCATTTGAGTAGAGAAGACCTTGAGAACAATGTACTCTTTACTAATACACGCGCTATTGATCTGGACACTCAAAGCCAATGGTCTCCGATTGCATATCTGTCTACAGCAGAAATAGCCGAGCAAGGAATCTCTATTGATTCTGATAAGATAAAGCAAGCTATAACCAGTGAACCTCCCGTTCTGAGGCGTCAGGAATCTGCTCCTTCGCTACTAAGGAAAACTGACACAGATATTGACACAGATATCCACATGCCATTTATAGAAGGCACGCGGGTTACCAAGCTCAGACCGTATTTCTATGACGGCGAAGAGCTCTTGAAACTCCCCACTCATCGACAAAAATACAGAGTCTTCTCTGCTTCTATCGCAGGAAGTAAGAGCGCCAAATCCTGTGTTTCAGCAAATGATGCACTGTTTTCTAAAGAACCTCACAAGAAGCATTCAAAATATCCTCAGCTAGGCGATGTATTTGTTGTTGCGATAGGGCCATACAAAGGACTTCTGGGACTGACACAGTCCTATGCAAAGGCATACGATACGTTCATATTGAGCTACTACTGCTTACTTGAAACAGGAACCGCGCACGAATTCCGTGCCACAGACCTACGCAAGATAACACTAATGCCCTCTATAAGTGCTCAATCTATCCGTAAGCAATTGGCAGATGCAAAGAATGCAGACGAAGACAGGAAGAAGCTGTGCTGGTACAGATTGATTATGCAGAATAAGATAGCCACCGCTGAGAAGTTTGAGCAGTTGAAGCATCTCTTCAATCTGAAGGATCCCGACGGGATAGTTGCAATACTGCGTGCCAAAGAGGCAGGTACTAAAGGTGATACAGACACACTTGCGACTATCTCAGGAATTGAGCAAGTTAGAGTCTCACCCAGAACCAATCTCAACACACTTCTAGACAAGAAAATAGTGTTCCTTTCTGGTCCCCGCAGACATCTGAACAGGATACGCAGTAAAAGTAGCTCGCCACCCAAAACAAGAGATGGAGAAGCGAACGCGCAATCGTCGGGCTGCTTTGGGTTGAGATCCCTTACGGATGAAATGGTCAGTCCATTATGTAGGTCGTTTTCTGTACACACACCAAGCCGTGCCTCGCTGATGCAAGAGTTCACTTCTACAAAGAGTAGCAGTTTCCTACTACAACACTTGAATCTAAATACGGTATCTAGCTTGCCAAAAGTCATTGTTGTAAACTAGTAATCCAAGTGTTTACCTCACACATTAAGGTCCACGAAATCCCTTTGTAGGTTACTGGCAATCCTCCGTGGTACGTCTGAGTGCTGCGCTCTACTCGTATTATCTTTTCTACGATCACCTGTGGTCAAAAAAAAGATGGCGCGGAGAGATGAATCGGCATGGTTCATTGCCGCGTCTTCAGGGAATCTTACATCTCTCTGCAGGATGATTAACACACACAAACGGTCACGGAATGAAATAGGCGAAACGGCGCTCATGACAGCGGTTCGTCATAATCAGCTTTTAGCCATTCAACACCTTGTTCCCTATGAGCATTCATGCATGAATCACGAGGACTTCACTGCACTAATGATAGCAGTCATTGGCGGTAACCAACAGGCAGTTGAGATCCTTTGTGAATATGAATACACTATTTCTACCAGGACGGGCCAAACTGCGCTTATGCTCGCTGTTGTGATGAATAATCATCAAGCAATTTCTTCCTTGGCCCCATATGCTACGGGGCTCCGCGACAACCTTGGACGAACAGCACTCATGTATGCAGCCTTCACTGGACTTACCCTAGCTGCACAGGAACTCATTCCCTATGAAGCTGGTTTTACTTCGCAATTTGGCGATACTGCACTTTCTATTGCAATGGAACGTGGACACAACCATATCGTCGAGTTGCTCCAATCATATGAAGAATCGCCTTGTTTTGAAACTAGATGTAAGCATGCATCTTTGAATGCAAAAAGATTGAATCCGGAAAGCGAGCTACTAATGAGTCCTCCAGTCCCAGTCGTACAATCAACTCCGCTCCCAACAGTCTCTCCCCAACAAGCAGCCGTTGATCACCAACAATCACCAAGGACAAGATCCTCTGATGATACAGATGTAATAAATGATACTATCAGCTCCTTATTGGTCGATGTTTTGATGGACAGCAATCCTTCTTCTCAGAACTTGGCTGATAGTTCCTTCACTATTTATCCGGGAGAAGCGGCTAACATTGTAGATATTGACGAACTGTCTATTGAGCCACCGTCAAGTGGTACGTCCGAGGAATATCTTACACAGCATGTTGCTATTCCACTGGTTCAGCAAGAGACTGATGTTCAACACACTATGCAAACGGATATAGACTCACAGCATAGTAATGCCCACAGCAATTCTCGATTAGTTATACGGCCATGCATTGTGCGTCGCCGCCGAAAACTCATGAGACCACCCCGGGTTGCTTTGCCAGGCAGTCTCACGTTTGTAGCTGATGTATCTTATACTTTGCTCATGCGTGCAGTCATAGCCAGAAATAGTGAGTGGTTTAAGGCGCTTTGTCCGTACGAAGCGACATTGCGTGATTCACGAGGTAGAACCGCACTAATGCACGCATCGTACTCTAATAATATTGAGGCTGCAGAAGATCTTGTTCCTTTTGAGGTAGGTTTGACGGACGTACAGGGTCAAACAGCTTTACACTATGCAGCGCAAAGGGGCCATCTTGAGATTGTAAAGCTTTTGCTACCAAAGGAAGGATCCATTGCAGACACCAATGGCACAACACCACTCATGCTGGCGGCACTTGCCAAACATGGTCCCGTGGTAACTGCTCTTCTCGAACATCAGGCATGTGCTTGCGATAGGAATCAAACGACTGCACTGATGCATGCCGCTCAACGGGGCTACCTAGATATCACTAGAATCCTTCTTCCACACGAAAGTAGGATGTACAATTTAGCTGGCGAAACTGCACTCATGATGGCGGCTCGCTTTGGATTTGATGGCATCGTGGATCTCTTATTGGACCGCGAAGCAGGGAATCAAAACAATGAAGGAATGACTGCACTTATGTTTGCCTCCAAACATGGCCATGCAAGAACCGTCGCAAGAATAGTGTCATCGAGAATGGAGCTAAGGATGACTAATTACGATGGTAAGACAGCTCTGATGCTTGCAGCCGAGCACAATCAAATTGAAGCAGCGTCAATACTGGCGAAGCATGAGGCTGAGCTTCGAACATACGATGACACAACCGCATTAATGATTGCTGCCACATTAGGCTACGTTAACGTTGTTCGTGTGCTGGCCCTTGCTGAGGCAGGGTCTAGAGACTTAGAGGGACGCACTGCATTGATGTGTGCAGCTAAGAATAATCACGTCAATTGCGTAGAGATACTTCTTAATTGCCCACGCGAGATAAACAAGCTCACAGAAGATCACTTTAATGCGTTGCACATTGCAGTAAAGGCAGGAGCTATTGACAGCGTGCTTCTTTTATCCAGATTTGAGCCACTTCTTCCAAATGCATATGGCCAGACTCCACTCATGTCGGCGGCAGGTAATGGTCACGAAGAAATCATCGAGTTTTTATTAAAGCATAGCAAGAGTAGAGAGTGCGATATGTTGGGTCGCACGGCTTTAATGTATGCCGCGCAACATGACCAAGTAAGAGCTGCCAAGAAGCTGATTCCCCATGAGAGCGGACTCAGAGACAAGTGCGGAAGAACAGCGCTGATATATGCTATTGAGTGCCGTAATCGTCGTGTCATTCCATTTTTGCTGAGAGAAGCCTGGCTCATTGACTTTCACGGTAAGACACCATTGGAATATGCGTTAGAACAGGAGCTGTATGAGTTTGTAGATCCAATAACGGAACATGCTATGCTTCCTTTTAATGTTGCTAGTCCGGCCACTTTGAGTGTTGCTGTCAAAATTCTTTATGAAAAGATTAGAGAATGTGTTCGTACATTCTATCAGCAGCGCATAGACTCTCAACGACGTAGAGATGTTAACGACGAGAATTGTGTTGCCAGAAACACAGACTTATTAGATCTTTATCAACTGGATTTTGTGACAGATGCAGAAGCCCAGGCTGACATTTTAGTTTTAGATGATCTGCTAGAATCCATGCTGGATCTCCTTTTGGAGGATGACACCTCTCCTAGTGACTCTAACAATTCCGTTGTGCAGGCGCAGGCACAACGCATCAATATATATGAGATTGATACCGATGAAAAGCTCATCGAGTTTTTGGTTGAAGGCAGGGGACTTTGCTGTGTTTGCATGGCTCGACCGCCCTCCTTTATTGGGGTTCCATGCGGTCACGCACTTATGTGTCACTCGTGCATGGTCGCTTCCATAAGCGCTTGTCCTTTCTGCAAGGCACAAATAACAACAGTAGTAACACTTGATAGTCCTGCTTCTGTAGTTTCCAGTTTTGCTGCACTCTCGGACGAGTCGCAATACATCATCGAAGAAGAAGAGGGACACATAGTTTACAGGCTAGGCGAGCAGTCAGACGATATCCTTGCAGAGGAATGAGTGGGTCCTGTCCACTGTCCTCAATATCTGTGTTGCCTCCTGAGAAGAGACAGCGATGAAATGCCTTCCCAAGGGAACATACACCTCTTCTCTTTGCATACTGGAGGTCTCCTTGATGGACTCTGCTCTTCTTTCCTTAGCCTCTTCTTCCAGAGAGAGCATACATGCCCGATGGTCTCTCTGTAGAGTCTTGTAAAGCCCTTCCGACATACTCGGCTCTTACTAATTTTTTACTCACTGGCTTCTTCCTTGGATCTCCTTAAGAGGGCATGCGCTCCTTGGATGCACTCAATCAGGCACCGCATTGCTTCATCTGCGAAAAAAGTCCCAGCGACCGCTTCGTAGATTTCGTCTCTCAAGGTTTCTGTTGCTAGAAGCATCGAGTTAGTTAGAGCACTGGACTCCGCTGTCGAGGGGAGGTTAAAACTTCCCTCACTACTACCTTCTTTACTACTTCTTTTTATGATTCGCTCAAAGCATGCGTCAGAGCAATAGCAGTGTGAAACAACAGCTACTAGGTATAATAAAGGCGTAGCATCGTGTTCAATCAGTTGGGATACGATTTCATACATTTGATCATCTGTACCAGAGTATGAAATTACGTATGGTTGTTCTTTAGAAGATGCAGAAACTTCATCAAGACTGTCCTTGACTGCATCAGCTGTGGATTGCACTGCAAACCGGATTTCCCGCCCACTACTTTCTGTGTCGCTCAACGAGCTGGTATATATATTGTAATTGGAGAATTGCGTTAGAAGGCATTGGGCAGCTCTCTCTACGAACAATTTGCTTTCAATCTTATCTTCCTCAACAACCTCGCCATCTACCACTTCTTCAAGTGTATCTGCCAACATTTGCGCACCGTGATCTACATCCTCTGTCGTACTATTCTGTTCTGAAAACAATCGATCATCGTCGTCATTCTCAGTGGTATCGGCCACAACGTGGTCCAATTTACGGACAAATATCGTCTGAAAGACCTCATTAATGTGTTTAAATACATCCAAGAGGCTTACATTTGTATTGTACGTATAGTAGGATCTGCTATCTAGTTCTAACGTAGAAAACAGCCGATTGTATTGATATACGATGAATGGACTAGAGATGATTGTGCTCCACAACTTGGAATTAATTGCATAGAATGGAGCATCGTATATCTGCGCCAGGACTCGCGGTTCTGCTACAAAAAGGTCCACTAGATGATTGGCTAGGGCGAGACTTCCTAGTAATGCACTTTCAAAGGGATTCAGTGAGCGTGATGGATCGCGGAGCCTGGCTATTGGTGTCACCATACGCTTGATGTTTGCGTCGGGATTGTGTTGCAGTCTAGATTGACTCAAGCTCGATGTGGACTTCAGCAGATTCATAGAGGACCCCTTGGCTGTGAGTGAAAGCGCGCCTATCCGTACGGAGTCTGTCATGCCTGTGTCAAGACCCCCAGTTGTCATCAGTCCATCGTGGTTGCCTAGCTTTGATAGAACCATTTTAAGACATTCTCTGGTTGTTTTATCCTCCTTTTGCATGAAAGAAAACAGAGGTTCGAGGATGGACTGAGCTTTCTCGCTGCTCTGCGTGACAATAGTAAGCTGTTTTAATAGCATGTTGCCAAATGGTACGACAATATACCTCAGTAGATTGTCCAGCGGCGCCGATGATTCATTGCCTTTTGCAAGAACGTTACTTGTCATTTTAGAACCTGTGTTTAGTACATTGAAGAGACTCGTTGGAGAGGCCAGAACATCTGTCTTAACAGAAGCCAAAACTTGTGGACCTAACAGCGTTGCCAAGGTAATAATTATCTCTACAAAACCTTCAAAATCGGTATCGTGCTTTTTGGAGATATACTTGTCAGTGTCTATTCCAAGTGTTCGAGCCATCAAGTATTCATCTGACGGCTTGCATATATTTCGTACAATCCTCTGTATTTCCTTATAGTTGGGAAGGAAGTATGTTGCAAGCACGCGGTTAGAACAAAATAACTCTAAGAGTAAACGCTCTAGAGTGAATAGGGAAACAGTCTCGTTTGTCTCTACAATCTTGATTATAGCCAGGACGAGTTCATTGTCATAGCTCGAGGCTCCTGCAACTGTTTTGGCAGCTCGTGACATGTCAACGTCTACAATATCTGAAAGAAGGGCACCTGCGCGATAATTACCATCCACTCCAAAGCATCGAGCCGGAGTAACCCTTGTCGGTTCTTGCTCTTTTCCTTGTTTAATCTGCTTGGACTCTGAGACGTGCTCAGCGTCCTCTCCTGGGGTGCTTGTTTCACGCTTCTCATTCGACTCAGTGGAGTTCTGTCCTTCATCGGTACTGCTAAACATTTCGTTGACCGCATGTCCTAGAAGAAACGGCGATGTTGGGTCTTTGTAAGGGCCTGGGACACTATCTAAAAGACCTTTACAATGCTGCGGATTAAAAACTGCACATGCACCTACTTTCCAGGAACAGCTTTCTGAAGACATCGGATATCTGGGCTTGGAGTCCTTATTATCCAATTCCTCAGCCATTACATCAATGCTGAATACTGTCTTCTGATCGGAAAACATCTTTGTATGCTCGTTAAGAAGTAGCACTTCCTGGGCCCGGTAAATGCAGAAGATAAAGTGAAGGATATCATAGCAGGATAGTAAGGAAGACTTGAGGCTATCCACCTTGTCCATGAAAACAGACTGTTGGACAGAAAGCTTTGAACTTACTAGAGAAGCGTTAGTTCTCTCACTGGCCCGAGAGGTCACTCCACTGAGAGCCATGTTATTCTTGGCCGTCCGTGACGTAGGGGTCGATGAGCGCACTTTGTTTGAAGGGCCTAAGCAATCCTGTGGCCTATCTTTGGCTACATCATGGTCAGAATACGCATCATAATGGACAGTAGTCCATGTGTCCGTACAATAGCGAACATGCCTAGCTAAAGCGTCTGTGATCCATGGGTAGGACACACGACAGTCGGTAATTAGCCGTGTGTTACAGGGGACAGACTGCCGCGTACTCTGGGCCAGAATCACGTCTATTATAGGATACTTTTTCGATTTCTTGTAATTGTTACGACCATTGAAGATGGAGTCGAGGCCTGACGAAAGACAGTAGTCCATCTCAGATAAAAAGTCATCAAATGCAGCACGAATATCCACTAATTCTGGACACATCGTTTGTAGATCTAAGTATATATTCATTAACATCCACGGCTGCTTGAAATACACCCCTCTAAGCATGTGAGAATTTAGACAGACGTCACTTTCATAAAGTCTGAATTCGCATTGCTTGCTTGCGCCTTCAATGTGCATGAAGAGTCCTGACTTTTTATCATTGATAAATGTGCCAATAAGCATGTCATTGTTGCCTGTATAGAGAACTCCAGGGCCGGATCTTACACCTCCGTAAAACGACCCGAAAAATCTGTTATATCTGCGTGCACCTGTTAGATCATCTGCTCCTGCCACGATAGACATCCCAATGCCATCCGGCTCACCATCACAAAAGTCTCCTATGTAAACACTGCAAGCCTCTTTCTCTGCGCTACCTATGCTGCCTATGTATCTTCGCCAGTGCCCCGTTCCAATTGCTCCAAACCCAGTGGGGACAGAGGCAATAAACGAGCCAGCAAAGTCTACCCCTGCACTCACCACTCGTATTGCTCCATAGCCGTTTGCATTGTTTTCGGAAAACTGACCTCTGAACGCAGACCCATCGGAGAAGAGGATAAGTGATTGGCCAGTTAGGTTACCATCGACAAACTCGCCCGCATATGTCAGTCCTTGAGACATGGTAACAAGGCCAAAGGGACCGTGTGGGATAGAGTCCTTTAAAAACCCATGATATACGGCTTCCGAAGAAAGGTCAAAGGATCCAAGACCATCCATAGTCGCAGAAGATATGAAGCCCGTGAACTGCTGAGACCCGGGAAAAATTATGTGTACCTTCGAGGTTTGACCAAGAGACGGAATTCCTTCGGGAAAAGAGGCTAGAGATGGTAACTTTTTCTCTGCCAATATACCATCAGCGTGATTGTGCTCCTCGTTGATTTGCAAAGGATCGCCTACCTGATGCATCCTTTTTTGGATGGAGATAGAAAATTTACTTTATGCAATGCCAAATCCACCGTGAACTGCTTCATACATGCTGAATAACAGAACTCTGTGCATTTCTTCTATGCTCTTGACACTGGACGGCAGCTCAATGAGATTGTTGCATGTGTGGAAGATGACAAGGGGCCCTTCGTTGTGTGCCTTGACATACAGTGTTATGCCAATGGTGTATCTGCTGCCCGTGGCTGCATACATAAAGTCTCCTAGGCTTGTTGAGTTCATTAATTTGGGGTTTAGGATAACCTGCTTTAGGCAAGAAATCAGATTGTCTAGAACCTTCTTGCGATCTCTAATGTTCGGCTTAGACTCTCCCAGATTCTCCAACGGATCTGACTTAGTGTATGGCTGGATGATATTTGCAATTGTGGCTCGGTCTATCTCCAGATCTGCCATAAAGAGAGCCTCAAAGTCATTGAGGGATATCTCTGAAAGCGCCTTATCAATTCGCTGACATATCTTTTGCACCCTCTCGTCTGACTTTTGTGACATTGCATTGCCAAATGGCTGTCTAAATCCGTTTCTGAATTCGGAAAGATGCTTTTTAAAGGCGTCTCCAGATTTGATTCCATTGAACAGCGAAATAACCCACTTCAGAACGCAATTCTTTGTCTCGGTCAGCTTCCGTGTCGACACCACAAAGTCTGGGGTTGCCATATCATCAAAAATTTCTGGAACCTTGTAGTCAGGGATATCTTTAAGGGCCGAAACAAGATGGGTGAGGTCGTCCATGTTGCCAGGAGGACCAGTGATGTAGCCCTTGGCCCGCCCTTCTGTATATAGCTTGCCTAGGGTAAACTTAAAGAGTTTGTCTGCAGAGCCATAGTACTTTTTGTAAAACTGCGAGTTAATTGGATACAGAAGATCGACTGGGGTTCCGTTAACGTTGAACATGGGATCGTTTTCGCGCTCAGCCTTGTATTTGTTGTTGATCTCGTTGTCAAGATAGAGTCTCCCTCCTATGAGGCATGAGATCAACCTGGAATCAAAAACCTTTGGAAATCTTACATTATAAACAACGGCAAAGGCAAACAATCTACCCAGATAGTAGAGCGCAGACCTCTTTTGGGACAGTCGAGGAACAACCTCTGAACTAGCAAGGGGTATGTACCCAAGGAACGCTGGAATCAACTTATGCTCTACCATGTTAAGAATAGGTGAGCCACGGATCTCCTCCTCATTTAGTAGTTCCATAAAGCACTGGGAAATCATTGATCGAAAGATACCCCCGCCGTCAATGCCAGGGTCGTTCTCATATGTTATGCATACTGTCTGCGTAGTTGGAGTAGCGTTCATGCACGCCTCCAACATACCGTAAAGGATCTTATTCTTGGTGATGTTGCAGGAGAGGCGATACTTGCGATACAGCCGGAGCTCCAAAATTGCATCCTTCAGCTGCACAATGGGGTGACTAGGGTCTTCTTTCAGCTTGGCTTGATACACTGGATCGGACCTATAGCTATCCACTATTTGCTGCCGATACATTAGGTCTTCATTAGAGTACAGTAAGCTCTCAACAACGATCGTATAATCTCTCGTTGGTGATTTGTCATACAGGTGGAGCAAGAAGGGCGGGATCTTTTCTTTGCAAAATGCTATGTATTCCGAGAAATCTGACTGATTTATGGACAAATTAGATTCAAAGATGCTATCATAGTATTGCATGTGTGTGCCAAACCTCTCCTGAAGCACCTTGAGCGTTATCTGGAGCTCCATAGGATTTTCAATTATGCTCTCTGCAGCGTGGCAGAAGAAGTCGTACATCTTAAGAAGGTTGATGATCGTGAACTGGTGTCCAGCAATTCTGCTACAATGCTGGTAAAGGGTCCTCACCACCAGGGCTATGTCTAGTTTGGCCAGCAAGTGGATATTCAGAAGAATGTTGTTCAAATAGAGGAGCCTTTGATATGGCCGTGCTGTTGCACTGAAAAGAACATCGAATGCCGTGCCGACATCGCACATGGCTGGCGTGTAAAGCGTAGATTGGGTATTTTGTTTCAGCACCAGGGGACCGAGAGCATACGTTACCGTTGCGTCCTGATTGACGTGCTCAGTAACATTTGCTAGCTTTTCAACGTTAAGTAAATCGTTACTGGCCAGCATGCCAGACGTGTAGATCTGCAGTAGCTCAAAGAAGAGCTGGGCCACCAGCCCAGTCAGCAAGAGGGAGGGATAATATTCAGTGCTGATATGCGCCGAATCTGATAATAGAGGAGGAAGAGTTCCTCGGCTAGGAAAAAGTGCGGACGCTTCTGGTCCTAGCGTGTAAAAGGGCAGCTTAAGTCTGTACGGAGATGCTTCCAGATCCTTTCCAAAGTAATACATGCCGCCAAATCCATTCAGAGACGTAAGCTCCAAGAACACCGTATCCAAACTAATCATGCGGAGTATGTACTTAGCCCTGCTGCCTTGGGTGCGAACCACGTCTAGAAGAATGCCAAATAGAGATGAGAGAATGGACATAAGAAGATCAAAGTCGGGGAGGAAACGCCTGGTGAACTCACGAAGTGTAATGATGGGGTCAAACTTGCAATAGAGTTTCTGAGTAGGGGCATTCTTATTTACGGTCTTCTGATCAACAGAAGGTCCATTGGGTGCGCTCGTTTGAGCTTGCCCTTCTTCGACGCTTCGCTTAGATGCCTCATCGGATGATGTAGTAATTCCAGTATAGAAAAACCTTGGTAGATAAAAGTTTCTAGCGTTAATGTTGGCAGAGAGGAGCTTCACGACATATTGGTTGATGTCGCTTACCACCGAGTCTGGGCAAGGCGTGAGAATGGATGTCTCCATGGGCACATGACACGAGCTCAAAAACATGGTGTGATGTAATGTGCCACCAGCCAGGTAAACGCTCTCGTGTGGAACAGCAGAGTTCGAGGTCAGAGGTAGCCAATTCAGTTTCTTGTCCAGTTTTGAATGGGGTCCCTTGTCAAATAAAAAGTTATCTGACAGACAAGGCATATTTTCAGAACATCTTCCGCCCAAAGTAGTGCGGTAGGAAGACGACAACGACCATGCAACCAGTCGAAACTCCGCATAGAAGACGTTATGCCTAAAAGAGGAAGTGTATTCGGCAAGGGATAGTGTATCGATAGTAGTAAATGCATTGGTGTAGTGCCGAGGGCTTGCTTTAAGTAATAGTGCTTTCGTCAAGTCATAGATGGACAGACCACTCGTGAACCCCACCGTAAATACAGTCAACAAGCGATTCCCAGAGTGAATCGATGGCGGGTTAAGGCCAAGATCAGAGGTTGGGCTATAATACAAATGGCTATAGAGGCCCATCACATCCTGGCTTCCATATGCAGAAAGCAGGAGGCGTGTCTGAGGGTCCTCTGCAGGAGTAGATAAAGCAACGGTGTGGTTCCATTCCGAAGTAAGGTGGTGCAGCATGTCATCCCGTAATGTTAGGATGTCGTAAAGAATGCTCATCTTAGCATGCTTGACCATCTTGATGTTATTGAAATGAGAATTAGTGACAAGAAACTTCGATAGCGCGATGCAGATAGCAACATTTATATTAACAAGGAGGTGGAGATAGTAAGCAATCGGCTTGGTTTTTAAGTAAGAAGGATTGATAAATAACCCCTCAGATATTGCTGCCACAGCATCGGGTCCGGTTTTTATTTTCACATAGGGGGAAAATCCGCCATATAAATCTTTGAAGAATGAATCCTTTTTACCAGAAAATGCTGATGCTTCAGCCTTTGAGAGAGACTCCACGCGCTGCAAGCGAGCTCCCTCAGACTCACTGGATAGATCATGAATAAAGGACCCGACAACCGTAAAGTCAGAAGACGAGCTAGTAAGAGAAGACGGTGGAGCAAGATGAACAAATGTAACAAGAACAGAATCCTTTCCTTGCAGCGGAACAAGCAAGATGCGGATGTTACTGTGAGAAGGCCGTGAAGGAAATGTAGACAAGATGTTAGTTGTCCCACTTCTGACACACCTTTTGGTCACAAGCCCGTCCATATACCTGTCCATTGCCAGACCTAGGGGATTAGGCGTGGCTGGCCAGGTGGACGGGAGTTTTTCTAGGTAGCTTGCTTCACTTGCCTGACTAGCCTGGACGAGGTAGTCCATAGAAAGACTAAAAAGGCGATTGTTGACATCATTAGCTATGTTATAGACACTGATGCTCAAGTAGTCAGCTCCGGGAGGCATGAACAGCAACATGACCGTGTAGCTAGAAGTGCAAAGAGCAAATAAGCTATCTGTTGCCGTGTACGCTAAGATCCTATTTGAGATCTTAGAGACCACAGTGAGACTGACTGTATTGTCAGAGAAGTGCTCAATCTGATAAAGGCAACTGGGCGTGAGGACAAGTATTATCGTCCCAACATAGAAAAGCCTGTAGGCCTGAAGCAACGGATGTTGTATCCCTCCAAAGGTAGTATAACCTGAATCCACCCGAGACACGTCTGTTTCCGGAATAAAGAGCTGAATCGGGTCTTGTGACCCGTCAACAAGACTGTAAAGTATCACAAATGACGACGACAATATAGCCAGGGTGTCTTTGGTTGCTAAAACATCACATATATAAAAGTCTGGGAGTGCAACATGGAAGTCTGCAGAGTCTGAGGAAAACGCAAACCCGAGATTATATTCAAGTAGCGGCTCTCGTAAGTCAATCTGGACACGGTGGGATGCCAGAACACGATCTTCGTTGGAGTCAACGTTAATAAAGGTTATCCGTAGATTCAGCATATCATCAAGTGAAATGGTGAATGACGATGCGGGATGAGGAGTGATGATGGTGATTGTTGATATTTTAGTACTAACATCATTGGCAATAGTCATAGTTGTTGCTTGCTGTTCTGTCTTTTTAATGTAAATGAGGAAGAGAGTGTCTCCAACAGTGCGCATGTCACAGAGCTGCTGATCACCAGAACTGGTTTCTGTCTTGAGAAGTCCGAGTGGCCGAAAGGGGTACTCCGCAGAGTACTTCATTACAGTGCCATCGTCGCGCGCAAAATGAATGGAAGACTCGCCGTTGGAAAAGCAATCAGAGCGGTGGTGCATCTCAGCGCAGCCAATTGTTTCCAATTTTAAGAAGAGCTGTTATTTTTTGTATTTTGCTTTACACTTTACTTTCCCTTCATCCCTTCACTTCTTAATGGTACGACTACAGCCCGCTTGCCTTTGGCTGGGGGCCAGGAGGAGCTTCATGTCTTCCCACATCTTCTGCTGGGGCAAGAACTTGTGCACAAAGCTGCAGGAGAGCCCATGGGCACACTTGCTCCCAGACTTCCCCGACGCATATTCGTCCCTGCAGAGCGTCTTATGGATGCTCTCCACCCCTATCACCTCTGCTTTGACCGGAAATCCAGCATAGTATGTATTAGATAGCTTAGAAGCCACGTCTTGCGCGGCCACCTGGCTTGCATACTGTGCGTAGACCGTCCCTGCCAGATGGTTCGTGTTCTCCGCTACCAGGAAGTCCTGCATGGGGCCGAGCTGCGCCAGGCGGAGGAAGATGTCCTCGAAGCAATGGTCGTAGAACTTGTAGAGCTCGGCCTTGTCCTTGTGCTGGATCCGGGGTATGATGTTCCGGAGCATGAGCATTCGCCCGTCTGTGAAGAGCGCGTGCCTATTCCGGCACTCCGTCCCGTGTCGGCAATAGCCCGTGCACTCGTGGAACCGGCAGGGCTTGGCCTGTGCGTCACGGACGGCCCCTTGCATCTGCATCGAATGAATAATCCAACAGGAAAGAGCACGCAGGTTATTTCTTTTGTGAGATCGACACGTCTGTGTAGCTCAGTCGGCAGAGCGATAGTCTCATAAGCTATAGGTCGTGAGTTCAAGCCTCACCACAGGCACTTTTTTCGGTAATGGTAGGTAATGGTAGGTAATGGTAGGTAATGGTAGGTAATGGTAGGTAATGGTAGGTAATGGTAGGTAATGGTAGGTAATGGTAGGTAATGGTAGGTAATGGTAGGTAATGGTAGGTAATGGTAGGTAATGGTAGGTAATGGTAGGTAATGGTAGGTAATGGTAGGTAATGGTAGGTAATGGTAGGTAATGGTAGGTAATGGTAGGTAATGGTAGGTAATGGTAGGTAATGGTAGGTAATGGTAGGTAATGGTAGGTAATGGTAGGGAATGGTAGGTGGTAGGTAATGGTAGGTAATGGTAGGTAATGGTAGGTAATGGTAGGTAATGGTAGGTAATGGTAGGTATGGTAGGTAATGGTAGGTAATGGTAGGTAATGGTAGGTAATGGTAGGTAATGGTAGGTAATGGTAGGTAATGGTAGGTAATGGTAAGTGGCGCGCGACAAAGTGCAACCTGTGGGGCTCGAACCCACGCGGGATGACTCCCACTGCGACCTGAACGCAGCGCCTTAACCACTCGGCCAAAGTTGCGCGCCCTGAGCCCAAGAAAAGGGACAGGTGTGATATCTCATTCCGAATTGTGGCATTAGGTGATGCGTCTCCATGGGAAGACCCTCGCCGTCGGCGGCTACGCAGTGCTTGCCCCCGCGGGCTGCGGCCTCGCCCTGCCCGTGAGGTCTGCCACCATGGACGTTATCGTGTCTGTGGGCCCCGGGCGCCGCGGATTCATCACACTTGTTCTCCCCCGGGCTGCGTCGTCTATCACAGTCGAGATTCCTGCTGAGAAGACCGATCTTTATACCGCATCGGACCCCGAGACCGCTTTTGTCCGCACAGCCTGTCTTGTACTCCTAGCATACCTACGCACAAAACATGATAGATTGGAAATCACAGTGAGGACATCGGAGTCAAGGCCACCTGGCGCAAAGCTGGGAATAGGATCATCAGCGATGGTAACTGTTGGTACAATTGTGGAGCTCGCTAGCTGCATCGGTGCCGAGCTCAGGGGAGCAGAGACCTTTGTCCTGGCCCACTTCAGCTGCCTATTGGTCCAGGGTCAGTCAAGCGGGTACGACGTTGCTTCTGTACTAAGTCAAGTGCCAATAGTTTACAGGCAAAACGGTCAATATCACTCAAAAGTGTGTGAATTGGCCCACGCTGCACGGTCAGGCTCGTGTCTGTCTGCTCTCATGCCCCAGTTGCAGATACTAACCCATGGAGATGAGCTTCCCAAGGCGCTGTCAGTGTCGCTTCCACAGTTCCACTTCTACCTACTCAAGCCCCAACACAAACTCGATAGAGGTACCTCCACGACAAAGCAGCTGCAAAAGCTTACATCAACGTATGGGAGTACACAGTCATATGAGCATTTAATAAAGGCATCGGAGATCCTGATAAATGCCCTCGTTGCCCAGAAGAGCTCAGTCGAGGATATTCGGAAACAGCTGCAAGAGTACCGGCAGGCTCAAAAGTCCTTCTCTACAGAGAACGGAGTAGAGATAGAGCCCAAGGAGATATCAGATCTTATCGAGCTGCTGATGGCCAAGGATAGGGTTGTGGGTGCTATGTGTGTCGGAGCAGGAGGATATGATGCATTCCTTTGCATAACAGCATCCGCTGTTACAGACAATACCTTCGATGGATACCTAACAATTGAGATCGCTATGTGAGGAGCTATCGCTCGGTCTAGTGGCCTCGCCATCTGCCTCTTCCCTGCTCTCCTCCAACTTGAGCAATGTTATAAACTGAGCCTCCGTAATTTGATCGATCGTCAGTCGTCTTTTTTCGCTGAATAGCTCTATCTCAAGTTCTCGACCAACCTGAACGAGGAGCTTGAGTGGAATTACTCGTCGTAAGGCTCGAATATAACGGAGCGGAACCCGATGGGCCTGCCGTCGAAGACTGAGATCGAAATATGTTTGCGGCCGTCCGGCAACTTCCACGATGGCATGTGCCCCGGCCATGCGTGCAGGGGCCGAGTGAATCAAAAGAGCTTGGTCATGAAGTTGGAGACGGCTGACAAGTAGTCGGTCTGCGGGTTTCGTAATACCTGCATACATGTAGCTTCCGTCCTGCTCACTGGCGCTGAGGATGTCTTTGAAAGAAACCATATTTGCATTCGTCTTCAAGATATACCGAGGCTTTGCATTCATGGCGTTAATTAGGTCTGTGCGGATACCTGACAGCTGAGTGTCGGTCCCCATATCGAGGGCATCCGCTGTAGAAAACATTTGCCCGGACCTTGCTCAATTCTCAATTTTTTCTCTAACTCCATTTACAGACCTAGTTCGGCCTCCAGTTCCATCATCGAAGTGGGAAGGTCAATACCAAATTGGCGATATGTGCTAATAATCTTTTCGACAGTCATCTTGATCGACTGGCCCCTACTATCATCCCCTGTCGACTCAGCTATGCTTGCACAGACGTGCTTGGAGTGCACCAACGAGCTATCCTTGGTGCTTGAGTGAAGCGGAGCGGTAGTGATGCATATGTGATTGCCTCCAATGACTCCGCTCAGCTTGTGACCTGTTTCTGTTGCCTGTAAGTCTATTTGATCTCCCGGTCCAAGCTCATAATTAACAACCAGTCCATCATCGCCAGTTGGAGCTGCATTGATAGCTGACAGTTTTGTTGAGGCTATATCTGTGATGGAGAGAGGGTGCGGCTCTTCTACTGGTGTCTGGCTCAGTGTCTGTGGGAGTACAGATGACGATTTATTAGTATGTGCCAACTCCTGATTTAGGTCGTGAGCTGCTCCCTTCGCAAGCTTCTCCACTGTGTTAAGAGATTGCTGTAGAACGTCCTCGTACCCCGAAACCGCGCTGAGAAGCGTGCTATTCCTAGCTTCACTTTCGCGAAGCCGTCTGTCAAGAAGGGAAATCTGCGTTCGAAGGTCAGCAACCTCGTCCTTGAGGAGCTCATCTACCACTGAGGCGGGCGGTGCAGCACTTGTCTGCTTGATTCGTTGAACCTCCTCCGTTAAATGGACATTCTCCAAGATCAAGTCGTCTAACTGTGACTTGCTGTTGGCTTCCTTGACGTTCAGGAGCTGAATACTCATGTCTTTGTGCTCAATAATCTGACGTAGATCGTCGACTTGTCGCTCTAGCTCACGCTTGTCCTCTCTGAGATAGTTATTCTCTTGTATCAAAGCATCTATCTGTCCAGCAAATTCCCTCACCTCACTCTGGAGAAGCCTTGACGACTGATCCTCCTCTTGGCGGGGCTGAAGGTCAGATAGCTTCATTGCGCAAGCTGCAGGTGCTGACTCAGATGCCAATGTGTTAACAACAGAGCCAGTGACCTCTAATCCATAAGAGCAGCTAGAAGCGCTTTTTGTGCTGTGATTTATCAAGGCATCTGTGGCGTTCTCTGCAGCAAAGGAGTCTCTCCCTGCTACGCTACTAATGGTTTGACGTTGTAGTAGGATCTCAGCCTCCTTAAGTTGCCCAGAAACTTGCTCATTGGCCACTTGGAGCCTGGAGATCTCCTTTCTAAGGTCTTCTATTATCAATTCGAGCCGGGCCTTCTCCTCAGCATAGGAGGAGTCATGGCTTGGTCGCGATGCTTCAATTATCTGCTCCTGCTCTGCAACAGTGTTCGTAAGCTGCTCCTGGATTGCAGTCATATCTTGGTTTTCTGCTTTGGTTTGCTCCAGTTCGTTATCCATTATCTGCATAGCTAACTTCATAGCTGTGATGGTCTTCATCAAATCATTCTTGAGCTTGGAAATTGGCTGCTCTGGAATAATGTTAAGCTCCAGAGAAATGTCTTCCACGGCTTCTCGGAGCTCACGAGACTCACGGACCTTGGCCGTTATTTTTTCTATGTCAGCGTCTGTAGCCAGGTCTGATGCCCAGATATTAAGCTTAGTATCGTAAAGGTCCAACTTTTCGTGTGCCTGCTTCAACTTCTTTGCAGCAGCCTGAGACGATTTCAGAAGCTCTGAAAGGGTCTGCTTGCAACTGGCGAGTCTTTCCTCAAGGCCCTTGTTAACCTCGAGGAGATCCTGATGTGCATCAACCTCCTGCTTTAGGTTTTTCTTCAGGGTACCTATTAGCATCAAGCCGTCTACACCGGCTTCAGAGTCAAACCCAAAGTCATGAACCCTAATTGATAGGGCGTGCTTAAGAGAATCGATATATTCTTCATGGTGCTTGCATTCTTTCTTTTGTGAAAGCAGAGATGTTCGTAGTTTCTGATTATCAGCCATAGCAGAGTCATAGTCACGCAAAAACTGAGCTAAAATCTTCCTGGTGGCAGCATCTAAGGCACTGCTAGTAGCAATCTCGGCCACGGCTTCTCGAATACTAGAATCGGCCATAAGCAGAGGGTACTTCTTTTGTGTAAATGTTAGATTTTGGCTCAAAACGGCTCCCAGGCACTCACAGGTGAAACTGAAGCATCCCATCCTGCCATAGTGCATATACCTTATCCATGAATCTATCTCAAACAGCCACCCAGTTGAGAGTGTTACAGACCCACCCTCTAAACATTTTCAGAAAGCCTCCAGCGTGGTGTCTGGTCTTAGTAGCTGCGCTTGTAACTGCACTTATTCCTATCTTGAAGATGGAGTTGAACGCGTGCAAATTGCGCCTTGGTGTTTAAAATTAAATTATGTACTCGAGTCAGGTAGAACCACAACAACCTGCCCACGTTAGTACGGTTCGCAGTTACCCCGCTAAAGTGAAAAAAGAAGCAGTAAAGGGCGCAGTGCCAGAGTACACCCTTAAGTACAGTCAAGACTCCATCGTTGTGCCCCTATCAGACCCGTCAAGATTGCATTCGAACTATAGCGCAAGCTACTATTCGACCTACCAGAGTGAGAGAAGCCGCTACGGCCGCCCTGCATCGGGACTTGCCGTCCTTAATGCATCAAGTGTGCATGGCTCTAAATATGACGAGGAATACAAATCAAACTGTGCGTCAACCTCGTTGAAGAATTCATCTGTGTCGAAGCCCGTCGAGATATCGTCTAATCCTGCCGTTTTCAATTCTAGCCCTTCCTTGCCCATCCAGCCAACCTCTATAAAGGCTGCTCAAAGTTCTTTCATCAACAATACCGAGGCAACGACTAAAACCAGTACAGGCTCTAGACAGGTTACATCCAAGGACTACCTAAGTGACAATCCGTATGCTCCCCGCTCTAGTAGCGTTGATGAGCTGAATGAGGGAGCATCTCCGAATCGACGACCTACTGTACCGAAATCGTTTGTTCACCCGGGTCACGGTGAGTCCACCTATCTCATTGACTACATCCCCCCTGCCAAGGGAGGGATCGCAGATACAATCGTATACAGTCGCAGGATACACCCTGATACTTGGACAAACTCTGATCGCGTTGATGGAGGCACGGGGGGCCAAAATATATCGGCTGAGTATTCTCAGAACTACATCGCAGTGAGAATAGACGGTAAAGATTACCTGGCTCAGCTGACCCCCTTTGATGGCTCAACGCCTAACCATTTGAGAAACTCTTTGCCATTGCTAGAGCTCGCTGAAGAAACTGCACACGCTGAGGTGGTCCCCGAAGTAGAGAGCTGTCCGAGGACTCCAAGGCTCTCTAAAAAAGAACAAGCAAAGACCCCGAAGAAGGACCGGGCGAAGACCCCAAAGAGTTGCGGTACCAAGACGCTTCGGAAATAGCTGCAGGCAGGCTAATGGTGGTCGAGTGACCTAGGCTAGACAGATGCAGAAACACTGCCAGCTGGGAGAGGCGCAGATCTTGTCGTTCGCATAGGAGTTAATTTACTAAGATTGCTTTTACGCTCAAGCAGGAAGCAGGATGCGTGCGCCTCATACTGTTTCCTACCCCGCCCGAAAGTGCTCTGTGATGGCCTGCCCGATCCTTTGTGCATAGTGGAGGAATAGATTCAGCTCTCCGGTTATCATTCGCAGATCAACGACATAATTGGCATGATTACTCTGATCTATTGCAATATAAAGTGTCAGCCCTATTATCAGGTCGTTTTGTATGGCAGACGCAGGGTTCACAAGCTTAAATGCTACACAGAAGTTGTTCCTTTTTTTTGACGTATCTGTTTTCAGCACTACTGTGTCACGTCCGATATTTGAGTCGTAGTACTTGGAGGCATTCAAGCCCCCTATGCGCCACTTGAATCCCAGTTCACGCATCGTCTCCAGTATGAGACACATCATATCCGGCGGAGGCATGACTGCTATATTGCACCCAGTGACGCCAAAATAAAACATGCTCTTCTTGTCAACCTTTTCAGATCTTAGTGAACCGTTGAGACCGTCGCGAAATTGGGCGAGGGTCAAACCACCACTGGCGACCTTTGTTTGATCGTTATAGCACCCATCATCGGTATTAGAAGAAACGGCTTCAGCGCCGTCAACTTTGCGGGCGTTTGGGCTCAGAGATGCCTCGGGATTAAGCGTCGGTGGCAGGGTTCTAACGTATGTGTTAAAGACCAGGCCGGAAAACTCATGCTCCTGGGAGGGTAGAAGAGGCCCCTTGGCAGGTGCAACTGCCTCAGGAGGAGCAAACGGATTTTGGGATATCACTGGACCAGAAGGATCCATAGCGTCCTCCTCGTGATCTCCGGAGCCCCCAGACGCCACGTTACCGAGGGCAGAGAGGGACGATGAGTCGAAGATGGATCTGTTTGCGCCTGCTGGGTTGCTCTCGGGTTCGCCGATAATGCCAAAGCTTCTCGCAATAATCTCATCGAAAATGTGGTCGTGAATGAGCTGATAACAAACGGTGTCACTGTCTGTTTGGCCCGCTTTGAATTTGCGCTTTATATCGTCAATGGTGGACTGCCGATTTAGGGCGTTGTACATGTCTACTATGCGCTGCCCCTGATCTGTGGTCCGGAGCTCCTCCTCTCGGTCGCTGGGATCGCTATCGAAGCTGATCAGCAAGTGCTTTGGGAGGTTAACGGTAAACCACGGGTGTGCGCGGATAATGTCTATCGTAAAGCGCTTATCGACATCCACAGTCATCATCCCTCGAAGCATATCTGCTGCGCCCGAGTCCACATAATCTGGTATAACATATTCTCCTGTTTTAATCTTTCGGAATAGCGCAGGCATATAGTGGTCGTCGAACGGGAGTCTGCCGACCAAAAGCGTGTAGAGCACACACCCAGCACTCCAAATATCCGTTGCAGGGCCAATGTATAGGGTCCCAGCGACCACTTCAGGAGACGCATAGTTAGGACTGCCACACGAGGTCTTGAGAAACTCCCCCTCGCTCATGACATTGGAGAGGCCGAAGTCAGAGAGTTTGATAAGCTTGTTCTTAGTCAGTAAAATGTTTTCGGGCTTTAAGTCCCGGTGAGTCACTGAGACCTTAATGTGAAGATAGCTAAGGGCAGAGATGATCTGCTGGAAAAACTTGCGTGCCGTAGTAGAGTCTAGTCGCTTGTGCTTCACAATATAAGAAAAAAGCTCGCCTCCTTCTGCGTACTCCATAACCAAGTAGATGTCGTCCTCGCGGTAAATAACCTCGTAGAGATTGATGATGTGCGGGTGCCGAGCCATCTTCATGATCATGATCTCCCGCTCGACCTTGCTCCACATGTTCATTTGAGTGATCTTGGACTTGGAAAGGATCTTGATTGCAACAGTGCAGTTTGTTGGGATATGTGTTGCAACCCTCACCTTTCCAAAGGTACCCGTTCCAAGCTGTCTTCCAAGCAGATAATCACCTATTATCTCCTGATCAGACATCGGGGACACTGCACCTTGCCTTTTTAATGTTGAGGTTTCATTTTTGCCTTGCACACTGTATGCTCTTTTTCATCATTTTAACCTGCCAGGAAGATTTGTTTTAAAATAATTTGCACAGAACCGCAGAAAAAGCTGAATGCGCACGGTTCAGGTCACCACTCCCACCGGGCATACCATTACGGTCCTTGCGCGCATGCATATCTACGACATCATACGCATGTACCCAGACGAATTCCCTAGTGATGGGCATCCGTTCATCGTCTGCACGGTCAACAACGAACTTACCTCGCTTTCCGAAAAGGTGGGCGTTAATTGCACCCTTGTCCCATACTCTGTGGCCACAACGGATGGCGCGGAGTGCTATCGCAGGTCGCTGATCTTCGCTTTGGGCAAGGTCTGGTCTGAGTTGTTCCCCCAAGACTCACTTCAGATTTCTCACTCGCAGGGCCACTCCTACTATCTATACGTTGATAATAGCTCCAAGAATCTTCAGATGGAGGATATAAAGACCACGGACATCTGTGCACATGGCCCAAAGGAAGATGCTAATCACGACGTCTGCATAACAAATGCTTCATCGATGTTTTTCAGCAATGACAAACATATTACGGAAGAGATCGTTACCAATTTGCGACAGGAGCTGAACTTGTTGATCAAGGCTAACCGCCCTATCTCTAGCAACATTCCCATGAATGCTAATGACTTGGAGACAGCCTTGGAGAGCGTCTCGGACTATAACTCTGTCGCCCTCCTCAAGTCCCTCAATGAGGTTCGTGTGATGACCGTAAGGTGCGACGACTATGTGCAAATTTATCACACTCCTCTGGCACCTGTCACAGGTCTTCTTAAGTACTACGATCTTCATACTTACAAAGATGGGTTTGTCATAAGCTTCCCATCTAAACGCTCCCCTACTGAGCTCATTCCCTTCAAGCCCAATGAACTGTTACACGACGTATATAGCGAATACACGCAGTGGATCCGCGTCTTGAAAGTTCGGACTATCGGGCACTTGAACAATTTGTGCTACAAGGGCATGATTAAGAGTTTCATCCAAATCTGCGAAACCATGCAGAACAAGAAGCTTGCTGAGCTTTGTGACGTAATTGCCAACAATAGAGAGTATCTTCAGCAATACCAGAAGGCTACGCGAGCCGCCAACTACACTCTCGGGATGAGTCTCCGAATCGACGGAGACAGTGGTGTGAACTCCCGTAGCATCAAGGTAGACTCTAAAACGATGTCACAGGAGCTAGTGGACGCAAGGGTGTCTACTAGCTCTACTGGCACATCGGATTCTGAAGTGGAGCCCGGTATGCTGACCTCTGCCGAAGTGTCTAATTGCTATGCACCCGTCTCTAACATTGAGGACAAGGAGATCAAGGTTGTATTCATATCAGGTCCAAGCTCTAGCGGCAAGACGACCTTCGCCAAGAAGCTCGCATATAATCTCAAGGTTATGGGCCGCGAACCTCTTATCATTTCGCTTGACAACTATTTCGTTGACCGGGAGAAGACCCCACTGGCAGAGGATGGGAGCTATGACTTCGAACATGTTAACGCCCTGGATCTTGATCTCTTTAACGATCATCTCGAGGCACTTATCAGCGGAAAGAAGATTCTCAGCCCAATCTTTGATTTCAGGACAGGTACAAGAAAGCAATCCACCATAGAAATGATAATGCCTTTCAGGGGGATCATCATCATCGAGGGCATCCACGCTCTCAATCCTCTCCTCAGCAGGAGAATCCCTCTGCCTAACAAGATCTTGGTCTTTATTGCTCCCTTCACTGCCATCAACATGGACGACCGCATGCGGATCTCCTCCAGGGATTGTCGCCTTATCAGACGCATTGTGCGCGACAACAATTTCCGCGGTTTCACGGCTGAAAAGACAATCGAGCTACTGAAGAATTTGCGTGTAGGAGAAGATAGGTGGATCTATCCCCATCAGCACAGGGCCGATATCATGTTCAATACGGCGTTGGACTATGAGCTATGTGTCCTTAACACGCATGCCTACCCATTGCTTTGTGAGATCAAGCCCGACAGCTCTGCATACAAGGAGGCACGACAACTTATCGCCCTCCTAGAAAAAGTTGCTTCCATTAATAGCGAGTTTGTTCCTAAATTCAGCCTATTAAGAGAGTTTATCGGCGGAAGCGGCATGCCAGATAAGGACTAGCTTCTTTGGTGCTCCACTCTCCACGCTGCGAAGTCTGTGGGGGTCTAGGTTTCTTGGTGTGAATGATAAAAAACGTACTCATGTTTGCAGCAGGGTCCCTTGAAGCGCTAAGGGCGGATATTGAGGCCATATCACAGTCGCACCCGGAGGAGTATGAAGAGCTTGCGAGCATGGTGGATCAGCTCAGTGGCATGGTCTCTGCGGGCACGGCCACCTCGCGAGAGGCCGAAAGCATTGTAAGCACTCTTTATCATGCGCTGCACCACATAAAAACCTATGCGTCTGTCGATGCAGCTTTGTCTGCAGCTAAGGTCCGGGCCAATGCACTGGCCGAAGAGACGGGGGCGCTATCTGCTATCCCCAGTGCCTTTCCTCCTTGGGGCAAGCCCACCGTCTACGATCCACAGAATCCTATCACCCACATTACGGCGGTTATTGTAGACCAACCCCACACCATGATGGACAGGAACCATCCATACACACAGTACAGGATGATTTTCAAGTCGGAACTACCTGCGAACAAGCGCTACTACATGGTCTATCGACGCTTCAACGATGTAAAGCGGCTAGCTGCCACCTTGCTGGATCTTAAGGTGGGACCCTTGCCCTCTCTACCACCTCAAAGATCCGTATTTCAGAGCCTGTATGACCCCCTTTTCATAGAAGATAGGCGAAAGCGCCTAGCAGAATACCTTCAGCTTCTTAGTTCCACACTAAGCGTCGTTCAGACGGATGCCTTTCAACACTTTCTCACAGAGCATGGGCAATATCGTTCTATTGAGGAAGGATACACATAGGGCGCGCTTGCTTTTGAGCTTAGTGGCGTACACTGGAGCTCCTGCCGTTACCATCTAAAACTACCGAGAGGAAATTTAAAATTCATCATGGAGAACCTTACGAATGCTACTATGCCTGAGGAGGCAACACGTGTAGAAGAAAATTATTCTGCTGTTACGGAAACCAATGACATCATGGATGGTTCTACATGTGTTATTGACCCCAGCATTGCTGTTTCTTTGCACTGCGGTTCAACAGTTGATAAGGCAACTTCCACGGGGGAACTCGATCGTTTACCGTTTCTGCGAGGAACAACTGCTGTAGTACAGACCGAAATTGCGTTGCACACTAAGAGTCAATGCCAGATATATATTCCCATCATTAAACAGTATGCTAAGTCCATTGCAAAGGATGCATATAGGTATGACAGAACTTTTTACTGTGACACTGTAGAGCCAGCGCTAGATCCTATAAAGTTAAGCTATGACGTGGATGTACTGAAGGAACAGAATGAGGAGTTTCTTCGCCGCATTGTCGAAATGCAGACAGAAATAGACAAGCATGCACGGACAATCTATCAACTAGCATTAGAGAAGCAGAGACTTATGGCCGTCGAAGAGGACCTACGTGCGCAACTAAAGCAGACTTCAGAGGGAGGGACTGGTGCTCCTTCCACATCACAGACGCTTCCCTTTGGTCCTACAGAGTTTGTGCTGAGGGATATCAATGGAGACATCCTCTTCGATGAGCGTTTGCTGCCTCCAGATAGTGAGACACTTTTGTATGTTGTGAAAGGAGGCGACAGGCTCGTCACCTACCATATTTTCACAGATATAGATGAATTTCTTTCTCTTAAGAAGCAGCAGATCTCCTCTCGTAACGTTAAGCTCCAGATAGGCCCGTCTTGTCTGCACCCCCGCATTTGGCAATAAAAATGCCCAGTAGCCTGACGCAGAAAATCGAGGCGGCGCAGCTCAAAGAGGAGCTACTGGAGGCACAACGATTTATTGCCCAGCTACAACTGAACTATGCGGAAAAATGTAGCGAGGCCGAAATTTTGCGAGTTGAGTGCAAGCAAATACATGGGGCCTCGGAGCAGCGGATGGCAGAGCTGCACGCTGTGGTTCATCAGCTCCAGAGCCAGCTTTCTGTCAAGGAGCAGGAGCATATCACAGCACTCTCCGATGCAAAGGCGAAACACATGGAGGTCGTCCTCTTGCAAGAGCAGCTCAAGGTCACCCAGGCTTCTTACACACAGAAGATAGATGAGCTAGCAGGAAAGATGGCTAACTATGAGCGCCAAGTACATCTACTACAACAGCAGCAACACCATTTTGAAGGGGTCGATCGGGCCTCCTCTAACGAGAAGGACGAAAAGGAAGCATCTTCCAGTGAGCACTGTCGCGGCCTCTCGATGAAGGAGCTCAAGGAGGATCTAATGGTCCTGAACGTTCTGAATAAGGAGCTTGAGACCAAACTTCGCGCCACCTCAGAAGAACTAGCCGATCTGGCTAGGCAAGTCCAAAGATTAAGCGATGAGAAGACGCAGCTGATGATGGAGAAGACCCTGCGCGAAACCTTCTACTCCGAGAAGATCGATGCTCTCACGAGGACGATTGATACTATAAATTGTGAGAAGTCTAGGCTTCAGGAGATGTATAATAAAGCAATGACGGAATACTATAATCTGAGTCTTGCCTATAACATCTTACTATCAACGTGTCAGAAGAGAGAGGAGGTTCCTTCAAAGGCCGTGACGATCCTTCGGCAAGTCTGCATTCATGACCCTACCAAGGCTCCGCGGCAACACATGATTAGCGAAGGTGTTGGCAAAGCCCCGTGTCCTAATTGCCCTGCTGTTTTAGAGCCAAGGGATAACCCTGCGCCCTCCTTCCCCCCTAATCTAGAGCTGATGAAATTCGGAGAAGTTGGCATAGGGTTTATTAAGCCGAAGGGCGTCAAAGTAAAGACGCAGGCGGGAGTATCCTTTGTCCCCGAAACGAAGAAACTGCTTCAAATCCGGAAAGCTGACTCTGAAAAAATACCTCGCGTCTCCACTCTGTGAGCGTAGGACAGCTTATGCAGGATCCGAGCCGAGTCGCGGGTGTGAATTATAATGTGTCTGGTGCTGCCACTGGTGTTAACTCTTATTCGCTCTTTACCCATTCCCATGAGAGCTACCCTCTTTATCTACAGATGCAGGCCTTAGAACGTGAGAACTCTGGCCTCCGAGCTAAGATAGAAGCGCTGACTAGCACTATGGAGAAGCAGTTTGCACTGTCTCGCATATCTAAAGTTGATGCTCTATCCAGTAAGGTGACTCGGATAGTAGAGGAGGAAGTTGAAAGGGTAACAAGGCGATATAATGAGACCCTGGCGCGTAAGAACATATACAAGAGGCGATTCCTCAAGATAGTGTCCACACTCAGGAGCGCTAGGGACTCTCTGCGGCTCGTACTTGACGTTGCGCGTTTACACCAGCATCCAACATTGATCCAAGCAATTCATAACGTGGAAGACTCCCTTATGATGTCCTGGCCAGAAGAGGACATAAGTGACTACGAATCAGCCAATCTAGGGTCGGCTTCCGCTCCACAGCTCCCATTGACCTTGCCTATTCGGGAAGCTGATGACAGCAAGGAACATATTAACGTAGCCAGCTCGCACAGTTCACCGCGGTCCAAAGATGATTGCCAGATTCCTTCCTATTATGGGACAGTTCGCATGGAGCATAGAACTCAAGCTCTGACCAGGCTTCCGCCCATACAAAAACGGGAGCAACATGTACAAGTACAGGTACAAACTGTATCACAGACAGAGATGGAAAGGGGAAGCAGCAAACAAGACAGACATACCTATGCATCTTTGAGTCCTCCAGCAAAGCTATCAAAACAAGAATCTAAGAGGCAATCCTGTCATGAAAGTAATCTCAGTGAGGACAGCTACTTAGCCAATTCTTCCCTTTTGCTTGCTCTTGAGAAGCGTGTAGCTTCTGAGGTAGCAGACGTCTTTCAATCTGCATATGAGCGTCACCTTCGCAGTGCCAAACAATCAGATTCTTGTGAGTCAGTCAGCATCATTGAGATGCCGAATCCTAGTCCGCCTGATATCAACTCAGAAAGCAGTAAGTCTCAACCGTGCAATCCAGAAAATTTCTCAGACGTTCTCGCCAGACACCCAACACCTTCTCTAGCTGATGAGCAATCTTCGCACGTGCTGATCCCTGGTGCAAGCGCCCAGTCCAGCCCATCTCATTCTCCAACAACGAATGTTATGGCACCTTCTAGTACTCGTTCTGCATTCGCATCCGACACAGCATCAGTATCTGTGCCAGTGTCAATTTCGTCTGACCGCTCGAGCGAATCCATAGAAGTTCTGACAACACCTGACTACTCGAAAAGTGACTGGTCGATGCCCCTTCATGCACAGCTATCTGAGTCCGTAACCTGCAAACCCTCATTGCCATCTTTGTCATCATCGGCGCACCAGACACACCAACTTTCAAAGAGTATTTCGAGCACCTCCCAGAGTATATCCATTAATTCATTTATTTGCGGGATAAATGAAATAGTGGATGATTGTAGCGTCGCATCTAACGCTGAGAACCCTTTAGTGGTCTTTTCTCCTCGGGCAGAGGAGTATATCACCCAAGTCTCATCCATTTCAGCCAATAACCCCGTCTCAGCTAGCGGGCCAACTGACTTTGTCAACGGTTCGCACGTTCCGCATGCCCTTAAGATGCACAGCTCGAAGGTGGCATTGCAAGCAGTGGCTGGAAGTGTAGAGTCAGATATGCTTGTTTCAGACGTCAACGTGATGAAGCAGACAGCCAGGCAGCAGCAAATAGCTGCTACTCGACTTCTTGAGAGCAAGGGAGCACCAAGTAGTGATATTGCAAAGACACAAGCTCAAGATCTTGACTCGACAGAGAGCATGGGTTTAATCATCGATCGAAGCCGAGCAGCAACTGGGGCCAGTAAGGTAGGGCTGTCCACCTATTTCAGTGAGATTCTTCTAGCCCGCAGTGGGGATATGGGAATCACGCCCGATGTAGCGGACTTCTGCCTCAGCCGCCCCATCACCGCTGATGAAGAGGAAGTCCGACATGCTAACGCACCCTTTGCTGGGAGGGACCCATCAAACGCAGCAGTTCTGACAACAGCAATGCTTGATCAATCCCCCTCCGTCCCAGAGCATTCGGTCAGGCCCCAAGACGGCAGTGTGCCTCTCACGCAGTCCTCTAGCCTAAACAGCTGAGAGAGAACAGTCACGGCCAGCGCCACACGCCTTCCAACCCGCTCCACACGCTGACCCGATCAGGGCCAGGTGGCAATCACGGCATGAATTTACTCTGCCGACTTAGTTACCACCACGGAGGCGGAGGACGAGGTGGAGCGTGGCATCCTTCTGGATGGAGTAGTCCTGGAGGGTGCGATTGTCCTCGAGCTGCTTGCCGGAGAAGATGAGGCGCTGCTGATCTGGCGGGATTCCCTCCTTGTCCTGGATCTTCGCCTTGATGTTGTTTATGGTATCTGTGGGCTCAACCTCAAGGGTGACGGTCTTGCCGGTGAGAGTCTTGACGAAGATCTGCATATAAAAACCTCCCATACTTCAAAAAAACAGCCATTCAGGGAATTATTGTAGGTCGTTTGGTGATCATTCAAGATAATCCGTCAAAAGTTGTCTATAGCATACTGGGGTGCTAGTACCGAAGATAGCTAAGTTTTCCGTCCGGTTATATCGATGCATTTTTCTAAAGTTTTGGACTGGCCTGCGGAGCAGCCATTCGTATGGTGCAGCAGGTTTTTTGGGCAGCTCGTTGTATATGCCTCAACAAGGGTCCAAGCTCTAATCATTTAATTTGATGAGTGAATGTGTGAAAAACGCGATAGGATGCAGTTGTATTTCAGACCCGCAGACAAAGGAAGAGATATGCCTTTGCTCCGATAAGTATATGGCTCGCGACGGGATATGCCAGAGCAGAGCCTGCTACGATCCCTTGACAGACAGCTTTTGCAGCAACTACCCGGGGGCGTTGTGCGATAACACCAACCACAAGTGTCTGTGCGCTCGTGACTATCTTGTATCGGTAAATGGAAGGTGTATTGCCGATAATTGTGTCACCGAAGACCTAAATACTAAAGAAAAGACAGAATGCTGGGGGAGAGGCTATTGCCTGCTGGACTTCGGGGGCGGGAATTGCGTTTGCTTTGATGCTTATGTTAATAGAATACCGTGTAGGTTCTGCAACCCAGACGTGGCAATAGAAAAAACGACCCCAGGCATTCTTCCTGTCTGCGTCCCAAAGGTCTGTCTGGACCCAGAAACCCTGGATCCAAATGTTGTCTGCAATGGATATGGTACTTGTGAGCCACACCTTCGGGCAACTGGATCTACAACTTATAGCTGCGTATGTAACGAGGCTTCTGCCGATGTTAACAACAGCTGTTATCCTCTGGAGTGCGTATCTATGACTTTTTATGGAGTAGGTCAGCCCTCTGTCTGCAACGGATACGGTACTTGCAACATAGCCACTAAGACATGCACCTGCAACCATCCGTACACGGGCACATTCTGCAGGTCGTGCCTCCCTGGCTTTGAGAGCTACTATACAATCACTCACAGTACTATCAACTTCAGCTGCCTTCCTCGCACTTGCTTTGACGGCCGAACCAACAGCTTTTGTACCGGGTATGGATCCTGTGCGCTAGACTCTGAGACCCAGACTTATAAGTGCAACTGTAATAAGGATGCCACTTTCTCCTCCTCTTTTTCGATGCTCTGTGCCCCAACCCAATTACTTCAGCGGGGTGTTAAGAGACATCTGCTCCTGGGGCTCATCATCCTGACTGTTCTGTTAACCATGGCCATCCTGGGGCTTACTCTGTACTTTCTTGCAAAGTTCCTGATCTTCAGAAGAAAGAATAAGCAGCGGATAGCATATATTAAAGAACGCAAGACGGAGATTGCTCGGAACCTTCACAAGGAGGCGAAGCAAGAAAGTGAAGTGTTGTCGTCTCGTTCTGTTTTGTCTACCAGTGACTACATTAACTTCCAACGGCGATATATGTGAGCCCCAGCTTCCTCCACGATACTCCTGTCCTATCCAAAACCATTCTATTAATAGAACACCTTTACTATTTACTAGAAATCATTTTGTGCTGGAGTTGATGTCACGATAGATCGGCGTGTTCACCTGTGACCTCCAGGAATTTACTTTCAAAATAGCAAAATTATATTTATAAATCCTTTCCTCTAAGAAGCTTTTTCCCCATGTTATAGTCTTGTATGGCTTATGCTAACGCGCACACCAGAATCCACGCACACTCACATAGTTCCAACGTTCCAGCCCTGTATGTCTTGATTTCTCACATGAGTAGGCACTGTCTGTACAAGTGAGATGTGCATGCTGTTTGTTGTGGCTTTTGTCTTCGGAACTGTAGACCTTTTCCAAAAATATCACGTGTACATCTTGTTTGCCACGCAACAGTATGTGGAAAACTAGATTCTAACTGCTCCCGGTTTACAGCCGCTCAGCTATAGCAAGTACCTTACTCTACAGCTGTACTCCGCAATACTATGACCTGAAGGCAGTAGGCATACAAGCAGTAGCGTCTATGTGTGCCTCGCGTGGCAGCAAAAGCTCAGCGAATCAGTAAAGCCTCACATTGCTCTTGCGTATTGCTCTCAGTCGCTGTCTTCTGCAAGGCTCCTTGGAACGGAAGGAAGCAATCGAAAAGGGCAGCTCTATTGAATATTCACTCGATGAGTATCTGCGGTGTACTGCCAGTGGTTGTACTGATACTGCTGCAGTCACTTACGAATTACTGTGCACACTAGCCATTCACTGTTTGCCTTGTACAGTCGGGTAGTGTCCTTGCTTGCAGAAAGTAAGGGAGTCGGACATGGGATATCCCATGTTCCGATGGTTTTATTAACTGTACACTTTACATTTCGCCAGAAAGCCTGTTACATACAAACATCTCAGCATCTCTTTGCTGACTGATCCCTAAAACAGAGCCTTCAGACATCAGCCTCTGTCTAACCGTATCCTAGGTTCTTGGGCATGCACTCAGCAGGTCGGCGGTTTCTTTTTCTTGCTATCAATCCGCACTGTATACCTTACAGCCTATACTGTAGGCTGAGTTATGCTGTTGGTTTTCATAATAGTTTAGACATAACCTGGCGTCATCGTCAATTTGCATCACTAGATCCTTTGAATAGTGGTTGCCTGGAAAGTGACCCCGCAGCTTTCCGGATTTTATGCTGTAAGGCTGATAGGGGCATTTAAAGGAGAGCTTACAGCTAACGACTATTTATCACATGGGAAAGCATACAGGAGCTGTGTTGCAATTATGTGTCTGACTAGGGTACTTGCAGTTGTTTTAAAGCTCAAGAAGAAATTTTATGACTGTGCTTTTGTGAGCATAATTTATTAAAATAAAACGTATAGATAGGAAAAGCCAGCACTACTGTCGTTTTTTAATGGATGCTGACATAGGTTTGCCCCCTCAGTACAAGCCGGAACGCCTCCTGGGTCAAACTCCCCGTAGCTCGGTCTATTTGGTTCGTCGGAGTGACGGAGCCGTCGTGGCCTTGAAAGAGATTGATCTTTCTGTCTGTGGTTCTACTGCTCGAGCAGTGGTGGAGAACCTGGAAAGCCTTTCAAATAAGTTAAGCCATCAAAATTTAGTAAGTTGTCACAATTATACAGTTAATGAAGAAACAGGCTACGCATATGTTGAATTAGATTATTGCCCCGGAGGCTCCCTTGCTGACCTCTTTAAGAAACAGAGACGTCTAATCCAGCAAATGCCAATTTCGCAAATATGGCTAATTGCCGCCCACTTGCTTTCCGCTCTAAGCTATCTTCACTTTTCATACAAGCATGGAGGCGAGGTCCGGTGTGTTACTCACGGCTTCATCACCCCCGAGAGTATCCTTTTAGGTCCCGCTGGAAACGCTTATCTTAATATTTTTAGTACAGATAGAATAACTGCACGGCTAGTAGAGCCGGTAGAACAGGAGATTCCCCTTGCAGAGCGGTGCCAGAAGGATATCCGTGACCTGGGTACAATCTTTGCAAAGATGGCCGGACTTGCTCCTCAGGACATTCAAACCAGCGAACTCTTTAGTAGCGAACCTGGTTTGCGTTGTTTCCTCATGGCATGCTGTGGTCTTGGAGACGTACAGTGTTCCTCTGCCGCAGAGCTCCTTTTGTTCGACGATATCCAGGCCACGCTCCGTGCACAGTCGCAGACGGCATCACGACAGACGTCCAGCACGTCGAGCAAGATCCCTGGTCAGCTGTGGCCCCCCTCGAGCTCGCTCTCTGGATCTGCATCCAACGCAGCTTTATTTGACAAGCTCGACCCTCTGCGTCGAAATAAAAATAGAAAATCTAGCTCCCCTGATCATGATAGCCTTCCTGTAGACGTTAATGTAGATGATAACAGTGACACGGAGCTAATCCTGGCCGTCGTACGTAACGATCCTGACTCTGTGCGGCGCCACTTGGATCAACTGGGCGGGCGTAATGTAGTTGGCTGTACAGCCCTCATGTTTGCAGCTGCATATGATTACATAGAGTGTGCACGACTGCTCTTGGACGAAGTTTGCATGCAAGACGCGAACGGGTGGACGGCTCTGATGGCTGCGGCCCAGCAGGGAAGCGAAGAGTGCGTTAAGCTTCTCGTTCCACACGAGGCCTGTATATCTGATATGAATGGCTTCACTGCTCTTATGGCGGCAGCCGCAAATGGAAGACTGTCTTGCGTCCACTTGCTACTCGAGCATGAAAAGGGAATGAAGTATGTGGACGGGAGAACGGCGCTGATGTGGGGCGCGTTTACTGGTCATCTTGATTGCGCAAAGGCGCTGTTCTCTTCTGAGAGCGCTGAGAAGGACAATGCAGGTGAATATGTACTGGACTGGGCACAACGTGGTGGGGAGAAGGCAGTGATCGAGTATATTCGGAGCAAGAAATAGGAGCAAGAGATAAGAGCAACCTTGGTCAAACAGTAAACTTTCATGTTACAGTACTATGTTGGTAGCCCCGCAAATGGGGCAGCTGCCCGTGACGATGACGTACTCCTCATACTCTATGCCGTCAAAGAAGAATCCGCATCCCGTACAGTAGTGAAGCTGAAAGTCGCTTATGGTACGTATAAAGAAACGCTTGATTACATTCCCAACGACAAACCGAGGAAGGAGAGATGGGTTAGACCAGGTGTCGTCCACTATGAAGATATTTGCCGGTGATATCTTTTCAAATTGCTCGCTGGTAAGGACGGCCCCACGGCCATCTCCGGCGATGCTTGCTCTCCGCAGCACGTCAACGACACCCTCATCAGTCTGCAGATCATCAGTGCCTATTTCTAATCGGTTTGTCTCTCCCATAAGGGCCTCGATATCCATCTCTACTGCAGCAGCCCGTTCAAGTGCAACTGCAATACTAGTTTCGTCATCGGGTTCAGCCAAAACCAAAGGAAGGATCTTAAGGCTTAAAGCAGAACGCACTATAGGCGATCCACAGTTTTTGCATATATCTGAGAATACAGGACAGCAATGCGGTAGACTGGAAAGGATCGCCATGTCCTGAGCACCTACAGGCCTGGACGGAGGGAGAGCCTTGAGCGGTGCAGCACATCTAGGACAAGCGTCGCGGCTTTCTGCATCGCTGGACTCGCCGTGTGAGAAATCTTTTGCGGGGGTGCCTTTCACAAGAAGCATTTGACGCCGAAAATACCCTATCATGGGGCCTGGGATCCGCGAGGCAAGAATCCTTTTCAGAGCTCGAGCCTCAACTTCTGGGTAGGTCCTTCGAGAGGCCAGGGCAAGACAGACCCAAATTATAAGCTCAGAGATGCCTGGCGGTATATTCATGTTATTAATTCCAAGGTCAATGTGGGCCAGTGAGCCCAGCTGCGGTGTTGTTGATGAGGTTATAAAGCCTATGGTGGAGCGCAAAGACGGGGGATTATCCTTTTTAGATCGTTGGCTTGAAGCTTTGACTGTGTCCTCTCCAGAAAGAATGCCAGTATTGTTCTCTAGCTCCTCTGAAAAGACGCTATCAGCGTTGGTGAGCTCATTGGCCATTGCAGCATAGCTTGTAAGGAAGATCCCTGCTGTCACTACTTTGGCTGACTGCGTGTTGTCGTGAAGCCTTATCATTGTTATGTCAGATAGATCGCGGCTTCTGAGAATGTTTACCATGTACTCCATGACTTGCTGGTAGCCGGTATAGACCAGGACACGGGCTCTAATAGCCTTTATTGCAGCATAGTATTCCATGCTTGAAACAGACAGTGCCGCAAAAGCGCGCGTCTTTGCTATTTGCTTTGCAAGTTGTCCTGTCAGGGCGCGAGTCAAATTGAACTTACACTCCGCTATTGACGCGTCTATAAGTTGTTTGATGATAATCGCTTCTTTGCTTGTGTTTCCTGACAAGCGCAATCTCTCCAGAGCCTCAATGAACCGCCCTTCCCGCAGTAACATCGAAGCCTTCGCCTCATGAATGGAGGGCATCATTTCCGGATAGGCCTTTCCAAGGGCTTCCACTTGACTCCAACTGCCTTGCTGAATTAGCAGGCGTAGCAACACTAGAGGATCTCCGAGGCGCTGGGCTATGAAAATAGCGTTGGAGTAGTCATTACTCTTCTCAAAGTAAACAAGTGCTTTCCGATATGCACGCTTCAACATTTGGTTTTGAACAGAGGATGGAGCATATTCATCTGCGTCTTCTGGTGACTCAAAGTCGTTAAAGCTCGGAGCCTTATGATTCAGTTCACGAGCAACAGGTGGGAAAATTCTGACCAATCTCAGAAGTGCACCTGTCTGCTTGCTTGTGATCAGAACATCAATAGCACTCTCGGGGTCATCCATGTCTAGATAGCTTGCTGCTGCAGCCCGCCACTCAAGACTCGTCTCCAAGAACTTAGAGTGCCGAACAACTAGGTTCGCTCTCTCCGATTCTGTCTTTGCAAAACTAGATATCTGTCTCCGTAGCAAGATGCGGTAATCGTTAAAGTAGTTGTATGTGTCTTTGTTGTCATTACCCGGTCCGTCAGCCTTGGACGAGCCTGACTCAATGGCAGATAAAAACTTGTTAACAGTCGCCCTTCCTTTAGCCAAGAGTTTGTCGGAGAAATCTGTAAGTAAAGCAGTGTTAGTCTCCTTCGCCTCAGGAGCTGTTTGAGTGCCCAGTGGTGAATACGTGCTATCGCCCTGCGTCTTAAGTACTTCTAGAATCTTTTCTTCGGTGCCAGTAAGACTGGAGTGTAGTTCTCTGCAAATCAGCTTCTTTGCAATAGAGCTTATTAATGAGGAGTTTGGACTGTTGTAAGGAATGCATTCGCGGTTAATAAAGAAAAGTAGCTCAGTCGCCATTTGGATATCGTCTGACGCGGCGAAGAGTAGGCTTGCCTCAGAAAAATGGTCACACATGCTGAGAGCTAAGGCTGAAAGTAAGAGATACGTTTTTGTAGATGTTTGGCGAGTGATCTCTGCTATGGCCTTAAGGGAACGGATGTCACCGATGGTGGCAAGAACCTCCCTGGCAAGATCAAGCTCATTACTGAGCAATGCGGCAATTGCAAGGTCACGCCAGCAATCCATTGGCACACCAAGATTAGCCGCCTTGATAGCCTCATTAAGCTCATAGTTGGCAGCTTGTGAAGGAAAGACAGCTCCTGCTTCATAGTTCGAGTCTAGAAGCATACGCAACACCTTGTGTGTGCGATAGATAACCATAGGCATCATAGGGACCTCGACCATCTCTATCAAAGATGAATAATCTAGGTTAACGAGCGATTGGCCTAAGTAGCTGACGTTGAATATAAATGCGCGGTTGCCGTTCTGGCATAATACAAAAGACCCTGGATAGGACAGCTGAAACGTATATGAAACTCCGCTGTCTATACATATATCTACAGACTTCTGGGTGCTTCGCGCCAGCACCCCAGGAAGTACAAGGTCCCAAATAGCTGAGGTGGTGCCTTTGAATGTGTACAAGGGAACGGAATAGTCCTGACCAGTTGTGATCCCAGGCAAGTTTCCGTCAAGGGAGACGTGCGCAAGAGCAGCTATTCTCGAATAACTTGTAGGCGTGTTTTCGTGCTCTACTACAGCCATGTTGGTAGCTCCTAGGACAATCTCAGAGTCATCCAGGAACTTGTACACACTAACAACATCACTCCTGTCGACAACAGAGATATACTTTCTATCGGGACTAATATCTAATGAAACAATAGGTGACCTATGAAGAAGCAGCTCTATGGGGAACTTGTTTCCAATCTTGAAGATGCATACTTTTCCAGTATCAAAACCAACAAGCACAGCCTCGTTGCTGGGTATCCCCCCGATAGACCTCACATAGGTGCACTTAAGCTGTTTAAAAGTCCATCTATCGGTCTGTTTCCCAGAGAAGTCGTGAACAGATATGTGGGAGACATTGCACAGGAAGAAATGGTTATTGGAAACTATCAGCTGGCTGCAAACGAACCGCTTCTTAATTGATGTCTCAAAAGAGTAACTGAGGGATGACATGTTTTGCCGTCTGGACCTGTCTGTCTCAATAAGGCCATTCGTAGATGAGCTGTAATAGTCCATAACACTTTCTATGTTACGCTTCTTTAAGGCAGGATCCTGGAGGCGATAGAGAAGCAATCTAGAGGATGTTTTTATGGCAAGCGTTGACTCATAAATAGAAAGGTTCTCGACATGCATCCCTACTTCTAAGATTGACTCCCGTCCAGTAGAAAGGTTCATAACACTGACGCTCATTAGGCCTCGCCTGTAAGCATAGAGGCTGCCATACTGACTGTGAATCATTGCGTATCTGAGAGAGAGACAGAGCAATACCCCATTACTTAATCCCAGTATTAAAGAGGATGGCTCAACGTGTATCATAGAGTAGCACCAGATGGTGTGCATGCCGTGGAAAGCAAGAGGATTGGTCACATTCTTCACGTTCCTATTGGCCATGGCTTCTCGCTTGCGAAGCTCCATGAGTCTCTGATTGACGTCGGTGCATGTTGTCACTTGACCCATGATGGTCCTCTTTTGCGGCAAGTGTTTGGACTGAGATTCTGTGGGGATTAGGGGGGCCTTGCTGATGAACGGGTCCGACTCCCAGACTTGATAGAGAGACGAGAGAACCCTCCCATTACTACTATTGAGAACCACGACCGATCCTCCAACCCCAGAAAGAAAGACATAGTTTCCAATGATCTCCATGCAGAGCGGTATAAATGGGATCTCAGAGACAGCCACTAGGAGCCCATCCAACCTACGCCGCGAGGAAGAACGTGATCGAGAATCGGAGCCCCCATCAGTCATCTTCGCAATGCAAGCTCCGTCGGCATAAACAGACGGGTTTATCACTCGATATCGCATGTCCCAAGATGCAACTAATATACGGAAGTTGTCCATGTTGTGAGACGTAATAAACTCCTCGCGATCAAGTTCTACCTTGTGCCGTTTTCCAGATCCAGAGCGCCCAGATGCTGATGCGGACGGGGTCACCGTTTGAGGGATCGTAAATTCATCATCACTGCTGTTGGCAATGTCCACATCCAGAGCAGTATTAGGTTGAACGAGAAATGAACTGCACTGAACTACTTTCAACGCCCATGCAGGGGCTCCTAAATTGCAGCTATTTAACTCCATTCCTTCGGGAGTCATTATGACCAAGTCGCCGTCCTGCGTGGAAATCACAAACCAGTCGGATCCGGGTGCCCATGCAATGGCGCGAGGGGTTCCTTTGAAGGACTGTTTCATGACCTTCGTCTTCACGTCCCTGCAATGATAGATACCAACATCTCCTATAGCAGCAGAGACAAAGAGAGACCCGTCTGGAGAAAAGGCAGCGGCCTGTACTTCATTCTGGTGACTGTATTTGAAAAGAGCGGCCCCTGTGGAATCGTTAAACATCACAGCCCCATCTGTCCCCATGCTGACGACCATGTGTCCGTCTGGAGAGATCGCCAGACATGTGACGAGTGGGTGTTGAGTAGATGTCTGCCGAGTAATTTCGGGACCAGGACCAAACGTGACAACGGTTTTTCCCGTTGCTGCATACATCTTGGTCCCATCTGGAGTCCGCACCAAGCTGTAGACGGGCTGAGTACCCACATCCAGAGACCACAGAGGCTCCACCTTCATCTCTGATTTTTGGTTAGGAGCAGCTAAGCGTATGCCTTACTACTCTCCATGGCATAGAAATAGAAATATACACAAAGAGAGATTCACTAGTAGAACGCTCACACAAATAGCGTAGATCCAAATATTTCCGTGGAAACGCTGTCTGTCTCACAATCTATTTCAATGGTTACGCGGCAATAGTCCCCACCATTAAACAGAAGCGTTGCGCAAACGGAGGCGGATGTCTCTGTCAACTGATTTACGCAAAAGTCTGATTTGAGTACTATAAAGCCTCCTGCAAAGGACTCCCTATGCAGTTCTGTCGCATCTGCAACTCCGATCTTACACACGACTAACGAATTACTGTCGGCCATGACCATGTAGCGCAGAACGCCGAACACGCCCTTACAGCCATTATAGCAAGAGGTATAGACAATCCGAGACTCTCCGGTGGTCAGGTTCACAAGCCTGACGTGGCCTCCATCTGATGCCGTACCGTTATATCCCAATAGTGCAGACCGTATGCCCGCCATGTTGTACTTGGATGTGCGCTCATATATGTGGGCTACCTTGACAAACTGAGACTCGTCCTCGATCTTATATAGTTGCTTCTGGGTGAGGGCATTGAAGTAATAGAAAGAAAGGTCTTCTGTGCAATACCCGAAGAAATGATCTGTGGTGTTTGCAATGCAGGAGGGGGTCGCGTATTCCTTAAACAATTTCCACTCTGGCTTTACGTGTGAAGGGTCCGTGTCTACATAATCGCTTGAATCCTCCTCTGTTACCGAATCATCTATGGTGTCTGCCTTATCCCTTTCTACTGGTGCCTGCACATTGTCTGGATTAGGTTTGGAAGCAGAGGAGAAGCGCGGAAGGCTACTGAAAACACGACCCCGGCCAACACTATAACTAAGGCGCGCCGAGGACATCCGGTAAACATACAAGTGACAATCTTTAGTGGCTGCGCACAGAAATGCGTTCCCTGGTGTGCCTGCCATTCCAATTGTAATAACGGCGCTGCCCAGGGATGCCACACAGATGGGTGTCACCTTTTCCATGGATACCAGGTTAGGAATGAGGTATATCTCACCGTTGCTAAGACCGACAAACGCTTCTCTGTTAAAGCAAAAGATGGATCGGATGGAGCTTTCCAGCTTTGCGACCTCTGTAATCCGGCAAGATGCCCAATTGAATGTGTAGAAAGTGCCCTCGCTGGACCCAAAGGCCGTCATTGCCTGGTCCATGTGTGCAATGGTTGTGAGGGCTTGGTCGAACGCAATTGGCCTTTTGTTCTGATTCATCGATTTCCGCGCGGATGAGGTTACTGCCACATGCGTCACAACGGGGGCAAAGAACTTCTTTCTCTTACAACAATCCATTAATAGATTTTTTTGAATCTATTTTAATTGGAGGCACACAGCCGTGCAGTTTGCGACCAGTTGAGATGGGCTGTCTCTTTACGCTCTTGTGGACGCTTACATCCCTATGGTATCTGACAGCAGTTGTATTGGATAAACTTTAGTACACAAAGATGATAAAACAGAACGTACAAACGATTATGGCCTGGTCGGATTCATAGATCTTGCTTCGCATATTACATAAGTGCAACCTTAGGCGAGGTGGCCAAGTGCAAACTTGCCTCTTTTACATCAAATTGCAATTGCTTAAATATATTATTTAAAAAGAACTTTAAAATTCCTGTCGATGGAGGAGGAGCAGATGTACGACGTAGAGGGCGGACCAGGTCCCGGGGACGTCATTTGCATGGAGTTTTGCTACGAAGTCATCCACAAGGTGGGGGGTATCGAGACGGTCGTCCGCACAAAGGCCCCCGCGATGGTGAATGAATATGGGGACAACTACTTCATGGTCGGGCCTCACCTTTCTTGGGATGATAAGTTTGCAACCAACTTTGAAGAGGCAGAACGAAATGAGGAATCGGAGATCCTCTACAAGCTTATTGACAGCTTTGAGGCACGCTACGGAATCAAGGGGGTCAAATACGGCCGGTGGCTCACCGCCGGCAATCCCCAAGTATTTCTCCTTCCGATGATCTACAATTCAGGAACACATTTCGAACATAAGATTGATCATGCGCGAAACATCCTTAGGACTGCTTGCAATCTGGAGATTCCGAACCCTGGGTTCGGAGAGCGAGAGCCATACATCTGGAACGCATTTCTCTTTGGTGTCGTGGGCTGGTGCTTTGTCTCGCATGCCATGAGCTTTCTGTTTACTGATGTCAATGTGATTATGCACTCCCACGAGTGGATTGGTTGTGTTGCGCAAGTCCTCTATTCTCGCAATGGTAATTGTGAAACAGGGCAGCGCGAGAACCACCTCCACTTCCTTTTTACTACACACGCGACAACGCTTGGGCGACACCTTTCTGCAGGCAATATCTGCCTTATGGACTGTCTCCAGGTACTAAAGGAAAAGAGCGCAGACCAGTGTGCAAGTCACTGGGACATGGAGGCCAGCAGACGCAAGATCGCCGTCGAGCACCGTATCGAACGAGCTGCAGCGCACACGGCGGATGTGTTTACGACGGTCTCAGAAATCACGGGCAGAGAAGCCGAGTGTTTCCTTGGGAAGACTCCAGATGTGATCACCTATAACGGAATGGACGTTGACTCTGCAAGGTCTGTGGGAAGCGACATCGGTGCAAGTCATAGCTACTACCACGGAAAGATTCTTGACTTTTGTAGAGGACACTTCTACGGCACGACCTTTAATCCGGAAAAGACTATCATTATCTTCTCCGCAGGGCGCCTCGAGTACAAGAACAAGGGCTATGATATGTTCCTCGATGCGCTGCACTCATTGAACGAGAGGTTCTTCAGAGATCCCCTCCTCGAGGATTACAAGGATATCACAGTGGTCGGTATCATCATCGCCCCTTCCCAAGTTTCCCAGTACCAAGTTGACACTCTCAAGGGGATATCCTTGATGCAAGAGATCAAGGACTGCACCCGACTGTTGGCAAATAAGATCTCCACAAATTTGGTTGACCTGCTCACCAACACGGCTCTTTCACAAAATCTTGCTTCGCTTACTCTAGGCGACATTCTCAGTAAAAATGACATCGTCCTGATGAAGCGCTGTCAACAATCTTATGCTTCACGAAATAACCTTCCATCCATAATGACGCATACTCTGCGCGACCCATCGCTCCAGGACGCAACCGAGCCCATTCTTGTGCGCATGCGGGAACTTGGGCTGGTTAATCAGAAGGAATCACGTGTTAAGGTTGTCTGGATACCAGAGTTTGTGTCTAAGACAAGTCCCGTTGGACTGGATTACAACGAGTTCACATTGGGCGGGTCCCTGGGTGTATTCTGTTCTCTGTATGAGCCGTGGGGCTATACAAGTCCAGAGTGCTGCTGTGCAGGCACGCCAAGCATAGTTTCAAACCTCTGTGGCTTCGGAAGCTTCATAGAGTCCATGGTGTCCCGGGATACCTTCAAGAACAGGTCCAAGAGTGTGATTGAGCAATCCGAGCGTCTTCATCACGTAGCTTCTCTCACATCAATCTCCAACCTGAACTCAAAGAGATACCCTCACTCTGGAAGTGTTTCTGATTATGGGGCTTCGCCACGAGACTCAGATACTCCTTCGTCTCCTTCCGGGACAACAACGCCCGAGCTTCGTTCTAAGGCTGTAAGCAACAGAATTCTGCATCAGAAATCAATAGAGTATATTATCAGCGAGCATGACAAGAATAGTTGGAATATGTCGAAGTTCGGTGTCCAAGTGGTTGACCGCGTGTACATAGACTATCATGAGAGCGTAGATCGCTTGGCAAACATGCTCGTAGACTTCGTGCGTCTTTCTCCTATAGAACGCACTAACCTTAGGCACAAGACAGAGAGAGCCTCAGTTCTATGTGACTGGTCAGCAATGATAAGTCGCTACAATGAGGCTCATAAGCTTGCCATAACACGACGGAGAAAGCATTTCAACTGAGTGGCAATCTTTCCCGCGTTTTTGCTGCCAAAATCCATGTCGTGACTTCTCTGACAATTTCTGTGTGTTGCTAGATTGTTAGGCGCATACATCTGTCTTTTGCCTCGAAAGAAGAACAACGCTGTAGTCGTGGCCCTCGAATGGGCGAGACCCCTCAATTCTGAAGTGCAAGCCTAACTGCCCTGCAGCCCTCTGATGTCTTCCTAATTCTTTAGTAGTTTCAATGACTATGAATGCCCTTCCCTTCTCATCTAGGTAATCTGCCGTCAGTGCTATGAATTCTGCTAAAGTCTGATCAAGGAGCGATTGACCACTACCTTGTCTCTGTAGTCTCCCTGGGTGCAAGGTGTCCGTGTTGTAGGGGTTGTATGCTATCAGAGAGAATCGTGCTGCAGTTGGCACATTTTCAAGCACAGAAAGGTCTTGCCCAATACAGTAAACCGAGCGTCCACCATACCCGTTAATGTTATGGCCTGCGACGGCTGCAGACAGGGATGCTTGTGTGCTATCAACAGATAGCGCAACAGTTTGACCGTCGTATACTCGCAAGAATACCCCGGACAAGCGGCCAGCCCCTGTCCCAATGGTCAATAGCTTATCTGGGTTATAGCCTCTTCTATGCGCTGCAAGAACGTCAACAAGCAACACCGTAGTAAATTCTTGTATATCTAGCGGGTCGTAGTCCGGTGGCAGTGCATAGTTAAAGAGTTTGTATGAGGGAACGTCCTGCCTAATCATCGGAGTTTTTGTTTGAGTTATGGTAGTTTTTTGGAACAGAGCATGGTTTTGTCCCAGGAAAAGCAAAGGATATATAAGTGTTCGGATTGAAGGCGCTTTTCTGCGAGAATTCTCATTATAAACCCCTTGCTTTTTCCATTTTGCTCGAGAGCTGCAATATCATTTTCCTCTATTGCTACCGTGACACAATGACCATCAAGAGCCAAGTAAGAGGGAAGAAGCTCGAAAAACTTAAGCATCACCTCGGAGCCGTTCTTGCCTCCAGCCAGGGCCAGATCAAGTGGTCCAAGGGCGGGATCTGTCTCCGAAGAAGGCACATACGGTGGGTTAAAAACTATTAGGTCAAATCGTGTGGCTTTGGAAGAGTTTGTGTAAGCGTCTAACGGCTCGAAGAAAGATCCCTCGTGAACACAAAGAGGTACATTATTCAGAGAAGCTGTTCGCCGAGTCATGTCCACGGCATGAGGAGAAATATCGACAGCGTGACCCTCACGGATCCCAGGGAAAACCTGTAGAATGTGCACAGAGACAACACCAGATCCAGAACCTATTTCCACAAACGATTGAGGATGCAGTTCCCCAGAGAGCTTTGTTAGGGTGTCTATCAAGAGAAATGTGTCTTCGTCAGGAAGATACACGTGCTTACAGTCATCTAGTGTTGCTTCATAAGCAGGCATCATTTTGATTCATACCAGCCCATCTCATATCTTTTCAAGTCTTGGTGGATTGCTAACTGGCACCTGAGCACCACCTAGTGCAGTGTTTCTGAACCTTCCGTCTAGTTTATCATTACAAGTAGTCAACGGTCAATAAAGTAGGATGCACGTCCTGCTGGACTTACTATGCGCTGGCCATCTATATCTTTATACAGAGAGTGCATCCAGTGAGTCCTTTCTCTATCTCGGGCGTTGCTGTGTAACTGCAGGCTAGACATCTTTTCCCTGTGGACGTTCAGAAATATACAATGCCTAGTCACGGAGTTTTCTTTCAAGGGTGTCTACCTCTGCCTCTAGGCTTGCTCTATCAGCAGTTATTGTGCTTACCTATAGCTATGGTCAGCATACTACCTCCATTTCAATGGTTCTCTCCTAACAATCCGATAACTCAGTCATTAACCCGATTTGTCCTTCTGAGACGGGCGAATTCCTGCATATAGGTAACAGTAACCTATTCCAGTCTTATTTACTAACGTCTCCGCTGTCTCATAGAAGAGCCGCTCCGCATTGGTAACGCATACTCTGTCCTCACGCTCGTTCGACCACTCTCTATGGACCAGTGAGCGCAGTCAAGCCCTCTTCTAGCTCCATCTTTCCACCAGCAGGTAGCCTAACGGCCTCTGTACCATGGACACCGTACACGTCAGTCTAGAACCACGGGATCCTGGGCGCCGGCCTCGGGGCTCCGTTTCGGTCTCTCTGAGAAGTCCCTCCAGCCCATCGGGCACACTCCCATTGTCCAGGCGCCGGTAGAGCTCCCTCGCAGATCGAGCCTCCTACCGTGTTTGCAGGAGCAATGGAATGCGAGATTCGCAGGAGCCCAGAGATCGAGCACGACTACCACTCGGTGTGAGGTCAGGCATCATGCGCTAGAACTCTGGGTCAGCGCCCCAGCCCACCAGTGTGAGGCGTTGGGCACCCACTGCTCACCCACGCCAGAACACCGCCCACATGTCGACCACACAGCGTTTACTACCTAAGTCACAGCTAAATCTACGCCTTACCCCTACACAGGAACCACCAGCAGAGGAAGCCCACGAGGCCCCCCACGACGACGACCACAGCCACGGAGATACCAGCTATGGCCCCCGTGGAGAGGCCGCTACTCTTGTTGATACTAGAAGATATGCACTGCGTCTTGTCGGTGTTGGGGTCGAAGCCCGCTGCGCACTGGTCGCAGTGGACATTGTCGGCGTTACACTGCTCGCAGTTGTCGACCTGGCACGCCCTGACGCACTGCGTCTTGTCGGTGTTGGGGTCGAAGCCCGCTGCGCACTGGTCGCAGTGGACATTGTCGGCGTTACACTGCTCGCAGTTGTCGACCTGGCACGCCCTGACGCACTGCGTCTTGTCGGTGTTGGGGTCGAAGCCCGCTGCGCACTGGTCGCAGTGGACATTGTCGGCGTTACACTGCTCGCAGTTGTCGACCTGGCACGCCCTGACGCACTGCGTCTTGTCGGTGTTGGGGTCGAAGCCCGCTGCGCACTGGTCGCAGTGGACATTGTCGGCGTTACACTGCTCGCAGTTGTCGACCTGGCACGCCCTGACGCACTGCGTCTTGTCGGTGTTGGGGTCGAAGCCCGCTGCGCACTGGTCGCAGTGGACATTGTCGGCGTTACACTGCTCGCAGTTGTCGACCTGGCACGCCCTGACGCACTGCGTCTTGTCGGTGTTGGGGTCGAAGCCCGCTGCGCACTGGTCGCAGTGGACATTGTCGGCGTTACACTGCTCGCAGTTGTCGACCTGGCACGCCCTGACGCACTGCGTCTTGTCGGTGTTGGGGTCGAAGCCCGCTGCGCACTGGTCGCAGTGGACATTGTCGGCGTTACACTGCTCGCAGTTGTCGACCTGGCACGCCCTGACGCACTGCGTCTTGTCGGTGTTGGGGTCGAAGCCCGCTGCGCACTGGTCGCAGTGGACATTGTCGGCGTTACACTGCTCGCAGTTGTCGACCTGGCACGCCCTGACGCACTGCGTCTTGTCGGTGTTGGGGTCGAAGCCCGCTGCGCACTGGTCGCAGTGGACATTGTCGGCGTTACACTGCTCGCAGTTGTCGACCTGGCACGCCCTGACGCACTGCGTCTTGTCGGTGTTGGGGTCGAAGCCCGCTGCGCACTGGTCGCAGTGGACATTGTCGGCGTTACACTGCTCGCAGTTGTCGACCTGGCACGCCCTGACGCACTGCGTCTTGTCGGTGTTGGGGTCGAAGCCCGCTGCGCACTGGTCGCAGTGGACATTGTCGGCGTTACACTGCTCGCAGTTGTCGACCTGGCACGCCCTGACGCACTGCGTCTTGTCGGTGTTGGGGTCGAAGCCCGCTGCGCACTGGTCGCAGTGGACATTGTCGGCGTTACACTGCTCGCAGTTGTCGACCTGGCAGCTGGGCGCGGGTTGTTTAGTGCGTTGCGCGGCGAGGCCGCTCATCAAAAAGCAGAGAGCTGGTAGTAACATTGGTGCTCGACTCACGTGTTACTTGTGTGTTTCACTCAGTAACATGAGACGTCAGGAGAAGAATGTTTAACAGCCAATTAGCCCGCAAGGATCCTCTCTAGGATCTTCCAGCGCACTCCATCCAGTAGTAGTGTCGCTTACCACACCAGCGCTCCTCTGTGGCCTCTGGTGTTGTGTCACCGAGGCCTATCCACAGGCGCAGTTCAGATGTCTCACAAGCAAGCCTCTCTCAGCTCCTGATCGTACCCAAAGGCGAAGGGTGATCGCGGATGGCATAGTGAAAGATTTCCTCTATCAGTACTCCAGAGCCTGGCGCCTCCTTCGATCGCTCAACGGGCGTGTGCTCAGGCCGAGCGTGCCTCCAGAAGTGCTCGCACGCCAGTCTGCCCGGGGCTCCGACCTTCTTACGGCCTCGTGTGGTCCCTAGAGGTGACCTCCTCCTTGGCCCTGCTTCACAACGGGCGAGGGCGGGCCTTTGCATTCTCTTTAACAATGCACCCACCTGTCACGACGGCAGTAGCCGTTGGGGCTTCGGATCCACTGGCGGTCCTGATTCGGTGAGAGTCTATCTTGGCAATAGGAAGTGGATGAGGCCGTGGCTCGCTATGAGGGAGCGCCGCTATTTATCTTTGGTCGTTGCTTCCCCTGGGAGCGGGTAGGCCCTCTATCGCCGTGGCTCTCTGAGAGTGATGATAGTCGCCTCTGTTGCCCCTCGGTGTCCGTCCAACCGTGGTTCTGGGGTAGCACGCCTTCTCAGTCGCAGTCACTCTGGTCCCACAGTGGGTCCAGTTGGTGGTTAGAAACAGGTTGACAGGGGGCAGTTGCTGGGTATTCATTGGCTGCCACAGGACAGTGAGGGCCAGGCAGAACTCTCGGTGCCCGCGGGGCCTTCCTGGCGTCTCTGGAGTGGGGAGCCGTCCATCCCGTAGATGGTTGAGAATGTCCCTGTGCCTCTGTCCTCTCGCTGTGGTATCCATGCGGTTGCTGGATGACACCCACGCCCACCGCCTTGCATCTGTCGACGAGCCAGATGTCGGGCTTCTGGTTCTGGTTCTGGTCGTCGGGCTGGTCTGATCTCCAGCTTGCGTTGCACTCCCCGAGACACGGAGGCAACGATTGCACGGAGCCCCTAGTTGTCCCTCTACACCAGTGGAGGAGAGCCCCCGCTTGCTGTCTACAATCATCCCATCCTCGGACAGATCAGGCCTGGGTGGGCTGCCTTGCGGGCTCTGAGTGCGCTACATGCGATGTCCAGATTCTAGATGGATGAGCAAGGAGACCGCCTAGCATGGTGACTCGCATAGTTGACGGATTTACCCAGACAGCAGCCGGCAAATCAACCTTGATGGAGCAGAGTAAACAAGCACGTGGTGACAGTGTACATCACCCATGAGCTCTTCTGCCACCGCAGTCCTACACAGGGCGTCGAACTCTGTCCCTGGCGCAGCTCCCACAGCGGGTAGGTTTCTTAGGGTAAAAAGGATCCGTCAGAGCAGGAGGGGCCTTATCGATACACAGATCCAATGAGACACCTCACGTCGGCTGAAAACGGCGCGGGTAAGACTCCAGAGTCATCTGACTACTCATCCTTGGGCTTTCCCTTCCGTCTCCCGAATGTGGTGCACGATTGCACTCAGGGTCCTAGCGTGGCATAGACAAGCCTACAGCCCGTGCGGGTACACATTTACTACCTGAGCAAACGTCACTTATGCTTTTCTGCGGCCAATGAACCACCAGCAGAGGAACCCGACGAGACCCCCGACAACGACGACGGCTGCAACAGCGATGCCGGCGATGGCGCCTGTGGAGAGCCCGCTCTTATTCGTGCTTCCACCGGTGTTGTCGCCAGTGCTGTCATCATTCTTGACATAGCAAGTAACAGAGCCGCCATTGCCACCAGTTGGAGGGGCACAGCTTATGCAGTTCTCTACACCAGTGATTGCGTTGGCACTAGCTCCGTCACCTGCTGTACACCTAAAGCACTTATTAGTAGAAAGATAATATCCAGAAAGGCAGACAGAACAGGTCTGAGAACCGACGTTACCAGTACACTTCAAACAACCATCAGGGCATGTAGGACAGGCTTGTCCTTTGGGATCTGCTCCACTTGCTACGCACATAGTACACTTTCCGCCTACGGATAACGTGCATACAGAGTTACCGGGGACCTTATTTGTATTGTAGCATCCGCCCGATAACAGAGCGTAGTTTGCCCCACACTCAGTGCATTTCCCGCCACTTGCCTTACATCCGGAGGCATCTCTCGTTGTGCTGGCCACCTTAGTGCAAACGCCGTCGACTGGGGCGTACCCATCCTCGCACTGATCGCAGTACTTCGAGCCTCCGACGTTCAGTGAGCAGCCGTCGGCCTTGCAGTGGGCCATAAAGTCTCCCGTGCACTCTTTTATGCACGTTCCTGTGTCACCAGACGACCGATTCAACACATACCCTGGATAGCAGGCCGTGCACGACGTTTCTGCGTTAGTACTACAGCTTGCGCATGTATTGTGACAGGAAGCGCAAATGCCGGTACTGTCACGATTATCGGGATATGTGCCGGCAGGGCACTCCTCCAGACATGCATCATTAAGGGGGCTCAGTCTTTTGGTCTCACACCCAGAGCACGTAACCATTGGACCTGCTCTTGCAGACGTTGCCTTGAGAGAGCACTTTGCACAGTCCTCTATGCCACCATTGGCAGTATCGCTGCACTTAGCACACACCTTCTTGCCTTGTGCATCGGCTGTGGGGAAGAATCCATCCTTACACTCCTCTGCACTGACACAAGAGGCTGTCCCCGATTCTGTCTTCAGATACTTATCTGCCTGGCACTCAGTGCATGTGGCGGCCTTGGGAGTACCATCCTGTGCTTCACCGGGTTTCTCACACTTACCACACCCAGCCACGCCCGTGTACTTCTTATTGCCAGTAAGCGTTACACCCGTTGCATCCCCGCACCAGACAACTGAGTCGTGCGCATTATTAACGCCCGACGGCAGGAAGTATCCAGCCTTAACCTGTGTGCACTTACCACCTTGTTTTTAGCTGCACTCGTTATTGTCCGTTATGCACACTCCGTCCGTCAGGGCAGATTGAGACCGTAGCCGTTGAACTCGGTGCAGATCTCAGCGGACCCGACCGTCTCGCACTTGCCAGTTTGGCAGGCTTCCACGAGCACGCTTGCTACAAACAGGGGCATCAATAGTAACGTTGTGGCGGCAGAGCCCATCATGGCCTCTGCTAGCGCTGCACTCTCCTGGTGAGCAAGGTTCGCGGCCCTTAGGAGAACTGTTGCAAATCTACAGTGGCACAGAAGTAACGGGCCAGAGTGCGGGTGGAATTAGCCATCCAACGATGTTGGATTTAAAATAAACAGTCATCAATGTCGGTAACTCTGGCAACGTCGTCTCCTGGAGGGTCTCTTATGCTTTGGGACCCGAAAGGACCCATAATATACTGGCAGACAACCTATTCAGAGGGAGAACCCAACAGTTTTGCTTACTTTGGCACTGGAGGCTGTGTGAGTGTACGCACCAAGCCTAATCTGATATATCTCTTCACGTATGAGAATACTGCACCGAAATTCAAGTTTACTGCACCCTTTGACGTGGAGATCGCCATGTTGCACGGTAGAGCCGAGGGGTGTGACGCAGACTACCTTCTTCTTTGCGGCACTTCTGGACAGCTAGGCATCTGGAACCTTACAACAGGCGCTCTTCTCGGTATTGTGCAGCTTCATTCACGAACTATCACAGCTCTGGATATTTGGCAGAACTACCTGGTAACAGGAAGCAAAGATGGAACAGTTTCCCTTTGGTCATTTTCTAATATTCTTACTGCTATTTATACAAACAAATCGCCCCAGCAAATCGCCCTCAATGCAGATCACGCCTTTCCTCTTGTTTTCGTCAGATTTGATAAGTTTGTTCGCTCAGGGGATATTACCTTATATTCCATGGCAGAAAAAGGGCATCTACGCCGGTGGAGATTAGTAGAGGCTTCAAGGGGCTTTAAGCTCGAGGCCACCATGTCGCTGTTGGCTCCAGACACGCCCGTTTCTCTCAGTATTGGGCCAACTGGGACCGTTCTTTACCTTCTAACGGCAAAAACATTATATTCTGTTACCATAGGTGGACCGGAGCTATCATCCACCCTTCTATCTCTCAGAGATGCAGCTGACAATGGCACACCCATTAGAAAGGTTTTGGATATTCCCGAAACCCTAGGGGACGATGCTGCTTTCACCGCTCTAGATACATCACCGGTTACTCAAACCGTGCTCCTTGGATTGAGCACCGGGCAAATCATGGCCTTATTTCCTGGTGGTGGCTTCCAGATATACAGAAACAAAGAGTCTCTTCCTGTGAAGAACATGACGATTCTTCCTCACAACTACCGCTATGCTGTGTCTGTCAAGGAGACTAAGCAAACTTCTTGTATGCAAATGAATTTAAGTAGAACGCCTTCTCTTAAGCAGGAGCTCACAGAGGAGTGGCTAAAGAAGGCTGAGAGTGATGGCTACAGCACCCTGTCATTCGGACAGCTCCACAAAGAGACCCCGCTTTCGCTTGCACCGTTAGGATTGTCTCCCATCTCTTGCACAACCGTCACTATGCAGTGTCGGAGGGACGATGGGTTGCACAACAAGGTTGCTGAACCCATGTGCAGTCTGTCGTTTTTGCAGGAAGAGCTGGGGCAATTGAGCACAGAGGACTCACATAGTTCTAAAGCTGGCTTGCACGCGGACTCAGCACAGGTCACAACTGCCACAAGAGTGGGTGTATCTCCGGAAGAGCACATGGCACTTATCCAGCGTAATCTAGAACTAGAAGCAAAGCTTGCACGACTAACTGCACATGTTTCCAAGGCGCAGCTGATCAGTGAAGGAGGATACTACTAAGTACTAGCACAACGCCCAAGGCACAGAAAGGAATTCACATCTTAGTACAGAAATAAGCAGCTCCAACAATGCCGAGCTTCTGGTTTGTCACAACATGGAACGACACTCCATTTGGCAGGTGGGACATTCGCCCCTTTGTGTACAGCCCACGACAGAAATCCTCACGGCAGGGTCCGCAAACAAGGTTGAGATCCTTGGCCAGAATCCCACCGGCAATGAAGTAATCCTTGGGCCTGAAGAGGACACAGATGTTGCCAAGGTAGAAGCCGTAATAGTAAAAGAATTTCTTGAAAATCTTGAGTGCATACTTATCCCCTGTCTCCGCACATTTGGCAAGGAAGCCCATGTCGATGTCGTGGTCTCTGGAGAGCACGTGTTCTCGGAGCACAGGACTCGCCAGACCACTCAAATTCTTCCAGAAGAAGTCGTGCATATTGCGAAGACCAAGACCAGAGACAACGCGCTCGAAACTGACATGATCCGTGTTGTACTTTTCCTTGATGAATTGCGCAAGTGCATGGTCTTCGGCTTCCATGGGAGAAAACGTCGTGTGCCCGCCCTCAGCTGCGTATGCGACTCCATCAGCGACAAATCCAACGCCAAAGCCTGTCCCAGCACCTGCGTAGGAGACGATCCCGGTCGAGTTGTCCGGAACGACAGTAGGGGTACTCACGGAGCCGTTTCTTGCGTCAAAGTCGAGATAGTCGTCAGGACGGATAGCCAGAAGCCCGTAGCCGATGGCCGCAAAGTCGTTGATAAGCTTCATTTTGCCCACGCCTGTCGTGTTCTGCAGCTCCTCTTCGCTCTCGTTCCAGTCTAAGTTTGTAATGCACACTCGTCCATTGGTTACGGGACCAGCTACGCCGAGGCAGCCAACGATGGGCGTCTCCCTATCCCAGCGCTTGAGGAAATCGTTGATGAGGTCTCCCGTAGATTGATAGTCTTTGCAAAGGAGCTCGTGCTCAAGGAGAGGAGCGGCACGAGGATCGGTCTTCAGGACATCGAGGTCGTGAATGGCAAGAAAGCACTTAGTGCCGCCCAGGTCACCAGAAAGCGAATATGGCATTTTTATTGGAGAACATACCTATCACTTGTAATTTGTGAGAAACGCTATAGATGTAAATTGAAAAATATTCACAAATATCTGTGCTACTTTCCCCTCTGAATGAACACAGTCGCGTTGAGTGTCTCATATATAACCAAAAGGGCTGCCTCCACATAAGGGACCCAGGAGGGCTCTGCGGTGTCGAAGAAGAGGCTGATCCACGCCATATTCCAGGAGAACAAAATGACCATGGCCATGGTTCTTAGAATGAAAATTGTCGTGAGCTGGCGCTTTCGGTTATTCATGTCAGTGGCGGCGTCATCAATTCTGTCGTCCTCAATGAGAGCCCTTGCAAAGTCTGTTTCAGCAACCTCCTGGCTTTTTCTGAACAAAATCAATATCATCCCAATTGAGATTATATAGGGCACAGATGTGAGTGCCTCCTGAGCATAGAGGATCCCCCGCCGCACTTCTGGCTTATCCGTGCAAAAATCTTTACAGAAGACCGTGCCCATAGAAACGACAGTAACAAGGATTGTGTAAATTATAGTAGTGACAACCATCGCCTTTTGGCACAGTGTCGTGTTCCTCAGCCCGTCGATGGCACTCACTATGACAATGGTAACCATCAGGGATGGTACGACTCTGTTTGTTGCGGTATAGAGCGCCTGAGAAACCTGGCTCCAGACCGCGGACGCTGTCGTATTATTCTGGAGCCACTTACCCATAAAGTAGCCTATGATAGATGTACGAGTAAATAAGGCCTGAGATAAGATAGAAAACAAGTAGTATATGTGGATAAGTGTTCGCATTTTAGAGGCAAGTAAGGACTCGCTACGCCGCTTCAGAACCAATATGTAACATAGAATGAAGATCCAGATGGTCAGGATGTTTGCCCCAAAGCGCATCCATCCAGAGACAGGGATGTTGCTATTCATCAATTCTCCTCCTGTTTTCTTCGTGTTTTTGATCACAACCGCAAAGATGTATGCAGGTCTTAGAACCAGAGTAACAGAAAAGTTCACTCAGACAGTCTTCAAACATATAGGCCTCGGTATTCAGAAGACCAAGACGCCATCGTCGTAGTCCGCAGGCTTCTCAAAGCCAAGGAGGTTAAGGATAGTGGCAGCAACAGAACTAAGGCCTTTTCCAGAGCGGAGCTCACGCTTGTACTCCAGCACATCGGAGGACTTGTCAATGATGATGCAGGGCACGGGGTTCAGGGAATGCGAAGTCTTCACGACCTTGTTTCCCTTTGAGTCCAGCTTTACCGCACCCTTGACAATCTCATACATTTCATCAGAGTTTCCATGGTCTGCAATAATCACCATACAGCCGCCGACGTCGCACACTGCCTTGTAGAGCCTCCCGAGACAGACGTCGACACACTCAACTGCCACTCTGGCCATCTCAAAGTCGCCGCAGTGTCCAACCATGTCGGGATTAGGATAGTTGAGACGAATGAAGTCATGCTTCCTCTTGGTGAGTCCGCGGATCGCACGTTCCGTCATAACTGTGATCTCGTGAGCTCTCATCCAGGGAGCCTTAGAGAACTCAATGTCCTTGTCTGAAGGGATCTCTTCGTAAGTGTCCAGCTCCTCCGAAAACTTCTCCGATCGATTGCCATTGAAGAAGTATGTTACATGGCCGTACTTCTGTGTCTCGGAGATAGCATAGCAGGAAAGGCCTGCGGAAGTAAGGTAATCATCAAGAGTGTCCGAAATATTCGGGGGACTGACAAGATAGTTCTTCGGCAGGTGGAGATCGCCATCATAGAGCATCATGCCCACATAAAGTATGTTCTTTGGCGCTGCGATTTTGCTGGGCAGGGATATCTTCACATTTGGTGCTCCATACTTCCTCTGAATCCCTGACAAATCAAAACATAAATTGAAGTCCTTAAAAGCGGCAGTATCACCACCAGCCAGCGCATCCATGGCCTGACTTATCTCGATGGCACGGTCTCCACGGAAATTGTATAGAACAAAGGCGTCATTGTCTCCTACAGCCCCCACTGGCTTACCATCTGCGTCATTGATAACAAACTCTTCGAGATTCTGATCAATCGCTCCCTTATTACGGAGGGCAGTGTATGCGTTGGCGATGCTGTCGTAGTAATTTCCATGAACGCTGTATCCGTAGATATGTGCCAAATACCCTCTCTCAACAATATCCCAGTTAGCAAAATATCTATCCATTGTCGTGACCATGCGACCGCCCCCAGAGGCAACCACACAATTAAAGTCAGCCCCATTGAGGGTCTTTAGGAGCTCGTCCAACTTCTCAATGTAGCTCATTCCAGAAGTCTCGCCAACGTCACGGCCATCGAAGAGGAGATGCAGGCGAACCTGCTTGATTCCATCTTGCTTCGCACGCTTCAGCATGCTGAACAAGTGGTTAATGTGGGAGTGGACATTTCCGTCAGAAAAGAGGCCGAGGAAGTGAAGGGTAGAGTTCTTGGCTGTCACCTGCGTGACACACTTCCTCCATACGCTCCCTTCTCTGAACATCTCCCCACTCTCCAAAGACATATTGACCAACTTAGCCCCCTGGGCGACCACGCGGCCGCAGCCGATGCAGTTGTGACCGACCTCCGAGTTGCCCATGTCGGTATCATCTGGAAGGCCCACATAGGTCCCGTGAGCATAGAGCTGAGTGTTGGGGTACTTTGCGTGAAACATGTCCAAAAACGGTGTGTAAGCTGCCTTTACAGCATCAGCTTCCTTGACACGCCCATAGCCCATTCCGTCGACAATGCAAAGAACAACGGGACGACGACCCTTCTTAATGAAAGGGTGTGATGCCAACTGCTTGCGTCCTGGGCTCATGTATTTTATTGCGTTCCTCAGAAATTAATTTTTAGAACTAATCAGTGAACCTTGTCTGAAAATTAATTTCAGCCAGAGAGCTTTTCTTGTAGAAGATTCGCCGATGCTGAGTGCCAGCCGCAACGTGGGGGCCTGTGTTTCGGAGCCAGCAATTGAGCTCCTCGAGATTCCCTCCTTCTCGGGAGAAGTTCCCCCACTCATACTATCCGCCTTCTTCAATGCTGTGACCAAGGTCAAAAACAGACAGCTTCTGGAAGCACGGACAGAGATAGACACCCTTGTGTCTGCTAATCCTGTCCTTGCCAAGCAGTCGGCTTACTGGTGCTTTCGCATAGATATGGAGCTCTACTCTGGATGTATATCCGCCGCTCATGGAGTTCTTGCCGAGGCGTTTTTGCAAAACCCAAAGCCTAGAGAAATGCTACTTGAAAAGGCTCAGAGCATGAACATACAGGATGCCCCTCGATCCGGGGTGTTCTCCAGCCCAGTCCAGCATGTAGTAAGGCCGAGCTTTTCACGGTCGCCGATCTACGATAAGTTGCAGCTACTAGCGAGCCATACGACTCCACAGGATCTGGAAGAAGGACTTGACAAGTCGGACATCTCACTTCTCGAAACCCAGACAGCTCTGTATGCCTCCATTGTGGGTAACCCTATCCCACAGCCCCTGTGCGGTATCCAGCGAGAGTCTCTCGAAGGAGTTTCTGAGTCAGTGACACACCCAGACGAACCACACGACGATCATAAAGCATGCCTAAATGATGACACTCTTCGGCTCAGCGCGCTAAAGTAACGTATCCTGTAAATCCAACTTTCCAAAATTGGCTTCATGGGTGTTAAGTCCTTTAGTCGGGAAGCACAAGGGGCTACACCGAAAATGCGAAAGCCTCCCCTCAAGGCTCGTGCATATACAGTGGAAGATATCGCTTTAGCTCGAAAAAACCCGGCCAATCCTCCTCAGAAATCAGAGAGCTCCATTGGTAGCACACCCCTGACCCAAACGTCAGGACCTGGAGATTCATTGTCGTCTAGTGTGACCCCTTATGATCCTGCTATGTCCACTTACTGCAGCACCTCCGATGCACAGAAATATACTAGTCTCAGTATTCACGACGTGTCAACGCTTGGAGATGTTTCTATGCATACAGGTGTTTCTCGAGAGCACTCAATTAAGACAAGTTCCATGAGTGAGCTCTACCCGGTCTCAGAGCCCCCAGACTTACAAGAACGACCACCCAATGCTCAAGGCACGCCGCTGACTATCGCCTCTAGCACCGACCAGCAAACTATTGTTACACATAGGATACACAGTAACTACACATCCACTGGCACAACCTTCGCAATACGGGTCGTCAATCCTCGTACAGGCATAGACATGGGCAACGGTGCAGTGAACCGTACACAGGATTCGTCGCTTATGAGCGTAAATGGGCCAGAGCCAGCAGAGAACCTAAGTTTCACAGGCATGGAGCCACGTGCTTCATACTCCCATGCTCAAAGGATTCCCGCCTGCGTTGATGAGAACGACAACGTGGCACTATCGGATTCCGTTCAAGAAATGATGGCCGCACTGGCTGGAACAGCTCATCAAGATAAGGGCGTGAACATCACTTCGGAACTTTCTGGAAGGGACCATACTCTATCAGGAATAAAGAACTCAGTTGTGTATAATTCTCAAGCACATAATGCCAAGTCTTCTGACAGTATAGATACACAGGGGGATACCGCTGCGATGCAGAAAGCATCCCAAATGTCAACCGATGCATCTATTAATTTCATTTCGTCACATCTAGCTCTAAGCTTCAAGAATCAAGCAGATAATTCGCAGTCATCTGGGCAGCGGTACGAGGATATAGAAGACCGCAACGGGGTTTTATTGCCTTCAACCATACCAAAAGAGTCTGCCTTTATTACTGCAGATGAAAGATCAGCTTCTAAGCTTGCTACGTCATCTCACAAAAAAGAGTACGCAGTAATGTCAACACGAAATGAATGCAACGCGGAATCCAGGCAATTAACAGTCAAGCCTGACGAGAAGGACTCAAATACCCCTACGTTTTCCTTATCTTCTATCAAGGGCCTTCCCTTAAGTAGTGTCTGCGCTGCCGGCGGAGACCGTGGCCTTAGCTCGGTACGTTCTATAAGGCAGTCTATCACCAACACGTATGATTACCACGATTACACCGCTACCGACGATTTTCGGTCCGACCCCGTGCTCTCTGATCTCACTACCACTAGAAGCACTCTTGTCCAGTTTGGCAACTATACGACTACCAGTCAGAATACCTCTGATTGTGGAGTTCACGGGGACTGTAAGGATCTGGTATACATGCACAAGGTAGACCCTGCCGTTGTCATGGGAGATGGCGTCGAGCTTGGTTTAAGTGAGGTTGGCGTTCCAGCGGAGAGTGTGCAATTTATGGAGAAGCAGTACAATTCTTCCAACTCTCAATCTGTGGCCATAGAGCACCACGTCCAACAAGGCTCTAATTCTCCCACAGATAATTTGACTAACAACGGAACTCCTTTACTTGACATGCAGACTCAGAAACAAGAAAGGCGCATAAGTATTTCTGCCGCAGCAGACGGCAGTAAGGTCGTTCATGATACGTTTCAAAGCACTACTCCACAGAGTGTGTTACAGAAGGAAATACCAAAGCAATCTTCGCTGTATGGATTAGACTTGTTAGAACAGCCATCAGCCGAGCTTATGCACCAGTTTCAACAGTTCCAATTATTTCAACAATTTCAGCAGTTGCAACGAATGAAATGTTACCAGGATGTTCCGGGAACATATCGGTATATTCCTCAGAATGTTACCTTAACCATGCAACCCCCTACCACAGGGCCACAAGCTCCCAACATGTATACAGCGGCGTCAAAAGCTGCTGCCTCCGATGCCCCAAGTACGCCAATGACCAATGCAAAAGCGGGTCCTGGCAGACCCTCCTCTGCAAGATCTCCGTATCCGGGTATAGACTCGAGAATCGGAGGAGCATCCCCGTTTGACAAGACTGCTAAGAACGTCTCACAGACCCTGTTGAAGCCGAATCTCAACATTACAGAAAGTGCAATTGATATAGTTAACGATGTAGTGAATGCACTGGATGGGCAAGGGGCTCTTGAAGATGCGCCTAACACCCAGTTGAGCTTGCATTTGACCAACCTGCCGACGGGGATAGTCGAGAAGGAAGCAGCAGTGCCGGAGACCCGTGGTGACGCAGAGCCGAGTGACTCTTTTCTGACAGAAAGGCTGAGAAATCTAAGCAAGCTAACGGGCTATAAGGTTACAGGAAAAGATGAATTCGTCCTTCAGCAGACCATTCCAAAGAACGTCGCTGACACGAGCATTTATAGATATATGACCAGCACACAGAAGTCTCGCTTTGCCGAGTTAAAAGAAAGAGGATCTATAAAAATGCTACAACTAGAGAACAATGATATCGCAATAAAAACCTATGAAGACTCGTGCACATTCATAGAGGACATTAGACAAGAGATCCATAAACTACATGAACTCTCTCAAGACAAGGCTATGCGTCTCCTCAAGCAAGTGATGCTGGGTGCTGTCCAACAGCACAAGCTCCTTACAAACTACAAGGTCACCGTTACCAAGCTTCAAGATGAGCAGGTTTCCCTCCGTCAACAGAAAAATGCAGATGCATTGAAGTGTCAAAGCCCCGCCAGGGACTTGGACTCAGACCCTCAGGTACAGGCACTCAAGGCAAACCTGCGGAAGGCACTCGCCAGAAATACTACACTGGTTGCAAAGCTAGAAGAATATGCAGAGCGGATAAAAGAATATAAACGGCAAGAGAGACAGCTCGCTAGAGAAGAAAGGAACCAAATCCAAGACGGCGTGCCAAATGAACAGCTTTCTTACATAAAGGCGTCTCCCCGTAGAGCACAAAGGACTAGATCAAACTGAATCAAATGCGGATTGCCGTGTTGACCACAGATGCAATATTCTTATTGGTAAGGGCCGCCAAAGCACGCTCTTTGTCGTTAATTTGCTTATTGAGTGAGATGGCGTTCTCGTGCGTTCCATCCTTGCAGTAGACAACGGAGCAAAAACGCCTCGGGAGACACCTATCAAGCTTAATCTTCAAGCTCAAACCTATTATGCTTCCCAGGCTGCATGTTGGAGTAGTAGGCGTATAAACAACGCGAACCAAACCCTGCTCATCCATGACCGTGATATCGTTGAGATTCACCACTCGCAGGTCCTCGAGGGTCATGTTCATGTGTTCGGGATCTCTGACAGATCGGATGATATCAAACACCTCCTCGGGGGTTATCGGCTCGTAGTCCTCTGGACGACCTCGGTTGAAAAAGGGGCCGGCAGTGTACGGGGCGTGTGGAGCCATTAACTCGATCTCTAATATAAATTATTTAGTCTTATTAGTTTTTAACTTGAAATTGAAAGTAATGAGGTTCTTTTAATTATAGTTCTCAAATTGCTTTATCCACTAGATGGACCGGCTGAATCCCTCCCGCTATAAGGACTCCCGCTTCATTCGGGAGACTGATTCTTATAGCATCTTTTCGGCAGTCCGCATCTCTGACGACGTGCATGTATCCATTTTGCGTCTTCCTGTCAAGCCTGAACACGCCACTACCATAATCGCTGCCCTTGAAAAATATCGATCCGTGGTAATTGAAAAGCATTCTGTGCTCCTAGATTGCTATGATGCGTGCTATATGCCTGCAGATGACCTTTTGTTGCTCGAACTGGAGCCTGGCTTCCACGAGACTGCTGCTGATCTTCTTCTGCGTGTGAAGGATGCACAGTTTCAGGTTCCTGAAGATGCCATATGGGAGATTGTGTCACAACTTGCCCAAGCAATCTCCTATTGTTACAATCCCCTCAATAATTTAGAACCGTCAATGTGGAGCTTTATTCACCCAGCAAGGATTATTAGAATAGAAACGGGGCACATTAAGCTCTTTAATCCCCACATTATGACGACTTTCTTTTCTACAGAAAATTGCGCCTCATTTGCGTCATTCACTCCTCCAGAGTGTAGACATTCCGCGCAGGGGACTGCAACGGAGCCTGCTGCCATCTGGGCTCTTGGTTGTTTGGCCTGGTCTTTTGCAGACCCTCAGTCTTTCTACTCGAAAGAACAACTCGCGGCAGACCCCGAAGTTCATCTCTCATCTTACTCCTCTCAGCTGGTAGATATGATAAGCTCTTGCTTGTCTTCTGACCCTTCTCGACGACCAAAGGCTGCCGAGCTCAGCTCTTATTCGCTTGCTATTAAGGCTAATGCACGTCTTATGGTTAGCCCCACACCGCTAGAGTCGTCGCTCACTCAACCAGTGAGCATACTGGGGCTTTTCGCTGCTATTCATGAGGACTCGATAGAAGGGTTCAATAAGCATAAGCCGATTTTAAGCCAAGATTGTGCACAACAAGAAACTATTGAAAAGGCGGTTTCTCTCTGTATAACTCTGAGAAGATCAAGGCTTCTGTCGATACTCTGCGAGTGTATAGCCGACATCAACATTCGCATCAGGATTAAAGACTTCCCTACAAGCTTGACTGCGCCACACAGCACGATGATGTCTCCAAGAAATTCTCTATTTGCCGATCATCAGCGAGACTCCATATCGACATTTTCTCTCGCTGAGCGGACCTCTTTGATGAATGCTGCTGCGGCAGGAAATGTCGAGTTAGTTAGAGAGTTCCTCCACGAGGCAGGAAGACAGAACACATATGGAAAGACTGCTCTCATGCTGGCTGCAGAGGGTGGGCATTATGAGTGTGTGAGACTGCTCTTAATTGAAGCAGGATACGTTGACTTGGAGAACAAAACAGCACTGTACTATGCGTACGTTGGCTTCGATGCTCCTCTATATTCATACAGTAACCGAGAGAGCATAGGGGATCGTGGGAGTGTTAGCTCTAGCTTTAGAAGTAGCTTTATGGGATCCTCTGCAATGCCAAGTTTGTCCAATCCGTTTGCGTCAGGCAATATTTCGGTGGCAGGAAGGTGCAACAACCCTGCATACCATGAAGATCAAAATGCGTGCATCACTCTCTTGTCAGCTCACGAAAAAGACATCGTTGCGGATGACGGAACCACTCTCTTAATGCTTCTTGTCGAGGCCAACTGCAAGGAGGGTGTGGAAGCTCTTCGGGAACTCCAGGGAATGCAGGACTCTTTTGGGAGGACAGCTCTGTCACGGGGCCTGGCACGTGGGACGTCTTATGATACTCTTCTCCCACTATTGGACAATGAGAAAGAAATCCCCAATCCAGATGAGACTGCTCTGACATACGCCATTCGAGAGGGATTCGTGGAGGGCGTGCGTCAACTTATTCCGTCTATGTCAAGCATGCCGAACAAGGTAAACCTTACTCCCATCGAGGTTGCCAGGGTATACAATCGTTTAGACTGTGAAGAGCTCCTCCTCTCGTTCGAGTGGCACACTACATCAACTCTGGGCTATGACCATCTTAAATGTCTGGTCGAGCGTCAAATATATGCAACTAAACACGCAGACAAAGGTGTGGCTGAGAAAATAGGGCACATCATTCGTTCCTACTGGCCCCAGCCTCAGGTTCTGCATGTTTTCATGGAGTTTGAATTTCCCACATATTATTGTGAGATAGCACAGCTGCGTCCAGACGCTCTAGACTCCCACCTGAACAGTGCCATCAACCTTGCTCTAAAAGATGGCCGCTTCGAGGCTCTCCCGCACCTATGCGAACGAGTTGCATTAAGGAATGCAAAGATTTCCTTGGTATGGCGTGAGTCTAACGACGTTACTGAGGCTACTCCTCTCATCAGTGCTGCACTGAACAGCAATGAGACAGAGCTCAGGCTTCTTCTAAAGCATGATTCGGACTTCTTACGAAATGACTTTCGATCGAGCACCTCCTCAGATTTTCTGCAAGGTGCTCGTGGGGATGTAGCAGCCCTGCTTCAGCCAGGTAGTCCACCAAGCCCACCGAGCTTAATGGACGAAAAGGGCGGGGCCTCTACGATGGGGAAGTCGCACAATGGGATGACTGCGCTTGGTGCTGCTGCGTCAGTAGGAAATGTGCACTGTTTGATGTTGTTGCTGGGAGAGCTCGGAATCCTTCCTAAAAACGGGATGACTGCTCTCATGTATGCAGCAAAGCATGGGCGCAGAGAATGTCTTCGCTTGCTGCTCGCAGAAGCAGGCCAGGTTAATAGCGATGGTGAGACAGCTCTTATTCTGGCTGCTAAGCATGGTCATGCGGCTTGCGTGGAACTCCTGATGCCTTTTGAGCGACGCATTCGAGATAAGAGAGGGAAGACCGCGTTGCAGTGGGCACAAGAAAAACCTTATAAAACCACTGCATCATGGAATGTTTCCGATACCAGTTATGAACTGTGTATTTCAATCCTTTCTAATACTACGAACAAGCTACGTTAGTGTAAATTTTGATTGATGGCAGGATAGATTGTCTTAGCTATCAACTTTTTTCCATAGTAGCTTAGTATAACGTATATATGCGAGTGACTAGAATGATTCACAAGGGTCAAAAGATAGTCAGCATCGCAACAGTAGGACAAGATGTGATTTGAAAATAAAGGGAAAGTTTGCTGCCACATGATCAGCACAGTATGCATACGGTTGCAAACTGTAGGAGCTGAGAGCCGCAGCAACAAAAAATGTTCAGAGCAGTTAATTCATTGTTTGAATTTCTGCGTACTGCACTCGAAGAGGTGGGCGTTGCAGCGGTCAGCTGGATAATTGATACAAATTGGTCTACAAAGCTACCAATGCTTGTTTCTGTTGATCTATGCAAGGAGATACACAAAGCTACAATACTTGACGACAGGCCAGTTGGTGGCAGCACCTCGCTATTTGGGATGTTTGAGGTTCGTACAAAAGAGGTGCATGTGAGGATCTTTGCCAAGAAGAGCATCGATGCTTCCAACTGTTTACGCCTCCTCTTCCTCTTGTATAAGTTCAGTAAGCATAAGTTAGAAAAACCAGATGCCCACCTTTATGCCATCTTGAACTCCTGCTCGCGGTCTCTCATGAAGAAGGGCCAACCGGGGACGCTCCAAGTGGACGCCTGCATAAGCATTAGAAGTTCTGTGCTTGAAAGCAAGATCGTTATTCCAACAGGACCAGAGTTTGAGGGCGAGGTTGATGATTTGATAGAGTTGTCTAGCCAATGCACAGAGGAGCTTTTGCAATCTGCCTTCGATGAAGATCGCCAGTTAGCTCTCATAATTGATCATGCAGACCTAGAGAAATACAAGTTCCCCTTGTTGGTAGGGCTCTCTGGGGTATGCTATCACGGAAGAAATGCGTGTGTACTTTACTTCTCGTCAACCATCTCGAGAGATGCACTAAGGGATGCATTTGAAAGAGATATCTATCCAGTACGAACATTTGCTCTTCCAATTCCTGGTCAAGAGGATCAAGAGGTTGCTCGCAGAATAAAGTCTGAGGCTTCCATATGCTCTATGACAGTACACCCTGCAATCGACGGTGACCTAGACTCCTCAATGAGATTTATAGTTCCATACATGGGATGAATGTGCCTGTTTTGTGGGTCACAATGTGTGGTCTTAACGCAAGCAGATTTGAGGAGTTTAAAACAATTAATTCATGACTCCCAGTGCTCCTCGCAAGAGGATCTTCTCTTCGTATTCCAATCCGTTCCGCAAAGAAAAGCCGCTGGGCATGAAGCCCGCGCGCCCCATCGATGAAGAAATTCAAGACTTGCAGTCCCGCACACCAGGAAATCTATCCATCAGACACAACCCCTCACGCATTCGGAACCGCCTTAAACGCCTCCGTATAGTGCAGGAGGTCCGTGACCAGAAGCTCAGAGTTAAGCGAGAGCTCCACAGGCGACGGGATGAGCAAGAGGCACAATTGAGGGCCGAAGGAAAAGATATTACTTCTCTCCGCAAGCCACGCTTGACATTGGATTCCAAGCGTGACGAGGATGCAACGATGACTGCACATGCAAAGGAGGTCGTTGCAGAGGAGCTGGTGCATGCAGAAACCCTGGACGAGTTTGGCGAGTACTTCGACGGCACTCGCATAGTCAAGGTAGCCATAACTACGTCTGTTGGCTGCAAGAACAAGGGAACACTGCAGTTTATCGACGATTTTATCAAGGTGCTGGGAGGCGTCATATCCTATATCCCCCGCGAAGAGCTCCAGATTCGGCAGCTTGCAGTTAGGCTAATAGACGAGGGGTTTACCAGCGTTATCATTGTGCATGAAGATAGAGATATTATAACTCACATGATGATGATGGCTCTTCCTGCAGGGCCCACGGCGTGGTTCAGAATGACTAACGTCTACACCCACAAGGAGCTCGTGGGATCTGGAGTTCCTATCCCTGACTGCCCACCCGAGGTGATCATGAATAACTTCAAGACGCGCCTAGGCCGCCGCGTGGGCCGTATGATTCAATCCATGCTTAGCCGTGAGGAGCACCTGCGGGCGCGCCAGGTTATCACGTTTCATAATCAGCGCGACTTTATCTTCTTCAGGGCCTACAGATACATCTTTGAAAACAAGGACAAGAAGGACCCCACGTCTGAGGTTATCGTCCGTATGCACGAGTTGGGACCGCAGTTTACTCTGAAGTTAAAATGGTTGCAAAAAGGGCTATTCGACCCGCATAACGAGGAGTACGAGTGGTTCTACAAACCGGAAATGGACCACCATAGCAGAACCCGCTTCTTCTTGTAACGGAACTTTCCTCTTGACAGAAAGGCTATGGCCTCTTTTAGATTGCGGAGCTGTGCAAGGAAGTGGAGCTGTAAATAAGTAGTGAAGGTATTATGGAGCCGGTTGCCTAACTCTGAACTGCATTGTGGGGTTTGATCTGCTCTTTGACCTTGACGATCCGCTCCCTGAGCAGCCACTCAACGATCTCACGGTAGTAATTGCCGCGGACATGAATGGACTTGGTTCCGTCTGTCTCGTCGAAAACATATGCCGAACAGCATAGGTCCCTTTTTATGGCCTTGACGATCTTGTCAAAGTTATAGCTCTGGTTGATGTTCACTACCTGCGTTGTGTACTTTTTACCCTTTTTGACTATATGTATGTGAATGGCTCTGTACGGGCATTTGTAAGATGTGCCAGCGTCTGCAGCGCTCATCGCATTCATCTTCCTGTTTTAAAACGCTTTAAAAATAATGCATTTTTTTGATTCGCCAACTAGTCAAAATCGCCGCAACCACGTGCTGGCATGGGAGTTGGGGCGTCTTCGGTCCCTGGTAATGCCACTTCAGAACATATTGATGGTAGCCTGCTTCCTGTTCCTCAATTAGAGCGAGATAAATTGGGACTTGAGGCGGCAGTGGACCAGTCCGGCATCAGCTTGCTGGCCGCGGGGGATAACTATGACAACTATGACAACGAGGATGACAACGAGGACAAGCGGCCAGACCGCGAGTTCAGTCCGCCAAAGCCGCGTCAGCGTCACCTCAAATATTCCTTAGGACGGATAATAGGGCACGGGAGCTTTGGACAAGTCTATTTAGCCCTTGAACACCTCACAGGAAAACTGCTAGCTGTCAAAGAGATGGTAGTCAAGAATTGCAGTCGGGAAGTTCTTGAAGCCATCGACGCTGAGACACGGATCTTGATCAACTTGAGGCATCCAAATATCGTTAACATATATGACATCGAGGTATCTGACGATGGCAACAAGCTGCTCATTGTCATGGACTTTATTGCCGGAGGAAGCCTTGCGTCTCTCTCAAAGTCATTCAAGGGTATACCCGAAATCCTCTGTAGACGGTATGCTAGGCAAATTCTGGAGGCCATTAAGCATATGCATAGACAGAATGTTGCACACTTAGATCTTAAGTGCAGTAATATAATGATCGGTGGCGACGGGTTGGTGAAGCTGGTTGACTTTGGAACTGCCACTAGACTGGCGCGGGACGACATCATCAATGAACTTCAACGCCGGAAGGAAACAGAGGCAGACCCTAAGAAGCCAGGCCTGCCATCCGAAGCTGCAAAAAAGTTCAATCTAGGAATTAAAGGTTCTCCTTATTGGATTGCCCCAGAATGCGTAAGGTCCACACTCTACGATATCTTCAAAGCAGACATCTGGTCCATCGGGTGCCTGTTCATCGAGATGTTCACGACATACCCTCCATTCTTCCAGTTCAAGCAGGTTCCTGCCCTGCTGTATCACATTGCCACTATCACAGAGCCACCAGGGCTGCCAGAAACCATGTCAGACGAGGGGAGGGACTTCCTCTCCAAGTGCTTGCAAATAAATCCAGAAGCTAGGGCGTCTGTGGACGATCTCCTGGCACACCCCTGGGTGGCAATGGTCAACCTGACATTTGGGATTCATCCACTGGTTCCCGATAAACCCGCTGTGTCAGGTCGGGAGGCCCATCTGCAGCAGTCTATAGATGCACCTCCTTCTCTGGCCACCTCGAAGGCGGACAAGCTTCTGGGGCTGTTCACCAAGACTAAGGATACAGATGTCACCCAGAGTACAATCGCCAAGAACTGGTTTGGTAAGTCAAAGGCCAATCTATCTCAGTCTATTAGAAACCTCCAGGCCTCTGCCAAGATAGATCTGAATGAGGATGAACTTGACAGCCTCTTTGAACTTGCTCTTCCAAAGGAGGATCTTAGCTTCATCGTCCTTCAACATGATAAGATCCTAGATGCTGGTATATGACTACAATCGCTGGATAGCTGGCAACAGAGAGTCTTGCCTTCAGTGAGCGGCGACAAAAAAGATTCTCCGCTCTTCACACCAGCTCATGCAAGGTGACAATATACCCTCCCCAGCAGACAGTGCGGGCGGCGATTCTGAGGAGTGGAATGGTCCTTATATCACGTCAAAGACAGAGACTCAGCAGGGTCAGGCCAAGACTCACCGTCTTGCATCTGTCCCTGCGCCTCCATATATGAGTTGTGGCCTGAAGCGGCGTGATGCTGGAAGGCTGTTTGTTGATGCTCTAAGGCATCACTCGGGCCAAGATTCAGTATCTTATATCAGTGAGAGAGACCCAAACGCTGATACAGGCGTTTCCAGGATAATTGTCAGCGATGAAGCAGCAATTGCCATTTCGGCTGCCGTAACAGACATCCTCCACTCCTACGTACAAAAGGTAAAGCAAATATTCTGCACCAATGAAGATCAAAAAACATATCACACAAAGGCCAGTCTTGAGGCTGCTCTGGTAGAACTTCAACGAGAAAACCCTGCTATAGCGCGGATGCTGGCTCCTGTAAGCCCAGCAAATAGGTCTAAGACGCAGTAAATTAAAATGTATTCAAACGTCCGTGAGCTGCTTCTGGGGACCTTGGACCCCTCCCGCGTTCAGGCGAGCACGGATGCTATTCAGAAGCTCAAGGGGTCGCCGGAGTTCGCAAACATGCTCTATAGTTATATGCTCGACGCTTCAAATGACGAGCAGACACGATATTTAGCATCCATTTACTTCTCCCAGATATTTAGGAGTCCTCTTTCTCATGAGAAGAGCGTGCTCATGGAGTTCTCCCAGTCTACGCTCCATTGCTTCTGTACTTTGCCACTAAAGATTCGGCGAGTCATAAAGGACTGTCTTGCTGTAACACTCAACCACCTCTACCAATGTGGAAAGCTTCCAAATCTATACAGTGACTGTGCCAGCATCCTGTATGGTGTTTTGCGGGAAAATGGCATCGACCCCCTGACGTATCAAGGGGTTCTAACGCCCGATGTTCTATGTATACTCAGTGATGTAATATTCCTCATGCTTCCCTTCCCATCCCACGCCGCTACTGTGGAGCTAGATGATACGATCGCCCTTAAGTTGAAGAGCATAATTGGCTCCACTTCAGAGCTCATTATTTCCCTGTTGACCATGGCAACTACGTGTTACGTTGCCTCCCTGCGAGACCAGGCCTCATTCATCGCTTACCAGAGCTTCTTGCACTCTCTCTACTCGTTCCTTATGTCTATGTACTCTCTGGATGATTTACCAACAATATACAACGACAAGTATTTGTACATAGCAACCTCTTCTGTCACATTCCTTGATTTAAGAACGCTGGCGTCTCAAGGCTTCAACCTGACGGACCCCATTGTAGCAGAGGTGTGCAAGAAGATCTTAAGCATGCTCTGCAATTCTATCAGCGCCCATAATGCAGAATTGGAAGCACATGCCGCAAATGTGATAAAGCTCTTGATTGATATGGCATGTAACTATGTGGCTGTTACGGAACATAAGACATTCAACATGATCCTCACAGACATCCTTTTTCACTTGCACTTCTTCGCAGAGGGTCTAGAGTCTCAAAAGTACATCTATGCCAACGCGCCGCAGCTGATGAACCAGGTCATATTTTCTGCGTTGCGGCTTACAGCCTCTGACTTTGAGGCTATAGAGGAGGAGGATCACGAGTACGTTTGCGGGCTTCTGTCGATAGGTGATAGCACATCTCGTCGTTCTGCTTGTGAGGGGATTCTGCGCACTGTCTGTAGGGCCTTACCAGAGGCCAGGGGAGTCGCTATGCAGAAGGCTCAAGAAAGCATCGCTTCCTTGGGCCAGGGACAAGGAACACTTGACTGGTTCGTCTCTCTTTGTCAAGCACTTGCATTCTATCGCGCTGTGGTCATTCAGCAAGTGTCGAAGTTCACTGGAGTCAGTCTTATTATATCTGATTCTAACTTCAATGAGTTTTACGCTACGGTTATCGCTCCCAGCCTTAGACTACCCTATCTTGCGTCCAGTACGGAGCCGATGGAATTGTCCGCCGCAAAAACCCTTGCACTCTGTGAAATTATGCACTTTGTTACCGATTTCCGCAATATAATGACGGAGGAGCAGTTCAGCGAAGGCTTACAGGCATTACTACGGTGCCTCAGCTGTTCCCACAACAACGTCTCCAATTCAGTATTATCATCCTGCCTATCTACGATTCTGAAGAACTGCAAGCACACTAGTGTAGTCGCACAGCTAGAGCCACAGTTCATTCAACTCCTTCACACATTTCTTTCATCGAGTGGTCAGGGAAGCAGCACTTGTCTTCTGCTCCACTCCGGTACAAATGATGTCTACGTTGCTAATGCGTTCTCAGCCGTTCTACGCCTCGTCTCCCAGTCGATGACTATCGATGCGCTGGTCGAGCTTGTCGTCCTCTTTTTCTCTTTTGTTTTCCCTACCTGTCTCCAGAGGAAGGATCGACTAAAATTCGTGCATAAGCTTTTCGAGTCTCTTGTCATTATACTCAATGTAATATCGGACCGAGCCATCTCTGGAATCAAAACAAATTCTGAAGTGGTGAACCAGATGATAAAGTTGTTTGCTTCGTTGTACAGCCAGCTAGAAAATGAAGAGGATTGGCTGCCTATTTACTTCCAACTACTCTCCCCTCTTATGCAAATAGCAGCCCTCACAGATGCTTTCACCGAAGCACACTATCCTGTTTTGTTCAAAGAAATTCTTCCTATGTATATCAATGCAGCTTCACTGCAGGTCTCTGCTTCTATACCAGCATATGCACTGGCGATGAACTCGTTTGTTAGCCTGGCTGTGGCACACAACAGGTCACTCTTGAACAACCCCATAACTGCTCCTGATGGCACGTCTACTTCGTGCATACAGCGCGTCGTGCAGTTTGGATCGAAGCTGGTAACAACCAGTAACTTCAGGTTATATGGATATGGGGTCCTAACGAATATCGCCTCCCTTATCCCCGAATGTGTTCCTGTGGATGCATACGCAAACGCTTTGGACGTGGCCCAAAAGGAGCTGAGTGAGATTCAGATGGACAGAAAGCTCTTAGGAGCTGTTTGTCACTTTTTTGCTCAGTATGCGTGCTCCTGCGACCCATCCACAATGAACTCAGCATTTATTGTAGAAGAGCTCCTTACGCCATTCACCAAAAAGGCATTTCTGCGAGATTCGATCACAAAGGACATCGTTGTACTCCTAACGAAGCTTCCAGTGAACCAGTTAGATGAGGCAATAAAGTGGGACGTACTGCGGTGCATAGGGGTGCTAGGCGGATTAGTGAGAAGAAAGATCGACCTGTGCAGTAGATCGCGCGTCAAAGAGGGCGAGGCAACGGATTCCGAGGAGAGAATGATAACGGATGGAAGCGCCCTCTTTGTTGAACTCAAGGAGGTAAGGGGAACGTGGCCGACTGTCCCCGTGCCACAAGGCTTTTCATTAGCAAAGCATATTACAGACACCATACCATTTGACTTCAAGAATTTGAGTGCATAAATAGATACGAGACGTACTGTGGGTCTCACTGTTTAACCAGACCTGTTCCTGGGGTCCAGAAGTGATTGCTAAAGCTCTCTCTAAGCTGCTCCCGCGAGATATTATTTGGGGTTAAATTGATTACATCTGCTAAGCGCCGGCACACAGGCGCGCTTCTGCATGTGTATGGCTCAATGAAGGATGATGGCTGAGCATGCCCTATGACCACCGCTTGATATATGTTAATTACTTCGAGATATTTGGCCGGCAGGTCTGTGAGTGCCTTGACGTCCACAACCTCTGTAACAACTGTTCCTTCAGCAAGCTGGGCCGGCTGTTCTTCCTCGCTGGCGTCATCAAAGAAGTCACTGCAACTGTTTTCAAGGTTTTCTCCTCTCTGGATCTCCTGTGTCAGGTATTTGCCGGTATTTTTCAACATGCGCTTGAAGAACTCTGTTTCAGATGGTTCTGGATGTAAATTGAAGTATTCATTATAAAAGTCGCTCAGAGTTGCAAAATGCTTCTTGATGGTCAGTCCAAATTCTTTGCACAGAGTCCGAATGTTCTCAAAGTCGACAAAATACTCGGGTATATTATCTATGGCTTCTTCGAGCTCGAAGTAGTACTTCACACCATAATTCGGGTTGTGAGGATCGGCCCTGAAGGGCTCTGTAAAGCGGACACTATAGAGCCCATTTCCTATCGAAGGAGGGATGGCTGCAGATGGCCAGCTATAACCAGCTGCTTCCAGTCTTGACAATATTATCTCCTTAGAAGCAAAGATGGCTATGAAAGAACCTTCGTTACTCAGACAATCTCTTATGTTCTGAAAGAGAATCCTCGCTCGAGCTTCAGATTCAAAAGCGTAGTGCAGGGCGAATTGACACGAGATCATATCAAAACGGAGCCCCTTTTTGTGCGGAATGAAGTGCTTTGATAGAGCGGTCTCGAAGACATCAGCCCAAACGAAGTCTGCAAGATAGAGGCCCCTGTTATTTGGGCCTGACACCATTGCGTTGTAGCGCATTATTGCCTCCACGATGGACTCTAACGAGACATCCACGCATGCGAGGTATCTGACCCTTCCTAGCGCGGAAAACTTCTTGAGATCTCCTCCACGACCACTGCACATGTCCATGACAGATAAGTCCTTCCTTCCCGAGCCACGCACCAAGTACTGCTTAATCAGCACTGACTTGGCCCAATTGTTAAAGTCCCTTATGGGGATTATCTTTGAGATCTGGCGTGCCTTTCCGAAGGCTGCTGCACACTGCTGTGCATATTTGTTATAGATCATGGTGGCTGTCGCATTCATGGTCTTTTATTTTTTGCTCGGGTACAACAGACGCTAAAATGATTTAGACATAATTAAGTCTAATGTACTACCTGTAAACCATAAGTGGCTAGCCACGGGATGCATACAGCGTTACATTTTACCATCGTCCCTGTCGTCTCCCGAGTCCTAGATAAGGCTCCAAATGGTAGAAATTTCTCAAGAGGTCACAGTGATATAAATTTATTTGAGATTGTTGGTTAGGTTAGTAAATCCAGATTGATAATGTCCTCAAAAAACATAGGCTTTTCACAGCAAAGCACTTTATGACATCTGTGTAAATAACAACCTGTATAGACGCAAGCGAAGCCGTACTGTAAGTCAAGCCGTAAAAGCTCGTGGGACAGAGAGCACTGTAGGAGCAGAAATCAACCAGTAACTGGAGAAGTATGAGCGAGAAAGCACGCGAAAGTATATATAACGCCGTCAAGAACTAAGTCTGAGGGATATTCACCAAAGTAAGTATTCTCTAAATGAAGTCTCGGTCCAGGCATAGCACGCATGATGCCAAAGACTTGTAACGTTTTGAGCAGACTGAGCAAAGATGCATCAGCCACTAGAAGGCAAGAACGCCCTGCTTTCTAAAGGCGCCCCACAACAGCCAAGGTGGTGAGATCGCTACAGTTAGTTTGTAGTCTAGTGCTCATCTGGAAACCGAGGTCCAAACTCAAGAAGATCTAATTCTGTACTTAGGTAGTCTGTAAGCATAACACGGAACTCCGGAAGGTTTTCACGGGCAGTTTTGAGCAGAGCAGAGCTACACACGTAGCTTGGAAGCAGCAATAAAGCAGAAATAGTATTGTCCTTATTAGCATTAGCATCAGCATTTCTGCACCCAACAGCCTCCAGTTCAGACTGGTGGAACTGAAAAGCAGCCGTCAAGTAGACACGCGCGATAATAAGGAGAGTCTCTGGTGCAAGGAGATCCTCCTCTACTTCGTCTGGGGATGGATTAAAGTGCTCTATGGAATATTGCGCAGGTGGCTTTCTAGCGCCCTCGCCTGGCTTTTTCTTCTTGTTGGCGTCTAGCGCTAGCTCGCGCAGGTGAGCCTGGTACCCCGTGTTGCGAAGTCTGGAAAACGTATCTAGGCGGTCTATCTTTGCCAGAAGGAGAACAAGCAACTCCAAGCGAGCCAACTTCCGTGCCTTGTAAAGCCGCAGCTCGCGAAGGATTGTATTGCCAGCATTCATGTGCATAATGGCAGCAGCGGGCCAAACATTCTTCATGTAAATCCCTAGAAGAAACTGCTTAACGTTGACTAGAGCCTTCTGGCGCCTCTGTCGTCGTAGTCTATTAAGAAACGCAAGTGATGCCCGCTGAATGCGTATCGTTGACGCTTTTGTTTGCTTATACGTAAGCGACGCCCTGTGTACTCTGTATGTGTATTGTATGATTATCGCTGCGCTTGTCATGTAGTCATTGTTCATTCGGATCTCACAGAATCTTGTGGCGACTTGGAACAGCAGTGCCAGCCGGGCAGTAAAACACACAAATTGTCCCAGCTCTGTGCGTTGTCTGATAAAGGTCTGCGGAAGTATTGGCTTTTCTGAAGGCTTCCTAATTGTTAGCAGCTTCCTTGCCAACAAATCGGCGTCTAGACAGTCCCTTTTATAATAGATATTATCAATATGCGCGTCTAGAGCTTCTGCGTGCTTTAGCGTTCGCATGTGCTGCGATTCTGGCGAGTAGAAGCCTTGAGATATTAGAGCCTTATTGTAAGCCGGAAAGTTCTCAATGATAGGCTTTGCTGCATACGAGCAACTCAATGAGCGCATCATTTTCTCCCTGTGCTGCATGCGTAACTTGTTTTGGCGGTTCCTCTCATCTAGGACCTGCTTACGCTTGTTAGCGATTACCTCTTCTTGGAAGCTCCGAAGCAACTCAGGATGCTGTCTAAGCTCAGCCACCTGCATCTGCAGAGACTTCCCATTGCAATGGCTATAGTCAAAGAAGAAAACACTACTGTCAAAATCCCTATCATTAGTGTTTGTCTCTTCCGCCGCCGTCGGTGCCTGGACCTGGGCAGGAATCATAAGCAGGTCTGAAGCAGTGATCTGATTCAGCGTCTGCACCCTAGGAACGTCACTGGACCTTCCGAGATCGGTAGTCTTCTTTATCTGTGAAATCGAGTTGGATAGAGTGTCCAACACTGATGCAACCTCCTGCGATGTGGCTCCTTTTTCGTCATCGTTAGCTGGGAACTGTCCCTTACGGGATTTAGCGCACTTGGTAGTCCTGGCATTACTTTGAAGAATGGACCGTGCAGCGCATTTGGCTTTATATAGTGATTCGAGAGACCCCATGAGTGCACTGTTTCCAGAGACACGCTCTCCAAGGGCAAGGCCTGCTATTTGTTGGGTAGCAGGCATGCAGAGACTTTTTAAAATTAGCTTTGCTGCCCTTGATGAAAGCTGTCTTGTAGCAGATTTGGCACCCTTTTTAATTGACGGCCTTATGCCGTAATGATGGGGCTGATCTAAAAATCTTCTCTTCCAGTCAAAAAAAATTTGTTACATACCTGCCATAGCATGCAGCAACCAGACCACGTTTCCTTCTACGAGGAGGTCCTCCTTGAACACGACCTGTCACCGTTTCTGGCCAGCGGCGTAGTCATCACAGACTTTGCTATGACCTCCTGGGGAGGCTATCTTCTTGGGCTGTCGGACGGTAGCCTGCTTTTGGGCCAGCGTGAATCGAATGCTATTGAGTGGTCACTCATCGAAGTCTTCAGTGTGACGCTCCAAAAGATCCTTGTTGGTCCAACCCACATCTTTGTTGTGGGGATAGACGAAAGTGTTCAGTCTCGTACTCGTTTTGGCGGCGCTTTTTTGGCCCACCAATCATCAGGCCAGGCGCGTTCTGGGTTCTCCCTTGCTGTCTTTGCTTATTCTCAGAACAGAAGGCGTCACTCCTCAGGAACTGGCGCGACTTTAATCTTTCGGCAGAAGATCCCGTCCTCACTTTCAATGGCCATCACTGGGATGGCTGTTTCCGCCATGTCAGTAACGGAGGATGAACATTACCTTATTCTTGGAACTAACAAGGGCCAGGTTGAGGTCATTCGCCTCAACAGAAACAAATCCTTGTATGTCACAGAGATTACTGGGGCATCGCTGCAAGGAAAGAAGGACTCTAGTTCACGCATTCCCATTCAGAGCGTTTTTATAGTTCCATCGACTGAGGGGACTCGCCTTGCATGGGTCTTTGGATCGAGCCTCACGACAATTTCTTCTACCCTTAATTCCGACAGTGTTTCCTCATACATAGGACTGTACGCGTTTAACGGTTATGGCGCACATCTACATAGCCTGGCTAGACTTGTTTCCCCGCAACCAACGCATAGATCTGCTATTCTTTGTGACTACAATAGTAGCTTCCCCGCAAGCTCTCCCAAGAATGCGTTTGGCACTATAACTTATTTTAATTATACGTCATCACTCCAAATTGTAGAGGTACTGACACCATGCTCTCTCTCTAATTTAGCTCTCAATAATCCAAACGATATAGCGAAGATTGACACCGTTATTAGGGCACCGCATCCCCTCCTCTACACGTCACTTCCGTCACCTCTGATGGCTCTTCAACGAAACTCCATTAATCACTTAATGACACTGGAGCTCTCAGGGGCTCTAGCAGTGTATGACGCTACGAAGCTTGTGTACAAATCATCCCTTCCGCAAACGGAGTACAAGGTTGTTGTGTCTCCTGTGACGAATGCCTTCGTCTGTCTGGCTACCTCTCCCTCTCAAAACTTTTCCATAAGAGAGATCAATCTTCTCAGTACACATGCACAGATCAAGTCTTTGATAAGCAATAAGCTCTACACCGAGGCTCTTGCCATGGCGAAGAGCAGCAACTGCTCCTTAACATCGTTCAACATTGCAACTATACACATGCAGTTTGCAGACTTTCTCTTTGAACAGGGTCAGCTTGAACAATCAATCGAAGAGTATAGTCAAACATCGAAGCTTCTGGAGCCCTGTGTGGTGCTGTCTAAGTTTCTTGCAAAGAACAGGGTGGACCTGATGGTGCGCTATATTCTGTCCATCAATCGGGCAGGAAAGGCCGAGGACATGCATGTCCGCATGCTCTTTAATTTCTATGAGAAACTGGGCCAGAGGGAAGCCATCCACGACTTTATCGAGGAGGCTATTCAAGTTTATCAGAATACTAATTGCCAGCAGTGCACAATTAAAAACATCAAGGGAGCATACGATGCACTACGTGACATGGGAATGGTGGACGAGGCGCTATTACTTTCTATCTGTCTCGGGGAGGGACTGCTCGCCATTAACCTTCTAATTGAAACAAACAGATACATTGAGGTGCTTTGTCTCCTGTCTGTGATGGACTTCGACGACTGTCGGGCAGCCATACTGGAGTTTGGGCGCGAGCTCATTAGGCATTCGCCCCAGGACATCTGCAAGACCATAAAGCGCCTGTGTGTGATGTTTTCCTCTGAACAGCCTGCCAACCTTCCTGTGCGGTACCGCCAGTCTGTCCTGCTGGCGACCAAGGAAGAGCCGAGAGAGATCCCTGCATGGATCACGCGCATGTCCAAATGGAACAAACCAGCGGTGACGACTGAGCAGGTGTTTTCTATTGAGGAGTTCATGCTTGTCTTTTTTGAAGCATCGCTTAACAGCAATCTTCTAGATATTCTGAAATCACTTTTTGCAAGAGTGCTGGATAACACCCTCGGTTATGATTCGTTCAAGCCGGCCACGGCTGTTGTGTTTTTCGAGCTCCAACTCTGTCTGAAGATAAGCGAGGCAGAAATTCTGAAGAATCTCAAGGATTATATCAGATTTATAAATAACGTGATTGATAACACCGGCAGTGCGGTTATATCCCGGCTTAAGAGCCCCGATATTGCACGAAGTCAGGTAGCAGTTAAGCCGGCGGGGAGAGCCAGTGGAAAGGAAAAGGCAGCCAAGAGACAGAAGAAGCTCAAGTTCGAGATAAGAGATGGGTTGGCTCGCATTCTGGTATGCTTCTATCTTCACGACTTTAAGGCAGGGATCCTGCGTTTGTTGCAAATGAATCTTGATCACATAAGCTGTATTCGCTTTTATATCAGCACTGGAGACCTATATAGCGCCGGCGAGGCGTATGGGCGCATGCTGGATGATAAAGAGTTTATTTCAGACGCCAGCTTTGAGAAAGACATCTGGATGGAGCTCCTAACGGCGTGCATCAGCACCAAGAATGTCGAGGCGACTGCCGACGTTCTCCGGACGATCATGAAGCGCAAGGAGGCACCGTATGAGCAGGTACTGCAGGTCATCACCACAGCCCTCCCGCTTTCGCATGAGTCGTTGCAGACCGATGCAAAGAGTGAGTACTGTTTTGAGGCAGATGAGTTCACTACTGTTTCTCCAACCTTTTCGGACAGCAGCCCAAGCGTGACCTTCGGGCCCTTCGCAGAGTACTTCCGGCAGATAGGCGAAAAGGTGTCTACGAGCCTCTGCGACTGCGTGAACACTATGATAAAGAATCAGACGCAGCTCCGGACTTGGGAGGAGCGTCTTGCCGATATATCTAAGCCGCGCCAATGGACCAAGGGGAACTGTGCACGTTGCAACTTCCGACTAGAGCCCCCAATCACTTATCTCGGCTGCGGGCACGCATTCCATGGCAACTGCCTCCAAGGCCAGGAGAGCTGTCCGCACTGCTACCCAAGAGGCCACTCGAGTGCCACACCAGTCGTCAAGGTGGCCTCCGGGTGCGCCAAGACGTTTACAAACCTCGTCGAGGAGCTGCTTTGCCCCGAAGTTGCCCAGTTCTTCCCCTAGTAAACGGTCAGCACATTTACTCGGCGCCAGATCTACTTCTCCTCGGCATTATCGTCACCGGCAGAGTCCGTCACCCAGAGGTTGAGGTTGTCGCGGAGGAGCTGCATGATGAGGGTCGAGTCCTTGTAAGACTCCTCGGTCAGCTTGTCCAGATCTGTGATGGCCGCGTCGAAAGCCTTGCGCGCAAGCTCGCAAGCCCTGTCAGGAGACGCGAGGATCTCATAGTAGAAGACAGAGAAGTTCAGAGCCAGCCCGAGACGGATCGGGTGGGTCGGAGGCAGCTGCTGGGAGATCTCGAACGCAGAGTTGTAGGCGTTGAGGGCAGAGCCGGCGATCTTCTCCTTGTCCTCGCCCGACGAGTACTCGGCGAGGTACCTATAGTAGTCTCCCTGCATCTTGTAGTAGAAGACCTTCGCGTCGGCATTTGTGGAGCGGGGGACGAACTGCTCCTGGAGGAGCTTGAGGATGTCGTTGCAGATGTCCGAAAGCTCTTTCTCTATCTTCTGCCTGTACACACGGATCTGCTCGATTCGCTTGGCGTTCGGCTTCTGGCGGCCCTTCTCCTTCGCCTCGATGGAGGAGACGATCCTCCAGGCTGCGCGGCGGGGGCCGATGACGTTCTTGTAGGCTACAGAAAGCAGGTTTCGCTCCTTATCCGAGAGCTCGCCTTCCATACCGGAGATCTTCCTCATGGTCTCCACCATCTCATCATAGCGCTCGGCGTTCTCGTTGAGCTGAGCCATAAAGACGTAGTCTTCACGCGTAAATGCCTCGGCCATAGGTTTTTATTTAAGCTGCTGATGCCGTTTTTTGAACTTTGCAGCAAAAATCGATTTGAAATTCAAATTTAATTTAATGAACACTGTACAGCTACGTTGCAAGTAATCTAAGGCATTCCTGCTGCCGAGCCTTGGCGCGGGCCAAGCCCGTGATGCGTCACGTTTTCCTTTCGTTAATCTCTAAGTAAATAGAATCGGCTTTTAAAGACCGCCTATGAGTAAAAGCTAAACTGACGCTCCTGCGTTGCTCTCCGCCACTCTTGGCGATTACTAAGGGTTGCTGGGGTGATCACACATTTTCCTTCCTAATTTGCGTTCTATGACGTCTGTTTTTATTTTTAGCTCAAAGATGCCTAACAAGGAAAGCGCTAAAGGCCATTCCACGTACAAGCCATCCTCAAAGAAATCTTCGCTGGTCATCCCCCTTCTAGCAGGAGCAGCGTCTGGCATGTTGTTCATGCTCTTGCTCATACTTGGTTATAGGGCTGGGTTGGATGCATTCATACGTTCAGCCAATGTAGCGAACGAATCGACTGCTGACTATGGTTTTGCAAATGTGGCAACAGACATTTCTGGGCGTGGAATAAGGGTTGAACCCAATGCAGACGCTCAAAGATGGATGCAGAAGTACCCTGCCTATGCGTATGGGGGTAGCCTGTATTCCTGGAGACATGTAGAATTCCCTAATCTCGGTGCAAACTCTACGTATCTGGACTTTACCGGCTCTGGGCTCTTCCAGGTAACGCAGCTCAAAGAGTCTCTTAAATTTCTGGAGTCTGCTCTCTTTTGCAATATCCATTCAGACTCTGCGTGTAGCAGGAACTCGGAGAGAGCAGTTGATGACATACGAGATATGATCCTCGAGTTCTTTAACGCTCCCCGGGGAACATACTCCGTCATTTTCACGTCGGGGGCCTCCGCTGGACTGCAGCTCATTGCACACTCCTTCCCCTGGTCTAACCGATCCCAGTTCATGTACTCGAAGCACAACCATAACTCTGTCTTGGGGATGCGCAGAGTCGCTCTCAAACATGGGGCCAGCTTTGGAACACTTCCCTTCGATCTCTACAGCATAAGCCTAGAAGATGAGTTCGTAAAGCTGTGCAACACATCATATCTCAAACTGGCCAACGGCAATAGTGGTGCATCTGCTGCAAACAGAATCAACAGACCGACAGCCCGGGATATCGCGTTCAACAAGGAGGTGGACTCTGTCTATCTAAACAAGACGCACCACCTCATCGCCTTCCCAGCGGAGGATAACTTTTCCGGTGTCAAGTACAATCTGGATTTAATACATGCATTCCAGAGTGGGGAGTTCGCTGCAAAGTTCATGAACACTAACAGTATGTGTACCAGCAAGAACTCTGTGTGGCATGTGCTGCTCGATGCTGCTGCGTTTGTCCCGACCAATCCCCTGGACCTGAACAAATATCCTGCATCCTTTGTGGTTGTGAGCTTCTACAAAATGTTTGGGTACCCCTCGGGGGTCGGTGCCCTTCTTGTTCGAAATGATATCAATCCGCTGCTTCAAAAGACGTTCTTCGGGGGCGGAGCTGTCGTATTGGCCAGCTGCGAATCCGACTACTGCAAGCTGAAGCCAAGTTACCACGAGCGTTTCGAAGACGGTACCTTAAATTTTCTCCACATTCCGTCTCTGAGGTACGGGTTCAACATCCTGAAGAGTCTTGGTATGTCGAACATTCAGGCACACGTTTGGGCCGTGACTCGGCGCGCATATGAAAGCCTGATAGCTCTTAAGCACCATAACGGTCGTCCGTTGGTTGAGGTTTATGGTGAGCATGCTAAGAATGACATGAACTTACAGGGTGGCATCATAGCTTTCAATCTCAAGGATGTCGATGGGAATTATCTCGGATACTACAACTTCAGCAGACACGCTGCCAAGAACGGGTTCATGCTGAGAGTAGGTTGCAATTGCAACCCCGGCGCTTGCAACACATACATGGGTATCTCTGAGGAAGACGTCATAGAAGCGTCTAAGAACAAGACGTCGTGCGGAGATGAATTAGACATGGTGAAAGGGATACCGTTGGGGGCAATCAGGCTTTCACTGGGATACATCACGACCGTTGAAGATGTAGATAGATTTGTTGACTTTGTGAAACAATATTATACTAACCGGCGTGGGAGCTATGAGGATTTACAGACGAAGTAAATTATTTAATTCGGATAGAATAAAAAGATGCCGAAGAGCGACAGTGCTCGTCAATGCAGAGCCATATCCATCTATGTAATATCTGCCTTGATGTATATTGTAGTGTTCTTTCACCGTTTGGTTGCTGCTTCCATCGGGGAAGAGTTTCATGATAAATTTAGTGCGAGTTCCAGCGTATCCAAGGAAATGATGTTGCCAATCTTCGGCTCGCTTTACTTCTACTTTTACGCTTTTTTGCAACCTTTTGTAGGCATTACAGTGGATGCGATAAAGCCGCGGTGGACAATTTTTATGGCTGGAATTTTTATGACTGCAGGATCTCTTGTGATTGCTTTCCCTAGAAATCTAGCTATAGTATACTTTGGGAGATCGCTGGTGGGGATAGGGGCAGCCTTTGTGTACGTTCCGATACTGAAGCTGATCGCTCTGTGGTTCCCCATCCATAAGTTCGGGCTGTTAACCGGGATTATGGTAGCTCTGGGGGGACTCGGGGGCTTTTTTTGTACTGCCCCTCTTACCATATTGATCCAGACAATAGTCAGAAATCCGAATGCAAAACCTTTAATTATAGATTATATTTTTAGTATTGTTGGGGGCATAACCGCCCTGCTAACAGTTATATTTGTTTGTGTGGCACACGACACCCCGGAGAAGGCTGGCTACGCCCCCATAGCCAACCCCTCTGCCAGCAAACCTGAACAGCTCGGAGTCACATCAACAGACCCTACAGACCCTACTCTACAACAGAATACTGTGCCAGCCGCCGGGCCTACGGTGGCCGAAGGCAGCTTGGTCTCAAGTGGAGTCGTCAATGCTCCCGACTCTGCCCATGACTTTTACTGCAACACAGCTGCGCCCACCTTCGAGGTCGTGGAGCCTGCGGTAAGGAGTGATCCTGCTGCGTCCTCACTCGCGAAGAAGAGTCACTTAGCGGAGTTCTGTGATTCCATGAAGATCGTCTTCTGCTCAGAGAACAGCAAGTACCTCATACTAATGATGGTAGCCTACTTCTTCTGCACCGGGTCATACTTCACCATCTCTGCAACTGCAGGAGTTGAGCTTATCACCAACACAGTTAGCCAAAATGGAGGCAATGTAAAGCTAGATGCTACATGGGTGCAAGCAGGATTGAACCTGGGGACGATCGTGGGGTCTCCACTCCAGTCAGTACTCGCCAATCTTATGGGCAGAAAACCAATGCAACTTATTAATAATGGAATTATGTTTTTAGTGTACTTAGGGATTGCTATAGTAAAGCTCGTCAATCCAGCCATTTGGGGCTACGCGATCCTTTATGTCTTCATCGGTCTTGTAGGAGGCACTATGATTGTCGTGGCCTATACAAATGTAAAAGAAATGTTCCCAATCGCTGTTTCTGGGACGGCGATCGGCTTCTTCAATATAGCTCCCTTCCTGGGCGCTGCAGTGTTCCAGAATGTATCGCCGGAACTCATAAAGTTGAACGGAGGAAAGAGATATGAGAACATGTGCTACTTGCTGGCGGTAAATGCAGTTGTTGCAGCGCTTATCCTGATATTCTCCAAGGAGACTAGTCCCGTGAAATCACGGAAACAGAAAAAGGCATGATTTACTGCCGAGTGTATAATGTAAACATTTTGCATGCCACGTCGGTAGTCTGCTGAGTCAGTCGACCATCCGCTTCAGCATGAGGCGCTCTAGAGCATATGAATCGTTGAGGTCGACATCGTCTTCGTCCCACACTATGTCTGGAATAGGTATCAGGTCACGGTAGATGAACGTGGGAGGCTGAACAGGGTGGTTCATCATCCGATGCAATTGCAATTTTGATGTCACATATCTTAACAATTTTTTAAAATCTTTGAGTGACTGTTAGCAGTAATAAGCAGGGCATGCAGCAGGACAAAGTGGGCGAGCCGATCCAATTTACTCTTGAAAACTACTACAAGGCGCGTCTAGAAAATACACGGGCTCTTGTTTTCAAGAAACGTCAAGAGCTTGAAACCATATTATTCCGACGCAGCGAGCTTAACAACCAGGTGAAGCACCTTAAGGAGGAGCTTGCAACACTTCAAGAGCCTGCCTGCGACATTGGAGAGGTCATCAGACCCCTTCCAGACAATAAGTGCTATATCAAGTCCTCTGTGGACGACAAGCAGATAGTTAACGTTTCTTCGAAGGTTTCGATGAGCGACTTGAAGCCTGGGCTCCGTGTGGCTCTTCGGTCGTCAGACAGCGAGATAGTGATGATTCTCCCCAAGCACGTTGATCCAGCTATCTCGCTGATGAAGCTTGACAAGGTGCCAGATCAATCATATGACGACATTGGAGGACTGAGCAAGCAGGTGTTAGAGTTGCGAGAGATACTTGAGCTACCCATAAAGCATCCCGAGGTTTTCAAACGCCTGGGGATCCCCATGCCGAAGGGAGTGCTTCTCTATGGAGCTCCTGGCTGCGGTAAGTCTGCCGTTGCACGTGCAGTTGCTCATCACTGCGGGTGTACCTTCATTAGGGTCTCCGGCAGTGAGTTGTTATCGAAGTACATCGGAGAAGGCAGTAGGATGGTCAGACAAGTGTTCCAAATGGCACTTAAGAACGCGCCTGCAATTGTGTTCATCGATGAATGCGACAGTATTGGGACGAAGCGCTCTGAGGATTCGCATGGAGGGGAATCAGAGGTAAACCGCACAATGACGGAACTGCTCAGCCAGGTCGACGGCTTCGAAGAGAACAATTCGGTTAAGCTAATTATGGCCACAAACCGCATAGACACATTGGATGACGCGTTGCTGAGACCCGGCAGGATTGATAGGAAGGTGGAGTTCCCGCTTCCAGATGTCGCTGGAAGAATAGAGATTCTCAGAATTCACAGCAGAAAGATGAACCTTGTTAGACAGATAGACTTCAAGAAAATCAGCCAGAGCATGGAGGGGGCTTCTGGTAGTGACTGCAGGGCTGTCTGCATGGAGGCAGGGATGTTTGCCCTTAGGGAGCGACGGAACTATGTCACAGAGGACGACTTCACGTTGGCGGCGACCAAAGTTATGAGCTGGAAGGATGTAGGGGTAAAGATCTCCGAAAAGAAGATGGTGAAGTGAATTGAAGAATCAACTGCACCCACCACGCCATTGACGTGATAACGATGCCAGGATGATGTCTGCAACAAGATGTGAGTGCAGCGCATAGCACACATTGGGTTAGTGAGTCTGCTAGTACTTAGAGCCTTGGAAACGAGGCCGAGCGCATGCCTTTGGCCTCTCTCGTGGGTTTGTGGTGAGGAAGATGCCGTCCTTAACGTTGTGTATAGTGTTTGCTGCTTCATACTCCTGGATCTCGTAAGGGCCTGCAGAAACGTACGTGGGATGCGAGTGGTGAACGCATCCTCCCGGAATAAACTTGTCGCCGATTCCTTTACGTGACTCTCTGCCCGATATGTGCACATTTGAGCCAGTGGGTAGATCCATTGTGTTAGGGAACTGTCGAGGTCCCTTGTAATCTTCTGGAGTGCCTACTCGTTCGCTCTTGATTTTCCGTGAGTAGATGCTCGGGTCAAAAACATCATTCTTAGTCTTTCCTGCTTTGAAGGATCCTCCCTTGAAGTTGTGTGACCGATAGTTTGGGTGGTTTACGTTGTCATTGTACGGCTCCGGCTCCCATCTGTAAGGATTATCATAGAATGGCCTTCCGCTTGTCTTGAAAGGCATTGGATGCCCATACTTTTTATGGTTAAAGCCTCGTGACTCAGCACTTAAAGCCCGTCCGGTCTCACTTCCGTCTTTGTCCCCGTCTGGGACAAGTATGCCCCCTGGATACCCCTTCAGGCAGTACCGCAGATGAGGACCCTTATTTATGTCCCCCTCTGGCTTCGTCTTAATATTGGGATGGTGCCCCTTGATCCTGTCATCGGGCTTATTGACCATCTTGGCGTGATAGTAATCAGGCGTACAGGTCTCATCACACTTATGGGAATACAAGTTATTGTCCGGCCTGTCCTGGTGTGGATCAGGCCAGGTGATAGTCGTGTAGAGAGAAGCAGCTCCTGTAGAGACTTGGGGATTGGAGTTGGGGAGAAATGGTTGGCGGTTAGGGTTCTTCCCGGGCCGAAAGTCATGATTTGCGACGGTGTTCTTTGCCTCATATGGCTCGTTCTTTGAAAAAGGCTGGTATCCGGATAGGCCTATGTCTGTTCCCGTGCCCCGGCGCATAGCAGATGTCGTGAAGCTGCGGGGTCCCTTAAATGCCCGAGTGTTATAGTTTTGTTCCTCTGGCTCTAGGGACAGCGTCCCCTGTGGAGCATCACCCAGCATTGGCTGCGGTCCGAAGAACCCATAGCGTCGGCAGGACATTGGGCTAAATTTGGTTTTCAAGCAAAAATTCTAAGCCACCGCCCAAAACTATGCGCAAAGGCAGGCTAAGACCCAAGACTAAGCAGTCGTCTAGTGATGAATCAGACCCGCTAGTACTCAATGAGATGCTTAGCAATGATACTAAAACCAACGAGAAGACAAAGCGGCGCCTTCTGACCACTCAATACAAGGAGCGATTGATGAACAGTCAGTTTATTCTAGGGTGCAGGAATTCTATCCAGCACATAAGGGAATGCAATACGGTCTTCTCTGCCGCTCAGAGCTTCGATATATATCGCCTCACCATGTTCAAATCAGCCTACATAGCATATTTGGTGCTTATATTCCTACTGATAGGAATCAATATATGGGCACTTGTGTTGAGTACAAATGTGTTCTTCTCAAAGCAGACCTACGGAAGCTATTTCTGGATAGTTGAGCCCATGCACATCAGCTCCATAATTTTGCTTCTAATACTCACATTCTTTCTTTCTGGCCTTTACATCCGACAAGACGATTCTATCTCTGTAAAGATAGGGGCCGTCGTGTCCATCTTTGCTATCCACATATGCGTCGTCATGCTGTACATCCTTCAGAGCTTCAATACAAATATCGTTGTCAACACACGTGCCCGGATATTGAAGTATCTAATACTTACCCAGGTGATAATAACGTATACTGTTATCTTTGTGATAACGGTGATGTACTTCATCCTCGCAATAGTGAAGAAGTGATCAGGGTCGTTACCAATTACGTTAGTGCAATCGCGAGACGCGTCTCTTAAAAGTCAGCAAGATACTGCTCAAATCCCACGTCACTGTCTTCGTCGTTTGCACCATAGTTATTAATGTTGGTACTGGAGGCCGCGATTTGTGTGTTATCAGCTGCAGAAGCGATGCCCGACTCACCTAGGTTGAGTTCAGTCGTCTCCAGCTGGTTATGGGTTGCCAGCATGTTTCTTGTGGTTTCTGACCTGTCACCGAACCAGAACCCTGTGCTTCTAGTTGAAGGCGCTGCAGTGTTTGTTGAGAAGTGAAGCTCTCTGAACACATTAGTGACCGAGGACGTTGTTGGTACATACTCTACCTGGGTCGACTGCTTGCTATAAAGAGGGAGAGCAACTTTGAGTAGATGGAGCGGAACCGTGATCTTTCTATCGCTTAACTGTACTTGGCCTTCCCCCCTATCGTTGACAGATATCAGCATCCCTTGCTTTCCGGAGTACTGACGGTCTATGCACACAACTTGCTGACCAATATTCATTGTGTTTCTATTCCTTGATAACTTGCGGTTGTAGTTGTCTACGTGTCTTCCACTGACTAGGCTATCGCATGAGCGCGAGTCGACCGGGAAGATGTTCCTTTCCATGATATTCTTTGAGGGCTCAATGAACAATATCGACGGATTGTTGACGCTTATCTGGATTACCTCTCCTATCACACCCTTGTGCTCCTCTACTGTATCCCGAACACGCACAACGCTCTCTACGTTCATCATCCGCCCATCGTGGTCCTTTGGCATCGGAAGGTTGAACGGACGTTGAACTGCACTCAGCTCTTCCAACTCACATGTTCTTTCTTCACCGGAGGCAGTGACAATTACGACATTGGTATGTCCAATGAAGACCACAACAGCGTCCTCGTTGTTTCGCGTCTGAACCAGCCGTTTGTTCTTAATTATATCGCCGCTTACAAGCTTGTTCTCTGATAGCCCGTTCCAAGTTCCTGGGTGCACCCGCACCTCATCTGATGTTATCTCTTCTGTCATATCGTAGAAGGCACTAACGACGTCTTGGTCACCATCGGCGTCGTACCCTAATGTGCCTATGTACTCGTTGGATGTGTCCACCTTAATGCGGAGTAAAAGGTATCGCTGGTCTGCAGACCTTCCAACCTCTCTGATTTCCCCGGTTGTGTTCTCATATTTGCCCCTTTTAATCTGGACGTGATCGCCGATAGACACTAAGCGTATGAGATGGCTTCTCTGTATGGTATGCAGCACTCGTGTCGCGGGAGCTGCTCCCTGTGCGTTGTGCTGTCCTGAATCAGTGTCATCATTGATGCTTCGGGCCGGTAACCCAATGATTTCTACCTCATAGTGGGCGTCAGCCCCGTGGCCTGTCGACTTTGCTCTCACTATACCCTTCACGTTTGTAAGGTCCATTCCCCGCAGAGAATAATTGTGTATAATTACTTGTTCACCTGTGTACAAGGAGCTCTTCTTTTCGTTATCTATACGCTTCTGATTGGCAATGTTAACAAACTGTTTATCAACGTCTGATATCTGTGAAAGCGAAATCTCCTTCTTGGCCTTGAGATATCGCTCTTGAGATAGCGGCACCAGACCCTTTAATGGTATACCTTCTAGAAGTTCGTATCCATCTTGAAGAAGGACGATTTCGTTTTCCCTGGTGATACTAGTGACACTACTATATGTAGCTGACTCGCCCATACAGTCTTCAAATTCTTCCCTTGTTAGGCGCCTGGGAGGGTTTTCATTGGATGGACGCTCTCTACTGTGCAAAGAAAGAATGCGCGGGAGGACAGCGACAAGTGCCGTCTGGTTCTTGATCTCTAGCACGCAACAGCTATCTTTTCTGTATGCACGTTTACCATGCCTCAACTCATAAAAGCCTCCAACATTAATCTTCTCCGTCTTTATTTGATAATCAAGGATGTTGTAGCGGTTCATTAGGGGAACAAAGTACAGAGGTGGAGGGGGCTGCTTGTTCTTTCTGCGGGTAGTGCGTGCTTTAGTGAATGTTGTAGCTGTATATGGTCCCAGATACTCCATGAATTGAGCAAGGAAGGCCTCGCATGTCCGCAAGTCAGATACCTCGACATAGATACAACTGAGGTCGTTTGGATTGGTGAAAATGGATCGCACATCAAAGCTTGATACCCTGCCCAGGCCTACGTACTTATCTGGATTGTTTGCACGCACCTTTAGTTCGATCAAGCGGTGATGCATCTTGAGCAGGCAGATGAACTGCTTCCCACGCTTCACGGGAACTCTGTAGATGTGTGGATCAGTCTCCTCTATTCGCACGTGTCTCTGCTCTTCTGCATCCTGATAGTCGGCTTCGAGATGATATCTTCTACCAAACGCCGCCTGGTCCATACTATCATTGATCACTGCTCTATTATCCATCGCTCTATGTTCATTCACCTGTGCCAGATTGTCGGAGTTAGAATCATCGTCGCTGGTGATAATGCCACTATCTGACTCTGCCTCCTCTTCTGACAGCTCTTCCTCATCAGTTGAATACTTTGCGTCATCGTCGTAGCTATCAGAGGCCTCGCGGTCTTGAAAGTCTGTTGCGCGAAGCGGAGCAGCGTGGGATGTGCGCTTTGTCTGTGGCTCCAGACTTGCCATCCGCTTTTTAATTTATTTGCCTTAATTTACTTGTCTTTGGGCTGGCCTCGTCGGATCATTTACCGATAGGAAAGCCTACCTCTTCACAAACAGGGCAATTCTTGCTCTTAGTTATTAATGAGTTCCATGGTGCAGGGCGTGCATAACACCCACAGATTTGGCAAGCACGCGAGCTTGGAAGCATGTGTGTGTTGGGATTGATGACGTGACAGCCCGTAACCGCGCAAATTGGACTGACCTGGCGACAGTTGATGCATGAGCATGCCCCTATCCAAATTGGTTTTCCACAACCGAAAGGACAAGGCTCTCGTGGTAACTCTTGCGTTGTGGTAGTACTTTCGTCCATGGTCAGTTCTAGAATAAAGGCCCGCACTTCATCCGCCCTAGATTTGGACAAATACAAGTTGACGGGTACTTGAGCAGTCCACGGGATTCCACTGCCTGTTAAGTCTGATATGTCTATACGCTCTAAATTTCTCGAGTGGTTAGATATTTCTTCGTGAAGATCAATGAACTTATTGAGGAAAACGCAGCATTGGTTGAGGTACTGTGTTCGGGCTTCCATCACCTTAGCATTAGAGTTTCCGTTGGAGATCTCCACAAATTGCTTGCAGCTTTCGCCTGCGACGACAAAGCACCTGTCGACGGGCAGCAAGTCACAATAGCGCACGAGACTGGATGAAACTAAGACGATGTCTCGCATAGAAGAGATGGTCTTTGCTCCAATGAACAACTTGGCCAGCTGAATTATCAGGTGCGTTGCCTCGAAACAGCGAGACAGCTCCTGGTCACCGGGAATAAAGTTAACCTTATCTGTCTCTGCTGCTTTTGTGCCTCTGACAGTGTTCAAAAGCATGTTTCTGTAGCTTAACAAAATGCTCCGTAATCTACAAAAGATCCCGTCTCCGTGTGTCTCTTGTTTTGTTATGCGATTAACGTATTCGGACTCTACAAACGCCAAAGAGAGGACCCCTCTGCATACTAGCAGTAGCTGCTCCCTATTGCAGACGTCAGAGATAATTAGGCTTATAGTGCCCTTGCTTTCTGTCCCAGTTGTGACAGAAAGAGGCACGCCCTTGCTCAAGTATGCAACCGCAAGGGACATGACACGTTCATGAGGCGAGCCTATCTCCTCGAAATTGTGAATGGACGGCGAGATAATTGCTATATCTTCCACGATGCTTGAGTCCTGAATGTCATTGTTAAGCACCATTGACGCTAGCTCGGCACAACGATGAAGCACAACCTCGAATAGAACATCGCTACCACTGCGGGCCGCAGACATCAGCATTTTACGCAGGCCGGCGCTACTGCCTGCCTCCAGTATGGACCTGGCAGTCTGCACATCGCTTCCATGCTGCTTAGTCCTACCAGCAAGGCCGGATCCATCACCAAGATCTGCCTTTGCGCCAGGCTCAAAAGCACTTGCACTTGTGCCGAGCCCCGAGCGAAGCTTATCATGCTTTACATAAGACTCACTGAGGTTCTCCACTAGGACGCTATCTCCGTGTTCCTTGGCCACCCGAAGAGCATCTTGCCACATTTGGTTGCTTCGATAGATAGATATTATATCTTCTACAAGACCTAACTCAATGAATTCCGCCTCAGCCTCTCGCCACTTCCCTTCACTAGCTAGTACTCTCGCTTTGGATTCACGGATACTGCGCATGGCTCTTTCACGCTCAAAATTACTAGTCATCTCCATAGCTGCCTGCTGCGCATCTTCAAACTTTCCTGTATCAAGGTACATTCCAACTATTTCTTGGTGCTTTCCTGCTTTTGCGTAGAACTCCTCAGCCTCCTTTAGGCGCCCTTCTATTTCCAGCTTCCTTCCTCTGCGCCAGAAGAGATCACAGCGTACAGCTTCTGGATCTGGACAATATTCGCTAAGCTCTGTGCACACGTCCCACATACCCCTATCAGCTGCCTTGGTAAGAGTCGGCTCAATAATATTGAGCTGCTTAAGCTGCTGAATAAGAAGAGATCTGTTAGCATTAGAGCTAACCCACAAAAGGCAAACGTCAGTTAATGCGTCCATGTCCCCACAGCGCTTGCACAACCGAATAGCCTCTAAATACATAAATAGGTCGCAGTACATAGAGCTAGCTTCCAAGAGGACGTCTCTGCGCGCTTGTATCAAATGACTAGCCTGTGTCCGTAGCCGCGTGTAGCCGTCAGTCGCTGCACCCATGCCTCCAGAGGATCCACTCGATGATCCAGATAACCCATATAGCTCCATGCAAAGCTCCTCGAGTATCGTGGCGCAGCTCTTCTTATCTCCTTTCACTCTTTTAGCATCTGCAACCATGCGCAATATGTCAGGGTAATTAGAGAAGGAAGCCGCGTGTTCTTTAGCAAAGCTATATAGCTCGTCCCACATAGAGTTCCCTTGTAGAATATCCGCCACGTCCTCATACAGGCCAGCAAGCTTTAGAAGTTCGATCGCAGAATAAACTCCACGAATATGGGACAAGGACTCCATACGATTAAGGAAAGATTGGACATTCTGCTTTTCTGAGGATTCTCCGGAAGAGCTCGCGAACACCCCAGAGCTAGTTAGTGTCTTCGTTTTTTCTTGTACCGGATTGTTCGACGGAGCAGACCCGAGTGAAATAATTCTTTTAGCCTCGTGAACAAGGAGTTCTCTGTAGCTCTGCCGCGGAAGATTTGACCGTATAAACTGAATGGCCTCATCAAACTTCCCGGCACAGATGAACGCAGACAGCCCCAGTAAGGGTTGATCTGCCTTTAAAAGCCAAGTCGCTGCCCCTGCAGCGTCTCCGGAGATATATTTCATCTCGGCAAGTCTAAAGCAGAGATGAGCGTTAGTTTCTGCGGCCGGGATGTCCATAAGCAAGGATTCGACGAGCTTAAAGTTATTGGCACGAAAGGCGGATTCGACAGCCATTTCCTGGTTCATGCACTCAAGATAATGCTGCGTGGCCTTGTCGTATTGCCCCGTTTGAAAGAGCCACTCTGCCCACTCTCTCTCTATTGGCAAACATTCGTGAGGCAAATGCTGGCGTGCGAGTTCGAGTGCTTCATCAAAAGCATGTGACTTTCGAAACAGAGCTAGTGCACGCTCGTGATTCCTTCCGGAGCCAAGCGTGCATAAGACTGCTGCCTGACTATAGTGATGTGAATCCTCTAGCTTGCCGATGAGAAGTTCTATTATTGGAGCAAGAGATGGATCTGCAGATGATGTCATCGCCCGCTTAGCAAGCTCAAACGCACTCAAATAGGACCTATCTTGAATCAACAGATCTAGAGCCCCACGCACGTCTCCACGCTGGGCTAACAGCATGCCTGCAGTAGTCATCTGGCCTGAGTTGATGAGCCATTGAATTGCCTCAGTCCTAAGGGTGTTTATCATAGATTCCGGACATATTTTCTCTGCTCGACTATATAGATTCAACTCTTTATAAAGAGTGAGGACCTCATCAATCCGCCCACAGGACATCATCAAGCCATCATACTTGTCCAAGTCGGAGTTGAGCAGTGCTATCTGTGCCTGACAATAGAGATTCATACGATCGTGCGTCATTCCGGCCTCTCCGTCCTTTGCGTTCTGCACTCGCTCATGAATTTCTCTTGCGGTGATAGAGAGAGGCAGGTCACCCAGTGCCGCATAGCACCGACTGGCGACAATAAAATTGAATGAATCTAGAGCCACACTGCACAGCTTTTGCCACAGATTACGATTTGTCACGCGTGCGTTGTTATCCTGCAAAGCAGACAAGAGCTGGCAGGCCCCTAAAATATCATGCTTGTCGAGGAGTAGGTTGAACAGCAGAAGGTTAGTGTCCAGAGAAACACTTGTCTGTCTACCTGATGGAGTTGTCATGATAGCTTGCACAGAGATATTCTTGACATGTCCGGCTGTGATCTTGCTAAAGTTGTTAGGGTTGCTCTTTACGTAACTAAAAGACCAGCTTTCATTGTCCACAGGAACAGGGGGTTGAAGAATCTCTGGCGCATCCTCTATATCTGTGGGATTATACCATACATATAGTGGTGCGTCTGGAGACTCCTGGCCTACGATAACGTCGAAGGGGTCCGCCCACTGAACAACCCCATTACCAACACTTGTGCTTAATTGTGTAATGGAATAATCTGTGATATTAAGGATAGAGACTCCTCCGGATATGTCTCGAAGCAGAACTGCGTTGCCACTTGGACCAAAGAATAGCCAATCCACTGCTCTGGAGGTCTTTGTACGGAAAAGGACAACAATTGGGTCGGAAAAATCATCGCACATGTCCGGTGGCATTAGGTCGGTAACTAATACATCTGTGCGCTCTTCACCTAAACAAACAGTGCGGATCTTACTGATCCGGTTCAAGCTTCCTGCTGCATCTTCATAAATAGGATAGCAGCTAATGACAGAGGCATGCGGGGCCACACATCCCCGCATGGTTGCATAGATATCCACCTTATAAAAGGTACACCCAGGATCGGACTGTGTAGTCAAGTAGCAAACTGTAAATTCTCCTAATGTATTGGAGATCACCATTGTTCTACAAGCGCCTACATCAAAGAAGAATTTGTCTGTGAGGGAGGCATTGTAGCGAAACTCGTTAATAGTGTCGTCGTTTAAGGAATAAATAACAATCGAAGAGTCTCCAATGCCAAGTAAATATATGTTGGTAGACTTATAACCGGATGGATTCTGAACAAAAGAAGTGAAGTCGTGCTTAGGGAAGGCTTTCACTGTCCTCAGTTCAGAAGACATAGAGGCATGAAGGTCTATGGATCCTGCAGCAAAGCGCTTTGAACCATTAAAGCGTGGTATATTAATTGTGGCACGATTGGGTGCACTATTGACAACCTCTGCACCACAGTAGCGGTAGCTTCCAATAGTTGGGGTGAAGTTGTCCACGCTACCCAGAGAAGTCCCCACAGTCAGAACAGAGACGTCTGGGCGCCATGCAATACTGGTTATTTGAGGAAGGAAGCCTTTGCCGGAGTCCTGGTAGACAGTCACTGCAGAAGACGAAGCTTCATACGAGACCGTGACCGGCTGAGAGTTGACTAGTGTAAGAAAATGAAGTCCACTAGCGTTGGCAACAATGCATCCTCCTCCCGAAGGGCTCGCTGTTGACGCAGTGAAAGGAATGTTCTGTGGAGTCTTGATATTACACACACAAAGCGCAGCAGACGTCTCCACTGCATAGACTGTGACCTTGCACATTACATCTGCTAGTACAAGGTAGTGTCGCCCATGAGACGTCTTTTGGGCAATCATGCAGGCAGTAGTTACGGCTTTCGAGTGTCGTGCAGCAGCTCTGAGCTGTTGGGTCTTTATATCCACATAGACAGCTAGGCCTGATTCTGCAACTGCCACAAAGCATTGAGGCATGGATGGAATGGGCAGTATCTTGATGATGGGGCTGGACATTGGCGAAAGAGGTGTAGCCTGGTTGTCAGCGGTCGTTGTCTTGGAAGACGCTAACGAGGCGAAGCATGCAGATGAGACAAATGCTTGAATTGACTTGGACTGAAAGGAATAAAGGTATAAGTTGCCAGATGCTGTGCCGAAAATAATTGGAGATAACTCTGAGGTAGCTTCACTAAGAGGCCAAGAAACCGCTGTGACTGCATCGTCCATAGGTATGCGCGCTACGATAGACTTTTTGTCTGTCCAGAGCTGACCTAATCGGAAGATATAGGCTACTTTATCTGACTGGCCAACGACGAACAGCGTAGAACAAGGAGAAAAGGTCCCACACAGAGGAATGAAGTCTTTGTTGCTGGACTTTACTTCTGTGCTTCTGAGTCCGATCTTATCCTGGCGCTCACCCTGATCGTTGAACAGGTAAAGCGAATGATCAGCCGTCAGCACCCCCAATTTCTGTGAGTTGGGGCTCCAATCTATGCCCATGACGATCTTTTCCCCGGTTGATTGGGGGTAGAGGTTCCTGGAATAGGACAAAATCATTTTTTAATCGGAGTTTAGCTGAGTAGATGAACCCTGCTCTGCACTGGTCTCTACGGCCACTGCCAACCGTTGCCAGAGCCTTTCAGTTTGTCCTGGACAATATTAGTAACAGACTTCTTGAAATTGCCGGCTCCACAGAGTATAAGGCAACCATGCATGCCATTAGGTGTTTGGTAGAAAATGCTATTGACGTCCTTAGAGGTGCCAGCGACACAGATATTCTTGTTCATTCCTCAATTCTTAACTCCGTTATTGTATGCGTCCTGAAACACCTTTTCTTAAACCCTTCCAATCTGGAGTTGTATACTTCCTCTCATTTTGACCTCTGCTGCCAAAAGCTTAATGAACTACGGGCACAGTACTTCACAGAGCTCCTAGGTGCTTCCAGCATGCAGCTCGCTTGGGCACGCCTTTTCCCCATCGTGAAAGACTCCCTGATGATACTAAGACAACCAAAGTATGAGAACCATGCTTCTACGCACATTCTAACTGGGGCATTATTTCTTAATCCTCTGCACTTTCCCCTGGAAGACCTACTCTCTGTACTCTATAGCCGTAAACCTGCAAGTTTCGTTGTTGCCAACTTAATACTACATCTGCCCATCTTTGCCAGACTTTCATTTGTCAAACCAACTGTACATCTATGGGGAGCAGACACTGTTTCTAAGAGGTTAGCTAGATTCAAGCTCTTTGCCAGCGCATTACATTGGCTATGTAGGCCATCACATATTATTCTTCTCTTTGTTAACAGAAGTCGGAAAGACTCTCTTTTACCACAGTTTGCGATGGCGTTAGAGGATATAGGCGCTAGCTACTTTGCTTACTTGCGATTTACATGTGGCTGGAGTACACAAGTGTCGTCTATTCCTCTGTGCACTTCTTATTCCACGTCCTCCTTAGATACAGTTATCAGGATGCTTAGCGAATATCCTGTCCTCAACGATCCAGACGAGTACATCATATTATGTGAGCTACTCTTATCCACTGGAATGCAAGCATATGCAAAGCTTTTCGGTCTAGACACAGAAGGCTCAGTGCCTCGCTCCATAACAAGTTCATATGTAATAAGAAAACTGATTGTACGATTGCGGTCTGCATTGACTGAGAGTTGTTACGACGTTGCAAATGCAATCTCTGCTCAAACCTTAATAGAACACTTGATTTCTGCATCTACTAAGTCAAAAGATCAACTTATAAGTCCAGTAATAACAATTGTTTGCCTTTCCCTAGTAACTTGTTACTTCAACCTTTCAGCCAAGACTGCTCTGGATTCGTTTGCGCTATCTCGGGATTCAAACAAAAGCATAGTGAAGGCAATCTTCCAGTTCGAGACTCTCATTCTAGTTGCCCTACATGGGTGCATATCGGACGCGTTCTGTAACCTCAACGAACAGGGAAGATGGCTTGAACTTTATCCTATTCTGGACAGTAGCATATGCTGTATGCAAATCCCTGAGGAAATAAAGATCCCAATTCATAGGATATTAGGGCTGCCGCTGTCCCGTCCAATAGCTGAGCTTTTTAGAAGCATGGCTACTCCATCTTCTAAGCAATCAAAGCTGAAAACGACCAAAGGAAAGTCCCGAATGCCCGCACTATGTACTCACGAATGTAGGTTTATTGTGATGGTTCAGGGCACGGAGCGCGAGCTGTCTCTCTTTGAACTGTTAGTTTGGGACCTGCATCATCTGGAGCTGTCACAGTTAATAGGCCACATACAGCATCTCTGGAATTATGACTGGAGCGAGGCAGAGAAGAAGTTACGGATCGTGATGCAAACGCTCCATCGGACGTTCTGCGTAAGTGGTAACATGGTGCAGCTGAGCTCACAAAGCAAGACACTAGACAGCAGTAAAAACACATCTCAGTACATGAGTAAGGTCAGGACTATGTCCCGAAACCAAACAGAACTAGTTGCAAGGGCAGAGCTAGTGTATACAATGAAGCGCATCGGCTCCATTCAGCTCACAGATGTGTTACAGATTTATAGGTATATTGGTGACAACAACCATAGTGCCGCCCTATCACGTCTAGAGCCAGATGCGATAAACCACTTAGTGGCATGGGGAGTTGAGAACGGGTATTTTAAAATATCTGGCCACAATCCCCAAATGCTTTACTATATAAATTGAAATTAAGATACAAAATTAATTGCAATAAATAATTTGAATAATATTGACTAAAGAGAGAGACAAAGAACCAGATGAGGAATCAGTGGCTGCCGGCACCAAATCACTCACACAGCTGCTGGAGACGCTGACTGAGGCGTGATCATTTTGATGACTTTGCATGGCCGTAGAGCAGATACTTAAATTATGAGAAAAATTAAGCAATGACCACCCAGACCTACACACCCAATGAGGAAAAAAGAGTCTATGCGGGGACAACCATGTTGATGATCGGTAGCTGCATAGGTGCATCCCTCCTGGCCTTGGGAAATCGCTTCAGTAATCTTGGATGGCCACTCTCAACGGTATACATGACCCTCGCGGTTATATTTTCTTTCTGGGGATACCGGCAAATAATTGATGCATGCACCTACACCAGATACAGCACTATTCGTAGTCTTCTCATAGTCACGTGGAATAAGGTCATAGCGGAAATAGTAGGCTATGCGACCATGTTCTTGATATTCGGTTTTCTCGTAGCATACTGTGTTATATCCAGTGACTACATTCACAGTATCTATAACTTCTTTTCAAAGACTCCGGCCTGCAATCAGCCGGCGGCATATGATGAGGGCCTCTGCAACGAGTACATCAAGTGTGTGGCTGCTTCCAACAAGGTAGATAAAATAATACGCGCTATTGTGGGTGGCGGAGCATTCATGCTCCTTTCGTTCGTCAGTAGCGTCGGCATTCTTTCGTTGATCTCTAGTCTTTCCCTTATATTAGTTGTCTTTTCGATAAGTGTCATCCTTGGGCGATGCATTGAGGCGTTGATCAAAGGAAAGCTTGCGCATGACAGTGGCGGCTGGACAAGACGGGAGCCGCCCATTCCCTATAAGCCCGATGTTTGGTCTGTACTGATAGACTTTCCATCTTATTTCTCTCTGTATACACTTATACCCACAATCCCGTCTCTCTATGCAGAGATGAAGGGATCTATTAGCGAAAAAACGAAGATTATACATCGGACGTCAATATATGCCACTGTTGTCCTCATCACAATATACATGTTGTTAGCGTATGTGACATCTGCCACATTCTATGGTTCCAATCAAGAGAACTATAGACAAGATAACATCCTGAATAACTTCAGTGATAACGACAAGCTGGTTCTCTCCGTGCGCATATTGTACGTGTTGGTTATCTTTACTGCATTTGTCTGCTGTCTCTTCCCGTGCCGTGCCATTCTTCTTGATATCGTCAAGGCAGATCGGACAACGAAGCGTGGGAAAGTTTTGTTTTTTGTCACAGGAATCATCATTGTGTTACTTCTCACTATTCTGGCCATCTTTGTCCCGTCAATAACCCTTGTGTTCGATATTATCACGTCACTATTTGGATTTGTCTTGTATCTGGGTCTTCCAATTCTTGTGGGGTTGAAGATACCCGTCCTGAAGGCTAGACGCGAATACATGGAAGCTACGCGCGCAGCCATGCATAGAAAAGATCCAGACACAGAGATGAAGCAAACAAACGCCATGGAAGCCAAAATACGCGACCGGACTAACTCTATAACTGCCTTTCTTAGCGTGTTTGGGCCTGGAGCCACCGAACGGGTCCGTCAGGCGAGTGAATCTATTGTCAGGCGCATGAGTATGACCAGCGACCGCCTATCCATCGGTGGAAGGGCTGATAGGGCATCGTCCAGCAGTGGTCGTAGGCTTTCTTCCTATCGACACTCTCACATCCCATTCAAAGGAGTTCCCTCGACGATACCAGAAGCCAGTGATTTAAGCAAGATTGAGACACCCCCTTTAAACAACGTCTCGTTAGAATCTGAACACGCAAGACAACAATCTCGTCTTCAGACGATTCCTGAGACATACGAGCATGACAGAAACCGTGTCCAAGAGGTCACTGAGCCAGACACAGAGGAAGAGGAGACAACTCACAACATCTCTACACGTGTTGTGACAGAACAGGTTGCAATCGACCATAGCCATACGATATCAGACGAGGTGCTTTTGGAAGGATTTACTCCTCCGAAAGTTTCACTAAAGAGGCAAATCATCTTGTGGACCATCACTTCACTCTTCATTATTACAAACAGCACCTCTTTCGTCATGACTATCATAAAGATCTTTTCGCCCAAGGGCAACACAGGAGTCTGCCCGAAATAGAACTAAAAGGAACTACGCGACCTTAGAGTAAATAGAATCGTACCCTACCTCACCCTTGCTGTCAAGCCTGTCTTGCTCGAGGAAGCATGCAAAGAGAAAGTTGATAGCGGTAGAGATACTGGCAGACTCCAGTGCAAAGTCCTTGGACAAATGCTGAAGAACTCGTGCAACGATGGAGGGCTGCACGCCTGCACAGCTAACCAAATTCAAGAGCTCTGAGAGACTCACAACGTCCCCCGTGTCCAGTTGAAGATAAGGAATTATATTCGTATGGTGCTGATGAAGGAAGAGCACCCGTAAATTCCACGTATTAGCAATCACCAGAGAGAAGATTAAATAGATATCCGTTGCATCGAGTCTACCGTTTTGATAAAGGTCGAAGGTGTGGAAAAGCTGTATTGCTTGGTGTTCAGAAAGCTCGCAAAATTCAGCCAATAAGGCCATGAAGCGCATAAGGCCGACTCGTCCGTCCCGCCCGCAACACTTCTTGTACCACTCTTGGAATTTTCCAATGGAGTACTGCTTGTGGAAGAGCTGGTAGTTTTCAGAACAAGAGCGCGCCTTAAGATTGTCTACCTGAAGCACGTGCCGAAAAAACAGCTCGCTTTGAAATAACATTGTGAGTTTAAAAGCACAGTCTCATGCCAAAACATCATGAAATTTTGAAGCCTTGTTGTAATGGCAAATAGAATCAATAAGCCTTCCCTCCACCAGCCCGTCCGGCAGACACAGTACAATTTGCCAGGAACGTCAGTTGGCTTTGAGGTGCACACCTACAACGTAACGGGAGGTGTCCTGCCTCCCATCATTAAGCCCACTAAGAAGAGGCGTAGCAAGCTAGAGACATCTCCATTTATTATCTCTGCAGAGGAGGCAGATTCCTACCTGGAGAAGATGGCCAAGGTCCGCATTGATACCGAGTTTTCATTTCAAAGAGACATGTGCCTTAGTGAGGATCTGCAAGCGATACAACAGCGTAGCAGACTGTCCACTTTATTACGCGATAGAGATCAATATGACTATGTTCTAAAAGCCAGAGCTTCCCACTATGCAGGCACGCACCATAGATTGTCAGTCAGCGGACCGGCCTCCAGTCGAATACAAATAGTGGACCCCTTAGTTTTGTCAAAAGACCCTATTGTTGTGTTGGCGGCTCAGGCTACTGCTCCACCAAAGCCAGAGACAGGATCTTTCTTGCTTCATTTTCACTCTACGCCAACGGAGCCAGACTTTGAGCATCGGAGTGTATCTCTCGGCGACTCGAACCATATCGTCTCTCAAATAAATGATCAGAGCAACGCCTCAACCAGTCAACTGCGCTTAAGTGCACTCGATAATCCACAATCTGCTCTTCATAGCAACGAATCGGAGGGCAGGTGCTCTTCTGCTGTTTTCCACGACCTCCCAAAGTTGTCCATACACCAAAGCCCTGCGGCCTCTATAAGGATAGGAGATACAGCTGTATCCATCTCTGACATTGTAGCTGACGCACAAGAGCTAAAGGCTGCACAACTAGTCAGCCCAACGCATGTATGCTCTCAACAGCTTCGTACACCCGATCAGCTTGTAGATCTTGATATACTATCCTACAATCCTAACGACGTGCGGGATCAAATGTTATCCCATTCTCAGTTGCAAGTCAGTAAGGAAGTTATAGACAGTAGTACCCAGTATGCGTTAGAGCAGCAGCGGAGGGACCCTGATCCCCTAGTCGTCAGAGGGTCTTCGGTTCTAGACAAGGACAGAGCTGAAGATGAAGCTCTGACGCATAATAGACAGCGACACAAACAAGTGATAAACATATTTACGCGACAGTTGAGGAACGAGCTTGCTGGAAAAGCCAAGTCAGGAGAAGCGGCACAGATAGGCGGTTATCTGCTACATAGTCTCGACAAGACTATCAGCACTGATCAACTCAAACAAGAAGCTGCAAGCCAGAGACTCCTAGTTCTTGGCCCTGTTACAGCTCTGTCTCAAGTACCCGCTATTCGGCCTCTTCCACCCGCCTCTCGTGCATCCTCTTCGCTTATCTACAGATCCAAATCCAACCCTGCTGTAAGTAAGCATTCTGCATTTATTTGGCACAGTGATTACAAGAAGTAAGATTAGTTAGTCTAGCACAACGTTAATGTAAAGCTTGTCCGTACTTTTGTACAGTTCATCCGACTCCGTGAGGTGATTATAGCCATCTGCAGAGGGCTCCCGCAAGATGAGGCCCGATGTGCAGAGGCGTGAAATTGCCCTTTCTATCAAGTTAAGACTTGGAGGTTCGTTAGTACACAAGGGCTGTTGAATTCCAAGGCCACCATGTCCTAGCTCTATGATGCTTCCGATGGTAGTGTTGTCTCGGGCAGTGGTTTTTAGTATAGCATGTTCTAGTTTTGTTAATTCAGTGGCGCACAAAGCGCTCTCACTGAGGTCAGCGCAGGTTATTTGATCAACTATTCGTAAAGGGATAGTGGTTAGCCCCTCTGCCACAGTACGAGCAATCGTTCTAAAGGTGAATTGCAAGGCTGTTCGTATATCTCCTCCGCGGTGCAAAACTCTTCCGACCAAGAGCTTCAGAACGGCGTCGTTTTGGAAAAGTTGATTCACCTCTGTATACTCAGCCGAGAGCTCCTGTATACGCGCCTTAATAATGGAGGTGAAGGTTTCAGGGCTGTACGCGGGGAACTCCAACTTGGTGATCCCGGAAAGGCGTGAGGCTATCCTGTCAGTGTAGGGAAAGTACAGGGAATTGGCTATTGACACAAAGAGCAGTGGGTGCGGTGCCGTAAGTAGCGTGTTGTACAGAAAGTAAAAGATCTGGTCATTTTTAGACTGAAGATGGTCAACCTCGTCGATAACGATGAGAGTGTTTCGCTTTGTCTGCGGTTGCCGTTGGAAGTGGGCCTCGAGGGCTTTCTTGGCGCGCAGGGGAGCCATTCGGCGAGACTGGGAGAAGATTCTACAGTGGAGCTCCTGGTAGACCTGTTCCGGACGAGCCAGCAAGGCTGCGTTAATCCAGATTTGCAGGGCACCCTGGAGGGACGGGGAGAGCCTGCAGACGTGGCGCAGACAGAGGGTCTTGCCCGTCCCGGGGTTTCCCGAGAGGAAAAGGCCGTGGGCGGTGCCATCGGCGAAGCCCAGAGAGAGAACGTCAGCCAGGACGGAGAGCTCGGCGTCGCGACCGACGACGGCGACGGGCCGATGGGCGAGCCCAAAGGCGGCAGCGGCGGCGCGGAGCATGACAAAGTGCCTGTGGTGAGGCTTGAACTCACGACCTATAGCTTATGAGACTATCGCTCTGCCGACTGAGCTACACAGACGCGCGGCGCGCCACTTAGGAAGCACTGGTTATAGATTCTCATTGGCGCTGGCTCATTCACTCCCAACTCGGACGCGTTGGTCCCGGAACAGCCGCACAAGCGCATACGCCGCCAGGTGCATGCCGCTCTGGATCGTACGCAAGTCCGCCGCATACTGCGACAGGAGGCTCGTGTCGATCTCGGTAATGGACTTTGCGAAATCAAAGAGCCCCGTTTTCTTGAGCTTCGCCACAAATGCTCCCCTTGTGATCTGATAGTGCGTCGCCCGCTGAAGCAGGGCGGTAATACTAGAGTGCAGGTTGCCACACTGCGTTGTGGCCTGGTCGATGATACTCTCGCTCTCCAAGCGAAACTCGTCTCGCGTCCCAAGATAGACGAGGTTAAACATAATGCGCGCAATGAGTCGCTGGACAGCGTTCATTTCGCTCGTCAAAAGAGTTTGGGTTTCAATGATGGTGACCGGACAAATAGAGAGCTCCTTGACCAGGCCCTTTGTGTCACCAGCCGGGTTTTCTGCTGTAGGGTACGCACTCTTCAGGAGCGTAGCAACGTTGGCAGAGAACTCGGTAATGTATGCGGGCTGCAGATAGGGGCTTGTCTCCAAGAGAGTCTGAATACGACTTATCTTCGCAGGTATGCTTACAAAGACGTCCTCCTCGAAACGTACTTGTAACGCCATCAGTCTCTTCTGAACCTGGGATGCAAGCTCCTCGGAATCTTGTCGTTGAGACATTTTTTATGGTGGAGGCTATCTCCACGAGGTTTACCAAGCCACCAACACTACAATAGGAGCAGATAGTTTTTCTTCAGGTACCATATGTAAATTGCAACAACGTTAGTAGTCTTGATGCTCTGAAGACGACCATACCGGTTTGCTCTGCTAACTTAGTAGTGAGGGGCGCTGCTCCTTACAGAAGATCGTCTTATTACAGTTGCATGCTAAAATTCTGCTCCTTAAACAGTTAAGACTTACCTAATTTCTCTCAGGTCACATGCAAAGATCACAGACTACATAAATATCAGCACATACAATATGTGTCCACTAATGAACGGACACCCACAGCTGGCCCGTTGTCATGTTGAAGCTGCCCTCTGTCATCTGCCTCTTGAGATAACAGAGTCAATAAATATTAAGACAAAAGGACACCAACAATGGAGGCGAACACGGCGAGCATCCCCTTCGACCTATTGAGCGGCTTCACCATCTCATATGATAACAGGAGGCCAAGGGCTGCAGATAAGGGTGACCTTGCCGACGTACCTCTCTATGCATATGCAGAAAAAGACATAAGTCACTCTTATGAAATCGATCTGTCCGAGATTCAGTACCGATTGCACCTTGGCCTCCGCTACAAAGCTAAAGGTGATCGCACTCTTGATCCTCCCAATGGTGCTGAGCTGGGCTATATATCATCCCTTGTTAGTTCTTCTTTACAACAACACAACATAGGCGACGGATTTATAAGAAGCATTCCGCAACAAGTATTTCAATCCTTTTACACTACCACTGTGCCGTCGGGACCTGAGTTCCTCGAGATTGTTTTGCAACTTCTCAAAGAGCAGGGTGCCGGTGCTCTGCATAGGTGCCTTTTGGATGGAAAGTTCCCTATTCACATTCTCCGGAGCGTAGTTGACCACTTTAATGGCGCAAAGGTCCTCCCCGCACATGTATCACTTCTCGTCAACGTCTGCAGCAACCTTTTAGCCACCGGTAACGTTAACCTGTTTCTACTAGAGTCTGCACGAACACTTTATTTCAAGAATAATGGAGCGAGTACAGGGCCCTTTTCTCCTTATCATAAATGGATTCTGCATGAAAACCACGAGGCCCATGGATTGGTATCTACTACCCATAAAATCATGTCTACGAAAAGCCTGGACGAGTTCTACCGCGTTGAGGCATCTGTCAATAAGTTCTATGCGCAAAAGCTCTTTGACTATGTTTTCGGCTCACTGTCAAATCCATTTCTGGGCTCGCTGACACTATCCACTATTGGTGGATGTATGTACACGTTTCACAAGCCGAAATTTGATAATTCTCTGGCTATATTCTCAGTTACTAATGGGCTACGCAACGGTGTGCTAAGCGATCCACTCGACCAGCAACCAATCTATTCGTATCGTAAGCAGATTTTATCTTCCTTATACGTTAATCCAGAGGAAGCATCAGGCAATGTGGTCTCCAAGTCAAGGATGGATCAGGATTATGGTATCATTTCTAATTCTAATCTATATGCGCATTCGGGGCGGGTTTTTGTTATCGAACACATAGAGCCCTTTCCTCTTTCAGTTTGCCTACCCGGGATGGCTTACAGACTTGGGATTTTCTACTCCACCCCAGAGAACATGAAGAGTTTTGGGAAGATGCATACTATTCAGTCTATAATAAATACCTATTATACTGGAGACCCATCAGCCTATACAGGGAGTTACTGCTTTACCTCCATGGACACAACTTCCGATCAAGTCTGCGGTTTCCCAGAAGACTCAGACGGGGCCGATGCAGTACGGCAGATTAGCCCCTCTGTAGCTGCTCCAGAGTCGCAGAATCTGCACATGACAGACACCTCTCCACATTCGTCTACTGCCTTTGAAGAAGCACAGCGCAAAGCTAATTTCTACTTATTTCCACCTATTTCACAGAACCAACTTCTCGAAATGGATAGTACTGATCAGAATATGCCTTTTATCCATCCCGTGACAAAAACAACTATTTCGAAGACAACGCTTACTGTGGCGCCACATCTTATTGGACCTCATGGATATGCTCAGTGTTGCTTCTATGGTCAGAGGTGCCGCTTTCTTCTTGTAAAGGACAGGACGCACATTGTAACCCAGAAGTCTACCATACAATACGCAGTGTCCTCTGCACCAGCAGGAGCATCAACCCTTCAGCTTCGGTCTACAAACTGGGTTCTTCGTGAACTACCAACTGTTTGTCTTGCTGGCCAGTTCTTCCCTGCCCCGACGTTCACCGTTCAGCACAGCAAGTCTGGTGCCAAGGATCTGCAGAAAATGAAGGATAACACTAAAAAGGAACAAGTTGATGGCACACTGAACACAACTAACGACCCTGGCAATCATAGTGCTGAACCTGCTCGCAAACAAGCACCAAGGTCTAAGGCCCAATCACAGGACACTATTTCTAATGCATCTGATCCCTCACAATCATACACAACAGTCCCGAGGACCCCTTTTGATGACGATCAGTCTTTACTGACCACTGGACAAAAGCCGTCCTCAGCTACAACAGCTACAGATACAAATAAGCAGAGCCTTGCTGAAAAAATGTCAATAGGTGATAACGTATATTTTGTCCTTGGTCCAGAAAATGTAAAGCGTATAATAAAGCATAGAATAGGATACTTCATTACACGGTTCAACATAGAGGGCGATTTACAAAAGACGGGTACTCAGGAAAAGTCGTCGCTTCAGGCCGCCATACTAACACGCTATAAAGACCTACTTGGCATCTTTGCCGCAGAATCATTTTTCAAGGACATGGCAGACTCTGCAAAGGGAGACAAATCGGACAAGAATGATGAGTTTTGCACAGGTCTAGTTTCTGAGACACACATTTTCTACATCTTACTGTTGGAAAATTTCCTTTCATCAGGGGCGTTTGTGGACAGGTTTCTAACCAAATCTCGGGCAGATTATTATTTGATGCAGGCGGCAAAAATGACCGCAGAAAAATCCGATGCAAAGCTTTTCTTGATAGATAGATTCTTGGGATGGTCTCAAATGGCGCTCTGTCTCCTAACAAACTTCCGAGTTTCTTACATGCACAAGATACGGGAGAACAACGAATTCCAGACATACTCATATGTTGATGAGAATTCCTACCAAAGTTTTGGTGCCACGAGTCTGAGATTTGGCTGTTTTACCTCGCTTCTCAGCAAGTTTGGCGAGAAGGCAGAAAACTCTCCGAAGCACGACCTCCCCTTCAAGAACAGACTTCACATCTTTCCATTCTCTCTGCGAGAGGATCAATCTAGACCGCTCTTGGAGGGCATTTACTCCGTCATAACCGATCAGCCCGTCAATAGTCAGATACTTTATCCATACAAGAAGCTACATGCAAGCGCCTTCCCCAAGATAGGGCTCTTTACAAGGCCATTTATCAACCGTGATAAAAATCAAAAGCGCAGCAAGTCAAAGCAAGGAGGCCTCGAGGCAGAAAAGGAGGATGACATGGAACAGGAGATATTTCAGAGCATGAATAAGGTCTTTGAGCTCGACAAACGGCCAGACATTCATTGCACTAATTGCAACGCCGCCCTCCTGCCCAAAACACGCCAGCGTGCCTCCGCCCCAGATGACTTACGCGTCCATATCGAGCAGTTTGGGCTTTGCGCCAGTGAAATAGAATTCTGTATCAATACACCCGTACACATACTGCGGCGTCTTCCGCTTGACAAATTTAATGTTGTTAATACAGGATTTCCTAGTAAGATCCTTGAAGAACATCGGTATCAGGATGTACGGGTGTCTGGGTCGTCTAGCAGTCACGTAGAGTATTTACCGACACATATCAGGCGAGCATTCAAAGAACACTTGCATCCTGTCAACGTTGTTTTATCAATGAGGGATGCAGAATGCTCAAAAGATTCCCAAAGCCTGATAGCCAAATCAAACCTAGATAGGTCTGATAAGAGCAACATGTTGTGGTCAGGATACATGCAAAAGATCATTGAGATCATTGATGACACAGGTATACGGGACATACTGACAACTGACCAGCATAACATCATCCATGTGCACGCTCTGCGAGCAATGGATAACAAAAATCAAGAGAAGCTGGCGGCCGCACGCTATAAGCTTAAGAGAGCAAGCCTGTTCTTGTCGGGGAAAACCGTGTTGCCAACTCATAACTTAGGATCAGACTTTATGACATACAGAGGTTGTCCGTTTCTTTCTAAGAAAGTATTAAAGGATGCTGGAGAAGACCGCGTTGAAAAGATAATCTCTGGATATGCCAATGCGATCACGGAACATGTTTTTCCTGACTCTATTTCTGGAACAATTAATTCTCAGGCCTTTCCTGACGAAAGGATGATTTCATCCTTTAATAACTATGCCAATTATAGTTCCATCACCATGAAGCCGCGGGAAATCTTCTCTTGTCTAGGAAACGACGTGGATCATGGAGTCCAAACCAATAGCTACGATCCCTTGTGTCAGGAAGGCTTCACCGATGCAGTATACCCCTTTCATATTTTCTATCCAGTAAAACAGGCGCGTGCAGCTCTTTCTGACGAGGGCATAAAAGGACTCGTTAAATCGTGTTGGCAGCGATGGACGGACGACGAGCACATGGCAATGTGCAACATCTCCCGAATCATCCGTGTCATTAAAAACCGCTCTACACTGTTCAGCCTTCGTGTTAGTAACCCTAGGGGTGGATTGACCATGAGAGACAAGTGCCTTGTTCTAGATTCCTCTGCTCAGGCTAAAACACTGAAGTCAAAAGCCGGAATGGCGGGTAGGTCTCGGCAACGTGGTAAAATGGAAAAGGACAACGAAATAAGCAGCCAGGCTAACGATCTTCCCCAATTGGATGGGTCTTTATCGGTACGGGACAAAATGCTGAAGGGCACTAGGGCACGTGTTGCTGGCTCAGAGGATGGAGTATCAGCTAAAGGAAAAGAGATATACTATGTGGATAGCATCGACATGAATGACTACACTGTGTACGATCAGATGAAGGAGTACTGGGATCCCCGAAAGTGCCTCTTTGGGATCACCCGTCTCTTCGAGCAACTTACTAGCAGATCCACACTGATTTACGGAGTTACTCGCGACTATCAAGACCGAATCGTAGATGTCAGTATTTATCCTTACGAGCAGGCGGAAAATTTAGACGATAAGTTCTTTATGAGTAAGAGCGGAGATGAGATTTTGCATTGCTCAAGTATCATTGCGGATATGTCTATTGTTAGCGATTATACTAGAGGGAATATGAATCTTGCTTTAGCTAATAACCTCAAGAAAATGTATAAAGATAATGTTCCAATGTTTGTTATTTCTGAAAAAGACAGCATCAAGGCTAATCGAGAGCGTATCAAAAAGATATCTGGGGATCCTGCAAGCACCGAAGAAAAGCAAATAGAGATGAACCTTTCTCTAGTTAGAGAGTCGCGTATTGCTATACGTACGATTTATATTGATATGTATTCATATCCAGGTTTTTCACTAGACACTATGCACTACGGCATTCTCGCAATTTCCAATACACAGCAGAAGCCATTATATAGGCACCGGACGGTCACAATCTCGAAGCTTCCGCCCAGAGATGCTCTCAATGTTAGTTTCTTCAATAGCGCAATCACTCATATTTCTACTATTTATACTGATTGCGGCGCCAAGGTTCGTGGAGTGGTTACTAAGAATATCTTCTCGCTGTCACAAGACAAGCTCAGCAGTTACATGTTTGAGCTTGACCGCTGCAGTGAAGAGTATTGGCCAACAGCCCCACACACCCACTGCTTGCTGATATGTGAGAACAAGCTTGCGGAAGAGAAGTGGGGTAGTGACCAGAAGCCTTCACAGACCACGCGTGATAAGATCTTCTATACAATGGCAGTCAAAAATAAAGCAGAGATGATCTCAAACGGTACACTACAACAGAACACATTTGAAACAACAATCGATTTTCCCAGTGAAATCGTTGACGTCCTTAGGTTTTCTCAGGAGATGCGCGATACGGCGGGAAAGCGATTAAAATCTTTTCTGGACGAGATATCAGCGTTGAAGTCCCCGAGTGACAGCACCGAAGGGCTTACATATTGGTTTAACATGAAGTGTTTAATAGATACAAAGAATTATGAAATCTACACAAAGTTCATCAGCACACCAGTATTCATGAAAGATATAGAGGCCCATGTTTCAAAGCCACGAGTGAGAGAATGTGTATTCAAATGTTTTATAGATATAATCCAAGATATGCATAAAATGGTATTGAACGCGCTGCAGTACAATTTGACAGAGCCTATCCATGCTGATGGCATGCTCAGCGAAATCAATACCGAAGAAGACCTAAACAACTTTTTGAAGTTAGATCGCGCCAGAAATGCAGTGGTGCTATGGTATGTAACAGAACTCATGCGCCGGCTGCGTCAGTTCTATAGAATTAATTCCCAGGCCTTTGCATTGCTTGGAGTTTCATGGATACGATACAACTTTTACGATTCTGTTTCAGGGTCTCAACCCACACCCGGGAAATTAAAAGCTATGATCCTAGGAAGCTATTATCATATAACGCGCTACTATATCCGTCCATATGACGCCCTTCTCAAGGATGATTATGTGCGTCTCGGGCGCAAGCAACAAAAAATGTGCAGAAGGCAGTTAGATGCAAAGCTATCTATTAGTAAACATATTTGAATTAGACCAGCTGCTTAAAGGTGATTTAATGGCACTGATCTAATTCTCCCTACTGAGGTAGCTAGCTCTATTACTAATCCATGAAATTAATATCATGCCAAATAGCTTTATATTATGGAAAGTGCGAAAGACTTATTTTTTAGGCGGGTATCTTTAACGATTCTGGTATTCTCCCGTGATAGGTAGATGTGCTCTGCCCTATTAAAATTGTAATCCGATAATCACTTAGAAATTTGTGGAAGCTGGCTTGATCGCAGATTGCAATCTCCTGGAACTTAGTAAGCAGCTGCGTCTTGGATATGTGCAGGTCTGGGTCGGACCAGTCATAAGGCGAGTTGAAACCGATGGTGCTGAACCGCCGGCGCTCCAGGACAACCGAAAAGAACAGGGAGAGGTTCCAGAGGAGCATCTTGTACTTTCTGTCGGCCACATGTGCGATCTTCAGGGGGTCCGTTGCCTGGAGCGCATCGAAATTTCCAGTAAAACCATCCTGCTCTATAGTGCTGCAGCGCGCCCGGCCGCCTGTGCCGTGGCACCCCTGAGAAGGTGCTGCCCGACGATCATGGCCAGCCCGTAGGCTAGTCGACACATCGTGGAAGCAACAGAACGTGAGAAGCATGAAAGGCCGGTCCATGGCACGAACCAGGATGCAGATGCTCCGTGCATCGGGGGATGGCACGCTGGCCTCGCGGCGGCAGAGCCGTCATCTGATCACTCATTTACTCTCCGCTTCACCGGGGCGGGGTTGTCCCCTGCTACCTGACCAGGTCCTCCATGCGAGCCACCGCCGCCCCGGACAAGCCACTCCCCCCATGCACCGGCCGAGATCCAGAATCCGAAATCAGAAGGTCAGATGTCGTCCAGCTCCGACGGGGAGGATTGTGCCTCCTCCTCCAGGGTGGTAACGAATGCAGATGAGCGTCCGAGGCTGGTGGTGGGATCAGCCTCTCACACGCTAAGCTGACGCTCACCAGGATCATTGCCCGCTGGTCGAGATGGACCCACACGTGACCCATGTAAATCCCTCGACAAGAAATAGGAGTTGGGGTGCTTGGCTGGCAGAGGTGGACTGATCCTGCCCGCACCGGAGAGTAGTGGCCTGGGCCACCTGCCGGGTGTCTGCCACAGCAGTTGGCAGTGCCTGACACCCTCGAGTAGACAGGTGTCGTCTGCCGAGCAAGCCGACTTCGGTGAGCCAGTCCTAATCGCTCTTGGTGCCTCAGACGACGCCTCTCAGAGAGGTGGCCCTGGACCGACGCCTCGACAGACCGAAGCATCACCCCAAGTGTGTTGTGCAGTGCAGATGGAGCCCACACGTCACTGAGCCAGACACACTGCACAGAATGAGCGTCGACACGGTCTCGTGCTGGGTGACGGAGCACCTGCAAGAGCGCCCTGCGATCCATGAGCAGAGGGCCATACTTCTCCCCGACACAACACATGGGAGTACTCCATCGACATCCACGAATGCGTACCACAACCTCAAGATGGAGGCGTACGTGGAGCGCACCCTCCGATCATACTCGAGACTGATGGTATAATCCACGAGGAGACGAAGAGGCACCCGAGGAACGGGGTAGACACCCGGGGTCGTGGCGTGCGATCTTCGTCATGGAGCACCAGGGCCCGGGCCACGTGGAGACCAGATCGCCGCGACAAACGCAAGGCCCTGAATAACGGGTGCCCACCAGTGCCAGACGATAGTTGACCCCGATGGGCCAGAGGAAGGGGGAACCCTAGAGGTAACGTGAGGAGCAGCGGCTTCCGGGGGACGGGGCACAGAGTCTTCTCCTGTCGGGATCGAGGGCATCTGATCTTCGGACTCTGGATTTTGATCTCAGCTGGTACACGAGCGAGAGATACCCGCTTGCCCAGGACGGCAGTGGCTCGCACGGGAAATCACTCAGGTAGCGGGTGAGCCGTCATCTGAGCTCCCGGTCGACAGACTGCCTGGCCAGTACTGATATTATATGCCGCCCCATACATTATGCATTGAGAGAGTGGTACTGCACGAGGACGCAGTGGGGCGTCTTCTTCCTTGCTCTGGAGCCAACACCTGTTCACTGTGAGGGCGCGGATGCTCAGAGCTTCCAGGGTCGTCTACATGTGCTGGTGAGACCGGGCGGGTAGCCTTCTGGCATTAGAGGCCTGCACAGGCCAACAGGTCCCCTCCTTTGGTTCATGAGCCATGCACCGACGCTTTTCGAGAGGCGACCCGCTCCAAGCCAGGGAACTGCGGCGGAGCGTCCTTGTAGCCTGTTTGCTGAGGCGCTTCTTATCCCCATGATCACAGAGCTAGAGAAGGCAAGCCATACTCCCCGCTCGAAGCTCTGGGGGTAGAACACCAGTCACCAGACATGGCCACGGCCACAGCTGTTCTGGCGCCTATTCTATGGGCGCCGCCACACATGTCCTCGCTCTGTGCGCAGTAGCGGCCCAGTACACAAGGGCCTAAAGTAGGAATGCCCCAGAGACTGCCGAGATAGCTCTTGGGGTCCTGTCTTCGGGTCCATCTCTGTCTTGATACTAGTGATGCTAGGGACAGAGCCGAGGAGGAAGCGCTTTACTGGGCTTGCTTCATCTTCTGATTTTTTCGGGTCTTGAGGAGTTGATCAAGCAGCAATAGACCGCGCCAACGAGCGAGCATCGCAGCGTCTGGCAGTAAGCAGCTCCAGCCCCTGACGCGTCTACTATCGGGTGGCCCGCCGCTCTCAAGTATTTGCAGCAACGACAGCAATAGGCAATCGCCGGCCTCTTTCGCGCGCACACCCTAGAGTGGCTTCTCAGAGGCACCCTCTGCGGCGTCCTTGCGCAGCAGTGGGCAGGGTCTCGGCAAGCTCTGCCTGCTAGGACGGTCGGGGCGTCTTCTCGGAGACTGATGGCCAGCTACCGTGGACACGCAGGAAGTCGTCTGTAGTGGTCTAAGCATCGGTATCGAACTCCACGTTAGAAGTCACCGCTTAGCGGGCCGGAACCGTGAGAGAGGGCCCCGCAAATGCATGTTGTTCCGCCCCACAACCCGCCATCGGTTGGCAGCCTTAATGTTCGGCAGATTTTTGCTCGCGGGCGCCATTCTTCAGCTGGCACGGGCTGCGTGTGAAGAGGACAAAACCTCAACTGATGGAAAGTGTAAAACATGCGGGGTCACCATCGGCCAAGACACTTGGTGCTCAGTTTGCATAGGAGAAAACTATGCGCCCATCAACGGAACATGCGCCGATATAACAACTGACTCTGTGGGCTCTGTCTTTTGCACCCAAAAGGCCGGCGGCGTTTGTACACAGTGTGCTGGGAACTCCTTTATGTTTGCAGGCGGCTGCTATTCCTCTTCGGAGGGTCTTCCCGGTTATAACTTGTGCTTACGATCTGCTGGCAATGGCGTATGCGCAGAGGCTGCCCCAGGGTACTTCATTCCAGGCGAGACGGCTGCCACCAAGCCGTCGGTTATATCATGCAGCGACAAAACTGGACTGCTTATTACAGCACATACTTATAAGGGAGTGGAATTTTGTGAAGAGTGCAGCGGCTCGGAGCTGACCAGTGGCCAAGATGGAACCGCTAAGTGCACCAAGTGTGGAGCCAGCAAGTATCTCAAGGATAATGCGTGCGTGGACAACGCCGAGGCGTGCGGGAAGGGATACTTTGGTAAGCCAGATGCAGCAGCGGGTAATAAGTGCATTGCTTGTACAGATCAGTCCGACGGTGGCACGGCTGGGTGCGCCGAGTGCATGTATGACTCTAACACAAGGAAGGCCATTTGCACAAAATGCACCACCGATTACCTCAGAAAGAAAGCAGATGGCACCACAGAGTGTGTGGCGGCGAATGAGTGCGACGATACTCAGAAAGGCTTTTATAAGGTGGTCGACTCCACAAATGGAAATAAGTGTGTATCGTGTGCCGACGGAGCCGGGCTCGCTGTCGGGACCGATGGGGCTTGGAAGGGTGTCGACGGATGTGCCAAGTGTATCAAGCCGGCAGATATAAACACACCCACAAAGTGCGACGAGTGCAAGCCGGGATATGAGATAAGTACAGACAAAACAAAATGCACAAGCACTGCACCACCGGACTGTCCAATCGAGAATTGCAAAGTGTGCTCCGAGGATAAGAGAGCCTGCGAGGAGTGCAATAGCAACAATTATCTTACCCCAACAAGAATGTGCATAGATGACTGTAAAAAGATTGGAAACTACTATTATACCAGCAATGCTAACAATAAGCTGATCTGCAAGGAATGTGCTGTGGCTAATTGCAAGGAATGCGAGAACACTGGGACTTGTAAGACGTGTGACGATGGATTTTACAAGAGTAGCGAAGAATGCAAGGCATGCGACTCCAACTGCAAAACATGTAATGGAGGAACTAGTGCCGATTGTACCAAGTGTCTTAGCGGAGCGGTACTCAAATATGGGAATGATGGCACTAAAGGCACATGCGGAGCTGGATGCGCAACGGGCACAGGAGCAGGAGCATGCAAGACGTGCGGCCTAATTATTGACGGGACGAGCTATTGCTCAGAGTGTGCTGTCGAGACAGAATACCCCCAGGGTGGCGTCTGTAGCTCAACAACTGTCCGTGCTGCAGCCACTTGTAAGGCTGGAAGCGTTGCCAAGGGTATGTGTAATTCATGCACCAACGGATTCCTTCGTATGAATGGAGGCTGTTATGAGACAACCAAGTTCCCTGGAAAGAGCGTCTGTGAGGAAGCAGCATCGGCTGGGGATACCTGCCAAAAAGAGGCCCCAGGCTATCATCTTAATAACAATGACCTTGTGACTTGCTCGCCTGGATGTAAGACGTGCACTAGTAACACTGTGTGTACTGCATGCATGGAGGGATATGTGAAAACTAGCGATTCGTGCGCAAAGTGTGCCGCTGGTTGTGCTACATGTACAGGGTCCACCACAGCTTGCGACACTTGCAGCACTGGGTACTACAAATCTGGGACTACCTGTGTGTCTTGCACGGAAAGCAACAGTGATAAGACTATCACCGGCGTCGCCAACTGCGCTAGCTGCGCTCCTCCACTCAACAATAAAGGGTCTGTCCTCTGCTACCTCATAAAGGATAGCGGTAGCACCAACAAAAGTGGTCTCAGCGCGGGCGCCATCGCGGGCATCTCCGTCGCAGTCATCATTGTTGTCGGCGGTCTTGTTGGGTTCCTCTGCTGGTGGTTTATGTGCAGAGGAAAAGCGTAGATGTACTTAGGTAGTAAATACGTCACTGTATAAGCCTATCACTCCTGTTTCCAGGGCCTCGCCTGTAGGTGCATTCAAGGATCTCACGGGCAATTCTTATTCAATTTCTGGCCGTCCGGAGATGAGGGTTGGTTTTGGATAACATAACGAGAGAGTCCTCTCCAGTGATATATCCAGAGCCTAGCGCCTTCCCTGGTCGCTCTGTGGGTGTGTGCTCAGACCGAATGCGTACTTCGGTCCTTTCGGGGTTCAGGCCTTCTTACGGACTCTCTGGTCCACCAGTGGCGCCTCTTCTTGGTCTTCCTTCGTGGCGGGTGAAGCTCCGGTCGCTGTCTTTTTTAGATGCCCCGTCCGCCAGGGGCTGCCATCGGGCTCTCCGCTGGCTGGGCCCTCGGTGTCCGGGCAGCTGTGGCTCGAGTCAGTGCTCCCACGGTCGCGGTCACGTAGGTCTCAGTGGGCCGGCTGGTGGGTGAGGCAGGGGTATGGGGCGGTGAGGCTGGTGGGGACTGGTGGGGGCTGAGGTGGGGGGTGTCTGTATGTGCCCCTGGGTTCGGTGGGTCATTGGGGTGATCCCCGCTCTGTTTGCTAAGGTGGTTGTGTCTGATCCCCAGCCTTCGTTGCACTCCAAGACACAGGCACCGACGATCGTGTCGTGTCCCCCTGACTGAGTGCCTCCCTGGCCCCTGCATGCCTCGGGCAGTACTGCCTCTCTGCCTGGCCGGTACGTGAGGACTGAGGCAGGCCATCGCAGCCTCTCCTGTTGCTCTGTGCGTGTCTGCTGAGCCCCCTGGCATGCCCTGTCCGGTGCCTCGACGAGGGTAGTTCACCTGGGACCAGCAGGGGTGTGGATGACCCTGTGGATGGGATGGGGTTCTCTCGTGCCTCTAGTGTGATGGCTCAGAAGACTGGCATGGTGGGGCACCAGTGACTGCACTGTCTCCGTGGTCAGCTGTGCTGCTCCTGGTGGGTCCTCGTTGTGGAGCGCTGTGTGTCGTCCGTAGGCAGAGGTGATCCTCCTTGGTCTCAGGATGCTCTATCATGCAGAGAGGAGCACGCTGATGGTTACCCATACCTCACCTGCTGTGCCCTCGAGGAGTTCCCGATGTGGTCCACCAGGACCTTGACCCCTCCTCGTGGCTCTGATGACTTCTCGGGGAGAGTCGGGGCACCCTATACTGAGGGAGGCGTGCACCCTCCTGCATGAGCTGAGTCACTCACTGCACTGCCCTCAAGGAGGTCTGCTATGAGAGGCAGTGGAATGATCGACAGCCCCTCAGAGTGCGGTGGAGGGTGCTCGTGGTCGTCTCTGTGATCGGGCATCACTCTGATGGTCGGCTCCTGTGCCTTTGTGGTGCTCAGAGGCCACCTGTGCTCCATCGTCTGCTGGACAGCCGGGCCTCTTGTGTCATCCGAAGGCCTCCTCACTCCTCTGGCTGCTGCCCCCTCGGGTCATTGATAGAGGCAGTCGAGGCCAGCAGAGTCTTCGGTGAGTCGTGCCTGCCTGGGTGTCATGGGGGCTGGCAGCTGTCAGGGCTCTGCCACTGCTCACCTGCCTGGAGTGTGCCTCCCTTGGGCCTGCTCTGCTGTGCTGCGTGAGTCCTCTGGCTTCCTACCAGGCCCTGACTGTGAGGGTGACTCCACCTGGCCCTCTGATGCCCCTGTGGATGAGCATAGCAATGTGTCTGGCTAGGGATCTCTGGTGCCCGTGTCTGTCACTGCCTCTCGGGTGGCTGTCTGGGGCTCTCGCATGAGGTCTACAGTCAGCGTGTCCCGAGCAGACTCCAGTCCTCTCTGGGTCCACACAGTCTGTCCGTGTGTGGATGGCCCTCCTGGACTCAGGTCCGTCTGTGCACACTGCCACTCAGCCTCGAGAGCAGACCAGTGCAGTCACCAGGGTCGCTGTCAGAGGGAGTCGTCTGTCACTACATCGCTTGAGCAGGCCATGCAGCCCAGGCTGGCTGCTGTGCACCCTCATGGCAGGGATACTTGACTCCCCTTGGTCATCCTCTCTGTCTGGTGTGCACGGCTCCTGAGGGTTGTCTGGGTGGAGGCACTCACAGACCACGAGCACACAGAGGGGTGAGTCACAGATGGACAGCCCCCAGTCACCACAGCTATGATCACCCCAGTCTATCGAGGGACCAGAGGCACATACAGACACCCCCCACCTCAGCCCCCACCAGTCCCCACCAGCCTCACCGCCCCATACCCCTGCCTCACCCACCAGCCGGCCCACTGAGACCTACGTGACCGCGACCGTGGGAGCACTGACTCGAGCCACAGCTGCCCGGACACCGAGGGCCCAGCCAGCGGAGAGCCCGATGGCAGCCCCTGGCGGACGGGGCATCTAAAAAAGACAGCGACCGGAGCTTCACCCGCCACGAAGGAAGACCAAGAAGAGGCGCCACTGGTGGACCAGAGAGTCCGTAAGAAGGCCTGAACCCCGAAAGGACCGAAGTACGCATTCGGTCTGAGCACACACCCACAGAGCGACCAGGGAAGGCGCTAGGCTCTGGATATATCACTGGAGAGGACTCTCTCGTTATGTTATCCAAAACCAACCCTCATCTCCGGACGGCCAGAAATTGAATAAGAATTGCCCGTGAGATCCTTGAATGCACCTACAGGCGAGGCCCTGGAAACAGGAGTGATAGGCTTATACAGTGACGTATTTACTACCTAAGTACATCTACGCTTTTCCTCTGCACATAAACCACCAGCAGAGGAACCCAACAAGACCGCCGACAACAATGATGACTGCGACGGAGATGCCCGCGATGGCGCCCGCGCTGAGACCACTTTTGTTGGTGCTACCGCTATCCTTTATGAGGTAGCAGAGGACAGACCCTTTATTGTTGAGTGGAGGAGCGCAGCTAGCGCAGTTGGCGACGCCGGTGATAGTCTTATCACTGTTGCTTTCCGTGCAAGACACACAGGTAGTCCCAGATTTGTAGTACCCAGTGCTGCAAGTGTCGCAAGCTGTGGTGGACCCTGTACATGTAGCACAACCAGCGGCACACTTTGCGCACGAATCGCTAGTTTTCACATATCCCTCCATGCATGCAGTACACACAGTGTTACTAGTGCACGTCTTACATCCAGGCGAGCAAGTCACAAGGTCATTGTTATTAAGATGATAGCCTGGGGCCTCTTTTTGGCAGGTATCCCCAGCCGATGCTGCTTCCTCACAGACGCTCTTTCCAGGGAACTTGGTTGTCTCATAACAGCCTCCATTCATACGAAGGAATCCGTTGGTGCATGAATTACACATACCCTTGGCAACGCTTCCAGCCTTACAAGTGGCTGCAGCACGGACAGTTGTTGAGCTACAGACGCCACCCTGGGGGTATTCTGTCTCGACAGCACACTCTGAGCAATAGCTCGTCCCGTCAATAATTAGGCCGCACGTCTTGCATGCTCCTGCTCCTGTGCCCGTTGCGCATCCAGCTCCGCATGTGCCTTTAGTGCCATCATTCCCATATTTGAGTACCGCTCCGCTAAGACACTTGGTACAATCGGCACTAGTTCCTCCATTACATGTTTTGCAGTTGGAGTCGCATGCCTTGCATTCTTCGCTACTCTTGTAAAATCCATCGTCACACGTCTTACAAGTCCCAGTGTTCTCGCATTCCTTGCAATTAGCCACAGCACATTCCTTGCAGATCAGCTTATTGTTAGCATTGCTGGTATAATAGTAGTTTCCAATCTTTTTACAGTCATCTATGCACATTCTTGTTGGGGTAAGATAATTGTTGCTATTGCACTCCTCGCAGGCTCTCTTATCCTCGGAGCACACTTTGCAATTCTCGATTGGACAGTCCGGTGGTGCAGTGCTTGTGCATTTTGTTTTGTCTGTACTTATCTCATATCCCGGCTTGCACTCGTCGCACTTTGTGGGTGTGTTTATATCTGCCGGCTTGATACACTTGGCACATCCGTCGACACCCTTCCAAGCCCCATCGGTCCCGACAGCGAGCCCGGCTCCGTCGGCACACGATACACACTTATTTCCATTTGTGGAGTCGACCACCTTATAAAAGCCTTTCTGAGTATCGTCGCACTCATTCGCCGCCACACACTCTGTGGTGCCATCTGCTTTCTTTCTGAGGTAATCGGTGGTGCATTTTGTGCAAATGGCCTTCCTTGTGTTAGAGTCATACATGCACTCGGCGCACCCAGCCGTGCCACCGTCGGACTGATCTGTACAAGCAATGCACTTATTACCCGCTGCTGCATCTGGCTTACCAAAGTATCCCTTCCCGCACGCCTCGGCGTTGTCCACGCACGCATTATCCTTGAGATACTTGCTGGCTCCACACTTGGTGCACTTAGCGGTTCCATCTTGGCCACTGGTCAGCTCCGAGCCGCTGCACTCTTCACAAAATTCCACTCCCTTATAAGTATGTGCTGTAATAAGCAGTCCAGTTTTGTCGCTGCATGATATAACCGACGGCTTGGTGGCAGCCGTCTCGCCTGGAATGAAGTACCCTGGGGCAGCCTCTGCGCATACGCCATTGCCAGCAGATCGTAAGCACAAGTTATAACCGGGAAGACCCTCCGAAGAGGAATAGCAGCCGCCTGCAAACATAAAGGAGTTCCCAGCACACTGTGTACAAACGCCGCCGGCCTTTTGGGTGCAAAAGACAGAGCCCACAGAGTCAGTTGTTATATCGGCGCATGTTCCGTTGATGGGCGCATAGTTTTCTCCTATGCAAACTGAGCACCAAGTGTCTTGGCCGATGGTGACCCCGCATGTTTTACACTTTCCATCAGTTGAGGTTTTGTCCTCTTCACACGCAGCCCGTGCCAGCTGAAGAATGGCGCCCGCGAGCAAAAATCTGCCGAACATTAAGGCTGCCAACCGATGGCGGGTTGTGGGGCGGAACAACATGCATTTGCGGGGCCCTCTCTCACGGTTCCGGCCCGCTAAGCGGTGACTTCTAACGTGGAGTTCGATACCGATGCTTAGACCACTACAGACGACTTCCTGCGTGTCCACGGTAGCTGGCCATCAGTCTCCGAGAAGACGCCCCGACCGTCCTAGCAGGCAGAGCTTGCCGAGACCCTGCCCACTGCTGCGCAAGGACGCCGCAGAGGGTGCCTCTGAGAAGCCACTCTAGGGTGTGCGCGCGAAAGAGGCCGGCGATTGCCTATTGCTGTCGTTGCTGCAAATACTTGAGAGCGGCGGGCCACCCGATAGTAGACGCGTCAGGGGCTGGAGCTGCTTACTGCCAGACGCTGCGATGCTCGCTCGTTGGCGCGGTCTATTGCTGCTTGATCAACTCCTCAAGACCCGAAAAAATCAGAAGATGAAGCAAGCCCAGTAAAGCGCTTCCTCCTCGGCTCTGTCCCTAGCATCACTAGTATCAAGACAGAGATGGACCCGAAGACAGGACCCCAAGAGCTATCTCGGCAGTCTCTGGGGCATTCCTACTTTAGGCCCTTGTGTACTGGGCCGCTACTGCGCACAGAGCGAGGACATGTGTGGCGGCGCCCATAGAATAGGCGCCAGAACAGCTGTGGCCGTGGCCATGTCTGGTGACTGGTGTTCTACCCCCAGAGCTTCGAGCGGGGAGTATGGCTTGCCTTCTCTAGCTCTGTGATCATGGGGATAAGAAGCGCCTCAGCAAACAGGCTACAAGGACGCTCCGCCGCAGTTCCCTGGCTTGGAGCGGGTCGCCTCTCGAAAAGCGTCGGTGCATGGCTCATGAACCAAAGGAGGGGACCTGTTGGCCTGTGCAGGCCTCTAATGCCAGAAGGCTACCCGCCCGGTCTCACCAGCACATGTAGACGACCCTGGAAGCTCTGAGCATCCGCGCCCTCACAGTGAACAGGTGTTGGCTCCAGAGCAAGGAAGAAGACGCCCCACTGCGTCCTCGTGCAGTACCACTCTCTCAATGCATAATGTATGGGGCGGCATATAATATCAGTACTGGCCAGGCAGTCTGTCGACCGGGAGCTCAGATGACGGCTCACCCGCTACCTGAGTGATTTCCCGTGCGAGCCACTGCCGTCCTGGGCAAGCGGGTATCTCTCGCTCGTGTACCAGCTGAGATCAAAATCCAGAGTCCGAAGATCAGATGCCCTCGATCCCGACAGGAGAAGACTCTGTGCCCCGTCCCCCGGAAGCCGCTGCTCCTCACGTTACCTCTAGGGTTCCCCCTTCCTCTGGCCCATCGGGGTCAACTATCGTCTGGCACTGGTGGGCACCCGTTATTCAGGGCCTTGCGTTTGTCGCGGCGATCTGGTCTCCACGTGGCCCGGGCCCTGGTGCTCCATGACGAAGATCGCACGCCACGACCCCGGGTGTCTACCCCGTTCCTCGGGTGCCTCTTCGTCTCCTCGTGGATTATACCATCAGTCTCGAGTATGATCGGAGGGTGCGCTCCACGTACGCCTCCATCTTGAGGTTGTGGTACGCATTCGTGGATGTCGATGGAGTACTCCCATGTGTTGTGTCGGGGAGAAGTATGGCCCTCTGCTCATGGATCGCAGGGCGCTCTTGCAGGTGCTCCGTCACCCAGCACGAGACCGTGTCGACGCTCATTCTGTGCAGTGTGTCTGGCTCAGTGACGTGTGGGCTCCATCTGCACTGCACAACACACTTGGGGTGATGCTTCGGTCTGTCGAGGCGTCGGTCCAGGGCCACCTCTCTGAGAGGCGTCGTCTGAGGCACCAAGAGCGATTAGGACTGGCTCACCGAAGTCGGCTTGCTCGGCAGACGACACCTGTCTACTCGAGGGTGTCAGGCACTGCCAACTGCTGTGGCAGACACCCGGCAGGTGGCCCAGGCCACTACTCTCCGGTGCGGGCAGGATCAGTCCACCTCTGCCAGCCAAGCACCCCAACTCCTATTTCTTGTCGAGGGATTTACATGGGTCACGTGTGGGTCCATCTCGACCAGCGGGCAATGATCCTGGTGAGCGTCAGCTTAGCGTGTGAGAGGCTGATCCCACCACCAGCCTCGGACGCTCATCTGCATTCGTTACCACCCTGGAGGAGGAGGCACAATCCTCCCCGTCGGAGCTGGACGACATCTGACCTTCTGATTTCGGATTCTGGATCTCGGCCGGTGCATGGGGGGAGTGGCTTGTCCGGGGCGGCGGTGGCTCGCATGGAGGACCTGGTCAGGTAGCAGGGGACAACCCCGCCCCGGTGAAGCGGAGAGTAAATGAGTGATCAGATGACGGCTCTGCCGCCGCGAGGCCAGCGTGCCATCCCCCGATGCACGGAGCATCTGCATCCTGGTTCGTGCCATGGACCGGCCTTTCATGCTTCTCACGTTCTGTTGCTTCCACGATGTGTCGACTAGCCTACGGGCTGGCCATGATCGTCGGGCAGCACCTTCTCAGGGGTGCCACGGCACAGGCGGCCGGGCGCGCTGCAGCACTCAATTGTTGCTTCCCTTATGTGTGGAAACATAGACCCTCGTCTTCGACTGTCGCAGCATGCACCCGAGCAGGATTGACATACTCGCCCCGTCCACGCACCACAGCCCGGTGCGATAAGGGGCGCTCCATCTACTGGCCCGACCTCTGCCGTCCGCATGCGGCGAGAAACAGCTCGGCAAAATTAAAAATGGCTGCGGCAAAGGCTACCGAGATCAAGGCGCTCATCGACGCCAAGGACATGGACGGGCTTGCGAGGAGCGTCGCCGACTTCGACGACAGGCAGCGCGCCGAGATCTACGCCGCGTTCAGGGCGGCCAACGGGAAGACGGCCTCCGAGTACCTCGACGCCTTGTTCAAGAACGGGGACTACAAGGACCTCATGATGATCGTCCTCGACGACGAGATCGACGTCCGCTGCAAGCTGATCAAGAAGGCCTTCAAGGGCGGGAACGACGAGAGGTGCCTCACGGACGCGCTCCTGACGACGACCCCCGAGGTCTACGCAAGGGTCAAGGACAGGTACCACCAGCTCTTCGGGGACGACTTCGAGTCCACGCTCAGGAAGGAGATCGGCTCCAAGACCGTCTGGGCCCGCATGGTGAACTCCTGGCTTGCCTTCTGCAGGTCTGCCCGCAACAACGCCCAGGGTGATGCAGAGGCCCTGAAGGCCGCGCTGATCGGCGTCAAGCACCCGGACACGGACACGGTCATCCGCCTCCTCGGCACGACCGTCCCCAGCGAGTGGAAGCAGATCTCCGAGGCGTTCGAGAGCATCGCCAAGAAGACGATCGAGCAGGCCCTCATCGAGGCCTACAAGGGCGACGACGAGCTCGCGCTCTGCTGCTGCAACGCGACGCTCCACTGCCCCGCCCGAGGCGCCGCCTACCTCCTGAGCCTGGCTTGCCAGAAGAAGGGCGACACCGACCGCTGCTGCCGCATCACCGGGATGCTCTACGATCAGGCGGAGCAGTGCAAGGTCCTCTACGCCCACTACGGCAACTTAGCCAAGGACATCCGAGCCACGATGTCCAAGAACCTCGCCGAGGCCTGCTGCGTCCTCTGGCACGTCATGTAACCCTAGTGAATCTTCCTCTCATGCTCTGGACTCTGTCTGTTTGCTGGTGAGATATTCATCGGCTACGGTCGGAGTTTGAAATGGTACGAATAGATTAAAGTAATAGAATTAAACTATTGCTTTCTACATATCTGTTGAAGCCGTTGTAAAATACCTAACCATGTTTACTTTAAGGTAAGCTCTGTATCAGCACGTCTCGCCTGGGAGCCCTAGAATAAAGGGTTTAAGCCTAGGTAATGGCTAAAGTGGCTTGTTTCTACTCATTAATGCGCTTAGATATCGCTGGGATCATTAATTGCGCTAGTGTTATTTCCACTAACCTAACTTTGTCGCGCAGATAACAAGCTCAACATCCAACAAGTCATTTCTGTGAGAAGAGCCAGTAATTTGACAAGCACATTGTTGTATCTAGGGTAATCACGATCCTACGACTGCGTGTGGCAACTGCTACTGTATCTGAATTTCAATATTGTCAAGGACTGAATCCACTCATAGATAACGTATTGTGCACCTAGTAGCAATGTAGCGTATAATGGTAGTAAGTACATAATCGTATTTACTTAGAGATTGATCTTGTTAATAGCTGACAACCCGACTAAAGGGTGTGTAAAGATGTCTGTCTGGTGTCATATGTATTGCTCAGCAATCTATGAGTGCATAGCTGACACATCCTTATGACACGTAGACTATTATGACCTGAAGGAGTCAACCTTGCTATCAGTTTATTCGAGGTCAATAGAATCCTATCTTCTAGGAAATCAGATAAACCTACATTAATGTACCACTAGCTAACTGTGCAGAGTAGATTAATCGCACGGTAAAATCACTGAGGCAAAAAGCAGAGCGTTGAAACTCAACCTGCCGATCCTTCCCTAAATCAAAAATGCCAATAACCACCTCCGCAGCATGGTTTCAGGCAGCAGAGAGAGGACATGTGGATAGCGTCATCTCTCATTTGCATAAGTTCGCAGGGTCTGTTGATAGTGAAGGCTCAACTGCACTTATTAAAGCAGCCAGGAATGGTCATTCAGATTTGGTTGAAATTCTGCTAGAACCGGAAGCACGGCATATTAACAGGCGCGGAGAGACAGCATTGTTGCTTGCTGCATCCAACAATCATGTCAAGTGCTGCGAACTTCTTGTGGCAGCAGAGTATGATATTTTATCTCCAGATGGGCTTACAGCACTGCATGTAGCAGCGCGTAGTGGATCAGCCGGGGTCTTGCCAATTCTTCACCAGTATATTCATGACTGCAGTGATGGAACTGGTCATACTGTCCTGGATCAGGCCGCTATAGCTGGCAGTCTAGAATCAGTGAGTGTTTTGCGTAGATTGCTTTCTCCAGATAGGAAAACCGTTGCCAAAGCCATGGAGTGCTGCAAGAATAAGGAAACGTTAGCCTTCTTGCAGAGCCTATACGATGATGCGTCGCAGCGGTACTATAGCAGTATGGACGATTTGTCCAATGAAGTAGATAAGTTACTGTCAGCTGTTCCCAGTTTCACCGACCCCCGCTTAAGCACACCTGTGAGCTCTTTTAATTCTGAACTGGGAGCCATTTCTGTACGGCGCCTCGACCCCGAGAGTTTGGCAAGCTCTGGTTCCAAAGGTACTCACCCAGTTAGGCCGGCTTCGTATAGAAAAGAGAGCCCCAAAATCCGTGAGGTGCCTTTGCATTCTAGCTCCTTTTCATATTCTCAAGCAAGGCCATCCTTGAATTCTTTAGGACAACACATTTTGCATCAGGCTTCTCTGAGTTCCCAACAGATCAAGAGGAAACATCCACCACACTATTCTGTGAACTCGCGAGGAAAGGCTGACTGTGAGACACAAACAAGTATGTTGATTGATGTCTGTGAGCGTTCCATTCAATCAGACATCCAGACAGATAATACATTGGAGCTTTTTAAGCAAGAGAATTTGCGGCTTGTCACTGCTTTATCGGATTACGAGTCCATTATTACTGAAAAAGATACGGTTATAGCTCAGCTAAAGCAATCCGTTGAAGACTATAAGCAACAACTTGTTCAGCTACAAACTCAATCAAACATGTCGATTCCCAACCAACAATGTTTGCCAGATAACATCACTGATTGTGACCTATCTACCTTAACTGGTTCAGTGATTAATTCACACCAGCCCTGTGTACCGCACGTAGATGAGCATAGTCTTTATCAGAGTACTATGCACAGTCTAAATGTCACTCAGACGTCACTGACATCGACACGACGTCGACATAGAAGCTCTAAAACGACAGAAGCTCTGGAAAGTCAAGTAAAGGAGCTCGTGGAACGACTGAAGACCTCGCACGAACAGCTAAAGCGCGCTAGCCAGCGGGAGCTGCACTACGAGAACATAAAGCAAAAGCTTCTTGCACTATCAAAATCTAGAGAGCTATCAATTTACAAGACTCAAATAGAGACTGCAAATAAAGATACGTCTGACTCTGTCTACCTGGACGAAGACAAGGATTGGAATGAAAGCATTTCTAACGCCCTATTTACGATTTCGTGTCTGCACAAAGTCTTGCAAGCTAGCTCACAAATTCGTGAAGAACAGAAGAAAGAACTAGATCGTCTGCACGACATAGAATCTAAACTTTTGGAACAACGAGTGCACACTGAAAATATCGACACTCTTCATGCAACAATTAGGGACCTTCATCGCCAGTTGGAAGAAAGAGCTATGGATCTAGACAAAAGCGCTGAGTTGCAGCTAGTAAAGGCAGAGCTATCCTCCCTTCAATGTAAGCACGACATCCTTTTGCAAAAGACAGCTAGCCTGGAACAGAACAATATTAAGCGTGGGTACAACGAAAGCGTCTATGCTGAAAAGCTTGGTATTCTAAGAGATATTCAAGAGCGTGGGTATTTAGCGGATCCAGCGTACAGGGTGCTTCTCTCACGATGTGAGGATTTAGGGGGAAAGCTTTTGGAGAGTCGAAAGCAAAACGAGCAACTAATGAACGAAATTCTTAATAGCAAAATACGGCTCTCGAAGCTTGAGCAGACAGGTTGCCTGACTGAGGATCTTACTTCTGCCCTAGACCAATCTACTCTATCGACTACTAGACCATCAAGCTCTGAACGTGTGCGTATCCAGCCTGTCTCTTCTTGCGTGCCCTCTGAAGCTGTTCACACATTAGATGCGCTCAAAGCAGAAGCAGAACCTCAGGAGCCAGTTCCATCAACGCAATCTGTGGGCAGAAATTTCTTTGATCAGCAAGTGCTAAAGCAAGGGGCTCCCACTACATCTGCCCAAGGAACTTTCAAGGATAGTATGCATTACACAGATATCTTGACCACAACCATGCTAGCTACAACACGAACGGGCTCGTCTATGTTGCAGTCCAATTTATACGAGAAGATAGAAGCGGACGGAACTACCCCACTTATGCATGCAGCAGCAGAAAACGACTCTGAAAAGGTGGATAAGCATATGCGTTACGCGGGAATGGCTAGATACGATGGCACAACAGCCTTGATGGTTGCTGCGGAGCATAACTCTATAAATGTGGTTGAGCTTCTTCTCAAAGACGAAGCCTGCATGTTTCGAAAAGACGGGATGCGTGCGCTGGACATTGCAGAAGCTTGCGGTAATACAGCCGTTGCAGCGCTTCTACGTACAGTAGAAAAACCACTGGCCAACTCTACTTCTGCTAATGCAGGTGTGTGCGCGTTCACAGAGCTTATGTCCGCTGCAGAACATTGCAATGTGAATGCCGCATTAGTCCTATCAAAATACCAGTCTAAGTGTAGAGATGCGCAAGGACGAACTGCACTGATGTGTGCTGCGGCTGCTGGATGTAACGAAATAGTTAGTTTACTATTAGATCAAGAAGGGGGTATGCAGGACAATGCAGGACGGACAGCACTTATGTACGCTTGTATGCATGGGCACCCTGAATGTGTAGAGCTTCTCTACGCCAGAGAGATCCTAATACAGGATAATAAGGGGAACAAGGCACTAAGATATGCTGTTGACAAAGCATCGCATGGTGATAGAAGCGTGGAGAATAAAATCTTAGAGATTCTATGTATACCACACTGACATCGCTGTGCTTCTTAACTAGTTCATAAAGTACCAGTATACAAGGAATATTCGCTTCTACTGGTAGCAGCTAAAGGAAAGTTCTACATACTATCATGCATCGCATATTTTTGATGAGCAAATCCCCAGTGAGCTTTTCAAAAGACCTGCTTCATGCAACTCCTCCAGCTTTTCGCACTCTGAAATGAAGTAAGATTTATCATAACCACTCTGCTCAGCACATCGCATAATTGTACATAGCAGCTCTTCTGCGTCTGCGCATATATCTCCATCTTCTCGGTTAAAGTCTATTGCATTGATGAGAGTATCAGGAAGCCGCATCAATGAGGGTTTAATTGAGGTTGGTGTTAGAGCATAAGGACTCGGCACTTTTGCGGATGCATGTTGTACTTTAGGCGAGGAGACTTTGACAAGCTCCTGGAAATTTGCTAGGTTCAATGTATCAAACTTGCATGTAGGTGGATTATACGTGAGCATTTTTGTGATAAGGCAGCATCCATCTCTGAATACATTGTATTGCTGCAACACAGGTGTTGTAATTGTGGATCCTATTACGTCAATGATAATATCGCAGAAATCTCTACTGAATATGTACCCCGCCGATGGGGAGTATAGGTTGCAAAAGTAATTAAGTTTCGTTACTGATCGCGGATTGTTGTGAGGATGCTCTGCTTTGAAAAGAATTGCTTTGTGTATTAGTATTTGCTTTGCCACTGTTTTTGTTTTGTCTCCATGGGCTAAGCTGTCGGCAAGCCGCTCACGTATGTGCTGTATCTTCCTCCAAAGTCTTTGGGGAATGCTTGCGCGGTCTTTATTTCCTCGATAATGTGCCTGTATATGCAATGCTGCAGAAAATCTTGTTGCTTCCTGCATAGCAGCCTTTATGTTCAGATGAATGCTAAGAGGTTCAAGCGTACTCTTAAAAGCCCGTCGTGTAGGCTTGTGCCTTATCTTCCCCAGGGCATGCTTAAACGCTCTTGACTCTGATCTAATAATAAATCCTCTGCATATCCTTCCCAATGTCAACGCTGCCTCATTAATTTCGGCTCGAAAGACAGCTAACTGGCTGGGGCAGTGAAGATGTAAATGCGCTCCTTTAGATAGAAAAAGGCTCCGCTCCCAGACGTCCATGCTCGCGAGCATGACTCGTATATTCCACCCTCTAATGGCAGATTGTATAACCACGACCCCTCCTCCAAATCCTTTGTCAACATTCCATGTAAAGTGTATACCGAACTTCTTACACAAAGATGCAGTTGTGTATGCTGCATAACCTCTAAAGTACTTCTGTATTAATATGGCCGAATGGGCTATAAGCGCTGCTGCGTCGAACACTGAGAGTGCATTATTACTAGCACTACCTACATCGAATCTTTCATAATAACTATCAGAATATGTCGTCACACTATTGAAGTGGTTAGGAACTGTTCGCTCCCAGATAAGCTGAAGGAGAAGCGAATCAAGTGTAGCTCCATATTCTAACACTACCTCCTTTATAGTCTTTATCTTGTGCCTCACAAAGAATCCACGTGCTCCTGCCTGAATAAGAAGAATACAATGAAACAGATCTTTTATGTACTCGATGGCACGACTGTAATGAGAGTAGGCGAAGGTAGCGGGAAGAAATTTTAATAAACCGGACATCTGTACATAGAGGTATGTTTTCCTGGTGATAAATGCCCTCCCCCTGATGGCAATTAGCGACGCGCTGCTCAAGATGAGTTGAATCTTATCGAGAACAGCACTGGGAAGTCGTAGATCTGATGCTGTGAAGAATAGGTTGAAGGTCTTCTTATCTAAGTGTTTCAGTATATAGCCCATAGACTTGGAAGCAAGATATCTTCGTGTACTAGTTTGGATATGCACAATTAAGTTAATAATAATATCGGTTAAGAGAGCACACTTAGACGGGATGGTCATTAGGGCTTGCGGAAGATAAAGCTGCATTCCCCGAGGAACGGCCTGACGTAGAGAACATACAGCGAGAAAGCCACGACTGTGGCACTGGATTGTAAGTGTCGCCACGACAATCAGTAAATAATTTTGAAATTTGATCCGCGTTGTTAGAATGCTATCAATCTGATCGGGCGGGGGAACTGCAGAGTATCTGCGAAGGCAATCGAGTCTAGTGCGTATGAGGTATGACTTTGCATGTGCAGAAAGAAGCTTTTCGGCGGCATCTATAGCGCGACACACACGCATGATAACAGCTGGCCCAGATAATTTTTCCTGCTGTGTTAAAAATAGATTGTATCCAGCAGCAACTGTGACTGAAGAGGCTCGTTGAATATAGCCTCGTGCGTAGGCCTGAATGCAAGCTACACGAGTGGACACAACATGGATGCTATCGGTGATGCATGAGTATATCAGCTTATTGCTAGCATCAGTAGACAAGAGATTCAGTATCATCCAAGGATAAATTCCTATATTCTGGCATTGCTGGAGAGTCAGATAAATCTTGTGCACCATGTATCCTCTACACCTTTTTTGAATGGTTACTGCGGCAGAACTGAGAAGGGCACCTACTAGCTGCATATTTAAGAGACACTGCTTATAAGCCAAGTTGCCAGTAAATCCGTCTAATGACTGCTTTTGCTGCAAGTTCCATAAGAAAATGGACATCAGCCGTGTATCTCCCTTAGTATACTGGGCCAGATGGGCCAAGAAGGAGTATTTTCTATAATGGTATTGGATAGTAGTGGCTCCACGTAGAAGAGCAAGCTCTCGGTGTCTGAACGCGTCTCTTCCCTTCAGATCTTCCACAGAGAAGTACTTTTCTCCGTAAAACCGTGCTATACTAAGTCTCTTGTTCCTCATTCTAAGTCTGAACGTGCGCTGAATTACAAGAGCCGCTGAACTTAGCACCTGCTCGGCAACATCCACACTAGCTGAAAACAATATCATGGAGCGTGCTTTTAAAGAGGCATTAGAAGAGAGTTTTGACGCCGCCACGAAAATATTATCAAGTAGCGTTTGTGCTAGAATAGTGTCTCCTTTGCAGGACATTACTACATGTTTTATCGTTTTTCGCGTGACGTAACCTCTATACATTGATTGAATTACTGTTGCAGAGTGCATTAGTTGGGCTGCAATGTCTGCACATTTATCCGGCCTGAGAATAAGTCTCGGATTAGTACCATCAATATACCTATGGACGTAACAGCAGGCCGGAAGGGGGAAGCTTCTAAGTAATCTAATGGTGGCACCTCTTTGGTGAAGTACGAGTCGCTGTAGGATTATGTCACTAGCAATTCTGATCCACTTAAGCGATGGTTCAACTCGAGACGGGTAACACAAGACACGTGTATCACTGAAAAGCATGCCACTCGCGTTCCTAGCTAGCTCAAGTAGCAGACTAGGGCATACCTTATTGAGCCCGAAGTAAATACACAAGGAACGGAAAGCAAGGACCGACTTTCGTACCAAAAAGCATCTAATGAATGCTTGCAGATAGGTAAAGGACTCTTTTAGACCATGAGCCTTTCTCCATAATTCTTCGCTTGAGATCTTTCGAGTGGTGTCTTTGGAGGACAGATAGTCCAGAAGATCAACACTGCCATCATTCTGCAGCAGCATGTTGATTTGAGCCAGTTGGACCGAGGATTGCGCACACAGAAATAATCGCGCGTGTAGCTGTATTATCTGTACTGCCTTGAGGATACTATTATAGAAGTTAGCACAAGCGTCTGTAGTCCTTAGAAAACCTCTATTAAGCATTAAATAGGCTAGTGATGGAGCAATGCGTTTAAGAGTCCAACGTACACACCAGCCACGATAGTATCGCTGAATGCAAGTCGCTGCACTCACCAAAGTCAATACAACAGACTCTACGCTTTCTAGCTGATTTTCACACCTGTGCAAATGGTGGAGTAGGATCCTCTGTAACCGTGAATCAACATGGCTGCAGTGAGCAAGCAATGTCGCCCGGCAAGTGGACACTAGCCGGCGAGCCCTGCACCCCCGAAGCCAGGCTTGTATCATGCGTGTTGATCTATCTAACTCTTCATAAGCCCTCTGTAACGCACTACTGCTTTGCACGTTGGGGTCACACAACAAATCGTAAAGAATAGGATCCAATTCCAGACGATTGTAGGTGTGCTGCATCTGAAGAGCGAGATAACTGAGAGCACGGGCTTGTACACGCTCCAAACTCTTGTCTATAATATACAATATTGCAGTGGAGCGTTTTCTACTGCGAATCGTCCACAGCAGACGGTCAGCTGCTACGTTTCTAAAAAACTGAATTATCATGTGAAAAGGTAGAGGCGACAGATTGCTGAATGTTAGGTGCATAATTTTCAATAGACCTATATTCCGTATAAGCACTCTCCGTCTGATAGTTTGCTGGATGAGAGTTATGCTTTCAGTAGTCGCATCGAGTGCATCGAAAATGGCTGCATCAGTAAGACCCGCCTGCAACGCAACATAGAGAACGGTTTGCTTCACGAAACGCGCCACAGAAGACTGTGACTGCATCTCTAAATTCACCAGCTTATTGGTTAGGTGCTGTATTAAGCCTAGTCTCAAGTGCACTAAGCGGCGACGCATGTATGTCTGAAGAATGATGGATTTGCTATTTAGTAAACCGTAAATCTTGAGTGTAGAGGTAACGGACGGTGGAAGCTGATCGTGCACAGAAGCTTGGTGCCATAGCATTCTAAATATACACTGTGTCGTAGATATATCCCTGAGCCTTCGTAGCCTTAGCCTGACAACCACTCCACGAAAACTAGCTAATGCGCATAAGAGTCTGTCACACGTATCTTGTAGCATAGCAAGGCTACCAGCGGAAAGATAGGGTATATCTCGACGAAGTCCTACGTCAATATCTTGGCTAACTATACCAACAGAAATAAGAAGTGGAAGGTCATTCAAAAGTGTATCATGCTTTTTCACCAGCTTAGTAAATAAGTTGTGTAGATAAGTCTTTATTGCCCTTTGAATTATTCTCACAGAAACTAGTACACCATCCCTATAGTTTCTACGCACAACCCATCCCCGGATGTGAGCCTGGAGAATAACCACAGACCTGGAAACACCATCGGTATGCTCAAGAATATCCTTAGGGCTGCACGTAACTAGATCTAGTCGACGGATTACAATCTGCTTGATCCGCGACGCAGTATCATGATGAAAAGAGGTTGAGCATGTGATACCAAGCATCTTCTCGAGAAGTAAATGAAGCAGTTGTTGGCGTAGTCGAACTCTATATCCTCGTGCGCAGCTCTGTAGACGCACAGTATTGTCAATAACATGCTTGAGCATAACCTCGCGAAAGATAACGGTTGGTAGCAACAGACCATCACAAATTATTGGATATCTGAGCAGTATTGGGCTTACCGTCATGACACAATTAATGTTCCTTATGGTTATGAGCATGCGCACCATAGATTGCAAAAGGGTTGCTGCGCGAAGTATCCTATCTTGATAAGCGTTGAAATCAGCGATTGTCTGGATGCCTCGAAGAGATGCTTCGTCTATGAACAGCTTTACTGCAGAAGGAGCCGCTTGAATGGCCCTGGCAACCAGGACTCGTTGGCGATGTCTTCTCATGCACCGTAAAATTATCATCTCTGCATCAACTAGCGCATAGTAGTTGAAGTCGTTGGAAATGGCAAAGCGCATGAGTATAAAGTCGTTGCAACAAGCACACCGAATTCGATAAAGCGTAGTCCGTAACTTGCATCCTCTAAACGCTGCTTGTATCCTAGACACTCGCAGTAAGAGCGTATCCATGAATAAAGTTATCATCTGAATGTACTGATCCACAGTTAAACGCTTACCTAGCTTTTTTAGTGCTTCAGCTTCTAACAAACCGACACTCCTTGTTGCCTCACGAAGGACAAATATATAAAAAGAGTCAGTAATGTCTTGTAGATTGGAAGTGCCTATCATCTGCCTAACAATCGCCTGAAGAACCCTGGCACGAAGTCGCTCCTTTGTGCCCCTGAAAAATGCTTGAATGAGCAACACACTCGATAGAAGACCATGGTATTCAGCTATGTATGCGCTAAGAACATACTCTCTGTTCTCCACAGAATACTGGCGACTGAGTAATACATGTAGAACGTCTGCAGGATGATACTGCATCCAGCGCGCGCCATAAAAGATGCTCTGTTTGTGATTTATGCTCTGATGCGGATAAGAAGATGCCCTGCTGAGCATCAGTGCCAGAGTCCTTCTAACTATATACCCAGCGTAACTAGCGCGAAACACTGTCCCCACACTAGAAATACGTGCTATGTACTCCTCGAGCTGTGCTTTGCTGCGTGAAATAGATAGGTATGGTCCTATGTGCAAATATTGCGTGGAAAATCCTAGGTTAGTAAATCTGTTTGTATTCGGAGAGGTGGCAGTACCTGTGATTTGTAGCTCCAATAGATCACAAGACTCTGCCAACGAGAGTGAGCCACGCAAAGCAGTGGGCAAAAACAGCTTTACGTCACTCCATGAAAGTTTAAAGATGCGCTCAGCATCCGCCAAAAGCCTAAGAAAGGATAGCAGACTGTATGCTAGCATGTGGTACTGCAAGACGCGAACTGCCTGCATAGTTGTGTGACTTGCAAGGGTACGTCGCTTTGTTGCAAGATATATCTGAATTGTAGGCATCACTCTTCTAAGAGCTCTCTGTTTGACATAGCGTTGAATGGACAAAACAGCCTTCAGGACTCTTTTTCCAGGCTCAGTATTAAATATATCATCCTGGGGGCGTGACTCATGTGTGAGAAGAGCTCGTAAGTAGAGATTTCGGCGAGCCTGTGCCGTAAGAAGGTAGCCTTTTTCGAAGTGATAAAGCTTTGTACGCCACATGTGTTGGATGACAAGTGCGCTGTACCGAACACGTCGGTAGTACTGTCTGGCAAGAAAGCCTCTGCATGACGCTTGAATGGCTGCTATTCGGCGGTCTACACGGGTCCGTATTCTGTATTGTTCTGTCTTCTTTGCATATTTGTTTAGAAGGTTCTGATAGTCGCGTTCTTCAGGTGAAATGTGCAGAAGCTCTAATTTAATGTCTCCTGTCAGACAATAATCATTGGAAACAAGTGCAGTAACAAACAGAATTGATACGTAGTATGACAACATGCTAGTATTAGGAAGTGTGCTTCCCATACTACGTGTGTAGGCATCAATCAATCTAAATAGTGAAAAACTATATCGCGTCCGTTCACGGATGTTATCAGAATAAACGAAGCTGGGCAAAACGCGAAGGATAGAGTGTCTGTTAGCAAAAACCTCAAGGGAGAGACTATAGTCCCACTTTTGTAGTAGCTCTTCGTAGCGCTCGAGTGCAGAGATAAACGCCAAGTGGCAGCTATAGAAGTCGGCGAGCCTGAGAACATTATGCTCTGGCTTCACATATCCATCGCGCTCTTGCTGTTGCATGATGATTTGCGAAAGGGTTGGTTCTTTCTCAGACAAAGTGGCAATCCGCGTGGAGCTGAAGCGCTCAAATTTAGAACTCCTGGTATCATCCCAGCCAGAAGGATCCGTCGTGCTACTCTTACGGAGAGAACAACTAAACCCATCTTCAGGCTCACTAACATCATCATTGTTGTAACACTCTGGTTCGCTGTACGTGGATAATACCATGGATGATTGCAACGTGCCTGCAAAGTTAAACTTCCAGAGCGTCTTGCCTGGAAATATCCGTCTTCCTGTGGGAAGAATAACACGAGCTATCATTATCAAAAGAAGGCCGTTGTTGACACAATCCCGCGGGTCAAATATTACACCGTTTAGATCATATCCATGGACTAACGCGACCATTTGCAAAGCAAGCAATAGAAATTCTGAATATCTGTGGGAACTGAGGTGACGCTCCAGGGTGGCCAGAAGCGTACGATGCTTCTTTCCGGTGAAGGAGGGGTGTGCCTGTGACCCGGATATGATGATATCCAGCACGCTGGCATTGCTTAGCATAACAGAGGAACGAGTCAATGCTTCCTGCTTACGCCTGAACTCGTCGTACATACGATCAACCGTTCGAACAATAGGGCTATTAGACGGGTTGAAAACGTACTTCAATCTTTTAAATATCTGCTGACAGGAGATGCTAATCATAGAGGTTTCCACTGTACTATTGAGGCAGGCCAAGAAGACCTTTTCTGAACATAAAAGTCCAGCCATTTGGTTCTCCTTGATGATGGTTAATATTATTTTATTCAGCATTGTCTTCGTCAAAGATGGGAGAGATGCCAAATTTTTGTTGAGTCCCTTCGATGCCTCGAGGACAAGCTTGTGTGGCCAGCAGAAGGATATAAGTATCCGCATATTTTCTATTATTTCTTCATACGTCTCTGCAGGTATCTTTAATGCGCCTGGGCAGTACTCGCGTTTCCTCGACATATAGAGAAGCAGATGGGGGAGAAGAGTCCTGAAGTTAGCAATGTTTTCATTCTTAAGTGGTGAGCTTATGGAGGAAATAGGGTGAGGCTGTTCTATCGACTGATTGAACCAACTAAATCCTAGGTCATTTAAAATTGTGCTAAGTCCCCCAGTTGAGCCAATTATAGTATAGTACGAGTTGAGAAATTCTGTCAACGTTCTTGCTTGCGTTATACTACTACGCTTTCCTGTCGCTGCAACAGTTTCCACGTGGTGCTGCAGGGGCCGGAGTATTCCTGATGCTTTATACACTATGAGAGATAGATCGATAAAGCAGAGAACTACGATAAAGAGGTTACAGTTCCGAGTCTTATTCACCCGTTGATCTTCTATGCTGAGGGCTCTGTTCTGTAGCCCAGCTGACCCCCTACAGAAGAGCTGCTTCACTATCTCTGATTGCTGCAACTTGAGCAGGATGTCTGCAATACGCACTTGTGGCAAATCAAAGAGGGCGAAAAGATTGGGCTGGGGCCTATACAAACAATCGCAAACTAACCGGAAAATCGCCCCGTCGATGGACTCCAAAGCTAGCGATAGCATGGATCTACATTGCTGATCGAGAGGGGCAGAAATGTCTCCTCTAAAGGTAATCTTACGCCGTATTGCCGGTATCGCTTGGCTGTATCTTCTGTGTGCAGTCATAAGAATGTTGGGGAGGGTGTCCCTCAAGAAGGTTGCCTGAAAAACTTCATACCCAGCCAAGTATGAGGTGTGTAGGAGTGAGTTAGTGAAGTTGTTGAGAATGTTGGAGCCGTGGTGTAGTACTTTATCATATATGGCCCTATCGCTGAGTAGCACAAATGGGTCTGTCCCTTTTTGAGCCAAAGCAGTTCGTGATATAAAGGCCTCGCTGCCCGCTGTGTCCTCAAAAATAGGAGATTGGACAAAGAAAGTCTCGGGCCGACCCAAAATACGAAAGTAGAGCTTCTCATTGGATGCCGAAAAAAAGATGTTCAGTTCCTTCTCAGTTGCTAAGCCCAAGAGCACAAGGTGCTGCACTGACTTCTGGCTTTCAACATTCAGAGTTTCGTTGAGGATTTGAAATTTAGTATCCTTTGAGACCCATGTGAACTTCACATTCATCTTGCTCGAGGGATTGAGAATAAATTGCTTGGGAACAGCATCAATGTGCCGTGGCAAATTTGAGATGCTAACGTTAACGCTTACAGAGAGCGTGGAGCTAAAGAGAACCTCTATCACCGTGGAAGTCCCTGCTCTACACGGTCCAAAGTCGACAGGAGCATTCCGGCAGCCCCCGCCGACGCTGAACGTGAAGCCTCTCATGGTTTAATTATTCAATGGCCTCTTGACTAAGCCGTTCTGTTACATGTGAGCAAGGACAAGGCATTCATAGGCAGACTTTGTAAGGGGTTATCTCTGCAAGAAAGCGCATCTGTTTACACAGTTACAGCCTTTGAGGTGTCTGAAAGATCAAAGCCGAAGTCAGAGTGTAGATGCATCCACCCTCAAGTAGACTCAGTAGTAGCAATGCACAAGCCCTTACTTCTTATCCTTCTCTGGGACTAGCTTTGTACCGAGGACCTTCTCCAACTTAGGAATGACAGCATCAGGAATGGGAGCAGAGCCGGATTCCCAAGCTGCGAGCTGCGATTCCTTGATATACGCTGCATCAGCTAGCTGCTTTCTGTTCATGCCCTTCGCGGCACGTGCACGCTCCAGGTTGCGACGCACTTCAAACTCGATAGCTTTGGGGCCGAATGCATTGTCTCCGGGATCTTTGTCGTAAGTTCCTGCCGGCTTCTTGTTTGCATTGTTTGTAGTTGGCTTCTTGTAGCGGACTACGTAGTCACGATACTCGGACATTTGTCACCAGGTCTTGAAAACAAAGGTCTTCAATATTTTATCGCATTTGTCGTAATTTTAATTACAATTGGACATAATTCTGGAACAAGCCGCCAAGTTTTGGTATTGTGAGACCCTTCAGAATCCGAATGCTGGCTAGTCCTCTTAGTTCACTTCTTTAACTCCATTGATTTCATATATCTTATAAAGTGTACGTCACAAATATTTACTGTAATCAGATCAAGCATTAGAGCGTCAAGGCATAAACTCTAACGAACCGGTAGATTGTGTTTTGCCGGGAAACTCCTTTGTCAAGAGAGGATTGAACGGTACTGTACTGCACTGGCCATACCCACAATTGATTAATAAAATGCCAAGCAAGCAGACATTTGGATATGAGACTGCCCTTGAGAATAAGGAAGGAGAGGGGCTAACGCATATTGCCGATAGCCTAGCCAACTGTAAGTGGCTCATCGATCTCCAGAAGGAGTTTAAGGCCGCCCTTGACCACTATACCAAGGACTTCCAGAAGCTAGTGGACGCGTCTGTTGCACCCCATCCAAAGACCCTACCGTTCAGCGAGAACTTTATAGCAGACAGCTGCAGCTCCGTTTGCCAAACTTTAGAGAAGCTTTCAGAACAGTTTGAGGCCCAGTCTATTTCAAAGCTAGAAGACGCATACAAAGAGAATACTAAAGAACTTGCGACTCTCAAGGCAACGATGGATAAGTCCTTCAAGGAGCGGGCAAAGCTGGACAGCGACAAGCACAAAACCAACACGGCAATGACGACTCTTTCTCATAAGCTTGACGGATCGGAGCCATCCAGTAGCACTCTTAAGGAGAAAGCAAGACTCGAGAAGAAGAGCGAAGAAATCACTGAGCAACTTGCTGACGTCAACAAGCGCTTCGTTGGCCTACGCAATCAAATGGAAACCCTTGACTGGGAAGTCCTTCAGGGCCTTATCACGGCCAGCAAGGTCACTGGCGAGGAGCTCGGCAAAGCTGGCTCTAAACTTAAGGCGATCGGCGAGGAGATTGAAAAGAAGAGGCACACAAACAATGCTCAAGAAAGCCTTGAACAGTTTCTGAAAACGATCACCGCTGCAGAAAAAGACCGCTGCCGTGCTAATATTGTCTAGGCGAACCCGGCTAGTAAATCCCTTTGGCGCTTGAGACACAAAAAATCCTAACAGCCATGCGGTACAAAGTCAGTGTGGTGGGGTCGGCGGGCTGCGGGAAGACCACCCTTGTTCATTCTCTTGCATACAACAGACCACCCAGAGATACAACCGAGACCGTAGACATCCACAGTATGCGCCTGCGTGTCGGAAGCGAAACCGTGAGCATCCGATTGTGGGACACAATGAAGGGCGAATATATGGGAGGTGTCTCGTCTCTAGCGCACAAGAGCGCATGTATATGTCTGGTAGTCTTCGATTTCGTCTCCAGGCCAAGCTTTGTGGCGGCCTCGCAGTATGTGCAGAAGGTTCTTGGGCTGGAACCGGATCTCTCTATTATTTTCGTGGCGACAAAGTGTGACTTAGCAGAGCTGAATCACAAGATTGCTGTAACTCATGAGGAGGCCCGGGCGTTCGCTGCGCTCTATGACTCTCCGATATTCTTCATTTGTGGCCTCACTGGAATTGGCACCAATCAAGTAATAGCTGAAATGAGCACAATCATTGCTCGCAAGATGGCCAGCAGCATGCCGAAGTCTGTCCTTTCCCTTGAGGACCTCGAGATAGCTCCTCCTTCTTCACGGTGCTACTGTTAGCTGATGCCAGCCACTATCATAGCCAGGTTCTAAGCATGATATTTCGACTCGATAGTGGAAAGGGTAGGGGTTGAAGAATCAATTCACTAGACACTAATCATTAACCGATGGCACCTGCGCTTTGCGTCAACTCTGCGCTTGAGTAGGTGCTGTAATTTCTATGTCAACGGAAGACAGAATAAATACTACTAATATATAATCTCTGTTTGCAAACAGCTTTCCAAGCACTAGACCGTTGGCTAGCTGCTCCGGTTTAGTGGACAATACCGTTAGATATACCGTCATCCCGAAGAACATGTACCCCAGTGGGTATGTTGATCTGGGTACTCCTATATAGAAGAGGCTGGGCTCCACGTACTCCGCTGCTGTACAGGTATCGTATTTGATCGTCAAGCTATTAAGGATGACGTACTCATCAGTTATGTAGGACACTTGCATTGCATAGCAAGTCGTGGAGGAGTTCACAAGTAGGGCTAGACTTATTGTATGGGTCTGAGGGGACGTGCTCGGTAACAGTGTATTAGAATATCCCAGCTCATAGAGCTGATTAGGCAGCACGTTGGTAGAGTCTATCTCTGAGCATACAAATACATATTGCGAGGAAGGAATAGCAACCTCTAGCGGTCTCAAGACGCTATTCAATGGAATCGTTAAAAGCTGAGTGTCGTACTTAGACGATAGCCTGATTTGACAATTGTGAAGAAAGCCCGTATCCTGGAGTGTCCCTTCCTGGAACACTGCCTGCAGCGAGCCAAGCTCAAGGTGGAATGTAAAGGCGCGTAACGGAGTGGGCTCTGCCCTGGTTGGCATGTGGAAGTTAAGGGACCACGGTAGTTTCTCTATAGACTGCTGCGTTAATACAGAATGTCGGAGGGAAGGTATAATGGCATTAGATGAGTACCTTTGAATATAGCTGAGGATATCAGTGAAAATACTAGGGTCAATTACTGACAGATTGACTGCTCGCAGATGCGTGCTAATGTCAGGGTCGATGTTGAACCCGACATAGGAGCCCACCCCGAGGGATATCTTGAGCGCCTGAGCAAGAGTCTTTGTACGGACGAAGTAAACATCGCTGGCCCAATACGGGTCTATCTTTCTGCAAGAGAACGAAGGGTCTTGACCATCATAGACATATGGCTCTGGATCGGCCCCTGCCGTCAAGAGACCACGGCACTGCAGAAAGTCTACCGTGCGGCCGGAAAAGCCGTATTTCTCCGTGCTCATCTTGTGCTCAATATGCGCCACTGCTCTGATTATAGCAAAAGGAGGAAAGACCCCCAGGCACTGCCCAAAGAAGAAGCTGCTTGTGCGGCTATAGATGGGCTTGACCTCTCTTGCTTGGGCCTTAGAATCCACCCACTTCGCCTTGAACGAAACAAAGCACCCTCTTTCCGGTTTCCAGGTACTAGAAGGAGAGGGACGAAAATAAACCTCTATGCCTTGACTCAGCGTTCCTGCCTGCATACGATTACCGTAGGACTTAATGAATCCGTAATTTTCTGCTTCATTGAAAGTGTAGACAATTCCTTGATATATGTGGCCATCAACGAGAAGGCTGTGCCACTGTGATTTGGTTACACGGGTGTTTTTGACCACGGTAATCTTGTCTGCCAGAAGCGTGATATACTCAGCGGTATTACTCGTTGACTGATGCAGGAAATAGTAGTCGGTGAGATCAGCTCGATTAAACTTCATAAGGGGGTTCGTGGAGACGGCAGGAGCTGAGAGACTGTGCTTCATCTGGGCCTCGTCTCCTTTCTTCTTCTCTGTGCGCTGCTTTTCTCCTTTCCCTTTGGCCAAACGACCACCGTGTTTAGCCATAGCTTCTAGGGCTGCATTGGAGACAAGCGGATAGAATGGCTGATTCGCACTCCCATAGACGGCATACTCGTCTAGATATCCATACCCGTGTATAAGATTGAACTCAACAATGTCCCCTCTTATCAGTGAACAGTCAGGGGTGTTAGGGGATGTCTGGACCCAGGGGGCTGCGAAGAAGCAGCACAGCGACAGCCCGTCAGCGATATTGAAGGAGCTTAGCGAGGAGATATTTGGTGGAGAATAGTTCATCATGCTATGGACATCCTGGGGAATGTTCACGAGCGATTGGAACACTTTTCGCATACTGGCGCACCCGGCCTTCTCTGCGCTCATGACAAACTCGGGATTCATGAAGGTGGGTATGCTCTGGGCTGTTTGACTTTGCTTGCTGAAAGGGGGACACACTATACAACCGTATCCGTCCTGGATGAACTCTATCCTTCCGCGGAAACGAGTGGACAGGGGCAAGACCAGCATAGGGTTATACTTGTAAATAAATCCATTAAAGCACTGCATCGTACTACTAAGCAGCCTATTGTTCACGTGGGCGTTAGCGATTGTATTAGGTAGAAGAATATTGGGAGCGTTCATGAATGGTAGAGGCATGTCAGAAAGGCTTTTATGCATACCAATAGACACCCCAGAAGACTGGGGAAGAGGGGCATAGAAACCGGATGGAGGTATCCCAGTAGCACAAATGTCAGTGTAGCATGGGATCTCACCAGACGCGCTGGCTGAAAGCCTGCCAAATAATTCCTTATAGGCACCTGAAGTATTAGAGAACAGGTAACTTGGAAACAGCTGCTCTGAAGGTGGAGACAAAGGCTCATATTCAATCGGGCTTGGGGCAGATACGGGTTTGAGAGAATCCGTACATTGATCAGCGTTAGGGTTACACAGGCCATCGTGTGAGCTGCTGTTGCACGCTATATCTTCGTCGATAGACCTAAACGCAGTTTGCTCCATGTAGGACGTGTGTTCCTGGGACATAGCCTCCGGGGACTCTAGAACATCCGCCAGAGTTATTGTAGTGAGTACATTACCATCATGGTTACTAGATTGACTGACTGACGAGGCGAACGGAAGAGCCGAATACATCCCAATATGAAAGGGTGGGTGGGTGGCTTTCCGTGCAGTATTCAGATAGTCATGTACCATGGAAAGAAGCCCCATTAGAGACGCCTCCCACGTGTTAGAGCAAGGAATAACTAATTTTATATTATCGGTATCAATCGAAGACCTGGCAGAACATCCACTCTTCAGTACAATGTCGACTAGAGACCCGCGAGGGAGCATAGAAGGAGACGGGTGATTAGGGTAATTACATTCATCTAAGTAGCATCCAACGGTGTCGACTGGAACACACAAAATAGAACTGTTCCAGCAACCAAGCACTGCTATCTCATAGAATCGACTAGATCTGGGCGCGTCCCCAAATGAGGGACAGTCTCTCCGGAGGTCAGCTATGTTTTCACCAGATGAATCACCATTGCATTCAGTATTGAGGGTGGGAGAGCATCCCAGGATAACACCTTTGCAAACGCTGTCCAAAAACGAAGGCACGCTATCCTTTATCTTCTGCTGAATAAGGCTCTGGATCAGCCGCAACTCCTTAAGCACACAGGGGTCCAGAGGCCTGTTAAGTGCCGTTAGAAAGGCCTCAGGAGTCATCGCGGCAAACATGGCCCCAGACACCTCAGAGTAGATAATACTGTCTGCAAGTCCACATAGAGCCCCCATGTTTTGAAAGTAGGCGGCCAGTCCCCTCGGCTCCATGAGAATAATGTCAGAGGGACACGAAATCATAACCTAAATTTATTAAACGCAGATAAGTTAATACTATACCTTATAATACTACTCTACAACATCGTTTAGGGCTAGAGTGTTTAGATAAAGAAGAGGGTAGAATGTGCGGTGCCGAGCACGATCTGTTTGTAATAGAGTCAACGCCGAGGCAGCCCCTGGTTATAAGTTCTCCGATCTTTTTCTCTATTTCTTTCTGAGTTTGCCGAGCTGGTTTCTAAACAACCCTGCATACCATCCCTCCGATCTAAGAGGCGTACATCTAAAATACAATTGAAAATCAAAATAAAAATGCATATTATGGCCAAAGTGCAATGGAAAAATTTGAAAAAATTAACCCTAGAATTTTAAATGGCTGATTTTGGTCTGGAGGCGTCTAACATCGCAAGCACCATTGCAACACTCAAGCAGCGCATGCAGGAGGCCGTTGATGCACAGGACTACGTGCTGGCGGCCAAAATGCGGGACCAGATCGGCGAACTAGCCAGGAGCCAGCAGGAAGATATGGTAAACATGCAGAAGTCCCAGTACAATGACGAGTGCCGTCGCATTGAACAGCAGTACGAACTCGAGCTAGAGAGATTTAATAGAACGTGGGAGGAGCGCCTCCTCGCTTTCGAGAACAAAGCGCGCGCGAAACGTGACGAGCTTGAAATAGAGTACAACTATGAGCTGAAGAACGGGGAGACTGCGTTCCAGCGCGCTCCAGTCAAGTTTTCTGCTGCACTTCTGAACCTCCGCGAAAAGCAGATCTCCGCCGGTCGCACGGGGCACTTTGAGGAGGCCATTATTCTGAAGCGGGAGGCAGATGCCATGGAGGCCGAGGAGATCCAGGCACATGAGAAGCTCCAAGATTTCCTAGAGCAGCAAGGAAGCGAGCCAATTCACAAGCGCTTTGAGATTCGAAAGAACTCGTTAGAGCAGCGCATCGAGGCCGGAAAAGTCGACATTATGACCAGGTGGGCAGCAGATCTGGAGGCCCTACAGAAACACTTCGAGGCGTTGAAGCGCCACGAGGCTAACAAAATATTCACCGCGCTGAATCCAAAGCAGAGGATGACACTTGACGACACAAAGAACCACACGAGTCAGCTTAAGCAGACCATTAAAACGGCAAAGAGTCCTCTCACGTCATACATTAAATCCGGCCCACGCTCCTCGTCCAGATCAACTAGTCGCAGCGGTAGCAGAGCTTGTACCCTTTGTCAAGGCGTTATCCCAAGCTCTGCAACCATGACCCCGAGCCGCGCAGGGTCCACGTCTCGAGCAAGAATTCCGACGTCCACATCCACCGTTGAGAGGATGCGTGTCTCGAAGGCTTCTCCCGGCGCAGCGTCAAGAACGAACCTTGGCAGCCGCACTGGGAGGATGAATCTCGGTGCTTCACAGACAGTTTCTACCCCAGGAAGAGTAGGGGGTGTCAGCCCCTCCGGCCTCCGAACCATCTCTCCATAGGCTCGCCCCAGGAGTTTGCTCACTAATGGATCGTCTGTGTAGATTATGGTGTAAATACCCCATCCTGCTTTGTATCTGGTCAGCCGCTGTTCGGGTGAAGTCGCTCTTCCGGGCCTGTTGAATGAAGGAGTGTTCGGGCCGGCATAACCGAAATCGCCGCGAGCAGACGCGGCGCAGATCCCGGAGATATGCGCACGCAAGGTAGGGCCGGACCGGGAGCCAGGCCTCGTAACGTGCGCCAGATGGATCTAAAAATTGAATGAAGGAAACTCTTTGACCGTGCCTACCCGGGCCCACACGAGCCCGGGATAAACGGTCACCCGTACCTATCGGCTACGCAGGTGCAAGGATGCTGTGCAGCCCTGTGTTTTAGCAGCCTCGATTTACTTTTTCGTTACAAGTGCCGTTGCAAAGTGCAATGAAAGCACTATGCCGATAAAGATAAAGGACGCGCGAAAGACGCTCTTGGGGGAGATGCGTGCAACGGGAGCGTGCTTCTCTGTCTTTCTGCGTGTTAGACGTCGGGTGGAACGAGCAATGAAACATACGCCATCTCTGGATTTTTTTTCTTTGGCGGCTTTATGGCAGGCTACCGATTACCTTCAGCACTTTCTCACGTCTCCCTTTTAGTGACCTTTCGGCTAGCTCAATCGCAGCCACTGTATTGAAACCTATTGATGTCCATCCAGAACACTTTAGCGCAAAAAAAGGCAAGCGACAGCATAGGTCGACCAGACGCCCATGAGCAAACATCTGGCCATTGCCTCTGTTCTCGCCATTGGCTTGACGGTCTTGTTGTCTATAATCTTGTGGAGGATTTCACGCATATCCGGGCCAGGATCCAAGATCACCACAGTATACCTCTGCGGGGACGCCCACTCCGGGAAAACGAAACTCTACTATTCCCTCATTTCTCCGACAGAGTCACCAGCCTCCTTTGATACTGTCAAGACGGTCGACGGAGCTATTTATACTGGGTGTATCGATTCTCTTCCAGGCAGACTGCTGCGTCTTTGCGATATCCCATCCGATCAGCGGTGCTGCTCTTCAGAGGCGCTTGCTTCGCCTCCAGCAATTATTGTCTACATAGCAACCAAAGGTTGTGACAGCGCTAACATTGTGACCTTGATGGAGACCCACCAGTCTACTCTGAAGCTGCTTCTAATACTCGCCATGGGTATTGCCGGACATGAAGTTCTTAGCCATGTCTCCAGCCTCATTTCCACAAATCAGAACATAGACCCAGAGGACGTTGCCATCCCTGCCTCTTTACAAGTAGCCGAGGTCTCCACTATGAACGAGCTTCCGTCTACCGTCATTGAAGCTATGAGGAAGATCCTTTGCAAGTAACACTGCCAAAGCATAGTCGAACGCTAACACTAAGAGGTAAGGTTTACTACGCTTTGTGTACTATCCGCAACTGGTGACTGCAGCAATAAGATACTCAAGGCAAGTAAGGGCTGCTGCAGACAACGGGCATCCAGCTCCTACTGTAAACTCTTCAGAGCATCCTTTGCAAAGGCCTTGACGTCGACGTCGACGTCACTCGTCAGGTTCATCAGGCAAGGTTTCATCTGGCTCTCACGACACTGCGCAGGCACATAAGGGGCACACTTGCCCAGTGTTTCGGCTGCCATAAATCTGACGTTAGGGATGGGGTCTGTAGCCATGCGAAGTGCAATGGGCACTAGGTGCTGTGCCACTATGTTCGACTTGCTAGCGGCCGCAAGCTCTTGGATGAAGAAGAGTGCATTGATTCGCTGCAGATAGTTTGAATTTTGCTTCAGAGTTGCTATCTTGGGGACGAGCACTCTTAGCGTCCATTCCTGCCCAAAGATAGTCGAAAGTTGAACGAGATTGCGCACCGCAGCCCTTCTGATGTAGTTAACGGTGTCTGAAAGCCAATTCATGCAGAGACCAGAGAGTTTCTCATCGAAGAAGGCCACACCGAGGTCTTTTGCTATCCCCGGGATGGCCTGTACCACGGACTTTCTAATGCGCCAGTCGCTGTCATCTGCTAACAAGACAACCGTGGGAAGGATGTTGGTAGTGAACGGCTGGACGCCCGTGACCTCGATGATGTGCGGCAGGCTAAGAAGTGTGGTTACACGCACGTCGGGATCTCGATCCTCGAGAAGCTTTGCTATGATCGGTTTAATTGTCTTGATGGAGTCATCCTTTCCAATAAATTGCGCGAGACCGACGACGTTTCTCGCCAAAGCAGAGCGTACAAAGATGCTGTTATCGTTGGACGCGCGGTCCGTAAGAACCGGTAAGAGATAGGCAAGGATATTTGCCGGGCTGATGCGGCTGGCAACGCGCACAACCCTCTGAATTGCGATGCAGCGGACCTCTGGCTCTTCGTCGGAGAGAAGCTTTGCAAAGGCCCTCACGACGTTTGCGGCGTCGTAGTTGCTTCCTGCAGGCGCAGACGGCTTACTGTTAAGGATCTTCAAACTGGCTTCTTTCAGAGTGTCGAGAGTGTTGGGCTTATTGTCAGAAATGAGATCTATGGCTTCGTTGCAGTCTGGCACATCAGTCGTCGATGCTCTCGCGGCAGCAGGCTTTTCGAAGACGGTCGTATAGCCTAGATATCCTTCTAGGACGTTGATAAAGATATCTGCACACGCGTGACGAACACGCCACGACTCATCTACGCAGAAGACAGAAAGGAACTTACGATAGAGCTCGTCCCTTATTGATTGAATGACATTCTCCGAGACATCTTTTCCGCTAATTAGCAGCTTATTGAGGGCCACCATCACATAGGGAGTAGTAGCAATATTCACCGCTCGCACTGAATCTTGCGAGTCATCTCCCAGAAGCTGATGAACTGTCTTAATGGAGGATGCTATCTCCTGCCCCGTTGCATCTTCGACGATCTGAGAGAGGCACTCGGCCACGGTTCGCCTGACCATAGGTAACGTGTCCTGGGCCAAGCGCTGGATGGCCTCAAGGAGGTCATTGCGAATAGTTGACGTTGTGCAGCGCTTGAACACCAGGTGAGCAAGCCCCACTCCGGAAGTTCTGTGATTATACCATTCGCCCTTGATAAGGGCCTCGACCATGGGGACGAATGATGTTGCGAAGTCTTTGTCGGTGAGCTTGCTTCCAACCCGCACTGCAGAGGCTATGGCCTCATCCCGGACGAGTTTTGAGTCAGCACACGCCAGAAGACGAAGAGGGTTCAGAAGGGTTGGAGCGTAGTTGGGCCCTCCCACTGGGTCCACAAACTTCCCCAGCTTCTGCGCCAGCTCGATAAGAATCTCGTCATCGTCGTCAACGCATTCACAGAGAAACGGAATGAACTCATCCCTCGTACGCTTCGGGCCCAAGGCAACAGCTATCTGATCTATGCGTTTGACTGCACTGAGCCTGGCATTTGCGTCTTCATTCTTCAGGTCGTCTATCAAAACGGCAATAGGAAAGACCGTGTCCTTGGACATTGCAGGCTGCTGGACAGAGTTTTATTTTTTCGCTACCTGGAAATTTCACAAGCCATCTAACACTCGCACTTCTCAGTTTAGCCTCAGCACACGGCATTCAGCGCGCTTTTCGCTGCCCTCTGGATTCTCAAGAGGCCGGTGAGAAGCCCGTCAGAAGCCTAGATCTTTCTCCCCGGCTCTAGCTAGGGCCTGCACTGATCACTCCTGTACTGGAGACCAGAAGCACTGATGAAGAAGCAAGTTACACCCTTATTTACTCCTTGTTGAGGTTCGGACGGAGAGACTGGCGGGGGTCATTGGCGCGAGACCTCCTCAGGTTTCTGAGGTACTTGGGACACATGCCTTTGTGTGACGTGTACGCCGACTTCTTGGGCTTCTTGATGCCGTTGCGGTGGTCCTTGCGGTTCTGGTTCTTGGAGGTGTGGTTCTTCAGCTTCGCCATCTGTCTCGGGGGCTCGAAGGTTTTAAGCACCAAATGCAATTTGATTTACATTGTTGAAGTGTGATAAATTCACATCTTTGTGTGATATTTTCCCTTTCCCCCCAAGCAGACCATGAAGATCCTTTTTGTGTGCCTCGGGAACATATGCCGCTCCCCCATGGCGCATGGGGTCATGCAGCATCTAGTGAGGAAGGCGGGCCTGTCTAGCCAGGTACAGGTGGACTCCTGTGGCATGTTCGGGCATCCTGAAGACACCTCCACGGAATACGGCACACAGAAAGCCATAGCTGACAATCTCGGCATCTCCTTTTCAAAGAAGTCTAGGCACTGGCGCAAGTCGGACTATGACGACTTTGACCTCATCCTCGCCATGGACAAAAGCAACTTTCAAGACATAATGCGGGAAGTGGGGAGGCGCGACCAGTCCAAGGTTCGGATGTTCCGGGACTATGACCCGGAGGGAAGGGGAGATGTCCCCGACCCATACTACTGCGGCCGCTTTGAGTTGGTTTACTCCATGGTCGAGCGAACCTGCCGCAGCATCCTCAACCATATCGAGAGCGGAAAGCCTTTGTGAACAGCCCCGAAGCTCCCACGGGGTCTGCGTTTTCGTGGCCGTTTACCACTGACAAAGGAATGCTGATGCTCGTGCGCAAGCTGCTATGACATCACCATGGACGGTGAGCCATGCCTGCCTCCCCGCCTGAGGAGCATCGCGCAGTGGTAGATACTACAGACAAGTAAATCACACCCAAGTCCTTTGCCTGCAGCAAGAAACAAGGCGGCGTGGAGGTCGATCGTAGATGATAGTGGCACATGTCTCCATTACTAGGATAGCACGTGGAATCTAAGTGCATTAACATCTCGTGGTCATGCGTCATCTATGAACGTCAAGGCTAACGATAGATCGTCGCTGTCGATCTAGAGTTTGCACAAAGCGTTCAAATGACCGGTAGTAGATTCAGCAGGAGACCACTGCATAGTAGTTTTACGAAAGCACCGGAGAAGGCTGGTCTCCACTATCGCTCTGTCTAACGCGCTTAAGTTGAGATGCATGGGACTGGGCACCGGTGCTCCACCTATCGTATGTTCAGCTCCTCAGTTTAATGGGTGCCTGATGGGTTTTGGCTCTACTACCACCTTTACTCGAGCTCTCCAGCCCAAAGAATATCAGCTTGCTGAACTTGCAGCTCGCTGTATTGCACATGCAATCCCGCGCTGTTATGCATGTCAAATGGATCTAACACCCCATGGAAAAGAGCAAATGTTTCAAGAAAAATCCAAAATAGGCTCAACCTTGTGACGTATCGATTTAATCCTGCTATACGCAGCATCTGAGGACAGTTCAGAGGCAATCTACTCTTATTCGCAAATGACCAACCTATGGATTACCCTTCTTATGTTTGTAACATACTAACACATGGTAAGCCAGGGCCATCTTTAAAATCACTGTATGCTGATTCTCCTGTATGCTACTGTATTCTTCGCCAGTGCATGCGGGACAGGACCTGCATGTGTTAACGGAGACTGCGCCTACGGGGACGGAGCATACTTCTGCCAGTGCAGGCGGGGCTGGGCGGGGGCTGCGTGCGATGCTCCCCGTGCAGGGTTCCGCAGGGTAACTACCAGTGGGCAGACACCCGCAGACAGGGCCGTCAACTACGCTTGCCTCGTGAACGGGACGGAGTGCACAGGGTCGAGCAAGTGCACCTATTACGCGGGGGCGTACTCGTGCGACCCCTGCCCCGATGGCTTCGTGTCCTACGAGGGCGAGTGCCTGCCGAAGAGCTGCTTCAACACCGGCGATTACTCAGACCAGGAGGCAACGAAGGCCCCCTGCAACGGCCGCGGCCGCTGCCTCCTGAAGGACCCCGGGCTGGCCGGGCTGAGTGCTGACGACTACGCGTGCGACTGCTACCCGATCTATCGCGGGGGCCTCTGCCAGTCGTGCGACGACGCCAACGCGATCGCTGTGGAAAGCTCTTCGTCTGACGCCCTCCCTACGTGCAATGCGCGGGCCTGCCAGGACTCGGATGGGGTCGTGTGCTCAGGCCAGGGAACGTGCACCCTCGACGTGGGCCTCGATCGCGAATCATATCACTACCGCTGCAAGTGCAATGCTGGCTACACACGCGTTGGGCACAAGTGCGTCAGGACAGAGTGCGTGGCCACAATCGACGGGTCCCCGGTCGTCTGTGGGGGCTTTGGAAAATGTATAGAAGAAGGCGACGGTGCCCCCAAGTGCGCCTGCGACCCAGACGCAGTCCAGGTCGATAAGTTTTGCACATACTCCGCGTGCACAGACAGCGCTGCTACTGAGATCTGTGGTGGAGTGGGCGCCTGTGTGCGCAACGGGGCTGGCTATAAGTGCGATTGCCGAGGGCTTGCCACGGGCGACCTCTGTGATACTTGCACTCCTGGGAAATCCGCTCAGGTAGGCGACAAGTGCGTTCCAGTGGGGTGCCTCACCTCAAACAACCAGGAATCATGCAAGAACGGAGGAACATGCGTCAAGTCCGATGGCGAGTACCACTGCCGCTGCCCGGACATGCTCATTGCCGTCAGCGGAGAGTGCACGTCCCCTGCATGCATGGACGAGGAGCTGGGGAAGGTCTGCTCGGGACACGGCACGTGCAAGACGGACGATCTACGAAATATACAATGCACTTGTGATCAGGACTATACTTACATCGCTCCAGGGCGCTGCATCTTGAGCAGTCTGGTGGATATCCCTGCCACGGTTTGCAGCGATCATGGACGCATTGTCGTTAGTGCTGAGGCTCCTGATACGATGACTTGCCAGTGTTCGCCTATCTACACAGGCAATAAGTGCGAAACTTGTGATACAACCACTGCAGAGGAGATAGATGGCGTATGCACCGCCAAAAAATGCATCATATCGACGCCGCAACCGCCCACCGCACGTGCTGCTGACTCACGCGTCTGCGGACCAGATGGTCAGTACACTACCTTCGGCGATCCTAGCAATCCGTTCATCACATGCGTTCCTAAAGACTCCAGTGATGGGAATGTCTCCGCCTACAACGGCACCTTCTCCGCTAAGCCTGGATGTGTATTTATCAGTAAGATAGACAAGACGAGAAGGTTCTTTTGTGGATTCCTTGAGAATGTAACAGAAAACCTGCCAGCTAATGACTTGCCTACGTGCGCTAAACCTTCCGACAAACCCGATCTACCTGAAACGTGCACTCAGTGTCCAAATGGCTTTCACCTTGTACACTTTGGAGAACACAATAAAACCTGCATGCATAATGACTGTCACGATGGCCAACCCGATAGTCACATGTGGTACAATTACTGCGGCGGTGTGGGAGACTGTGTCAAAAAGAAGGATAAAAGCGGAGGATATAAATGCGACTGCGGTCCAGATGCTACGTGGAACCCCGACTTGAAGGCGTGTGTTACTGATGCATGCAAGCTTGACAAAACACTTGCTGGCCCCTATGCACCAGACTACTGCATTCCTCAGTCTAACCTTATGTATCAATGCACTGTTGGCCGGGACACAACGTGGCAGTGTAATTGCACTGGGGACTATGTTACGTACAACAAGACGTGCATTTCAAAGAGTAAGAACGCAAATCCACAGACCCACCGAGCAAGGGGACTCTGCGGTGGTCCTGGTGCGGGATATATAGACAGTACTGGAACCTGCGTCTGCAGCAATGGCTTCCTCAAGATCGGTGACATGTGCTACAGCTACGACTGCCTGCCAGTTGGCATATCAGATAACATAAGGAATCCGGATATCAACGTGCTTGTCTGCTCCGGAAAGGGGGTCTGCGCATACAACCAGCTAACTGGCCGGTACGGCTGCGAGTGCGAAAGTGGCCTGGAGGCCTTTGGAGGTTACTGCACTCATCCAGGGTGCGTTGGAAAGGTGATTCATGACAGCGAAGTTAAGTACGTTGAATGTCAGGTATATGACGGATACCTTGGTACGTGCAACAAGAATTCTGATAACGGAAGTTATTCATGCAAGTGCAGATCTTCCCTTAAATTGATTAATAATATCTGCGTCCATCCTAGTTGCGTATCATATAACGATGTCTATTGCGGAGGAGATGTCCTGGCTGGATGTGTGAAGAGCGGTAATCGTTACGGCTGCGTCTGCTCCGAGGGCTACGAAAGAGGCCAACTCAATTCCCAATGCATTCCAAGTAAGTGCATCTACAGAAGGTTGTCGGATGATCCGCCCATTGTATGTAGCGGAATGGGGACATGTGCTGAAGAAAATTCTCTACTCAAGGACAAGAAGTGCAGGTGCAATAATAATGCTAAATTGGTCACACTTAGAGATGTGAACGGCGAGTTGAGAAGTACATGTATTTCGGATAGGTGCATTTCTAGCGGAGCCGAGACAGATACACCAGTCATCTGTGGAGGCTTGGGCAGATGCGGACCCAATGGATGCGAATGCGATCGAGGAACAGAGCCATTTGAAAAGACCTGTGTGAGTCCTATGTGCTTAATTAACACTACAGATAGTACAGGAAAAGTTACCAGAACTATCTGCGGTGGCGAGACTGTCGGAGAATGCACAAAAGTGGGATCAGAGGGTAATCACCTCGATTATACTTGCAAGTGCAAGCAACCACAGCAACCTGATAATTATGCAGAGGTTGATGGATTTTGTCTACCAAAGCAATGCATATTTAAAGTTCCAAGGCTTGATGGAGGAGCTGAAGTAGATACGATGTGTGGCGGTCGTCACTTTGGATCGTGTGTCATTAATTCTACTGACCCGACTAAGTCGTATTGTGAGTGCAAAAGAGAACGGTATGATGTCATCAAGATGGAGGATGGAAAGTGCATGAAGGAGGTTTGTCGCAGTGCAACTTTACCCGGAGGATCGGATAAGAATGTTGAGTGCTCTGGTCATGGGAAATGCGCAACAAATGATAAGAGCCATTACTCGTGCAAGTGTGATTCTGAGTATGGGATCTTTGGAGAGTACTTGTGCATACCAAATGCGTGTGTTGATTCCTCAACGGATACTAATAAAATATGCGGTAACGTAGGAACTTGTTCCCTTGAGTCGAAAACCTGCAAGTGTCCTCCAGCGTATACTGGGGCAAAGTGTGAAAACTGTGCCACAAATTATAAGAGACACAGTGACGGAGCCTGCTATCTTGACAACTGTCCGACAGATGGATGTGGTGTCGATGGGAGTACTGACATAGGAAGCTGTCAGTTTGGTGGCAGTAGCTTTGACTGCGTCTGCGTCAACTCGAGCTTCGTCGTTGACAGTGCTAGCAAGAAGTGCCGAAAATCCAGATGCGTTTGGTCGGATCCATACGATCAGACAGAAAAAACGTGCTATGGCATGGGTACGTGTAATGATAACGGCGAGGACACTGGGGCGTGTGTTTGCAACCCCGGGACAACCCTAGTCGGGACAAACATCTGTGTTTATAGCCAGTGCATCTCGGATGAGAACGGCTCTAAAACAGTGTGTAAGGGGCGCGGAGTATGCATCGCGAGCCTTGTGGCTGGCCAGGGAATGTGCCAGTGCAGTGATCAGTATCGCACAGACAAGAAGACCGGCCAGTGCTTTGTCAAGGAGTGCTTCGGGGCGCATGCAAGCATCTCTGCAGAGGTATGCGACGGTGGTGGAACGTGTAATGAAAATACTAAGAAGTGCGATTGTAATTCTGGTTTCCAAAATCTTCCTGGCCAGAATGGCTGCGTGCACAGCAATTGTATTTCGTCGGACCAGAAGCTCTGCAGCGGCTTCGGCGCCTGCGAGAATAACAATGGCAATTACATGTGTCTGTGTGCTAACTATTACACCCTGGTTGGAAGGGACTGCATCCCCACAAGGTGTCTCAAGGACGGGAAAGTCTGCAACGGCGGCGGCACGTGCTCCGGCGAGGGATCCTCTGCTACCTGCAGCTGCAGCCAGGGCTGGACCCTCCACGGGACCCTTTGCTACCCATCGGCCTGCGTTTCCGGCGGGACACTCTGCGGGGGGAATGGCAACTGTCCACTTTCCACAGATAGTACATGCGAGTGCAAGTATGGGTATGAAAGTGTTCTTGACCAGCTCTGTATCAGCAGCCAGTGCGTCCAGCGCGGCACCGACGGCACCGTGACGATCTGCGGGGGCAACGGCAGGTGCGTGTCTGAGAACGGCGTAAAGCCCACTTGCATATGCGATGAAGGCTTCTCTCTCACAAGCGACTTCGTCTGCGGAGTCCCTGCTCCATCTAACAAATCCTCGGGTGGCACGACGGCTGCGATCGTGGTCGTCGTCCTCCTCGTCCTCGTTGCGGTGGCCGGCTTCCTCGTCTGGTGGTTCGTGATACGGCCCAGGAGAGGCGGCCCACTGAGGGAGCGCGCCCCGCGGAAACCTCCTGGACTCCCCAAGCCGCAACTCACTCACAATTCTAGTCTTACTGCGTCTATGTACTCTACCGCGCCTCTGCTGAGTGGCTCCAGACAGTCATCCATGGTGCAGCTTTAGCTTTCTGTAAATCATTACACGATTGAATATTTACACTATTTCTTGACGGCCGCAATGGGGTCGATCTTGGCCATGTTGCTCCTCCAAGAGGAGCGGACGGGCTCGCGCTGGATGGCCCGTTGAATGGCGTCGCGGTCGATGTCACGGAAGACCATGGTGCAGGAGTCAAGGACCTGGGCGTCCTTGACGGCGCGACGGGCACGGCACACGGCTGCCGGCGTGGCTAGGAGCGCATGTGTGTAGTCGCGGCGGATGCAGAGCTCCTTGAGGATCTGGGCGCGCTTCTCGCGGATCTCGTCCAGGGCCGCCATTTTCGAGAGCCTACTGCTCAGACAAAACGATTTTATTCATTATGCGTTTTCACGCGGCGGCGCGGTCCGATAGTGTAGCTGGTTAGCACGTTCGCTTGACGTGCGAGAGGTCCGGAGTTCGAGTCTCCGTCGGATCACTTTCCGTTCACTCGCCCGCCCGCTCGAGCGCGACGCCGACGAGCCGCACCTGCAGGATCGCCTCTGCGTAGACGAAGGAGTCGCTGACGATCTGGTCCATCGCCTCGACGAACAGGCTGAACGTGTCGGCGCCTGCACATGGATCCTCCTCCGGCGCCGCAAGAAATCCAGCCTGCAGAATGCTGGCCCAAACTTGATCTCTGGACGGGGCCAGCTTACCCCCAGAAGCATCCCCCTCAGGGGCTGTGAGCAGCTGGGTGGAGAGCTTCAGCGATTGGCCGTAGACGCCGCCGGCCAAGAACTCTTGCCCCTGCGGGATAGCCGTGAGTCCTGCCAACAAGGATCTCACAAGCATGGAAGTACTTGTTGCTAAGTCGCAGGAGGGAAAGTCGGGGACAAGCGTCCGAGGAAGTGTGTAAAATAGCGCGGCCATCTTCTGAGACGAATACTTCTCAAAATAGATTAGGCTATGTGTGGTTGTAACTAGAAGGGCAGCAGCAGCAAGGGACATGTACAGAAGGGCGCAGATGTGCTGCTCTATAGTCGAGTATCCCTGCCTACTAGAGACGGTAATATCGAAAAAGGAGCCCATTGCTGCGTCTACAATCGCTATGTAGCTGTCTGGCGGTAATCTGAGGGAGCTATCCGTCCCTGGAGATGCCATTAGGAAATTTGTCAACAATCCTGCGAAGTATGCACCAGACAACAATCTAGACGTGAAGAGATAGTCAGGGCTAGCAGCTAATTGCAGTGTGAACGAACTCTGGATAAAGCTAATCACCTCTTTATCCCCAACAACTCCCAAATAATTAGTCATAGTGATGAATAGAGGAAGGCACTCTGGAAGAAGATCGAACTCCTCATCATATTGCAAGACGAATTCAACTATGGTTGCTAGGAGCTGGCGGGTTATGGCTTGCTTGATAGCATCCTCTTGGTGGTAGATGCTCTTTGAGCTATAGACTGCACTCAGGGCTGATACAGCAGTCGTTAGAAGGTTGGAGTAGGCGAACTCCAGAATTGGATGCAGAAAACAAAAAATGTGCTTGACAAGAGAGCAGACATAGCAGAAGAAGGCATGCGACAACGGGATCGAAGCTGAGATGCAAATGGTCGTGACGGTCGCCAGAATATTGCTGGTTGTAAGGAGGGACGGGTGTATTGTATCGTTCTGCCTGTAGTAGTCATCAAACACCGCATATCCGGGGGCTTGGGCTTCCCAGCCTTGGACAATCGACCGTAGAAGCATCTCTAAGCACTGATTAGTACTCACCGGGTCTATGAAGCTGCAAACCTCCAACGAAGAGGTTAGCAACTCAAATAGGTCGGCGTGAAACGTAGCGTCAGAAGGAACCCTTGCAAGCATTGTGGCCAGGGAGCTTATCATCACAGACGGCTGAATATTGCTAAGCAGGGAAGAAACATCTGTGCTAGGATCATCCTTCTGAAACTCTATCGAGATATAGAGACGGGTCATGAGGCTTTTGCACAAGACGATAGCTAGGTAGGCTTCGGTGCTACTCTTGCTATTCTCGAGATGCTGCAGGATGGGCATGGGCAGCATAGGCAGCAGCAACGATTCGTTGATGATGATGTTACCCGTCATGAACTCATTTATCAGCCAAAAGATCCTGCTGTTTAAAAACGACGAGAGATAAGGACCTATGCTCAGCAGTAGATTGATAAGCTCTCCTACCCTGTTATTAAATTCATGGCTTTCTGCATCCGGGACTATCTTGCATAGTTGAAGGAGTGCGCCTGGTGCATTCGTAAGAGCAATGAAAAACTCTACAGTAGACGTGTTGTCAATTGAAATTATCCGAGTGAGCGGACCTAACTGGGATGCTGCGGCGACAGGTCCGTGGAGAAGCTGCTTCGCCATCTCAGACAACTTGGTGAGTATCATCTGAAGCTCTCCCTCGGACAAAACTTTCATCACACTTGCATTTGTTTTGACAATCTCATCTAGTAGTATCTTAAAGTCTATGCCGACATCGATCTGAGACAGCTGCTCAGCTTCCTCGGCGTCTTTTTTTGTCATGCTCACGGATGACCCAAACGTAACATAAAACAGCTCTTCCACCTCTTCCGTAGCAAGAGCAGCTATTTCCTTGGGCTCCCTTGAGAACAACTTTATTGGCTTCTGCTGCTCGCAAAGACTCGACTGAGATAGATAGTCACCGAGAACCTTGTGCATGAGCATGTCGCTGATCGAAAGAATTCTTTTGGTGAGATGCATAATGTTGTCTAACTGGGACACCGGATCAATAGATTTCACAATCACTGAAATAAAGCTATATATTAAGCCGAGGACGTGTTCGCAGGTCACATTGTGCAAGGACATGGGCAAGGGCTTCAACATCATGTTCGAGAAAAACTCCAAGCAACTCAGCATGAGCTGGAAGATGCTATCATTGAGCCTATGGGTCTTCCAAAACTCCAAGAGGGCATTTAGTTCAGTGGTACGCATAGCCAGCGGCCGGTTTCTAACCCTGAACTCAGCCAGCCATAGGTTTTGATAGAAAATGATAAAGATTATTACCGTGTAAAGAGACGACTGGAGGTACTGTCCGTCGGCTAGCGTGTGCTCAAAAGCCTTATGGATAGTGTAGTAGATCTCTTCGATCTGCATGCAAATAGTTGTCACAATCATTGGTGAAAAAGAATATGTAAATATCATCAAACTGTACTGAAAGGCGTAATCTGCGGCAGAGCGAGCTACGAAACTCCCTGATGTCCTGATATTCTTCAAAAGGCCATTAATGCAATCTGCAGATAAAATCTGGTCGAGCCTGTTGCGGTTGTTTGTCACTGTACGGAAGCGAGCTACGACCGTTGCTAGAATGTAAATACTTGCAAGCTTCTGGATGTATGCGGAGTTAGTCGTAACGTTGCCAATCGGCAAGGGCTCCTTGAGGTAGGCGTCCTCGGTGAGCGTCACAGAGCTGTTTGCAATAAGTGTTCCAATATGCTTGGAAACAAGGGTACACAAAGTAGGAGTGTCAATGTGCGCGATTGCTAAAGCAAGTGTCTCTGCAATAAGCTTTAGGATCTGAACATTCAATGCGGAGTGGGCCAGCACAATAAGCTTCTCACTGAAGGCTACAAGTTCCCCGACTCCCTTGATATTATCCTCAACCTTAACCCATAAACGGAGCTGGATCACGACGGCAAAGACATGTTGTGGCTCCAAATTAAGAGCCGAATAGTTCTCAATCAGAGAAATGCAAATTTGATCGAATTCGTTGGAGTTCTTTAGCCTAGCAACAACTTCCTGCGCTTGCATTAGCTCTTGCTGGAGTGTGGAGCAAGAAAGACGAATAGCAGATGCCAGCTCTTGCATTTTATTTTTGTTCACTCGGTATACTTTATTGGGTGCTTGTTGCCCTGCATAGAGCGCTGGAGCTCCTCTCGAAGCATGGTGAGCCGCGTGACTTCTTCATCTATGCTAGCAACGGCATCCCAATTTGATGAGGCAGAAGCAGGCTTTTCCTTGGCCCGGAAACCGTGGCCACCTATCCCTGATAGTCCCAGCTTACTCGATATGTTAGACGCGAAAGGAGCTCTAGTAGACTTGCTCAAATTACCCTCGTTAATACTGTCTACGGTAGAGAGTGATGTAGGTGTTCTGCTATGAGAGCTTCGGCTTATCTCCCTATTGATCTCTGCCAGCGCATTAAGCTTTTCTGCGACCGCGATATCTCCTGCCTCGATGGATTTGCGATAGTTCTTGTGAAGGTCCGTAAGTTGTCGTAGCTCTGTTGCATACTCCTGGGTCTGGAGCTCCAGTTGTAACAGTTGGGAGGCGTGTTCTGCGTCCCTTGCAACAAGCTTGCTTTGAAGAGACCCCACAAGCCCCTGCTGCTCAGCGATTTTCTTCAACAGCATATCCTTTTCCTGCTGAAGCTGCTGCACTGTGTCTTTGCCTTCCTTCAGTAAGCCTACCGTCATATCAAGTGCGTGTGTTTTTTCGTTGAGAGCACGTTGCACGGAATGATTTTTACGCAGCAACTCTTCGTTTTGCCGTCTCGATTCAGTAATAAGCTGTTCAGAGTTGAGACGAATCTGCTCCAGTTCTAGCCTGAGTGCGCTATTTTCTGTGCATAAAGACTCTGCGATCCTTTTGTGGCTTATCTGGCTGGAAATTGTTATCTGTGCAGCGTCCAGACTCGACTCCTTGTCTTCTAACAGAGTCATCAGCTCCTGTCGCTCTTTTTCGTAAGCATTTCTTTCATTAACCATCTCACTTATCCGTGCAGTCAATGCATCAACATCAGCATTCGCTTGGGCTTCTATTTTGTTCTTATTTGTAAGTGCCTCCTTTAACTCCATGCGAAGGCCTGAATTCTCTTGTCTGAGCTGCTCCATCTCTTGCTTAAGGTGAATGATGTCTGTGGTGGCCTTTTGGCTGGACAGTTGTAACCGGGATGTCTCATCAGTGGCTTGCTCAAGGCGGAGAAGAAGTGACTTGTTCTCAGCCGATATGGAGTTAATGGTATTGATAGTATTTGTGCGGGCCTGCTCTGTTTGTATGTCCTTTTTGTCCAACTCTATCTGGAGTTTGGCAACATCTTGCTTCAGGCCGTTTATTTGTGAGTTCAGCTCTTCCTTTTCTAAGCTAAGCTTCCGCAGTTGTTCTGCATCGCTCTGAGCGTGAGCCTCCAATAGGGCAATCTGTGCAGAAAACTCGGACTTTTGAACTTCTAACTCTACAGCCTTCTCTGACAACTGTGCATCCCTTTCTTTTAGTGCATTCTGTAGCTCAGACTTGGCTGAACCTCTACGTTCACATTTTCTCGCCAAGTTATCAGCGCTTTCTTTAAGAAACTCGAGGTCTTTGCTCAGGGCGTGCTCCTTTGTTTTCCGCTTATCCAGTTCTACTTCTAGCTCTTTAACCCTTTCAGCGAGCTTTACATTTTGCTCTGTTGTTGCATCATATTGCTGTTTAAGGTTCCCCTCCTCGGTATATGTGGCCAGTGCTTGCTGCAGCGTTGAAATAGTATTTTCTGCCGTTGCTAAGGATATTTTAAGAATGTCAATTTCCTTCTGAGATTGCCCCACTAGCGCTGTCTGGGTTGCGAGCTTTATATTGACTACAGATGTCTCGGAGCGGGCTCCGTCCAATTCTCTTTCTAGTTGAGCTATTCGCAGCTCGAAACTGGCCTTGTTTGCTAATATGGCCGCATCCATCCGTGCAGCTATTGATATGTTGCTCTTCTCCGTATTCTTCCGTAAAGAAGCATTTTCGGCTTTCAGAACTTCTATCGCATCCATGGCTTGACTGAGCGCCGTGCGTACATCGCTTACTTCGCTTTCAAGTGCCTCTTTACCCTTTTGTGCCTCTACCAGCGCTGTACTAACAGCGTTGCTTGCGGACGTATGCGCTGTCTGTTGCTTGGCCAAGCGTTCTTCCAAGTCTCTGCACTGGCTTACAAGCTGCTCGTTGGAATCTGCAGCTTCCTGCAACAGCGATTTGAATCGCTGCGTCTCCGCTGCTAACTCTTCTGACTTTTTCATGTATGCATTTGTGCAATCGTCAAGTCGACTTGACTTTTCTGCACTTTCTGTTCGTGCTGCTACCAACTCATCCAGACAATTGTTTATTCGCTGCTTAAGCAACTCCTCGACCTTTTTACTCTCCGTGCACAAGATGCTGCTCTGCTCCTTGACAGAGTCATACCGTGTCTGTATGCTTAGAGCTTCTGTTTCGAGGGCCGACACCTTAGAAAGAAGCTTGCCGTTCTCCTCTTTTAGTATCTCAAGCTGAGAGGTCAGCTCTTTCACCTGATGATCCATCAGGCTGTTTTCTGTTTCGACAGCATTGATCTGCGTAAGTGCATTTTCGTGTGCAGTTTTCAGTTGATTGTACTCGAGGAATGCTTTGAATGAAGTGAATTCGTTCTCGCTTTTGGCCGACGCCAACCTCAGCTGGGAGTCTTCATGCTCCATCTTCAGTGCCTCATATTCACTTGTAATCTGCTCTAATTTTGCTTGCAATCTCTCTACTTCCTTGTGATCTGTGTTATCATTCAAGTTATCCGCCTGGAGCCCAGTATCCAAGACAGCAGGGCCTATTGTCTGCATACTAAATGAGTATGCTAGTAGCACTGGATCGTGCACAGATCCCGATGATGCAACCTGGATCTGCGCTTTGAGCTGATCTGTTAGTGAGGAAGCAAGCTGTCTGGACGCATCCAGCTCATGCTCTAAGCTTGTCACCCGTTTGTCTTTTGTAGACAGGCTTGCGCGTAGCAAGTCGATTTCTTGACGATTTCTTTCTATCTCTAGTCGCGCTTGAGATAAAATCTCGACAACAGGAGATTGGCGTGGTTGGTGGATCATAGAGTTTGCTAACTCCAACATAGATGAGGTTAGATAGCCATCGGCTGTATTAGGCTTCTGCGAGCCTTCTGCTACTGGAGGGATGGTGCGAGGCTCGTCCAAAGAATCCTGCAAGGCTGCTGCTCCGCCTTGCCAGGAACTGTCTTCGGTTGTCATGGGAAGGCTCCTTTGATGAAGGCGACCAGAACGGTCTAGTGATGACCTACTTGCTGATAAAATCCTGCGCACTGCGTCACTATAATCCAGTAGTTGATCACTGTGAGATTCGTCCATTTCTAATTTTTGCTCTCAGCATAAAAATGGCCAGCTCCATTATGAGCGACCTGTCTACCGACGACATACAGGAGCTGGCAGAGCTGGAGAAGCTCCTTCCAGCAAACGTACATGCCCAAGTCAAAATGCTGAAGCATGTAATCATAGGGCTTAAGAGGAAGCTGAAGGTTGAAAATGAGGCCCACATGGCTGTCCGGCGCGAACTGTGCAACTATTTTGCAGATTCTGATACAGACAATTCGTCCATATCCGCGCAAGGAAAATCCGATCGCAGAGCCTTGGCAGAGATTGGTAGCGCGGAAGAAAAGCTTATTTCAGTCAAGGCTGAGCTAGCATCCTTAACCTCCAAATATGGTGACTTGTACCGAAATCTGATCTACCTTCGTGAGCAGTACGAATTACTACGCAAGTCTGATGAAAGTAAAACGCAAAGGATCGCTGAGTTGACGTCCCAGTTAGAACAGAGCGAAAAGTCTGCCCTAAGCATGCAGGAGGAGGTTGGGCGGGCAAAGGAGCTACATACAAAAATGGAGAAAGATAATGACGAGTTGCAGGCAGAAAACATCAAATTGAAGTCTGAACTCAGCTCTACTAGCTATCTTAGTGACAAAAACGCAACAGATCTAAAGGCGCAACTAGCCCAGGCGTCTACTGAATTAGCTGTAATCAAGGATGCACACAATAGACTCAAGCTGGAAAATGAACGGCTCTATGACAAGCTCAGGACAACGGATGACAATAGTCGCGCATCAGCAAATGCAGAGTTTAGGAAGGAACTTGACTCCAAGGCTTTGGAAATAGCAAGGCTCACTGCAGAGTTGGAGGCCACACGAAAGGAATGCGCCACGATCCATGCACAGTATGAGGTGCTTCAGGCAGAAAGTAAGGCGCAGATATCACAATTGACAGAAAAGTCCACCTATGAACTCTCGCGCTTACGGACTGAATACGAGAGCAAGCTTGCCTCAGAACGAAAGCAGGCCGACAGCAATATAGATCTTCAGGCTGAAAAGCACTCTCTTGCACTTGCTACGGAGGCTGCACGTCATGACAAAGAAAAGAATGAACTTAAGCAAGATCTGAAGCAAAAGCAAACAGAAATAGACCTCTTGACCAAACAAGTTGGGGATGGAAGGAGAGCCCTCTTGGAGCTTAGGACCCGACGCCAAGCAGACGCTGATCAATTTTCGGCGCGGATGAAGATGTGCAAGATTATGTTAGAGGAGTATCAAGCACGCCTTATTGCAAGTGGAGAGACCGTTGATCCGCACGATTGTGAGCAGTTAAGCATGCCTTTCTGTGAGCTGCCTGACCCAATCAGAGCATTTCCAGTGATGGAGACAAACACTCATCATCAAGGGTATGCTTTACAACACCTACCCGGTAATATACCGGGGCCTACTCCCAGCAATCCTAGTGTTACTCAGCAGTCAGAGCAGCAGCTCCATAATGTTGTCCAGTTTGTTGATCCAGAGCCTAGTATCCAGATGGCAGACACCGTTGATATTTCAGTTAAGTCCAGCATAATCGAGCAAAATCAGTCGGAAGAATTGTTTTCTATAGATACAGACAAGGATGCCGATGAACTTACATATGAAATATCTATATCAAATCTCTACCTCAAACGAGATCTTCTCCCCGCAGATGCCTTGGAGAACACACACTATATATTCATCGTTGTGCATTTCTGGGACTTTCAGCCTCTCGTATCTCGTGCCATAGAATTCAATGGAACTCGACGGCAACTTCAGCTGGAACTAGAATTTGTAGCGCGGAACCTCTCTGTTACACAAAGCCCCCTCTTCGGGCTCTACGTGGAGACGCGGGGCGCGCGGGTCGAGGCCTACGGGGCGGGCGCGGCCGGGACGCGGCTGCTCGGGGCGGCAGAGGTCCGGCTCGGGGGCCTGCTCGACGGGCGGGAGGTGCAGGCGGAGGCCCCGCTGGTCTGGGCAGGCGCAGAGATCGGGCGCGTGGCGGCGCGGATCGCGGCGGAGCAGGCGCTCCGAGTCCAGAAGTAAACAGCACAACCTGCAAACACAGAAGCGCTTGTACTGTATGTGTTGGCGCTCCCGCGCATCAATGGTTTAGGGGTAGAATGCTTGCTTGCCAAGCAAGAGAGCCGGGTCCGAGTCCCGGTTGATGCACTTTTCGCCCGGCCCGAGAAAACGGCCATCATATCATTACAGGGAGCGGGCTCAGGTGCATCGGCCCACACTGCGCCGAGACCTCATGAGGACCTCCCGCCTACTGTGCGTACAGTTACCTAAACGCATCTGTAATGGCTAAAGCACGCGGCGAGTAAGCGACCAGTTGAGAGAGCAAAGGTAGCTACCTCAGCAGGCCAGAGCAAGCAAGTAGGCAGTAGATGTGTTCACTACCGAGCTCCCTCCTGGGGCAGCCCTCGGAGTGGGAGTCTCAGAGAGGAGGCCGCCGGGCACCCCCACCCGCTGCACGCAATCCGGTCCACACCACAGCCTTTCTACTGATACCCCTGTTGGTGGTGAGCACCATCGCAGTGACCTGCCGATCAGATGGGAACCATACAGCGACCTGCCAGACAGACAAGTGCGAGACGGTCGGTAGCACAGAGATCTGCACCCAGTGCAGGGCCGGGGCGTCCCGGTCGACGGCTTCTGCTGGCCCCCCGGCTCCATCCAGGCCGCGGCAGCCGGGTGCACCAAAGCAGACGGGGCTGCCCTCGACAAGACGGCAACCACCTGTGGAAAGTGCGGCGATGGGTACCTCCTCTTCATGGGCGGATGCTACAACAAGGATGCACACCCTGGCAGTGACATATGCACAGCAGCCAAGGATGGAGTATGCACTGCTTGTAAGGCAGATAACGGCCTGTTCAAGAACCCGGCTGCACCATCAGAGAAGGGTAGTGAGTGCATACTCTGTCATGATGCCACGGGAGCAAATGGATATAAGGGAGTGGCTAACTGCATACAGTGTCAGGCACCACAGAGTGCAGGAGCAGCTACATGCACTGCCTGTCAAGATGGATACTACAAGAACTCTCAGACATGTGAAAGGTGTGATGAAGCTTGCCTGACCTGTGAGACTGATGCGGCCCATTGTACCTTTTGTAAGGCCGGGAAGTATCTCGATGGGGATCAATGTGCTGATATCTGTGGAAGTGGCAATGATAAGTATGCTGACGAAGCTACCAGAACGTGCAAGGCATGTAGTACAATAACTGGGTGCACCGCGTGTGAATATAATCCAGTGACCAAGAAGCCAAAGTGCACCGCTTGTAGTGATAAGAAGGTGAAGACAGAGCTTGACGGGACAACCACTTGTGTAGATGCAAATGGGTGCGCAACAGATAACGTCGACGGATCCCACTTTCTAAATCAAGCTAGAAATAAGTGTCTTCTTTGTAGCGATGACAAGACTAATACTAGCAGTCCACCTAATAAAGGACTTAAGGATTGTGGTAGGTGCAAAAAAGAAAGGGATGATGCAGCTTCAACCTGCTCAGAATGTCTGTCTGGATTTTATTTAGAAGACGCTTGCAAGACCTGTGATGCTAACTGTGCCGTGTGCTCTGAAAAAACACTAGTGGATAAGTGTAAAATATCCATGCAAGAGTGACTTTTAACCGGGATAGATGAAGGAAAGTGCATTAAGTGTGATGCGAAGGCGGCTGAGAATACTTATGTCAGCGTTGAGGGCTGCCTCTCTTGCATAACTCCAACCACCCCAGGTCCGGCCAGCCGCGACCGCTGCAAGATCGGCTACACGTTACAGGGAGCAACGTGCGCGAAGGTATGCGAGGACGAGACTTCATGTAGAGGTACCTCCGGCTCTTGTGATGCTATAGTAATCGATGCTAATGGAAAGGAGCTTCACTGCTCTCATTCGGCAGAGGAGCAGATAACGTGCCAAATGATGGGAAGCGTGTTAATAAAAACAGTACAAACGGAAATACTTGTGATAATCCTGTCTGTGAGTCTTACAATCAGGGATGCTTCTTATCTACAGGCGGTACCACCAGGTAGTAGACCTACCCAACAGTTACATGTGCAAGAGAGCAGATGGTGGCATTTTCACAGAAGCAGCAAGCGACAAGTACTTCGTGGCCTTTGATATTATGCTGCTGGACTCGTCTGGGTGTGGTCCAGAGGTCTCACGAGTGGCCCTCGCTCAATTCCTGACCAATCCAGACGAGGGTTGGTTTTGGATAACATAACGAAAGATTCCCACCCATCAGTACATCCAGAGCCTAGCGCCTTCCCTGGTCGCTCTGTGGGTGTGTGCTCAGACCGAATGCGTACTTCGGTCCTTTCGGGGTTCAGGCCTTCTTACGGACTCTCTGGTCCACCAGTGGCGCCTCTTCTTGGTCTTCCTTCGTGGCGGGTGAAGCTCCGGTCGCTGTCTTTTTTAGATGCCCCGTCCGCCAGGGGCTGCCATCGGGCTCTCCGCTGGCTGGGCCCTCGGTGTCCGGGCAGCTGTGGCTCGAGTCAGTGCTCCCACGGTCGCGGTCACGTAGGTCTCAGTGGGCCGGCTGGTGGGTGAGGCAGGGGTATGGGGCGGTGAGGCTGGTGGGGACTGGTGGGGGCTGAGGTGGGGGGTGTCTGTATGTGCCCCTGGGTTCGGTGGGTCATTGGGGTGATCCCCGCTCTGTTTGCTAAGGTGGTTGTGTCTGATCCCCAGCCTTCGTTGCACTCCAAGACACAGGCACCGACGATCGTGTCGTGTCCCCCTGACTGAGTGCCTCCCTGGCCCCTGCATGCCTCGGGCAGTACTGCCTCTCTGCCTGGCCGGTACGTGAGGACTGAGGCAGGCCATCGCAGCCTCTCCTGTTGCTCTGTGCGTGTCTGCTGAGCCCCCTGGCATGCCCTGTCCAGTGCCTCGACGGTAGTTCGCCTGGGACCAGCAGGGGTGTGGATGACCCTGTGGATGGGATGGGGTTCTCTCGTGCCTCTAGTGTGATGGCTCAGAAGACTGGCATGGTGGGGCACCAGTGACTGCACTGTCTCCGTGGTCAGCTGTGCTGCTCCTGGTGGGTCCTCGTTGTGGAGCGCTGTGTGTCGTCCGTAGGCAGAGGTGATCCTCCTTGGTCTCAGGATGCTCTATCATGCAGAGAGGAGCACGCTGATGGTTACCCATACCTCACCTGCTGTGCCCTCGAGGAGTTCCCGATGTGGTCCACCAGGACCTTGACCCCTCCTCGTGGCTCTGATGACTTCTCGGGGAGAGTCGGGGCACCCTATACTGAGGGAGGCGTGCATGAGCTGGGCCACCCACTGCACTGCCTCCAAGGAGGTCTGCTATGAGAGGCAGTGGGATGATCGACAGCCCCTCAGAGTGGGTGGAGGGTGCTCGTGGTCGTCTCTGTGATCGGGCATCACTCTGATGGTCGGCTCCTGTGCCTTTGTGGTGCTCAGAGGTCACCTGTGCTCCATCGCCTGCTGGACAGCCGGGCCTCTTGTGGTGTCCGAAGGCCTCCTCACTCCTCTGGTCGCTGCCCCCTCGGGTCATCGATGGAGGCCAGCGGAGTCTTCGGTGAGTCTGGTGCCTGCCTGGGTGTCATGGGGGCTGGCAGCTGTCAGGGCTCTGCCACTGCTCACCTGCCTGGAGTGTGCCTCCCTTGGGCCTGCTCTGCTGTGCTGCGTGAGTCCTCTGGCTTCCTACCAGGCCCTGACTGTGAGGGTGACTCCACCTGGCCCTCTGATGCCCCTGTGGATGAGCATAGCAATGTGTCTGGCTAGGGATCTCTGGTGCCCGTGTCTGTCACTGCCTCTCGGGTGGCTGTCTGGGGCTCTCGCATGAGGTCTACAGTCAGCGTGTCCCGAGCAGACTCCAGTCCTCTCTGGGTCCACACAGTCTGTCCGTGTGTGGATGGCCCTCCTACACTCATGTCCATCTGTGCACACTGTCACTCAGCCTCGAGAGCAGACCAGTGCAGTCACCAGGGCTGCTGTCAGAGGGAGTCGTCTGTCACTACATCGCTTGAGCAGGCCATGCAGCCCAGGCTGGCTGCTGTGCACCCTCATGGCAGGGATACTTGACTCCCCTTGGTCATCCTCTCTGTCTGGTGTGCACGGCTCCTGAGGGTTGTCTGGGTGGAGGCACTCACAGACCACGAGCACACAGAGGGGTGAGTCACAGATGGACAGCCCCCAGTCACCACAGCTATGATCACCCCAGTCTATCGAGGGACCAGAGGCACATACAGACACCCCCCACCTCAGCCCCCACCAGTCCCCACCAGCCTCACCGCCCCATACCCCTGCCTCACCCACCAGCCGGCCCACTGAGACCTACGTGACCGCGACCGTGGGAGCACTGACTCGAGCCACAGCTGCCCGGACACCGAGGGCCCAGCCAGCGGAGAGCCCGATGGCAGCCCCTGGCGGACGGGGCATCTAAAAAAGACAGCGACCGGAGCTTCACCCGCCACGAAGGAAGACCAAGAAGAGGCGCCACTGGTGGACCAGAGAGTCCGTAAGAAGGCCTGAACCCCGAAAGGACCGAAGTACGCATTCGGTCTGAGCACACACCCACAGAGCGACCAGGGAAGGCGCTAGGCTCTGGATGTACTGATGGGTGGGAATCTTTCGTTATGTTATCCAAAACCAACCCTCGTCTGGATTGGTCAGGAATTGAGCGAGGGCCACTCGTGAGACCTCTGGACCACACCCAGACGAGTCCAGCAGCATAATATCAAAGGCCACGAAGTACTTGTCGCTTGCTGCTTCTGTGAAAATGCCACCATCTGCTCTCTTGCACATGTAACTGTTGGGTAGGTCTACTACCTGGTGGTACCGCCTGTAGATAAGAAGCATCCCTGATTGTAAGACTCACAGACAGGATTATCACAAGTATTTCCGTTTGTACTGTTTTTATTAACACGCTTCCCATCATTTGGCACGTTATCTGCTCCTCTGCCGAATGAGAGCAGTGAAGCTCCTTTCCATTAGCATCGATTACTATAGCATCACAAGAGCCGGAGGTACCTCTACATGAAGTCTCGTCCTCGCATACCTTCGCGCACGTTGCTCCCTGTAACGTGTAGCCGATCTTGCAGCGGTCGCGGCTGGCCGGACCTGGGGTGGTTGGAGTTATGCAAGAGAGGCAGCCCTCAACGCTGACATAAGTATTCTCAGCCGCCTTCGCATCACACTTAATGCACTTTCCTTCATCTATCCCGGTTAAAAGTCACTCTTGCATGGATATTTTACACTTATCCACTAGTGTTTTTTCAGAGCACACGGCACAGTTAGCATCACAGGTCTTGCAAGCGTCTTCTAAATAAAATCCAGACAGACATTCTGAGCAGGTTGAAGCTGCATCATCCCTTTCTTTTTTGCACCTACCACAATCCTTAAGTCCTTTATTAGGTGGACTGCTAGTATTAGTCTTGTCATCGCTACAAAGAAGACACTTATTTCTAGCTTGATTTAGAAAGTGGGATCCGTCGACGTTATCTGTTGCGCACCCATTTGCATCTACACAAGTGGTTGTCCCGTCAAGCTCTGTCTTCACCTTCTTATCACTACAAGCGGTGCACTTTGGCTTCTTGGTCACTGGATTATATTCACACGCGGTGCACCCAGTTATTGTACTACATGCCTTGCACGTTCTGGTAGCTTCGTCAGCATACTTATCATTGCCACTTCCACAGATATCAGCACATTGATCCCCATCGAGATACTTCCCGGCCTTACAAAAGGTACAATGGGCCGCATCAGTCTCACAGGTCAGGCAAGCTTCATCACACCTTTCACATGTCTGAGAGTTCTTGTAGTATCCATCTTGACAGGCAGTGCATGTAGCTGCTCCTGCACTCTGTGGTGCCTGACACTGTATGCAGTTAGCCACTCCCTTATATCCATTTGCTCCCGTGGCATCATGACAGAGTATGCACTCACTACCCTTCTCTGATGGTGCAGCCGGGTTCTTGAACAGGCCGTTATCTGCCTTACAAGCAGTGCATACTCCATCCTTGGCTGCTGTGCATATGTCACTGCCAGGGTGTGCATCCTTGTTGTAGCATCCGCCCATGAAGAGGAGGTACCCATCGCCGCACTTTCCACAGGTGGTTGCCGTCTTGTCGAGGGCAGCCCCGTCTGCTTTGGTGCACCCGGCTGCCGCGGCCTGGATGGAGCCGGGGGGCCAGCAGAAGCCGTCGACCGGGACGCCCCGGCCCTGCACTGGGTGCAGATCTCTGTGCTACCGACCGTCTCGCACTTGTCTGTCTGGCAGGTCGCTGTATGGTTCCCATCTGATCGGCAGGTCACTGCGATGGTGCTCACCACCAACAGGGGTATCAGTAGAAAGGCTGTGGTGTGGACCGGATTGCGTGCAGCGGGTGGGGGTGCCCGGCGGCCTCCTCTCTGAGACTCCCACTCCGAGGGCTGCCCCAGGAGGGAGCTCGGTAGTGAACACATCTACTGCCTACTTGCTTGCTCTGGCCTGCTGAGGTAGCTACCTTTGCTCTCTCAACTGGTCGCTTACTCGCCGCGTGCTTTAGCCATTACAGATGCGTTTAGGTAACTGTACGCACAGTAGGCGGGAGGTCCTCATGAGGTCTCGGCGCAGTGTGGGCCGATGCACCTGAGCCCGCTCCCTGTAATGATATGATGGCCGTTTTCTCGGGCCGGGCGAAAAGTGCATCAACCGGGACTCGGACCCGGCTCTCTTGCTTGGCAAGCAAGCATTCTACCCCTAAACCATTGATGCGCGGGAGCGCCAACACATACAGTACAAGCGCTTCTGTGTTTGCAGGTTGTGCTGTTTACTTCTGGACTCGGAGCGCCTGCTCCGCCGCGATCCGCGCCGCCACGCGCCCGATCTCTGCGCCTGCCCAGACCAGCGGGGCCTCCGCCTGCACCTCCCGCCCGTCGAGCAGGCCCCCGAGCCGGACCTCTGCCGCCCCGAGCAGCCGCGTCCCGGCCGCGCCCGCCCCGTAGGCCTCGACCCGCGCGCCCCGCGTCTCCACGTAGAGCCCGAAGCGAACACGAGATTGGCGTAGTATATGTGGCAAAATAATTTACATAGATACGATTGATAAAGCTTCAGCGTGGATTTGTCTGGCCGTTTTCTCTAGTGCAAAATCCTCTGCCTTGAGTGCCTCTATAACACGCTTAAGGGACGTTATTTCATTCTTATAGTTCAGAATCTCGCTCTCTAGCTCCTGGATTCGAAGTTTTGAAGCAGTAAGTTGATGCTCTACCTGGTCTGAATGTGGTGCAGTGGCTAGCGTGTCTAGAGAAGACAGCAAAGGGGCACCTTGCATTGCTGAGTGTTGCTGATACTCATTGTTTTCATGATGGATGCCCTCGGCATGTACCGGCGCAGGGTTATAAATCCGCCTTAGCAATGCCCCGACAGGGTCGGGAGGATAGTTGTCAGTTAAAGAAGCAGTAGACGGTGCAGAAGGCTTTGATAGCCCAAAGTCGGCATTGAGATTGGGAGCGGACGGGTGGTTACTAGAATGAGGTGTGTATATGGCTGTAGCAGAAGTAAGCACCTTAGATGCATTAGATAAGGAGCGCAGCCTGCTGTCGTTAGACGCGGGAGTGTTGTTAACGGCTGAATTCTTAAACCCGAGCTTACCAACGCTAGATGTAGAAGAGGCTCGCAAAACAGACTTTCCCATTCCTGACTTCCCTACAGCATGATCTAGGCCTGTTTCGTCTATGCTGCGCGTCAAAATCTCGCTTGTCATGCGTCCGTAATACTGCTTTATGTGTGACGGAAGAGTTGGAAGCGCTGTGTCTGGTGGACGTTTATTAAACGGATCGTCAAGCGTTCGCTTCATGAGCATGTCGAGGAGATAGACCCCGTAGAGGTTGCGATTCTTCTTCCATTCCAGATGGCTCTGCTGCTCCATTAGCTTCAGAACCCACTTTTCTATGATTATACGGCTCCCAGTGCTCAGCGACCCTGCCCGTATCCGCACCTGCTCGAGGATCTGGGACAGCTGCCGATCCAGCTTCGCAGCAGAATTCATCGCCAGCTATAATTTACTAGAACTTTTAAGACCTCATTCTGTCAGAAACGAAGCCGTGCATGACTTGTCATCCCAGTCATACGAGCTATCGTCGCTATCGCCATCAGTGGAGGGCAGATTCCTTTCTTCGAATTCGTTTGTCGTAATCCTGTAAATAAATTCGTTGAAGAGTTCATTGTTGCCAAACTCCGTTATGGGGCTGTCGCTGCTGATGCCTGACCTGTGGGCTGCTATCTGAAGCATGCTGTTGGAAAGAGAGTTACGGAGGGCATCGATACAATGAGGAATGGCAGCATTGATGTGGATCAACATGCCCATAAGGTTGAGGATTCGCTTGCGTATGCTCTCGTGAAAGTAATTTGTAGTACTTCCACGGAGCTGATCGTGTCCATGCAGCGGGATAACCAACGACTGAGTCACTGGATGTCCGCCAACGACCACTGCCGATGTTGTGGAAGTAGACAGTCCGCTTCTGCCTCTCTTTACTTCGTGTGAATGATTGACACTAGGTGTCGTGCGACGATTTAGACTCGTTAATTTCTGCATAAATATGTTGATATCTGTGGAAAGCGTCGAAGACATGTCTGATAGATCGCTCAACAGCGCTTGTAACTCATCTGTGTGCAGATACCGGACGTCGCGTGCACGTTGCAAGCACCGTCGCGCTTTCGAAATGGCTGTGCTCCCTTGCTGTCTGTTCTTCCTGGCTGGCCGGGGGCCTGTAATACTTGAAACATTGGAGTTGCACTCGTGCCGGACAGGACCCGAGCCGAATGGCAAGAGGACCCTCTCTGTTTGCGTGCTATTAGATGAGTAACGTAGTGCGTCACGAGGGTAAGTAGACCCCTGTCCTGGAATTGAGCCCAAGAATATTTGGCTGAATGGAGCGCGGTCTGCAGAACCAACAGGTCTGGAAGAGAACTGTCCACGACGTGGAGCATTCAGTGATCGCCCGTTTATTGGTGTAGTATTCGGAACGGACGGAACATGGAAAGCTGTTAATACAGGACCATGGGTAGCACCGTCAGTCGGCGTTGCACGGCTCTGTTGATTTTGTGCGTCTGTAGGAATTAGAACTGAAACAGTAGCATGCTCTGTCGGCGAAACTATTTGCTGCGGTGAGGAGCTGGCTCCTTCGGATGGAGCGGTAGTGTTGGTGGTGATGTTTATCACTGCATTGTACGAATCACTAGTGCCATCGTTGGGAGATTCGTCGGAGTAAAGATTATGCAGAAGTGTTGTTAGGGCTACCATGGGGTTAGAGGTATCTCCAGACCTTTCAGTAGAGTTGCTGCGGAGAGTTGTGGTAAACGTTCCACTAGCGGGAGGGGCTACACGAGACCCGCTCCCATCTTGAACTGTGAACAGACCCTGCAATATATCGCGTGCTATATCGACAGGATTAACATTCGACATTTCTGGGCTCACACTCATCCTCAAACTCGCAACGTCTACAGGCCTCCTGAGTCGATAGACATTTGGTGCTATCTCCTCAATCGTGGGCTGCTCGTCAGCTGCGTGGGCCTGGGGCAGAGCCTGAGTGGACTGTCTTTCCGCAGGAGGATCCAAATTATGAGAACGCCTTTGGACAAGAATGATAGAATTGTTTGTGCTATTAATCCCGCACTCATTAATGAGGTGCCCTGGGGGTAAGTTTGATATTATCCGACCCCTAAAAACCAATCGAAATTGACCCCGCTCTATGCCAGTAGACTCTGCTACAAGTCCGATCAGCATATCGATGGTTGCATCCGTAGTGACACTGACAGTCCATTCTTGGTGGTCATCGACCTTAATTATGCGCAGGGAAAAGGTCTCCGTCATAGCTTTTTTATAAGAGAAACAATTTGCTCCAGTGTTTACTTCGAGGTGCTTCATCTGCGCTTACCACCAGAGCAACCAGTGCGGCGAGCAGCAATAAGACCAACCTTCTGACCCGGGACCGCATTGCGCGGGACGCAGGAAGACACACCAATGTGCTGATGGTTACCACCACCATGGGGGTGGTCAACAGGGTTCATTGCTACACCACGAACGACCGGCCAGCAGTTTCGCTTTGCCTTGTACTTGTGGTAAGCGTTTCCTGCCTTGAGAAGGGGCTTGTCTGTGCGGCCGCCGCCAGCAACAAGGCCGATCATGGCACGAGCCTTCGAGGAGATCAGCTTCTTCTGGCCGGAGGGAAGGCGGATGCGGGTCTTGTTTGTCTCCATGTTGTGTGCGACAACCAGGCAGTAGGTCCCGGATGCTCGCGCTAGACAGCCACGGTCCATGGGCTTCTCCTCGACGTTGCAGACGTAGGTACCTTCGGGGATGTTCCCCACTGGGAGGATGTTCCCGATGTGCAGAGTGGCCTTGTTTCCAGAGAAGACCTCTTGGCCTGTGTACATACCCTCCGGGGCGATGAAGAGCTCGTTCACGCGGCCCTCCCCACGCATGTTGGGGAACTGAACCCTTGCGAGGGGCGCGCCGCGGCCTCTGTCGTGGAGAATCGCCTTGACGACGCCACGGACAGAGCCTGTGCGCTCTGCAAAATCGTTGGCGCGGAGCTTCGCGGCCCCAAGGCGTCGTGCTACGTGTGCGCGGAAGACCGATCCCGCACCCTTACGCTGTACACGGATCCTGCGTCCCATCTTCACAGAGCCAGAAACAAAAAAGGCCAATACGAATTCAAAATCAATTTATTTTTTTATCACACAGCGGATCAAGTGGGCGAAGACGACGGGCAGGGAGCCGGCTCGCTCGCGAATTTGAGAACAGTGCAGCCGTCCTCGACGTAGCGATGGCAAAAGTAGAAGGCTCCATTCCGTCTGTTTTCTTTGAAAGCTTCGGTGCAGGCCCCCAAGATGTCCACCCGATACCGGGGGCCCAATAAAGGCCAGGAGCCAAGGTCCGCGTGGTCCTTGATAGTGAAGAAGCCATCTGCGATGTTAATCACACTATTAAGTGTAAAGGTGTCGATGGCCTCAGCCATCAGAAGGGTCTTCCCCAGCTGTGTCTGAACGGACGCACTCTTGTCTAGCTTCAGATGCGCTTTGAGTGTAGCTAGCTTTTCTGCATACTGCGGCTTCGTATGGCTGGTGAGGAGCTCCTTATAGGCTTTCTGCCAGAGCTGCTGCAATGATCCTGCGGAATTGAAACACATAAACTCTAGGCTTGATTGGGTGCCAGTAGACGTGTTGTATAGGGAATAGCTAATCTCCTTCTTTGCAGTAAGAGACTTTCTATATGCATCTTCACACCGAAGCAATTCCTCTCTAAGCTGCTTTAGGTGCCTTCTGCTGCTCTCTGAGTATCTAGCCTCCAACTCATCTTGTGTTGAGTCTTCTACTTTTACGTGGTGGCATAGTAAAATTTGCTTTTCACTGTCATTTATGGCGTCTATTCTCATGTGAATCTGGTTAATCTTAATATTGGGGAATGGGCTAAGTGCCTTTATGATATAGTTCTCAAACTGGATCAACTTAGAAACGTATTCCCGCTCTGGCTTAGTCCCTATCACAGCCTGCATGATTGCCTTGATTGCCAATCCAGACTCCACAAGTTCACGGTATGTAACTGCTCTATATGGACACTGGTTGACACTCATGAGCTCCCGCAGCATTGTGTCCGTGAAAAGAGACGACGCCTCTATCTTCTCATTGTACTGCTCTTCGTCCTGAACCAGATCTGCACATGAAACCCTAAGCTTCTCCTTCTGCAGATCTTCGGGGAAGAGTATTTCTACGTAGTAGCGAGAGATTTCAGGATTGGCCAAGTAGCTGTCATAGATATGTTCCCTGCTCTCCTGATACACTTCGCCGAATGAATTGGCGTCAGACTGCCACATGTCGGGAGAAACACGGACAGGGATAAGAAGATTACGGCTATACTGGGGGAGGACGTTAGCTCCCAGCTTATTGAGCCGAAGAAGAAACATCGCGTGCTTCCGGATCACTTCTTCAAAGAACCACTGCGGAGAATACATAACAAGAAACTGTGCAGGCAAGATGACATTCTGATAGCATTTTGCTGTGATCTGGGGCTCAATGGGCTCCTGGGTAGCGAAGTTAGTAAACTGTTCAGACTCCTCATTTTCATCCTCAACCACAAATGACTCTGAGCTCTCCTTCAGCACATTGTCATCATCTCCAAGCCCCAGATCTATCTGCGTGGGATTGAAGTGCTGTGTAGTACTGTATGGTTTGGCAGACCCCCAAATCTGACTGTTGTGGCGGCGCTCTATCTCAACCTCTCGATCTACGACTGTCATCTCCATAAGGCGGCGGAGATCTTCTTCATCTCGCGCAAACTGCTTGACTCGCGAGAGGTCGGCCTTGTTCCATGACATTTTCTATTTACAGAACAGGTCTAACATTACTAGATATCAGGACACCCGGGCCTAAATTATGCCCTAAGAGGGGATCGTTCAGTAGATCTGCGGGAGGATTGAGCTGCTCGCCGATCCGTACGTGTTGCCGGTTAAGTGCATCCTCTGTCGACAAAAAGATTAACTCGAATCGCTTGATCTCTGATAAGGCAATCTCTGGAGATACCCTTCGAGAGATGTGATCGGTCATGGCGTCTAGAAATGTCTTGACCTGGCGTTGCATGCTAAGCTCGATCTCTTTAACTCGCTCTGCCACTAGAACCTCCTGGGACTTTATCTTTTCTTGCAAACTCGTGATTCTTAGTTCCTGACGGGCAATTTTATCTTTGTATTCATTGTTATATGTCTTGAGCTTTGACCGCTGGTCAAGAGCCTCCTTCAGATTCTTCTCTGCAACAGAAACCTCTTGCCGCATGCCTTCTATCGATCTGTTTAGCGTATCTATCTCCGCCAGATACTCCCGTGTGCGTTTGTCCTTTCCCTCGATCTCTCCGTTACAGTAGTCCAGCTCCTTCTTGACTCTAGCCAGCTCGCTGCGGGTCTGGTCGGCTTTCAGCTGGATCTCATATGTTCGAGTATTTGACGCATCCAGCTCCGCAAGAACTCCTTCGTGCCGCCGAATTACGGCTGAGGTAATACTGAGAATGTCTTCAAGGGTTTTCACGTTTGTTATCTTACTGACACGTAGCCTCACGGACATGTCCTCCACAGCCTTGCATGCAGAACGAAACGTAATGGAAACGCTGTCAAGCTCTTTCCCAAGCGTTGCTATGCGTTCATTCTGCTCAGTCATCATGGCCTCAAATTCTTGCTCCTGCCTTTTCAAATTCTCTCGATACTCCGTGAGAATCCTCTCTGAGGAGCACTTTTCAGTCTTGACGAATTCAATATCCTTTGTTCTGCTCTCTAAATGGGCCAGAGCGGTGTCCAGCTCTGCCTTTAAGGAAGACCCTTGCAGCTCCAGCTCTGCAACTCTTGTCTTCAGCTGGGAAGCCTGTGCTTTATAAGCAGTCAGCTCTGCGGTTAGCTCCGATGATCTAGTGTCGGCCTCCATGGTCACTTGACTGTGCAGTGCCTTGAGGGTATCATGAGCCTCCCTGATTTCTCTGAGCTCTCGTCCAGCGCTGGCGTGATCTGCTCGGAGCTTTGTGAGCTCCAGCATCACCTGGTCGTTAGTTGAGCGCAGATTCGTCAGCTCCACAGAGTCCATCTGGCGCCTCTTTAGCTCTGCATCTGCCGTTTCCAGCTGCTTGGTAAGAGCTGCTATTGTCACCTCCTTTGCACTGAGACTGGCAACTGTATCCTTCAAAGAATTAATTTCATAGGAATTTTGGACGTTGATGTTTTGCAGCTCGGTAATCATTTCAAGTTGTTTTCTTATGGTCTCCTCCTTCTCTGGTACAAAGCTGGCCACCATCCTCAGGTGTTCAACTTCTAAAAAGAGAGCCTTATTGTCTTCCTGGTACTTGATATTGTCGCGCCGTAGCTCGCTTAGTTCTGTACTTCTGGCCTCTAACGTCTTTTCAAGCGTGTCTGCCTGCTTTGCCCTGGTCTCCAGTGTTAGTTTTTCACTATGGAGATTTGAGATTTCGGCCACACGATCGGACGCCTCTCTGATAAGAATTTCAATTCTACTGGTGAGGTCGGAAACTTGATCTGCCAAAGACGAATTAGCCGCCTGCAGAGACTGCGCATGCATCTTTATATCTTCTGCCTCTCCTAATGCGAGCTTGAGCTGCTGTATTTGTCCCGCCTTCTCCATAGAATCATTTTTGAAGTGCTCTGCTGTCTGGCGGAACTGGTCCTCCTGAAGCTTCATATCTTCTACCACACGATGCAGATCAGCGTTCTGATTTCTCAATCCGAAGATTGTCTCCTGAAGCTGTGCGTAATCCTTTTGAAATGTTTCTATTTCGCTATTTTTCCCCTGGAAGAAGCGCTCCAGCTGCTGCTGATGTCCTTTCTTGATTGCATCTAACTCTTCTGCGTGTTTTACCTCTAATGAAGAGACATACCTTCGCCACTGAACGCCTATGTCCTCTAAAAGGCACTCGCTTTCATCTTGCGTGAGGCCTGCAGTGCTTGCTCCGCCTGGCTGAGGAGCAGATGGGACCCCAGTGGATGGATTCAGCTTGTTCTGAAGTTGTAAAATGAGATAGTGCTGCTGCTTGATTTTCTGCTTCTGCTCTTCTATTTGTTGGCATGCTAGTTTGAAGTTATTCTGCGCAGACTCTGCCTGCTTGCCCCTTAGCACGCTTTCTGCATCAAATGCAGACACTCGTTGCTTCCATTCTAAAGCCTGAGTCTCTGTCTCTGAAAGGAGCGTCTCCACTGACTGGAGGCGATGGCGGAGGGTGTCGTTCTCAGAGGAAAGAGACTGTATGGACAATTTTGCTTTGAGAAGAAGTTGGTCCCTCTTTTCTATCTCCGTACTGATTTCAGATGCAAAGGCTGCCTCTTTGCCGGTTGAACGGTCTGGGTGAAGCTCCTGCTCCAGAGAAAACACCCTGAGCTTCAAGGTGAAGTTCTCCTTCTGCACACGCTCGAGCTCGCGAGCGGCTTCAGTTTCCATCTAATAAAATTTGAATTGCGAAAGTTTATTCGTCCACTTATTATTCCTACGAACCGTACAGACCAGTCGAGGCACCATAGGGATTGCCATAGGGATTCTGACTAAAACTAGGAGTGCCATAAGGGTTTGCCATCCCAGAGCCCTCTGACTTATAAGCATCACCGTACATCGAAGATTGTGGGGGAGGTGCGCCATAAGGGCCACTTGGTGTTGATCCTATCTGGGGCGTAGCTTCAACGGAAGTGACTGAAGGGATGGTAGCAGCGCCTAGCTGCCCTTGGGGCTGAATAGGAGGAGGCATCTGAGACCCCTGCTGGTTTCCAAACTGTTGGTACTGTTGCGGCCCTGGCCCAACAGGCATGGCAGCCCCAGAGACAGGCCCGGAATGGTGTGGCTGGGGAGCGCCGTACGCCATCCCAGCGCCGTATCCTCCACCATATGCACTTCCATACTGAGGTTGCTGCTGAGGCACACCCGCCTGAGGCATCATGGATGACAAGCCAGCTGTAGGATCGCCGTAGGGCATGGCTGTGGACGGGGCAGCAGCTCCAGGGAAAGAAACCTGGGTCTCGTAGCGGGCACCTCCTGCTGTTGACATAGCTTGATCCACTGGCGGGTTGATATTCTGCTCTCCGGCTTCCTTCCCGTCTGGGAAGCCTCTATAGAGCGTGAGCTCGTGTGACCGGAAGTAGCTCCTACTCTCCGAATCGATCAGCGAAAGGACGACCGCATACTCTAGTTTTGCAATATCTGTACTAAAGGATGGAGATAGTTGCAAGTTTGACATGTATATTCTGAACGGTATGACTTCCTCGCGAGTTGGGGCACCTTCCATGATATCGTAGTAGTGTATGTCGTGCCAGGCAGAGGCGAACCACTCCGTAGAGCTCTTGCTCTTACGGAAGAGCTCCCTCCTTCTAATGATAATGGCCATTTCTTCCAGCTTCTTGGCCGCATGCACAAAGTGAACGCGCCCAACCAGCATGTCCCTTGAAATGTCAAGGAACGTGTTGTTGAGTTCCAGCTCCAGTTGCAGAGTGTCCTCCACTCCTATTTCCGTCCTGATGGGGATGGTCTCTAGCGGTTTAGGAAGGTACTTCAGACAAGCAAACTCTGTATCTCCAGAGTAATTGCCAGTCTTGGTCTTCAGAGTGCAGACTAGAAAGTACTTTATGCAGAACGCAGCATCCATCGCGTTAATAGTCTCACAGGGGAGCGTGTTCCCGGAGAAATCGAACCCGAACGTTTCGGGATATGTGAGGGTCCCTGCACCCTTGGCTATCCTTGCAACGGAGAAAAATGGAAGGCGAATGGCCTGCTCGTCGTTAGTCTCAACAACTCCCTGTAGTTCGACGACAACAGAGTCATAAGCAAGGCTCTTTCCTCCGGAGTTGCTGACTACGACCGATCCGGCAATGACAGTGTCTGCAGGCACGATGATGACTTCCTTGCGCACATCATCGTCTATCTGGCGCGTAATCTTGGGCAGAGTAAGGAACGAGGGTATATTCCAGTCGAAGCTGAAGAAATGAACCTTGTTACTCTTCACCTTTTGGGCCTTGGACATCTCCCCGTTACTTTTTAATATCCTGTTCAAAAAATTCACAACAGCGTTTTTTTGAGTGTCTGTACCGCCGAGCATGAGGTAGCAGGGTCTACATGCCGGCTACCGTGTGCTGGCTGAGCGTTGCCAGCGACAGGGATCAATCGTCGCTTGAGCGCTGCAGTCAAGTCCTTGTCAGTGGCTTCGAGGTAATTCGTCAGAGTGCTTAGGCGTCTGGGGTTGATATAGATCGGCAGTCTTTCGACATCTAGCTTTGGGGGGTACAAGGGATGGTACTGAACAGCGGCATATATTATGCCTTTGCTCGAGTCTCCAGGCATCAGTACTTCATCAAAGTTTTTCCTTGTAAATCATTATCATTAGACCTTCTATCAATGTCAATCACTTCAATAAAGAACAATCAGGCAGTTGTGCATGGCATCCTTCCATATGCTGGCTCGTGCATTTCCGACTTCATTGTGCTCCACACACTGATAGGTAGCATAGCATAATTACTTATCCCAATTTTAAAAATACTTTGTGTGGCCTATGTCCACAACCTATCACGTTCTCATTCCCACAAATGCTTGCATTCGCGGCAGTAAGTTTAAAAGCGTGTCTATGCCCGGAGATGCTTCGGACATTGAGTCTCTCTCTTCTTGGAGTTCTTCAAGGCTTATAAAAGATTCACGCTTCCTATTATATTATAGAGCTAAAAAGTACAAAACATCAGATAACATTACTTCAGTACGGCTTTACCCAAATATCAAAGCAACTAAGGGAGTATCTACATTAGAGACCCTCTTTTCAGATAATGACACTAAGCAATCTCAGGGAGTCCGTGGACTAATGGACCTTGATCCCATTGATAAGATGGCATATATCTACAAGCTTTGTAAGCAGATCCTTGAAGCCCTCAAGGAGCTGTACAAAGTGCTAACGACACTTCGTAAGAAAGATCCCGATATTCCGTATAGTCATGGGCTCCTCACTCCTTCGTCCATTTACCGGTATCCTAATGGTCAGCTAAAATTAACCTTTTATGGATTGAGAACAGATTCTCAATCTGATAATATTTACTGTGACCTGCAGTCTCTGGCTTCCATATACTCTAAACTCTGCACCAAACTACTCGTCGAGCCGGATCCGTCCTTTAATGCTACGGTTGAAAAGCTCCGATCATCGGATAGAGTGTGCCAGCTGAAAACGATGCTTGATTTTGTAGAAGCACGGTTATCAAAGCTTTCGGGTTCTTCTGGTATTGTCGGGCATTTGATACCGCCGTCTGATATTGAGAGCTCCATAAAGGATGGGGCCAACGAGCTGGCACTACCAAGTAGTATCGAGGTCGACGAGCTTGAGAAATCCAGTACCACAGGCATCTCTGCGTCTGCACGGTCGCTGCATTCCATCTCTGACTCTGCCTCCACTCTGTGTCCGTCTGGAGAAACAACCACAATGCTTCTAGAAAGCGGAATCTTGATGCCTGCAAAGTGTCTTGACCAGATACATCAGCACTACTCCTACCCAGCAGGACAGACCAACCCCGAGGGTCTTTGCTCTATAGATGACGGTTACACGATGACTATCCTGCTAACTGCTCTGCAAGACATACAGATGGTGTGTCCATATCTTACGTACTTCTCTATTCTGTCTTCAAAGCATCCCATTCAGGAGATGAAGAAGAGCATATCTGAAGGGAATGTCCTGCAAATCTTCACAATGGACAATGTATTTGAGATGCTCAGGGACTTATCCCAATCAACGCCAATTATGCACGAAACCTTGGCGAGGCAAGAGATAGTCCTCCAGATTCTCAAAATAGCGTTTACTGGAGCAAGCCAGAGCGAAGAGTATGGCAGCATGGATGACGCTAAAAGAGCCCTACTCCATGCCAACATGCCCCGCTTCATAAAGTTCATGATACAGGACGTGAATCTACACCCCTATATCATGGTGACAGATCCAAACCTTAAGTCAAGAGAGGTCATGGAGAAAGAAATATGGGGCCTCATTGATAAGGGTGTTGAGTGCTACCTGAGCCTGATAGCAGGTCGAGGATGGCTTTGCAATGAGGCAGAGAAGGGCGACACCACATCCCCTAAGCAGTCAACTGAGATTGCCAATTCATGCATCACTTGCCTCAAATCATATCTGCATGTAGCCATTATATCCTATTCAGAATCTTTTACTGATCAGATAGATACCAGCGAGGCGTGCATGTCCATTGCCCTTAAGTGCGTAAAGCTATCTATCTTTGAAACAACTTTCTTGATGTACTTTCACAGCAAAAGATGCTCTCATGTTCTAGCGAATAACATGGTTGCTGCACTTATCAAAAAGGATGCCTCTCAGTCTTCCACCTGCTCTGCTATAGAATGCTCTTGTATATGTGGGCTCTTAGTAGTCTACTTGACAAGCAAGGGGACTAAGTACTTGAGCAGCACCCTCATAAATGAACTATTATTCATCATTACCGGCTGTTTAGAAACATCCATAGCTGATGCTTCCTCAGAAGAATATCAAAAGATACCGCTAATAGCTAAGGTCCTGATTAACTACTATGTGCTGTACCTCTCGCAGTGTGCGATAGAGCTGATTAAAGAATCTACGGGCGTTGAAGAAAACATTAAACGCTGCTTCGTTTGCCTAAACGTATTTGTCAGCAAATTGCACAAGGTGCTTGTGTCTTCTAGCCAACAAACATCTAATCAGACACATGGGGGCCCTGACCGATATTACCTTTTAGTCTATATCGCACTGGACTGCTTGGCCAAGCTTTTCCGTTGTATTGGGGGAATCGAGCGCTTGATGGTCAGGTGGCTGGAAAATATCTACATAGGAGACGAGTATGCGCAGGTTTACCGACCTATATGTTCCAGAGAAGAGCCTCTGTTCCTCAGTTATAGTGATCTTCCATCTACGGCAGCCCAAGGGATAGGAGGCCCGGCTATTTGGCAGATGGAAAACTGCCGGCAGAATAAGAAAAAGCTCCTAGTTATCTATCGCGGCACAGTAGACATGCTTACTCCACAGCTTGCAGAGCTTCTGAAGTCAGTCTCGCGATATCCTGCTCTATCCAATTCGTCAATTGTTCATGTGAGGATAACGGTTATACAAAATGTAATCATAGAGGCGCTATACACCGTTATGCAGCACGACTCCAAAACGTCAACACAGCAGTATATGAAGCCTATGGCTGCCCTGGGCCTAAGAGGTAGACTGGAAGCTTTGCTTTGCAACAGTACCAGAGACATTCAGTCACTCCGAGACAGCGAAAGTAAGGAAGAAAGAGGTTTGGTGGGCAAATCATCAAATGCTACCAGTGCTGTACGCGATATCTACACTCACAGCACAGTTCGTAGAATTGTGGACCTTCATCTGGGGATAAACGAGACTCAGACTTTTTACATCCGACACCTGATGTGCGAGAACAATATCTCTAGAGACGACTTTGTATTTGATGTCGGCAACATTACTCGCTGGAATAAAAACGTCTATCTGAAGGCGGCTGAGTCTCTGCAAACTAATAGAAGCTTTGCTACGTTCTTAAAAGTCTTCGATATCACACCTAATATGGTTTTCAGTGTAATGGCAGCAGATACCTTTTATAGAAATACTCCAATTGAACTTCTAAAGAGTGACAATGATGCAACGGTAGATTTTCGTGACATGCCTGTGTAAGTGTAGATCTTGTCTGCTCGTTAAACTGGTGCTACGTTGGTAGTCCTTACTTACCAGGATATGAGACATCTGAGCACATACTGTTAACGAGTTCATCTAGCTGAGATGCTGCGTTAACCAGATCGTTCAGAAATGGATCGAAAACAGGCGCGGAAGAGCGACCTCCTTGCGTGCCAATCACAGCCTCATGACACTCCTCCTTAATGAGTGCGTTGAGAAAGTCAAAGGTTGGCCCATTAGGCATGTATTCCTGAGCCCTGATGGGAACACCAATAAGGTCATCGTGGGAGAGAGCGCGTACTTTCACGTCAGAATGGTTGTTGAGAGTAAACATAGGCGTCGACGGTGCGTACTGTTGCGTGGCACAGGGCGGTGTTGTCGGCTTAGGGATTCTGGTGGGTCTTCTCTGAAGTGGCTTGGTGATACTCTGATGCACCCTAGAAGGCTGCTGTGGGTGTGTCTTCTCTGTCATTCTTGTTAGTTGTGCATGGGGCACTTGAGGTGGCTGCGCTGCCTGGGGTGTCTGCGGTGTCGGCCTTTCTAATGGCGAGGGTACAGTGGTAGATACAAGATGGCTGGGTGTAGTGATTTGATGTGGCTTGATGGCCGCGACGGATATGGCATCCAAAGCGGTTTTTACTAGGTGCGTATTTTGAGTAACTAGCTGTGTCAGCATGGTAACGCTCTGAATGTACGGGTCCTGCGGAGGATTTGGAGAGTCCTTCTTCTGACGCACTGCTTTAACGATCTCTCTATCTGATCGCCTAACTGAAGTTACTGTGAATGCAGGTTCATCTACGACTCGTTCTTGATTAGGATCTACAGATGTTGTCGAGTAGATGTAATTTAGAAACTTATGGGACGGTGAAGGGGTAGTAGCGGTTAGAAGCTTGGCAAGAGTTGCCGACGATACCGTCTCCGCGCTGTGAAGACCTTCAAAAGTCACCTTAGATGCAGATTGCGAAGCAGGTAAAGCATCATCAGCTGGATTGGTAGTAGCCAATGGTGGTGCATGATGAACGCTAGTAGATACCTCAGGAATAAGGAGCCGTGACAGGGGAGCAGCCAATGAACTCTCAGATTGAGGAGGACGATTAGATAAATGAGACTCTACTATGTGCGAGCCCACCATAGATGAGGACGTAGAGCTGTTGAAACTCGTGACGCTATCTGTGAGCTTCAGATAGGCAGAATCCACTGTTGGTACATAACAACGCTCTAGTATAGGATCTGACCGTCTAACTGGCACAGGTATGAAACTACTGGTTTTGCGTGCGGCGGTTTGAAACAGATCAATACCAGGCACATTCTCCATACGACGATTTCCGTTCTAGCTTTAAAATTGGGCTTCTACGCCTTTTGCTTTTTCTGGGACGACTGCTTCATGAAAAGTTTTACGCCCTATCGGCTAGTACTGTTTGAAGGAGTCGCAGATGCATTTATGAACTCGCTGATGGAAACTAAGGAGTGGCGAAAACTGCTGGGCCAACGACCTGTCCTGCGCATGGCACCCGCGTCGCTAAAGGACAAAAGTACCTGCGAGGAGGACATACGCACGCGATTGAGGGAAATTAACGAAACAATCTCTAACGCTCTCTTGGATGGAGAAACGGCCACCAACCCGCATAATGAAGACCTTTACAACCATACGAAGCAGCATGGTAGATTCATCTCTTCTGTCCTAACGCGAGCATCCAACTATTCACTTTTAAGGCCATATGTCGAGCAAGTTAAGGCTATTCTTGCCCTTGATTTTCGCCGTCTTCGATCTTTGCTGCCCAGCTTCGACCTCCCACACTTCACTGAGAACTATGGCATAGACACCTTAGTGGCAATCCTTGGTGGATACCTCAATATCTTTAATACCTACAATCCACAAAGCTATCCTCGGCAAACGATAGCATATTTGCTTGACAATTGCACCAGCAAACTGCAAAAGCAGCTACTCGAAGGCATCCAGGAACGTATCCGAAAGGACGTGGATACACACTTCCGCCTTCATCACATTCGAGGGGTTAAGTGCACAGGGCTTGACCTACATTCGATGGAGCTACACTTCACTGCTATACTGACGGGAGCGTATGCCGTGACAAATAGGTCCGGACAAACAGTCAATGGGGGGTATAATAAGTCTAGAGACTACCTGGTAGACTACAGTTACCGCTACTACAATGGTAAGTGGTTGCTCTCCGCCATCAAGATGAGCATTCTGTCCATATCCGCAAAGCCGACGTATTTCTATTGACTGAGGAGGCCACCACTTATGCACTTATCTGAGTACTATTCATCTGGATCTCTTTACCATCAGCACCTGCGTTATTGTCTGAGATTGCGCTTCTGCGCTGTGGCCGTTTGCATGTGCGTCCTATTGTCAGCCCAGACGTCTCCTTCAGAAACGCTCCTATGAAGGCACAAAGGAGATACTGCCCTGCGAGGATAAAAGCAATTGTCTGGTATTCTGTCAGTGAGTTGGTGCGCAATAGAAGCGGAAATGTGTTTTGAAAAATAGCCCCACCGAGTGCGGGGAAGAAGTTAAATAAGCCTATCGCTGTTGCAAGGATATCTGGAGGCACCAATTCCTTACACAGCGTGTAGCCGATGGGAACAGTGGCCCCAGTCAGGATCCCGTAGAAGAAGTACACCATTCCGAACTTCCATCCGGCTGCCTGTTCCTTGAAAAACGCTATACAGAACATCAATCCTGAGACAAGTAACGGTGTTATAATATGTGGAGGTTTCCTTCCAATGTATTTTGCCATGTGGGGTATAGCAAGCCCTGAAATGATCAGCCCAATGCTTTGAAGCAGAAACATCCATGTAGCATATGTATGTGACAGGGATTGATTTAAGGATGTTATGAACACCACGCCAAGGAATGCGGAGATGGTATAGTTTGCCCCAGAAAAGAAGAAGTAATAGATCAGGAGAGGTATGAGGGATACTGCGGCCCGCGTACGGCCTAATTCTCGGAATCCGTTTTTGAAGTCTTTAATTGCGTCCTTTGTTGTTTGCTTCCCACCTGCGTAATACGAAGGAGGATAGCTTCCCACTATCCCCACGATTATCGAAGCTATGAGCGGACATACACCGAGGATAACAAACAACAACCTTATTCCGATAGCATCGGCGAGGTGCCTTAACGGTGCTGAAGCCAGAAGGCTCGCGAGCCCTGATGACGCCGCAAGACTGCCTGTGCATATCACAAACTGCTTGGGTGCAAGCCAAAGCATAGCGTATTTGACTGTTGCTACGTAGAGACACGCGCTACCTATTCCAGCCAAGCCACGGAACGCACAGGCAGCAGGGAAGTTCACGATACACCCCATTAGTATGGATCCAGCAGCTATGAGGAACCCCGACACAAACACAACCCACCGTGCCTGCAGAATGTCTACTGCAAGCCCAGCGAATGGCTGGAGGGCGCTGTAGGTGTAGAAAAAGGTTGATACCAGGATTCCAATCTTGTCCAGCTCAACTGCATACACGCCTTGCATTAGGTCAGTAATACTTGTGATGCATATGCGGTGAATATAAGAAAACATGTAGGCTAGACTGCAAAAGGTTATGGTTATTATTCCTTGACGCGCGCTTGCTGCCATTTGTTATATAAAAATAGCATCTGTAAACTGTAGAGCCAACTGTAGAGCCTTGGCTACCTTGGTTAGTAACATTTATGAATAGCACGTTTGTATTAAAACTCTGGGCTCAGAGTAAATTCCTTCATAATGAAAAATAAGAATGAGAATAGTTTCCTTCCTGTTTTTGTTCGCACTCTACCTCACAACAGACACAACTCCGCCCCAACAAGACGCATCCGCTGAGGGTCTGCGTTCCATCACACATAATGAAATGCTTAAATTGGGCGGTGACCTGATAGCGATTTACTGGGATTCAGCTGCAGCAACGGATCAGCAAAAAGAGACCCTTCAAGATCTACATAACATATCCCAAGCGATGGTCGTGCAGGGGCTTCACCCGATATTTCTTATTGACAAGCAGAATAAGGCCAATAATGACGCATTCAACCTGTCTTATTTCAAAAAGCTCCCCCGTCTCATGATGCATCTTGGCGAGGAGAACGTAACAGAGTTAATGGAGGAGTCATTCAATGTACCCAACGTAGCAGCCTTTGTGTTAGATAGAATACAGAGAGGAGACCCGGAAGATATGTATTCCTTCGTCTCTGAGGAGGATCTTCTTGATTTTTACGAAGAAACTGATCGAAAGCCGGTGCTGTTGTTCTTTACCAGTAAGATGTGCAAGACGTGTGCGGCAAACATGATCTCCATCCAGCGATTGGCAACCTCTCTAAAGGATAACGTAACCACAATGACAGTTAACTGCGACGGAACCCTCGATGAGAACAATTACTGCAGTCGTATATTGATGCGCAAGTTTCCTCATCTTCTGCTACTAGCAGACGACGTCTTCACTAACTTTAATGGAACGTACACAACAAGCAACATTGGCTCGTGGGTAATTAATGAGCTCAAAGAGGAGAGAAAGGAGGCTCGAAGAAAAGAGTGGGCGGAAAAAAGCAAAGAGATCTTCAGTAGTGAATATTATGAAGAAGTTGGAAAGAATGCTTACGATAAGAAGGGAAGGCCTAAGGAATGGCCCATGAAACCGAATATTAGGCGTACGGTCAAGCAAATGGATGACCTGGAGCGCCGTATTGAAAAGTTGGAACATAACCTTAAAGACTTTGAGTAAAGAACTAAAGTAACTAATAGATAGAATCGCTTGCTTGCTTTCTTGCTCTGTAATCATTGCTGGCTGCATACAGGGGGGCACTTTTGCCCCGTCACTATTTTACACGGAGATTGCTCATAGACCTGCGGCCGTTGGTGTTTCCGAAAGCTACAAACCCTTCGCTTGACTTCAGGTTTATCAACTATATTGTCCAGGTCGCTGAGCGGGCAGATAGTCTGTAAGCATGTGGTATGCATGTGAATTACGGGTCCATCGGGACAGGTATTCTTTGTTCGGAATGATTCTAGACGGTTTGGACTATTAATATGTGTAATGCTAAGGAAAACACAACCAATGCACACAATCAAAATCCCCGCGGCAAATGCAAGGCTGGAGCCGACAGTAATATTGGAGAAATCTTTAAAGAAAAGCAAGCCCGTCAAACAATTAAGGATGGTCAGAGAAACATAGTAGACCGGGACGATAATCATATTATCATAGTGAGCTAAGGCTCGTTGCAGCATGTGGTTCTGGCACAGCACGGAGGGCACAATGCAAAGAACAAAAGCATAGTATTCGATGTATTTCATTTGATTGCTATTATAGAACAAAGTTTGGAGCGTTAGCTCGCCAATTATCTTCCCACAGATCATCGTGATAGTCCCGTTAACTCCAGGACAGATTCCATACGTTAACGCACACGGCAGTGCAAATGATACTCCGACTACTGCGGGAGTCAGCAAGAAGAATGCAAGAAAATACCACAGCTCTATGTTCTTGACCCGGAGCATGTCGCGCAGAACGGGGACTGTCAAGAGAGAGCGCTCCTTTGGTATAAAGATCATGGTGATGCACGCGCCAGTAATTACAAACACAAGACCGATGATGTCATAACAGGATAGACGTTCGTGTAGTCCAAAGTGGGAGCAGAGGAGAGAGATGACCAGGCCCACTGACCCCAGCGGAAGTGTCACAGTTGTGGGGAGTAGAGAAAGTGACACAAAATCCATTATTACCCCGAAGACAAAGACAACAATGCCCACCCACCAGCCAACGCTTCGCCAATACCGTGGCGAGGCTGTTTTGTCACGCATTTGCTGCCGTAAATGAGATTTTTTCTGAATGAACATCCCTACATTCTGGCAAGTAGTAGATATCAGAACAGTGCCACATCCTATCCAGAACAAAATATTCCTCCCGTCAGCTTTTTCTGCAAGGGTAGTCATTTTAATTTAAGTGATCTGCAAACAAAGGGTTGGGAAGTTCATTAGTATATTCGTAGTCTCTTGAATTAATAAAAGCTAGTGCATCCACAGTGGCTGTGCAAGTCCACCGAGAAAAGGATTGAAGGGATCAAAGCCCTGAGTTACATTGACGAGGTAGTTTTCTCCCGATTCTCGTCTTTTTTTGGCCTCCTCTAACACTTTCTTGTTGGCCTCCATTGCCGCTGTCTGCTGCATGATTCGTGCAGGATCCCGCTTGATTTGCTGAATGCTTAATGGCTGAACACGTTTCGCGTGTTCTGCTAGTTCTGTGTCCCTCGAAGCCAAGGAGCGCCGGCGATGAGCCTCTTCCTGCTGTTTTCGTCTTTGTGCGGCAGCTTGAATTTGGTCCTCGTGACGCTTCTTAAGTAGTTCTAGCTCTGCGCGTCGTTGTCGTCGAAGCTCCTGAATCTTGCGTTGCTGTTCTGCGCTAGTGCATAGTAGGTCCTCGACAGGCTCAGAAGGCTGGTCCTCGATCAAGGTGGTTTTCTTAGCCCTCGCTGTGAGGGCACGCTTTCGTAGTGCACGTCTAGCGTTACTGGCCTCTCGCTGAAGTCGCCTTTTCCGTCGGAGACCAATTGCGAGGTTATTTTCAAAGTCCATATTCTTCCGCTCTTGAAGGGCTCGAAGGCGTTCCTTGACTAGTATTTTTTCTTGCGTAGTTTTCCGGGCTTGCATAGCCTTACTATGCGTCAGTGTGGCAGGATCTTGAATGCCTTGCATGAGAATATCCAGATTTGTAGCCTGATTGGCTCTCCAACGCTCAATATAGCGCTTTCTCTGGTTGTTAAGCTCGTCGTATCGTACCATAAACTCATTGTGTGCTACAAGAGCAGCCAACGTATAGAGGGGGAAGTGCTTCTGTATGTCCTTGACAAATCTGTGCTTATCTGTCTGCTGCCCCGACATCTTCCAGTAGCTGTAGAACTTATCGTGGTCTGCTGGATCCCATCCACCAGTCCGACCGCCCAGACGCTCCATCTCCTCCTCTATCAGTTGCAGCGCTCTTGGACGGACATCGCGTGCAAACGGCCGTTGTGAAGATGATGCAGGAGCAGAAGAAGTACGCTTTACAGGTAGCCGAGGAGCACCGGCTGCTACGGAGTCAGCTGAAAGCTTTTCGAGAGTAGCAAAGCGCACTTCAGCCTGAGTAACAGCTCCACGAAGCTCCTCTTCACGCGAAAGGAGGTTGTCGTTTGCTTGCTCCCAGCCCTGCCGTGCACCATACAATTGTTTATCTAACAATTGTACATGCTCCTTGATGTCCTCAATAGATGCATTCGATGTCAGCTGGAGCCCTAGCTGCTGAACTAGGAATTGAAGCCGGTCCAAATGTTGTTTGACCTTTCGAGACTCTGAGATGCGTTCTGCAATGGCCAATACATCAGCTTGCCTGAGAGTCCTCAACTCTACGTTTAGGCCACGCGTTGAGGATTGCTCCAACGAGGAATGAAGGGCAGTAACAGCGTTTTTCTCCTGAACTGCGAGACTCTGCGCCTTCTGGAGCCAATCTGCAAAGGCCGCCATTTAGTGCTAGGCCACTTGAGGTAGGGACTGAAGAGTGGAAACGGTTATTATGCCATAGTGTAATGAATTAAAGTATGATTCGTGGACTACGGAATAGCCAACAGGGCGTCCACAAGTCAGTGATACATGCCATAGAAGATGCCCCGGCCAACTGGGAGAGAGGGTACTGCGACCTATGCTGTCTCTCGCTCAGCAAAGCATTTATGCTCGGTTGTGGACACACGTTCTGCGATCGTTGCATTGTGGTACTGGTGGAGGGAAACAAATCTCTCCCGCCTGATACTATGGAGTGCCCTTTTTGCTTGGCCATCTCGCCGCATCTCACCTCAATAGATTCTAAGATAACGCCGGAGCTACCAGCTTTGATTCCTGTCACATGTCAGGCACTAAGCCACAAAGATACAAAAAACACCTCTGTCCACTACTTTTGTGTACAAACCGGTGAGCTTATTTGTACATCCTGCGCGTCGTCAGCCTTGTACACTGAGAAGGCCTTGCTCACTATAACAGAGGCGGCGGAGCACTTTGGAAACACGATCCACAACAAGACCACTGCAATCCGCCTAGCAGTTGCAGAGATTCGCAAGCATGTCTGGAGGCTCAGACGCCAGCAGCACGACCTGGATCTACAGCTGGAGGAAGCAGTTAGTAATCTAAACAACCGAAAGGTGGAAATCATTAATGTAATTACAGAGAGATTTGTGACTCTAGAACGGGCACTCACTCGACTCGCAGGCGTGCATCGGGAGGCGCTTACCAGAGAAATCAATGACCTCACGCAGCAGGTGCGTTTGGTGATGGAGTCTGTCTCTAGCTCGGAGAAGCATGTAGCGCAGCAGGAGCCGCTTTCCTTCCTCGCCGAGGCGAAAAGACTCGTTTCCCTGCTTTCCCGGAGGCTGGGAGCTCTTTCTGGCTGCACCGGGCGGTCAGCACCGCCCCTGCCGGAGCTCCCCCGGCTCGGCAGCACGGCGGGCGTCGTGGGGGCCGTGCGGGCCCTCGACCTCAGCGGCCCGCGCGCAGTGAACGGAAAGTGATCCGACGGAGACTCGAACTCCGGACCTCTCGCACGTCAAGCGAACGTGCTAACCAGCTACACTATCGGACCGCGGCGGGCGCGCAGACCGGAAAATGCCTATGTCTTAGCGATCTATTCAGTGTAAAACGGACGATGAACCCCCGGGCCCCGGACGCACTGGCGGCGGTGCACAGCGAGCTCTGCAACCTCCAGCGCCATATGGGCATTCGCGAGAGGGGCGAGCCACGGCCCTATATGCGCTTAGGAAACGTGGCCCTCATATCCACTAAGCACCCCAGCCGAGAGCCTCTTGTGGTTCACCTCGGCTGTGGCATTTTTGTGGAAAGGTCTGACTGCGCTGTCAAGGCAAGGGTGAAGAGTGTCTTGGACAGCATAAAGAGCCAGAAGGAAAAGTTCGATAAAAACCTGCGCGACGATCCCCAGAATTTGGAAGAAGGGAACTTAGCATATGCTGCTGTGCCCTCGGATCTGCAGCAGAAAGCTAGAGCACCAGAAGCTTCTGTCAGATACGAGCTTCCGCCCTTCGTTTTCGAAAATGATCCTCACGCAGCTGTCGTGGAACACGAAACCGCAGTGCAGAAACGGCCAAAACCTAGGAGGCTCCGCTCGCAATTTGCTATTGAGAGGCTGTAGCTTATAGTGGACGGTGATACCGATGTGATTTTGAAATAAATAACCATATTAAACTGCTCAAAAGCATGTACAGCCCGACTCCTCTGCTGAATGACTTCTATCAGTATACTATGGCATACTCCTACTACCAAGCAGGATTCGCAAACCGGCAGGCAACCTTCGAAATGTTCTTCCGGCAGAACCCATTTAACGGACAGTACGCCGTCTTTGCTGGTCTGCGAGATCTGCTGGACTTTATCCTTGACTTCCGCTTCAGTGACGATGACATTAGCTATTTAAAGCTTTGTCTACCAGACCTTGACCCGGGCTTCTTTGACTATCTCAAAACCCTTTCATGGAGGCAGCTGGAGCTTTATGCCCCGAAGGAGGGAACAATTGTGTTTGCTGGGGAGCCTGTGATTATAGTCCGCGGCCCCCTCTTGCTCTGTCAACTTCTGGAGAGTACTCTTTTGGTACTAATCAATTATCCGACTCTGGTTTGCACGAAAGCTTGCCGCCTACGTGTTGCATGCAACTACGAAAAGATTATGGAGATTTATTCTACCATACCATATGACCAGAGAAACGCGTATGTACAGTCAATCTGCAGCAACCCTGTGTTATCGGAGTTTGGGCTTCGTCGGGCGCAGGGGGTGAATGGGGGCATATGTGCCTCTGAATACGCTATCATGGGAGGCTGTAACGGAACAAGCAATATGTATGCTGCCAGAAAGTTAGGCATTCTTCCCGTTGGCACTATGGCACATTCATTTGTGCTCTCCGTTGTCGATACCCCCGAAGCACTCTTAGCATCTCTCCAAAACTCTGATTCTATGTCTTTGCTTCGTTCTAAGGACTCAGTCGCGTTGGCCCACTTGCCATTATCCTTTGAGAGTTTTGTACAAAAGTGCATGGACTGGAAAGCCCGCTTGTTCGCCCAGGATCCTGCTGAGTCCAAAGAGCCCGAGGTCTATAAGGCCACAGAGAGTCCTACTAATGAAAGGCTTCCTATCTATCCGGTCTACAGGGCTAATTTGACCGAGCTAAGTGCATTCATGATCTATGCTTACACACATCCCAATTCATTTGTAGCGCTCATAGATACGTATGACTCACTTAACTCAGGTCTTTATAACTTCCTCATAGTGGCGTGTGGGCTTATTGAATGTAGTGTGCAGCCACGCGGTGTGCGTCTGGATAGTGGAGACCTTTCATTTCTTAGTATAGAGATTAAGAGAGCGTTTTCTACGTTGGATGCTGCTATACGCACACACCCACTTCTTTGTGGGAAGGATGGGTCTATTGCAGATTGTCTTGTGATTGCGTCTAATGACCTCGATGAGGAGATACTTTACAATTTGGTCAAAGAAGGTGCGTGTATCGATATGTTTGGCATAGGGACACACCTAGTGACATGCAACTCTCAGCCTAGCCTTGGGGGCGTGTACAAGCTTGTAGAACTGGATGGAATCCCAAGAATTAAGTTCAGTGATGAGATTGGAAAAGTGACCATTCCTGGGCAAAAGATACTCTATCGCCTCTACACGAGCACTCACACGCCCTTTGTAGACCTCATTGCACGCCCAGACGAGGAAATAAAAGAGCGGCAACCAGTCCACTGTTTACATCCACACACACCAACGCGCCAGCTCATGATGTATCCATCCAAGGTTGAAGCGGTACACACTTGCATTCTAAAGACAGGAGAAATTAACTACCCCCACGAGACGTCTGTAGACCGTGAGCGGCGAGAAGTCATTAAGCTGAAGCACCCGCAAGTACTGGACATTCAACGATATGTAGTGGAGCAGCTTCTGACCATGCGTCCAGACCACATACGCGCCACAGCCCCGACACCATACAAAATCAGCCTTACTAAGCGCATGAGTAATCTGTTTAAGGATGTAGTTCAGGCAAACTACACGTTAAAGGTTATCGAATAAAGACAAGTAAACAAGCGCCAGGAAGTTTAAAGGGTACGTGGCGAAGGGGCCCAGGTGGTACGGAGAAGATTAACTGGACGTCCGTGAGGCTACTCGTCAGAGAACTTGGATATAGCCGGGACCGTACGGCTAGCTGAACAATCTTCACAGTGCACTAGATACATCCTCCCATCCCTAGAGAGGAGCGTGTTATAGCTGAGGCACGCGTTGCATTGCACATAATCACGTAAGTATGTTCTGATAACTCCTCGAAGCTGAGTTGCTGAGATTCTAGCCTTAAACGAAAGGACGTTATCGTGATCAATCGTCGTCTGCTGCCTGAGCTCAGATGAAAGGTAAGCAACGACATGGTCCATAGAGCGGTGCATCTGACTGCAAATCTCCTCAAAGTTGTAGAACAAAGTCTTTTTGGTGCCGTGGTAATCGACCTTAAGGTCCACATTCAAGGTGCGTGCGTTATCGGAGTCCTCCCTTCTCTTGTTGAGAATAGTGAATATTATGGTGAGCATCTCATCGTAGGTGAGCTCCTTGATGGATGAACTTTCGGTTGGCTGATTCGGCTGACCAGTGTCATCTGCCGACTTCGCCGAATTCTCAAATAGCTTACCAAGCTCAGTGGTATCTGCCACGCGTCTTCTGCGGCGTCTGACCGTGGTTCCAGCACTATCGAAAACATCCCCGTCCTTCCTCTCGGGCACGACTGTCCCACTTGCTCCACTTGCCTTTGCGTCATCCGCGGGCGATGACTGCTTTGCTGTACTAGTTGCAGTTCGAGCCTCTGTCTCCTCCACAGGCTTCTCCGCACCCTTGTCGGCCTTTCTATCTAACCTGAGAAGAGACTCGGCAGCTTGTGCTTGATTGGTCTGATATGCGACGGATGCCCTTCGTGTGGCCTCGAAAGTTACTTCTGGGGGCAGCTCCAAGTTGGTATCGATGGGAATATAGACCTCTAGCTTGCCGTGCTTTTCTACGGTATAGTTGGTCAGATCAACTTCTGCAGTCTTGTTCTCCTTACGCTTGGTCTTCTTGGGGCGCTTTGGTTCAAATGCAGATGGGTCGAAAAGATTCTCTTGGTCTGCCATTTTTTAATTACTTGAAACCCGCTACTCCAACGGAGCCCAGCCTTATCAATCTCATCCCACCGAAAAAGGAATTAGAAAGTGTAAATTTACGATTCATGAGACACTAATGAAAATATTGGAGCTCACGGCTGCTTGCCGCAGGGCATCAAAGACAGCACCGCGCTACAAGTCATCGGATGAGACTCTCGAGTCATTCCGAGCAACTTTTTCCTTTTCTTCTGGGACCATAAGCTCGCGATGACAAACAACTTTCCTTCCAAATCCCTTGACATCGTTGTGTGTCACCGTGCCGAGGATCATAAAGCCAAAACCTAAGAGCTCGAAAATGCTATAAACATTCAGTGGCTCCCCATAGACATTGCTGGACTTATATGTACAATAGTAAACAACTACCATGCAGATCCAAACGATGGATGTACGCATTGCATCAATTAAAGTTCTGTGTGTGGCAGATAGCTTCTTGCTCATGGTTATTGAGAAGAAGTTAAAGAATGAGATAGAGATGAAGTTAAGAAGAACAAGGGCGATGAGCTGCACATTATTCCGCAGCATGTAAAACGAATTAAGATAATTTTCGTAGCTTCCGTGATCATCGCCTGGAATGGCCCAGGCAATTGGAAACGCTACACCCACGGTTAAGAACAAACCAAATACACCTTCCCAGCCTATCAGGACAAGGGGCGAAAGGTCCTTCCCTTTAACAAACTTTTCTTCGAGGACGAACTGGATAGCGGAGATGACCTGAGCCGAAAGAGCAAGGCCAATTCCCAGCAGCATACTCAGTGTGCTACCACTTTCGAGATCACCTAAGAGGGCCGAAAGTCCTACGAATAGCAAACCAATTACACTAAAAACAACACCAACCACCTGCCATTTGGTCGGCTTTCGCTTGAGGAATAGATATGAAAAGAGTAGCACGAAGACCATGACAAACCCGCGCAGAATCTGAGTTATCGAGGCGGAACAATATACTAAGGCAATCCCAGTCAATGTGGTGGCACAAAGATCACATAGAGCTAGGGCCATAATTCTGGGCAAGAGGCGGTGATATCCAATCCCGTTCGTCGGATCCATGTATATCTTGCCCGTAGGGCCTCTTTTCCGTGCGCACTGAACTATATAATATGCAAGTAGCGACATGCACTCCCCAGCAAACATGGAAGACGTCTGAAACCACGGCTTGACGAACAGTTCCGTTGACCCGTCGATACCTATGCCTGTGCTTTGATACAATAACTTCTTTGAGATGGTATTAATGGACCCTGTCGTGAGCATGCCAGACGAGAGTGCCACATTAAGAAAGCGATCCGCTAGGGGCATCTTTTGTGAAAATTAATTGGTTCTGTTATTTTCAATTGTCTATTTACTTAAATATGTACAAAGCTCGCCGCGGCCAAAAAAGGTCATCGCAGGCCAAAGAAGACGCATCACATGCGGAAGAATTGTTGTCCATTCATGAACCGGAAAAACTGATGATCATCGCCATTGAACCGGAAAAAGTGTTGGTTCCCGTCACCTCCGGTGTGGAAGTGGAAGGTTTCCTGCTGCTGGCCCTGGTTTGCTTTGCCCATCTTGCGTCTCTGGTGCGCCTGTTCGCGGCTCTCCAACTCCTCACGGCGATATTGGCCAGAATCATACTCCTTCCGCTTAGTCTCGTCGCTAAGAACAGACCAAGCTTCTGCAATTCGTTGGAACTTTCGCTGCCGTACAGCCTTCTCCTCCTCTGTCGCATCAGCTGGAGTGTAGTCGGGATGATATTCCTTTGCAAGGCGATAATATTTCCTTTTGATCTCTGCTATCGGAGTTGAGCGGGACACTCCCAGGACCTTATAAAAGTCAGGAACAATGACCTTGCGCACATATGTAAAGACTTGGTCGCTGATTGTCTCAATGTCGCCTTGAGTGGGGCTATTGGCCTCGATGGCCAGAGTGTGTGCATAGTTAATAATTTTCTCGGCCAGATTCACATCGTCTTCTATGTCCTGGCCCCTACTATATTTGTTATTTATAGATACCAACAGGATGTTCGAGCGGAGAGCGTATATGAGCGCTAAGAGGTGCTTGTTAAAAGACGAAATTCGCAGATCTTTGCTAGTGTCGACGAGCATGGCATCACTAAAGCTGCAATACTCCTCTGTATACTTCTGGAAGTATAGATCAGATATACAGCGGAAGTTGTTCAGCGCACCCATAAGCTGGGTCTTTGCACCTGATAAGGTTGGTCTGAAACTTGTCTTGAAGGCATCTTTTAGAAGGAAGGCCGCACTGCTTTCTGCCTTGGCAAAGAACTTATCTATCTGACCGACTGCCTTGTCAACATCCCCAAAGATCTTCGCAATGACGGTCCGATTGGGCTTGTGAGACAGCGGGGTTGCGTTGCTAAAGCTAGCAACACCCTCTGAAAGGGCTCTGGCAATCTTGTAGGCTGACCCCAGAAACTGATCATCAGGATCCATCTGTAACGCTGCTTTGGCGCGTTTTGTCACACTGGAGAAGTTGCCCTCCTGAAGCAAATAGACTATCTCATAGATCTCAAGCACAGAGCGCAGGGTGAATGGGGCAGCTGTTGTCGTTTTAACCAGGCGCTCTATGGTCTTCTTTATGTCACTGATGTCTGCTCCGGCGCGAAACTGAGAAACTAATATGATCTTACTTAGCTCAGGATCTGCTGAGCATGTCTCTGCCAACTCAGACAGCTTTGCGAGTGTCATGCTCGGTGCCCGCCGATACTGTTCATCCGTTTTGGCTATAGCTGTGCGCGTAGCTGAATCCAGCAGGGCCAGGGAGTACTTCTTTGAGCACTGGAGACTGCACCCTGTTAAGCAGAGACGTCCCATTTTAAGCTTGGCCTTCTCAGCATAAGCCTTGACATCCTGTTTTTGCGACAACACGAGTACCTTGTGATAGTCGTCAACTGCCCTAGCTATCTCGCGCTGGGCCTCATAAGATGCGGCACGAAGAAAATAATACGCGGCAGGTGGGCGTTGTGCCGCGTCAATAAGATTTGTATACAGGTCAGACGCGTCACGATACCGGCCCTCCTTAAACGCAGCAGATGCCCGCGCAGCGGGATCATCAGTTGCAGCTTGCACGGCCCAGACTGCACCAGGCAGCAGGACAGGGAGGAGAGTCCAAAGCATCAGCGGAGGGCAGTGAATTATGAGTTGTTTTTAAGATAAAAATGACGTTAGAAGACGACATTTACTCCTTATCTACAGACTTAGACGCTCTCAGTTTGTAAATCGAACCCCCTTGGCAGCGAGTGCACACATGAGGCTCAACAGATCGGGGATTGCCATGTGATTTGGCCGGGTATCTGTAAGATTGGCCTCTGCAAGGGCCTCTGCTATTCGTTCACGAAGCTGTACGCCGGTCAATACTGAGGGCTTAGCTCCAATTGAGGAAGCTGAATGGCTAGGGTTAGAGCCCTCGTGCTGAGCAGGCTTATGGAGCCGGCTGATCTCATCCAATCGCGCTATATTATTTGCAAGATCATCTAGGAGGCTCTTAGTCTTAAATATGGCCCCGAGCGTTTTGTTCTTCTTTGAAAACAAAATCCGGGTTAACCCATTAAACTCATCTAGGTCCAGCCCAGGCGGAGGGCCAACAGGATACATCTCTACAACAGCTGAGTCAACATTTGGCGGTGGCTTAAAGCTATTCCTACTCACCCGTATTATAATTTTAGTCTTAGAGAGTAACTTAGTGTTAACTGTCAATCTGCTGTACTGATCCTGACCAGGCTCAGCAGCAAGGCGCTGCGCAAACTCGAGCTGAAACATCAGGACGAACTTTCGAGGGAGGGGTTGGATCTCGAGTAATCGAAACACTATTCCTGACGAGATGTTGTACGGGCAGTTACTAACGCACAAGTCAAAAGGGGGAATCTCACTCGGCGGCATCTTAGTGAAGTCCTTGTGTATGATAGTGAATTTTCCACGATATTCCGGGATAGCTGCGATCCGCTTCTTGAGTTCTGAGACCATCCGTGGGTCTATCTCAATGGCTATTACGTGCCTTGCCTTCTCAAGAAGGGCCAGAGTGAGGTTTCCTGTTCCTGGGCCTATCTCAAGAACAGTGTCAGTGCTTCGAATCTCTGCTTTCTCCACAATGGACTTTATGACCAACGGATTAGCCAGTAAGTGCTGACCGTGCTGCTTGGTCAACTCAAAGCCTTGCATCGGTCGGGCGACAATTGCCAAGAATTAATTGCAATTTTCGAAGCTGTATGGGTCTTGGCAATTTTGGCTAAGGACTATCATTGCGGTGGACAGGTTCTATAGTAGAGAGACGCCTAGGCCCGCTCAGCCGTGTCCACGAATCCTTCGGTCATACAAGAATACATAAGAAATTCAAAAAAAGTTAAAAAAATAAAACACATTAACTTAAAAAGCTATGCTAGAACTTAAGGGCAAGAACTCCTGGTTCTCGGCCATCGAGAAGCGTGAGTACGACCACGTGCGTGCCAACCTTGAGCAATACGCTGGGAGTGTCAACGAAGAGGGACATACGGGCCTTATGAGGGCTGTCATTATGAATGACGACGACATGGCGCGTATTCTTGTTCAGAATGAGTACGGTAAGCGGGACGCCAGGGGCTACACTGCCCTCATGATCGCTGCCGAGCTCAACAAATCCAAGCTTTGCCGCCGCCTCGTTCACTTCGAGGGTGACCTCACCGGGGGCAGCGACGATTTCACCGCCCTCATGATAGCAGCCATGTCTGGGTCGTATGAGGCCGTCATGGTGCTGTCGCCGTATCTCAAGGACAAATACTCCAAGATTAACAGGAACGCGCTGTCCTACGCAGCGGAGCGCGGAAACTTAGACTGCGTCAAGTTTCTGATGTCCCGCGAGAGTCACGAGGATATGGGACCGGGCTCTCCCCTGAAGTACGCTGCTGAGAATGGCCACGCCGAGGTTGCTGCTGTCTTGGCCCAGTTTGCGAAGGACGACGATGAGACGGTTTCTCAGTCTCTCACGAATCTTAGCCTTGCCCAAAGCCAGGGGGTTGCTCAGTCGTACGACATCTGTGCCATGATCAAGGCCATCGACATTTCTCGTAAGGGGATGGAGAACTTCGGATCTGAGGCGACCAAGGTGATGAAGACTAGCTACGAGTGTGAGCTTGAGAGGAAGTTAGAGAAGTATAGTGACATGCTCAATGCCGCAAACAGCCATGCTGACCTTGTGATTGCGGAGAGTGCTGCAATGCGTGCAAGGATCACGCAGCTAGAGGAGGCTCTTACCAGGGGCAAGTCAGAGCTGGATCATCTGACTTGCGAGCTAGAGGATTATAAGGCTAGACTCACCGATGCTGAAATGCTCCTTGAGACCGGCGAGCGAACAAACCTGATTTTGTCCATGGCCGACTCTAAGAATGTTTGATGTTGTCCAGGTTTACAGACCCGAGGCCCTTGCATCTCCTAACAGCATGTGGAGTAAATCGAACGTAGTCTCAGCCACCATATCTGCCTTCTCCACGTCTGCTCGTTCTCCCAGGCCCCAGGCGCAGCCGATGCACCGCAGTCCCGCAGCCTGAGCGGTTTGAACGTCGACAATACTGTCTCCAACGTAGATAGCATCTTCCGGATGAACACCCTCATCTTCAAGAACACGCCGGGTGAACGTAGGATTCGGCTTTGCTAAAGAAAGATCTGACAGCCCGTACACAGCGCAAAACCATTCACGCATTTCAGGCCGGTTTCTGAAAAGGGACCGTAAACACGATTCCATACTTACCTGCGGCTTATTCGAGACAATTGCCAGCTTGGTGCCTCTCTTATGAAGACCTTCTAAAAGTTCTTCGATACCATCGTAGAGCCTGTCTTCTTTGGCGTAAAGTGTGACTCTTTCTTGATAAAACGTGCACATATCTTGTAGCATCTGCTCAGATACACCGGGGGCTGCACGCTTAAAGAGAACCATCATGCCGCTGCCAATAAACGTTCGGATAGAATCAAGAGGGTGCGGATCCATGCCACAGTGCACCATAGTATCATTGACAGCCTTCCCAATGCTCTCCAACGTGTCACTCAGGGTCCCATCTAAATCGAAGATAACCAGTCGCGTACGCTGCAAGTCTGCCTCCATCGAGCAAATCAAAAAAATCCTTGGGAATTTCTATCTAGCTCTAGTCAGCCCTCACAGATGCCCATGTGCTGCGGATGTTTGTAGACGAGCTACTCCTGATATCCTCTACAGGAGTAGACTTTACGGTTCTTTACAATCAACATTTGGGACGTGATAATAAGTCTCCGAAATGCCGAGAGGGAACCTAGAAAGCGGATCTACCACTGAGGAGTCCGAGGTGTATGATGAAGGCGTCTGCTTTCTGTGCAAAAAAGCTTTGGAGGATGCTCCAGAAAATGTTATGTGCGTGATGTGTCACAGGTATTGTCACCTAGGCTGTACTGACCTTAAGGGACATCCACGCCTTGCAAGTCTCGCGTCCACTAGGGCGCTCGAATTTAGAATCAGTAAGGATCCTGAGACTCGCCGATCCATGGAGAATGTCACTGTAAGCCACGTGGGAAAGTTGGCTTTGTTCAAGTACCACTGCCCTGCTTGTCGTCGGAAGCTCTCTCGGGCTCGTCAGTACGATGAGTCTCAATGCAGAACCTTATTCAACACACTGATAGAGCTTATAAACAGCTCTGAAACGCTCCATCCTCCTGCTCTAGTGAGGAAGAAGCCGGAGGGCGCACGTAGAAGAGTTAAGTTAGAGCCAGGTGATGCTTCACTGCAGGAACGCCCCCCGTTCACCAAGAAGGATCAGCTGGAATCAGTGCTTAAATCAGACAAGGGTAAAGAGCAAAAAATACGACCTGCAATGGCACCTAGCAGAGAATCACTGAATGAGAAGCATGCACCTTCCCGAAACCTCAACCATGCTATCACCTCTGACACTAGCAGTGCCATTTCAGAGCCGAGCGTGTCTTCTTCTGATGAATTTCGACCCTCACAGATATCCTCGGATACAGAAACTGGCAGGAGTAGTCTTCCGAGCCTCGACACTGATCAAAGCCAGCAGAAGAGCAGCCAAAAGAGTCAGTTGACAGACGTGCAGACTCCGCCGCCCCAAAGAAAACCCCGTAAGGTGACTCAGCGGCTAACTAAGAAGTCTAATACTAGCGGAGTTGGCGTCCGGAGGCCAGCAATTAAACGTTTGGTGAACACTGAGAATAAGAAGTATGAATTTGTAGACGAAGCAACTCAGAAGTTAATCGACTTTAGAAAATCCCAACTCAATGATGTAGAGTATCTTGCTAAGCATTACTTTAAGCAAGACTTCCGCGGATTTAAGATGTCTCGCATTTATAAAGTTGCAGGAAATCTTTATAAAAAGATCTATTTTAAAACCCTTAGAGACAACTATCATTTGCAAATAGCAACCTTAACAACGAAGATCAAGGCTCTCGAATCAGAATTTGCCGATCTCTTTTCAAAGACGCCCACATATGTAAGATGTGATTTTGAAAATCTGTACACTAGAATTGTTAAAAATAGGTGCCATTCTACAAAGTATAGTTTCGACACTGACACTTTCCCCCAGGTGCTTGAGGACAGCGAAGAGGCGCATGATAATAACGCTTTCATATCTTTGCATATCAACTATGCAAATCTGCTCGGAAAATATCTTCTTCTTAAAAGATTTTTTATTACGAATAATACTCATGATACTGCTCATTTACAGACTATTGATTTCACAAGATTGCTTTATCCCAAAAACCACGCATACACTATGTTATTGGCTAGGTATGCATCCATTCAATTTATTCCTATTGAAGCCCAACTCCTTAATAACTTTCATGACTACTTCAATGATACAACCACTGAAGACATTCTATTGAGCATCGAAACTAAGAACAGAGCAGCTCGACTGCCTGTAGACTTTGATAACTGTTCAGACATGTCCCGCTTTATACGCGCGGATTTTTTGTGTGACAATATTGTGACCCCCAAGCAGATTGCTGATGATCAGTTTTTTATTTTTGCACTCCGCTCTGTGAGTTTATTTGATGTTTCTCTATTTCTTCGGCACCCGTCTACGTTTTTGGATAACCGTCCCAAGTACGACTATCTCACAACTTCACTTACTCAACTGATTGCATATAGAAGCTCTGAATTTTCAGATATGCTTACCGTGAGCATAACAAGTCCTATCACCCTATCCCCCTATGACTTTCCCGAAGCGTCACAGCAAGTGTCTCACGTACTGAGTAAGCTTGAATTGGTGCCCGTTCCTACCAACACCATATCGGCAACTAACAACCCGTTGCGGATGATGACCCATCCTATATTTGATAGCGTATTTAAGGCTTGTCTGTCCAAGGAGTTCATCCAGCAAATGGTGAAGCACGATGGACACTATTATAGGGTCAAGAATTGGACGTCTGATTTTGTGCAGCTGGATGTAAGTCTCGCCTCTATTAATCCTCTTGAAAGCGCACACCTTACAAGTGTATGCAGTGCCGCTCCACCCTCTCTGGATGCTATTTCTGAGCAGCTGACCATATATTCTCGCGCAGGAGGCTTCTTATTTGGAAGGTTTTATGAGTACATCGAAGAACTATGTTACATGATGTCTTGCAACTTTAAAGAAGAACTACTGCCAGACTTGCCAGAAGACTATGATGACCCGCGATTGGTATTCGACCCTGCATTTTATCGATACGAGCGCTTGATTATGTTGCACATTTTATCCATTATCCAACCGGTTGACCTCTTTGAAATTATTTGCGAAAAAGATCCTCCTACTTATTTGGAACGTAATAAGATACTGACCAATTTTATTGCACATGCTGAGCTTTTTAAGAGTTGCTATCAAGTGCCGTCTTACTCTACTCGAGGCAACCTTACATTAGAGTCTTCTGAAAATAGTTGTGTGACTAGTAGCAACGAGGTCCTTACAGAAGATGATTGTCCAGTCGCGATTTCCAAGCCAAAGCGAGCTCCTGCTCAACTGAAGCGCCGTGTTCGTCCGTAACATGTACCAATGCTATTGACGTATTCTATTCAACTGACGATCTTTTACCACCACTAAGTCCTACATTTATTAGCAGCCACTAACGATTCGCTTGCATGTCTGCAGAAAATATCAATGTTATCGAGCAACTAAACATCTGGTGATGTGATCCGAGTGGCCTCACAATAGCCTGTCTTCCTATTCATGCCACTCGAGGAACCTGCTAAGAGTTTTTGTGACACACCCCCTGGTTCGATGAGGCCCTGGCACCGCACCCTTCTGCACATGTCCGCTGATCTGTCTGGATGTTATGATTCGAGGCGGCACACAAGAGGCACCTACCCGACGTATCGCAGGCAGCACACGATGGCATGTCAGGGGGACACTCGGTTGGGAGCACACACTCGGATCTGTCCAGCGCCGGCAGGAAACCCCGCTCGCACCAGCACCTCCGCACGCCACCGGGCACCTCTCCCACCACCTTGTCCCCGGTGCACTCCCCCAGGCACGACTGCCCGTCCAGGCTCACGAAGAGCTCCCCCGCGCACTCTGTGCAGAAGGAGGCATGCCCGCAGGTCTTGCACCCCGGAGTGGCGCAGGGCAGGCACGCGTCTCCGTCTGCATAGTACCCGTCTACACAGGCGTTGGGGTCAATGCAGCTCCCGGTGGCGGCACCTGAGGCCCTCTTCAGGAGCTTGTCAGAGGGGCACCTGGTGCAGCGGCCGGGGCCAGGGGCGGTGCACCCCAGACATGTCGGGTCGCACTCCAGCAGCTTTCCATCGTCCGATATCCCGTACTCCTTCTTGGTCTTCTCACACTTCCCGCCTGCCTGTTTGTCACAGATAGTGCTTCCTGGATAGTGCTCCGTTGTGTAGCAGCCCCCGTTCATCAGGAAGGCCGCTCCTGAGCATGTAGTACAAGCACCATTTGCCTTGTTGGTGCAGTACGCGTCTTTTTGTGTGTTCGGAATACACACCCCGTTGAGAGGGTACATATTCGAGTCCTTGCAGCGCGTGCAGTACCTGCTGCCGTCGATGGTGATGCCGCACTCTGCACAGTCGTCACCAACAGCGCACTCATCTACACATTTTGCATTACCGTTTGCGACGACTGACGGCTCCAGGACTTTGCCGGGGCTGCACTGCTGGCAGCCGGTTGACTTGCCATCCTTGCAGACAGCGCACGAGTCCGTACATGGTGTGCAGGTTCCGGAGCTGTTGTAGAGGCCCATCCTGCAGACGCACCGGCACGACACTTCAGTTGACTCGCTCCCCTCTGCTACCTTTGTGCACACTCCTTGAGTGTCTCCACTGCAGCTCTCACTGCAGGACTTCCCATCCACCCCGAGGTGCCTCGCCGAGCACCGCGTACACGTCACACCGTTATTGTACCTACACGTGGCACAGCCAGAAATGCCCCCATTTGGAGCGTCATCGCACAGATATCGGTCTCCATTGCTCCCGCATTCTTAGAGAAGATCCACCCGGAAGCACTGCTCCACTGTTCGCAAGCATTCGACCCGCTTTCTGAGCAGGGTCTTGAGCAGATGTAGAGCCTGTCCTCGGAGCAGCCGCCGTAGAGCAGGAAGGGCTTTACAGAGTTGGAGCAGGCTGTGCACGCCCCTTGGTTGGTCCTTTGTGCGCTCAAAGCGATCTCTTCGAGGGACGAGCTCTCCCTAGCAAGGGCGCATGCACCGCTCCCAGGCGCAGGAGTTGTTCGCACACTCTGTGCAGATGGTCGCATGCTCCAGTTCGTACTGGCCTGCTCTGCACCTATAGCAAGCCCGGTCGAGCTGTGCCGGCCCTAGTATCCACACCTGTAGGGCGGCGTGTCTTGTGGCAGGATGTGAGTATCCGTTGACACAAGTACGGGGTCCCTTAGCTGGCATGATGGTCGGTTGGATAAACGCTTCTGTTCTCTGTTGTGTGGCAGCACCTAGCACACAGGGCGATGCCGTTTTGCCACGTACGGGGGACACGCGGCTTGGACACCAGAGGCGCCCCTGTATCCACCGGACCCGACTGTGTCGGAGCACAGAGGGCTACCTAAGCTTCCGTCCCGTGCTGGTGTGCTCGTGTAGCAGCTGCCGTAGAATAGAGTGTGCTTGCCTCCTGATTGCATGCAGCACACGGAGGACACCGTCTCCGAGCACTTCCGGCGCCTCCTTCTGCCGGGACAGCCGGGCGCGCCCATCCTGGACACGGCTGCCTGGCCTGCCCCCTGTAAGTCGCTGCAGAGCAAGCCGTCCGCTCTGACGGCTCCGTTTACTGGGTCATATCAGGGACTGGCGGTAGTCGTAGGACTCGCCCCGCGTGAGCGACGTGTACTTCGCCCCGCGCTTGGGCCGGCCGCCCCTCCTGAAGACGAACCACCAGACGAGGAAGCCGGCGACGGCCAGGACGAGGAGGACGACGATGACGATGGCGGCGATTGCTCCCCCGCCGAGCCCGCCCCGCCGGTAGTAGCCAGGGTCGAGGCAGTTGACGCTCCCGCCGCCCTTGTCGGTCAGCTCGCAGGTCGTGCACCCCGCGAGGCCCACCCAGCCGTCCATGCCCCCGGTGTCGCTGCAGCCCATGCACGCCGTGTGGTAGACGTCCGGGGAGATGGGGACGGCGCTCTCCGCGCAGCTCTCGCACTTGAGCCCCGTCGCGCAGACCCGGCAGTTCGCGATGTCGCACGGCTGGCACTCCCCGAGGTCCTCGTCGGGGTACATCGAGCCGCCGCAGCTGGCGCAGTCCTTCGTGCACGTCGCCGTCCGCGGGCAGAGGTACGCGCCGGCCGTGCAGTGCTCGCATCTATTGGGGTCGTCGGCCACGCACAGAGCGCACAGCTCCACGGTGCATGTGGGCGGGGGCGCCTCGCAGACGGTCTTGCCCTGGTCCGTCTCCTTGAGATACCCGTCCTCGCACTTCTGGCAGACGACGTTCTTGGCTCCCCCGTCCCCCACGGTGCTGCGGCAGACAATGCAGTGTTGGACGCCCATGTAACCGCCTATACTAGAGTCACACTTCACACACTGCCCAGGTTGCCTTTTTCCCTCGGCCGCGATGTAGTATCCGAGGAGACACGTCGTGCAACCTGCGCTACTGCCGTCATTACACGTTGAGCACCCGGCGGCACACGGCCTGCACGCCCCCGTTGAGGAGTCGCTGCCGGACACCTCGAGGTAGTACCCGTCTGCGCACCGGGAGCACGAGGTCCCGTCTACGCAGGAGAGACAGTTCTCCACGCAGCGCGCACAGGCCCCGCTGGCGTTGTAGTAGCCCGGGCCCAGCGCCAGGCAGCTCCCGAAGCACTTCGTCTTGTCCTCCTTCATGATGAGAGGCTCGAAGCAGGCGTCGCACGTCGTGGCAGAGTCCTTCGAGCACGCCTGGCAGCCCTGGACGGCGCACCCTTCGGGCGTTGCGGGCGGGAGGGCTCGGGGGCACGCGCCATCCTCGCCGGGCTCCGTCGAGTCCGAGCACCTGGTGCACACAACCTTGGCGGGGCCATCACTGGCGAGCGAGCAGCCCCCGCAGTTGGCTACTCCCCCCACCGTGTCGTCCCAGCAGGCGAGGCACTTGGATGACTGGCCATCTGCAGTGATGGTTATCACACTCGAGGAGTCCGAGGACGCGCATGCTGTGCAGGCGCCATCAGCTACAGCGGAGCAGATCGACTTCCCGATGGGGTGGGTGATGTCGTAGCAGCCGCTGTAGAACAGGAAGAACTCGGGGGTATTGTCTGCGGTCTGTTTGGTGCTGCAGACCGTGCACGACCCGCCGCTGCACGTGTGTCCGTCGGTCCCGTCCGAGCTCTGGCCGATGCAGACGCCGTTCAGGGGGTAGTGGTCGGGCTGGGCGCACCTCTTGCAGAGCACCCGGCCGTTGACGTAGATCTGGTCCTCGGCCGCGCAGATGGCCTGGGCGAGGGGGCCGTCGACGGAGTAGCAGCTCCCGTAGAAGAGCATGAAGCCGGAGGAGCACGCGTCGCAGAGCCCGTTGCCCCGGGGGTCGGAGCACCCGGCGAGCGCGGCCAGGGCGGAGTAGTTGGAGAGGCACCGGCCGTCGACGGGCACGTAGCCTATTTTGCACTGCGTGCAGAGGGTAGGCTTCACATCTGCGCCCGTGAGCACGTTCATCCGGCAGCGCTCGCAGAAGAGGGTCCCGTCCAGCCCGTAGCACGCGAGGCAGGAGGTGGCAGACGAGCTCGCACTGGGGTTCTTGACGAACTTCGATCCGCAAGAGCCGCAGACAGAGCCAGTGGTGTCAGCTTGATTAGGACACACAATGCTGCCGGGAGAACTATCAAACTTGTAGCACGACCCGTAGTGGAGGAAGTAGCCGCCTGTGCATGTTGTGCACACGCCCTTGTCGCACGTGTTTCCTGCAGCACTCCCAGCCGGCACGCACACCCCGTCGATCGGGACGTCGCCCTCGATGGCGCACGCCCCGCAGTACATCCCCTCCTCGACGACGTGCTTCTCCTTGCATATGGCGTTGATCAGGGATGCCGTGCGGTAGCACCCGCCCCTGTAGAAGAGGAAGTCCCGGATGCAGCCCGAGCAGGAGCCCGGAGTGGGGTTGCTGCCCGTGGGCACTATGCATATACCCCGCGAGAGGCTCAGCAGCCTGCAGTCTCCGTTGACGGGGACCCGCGCTCCGTCGCACTTGGAGCAGTACTTCTTGCCGCCGATCGTGACGTTGCAGACGCCGGTCGCACCCCCGCAGTCGCTGTCCTGGGTGCACTCTGAGAAAATACCGTGCAGAAGAAGAAGGATGAGAACCCTCATGTGAATCCTTGAGGATACAAGTTTTTAATGTGTCCGAATCAGCAAGGATCCGCCACACTACCTCTGCTGTGGAGGCTCCCGGATGCCCGGCCTCCGCGTGGTCGAACGGCGGGCCCGGAGTCGGCACGGAGCGATCCTCAGAGGGCGAGTCGAGCCCCTGTCCCTCGGGGGTGCACAGGTCCTGCCACTCCGTGTGCCGGTCTTTTGCAGAGGCCAGCCGAGCGGACCGAGTGGGCGGTGCCTGCACGCA